AGCTTCGCCAACGTCGCGAAAAATGCCTCACGCCAGGCACCCGGGGATGTGCACGTTTCGCAGTTGGATTGTGAGCCGTCGAACATGAGGATCTGACGCGACAGATGCTGTTTGCTCGGCTGTGAGGCCCGTTGGCCGGCGTTTGCTCACAGAGTGTCTAATGCAGCAAGCTTACTTAAGTTAATAAGGGCCTGCTGCAGTTTTTCTCGACGGACAACAGCCTATGGGTCCGCACGGATAATGCGACTAAGGTAATGTTTCTAAAAAGGGACAGAGTTAGCGTAGTTAAGAGACAAGTTGCAAAGTGCCTTGCTTATGTTAGCTGTTGCAATAACGTTTAAGAAAGTTTGCCTATATTAATTCTAAAATACTTACAACTTTAGTTAAACTCATTAGCTGCATTACAGCGCAGACTATAAGGTATTATTTTATACTAAAGTCCCATTATCTCACCTACTCTTTTGATCCAGCCTGCAATCATGCCTTTGGTAATGGTCTTTGTTGTTGACATCTTGTACCCTGTCAAGGTTTTAACAGCGCGACAGAATATGCACACCTCCTTTAGGTCACTTCTTAGAGGCAAAGGTAGTTCACGCTCGCCTGGATGTATATCCAATTCATCCAGCGGGTGCAAGTAAAAGGAGAAAGAGCACTGCCAGAATTCGGTGTTCTCCGAGGTCGAACGACTTCTCTGTAGTACTCAGGGTCGTCTCGATCTCCTCCTTCAGATCGTTAATATGCACTGATTTGCCCTCTTCTGGTCGCTCAGGCCGTGCTTTCTGGTAAGCTCTCGAAGGATCTAGTAAACATTACAACCTGCACATTATTTTAGGTATTGAGTATGACGTACTTTATGCATGTTGCGATTTGGTTTTGGATCAAGCTTTGCACCAATGGCCCTCTCGTGTACGAGTCGGAACACTTTCCAGGCTGTGCCCAGTGAGCTGCTCTTTGTGGTTCCTCTCAACTTTCTACCATCCTTGCCCGACTTTTGGTTCAATCGCCATTTAATATTGCAGAACCTGTTGGTGATGCTGGAAAGTAGAGCCTAGGAGAAATTGGGTAGGTGACGTGTCCTACTGTTGCCACTGCATCTTGGTTGCGTCTAAGAGTGTTGTGCTGCCAGGGCTGTAGTCTTCGCCAACAAAAGAATTTTTGTTAAATTCTTTAATACTACAGCAGTAATATTCTAGTAGATGTATGCTTCTACTAAAGAGTTAGATCTAATTATTAACATCTAGATTATTATTATTCTATATACTAAACTCTATTGCCTTAGTTTTATCACTAGATAGATCTAGTTTATCCTCATTAAAACAGCTCTTAACTTCTAGTAAGAAACTAGCATTAGAATTATCTACATTAAGAGAGCACCAATATCTAGCTATAATAGATGCAGTTTGTAGTAGCGTGATGTAGATTAGTTGTGATCCGCAACCGACTCAGCTTGATGGGAGAGTAGAAGGAGATTGCACAATTGTGTAGAGAACAAAGAGGTTGTCTTGCCGCCGCGGTAGCGACGCACGGCTTTTAAGTGTGGCTGCACCGACCATTTCTAGGTTGCTGGAAAATTAAGAACTAAGTTTGAAGTTCTCATAAGGAAGACATTTAGCCTTGTTCAATTCCTCCCATCCAATAGACTTGAGTAAGTTACCTTGTGGTACATCGCTGAACAGTGACTGGGGCAGGAAACCAACAGGCCGAGCTGCATGGCTTAAAGCGGCATTGGATGTGTGGCAAATTGACCACATGTTTTTGTGACACAACCCACCAGAATTGGTGGTGCTTTGGCCGTCTTTTACTTGAATTGGGTAACTAAGTATAAAGTTAATAATATTATAAGTAATATAATTATTAATAATTAACTAGGGAAAAACCTTAGATAACTATAAATTAGTAACAAAACCTAAATATTGCCAAGATACAGGATCGTTATAGACATACCTAGGTAGTTTACTGCACTACCTAGGTACTTGCTGGGTTGAAGGAAGGAGGTTGCCCGCTCGTTTGTAGCTTCGCACGTGACTCGTCTCTGCCGCCAGGCTGCCGGGCCGCCTTTCGCCATTCTGTCGTCTTTCCCCATTGTTTTAGGACGCCTGCATCCGCCCTATGAACAAGTATGATATCAACCATTTGCTCCCCAACAGCCATGCCCCTCTCCCTCTTGGGCTGCGAGAAGCCCTTCACGAGTCACAATTTTGCAGTCGCTGCGTATCTACCAAGCAAGGCCCTGGACGTGCTTCTTCCACCACTGGTCACATCAATCCAATGCAACAATCATCTTCTGTCTGCTGAAAACGACAAGGCAGTCAACACCGTCAAGAACAGCCTGGACGATTCTTCAGTCCCACGCTTGATTTTCGATACATTACGTAGAAGTCCACGGTGGTTCTGGAACTAAACGGATTCTGTCAAATTCTCAACGCGGCAATTGTCGTTATATGATCATCTGCTTCGAACCGAGTCCCTGGAGAGCTGGATGCCGACCATACCGCACAAAGGACGAAGTACGACTTGGACCAAAAACGGGGGGCGGGCGGCCGATACGAGAACGAGAGGTCTTTAAAGCGCGGAGGTTCTGTTATGAGTCGACTCATTGTATTCTCTTCTGCAGTCCCGATCTTGAACTGCATTTCGCGCGGCGGCTCTTTGATGTCAAGTGATGCTGCCCTACGCTTGATGCTAGTATGGCTCCGAACCAACCCCCAGGGCCGCTCTATTTCATGGCGTTGTCTATATCAGCTACCCCTGACAAAATATTGGAAACAACCTCGTTGAACGAAACCCCACCGACGGGCAAGTTGAGTTGGTATGGGCAGGTCCATGAACTTTTTGTCTGGCGTGGGTGGTCACAATGGCCACTGAAGTTTCAATGTTCACTTGGACAAGAGGCGGACTTGCCGACGCAACAGGATTCATGTTTGGCTCATCATTGCACTAGCATGAGCCTTGCAGCATCCAATGGCTGCTACCCTTTTCTCGGATCACGATTGAAAATACGGGCCACTGACTTTGACCTGCTGGACCCTATGACTCAATACTGTTGTGGCCAATCAAAATGTGTATTCACCTTACTCTCCGCGAGCGATTGCATCAGATATGAGAGATTACGCGAAGGAGGCAATGCAGGCCTTCTTCGACCGTCAGGTTTGCTGTATCGGTTGCACAGGCGTCGCCACGGTCCAAAATGGCCAGATCTGCTGCCACGAGCAGCAGGACTACCAGGACTTGCAATATCACTGCCTCATTTGATGAAATGACAGACAACTATAATCCAACGCCGACAACAGTCGCCCCCAACATAGACCAGTGACAACAGTTGGCAACACCAACAGCGAGCGGTGGCGGCTGTTGCACTCGCAATGTCGATGACAAAGGCATCATCAACCGCAGAAACGGAGTCGGTGAAAGTAGCACAAACATTGTTGCCATCTTCAGGGGTCCGCTGGCGGTTGTTGCTTCCGTCGTCATTGGTGTCCTGGCTGCATTTTCCTCGTTACGCGCAATAGGCAGAACGGGTAGCAAAGGACCCCCTGAGCCGTTTTACGCAATCGCGAGGGCGAGATCAGGGAAGTGGTGTGACTGACGTGCAACCGCCACCGCCACCAATGCCCTAGCAGCCTGTCGAGCAGCAAGTAGCAGTCGTGCCGACCATATAGTGAGCGATACGTGCCGAATATCTTCAGGGGCCATACGGCCTGCAACCCGGCCATAGCATGCACATGGCAGTTGGTCAGAACGCCGAGTCTTGATATGCATGAAGCAACCCTACTCCTTTCTGCCCTTTCCCGCCTCCTCCAACCCCCTCCCCGTCTCCTCATGACCAAGCACTGTATGAGACTTCTGGGCAGATGCGAGAATTTCTGTGTTGGAATGCATGGGAAATCCCGAGAATGGCTCAGCTCCTCGTGCTCTCTTGTCTTGAAGCTTTGTAGCTGACTTTGCTCCCGAGACACCCCGTGATGACATGTCGCGATATCCAGTTGAGGAAGTTGTGTGTGTCTATGGTGGTTATAATATAGCAAGGGTTAGGCTATTATGTATTTGAGGTGTACAGAAGGTTTCTTGGGGTGGTTTTGTTCCGTCCAGTTGCGAGGACCATGCAAGCTGAGGGCCAGCTTTCTGCTCTACAAGGCTGGTCGCCACGCCAAGCAGATATGACACATCGCATTTACTGATCTGATGTGAGGATTCCTAAATCAAGAAGTCAGCCCGGGGGGGGGGGTTGTTCATGTCGCAGGACCGGACGTGCCATGATCCAGAACCTTCATGCAGATACAGCCTCGATGCCATCGATTGAGTCGCTCCTCAATCATCCAGAACCTTTCCTAACCCGACTCTTCCGTGAGTACCTACAAAAACAGCCCAAGACCGCGTAATTGCTGACCTGCTTGATTTCTTAGCCAATTTACCGCGAGCTCCATGCCGGTCGACGCATCTGACGCCACGAAGCGCTTTACAACTCTAAGCACCATTATAAGGCCTCACATGAAACCTTGACGCGATGGATTCACGACGGCAGTTGTCAGGAAAAAAAAATTCCCCAATCCTACCAAGGCTGTCACCGTCTAGGCCGTTCGATGGCGAGGGTAAATGGTCAGCTTCGTCCAGCGCCTTCATCAGGCCTAAGCGGGTGATGATTAGCGTTGCCTGCCAGAATTGCAGACGACGAAAGGCCAAGGTGAGTTTGTAGACCTTGTCATCTACCATGCTTCCAAGACATGAGTGAATGATTATAGAAGTAGTGCAGCGGCTCCAGACCGACCTGCAATCGCTGCCACAACAGAGGCGAGCAGTGTAGTTACGAGCTGGATAGGGGCAAGGCGTTGACTAGCGTGCTCAGGCAGAAGCAAGACGACTTGCTGAGCGAGAATGAACAATACAGGGCGCTCTTTCAGCTGTTATGTACCAGGTCCGAGGACGAGGCGTTGGAAATATTTCGTCGCATCAGGGGGTCTCGTGAGCCCCTCCTTCTCCTCGAATCCGTGAGGCAAGCCGAGATGCTGTTGCCGGATCCGTCACCTCTACGGATCGATCGCACTCCTCAACTGGAACGGCTGGATCGCCAAGCTCTTGAGGGAAGCATTATCAAGGTTCCGGCCCGACCGTGGACCATGGTTGTTGGCGACGGCCTTGTGTCTGAGCTCGTCACAAATCTGTTTAATTTTGACGGCACCTATCTTTTCCCGGCCCTTGACAAAGACGCCTTCATTGAAGACATGAGGTCTGGGGACGTGAAAAGGTCCACATACTGCACACCGTTGCTAGTCAACGCCATCTGCGCGGTCCAAAGTGTCCGTTGTTCTGATTCCGCCATGAGCCATATCGACTAACTTTTGGCAGAACTTTTCTCAGAGTGCAAAGCGATTCGGAGCGATTGCTAAGAAGAACCTCCCAGACCGCTTTTTAGAAGAGACCAAGGGATTGCTTGAACGGGAACAGGGTCGTGCCTCCATCCCCAACGCCATCGCCCTCGTCTTTATGTACATGGCCGTGGCTATCAGCGGTAAAGACAGGATATACCGGACACACCTCTACACGGCCTACGGCCTGCTAGGAAGGCTATCGCTGGAGCAGAGGTTTCAGGCCCTTGTGAGCAGACTTGACAGCCAAAAGCTGAGGCGCATCATTAGCCATGTGCTCTGGGGCCTGTATATTGTAGAAAGGTGAGTTGCGATTCCGGGAGGAAGTCCACCAACTAAGAAATAGCAGCCGTACTGCCTTCTACTACTCACAGACGTTTTTCATACCCACGCCGAGGCTGCCCAAGCCTCCCGACGAACCTGGTACTGCCAACGTCGATGTGCTGGGCCGTTTGTATGATGAGTCGGACGGCACCGTCCCCCTGGTCCCGGGCGTCAACACCGTAAACTGCCATTTAACCGAACTCTGGAACGAACTCATGCAATACATCTGCCAAGGTGCTGCCAAAGGAAGCGATGCCGACTTGCGCGTCCGCAAGAGCTTCTACTGCAAGTTGATGGCGTACGTAGCTCAATTGCCGCCCAGATTTCACTTCAGGAGCAACATGACGCCAACAACCTGCATGATTAGGTACAGAGAATCCCGTAACGCATCAGTGGCATGTCTGCCAAGAAAAAAAGAAAAAAAAAAAGGTCCTAACCCAAAGCTGTCAAGAATGCACGAAACGGAAATCATCTTCACCATCCTCCGCGACGTGCCGCTCGACACGCCGTGCCAAAACCTCTTCGATCTCCCCGGGACGACGGCCAGAGACATCATACGAAAACGCTGCGTCACCGACATTGAACTGCTGCGGTCGTATATGGACAGATGGCAGCACCTGGGGAGCCTGGCATGTCGCCACACGCACCTCTGCATACACACCCTCGTTCCGCTCCTCGACGACCCGGCCGTTCATGTCGCCTTCTCAGCAGCCTGCATGATTGCCCAGCAGTGCACTCTCAACATGAAAGTGATGGGATACCTGCTTCAGGCGGTGCAGGCGTTTGCGTGGGCCTTTGGGAAGACGATCCCCGAGTCGGCGCGGCCGTTCCTCCGGGGCTGGGGCGCCGAGGCCATGGAGCCCGACTTGCCCTTGTCGCTGGTCCTCCCGCAGCAGAGTGATGTCGTGGATGCTCTTGCGAGGGACTGGGGCGTGCACTTGGACGACGGGGAGGACCAGCTTCGGTTGTTGATTGAGTTGTGGGCGAGGCAGGGCCAGTAGCTGCGCATCGGACAGAAGTTTACAGGTTCCAACAAGAATGCGTACAGTGAGTCGCAGACAGAGGCGTGCCACGTTTGGTGCTTGACGTGTTCCCCCGTGCGAGAGCATGTGTGCTCGGCCATGGACCGACGTGTATGCATCCCGGCATGGACGGCGTGAGGGATCGCTGCGGCAGCGCGACGCCAACGCGCCGACGAGGTCAAACTGGTGCGGCCCCCAGACTGCTTGCTGTAGCCGCTGCCGCTGACGGACCTGACCTGCGCCAGCACGGCTCGCTGGTTTCCGTACGCCCTGCGGCGGGTGAAGGACAGACAGCCCCGAAGAACGGCGTGTCGGTGAAGAACAAACACCGAAGCCGGCTCGGCACAAGCCCAGCCCGTCCTTGCTTGCCGCGTCTTCGGACCGACGGCATGCCGGGCGACAAAACGCAGCCACTGGCATCACCGGGCATCTCGGGAGATCAGATCCACGCCCCGAACCACCCACCACGCCGGTCCCAAGCCCCGAGGGCGACGACGTGGCGGTGGTAGTAACTGCGCCGACGGAGTCTACAGGTGTTGCTTCGTCGGTGAGCGGCGCCCGATCGTTCGCGATACAGTCACGGCACAGCCATTCCGACATGCTCGAGCCTGGAGTCAACATGTCGCACGTGGACTAGACGCGCACAAAGCTCCCGTGTCGCGGGCGACACCAAGGACGTATCAACGGGAAGAATCGGGAAATTGGAAAAACTAGAAACAAGTGGCCAAGTTGGTTCCTATCTCGTCCATTTGACTTTCAACGGATCCCATGAGTCTCGTTCACAATCACGACTTGGCGAGCGCGTTGACGGTGTTAAAATTAGAAATGTATTCAAGAGGTTGATCTAAACTAAGTGTCTGAGAAGCAGTGATAACGTCGGACGGGAGCAGGCCGGCATGCACAAGTCTTCATTTACGCCGAAAGGTCCCGTCTGCGGTACGAGCATGGCCTGCCTGCGGGTCGTATATACGTCTGCCGCTGTGGGAAGGAGAAGCGAAGCCGTCGGTGGAGCGTAAAGGCGTGCTTCTTCACCTGGTCGAGATTGGTATGCTAAGCATGCTGGGATGGGCGAGCAATGTTGTGGTTTGAGATTTGGGCTGATAGCACTTACTTGCTGAGCACCTTGATTATCGCGGCAAGGAAAACGTCCTCCATATATTTATTCCTTTTGGTCCGATCCTGCTCAAGCTGCATTTTCCATATCATGTCACCAAAGCTCAGCGGTTTGGCTCCCGGAGAGCCGGCCGCTCGAGATTGAGCCCCTTCTGTCTTCCCACCAGCGGGCCCAGGTCCGCCTTGGACTTGCTGTTTCTTCGTCGTGTCGTCTTCCATGCTTGACATTCGCAGTGGCGTTGATGCTGAGATTTGCGTGGTGGCGACGCGCAGACCGTGACGACCCTGCTTGCACGTCGTAGTCACCAAGATGAGGCAGAGCCGATCGAGTTGTTTGCGCCCGCTCTGACAAGGACTGATGAACGTGGCGGAGCGGGTGTAGGGGAGGTGAACGTATTGCCAAAGGGGATTGCCGAGTTGTTGTGAGCCGGAGCGCGGAATGCAGACGGTGACGGCGGCGAGAGGAGAGAGACAAATCCGGGGCTCTGTCACGGCTTATATGGGCGTGGTCTGCCTGTCCCTTGCGCGAACGACGAATGGTTCCAGACGAACAGCGCCTCCTCTCGTGCACCTGTTCACGTCCATTGCGTGGACGGTTCACCTCTGCTCCGGCGCCTGAACACGATGAGCGAGAGCGCCGCCGCCTGAAGGCACCACGAAACGGGACAGTCGGGACTTTGTCCCATGCATAAATCTCACCACTACAGGACAGTCCGGCCGTATCGCAATCTTTCCACGCCATCTACACCTTGTCCTTGCCTGCGGCTGTGTGTGTGTTCGACGTGAACCCTATCGAGGTGCTAACTGTCGGGCAGGGCGACTATGCTGTTCGTCACTCGTGGCATTCCAAGGAGGGTTTCTTTGGTCACATCGTAATCAGTATTCGAAGCCACCATCCGAGTTTGATGACTGTGCAGATAGATAGTTGATGGCACGGCCAACGGCCGATGTTCCTCGCTTCGGTCCTATGTCGTAATCAGACCACAGGATGGGGATTGGCAAGAGAGGGGAGAGAAACGCCAGGGACATACATTCGTACGCACGCCGCGATGGAGGCTATTCGCGACACAGTGCACACCTCATCCGTACACGTCAACCACCATTGAACATGGAAGCACATTACCACCAACAAAGGCACGGGGAATCTCAAAACTCCCCGTCCCCCTTGCAAGCTTAAAACAAACCCCAGCCAGGGGGGGGCATTGGACGAGAGCTCACGGCATTTCCGCCGGCCACAGCTCGCCCGCAACACGCTGTGCTCGGAACGGAACGCAGCCGATTGAAATCAATTCACGCCCCAGGTACTCCGTACGGAGTGTTCCGTATGTGCATGCGGCCAGCGCACAGCATCGACCATGCCGCATGACAACGCAGCAGCCAGGGCCGGCACCTCCTGGTCTCTTGCCATGAGCCAGCGTCCTCGTTTCCCTAAACCTGACACAGCGGACGTGCGCCGCCACGGGGCGAGGAAACGTGCCTTGGGCCCTTCCGAGGCTTGCCCGCATCAACACATCCAGGATCAAGTCAGGGTTAGGGTCATGGTCGGGGTCGGGGTCGGGGTCAGGATCCGTAGATCAAAAATTGCGGCTCCGTACGTACGAACCACTGTCGTCAAGGTTCCCGGCACCATGATGGATTAGGAAAAGCAAAAGGCTTGGTCGATGCCGGTATTCCGAAAGCCCTGGGATGGGCATGATGATGGATGAATGGATGGGGGGAGAAACTGCGAGGGCAGACGGCAAGCCGACTAGCCTCCGGTCTGGCGCTGCGCCCCCTCACGAGGGGAGAAAAAAAAAAAAAAACCACGCAAATCGGCGTCGCGGATCGCAAAAACACATGACAAAAAATCACACAAACACCTACGAGGCCACGACCCCACGAGACCATGGGCCACGGCTTGCCTCCGTGTCTGAGCCGGAAAATAAAGACAACCGCCATTGTCCCCAACGTGGCTTCGTCCAACGACGCAGATGGGCGAATCACCGGCCACACAGCACAGCACCTCTCCGAAACCATCAGGACAAAAGAGCCATCCCCGCCAGTTTGCGCCCGCGAGACTTTGGCCATGACGCTTGGAAGCAAGTCTGGCAGTGAGCGACTGGTGTACCAGCTAGCACGTCAACTCGGCAGTCTCGTGCCGACGCCGCAGCACAGCCCACGCCCAGAACCCATCTTCCCTGACCCGTCGTCCGTCATCCATGTCCGCCCAACGCCATCAACGCTGTCCTCCGTTTCCGTATGCCGTCTCTCCAATCCAATGGGAACCCGCGGGACGCCCGGCGCCAGCGACCAGTTTACGGAGTACCCATGCATCATGTGTCGTGGTCGGCATGGCAGAGTCCCCCTGCCCAATCCGTCCACCTTGGTGCTGTTGTTTCGTCGCCTTTCTTAAAAAGGCCTCGACCTCCCGCCTCCATGGCTGACAGACTGGCTTCCCAGTTGATCGTTGATCCTCGAGTCGTTTTGAAACACAGACAGTCCTTACGTCGCGAGCGCCCGTCCCGCCCGTCTCACTCCCACTAGAGTGCCCGGTTTATCCCCAGATCCGTTCCGTACCCGCCAGTCAAGAATCAAGAACCGAGATGCCCGCCTCACAGCAACAGATGACCCAGGAGCCTGCTCCTGCTGTCGTGCCCGAGTCGTCCCGAACGAGCACCGAGGAACAGGATGCCGTCTCGTGCTTGGCCGTGTCAGTCGTCATTGCCATTGTCGCCAAGTCGGTCGGGCCCTGCCGCTAGTTAGCCGCTCTGTTTCTCCCTGCATACTCCGTACCGCCCCGTTGGCTATTAATACAACACGGCAAAACCATCCAACCGCCACCCTGACCCGCTCCCATCGTCCGTCCCCGTTGTTCCTGGCACGACGAGTCGATTTGCGCTGACGAGGGACGTTTCCGCAGCGCCCCGTTGAGCCCATGTCCGTCGACACTGCGCGCCTGCGAGGCGGTGGCCAGGAGGGCGAGGTGAGTGCCAGCTTCCAAGGACCAAACCAGACCGACCGGCTCATCCAACCCTGCCAATGCTGACTCGCAAACCAGGCCATCTGCTGCGGCATTTGCGCTGGCCTTTGCTGCTTCGAGTGCTGTGAATGCTGCTGCTAGACGTGTGACGTGTGACGTGTGACTTGACGTCGATTTCAACCAACGCGTGGCTGGCGGCCATCAGTGGCAAGCGAGAAGTCGGCTGTTGGCGGTGTTGGGCGCCCGAGACCGGCCGTCCACCCACCCCTTCTCTCTCGGGCACGGCAGCAGGGCCCAGGGCTGGACGTGGGCCATATACAGGCTTTACTACATGTCAATCATTAGACTTCGGGTCGAGTCGCATTTGACCCAACGACAGAGTCAAGTCGTGCTTTCTCCTACGAATGAATGGGCAGAGGAACTAGGATAAACTCATGCAATCGTAATCCTTTTATACACAAATCACAAACGCCAAACGGCAACTGACCCGGACCCAAGTTCCGAGTTGACGACACCGTACACGCGTCGTCGCGGACTGACAGACAAGTGGCTGGCATGACCTGATACAATTCCCGACCTGGAATCACCCACAGCCCGTCGAGATATGGACAATGGCGGGCGCCGCCAACTTGTCAGCTAGTCTGCAGGTTTGCCTGCCTCCTGGATACGTCACTCACACCACAACCTGCCCAAGCTTCTTGACAACCTCCTCATAAAATCTTGTCGACAGTTTCTCTGCCGCGCCCTCTGCACCGTCTTTTTGCCCTTGGTAAAGCCGAAGCTTCTCTTCTCCACCGAGGCAAGTCCTAACGACATACTCAAACTTCTCGCCCATCTCACCACCAACATCTGCCATCCGTTCACCCCCAAGTAGTTCGCCTTGAACTTTTCGCAAAACGTCTGGCTTCCCTCGAGCCCTTTGCATGTCGATCCCCAGGACCTTGTCAACGGTCTTCCAGTGAGCCAATTCGACAAATATGATACCCAGGCTGTAAATATCGAAGCATTTCTTGGAGCGTTGCCTTTCCCTTCCTCTATTGGTCTGCGTATCCGGGTGTCTGTACAAGTCGTGTTCTGCATCGTCTCCAGGCACGTCTGTCATCTCGTCCGAGCCCCCCGGACGCGAACAGTCGAACCCAGAGAGATATGGCTGACAGTAGTCGACCTTTCCGGTGCGAGTACGGAAGAAGATGACGTTATGACTTCGGAGACCCTTGTGCAACCAATTGACTGCATGAAGATATAAGACGCAATTACTCAGTGCTGTTGCCAGTTGAACCCGCTCTGTGACCCGGGGTTTTCTGACGCCATCATCTTGTAGGAGGCTGTGGAGGGATACCGGCGGAAGCGTGGCATGCAGTGAATCATGGCAAGGTCGCTCAAATATGAGACCTAACCGCCTCTCGAGAATGTCGACATCATCGGCAGGGATATCGGGGTCGGCTTTATCGAAGAACCCGAGACAGTGTGGCGTCCTGAAAGCTTTGGGTTTCAGCCGGTGATTCAGTAAAGATGCCAATTTTCTCACCCGACTGATTATGTCCTCTTTTGACAAGGAGTCTGGGTGCAGTCCGGCTGTATCGTAGTTTTTCCACTCTATCCACACCCTCTTCTTGCCTGCAGCTGTCTTCATGAGTGCTTCGCAGGGCGCAGTGTCTGACTGGTCCACGTCTGGACCAAGCTCTATCAGATATCGCGGAAGCTGGACATTGCTTGGCTGAGATGGGTTTGCAAGCTCCAGGAAGCCAGCCGCCGTCTTGTCCACTGGGCATGGCCGTCCAGTTTTTGGATCGAGAGTTTCGCTAAAAGCCTTGAACTTTGCAAGTTTGGATAACTGAACCAAGGAATCGAGACTTGCTTCCCTTTCCAATTTCGACAGGGGAGAATGAGTCAAGAGTGAGCCCGCTCCTGCATCTAGCTGCGATTTCAACGCCAGCACAAGATGACTCAAATCGGCAATCTTACGATGCAAAAGCAAAACCCCTCTGTTCGTATCTTCTACTGTGTGCCGTATTTCTACCTGTAGTGAGTGATCCAGTATATTGGTCATGTTATCATTAAGAGCTGAGAACTTGGACAAGACCAGCTCAAAGGCGACTTTATCAAACGAGACCCATCGAAGTCGTTGATAACCTTGTTGGGATTTCTCTTTCAAAGCCGTCATTGCCTTCTTGATGAAGTCTTGCTTTCTGTCTGAAATGGGAAAATTGGCCAGCCTGGCGTCCTCGTCTGGCACGCCGAGCAAGTCGTCCTCATCTCGGGCTGTCTTTAGGTTGTTGTGTCTGCGCTGGTGACTGGTGAACTCGTCAAATAAGCAGCGGATCTGAACCAGCATATCAAGCACGGTTTGGCGATGCAGATTGAATATGTTTGAGTTTAGGATCTTGTCATGTTGCTCATCTCCCACATCCAACAACCCTGAAGTTTCACTCCAAGCGAAGAGACGCTGCTGTTCCATCCGCAACCTCAAGTTGAGGTATTTACACTCGTCATCGTATCCCAATGCAGTGATTAACAACTGTATGCCTTCGATGGCGGCGAAATTTTGTATTAGTGTCCTGTTGTCATGACATGCCAGCAAGTCGTACCTTGAATACAACCAGTGTACACCTGGAGACCAAGTGATGCCACACCGAGAGCTAACCCAGCTACAGAGACAGGGTCCATGAATCAATCGCTGGGCGACGGGTCGATAACGCCGTCTATCGTTACAATCTGGGCCGGCTATCGAGTAATTTACCGTCTGAATGCAGGGGTTGTGGCTCATGGCACGCTGAAGACCGAGCCTGACACCAACAACGTGCAGCGGGCTTGTTAGGAGCGCGAAATAAGTTATGTTCTGGTGCGGGAATCGAGAGTCTGTTCGTAGCGGCGTGGGGTAGAGAGCAGAAAGCATCATGGAGACCTACCTTGTCTTGGGATGTTTTGCTTATTCTGCTTGGATGGTGTCAGCAGTTGTGTTTGGTCTCGACCCTGTCAGCCCCGGTGATATCTCATTTTCTGATTTGCGACAATACAACGCTGGCGGGAAGAATTCGCCACCCCGCGCGCACCTTGCCCATAACGCGGATTGGATTCCATGACTTTGTTTACTTCCTCCCTGGTGCAACATGTGAAGGAAGGCAGACTGTCAAGATATAAGGATTAGAGCTCTTGACAGTCTCATGTACTCGTATTTAGATTGCCAATTTGATACATTGACGACAGTGTTTGTTGGGTCGGCAGAACTGCTGTATCAAAGCTGCAGCTGGGCTGAAGATGACGGCTATAGCTCCAATTAGCTTCTATGGCGCATGGCCCATTTTGCAAGCGAGGCAACGGGAATATACAGTGTGCTCCGAAGCTGCTGTGGAATTTTGATTCAGGTACGGAGTACCTTGTCTCTCTTCCTCCTCGCATGGGAGGAACCAGCACGATAAACTTGGCGATGGTAGCCTGGAGACAAGAAACAGTATTCTAGGGCCCCAATAGACCACCAAAGACCCACGAAATTGTACGAGTGACAGGGCATGATGGACCAGCGAAATGAACAGAGTCCCTGCCAACCCTTTTATCCAATCGAGGTCCAGTGATCAGTCTTGATCCGTCTCTTTGTCGTCGCCGCCATTTGTTGTCCATCGCCTTTTGCTGAAATAAGTACGTTACGTACGGAGTACCAGAGGCAACGCCAAGGAATGTCTGAGGAATTTCATTCAGATGCGAGCAAGGATTACTAAATTTATCGGCACAACTGGTCCCCTACTCCGCACTCCATCTGCGTACTCTGTACGCCGGAGATCCGGCCACATTCTGAGACAACCCGCGAATAATTTTGTTTAGCAGATCTCATTCCCGTCACCTTGAAGCCAATGCGAGAGGGGCTGTCAGACCGCTGCACAGAAGCGAGCTTTCTGGTGCAAAAAAGCAGGACCCGGGCCTGGGGTGCCATTTCGTGCGATGCGGACAATGCGGGCAATGAGGCTGTCGTGCTGGGCATCCACTCTTATGCGGGAGGTCCCTTTGGTGTGCAATCTAGATCGTGGGAGGGCCAGGCAGCCAGGAGAGGACAGGGAGGCTGGACGGAGTTTCGAAAAGAGAGAGAGAGACAAAGAGAAAGGGGGTCTCAGTTGGACAGCAGCATGGGCCACGTTGGGCGGCACACTCTGGGATTGAGATTGCATTTTAGCCGATGCCGGCCCAACGGATGTAGAGAATTGACCAAGCGACATGAGTAGGAAGGAACGTGGACGATTGCATACTTACGTACGGAGTCAGCCGCGGATAAAACGACTGATATTGCGTGCAAACTCAGGCTCAAGGGATGTATCGTCTTCTAATACCTCCCCTAGCTTGTTGGCAACCTTATTTATCTGCCTGAGTGTTGTGGGCGTCTCAAAGTCGGAAGAGTTGTTGTGATATAACGGCGGCGGCGATGGTGTTGATGTGTAAATTGCAGCTCGTTGTTCAAGGGCCTCAATTACAGGCTGTGGATTGTAGGGTGAAATTCCAGTTTTTCGAAAGGCTGTGAGAATAGTAGTAGTCTTGAAAGCTTGTTTTCGTACAGCTTGAATGCAAGCAAGGAATTCAATCTTTGTAATATTCAACACGCCGTCTCGAACAATGATATCCAACGCCTTTGCATGATAATGCTTTAGTGGCTGAAATATCACAACATCAAGAGGTTGAAGGATGTGTGTAAGGTGCGAGGGCAACGCAAAGGGAATTATATCGTGCTGTTCGCAGTATTCAACGAATTCAATTGTATGGTGTGATCCGTGGCCATCTAGGATTAAAAGGCGATATCTGCCTATTGGCGTTGCAAATTCCTGAAAATGCTGTATCCAAGCAACTGCAATTTCGTCATTCGTAAAGCCGGTTGGTGAGACTGTTATTTTGGTATTAGCTTCAAGCTCCTTTATCCGATACCAGGACTCCATGTGTTTTTGCCCTGTAAGGATAAGAAAGGCAGGAATAACTTTGCCGCCAGCAGAAATGCATTCTATTGCTGTTGCAGTCTCCCTGTTTTCTGGCATTGAAAATAGATGCGCTCTTCTTCGCTTTGTAACAACTAAATGGTCCTTTCCCATTCCAATACGAAAGCCAGTCTCATCCATATTCCAGATATCTTCAGGAGGGACTCCGTACTGCTGAATAGCCTCTTTAAGCTTGTTGTAATAAGAAAGAGCTCTTGTCACATCTTCTGAAGCTTTTCGACTTGAATCAATCTTTTTTTGAAGACCTTTATGATAGTGATGCCGCTGGATAAAGCGTGTAGTCCATCGCGTTCCAACTTGCCTAGGCGGGGCAGTTGACGATGCCCTCTCTTTTAGGATGTAATTTGCAGCATCTGTAATGAATTCAGGTCGTACAGCGAAGTTGGCCTTATCAAGGCGATCGATATAGTTACATAAAGCAACTTCCTCTTCTCGTGAAAGCATTGTATTTCTTGCTGGATGGCCTTTCCTAGCAGGAACGCCGTTAGCACGTCGTTGAAGCCGGCTACGAGGCACGTTGAATTTCTTCGCCACAGAGCGAATTTTTGCACCTGGATTTTCCTCAATATACTCAAGAGCCTCGTTGACACGTAATTCGACATCGCTTTTTGCCGTTTGGACGCTAGTTGCAGCCATTTTCGCGGTTCAACGCGTCTAGGTTGAAAATTGGTCCGCCTTGGTGTCCGGCCCGCCTTGCTGTCGAGCACCACCTTTGGTGGTGAGGGCTTTTGCTAGCCGAACCACATAAAGTGGGGCGGGCACGATTAGAGTAAATCGCCGACCGCCCATCGGTCTTTCCAAGCTGCGTTGATGGCCTGATGAGCCTTGCTCGTAGCTCAACGACGTTGTCCGGGTTTGGATTTGGCTCGAGCAATTGGGAAAGAGCGAGCACCAAAATGTGCCGCACAGCGCACAGATGCAGCAGAGCAGATACACCTGGTTGCACCCACGCCCACATGTCAAATTGTGTACGGAGCTCCGTGTTTTTATCATTATTGTTATTCTCATTATTGTCTGGCCTGGTACACTGCTACCTACCGATCTCATCACGTATTGTTCTCTTGTTCATGGCGTGGACTCAATTTGCCGTCAGTTGCTCGAGTTACACATTGGCCAGCCACACGGACATTCGCACCTCTCCCATAGACTTCCACCGGCTCCTGCGCGGCACCAAAGAAATCTACGTGCACCGAGTCTGTACACAGGCCTTTTCATGAGCCGGTGAGCCAGCCGAAGCAGCCATCTTGCCCGCCCGCATCATGGTAATACGTACTCCATACAATAATAAATAGGGAAAAAAGGGACGGGCGGGAGCAGCCCCTTCTCCGTGACACCTGCGTCACGACACATCCCCCGGTCACACTGTGGATCAGCACAGCGTGGTCACGATTCCAGGTTTACGGCAAGGCAAGGGCTCGAGAACAACCTGGAAGACCTGGACATGCCGCACGTACGGAGTACACGACCAAGACAAGGACGGACCACAAGTTACAACCACTCGCAATTTTGGGGGGGGCAGGCAAGATGATGCTGTGAAGCAGTGATGCACAATGTCTAGTTGGGACTCCGCCGCCACAAATTTGCTTCTTGCTTCTGCCAAACCTTCCCCACTCACCAATGCCATAATCTTGAAGCAACTTTTTCTGAGAGGGCACCGAGGCCAAGTACTCCGTATTGCTACCAGGAAACCACTCCGTACACAGGAGACGATTGAGCCGTCGTCAGAACTAGTAGTAAATCCCGCCCTTTCGTTCGTCCATCATCCAAACGCCTCCTCTTTTATCACCAATCACTCAGCCTTCAACACCTTGAGCATCTTCAACAGCTTCGACACATGTGGGTCGTTAAGCTGGTGGATATTCCTAATTCTTTTAGTGCGCTTACTCCCGACTCCCTAGCTCTTCGGGAGCCTGACATTTAGACCCAACGGCGTGGACATGGCTGTCGACCCTTCAATTCCTGAAATGGATGGCAGCTCCTTTTCAGCGTTTCAAAGTCGGACAGCTTCCATGTCTTCCGCATCATCGCCTGGCTCTCAGGCACAAAGCACGACCCCCGCTGCTCCTGGTGGCGCAGACGCTGACAAGAGCACAACTTCCGACGCAAGCAATGATGGACGCTCACGAGAATCGACTGTGCCCGCAGCTTGTCTGGCATGCGTAAGTTGTCATTGCCCCTCATTTCTCGTGTTGCACTGCTCTCCTTGCCTGAACTAGATGCAATTCTTTTCTCACTGCGCATGCTTCTCATCTCAACAGGAGTGCGCCACTGGCACACTCCTGCAAACCCCGGGTTCTCACCACCTATGCTAATTGTTCCTTTGTTATTAGCGCAGCAAACATCTCAAATGCGATGGGCAAACACCTTGTGCCCGCTGTGTCCATACGCAGAATGAATGCGTCTATGTTGCTTCCCGGAGGGGTTACAAAGGTCCTCGTCGTGGCACAGCTCAAAACCCCAACAAGCGACAGGCCACCTCGCCCCCTGACTTAAGCTTAAGCCCTACCAGTCCAGATTGTCCGATGCTTCTTGGAGCACGAACTGGGTCGACCAATATGCCCACGGTCATGGGCAGCGCCTTTGGACCGCCAAGCATGCCTCTGCAAGATGCCCAGGTCACCCAATTCACCCAGCCGGAGCAGCCTACATCCATGGAGCTGTACAAGTCTTATTGTACAGCCACTGGAATTGAACCTCCACTGTGGGCAGTCAACCAGAACGGAAGTCGAATTGCCGCGCACGTGTCTGTTGCTGCGGTAGAGGAACGATGCTTGGATGCGTTCTACCATCACTTCCATGCCTCTCATCCGTTCGTCCTGCCCAAGGCCTTCCTTTTGCACATGTCGAAGGAGGCCGCTGTGAAGCCGGTATTAGCAGCAGTGAGATGGGTTGGCTCAATTTTTCTCGATGTCGGCAGCCTTGTTCGAGAACGGCTATTCAATGAAGTATTTAGCCTAATATATGCCGCGAATCGGTCCAAAGACGGATTCCTGGTTCAAGCCATGATGCTCCTTGTTGTCGTTCTTGACGGAAGCTGCCAGCAGGACAAAGCAAGGGGTATATTGAGCGATGTGGAAGCCCTTGCGCTGGAGTTGGGGCTGAACAATCGAGAATTTGCGGTAAACCATGGTCAGGGAATTCCCACGCTGGAAGAAAGCTGGCGGCGCACTTGGTGGGATTTGTTTGTTATTGACGGAATGATTGCTGGCGTCCACCGCGTGACGAGTTTTCTTTTGTTTGATGTCCCGGCTAGGGCCGCGTTGCCTTGCGAAGAAGATGAATATTTGTCCTCTGTGAGTGTGCTACTTGGTTTTCTATCTTTGTTCCTATCATTCCCTAAAAGCATGTCCTGGGCTAATCGGAAACCATAGCGAATTCCCATCCCGCTCTATTTGGAAGACCTTGAGGATCAAGACTTTTCTGGGGAAGACCGCGAATTCTCCTCCTTTGCATACCGAGTACTGTGTGCTCGGAATTTAGGAAAATTGATGCGATCACCTGCCTTTTTTGGGCCGGAAGACGAAAATCTGGGTAAGATCGAAACGCTTCTCACAAACTGGCGGCTTCATCTCCCACCGTCGAAGCGAGATGCTTTGCAAAAGAATGGAAAGCTGGACGAGATGATGTTTCAGGCACACATGATGAACCAGGCCACTTCCATCATGCTTCACCAACCGCACTCCCAACTCGACTCCTCGCCGACTCAAGACATCAACTCTTGCGCTCCTCACCAGTCCATCCCCGGGGGCGACCTGTTCAATTCGCATACTCGACATACAATCGAATCTGCCAACACGATCAGTACCATGATCACGCACCGCGTGCCGCTCCTTTCGCATACGCATTTTTTCACGTGCGTTATCACGCTATCGTCAATTGTCCATTTGAGCAGGTGGGCCTTGTTCTTCATACCCCACGACGACGACGATCTTCGACAGCAAATTCGTCTGAATATTGGGGCGTTGAACCACCTTTCTGAGATTTGGAGTGCTGCTGATCGTGCCCGTGGACAGGTCAAGGCGGTGGCGCAGGAAATTTACAAGGTGAAGAAGCAACAACGGTCCAATTCGCAGTTCTGGCTGGGGCTTTCTCAGGAGGACATGCTCAACACGATTGCCACGGACGATTCCATCATTAACGAGATTGAGAATTTCGAACCAATGCCTAGTCTGCTAGGGTGAGAGCATACGAGGATGGTGTGCTGCCGAGCTCGCAGTGTCGCAGAGCGGCGCATATGCGACGCAAGATGGCGTATTACGAGACGCAGGCTCTTGTTTCATTCATATTACAATCTAGTTGCTTTGGTGGCGTTTTCGGATGGCCTCTTGTTCAGGTGAAAATTTTGTGTAACCAGATTTGAGATGTATATATTTATACTCAAGAGAATGTGGTTAAGGGCTAGTGTACGAATAGAGATGAAGGGTAAGAAAGTAGGCACTTTAATACGAATTTCGGCGGCATTGATGGACCAATCTGGGTTGCGATGGAACTCGAGGTGCTCGCGTGCTCATCTTCTAAGACCAGGTCTGCTGGGATCCTGCAGCCCTGCAGCCCTGCAGCCCTACATGGCTACATGCCGTCGCGTACTGTATGTGTGAGGAGGAGGAGGAGGAGGAGGAGGAGGAGGAGGCGTGGTAGTTACTCCGTAGGATGGTGGATGTGCAGATGCGTAGAATGGCTGCGAGGGAGGCGCGGCGTGCAATGTCACATTGCTGCGTAACTTTGACCGGGTGGCAGCGGAAGGACGGCATCGACGAATGCTTGTGGGCGGGCGATGAGGTCGGGTTGCGTGGCGGTTTCACAAAGCGTTGGCATTTCCACGTGGACGAGGCGACGAGGGCTGGCCTCGGGGGGGCCATCGGGGTCGCCGTGTCGGCGACCATGAATGGACTTGGCCGGCGATGTTGGATTCGAGCGAGGGTGGGTGAGAAGGGATGGGGATGATGGGCCCGGGAATACTACTCGTGCTGCGCGTGTGGAGTGAGTATAAATGAAGAAGTAAAGGATGGGATGGGATGGAATGGAATGGTGTTTGTCGTTGGTCGGCGACCAAAGGTAGCAAACATGACGGCGAAAAAAAGCACAGGCACGTGCGCGCAGCCAATGGGGACAGGACAGTCTTGCCCCGCCGGTTTTCCCGGCGTGTCACAAAGTTTGCTTCTTATTTTTTGATTTTACTTTCTGGCGCCAAGCCGTGGCACCGACGTTGGATCTGATGGCCGGGCCGAATCTGCACCAGCGTCGACGCATCGTACATGCCAATGCACAATGCTCGGTAGCGCGGGTGGCCATGGGCAGACGGCGATCAAAACTCCGACAGTAGCCGGAGCCACGGCGAGATGGTGATGGTTGATGAGTCCCTCCTGAGCTGCGGGCTGCGGGCTGTGAGTGTGAGGGAGCGACTGACTGCGTGCGTGGGCGAGCAGGCGGCGGCATCAGCACGCAGTCTATCAAAGATGGATCGAGGGATGGGGACGCGCCAGATGCCAGATGCAACGCGGCGCGGATCGCGGATCGTGGATCAACGACGATCTACTAGCACTGATGATACTCCGCAACTGTCCAGGATATCGATCCGTACGCACGGCACGCATGTATGTATGTGCGTCGTCTCCCCGGGATATTTACCACGGTGCCCGAGCAGTCAGCGTCTCACCCGAGCCGACGCCGCATGTACCGAGTACGTAGCTCATCGTGGCCGAGTCGATATTGCGCTGCATATATTGATCACGGGTCTGCACGGATCCCCGCGGCCAGCATGCATCCCGCCGACCAGCTGCCCTGTCCTTCAGTCTTTCTTCGCTTCCGGATTCCGGATTCCGGGTCAAATAAGAGCTGTGTGTCGGTTCCTTGCACGCAGAGTCTCTCTCCTTCTACCCTTGCCTGAGCGTGTGTCTGTCTTTTCTGCTTGTTTGTTTGTTTGTCTGCCTGCCGTCTGTCCTTCGAGGCGAAGCCTGGATTTTGCTAGTGTTGTCTTGGAAAAGCGACAGTTACGAAGCACGTTGGAAGCCAGAGACACGAACAAGTAAACGGGCTCAGAAAAAAAGGAAAGGGAAAGAAGAAGGAAAATCAATCATGGGCTCCGTCGACAAGAGCCAGTCTTCCCAGGCCGCAAGCAAGACGGAGGACCCGGAGCAGCAGTTCGCTGCCGACGGGCACTTGGACAATTCGACGGTCAAGAACATCACCTGGAGCGGCGTGACGGTCACGGTCAAGGACAGGGAGACAAAGGTGGCCAAGAGGATTGTGGACGATGCGGCGGGTGCGGTGCAGGCGGGTGAGTTTTTGCTTCCTCTGCCTGTCTTGTCTGTCTTGCTCGAGACGATCAACACCACCATCAACACCACCAGACACGCACGCACACACACACACACACACACACACACACACACGCGCGCTAACCGCCTCGCACAGGTGAAATCTGCGCCCTCATGGGCCCTTCGGGCTGCGGCAAGACGACGCTGCTCAACGTCCTCGCGCGCCGGCCCACCAACGCGAGCGACGTACAAGCCGAGGTGCTCATCAACGGGAGCCAAGTGCCGCAGTCCGCCTTTCGCCAACTGACGTGCTTCGTCGAGCAAGAGGACGCCCTCACCGGCTCGCTGACGGTGCGGGAGACGCTCGACTTCGCCTCTCGCCTGGCCAGCACGCTGCCCCGGCAGCAACGCCTCGCCCGCATCGACTCCCTCCTCTCCTCCCTGGGCCTCGCGGCGCAGGCCTCCACCATCGTCGGCACGCCCATCCGCAAGGGCATCTCCGGCGGCCAGAAGCGCCGCGTCGGCGTCGCGAGCCAGCTCATCACCAGCCCGCGCATCCTGTTCCTCGACGAGCCCACCTCGGGCCTCGACTCGGCCGCCTCGTGGGAAGTCGTCAACTACCTGCGCGCCGTCGCCCGTCGCCACGCCCTCATCGTCGTCTGCTCCATCCACCAGCCCTCCACCGCCACCTTCAACCTCTTTGACAAGCTGATGCTCCTGTCGGCCGGCAAGACGCACTTCTTCGGGCCCGTCGCCGCCGTCGTGCCGCACCTGCGCGGCCTGGGCGTCCACGTCCCCAGCTACACCAACCCAGCCGAGTTCCTCCTCGAGCTCGTCAACCTCGACTTCTCTCGCCACGACGACGACAACGCCGCCGCCGCCGCCGCCTCGGCCCGCCTCGACGCCCTGCACGCAAAGTGGCTCGAGTCGCCGCAGTCCCGCGAGACCAGCGCCCTCGTCGCCGACCTCTCCTCGACGGCCCACCCGCCGCTCAACCTGTCCGAGACGCAAAGGCCGTCGATGCCGTCCCTCATCCTCACCCTCCTGCACCGCTCGCTCGTCAAGTCGTACCGCGACGTCGTGGCCTACGGCATCCGCATCGCCATGTACACGGGGCTCGCCGTCATGATGGGCACGGTCTGGGTGCGCCTCCCGCCCAGCCAGGAGTCCATCCAGCCCCTGATCAACGCCCTCTTCTTCGGCTCCGCCTTCATGTCCTTCATGGCCGTCGCCTACGTGCCCGCCTTCCTCGAGGACCGCCTCCAGTACGCCAAGGACCGGCACAACGGGCTCTACGGCCCCCTCGAGTTCATCCTGTCCAACTTCCTCGTCGGCCTCCCCTACCTGTTCCTCATCTCCGTCCTCTTCTCCGCCATCTCGTACTGGCTGTCCAACTTCCGGCCTTCCGCCACCGCCTTCCTCACCTGGGTCATGTGGCTCTTCCTCGACCTCGTCGCCGCCGAGTCGCTCGTCGTCTTCATGTCCTCCCTCGTCCCCAGCTTCGTCGTGTCCCTCGCCCTCGTCGCCTTCGCCAACGGCCTCTGGATGTCCGTCGGCGGCTTCATGGTCCCGCCCACCATCCTCAACGCCTTCTACAAGTACGTCTTCCACTACTGGGACTACCAGAAGTACGTCTTCGAGGGCATGATGGTCAACGAGTTCGGCGCCCGCGTCTACGCCTGCGGCCCCTCCTGTCGGTGCGCCTACGCCTCGCCGCTGGCCCATCGCTGCGAGATTGCCGGCCAGGCTGTCCTCGACCAGTACGGCTACGCCGCCGGCAACACGGGCCGCAACGTCGCCATCATCATCTCCATCATTGCCGGCTACAGGATTGCCGCCTGGCTCGTCTTGAAGCTGCGCAACTAGCGGGCGGTTGGTCCGATTCCCCTCTACGCCCGCCCGGGGGTGTGGTCGGGAGGGGGTGGATAGACGACGGGGTGGGGCGAGAGGGGCGTGTTCAAACAGGGCACAACCGTGCGTGCATGCACTACTTCACAGGTCCGAGGTCGAATATCAGAGTCTATTTCAATCCATCGTCAACCCACGTCGGCTCACCACGTGGACAAGCACCCGCTGTCGCTTGCCGTATCGTGCAAGGCGGAAACATGGGGGAGGTTGATGGATTTTGTATATACAAGAAAAGTATGGCAGGTGTCTGCCTATTGCGCGCTGCGCTCCCACTTGCGGTGACTTATCACTCCATGAATGGGAAAATCCGCTATGCCATGCGTGTGCGTGACGTGACTTTCCGGCAGTCAAAGGCTTTGTTACCACGGCTTGTGAATGCTCACCTGACCTGACTGTTCAACGATGCAGGGGCAGGAAAGCAACTTGTACTGCTAGTAGCACTTCTTGCCGTGGCCTGGCAGGCGCTTGGATCCTTCCATGTTTATCGAGAGCTTCACGGTATTTCGGTGATGATATTAATTTTAACACTTCTCGTGGCGCACACACGCACCACGCGCTCGACTTCCCCATTGCCAACGACTCCGTCGACCCCCGTGTCGTGTCGTTTCCCCCGCCCTTACACAACAACAGCCCTGGACCAGTTGCGAGCCCTAACCTTCCTCTCAAACAGGACATCGACCTCGGCTGGGGTGCGATCCTTCGTCTCGGGCAGGCGGAAGAAAGCCCAAATCAGGCAGGCCGTGGCTGAGCCCGCCCAAACCAGAGCTGCCCTGGTCCCGAGGCCCCATCCAACCGGCGCACCCTCCAAAAGGTTCGGGACCAGGTACAAATTCGTCATGGCAAAGATTAAGTAAATGAAACGGGAAAGCGAGTTGGTGGCAGCCTTGAGTCTAGTAGCCGGCATCTCGGCCACAATCGTGTAGCAAAGTGGTCCAATTGTAAAGTTGTAGATGGCGGCATAGAGAATCAGGAAAGCAGCAATGGCCCAAGGAACCCCCGTCTTTTTCCCATCGTCCTCGCCAAGGAAAAAAGAGAGGGTTCCAATGATACTCAGGCAGGTGATTTCACCAGCCAATCCACCGAGCCACAGATTTCGGCGTCCCCAAAACCGCATCGCCCCCATGGACGCCACGGTCGACACGATGCAAAGGGCGTACATGCCAATGGTGAGACGTAGAGAAGAGGCTTGAGATAGACCACCCTTCTGGAGGACCTTGACGGAGTAGAACATGAGCGGCGTGCCAACCCATTGTTGTGTGACATAACTGATGACAGCAATCTCTGTTCGTCGCAAATTGATGCCGCGGAAACATTCCGTCAGCCCCATATCTGTCGATGTCTTCTCCTCATGGCGATTGATGGCGCTGATCATAGCAAGCGCCCCATCCGCGTCGAACACGGGATCCTTGTTGAGCCGCCGGAGAGTTGCCCTGGCCTGCCCATCCTGCCCATTCCGACTCAGGTAGAAAGGGCTATCGGGAGCCATCAAGACAAGGGCTACAAGAGGAACAAGCCAAGCATATTGAATAATCATTGGGGTTTTGATGCTCCACTCTCGGCTGCTCATGGCGCTCGCGCCGCTCACGACACCTGCTGAAGCCATCTGGCCAACAAGCCAGAAGACGTTGATCATGGTCGTGGCGGGCCCCTTCAGCTTGAGCGGCGTGATATCTGAAACGTAGGGGAGGGTGATGCCTTGGAACATGCCCCAAGGTACCCCCAGGAGCATCTCGCCAATCAGAAATACAGCCAAAGCACGATCTGTGTCCATGGACCAAAAGCCAATCATGAGGCAGAGCGCGGCGCTGATGAATCCGGCAACGCTGCAGATGCGGTATCCCATGCGGTTGACGATGTGCGGTGCCATATAAAGACCAGCAAGTTGACCACTAGAGGCCGCCATGGTGATTCCAGATTGCCAACCAGTCGGGATGTAACAGTCACCCGTTTCATCGTTCCTCAGGCCATACTTGCACTGAAATGCCCGGTAGGAAAAGAAGGTGGGCACCATTGCCGTTTCGTAGGCTTCCATGATGATGGGCGCTGCCATGACTGCAGCCCAGGCCATGGCAATGCTGTAGTATTTCAAGGCGTACTTGGTGGACATGGTCTGCTCATGATCGTTGGCAGCCTTGGCGGCAATGTTCCCCCGGAAGATGTCATTGTCGGGCTCGACCACAAACTGAGCGACTTTCATTGTCTTGTTATTGTCATTGCCAGTGCAGTCTTGGTCTTCCGACGACAATGCAGTCGAAGAATCCGCCTCGCGAGAGCTCTCGGATGAATGGGGAGTCATGCTGATGATGATCAAAACGTATACTCGGTGACGAAAGAGATGCCGAAATTCACAGTAATAAAGGCCAAGGATTATCCCAACAAGCAAAGGGCGTATTTGAACCTGGGCACCCTGCAGGATCCAGACAACAGCAACAAACAAAACGCGAGGGTTATCTTGAGGAGGGACTCGGGCATTTGTGTCTTGTAGCTTCCTCTCCCACGATTGCGGGGACGGACTGCAGGAGTGACCGCACTTCAGAGTCGATCAAAATCTTCTGTCTCTGCCGTGATTAGCCGCTCGAAATGTACGACCGGACAAGTAGTCGCCTTCAAGCATGTACTTGGGGCATGTTCTGTCCGTTCTGCCGGTGCATATCACGTCGTTTAATGGTAGGGCATTTTCAAGAGCCCATATATATCCCGGTTGACGAGATCATCCTGCGGCCACTTGCGAGGAATAAAGGATAGAGCATGGATTCATTTAAGAGATTCCACGCACCGTGGCAAACCCGGACGACGATTTGGTCACCATGGCTTCTGCATCATCCACAGGCAGAGTTTCGCCTGAATTTCCCGTAGTGCCGTGAAAAGAGCCGTGTGGACCAGACCCATGGCTGGGATTCGCGCTTCCTTCGAGGCCTCGTACCTGTGATAACGACGCCGTCAAACACTTATACGCCTTCACCCTTGCGCTTGCAAGTGCGATGCCCTTTCCCAAACACGCACATACCGCGTCCAGCCGGTCTACAACCTGCCGTCGCGACCCGTCTCAAGTTCGGTCCATGGCCCTGTTGCTCTAGATGCAGAGACGCTCCAAGTAGGACTTCAGATACCACGCCAAACGTCAGAATACATGGGGAATGTCAGCGCAGCCGATATTGACGGCACGCGTAAGGGACTGATTGAAGTCCATTCACTCTCACTCACACCAACCCTCACTCTAGAAAACGTTCGGTGACGCCTCTCGCCTTGTTGTACCTCCCGCATGACCGCCCCTTGTCACATCCAAGTTAGCTCCCGAGATGTTGCAGACCGACATATCCTACGGGACGGTCCGGAAGTAGGTCCGTCCCATCTTGGCCGAGTAGGCGATAAATATACGTCGGTGAACGATGGTTGTGGGTGAGTCGGGAAGTCATGGTAAAGAATGATGGCTCAAGTCCGAGAAATTTGCATATATGGAGCGAATTCCCAAAGGGTAGTCAATCTGCCGAACTGCCTTTGAGGCAATTGCGAGTAGCAGACATCAAAGCCGGTGATTCACGACGACGGCGTGGAGCCAGTGAAGATGCCTCAAGCTCTCTGACTTGGTGCACATTAGACGTTCACCTTCGCCAAGCTTGCTCTGAATGATCCAGGCATCGACTCCATGGCGTGTGTTACGCGTGTATATATGTCGAGTACTGTTTGCCTCCCCCCACCCTTCAATCTATTCACCGGCAATCGTTGGACAGTCTTGAAATGCCTGGTTTGAGTGTTTGCCTCGTCCGAGCCCGATGGTGGCATCCGGGTCGGATTCCAAGGTGATCAGTGCAGAAAAGACAATAGCACAATATTTAGCTGGCATATCGAGCCCAGCACAATGTGACTTTGGTGAGCATCAGTTTTTTGACATCCATCATCTTTGGCACTGAAGTCCTCTCTTTGTCTCGCTGTCCCTGTCCCTGTCCCTCTCCCCTTTTCTCTCTCTCTCTCTCATACACGTACGCACTTTGAAAGCACTGTCAATGGCCCAGAAGTCGGGGAAAAGTGCCAGACTGCTGGCCGACAAAATGGAAGCTTTAGCAGGGCAGCTTTTGTCTTCTGCTGATGCTCTCCGCGCTAATCCCACGACTAAGCAAGACCATGTCGAAATTATTCAGTCAGCATATTCATTGCTCGTTGAACTCAAAGAGCCCATGGACAACGTCATGGATCAAATGATCAGTCTTTCCAAGTTTGTCGCCATGAGGCTGTTCATCAAGTGGAGGTTGTTCGACAAGATTCCTGCCAACGGAGCGATTTCGTACGAGAAGCTGGCAGGCTGCGTTCAGGCTGAACCAGGATTGATTGGTGCGTCACCAATTTGCTGCACAGGGCAAATTATCGTGTCTAGCATTTGCTGATATGGTCTTGGCAGCTCGATTCGGATCGGCATTGGTAGCAAATGGTGTTCTGCGAGAAGTGGAAAAAGGCGCAGTTGCGCACACTGTGCAGAGCGAGGCGTTGCTTTCTGGAAATCCAATCAATGCCCTAATTTGCCTTAGGTGAGACATCTTCAAGCTCGCTCTCCAGAGAAACCCTGCTTCTTCCATGGGGCTACCGTGTGTTGATTGACTCCGCAATCTAGCTTCGATGCCCATCTCAGGACCGTGGCAAGGCTCCCAGACTATTTTGGAAAGTTCGGCCTTGGCCAGCCTTTGGGTAGAGAAAATACTCCAATTACCTTCACGGTCGGAAATGCCTCCCTCACCATTTGGGAGCACATGAACCGCAGCCCGGAAATGAAGAAGACCTTTATGCTGGCTATGCAGGCCATGTCCACCGGACACGGCATTATTGGGGACTATAGCTTCAAATGGGTTGTCGACAAGATTGACGAGTCACAAGATCGACCTCTTGTTGTGGATGTCGGCGGTGGCAAAGGCCATGCGCTGGAAGCAATTGTCGCGGCCACAGGTCTGCCCATGGAGAGATGTGTGCTCGAAGACTTGGAGCCCGTACTCGAGCTGGTCAGGTCGCAGGCTGAGGGCCCCATCAAGAATGCGCAGCTTATTGGGCTGGATTTCCATACCGAGCAGCCCGTCAAAGGAGCCGTGGTGTATTACATCAGACGATGCCTGCATGACTACGGCGATGCAGACTGCATCAAGATCCTGAAGCAAATTTCGGCTGCCATGGCGCCTGACAGTCGCATCCTGATCGTGGAGAGCGTTTTGGGAGATCAGCCATCTCCCGTGTCCGTTGCCAACGATATTTTGATGATGATGCTTGGTGGGAAAGAGAGGACGCTGGAGGAATTCGAAAGCATCATGGTCGAGGCGGATCTGGTGATTGAGAAGTTGTGGTGGTCTAAGGGAACAGATTATGCAATTATAGAGGGAAGGAAGGCAGCGGGATCAAGTACGGAATAATTAGAAGACCGAGCGAGGTCGCTTACGGCCCCCCACGCCCCACTCACGCCCCCATTGTCGGGTGGTTGCGGCGTTGAATGTGGGGGGAACTCGCCGGGCGCCATTCCTCATTGCCAAATTCCCTGTTGCGTGCAGCTCTGTGTCCCTTCTCTCCTGCAAACGTCAGCTGGTCTCCTTCTCAGCGTCATTGCAGTCCCTACAGAATTAGTTTACCATGTTCAACCTTGGTGCCTTTGCCTCTCTCGTCTATTTGACGCAAGTGGCTTTTCCGGGGGGCATTGCGCAAACCAATGGTTCCGAGCTTTTGGACATTGTTCCAAAGCGCGAGATTTTCTACGTCGGCGGACGCTACACCAACATCACGGCGAGTCTCGAGTCCCGTTAGCTTTACGCTCATCTAAGACTGGCAAACAGGGCCATGGAACCAATTCTTCGTCAGCGGCCATGGTAGGGCAAATTTACGTCGAGAAGCTTTCCCCCAATCCAGCCCCGGACAGCCCACCACTTCCCATCATCTTCATCGCCGGCGCGGCTCAGACTGGCACCAACTTCCTCAATACCCCAGATGGACGGCCAGGATGGGCATCCTATTTTATCTCCAAAGGTCACACAGTCTACCTCTCAGACCAGCCTGCACGTGGTCGCTCCCCGTGGCTCCCGGGACAGGGAAATATCGGCTACATTGGCTCCCCCAACTCGGTCTCTGACATATTCACCGACGCGGCAAACAACGGCAACCAATGGCCGCAGGCGAGGCTTCACACGCAATGGCCCGGCACTGGTCGTATCGGCGACTTAACCTTCGACACTTTCTACAGGAGCCAGGTGCAGTTCCAGACTGACCGCTTCCTGAGCGAAGAACAAAATGCCCAGGCATATTCGGCTCTAGTAGACCGCGTAGGCAACTGCTATGTCTTCAGTCACTCGCAGGCGGGTGCATACGGTATCTTTAGTCAAGAAAAAAAATAAGTGAGCTCGCTGAAGTGGTTAATGATTGAGTAGGTTGGAGGGTCGGAGACATGCGCCCACATCTTGTCAAGGGTATTGTCCAGCTCGAGCCGTCTGGACCACCCTTCATACTCCGCCCGCCGATAGGACATGGTCCAGCTTTCGCTTTCGGTCTAACAGACCTCGCCATCGAATACGAGCCGTCCGCAAGGAACAATGCTGAACACATTGAGACAACGATCGAGCCGGCAATCGACGCCGATCACGACGAGTGCATCATGCAGAAGTCGCCAGCGAAGCAGTTGACTAATCTGGCCAAAATCCCAGAACTGGTCGTCACTGGCGAGGCATCATTCCATGCGCCATACGACTACTGCACCGTGAAATACCTGGAGCAGGCTGGTGTAGACGTAGAATACGCGGATCTGGGCAAGGAGGGCATCCATGGCAACGGACACATGTTCTTCATGGAGAAGAACAACCTTGAGATTGCAGGCCGGGTGTACGAATGGCTGAAAAGGCACTAATAATAAACGCACGACAAAAAGCCAGCGGCGTCACTGTATAGCTCCGTGGCGTCTGCACTTTGAGTCGAGGTCACTGACCGCCAACGCAGACCATCTCCAAGGATGGCGGTCGAGTGTGCCCCAAACACCTCTCGGGAGATGCCAGGTGGATGAGGAGACAACGAGCCGGGCCTTTGTAGATGAGGCCCGTTGGCCACGATGGCGGTGAATGTTCTCGTGAGTGATGCGTGTAAAGCTTTAATCAACCGATTCTCGACACGTTTGCATGTCGTAGGCGGTGGTCCCGGGTGGACATCAAGACTTGGGCAGGCAGAGACGCAACTTTGACCTCGGGTTCGGGCCTCCTCCCGCCAAAAAGCCGGTGGCGTCTGGACATTGGACGGGGGCCGAAAGCGCCAGGATGTTTCACGGCTGGCGGCTGTGGCTCTTGAATGCTGACGGGGCCGCACCTGAAGATGCGCCGGCATTCCGAGCCTCGGCAACGCCAACTTACCCCATCTCAAACCACCGTCGGCCGAGCTGGCCTCGCAAGTCACGTCAGGACTGACGCTTCTCACCCAGCCAGTCAGAGCTGGTGCTTGCGGTCCAGCTCCAACCTCATATACCCTTGATCCCCAGCCTCTTGCTGCACCTCGCCCGGCCTCTCATCGCCCTCATCGCCCTCGCCGCCCTCGCCGCCCTCGCCGCCCGAACCAGCCCGTCTCCAGCATCGCCACCGCCAAAATGCCCGTCGATCCCAAACTTGACATTGAGGAATCCATTCCCTGGAGCGAGCCCGCTTGGCTGCGCGGCGTCCACTCACCCTACTACACGTCGACGCACCGCCAACTCCAGCGTGCCATCAGAAACTATGTCGACACGCACCTCCTCCCCTCGGCCCTCGACTGGGAAGAGAAGGGCGACGTGCCGGCCGAAGAAGCAGAACGCTTCTGCAAGTCGGGCATCCCCTTTGCCGATGTCCCTGCGCCCTATCGGCCCGCAGACATCCCCAACATTGGCGGCGTCCCGCACGCCGAGCTCGACGCATTCCACTTCCTCATCATGAGCGACGAAATGTCCCGTGTAGAAGGCGGCGTGGGCATCGCCCTGGCCGGCGCGTCGTCCATCGGCGCGCCGCCCATCGTCAACTGCGGCACCGAGGAGCAGAAGCGGAAGTGGCTCCCCGGCCTGTTCACCCGCAAGACCAACTTCTCGCTGGGCATCACAGAGCCGTCGGGCGGCTCGGACGTGGCGCGCATCAAGACGACGGCCGAAAAGACGGCCGACGGCCGCTTCTACCTCGTCAACGGCGTCAAGAAGTGGATCACCGGCACGCCCTGGGCCTCGCACATGACCACCGCCGTGAGAACAGGCAGGCCCGGCATGAAGGGCGTCTCGCTGCTCGTCATCCCCATGGACTCGCCCGGCATCACGCACCAGAAGATCCGGAACTCGGGCCAGAACGCGGGCGGCGCCTCCTTTGTCTACCTGGACAACGTCAAGGTGCCCGTCGAGAACCTGGTTGGCGGCGAGAACGAGGGCTTCATGATCATCATGAAGAACTTCAACAGGGAGCGCTTCCTGCTCACGGTGGGGTGCAACCGCAAGGCGCGCTCGTGCCTGGCCATGTCCTTCCAGTACGCCATGAGGCGCGAGACGTTTGGCAGGCCCCTGATCCAGAACCAAGTCATCCGCAGGAAGCTGGCGGAGCTGGCGCACAGGATCGAGGCCCACTGGGCGTGGCTGGAGCAGCTGGCGTACCACATCAAGTGCTCGGATCTCGGCTGGGAGGACCCCCAGATTGCGAGCAGAGTCGCGCTGTTAAAGGTGCAGGGTGGCCAGCTGATCGAGTTGGCCGCGAGGGAGGCGGCCCAGATCTTTGGCGGCGCGGGCTACATGAAGGGCGGGCCCGGCGCCGCCGTCGAGCAGATCAACCGGGACTTGAGGATGTTGGTGAGTACGAGGACCCGCTGTCGAGGATGGACGGGGATGTGGTGCCTCGGGTGATGCTGACTTTATACTGGTCCAGGTTGTCGGTGGAGGAAGCGAGGAGATCATCGCCGACTTGGCCGTCAGGCTGGAGCTGGCCATGATGGGGGCATCGGGAGGGGCAAAATTATGAAAGTTGCCCATTTGCTCTCTGGACGTGTGAGGCTGGATTGGCGATTGCTACGACGTGGGAAACATGACGGCATGAGGTGTATAGCTACGTTGCAGGAAAACCTATGTGCTTGTCGTGGAGACGGGGCCGTTTTCGGCTCACACCGAGTCAGGTAAGCTCTACCTACGCCTGGTTTGGAGAGGATGACGAGGTTGAGGAGCCCATCCGTGTGGAATCACTGTCTCGCGCCATTGAACGTAATTCAAGACTTGTGTATTCTAGCTACGCCGCACCGTGTGGTGGATGGTCCACAGCAAGCCATGGTCTTTGGCGACATGTCTCGAGCTTTTTGCATCACCATCTTGACAAACAAACCCCAATGATGTGAAAGACCTGGCTGATGGAGTGTTTCGGGCGAGAAATCCTCTAAAATACAAAGAGTGGTTCACGAAATCAGGCCAATTCTGCGCTGCGCCTAGGGTAATGGATTGCCTTTTCTGGCCAGTGGGGCGTGCCGACACCCTCGCGCCCAATGCGCCGCTCCAATTGGTGCACTGGCCAGGATCCCTTCCCGTCGCCCCGCGCAACCATGAAGGCTCCAGCCGAAGCAGTTGGGCAAAAAGGCACAAGCTGTTGGCATCAATCTATTGGTAAGCTTGCATGTTTCTCTTTTCCTCCTGCATGGATGATGGCCTTGTGAATCCTCATTGTGCCCATTCGTGGATTCCAACCACACAATCATCCAGCCTTGAATTTCTCTTCATTTCTTGTTTCCGGGGCCCGTACGAAACAGGTGGTGTCTCTGACCTATATCTTGCTCTTGCCGCATACCAGACGAATCCGCCACCCCGGGCTCGGGCGTTGCCGCATTCCATCGACACCTTTTTTTTGTTTCTCGGCCCGTCGACTTTGTTGCTCGCCAAGCGCATGGCAGAAACCGGCCTGTTCGGAGAACTTGAAAAAAAAGGGCGATTTTGTCGAGTACCTGTTAGATAATTGCGGCTTGCGTTGCCGCCGCCGCCGCCGCCGCCGTTATGGCGCCTCAACGAGACCAGTTCTCTGCGCCTGGCTCGGCGAGCTATGGATCGGGCACCATGACTGTTGGAGATGGAACCTGGGAGTTTTCGAAGAATACTTTTCTGCTTCCCAATCTCCAGGGTGTCAATTTCGATACGATGCGGTACAACGGTAGGGTCCCCCGGCTGGCATCATCTTGCTCTCTCGTTGCAGTCGAGCTAACTTGTCCTCGCAGGCATGGGTAACCGGTTCGCTACGCTTCCTCAGTATCACCGAATCGTGCTGGCCCACGGCGTTATGGGAGCTCTTATTTTTCTCCTCTTGGTTCCCGTCTCGGTCATGTTAGCTAGGTTCTACTCGCGAGAGCCGGGCTATGCGGTCGTATATCATGCACAGCTCCACGTCTTCTCTGGACTCATGCTTCTCGCTGTCTTTATCTTGGGCTTCTTCGCTGTCGGCCCAGAGCGGAATTTGACAAACCCCCACCATGGAATTGGCGTCGCCATTTTCGTCTTGTTCCTTCTGCAGCTTGTGGGAGGCCGACTGGTGCGCCACATCACCAAATTCAGATCACTTCGAATTACCATGCATCAGTGGTCTGGCAGAGCAATTGCCCTTCTGGGCATTGTCCAAGTTCCCTTGGGCCTTACGCTTTATGGCTCACCAAAGTACCTATTCGTCCTCTACGCCCTCTGGATGAGCTTCCTGTTCCTGGTGTACTTCATTTTGAGTTACCGAGCACAGGGTCGCCGTGAAATATACCGTGGCGGAGCTCGGTCTGAGGCGGGTCACACCCGGGTGACTGAGTCTGAATACTTCTCGCAAGCTCCAAGACATGAACGGAGCAAATTTATGAATTGGCTCGGTCCACTTGCCGCTGGTGCGGGTGTTTGGGCCTTGTTGCGTGGGCGAAATAAGAACAAGGAGCGGGACCCTAGTCCCAGCAGATCACGTTCCTTTATCAGCAGCCGTGGCCCTGAAGTCCTTCCTTCGAGAAGAGGCTCGGAAAGTTATATCAGCGAGAAGTATGCCGAACCGCCAAGGAGGAGTAGCAGCGGATTCATGAAGATACTGGCGGCCACAGCCGGCGCTGTTGGCGCTGGCAAGCTGGTTTCTAGCATGATGAATCGGCGAAATGATAGAAGAGACGACGAGTACTCCGCTGTTTCAACCGAAACACCTCGCCAGCATAGGTCCCGTCGACGAGAAGGGACAACGCTGAGCGAGTTTAGTAGTGATTATACGGACTATCCTCGCCGACCAGATGAGACGCAGACGTCGCTATTGCCCCCCTCAGCGAATCCTCCTGGCGGAGGTGGCCCAGAGCGGCCGGTGACGCCTCAACCACTTCATTCACGAGGTCGTGCCGACTACGAAGATTCCGACTACTCGTCATACGTGAGCCCATCACGACGGGTACGGGATGACAGGCCTGGAGGTGGCTTGGCCAAAGGTCTCCTTGGAGGCTTGGGAATGGGTTGGTTTGCCAAGAGGCTTGCCGAGAGGCGAGCCAGGAAGGATGAAGACCGATTCCGAGACGAGGATGACATGAGATCCGGGGTTTCTGGCTCTCGGTTTACTGGCGATGGATACCCGTCTCCTTCTCGACGGAACTCCCGGCGGCCTCCTCCAGTCAGGCGAGGTACTGGACATCCGGGCACTTCCGCCTTATCAGAAATGACAGATCTGACGGAGTCGTCTATCGATACACGACCAGTAGGAAGCTCATACACTGCTGGCCCTACTTCAACTCATACTGGAACGGCTCCTCCAATCGCGCCAATTTCGGTTCCCGGACGTGGTGGCCATTCCAGACCACGGTCAAGGTCGCGGGCCAGAAGCGGATCTGTTTCCATGCCGCCAATGCCACCAGACCCTCAGGGCGTTTTACATTCAGAAGCCGAGTCACAGATGTCGTCTCTAGATGGCGGCCCGCAGAGACGGCCATCTGAACGGCGAAGGCGGGCGGGAGAGCGGGCTGCCGCCGCCGCAGCAGCCAGAGCAGGTGGGCTTGCTGCTTCGGAGAGAGATCGATACGGATCACCCTCTAGCCAGCCTGTTAGCGTGAGAGTCAAGATGCACGATGATAGAGATCGAAATGTTACTTTGCGACGGTTGACCGAAGAAGAACAAAGAGCCACCGGAAGGCCTCGAAGACGGGCAGATTCGGATAGCAGTGCCTCCGGCTTGGAATCACCCAGCTACGGTCGTGGATATAGACGGGATGCTGGTCAAAGAAGTGCAGAGCGATCAGCCGAACGAAGAACAGAGGCGCGGGAGGGCCAACTTGGCCCGTTACCTCCTCCCAACCCTTCCTTTGCCAAAGGGCCAGGGAGGAACAAGGACTCAGCATACTATTCTGGACAACCGCAGCCGGGGCCATCAGGATCCTCACCAATGGCCCACGAAATAATGTCTAGCCCGGGTAGCCCGGGCACGCACACCACATGGAGCCAAATGACGCCTTCACCAAGCGGCCCGGGCAGAGGCAGCGACTCGGTGGCTGCAGAAGACAGAAGACGCCGACGTAGACTAGAACGACGAGGAGCTGGCAGTGTGCGACCATCTGAGCTGGATATGTTTGACTAAATATGGAGTGGACTCATTTCCTGTGATGAGAAACCACAAGCTCTGTCTCGGGGACAATGGTGCATCGGTTGGTTCGACAGGGTTTCACACTTTTGGACGCAGCGTTGTTAGGTTTGTTGTCACGGGGCGCAATATGTAGTTGTATTTGGTTGTTATTTGGGCTTGTCTTTTAGGCTGTAACGCCAACTGCCTATATTCTTGCATTTAGCAAGCTCTGCAGAGTATATATTTGTTAGGCTTGGACGAGTTGGCCGCGGCGACGGTGTTGTACGGAGCCTCTGCGTGAGGTAAATATCAACGGGTATGATGGGACCCGATGCGGAAGGGCAAGAGATTTGGCATCGTACAAATGAAGGAGACGTGATGGAATCAAACCGTGGCGATGAATACAAGTCATCCTTCTCGAGACCAGATCGACGCGACATTTGACCATGAAGGTGCAACAAACCAGACGCTGTCTGTGGTGAGTTTACCTCTCCCCACTCCCCACTCCCCCACCAGACGAATCCAAAGATCTGGTCCTCGACTCCTCGCCAACTTCTCTTTTCCCTTCCGTACTTCCCCTAGAGCCCCGGGGCCGCCAATGGCTACGGGAATGGCGCGAGGAAGCCAATAGTCCAAGATGCCGCAACGGAGCTCCAAGGCCAGGTCAACGGCCACGCCGCAGTCGCCTGCACCGTCACCATCAGCGCCGCAACCGCCCCAGCCCCAGACCGAGTACGAAGCGATCGCGGAACAATGGGCCAGAGCGAAACGGATACAAGAAGCCAACGATGCCGAGGCCGAGGCCCTTGGCCAGCCGAGCCGGCGAGAAGCTGCGCGAGCCCTTCAACGACGGCGGGAGCTGCTCAATGAGCTGCGGCAAAAGTCGTACGAGAAACGGTGGTGGTGGACCGTTGCCTTTTGGATGTGGCTGCTGATGGTCCATGCCGTTGGCATTTGGCTGTTCACGAGTGGCTTTTTGTTGACTCGGCTGGTGCTGGAGGACAAGTCCAGTTGCACAATACCGCCCATCGAGAGCAAACTCGCTCCCTTGGATATCGGCCAGGGTTGTTGGCATCCAAAGACGTTTGATCGCGCCGTAGTGGTCGTCATTGACGCTTTGCGCTACGACTTTACAGTTCCAGAGGATCCCGCCAAGCAGCAGGAATTTCACAATGCGTTCCCGTTCCTGTACGAGACGGCCGTCAAGTCACCTCGCAATGCCTTCCTGCGACCATTCATTGCCGATCCCCCGACGACGACGCTGCAGCGACTGAAGGGGCTGACGACCGGCACCCTACCTACATTCATCGACGCAGGTAGCAATTTTGCGGGATCAGCCATTGACGAGGACAATATTCTTATGCAGCTCAAAAATGCTGGAAAGAAGATTGCGCATTTGGGAGACGACACTTGGTGGGATCTGTTTCCAGGGTACTTTGAACCGAACATCAGCAAAGCCTACCCCAGCTTCAACGTCCCGGATCTTCACACCGTTGACAATGGAGTCATTGGCAACATTTTCCCCTTGATGGAGCCTGACAAAAAGGGTCACTGGGACTTCCTCATCGGGCACTGCCTGGGTGTTGACCACGCCGGTCATCGCTTCGGTCCAAACCACAAGCAAATGAACGACAAGTTGAGGCAGATGGATAGTTTTATCCGTGACCTTGCTGCTCTCATCGACCACGACACCTTGTTGGTGGTCATGGGCGACCATGGGATGGATGCGAAAGGTGACCACGGCGGCGAGAGCGACGATGAAGTCGAGGCCGCGTTGTGGATGTACTCAAAAGCACCCATCTTTGGGCGAACCCTACCGGAACATGCAACACCTCCTGCCACGGCCAAGATTAGACCGGTCAACCAAATTGATTTGGTGCCGACGCTCTCCCTTCTGCTGGGGATCCCCATTCCTTACAATAATCTGGGCCGCCCTATTGAAGAAGCCTTTGCTGGACCCAAGGGCAATGACTGGGTCAATCTCGCAGCCGTGTCTCGCATGGCATCTGCTGGGATCGAGAGATACCAAAAATCGTATTTCTCGGCTCGTGGAATTTCGCTCAACACGGAGGCCGACTCCCCTGCTGCCCTCTGGACAGCAGCCACTTCGATGCCTGCCGACTCACACCGAGATACTTACAACGCCTTCACCAGGTTCCAGGGCGAGACGCTCAGCGTATGCAAGGACCTGTGGGCTCGATTTGACGTTCCTCGCATGATATCCGGCGTCACCGTCGCGGCAATCGGCGTTGTGCTTCTTGTTCTCTATGCCTCGAGAACGGAGGAAGACGAATTCGTCGTCATGAACGACGTCGAACTAGACTTGGCCGAGGGGAAACTGGAAGCAATGGACGTCAAAGGAGAAGCCGAACCTCATGTTGACCAATTCTATCATAAGAATATGCTTTGCGGCTTGTGGGATACCCGGTTTCTGTTTATTGTCGGCACCCTGATCGCCGCTAGTGTCTACAGACAACAGGCTGTAGACCGCTCAGCCACTCTCGTTATGATTCTCATGACGGCCGCAGTTGGCTCCTCGCTCCACGAGAGCGGAAAGACCATCATGAACCTGCTTCCCAAGACGTTGTGGGGCTGGCTCTCTGTGGTATTTACTCTCAGCCACTCCGTTGGTTTCGCATCCAACTCGTATACCATCTGGGAGGATCAGATCCTTCTCTTCTTTGTCGCCACTTTTGGTCTCACATCGGCGGTTTGCGCGTTCCGCGTCGAGTCCAAAGTAGACCGCACCATGGCTATCTACCACTCGGCTGTATTTATCCTCCTCGGTCGGCTTGCGTCCTATTCAAAACTCTGCCGCGAGGAGCAAATGCCCTTCTGTGTGTCGACATACTATGCCTCAGGCACCTCGACAGTATCACCCTGGCAGCTCATCATTCCTTTTGCTGTTTTCGTTGCACTCCCTTCAATCATCAAGTCTTTTCTCACGCCCACTAGGTCATACGAAGGCCTGGCACCCGCGTGGATCGGATACGTGTTCCGTGTCGGGCTATTCATGTCTGCCATTTACTGGACCATTGACGCCGTGAATAATGGCCACTGGCTCGCCGGCAAGCTATCCGAGGGAACACTCGAGAACGTCGGCGTTTATCTGGCCCAGACGATTCTCGCACTTGCCTTGGTCGCAGGCACAACAGCATTCATCTGGGCGCCGCCCAACGTCTCTATTGTCTCGAAGGCGTCAAGAACAGGCCAAGCACGTGTCGCCATCCTCGGATACGGCAACGCGCTGGCCTCTCGCTATCTTCTCCTGCCCATCAACATCCTTGCCGCTTGTCTTCTCCTAACCAAGCCCATGGGGTCAGGCGCCCTCGCCCTCATGATGTGGCAGGTCCTCTCGCTCGCTGAAATCATCGATCTCAACAATCTTAAAAACGAGACCATTGGTCCCGTCATGCTCGCCATACTCGGGAACTTTTACTACTTCAAAACCGGCCACCAAGCCGTTCTATCCAGCATCCAGTGGGACAGCGCTTTCATCCCGCTCCTCACCATCCGGTATCCCTGGACTCCCATCGTCGTCACGCTCAATACATTTGGCGGCCAGATCCTCGCTGCCGTGTGCGTACCCCTCCTTGCCATGTGGAAGGTCGGTCCCAAGCAGAAGGGCGTCTTGGAAACCGTAACCCGCAGCCTCGGTGTATTCATCGCGTATTATGCCGTCGAGGCATTGACCACCATGAGCTGGGCAGGTTGGTTGCGCAGACATCTGATGCTGTATCGGGTCTTCTGCCCGCGGTACATGATGGCGGCGGTCCTGTTGGTGGTTCTCGATCTGGTCGTCTTGTTGGTGACGCTACCCGGGCTGAGGAGCAACACGCTTTCCGTCAGTGAGGTATTCGGCTGGACAGACTAGACTTTCCCCCCACCTTGATCTTATTATCTCTCGGATGATGGCGTTGCACTATACACGGACAGGGAGGCCAGCCACACCATGACTTGAATAGACAGACCTACGTGTCTACAGACGTACGTGCCTACAGACCTACGCGCTCGCCGAATGGCACAATCACGTAATACATACCCAGAGTATACGCGCCTAAGTGTCCATGACTGCCTTCCCACGAACGGCCAACCCCCCCTCAGGCCCCTCAATCCAAACATCCCAACTCCGGCCGTCGTCGGGCCTCCCCACGCAGACGCTCAACTCCTCATTGACATAAAGAGGCGCGAGGTTCCTGTACGATATCCTCTCCACGCCGCCCCCCAGCACGTTCAGCATGAGCGCCAGCGCCAGCGGCCCGTGCACAAGCAGATCCCTATGGCCGTCCGTAGACCGCGCGTACAGAGGGTCGACATGGATCGCGTGCGCGTTGAACGTCAGCGCCGAAAAGTGAAACAGGTGCGTCGGCGTCGGGACAAGCCTCACCCGCCGGCTCGCCTTGCGGGCAACTAGACGCGTCGCCGGGGTCGTCAGCAAAAATCGTCCCGCCGGCCAGCGGCGCTCCCGGAAGACAAAGACAAAGACTCACATGTCGCGACTCGTCGGGGGGGAGGCGCCGCGCGCGCCTCCTGGGCCCGCATGAAGACCAGCGTCCGCCGCTCTTCGATGTCCCACTCTCGTCCTTGTCCTTGTCCTCGTCCGGCACCGTACTGCCTCCACACGTCTACGAATACCTTGTCGCGCTGGCTGCTCTCGCCTCCTCCTCCGCCTCCGGCGCCCCCCTTGGCGGACACGTCTCCGATGTGCTCTCTGCACTGCCACGGCCGGCCGTCCATGACGAGTCGTTCCCGCCATCCTTTGTGGAAGAGGACCTCGCCGCCGGCCCACATTCGGCGCGGGAACCCTGGCCCGGGGGAGTGGTCGGGGTCTGCGCCGTCGGGGGCCAGCTTCGACGGCGCCGTTTGGATCGGAAAGTAGACCAGGTGGTGGCCCTGGGGGAGGACCTCGGGGGGCGACTGGATCGTGGGCGAGGAGGAGACGGGCGCGTGCAGCAGGTCGCAGAGGGTTGTGGTGAGGAGATGCGAGGGCATGGGGCAGAGGTAGTCGGGGATGAGCTTGGGCGGGCGGCTCTGCAGGTCGTCGATGAGGGGGGGCGATGGTGGTGGCGAGGAGGCGCGGTTTTGGGAGGTGACACGACGGCTTGCGAGTGGCGGCAAGGCCGGGCGTTTCGGTAGCCGTTTCATTTGGGTGCGTTTATGAGGGAGGGAGGGTTGGCCGCGGACCTGTCTGTGTGAGGGAGTGAGGTTGAAGTTTGACACGGAGACGGGATTGGCACTAGGACAAAGGGTTCGCGGACCCCACAGAGCGCGTAGATGCTTGTCTTGGGCTGGAGGGCATGCTTGTGCTGGGAAGAAAGATGCTCGACGCCAGCTATTGGATGGGCTGGTGAGACGTCAGATCCCGTGGGCGAGGAGATTTCAATTGCAATGTGCTTGCGCGGGACGCCGAGACTGCTACAGAGATCGGCGTAATGTGAGGGGGAAAAGCATCAACCACAGGCGGGCAATTGCGGCATCATGGACCAATAGCACCATCATACTATATATATTTAACGCCACCCTCTTGTCCTGACTGGCGTAGCACGTCAGTGACTAGAATTAAATATTATGCCGAACGAGTTCCATGTCCACGGCGTACTCATTTCTCCCGTTCAGCCTCTACGATTTGAAATCGCCCCAGTCACCGAAACAATGCGTGTCCAGTTGACTTTGCAGAGCCCCGAGCATCGTCAATGATTCCTTCATAAATAACAGCAGGCTCGTTTCATCAGCCTCTCGGCAAGCAACACGGCATGAGCGTCGAAGCTGAACCTCCAGTGGAGCCTTAGGAATGAAAGTCTGTCGATGAGGCGACGTTATTCTTGGTAGCCCAGGCCTTGAGGTCACCCTTGAAGCTTTTGAGGCCGCCGGACAAGGCAAACTGAGACTTGATTCCTTCAACTCGGTGGGTGGAATTGATGTTCTTGACCAGAGTGATCTGAAAGCAGGTCGCAGTGCCTTGTCGCGAAGCAATCGTAGAGTAAGCAAGGAAGTACTCCCAAATCTACCCACGCATTCTCAGGTCAGTTTCCGGCTCACATTTGGCTGCCACCATCTTGACTTACACGGAACCAGCGCTTGCCGTACTTGGCCTCAACCTTTTCGCGGTTGGCCATCCAGTTGCGGTACCATCTCCAAAGCGTCGCAGAGTAGTGAACACCGATGGTGTCTATCCCCTTGACCTCGAATCCAGAGCCCTCGAGCTTTTCGACAACCCAACCCAGCGGAGTCGACGCATCAGCACCAGGAAAGACGTATTTGTTCATGAACAGACCCCAGATGAGATCCTCATACTGCCAGGGCTTTCGTAGGCCAGCAATCTGCAGGAAGAATACACCGTCATCGTCGAGCATATCGTAAACCTGGCTTAAAAAGCTGGAGAAGTGGCGGACACCAACATGTTCAGCCATCTCAAGACAAGTGATCTTGTTGTAACCCCCTTCGGGGACGGGGATGTCACGGTAATCCATGCACAGAATCTTGCTCTGTTCCTCAGGGACGCCAACCTTGCGCATGGCGCTATTGCCCCAGGAAGTCTGGTTGCGGCCAAGAGTTATGCCGGTAACTTGGGCACCATAGTTTTCACTGGCAAAACGCGCGAGGGTGCCCCAGCCGCACCCGATGTCCAACATTCTCTCACCAGACTGAAGGCCGATTTTCTCGCACACAACGGCGAGCTTGTTGTCCTGAAGCTCTTCCAGGGTCTCTTCCCTCTCAATGTCAGAAATGATGCCAGAGGTGTAGATCATGCGAGGGCCGAGGAACCAGCCGTAGAAATCGTCACCACGGTCGTAGTGGTCACGGACTTGCTCTTCGTCTACACTCAATTTAGCATAACGGGCCGCAACTTGACGAATCAGGGCGGTTTGATCGCACCTTGAGAGCGGGTGTGCATGATGAGCTCGGGAAGCATGCCAAGCAGAAAGAATTTGATCAGACTAATGGTGAATCGGAAGCTGGACCAGTCATGGCGGTACTCCATAATCTCCAGACAGTCGCCCTTGAAATCGACATCTCCGTCAAAGTACATTTCATGAAAAGTCTCCATGGGGATCTTGTTTGATCCACGGTACTTGGCACGATCAGCCTCTTTCTTGAAGTCGAGATAAAATTCGACCGGCCGACCGGGGAGCTTAGCCTTCTCATTGCGGCGAGGACTAATGGTAGAAATGACGAGCCACCAAGCGGCCAGAAGAGGCAAGTCGACGAGCAGAGCGAAGAATATGAAAGTCTTGAGCCCGCCGCCAACCTTCCATTTCAAATAGTACGGTGCTCCGAGTAGGATAGTTATGAGAATGGTGTTGCTGAACGAGTCGGAGCCGGGGCCATCGGCGGGAAGGGGTGCATTCTTGATGCAAGGGTAGAATGGTGTTGCTGAACGAGTCGGAGCCGGGGCCATCGGCGGGGAGGGGTGCATTCTTGATGCAAGGGTACTACAATGAAAAAAGTCAATCTAGGCTGTGCTGAATCGGAGAAAAGTCAAATGATGGAATATGATTTCAGTAGGTCGCACTCGGGATAAACTACATCATGGCCAATGGCCAGACACACGAGAAACAGCCCGTTGAGATGCTACCAAGTTGCTAATTGGACGCTTCAACTTACCTTGGTCGTGCGGACGCCGCAATCCTCTTCCTTCTCGAATGAAGAAGGAGCGGCCTTGGGAGTCTCGATGAACTCAAACTCGCTCTCACTGCCGTTGAGACTCGTTGCTTTCGACATTTTGGCTCAATCTTTGTCCCCGAACGCCGATTGGAGGTCCCCCAGAATCGCAGTCGCACGACGGTGTGTTTGGACAAGCTTCGAGCAGAGGGAGGAAGCAAGGAGACGAATGTTGTGGCGCAGGGACTTTGCTCAGAGCTCGAGCAAATCCTGGTGCAGCAGACCGTGAGCTTGTCAGGACAGGTCAGGTCTTGGGAGCTGACTGGCCCTTTCGGTGTCAAGTATGCACCCGTGTGGGGCGTTGGGCTCCGGCATCGAGTTCCTGAATCCTGCGTCCTGACTCCTGACGGCGACCGTGTGCAGACCTGGCTAGATGTTGCTGAAGCTTTGACGGGAGGATGACCATGGTAAACACCCGGATATCATTTCGCTGCTCTATTGATAATCTCTAAATGTGACCAGAAGCCCGTGTCCAAGAATCATACGGACCAAGTTTCTAGCTACATGCGCGGAAGAAATTTTGGTGTGGCCCAACGTGCCTCGCGCAAGGAGGCAGGCGCAACCACTGGCGGCTTCCACACCAGGACCCCCCCTTCAAGTTGAACCGGACGCTACGGCTACGCCCTCAAATCGTCAAGCCAGTCGCTCGACGACTCTTTTGGAGGATGCAAACGCTTGACTAACTGTGTGGTTATTAGAGAGGTGCTTGGCACCTACCACGTACGTATGCACTCGGCTCAGCAGACAGTATTCGGCCATGGCCAACATGACGCACAATTATTCAGAGATATGCTTCTTGACGAAATACCCGCCGTTTCCCGCCATATTTCGCCTTGCGGTACCAGGTGAGTAATGGATAATATTCTTTTGTATGACACATTGTCTTCTGACTAAAGCATGAATACAAGTCATCGCTTTTAGCTGGCCTGAAAGTCAACGTTGGCCCAATGATTCCTCGAGTACGACTTCGTGCGGAATACAAGAGCCAGCAGACCCCACCTGTTCTGAAAAGGTCATAATTTATGTAACGACGGGATACAATGAGGACAGACTCACTTTGTTGCCAAATCTTACAGGCCGGTAGAATGGATCAATCATGGACGCTGCAGAAAATACTGTCATGTTCCCGCAATCAGAGGGTTCTGCCAGCCAAACCAACGTGCGTGACTGACTGTCCAAGAATCGGTCTCAAGTGCCCCAAGCCGAAAAGAAAAGGTTGACTGCATCACAGTCAAGTTATGAACGCACCGACGTAGGTTTGTGGAGTCGTCGCCAACTGATCTTGAACTGGCCTCGACCCAGCTATATCCACTGATGTTTTCTTGAAGACCCCACGAAACTCGTATTTACGGCCCGAAAAGACACTATCCGGCCCATTCATACGGTCGCACATTAGCTCGCTCTTTAGATTCAACAAGGATTCTTAGAAAAGTAATACAGCCGAAGGAGTTTTCATACTACTAATAGCGTTGATTGGTCTACCACCATCTGCGGCGGCGCACCGAGTCCACAGTCAACGAATATCTAAATGTCACGACGCCTAGGACATCGTCCAAGTCACAAAAAAAGCGTCTCAATGAATGTCGGGACAGCTTCATTCGTCAACTACTTGTTGTAGTACTCGTACTGACAAATGTAACCTTGATCCTCAGATGACAATTATACATCCTTACTTCAAAGCATGATTAACGAAAGCTCGCCACGAGCTATCGTCAATACTGAACTCATTTTTTCTCTTCATCTTTCGCTTCTCCAATGCATCAAAGATTAGAAATGCGGCTGTGTGCCCAGGAATCAATAACATCGGTGCCAGACTCCAGTAATGGGCCCTGACAAAGTGACTATTTGGTCAGACAGTCCCCTGCCTTTGCACAACATTTCTCTTTCATGGAGGTAAAGTAGGTGGCTTTATTTGTTACACAGTATTGGACAAACTTCTTCACATGGGAGTACACAACGGACACCACAAAATGTTCCGCAACTCAAATCGCTCGACAGCTCTTCTCCCTTCTCCCATCTGAGTCGGTAAACTCAGTATGCGCATATGGTTATGGGGTGGTAAGTTATTTATCAAGTTCTTCACGAGACATTGACCATTGATTCGGTGGCTTTGGGAGATGAAGTATCCCAAATTGCCGATTTGTTGCTAGATATGCCGTAAAACTTCCTTAAAGATATTAGAGGAGTCAAGTTGGACTTGCCGCATAAGGCGTCGATTCGGATGTCTTGCTCGGATATGGCGAGGCAGCTGCGGCATGAGAATTTGGGACATTCGAGGAATACAGTTTGGGAAGTGGATAGCCGCCTCGACACGGAGATTTGGTCACCATTTGCGATACGAGGCACAGTCGTCCAGGACCCTCAAGCTTTGGTACATCGGCTCCGTTGCGCATCAGCGTTGGCTGGTCTTTATCACTCTCCCCTCTGACCGTTCCGTTGGACGGGGGAAGAGTCCTGGCAGGTTGACATGACACCACTTTGGTGGCGGAAAGCTGATCTCAAGTTAGGTTGACCGGCCGAATGGACCAATGGCTCCCGTTATGGCCGCATAAACAAGGTACACGAAAGCCCATGACAGCCACCAGATTGTCAGTCTGCCTGCATATGATTACGTATTGACAAGGTTGAAGATGTACCGCCACCACCAGTATTCGGTCATTCAGCAAAAGTCAACTCATTACCGGCTACTTTCCAGATTCTCCGTCTGATATCAAACCCCACAACAGCTCCGAGTGCCTATAAAGTTTGGACGCATCAGCCCATGACGCTCATGGTCTCTTTGGGGCGGCCACAGCAGAAATATCCCTCTTTCGCGCGAGACGAAGAAAATTTTCATTTGCTATAACTACATAGCAGCAAGCTCTTGGGAAATGATCTACCTGCCATAATATCCGTCTTCATTTCAACGCCATTTCTGCCCAGGCCTCGAAGCTTGTGACGGAGAGCGTCCTGCTTTCTTGCAGTCGTCCATCACCGGCACCATGGATAAATACGCATTTCCCTGCGAACCCCTGGCCAGTCCAGCGTCGCTGGTATCAGGACCAACGTACCGCTTCACGCTCCTCAGCCAGACAGTTTTGAGATATGAATGGGCCGAAGACGGTGTATTTGAAGACCGTGCCTCGACCTTTGCCATCAATCGCAACTTTGCCCCGCCAGACTTCACTGTCAACGACACCAACGACCACATCGAGGTTTTTACTCGCAACTTCCATATAACCTATGACAAGAGGCGCTTCAGCCGAAGTGGTTTCATCATTGGGTTTCCCAGCAAAGTAACGCTCTGGGGAGCTGATTGGCGCTATGGCGAGACGGCAAAGGACAATCTGGGTGGTACCGCCAGAACACTGGATGAAGTTGATGGCCGTTGTGATATGAGTGAGGGCATTTTGTCGCGATCCGGATTTACAACGCTTGACGATAGTGAAACTATGCTCTTTGACGGGCAGGGCTTCGTCGCACCCAGGAGAAGCGGTGATCGCATCGACGGATACATGTTTGTCTACGGACACGATTACAAAGGCGCCATCAAGGCGTTCTACGACATTTCCGGCCGACAACCTGCTCTGCCCCGGTGGGCGCTGGGTAACTGGTGGAGCCGATATCATGCGTACTCAGCAGATGAGTACATCGAACTAATGGATACCTTTGCAGAGCGCGACGTCCCTCTGTCCGTCGCAGTCGTGGACATGGACTGGCATCAGGTCCAGGGCGATCATATCCCACACGCTGGCTGGACAGGGTACAGCTGGAACAAGGAACTGTTCCCCAATCCTCCCGAGTTTGGCAAGGCCCTTCATGATCGCGGATTGAAAATCACGCTAAATGATCATCCTCACGGCGGTGTTCACAGCCACGAGGACCTATACGAGACCATGGCCGGGGCCATTGGACACGACACGTCCAAGAAGGCCCCAATCTTGTTCAATCCTACTGATCCAAGGTTCATGGACGCCTTCTTGAGTGTGCTCCATCGCAGCATCGAGAAGGAAGCCTGCGATTTTTGGTGGATCGACTGGCAACAGGGCCCTATTTCGCGAATCCCGGGACTCGATCCGCTCTGGCTATTGAATCACTTCCATTTCCAGGACCATGTCAATCAAAACGGCCAAGGAAAGGGCATCATATTCTCTCGATATGCGGGGCCAGGTAGCCATCGATACCCGGTCGGCTTTTCGGGAGATTCCATTCGAACATGGAAATCTCTCCAGTTCCAGCCAGAATTCACAGCTACCGCTTCTAATATCGGCTATGGGTGGTGGAGTCATGATATCGGCGGCCACATGGGCGGTATTCGAGACGACGAGTTGGCCACTCGATGGGTTCAATATGGGGTATTCTCTCCAATCTTCCGACTACACTCTTCCAACAGCCGGTGGACATCCAAGGAGCCGTGGAATTTCCGAGCAGAACACTGCAAGGCAATGGAACACTACATGCAGTTGCGGCACAGAATGGTTCCCTACCTACATACAGCCAACCTCCTCGGCGGAGCTGAACCACTTGTCCGACCGTTGTACTGGGAGTATCCAGCTCACGAGGAGGCGTATGAAAAGCCGAACGAGTATTTCTTCGGGCCACACTTGATCGTCGCTCCCATTGTTGAGCCGAGAAATCCCAACACCAACCTGGCCAGCGCAAAAGTCTGGGTTCCACCAGGCCGACACGTAGACATCTTCACGGGGGCAATATACGATGGGGACCGGGAAATTCAAATGTACCGCTCAATCGAGACCATTCCAGTTCTCGCGCCCGAGGGATCCATCATCCCTCTTGACGCAGACTTGCTCCCTCAGAACGGTTGTATGAACCCTACTTGTCTGGAAGTGGTGATTGTCGTTGGGAAAGACGGCGAGTTCACCATGCTGGAAGACCCACAAGACGATTTTGGTGCCAAAGCGAAACCGGTGAATGGCGATCCTACAGAGCACCGCAAGGTCAGGCTCCATTACAAACAGTCTACGGGACGTCTGAGAATATCGGAGTCCACAAAGACGTGGAAATTTAGATTCCTGTCCGTCATGACCATCCCCACCACGCTTGAGGTGCGTGTGGCTGGCGTCGTAACTGCTTGCAGTGTTCGCATTGAGGACATGCCAGGTACCCCCGGTCTCGTCGTGCAAGTTCCCGTCCAGGACTCGGGTAACAAGGCAGACGTGGAAGTCAGCCTCGGTCCTGATCCGCAGCTCAGCGTGTTGGATAAGTCGGCCCGTTTGATGGGGTGGCTTCTTGACCTCCAGATGGAGTTCGAGGTCAAGGACAAAATATCGGCTGCCGTGGAGGGGACGAAGCCGCTGGCGAGCAAGATTGGAGGACTGATGAGTTTGGGGCTGGAGGCGGACTACACAGGCCCTGTGGTCGAGTTGTTGACCGCGGATAGTCGCTAGATTGACGCTCAGCAGGCAAATTGCGCAACTGAATATTACCTGATTTTTCTATTTGTGTCATGATGTCTGGTCTGCTGGGCTTGATGACGATGGCCGGCTTCTGAAGAGTATATCGAGTTGGGATTCTATCCTGAACTTTGGTTTAACTATCGGCCGATTTTAAGAACTGATTTTTGCAGCTCTGTTCATTTGTTAGAACATGATAGTACTGCGCCTGGGGAAAAAAGTATCGGACTCAGCTAAACACATGCATCATGTCTGTCATGAAGGCCATCAGCTTTGAACGTTGAGCCACGGAGCGAAAAGACCCAATAAGAGCGAACCTCTGTCAATATCCCGACTCTCAGCTTACAGCTTTGCATCTGTAGCTCTGACAGTATCGAATACTGAAGGAAGTTTGAGGGGGCATGGACTCGGGAGGCGCCCGCGTCCGTGTATCCTAAAATTAAGCCACGCTGGCGGAGTGTCGTTGTCGTTGCGTGGCATGAGGCGAGCTGTTAGGTGCGTCTGCTTTCGGCCAGAGCATGTCCCAAGTTGTGCTGTATATTTATCCAGGCTTCCTCTGTTGCTTCTTGACGGAGTCTCGTGCTTCCTCCCTCCTTGTCCGCGGTGGCGTGCCTGCTGTCTGCCTCGCGCTTTCCCCCTTCGCTCTTTCCGTGAACAGAATTTTTCTTGATTTTCTTGAAGTGCAGGCAACAGACGTATGCGTGTCAGACGGCGAATAGATTCTTCATCATTTGGGAGCTCTGCGCGCGACATGTCAAGGAAGGCGTCCTTGAGGATATTGACCATGAACATTTCCTCATCGACAATCCATCTCCAAACACCTGGATGAACAATGTCGTCCGGACGATGGCCGCTCTCGTATGGCGCAGATCATTGCCAGAATTCTTTGACGGCTTTGACCGACTCATCTGCCATCGAAGCTGCCATGATGGCAGCTATGATCGGTAGTGTCGAGGCTGTCGACCGAAGAGTAACCCTGCTCCTTGGAAGAAGTATGGGTTGGCAAATCGATACGAGTTCCGAGCCAAACTTCTGGAAATAGACTAGCTCATTCAGGAATCGTGTGTTTGTGGTCAATATCCCGTTACTCGCTCTGCTGTGCGTATCTATACATGCTCCTGGGAGAAAAGGCGACCTCGGAAGCGAGTATTGATCCATCGTCCGACAGTCTGACGATCCTGGCACATGGGCTCGCATCTATTATCGCGCCAGCGTGAGGACTTCCGAGAAGCAAGTTCTTGGCGTAAGAACGGGCGACCGCTTCAAGCATGGCATTCCCGCCAACATGGAGTAGGCTCTCGACGCCACGGCCAGCACGTCAATGCTGGCAGGCTTGCACGTTGATGCGGTCCAGCTAAACGAAGACCCGTGCGACCCGAGCAGGATGGTGCCGCCTTTCTCTATGTCGAGGTATCCCGTGCGTTATGTAGCGTCGACGCAGTCTGCCTGTCCAACGGCCTCCCACTCCCGGGACAAATAGTAACATTCAACGCCGACTGTTGCCAGCAGTGTACTGGTCCGTTGACAGAAACAAAAAGTTTGAGGTGTCCTTTCGGCCATCATACCTTTTGATATCGCCATCTTCATCTCGACATGATACTGCACAGCCAACGAAGGGCTGGTCGACCCGTCAGTCTTCCTTGTACGCGGCGAGTGCTCTCGCCGTCACCACCGAGGCGATGAGCGTGTCAATCTCGGCCTCATTTTTGAGCTTCGCACTGGGGCAATCTTGCCAGAGACCATCGTTTACAACTTGTCGCGGTACCGTGGACTACCTGACGCTGTCTTGTCGCAGGCGCCTGTTCGAGTGAGTCCGGCGCTTATGCATGTTGGCTGCAACTCCGTCATCAATCATAATCCGGGCCGCGAATGTCAGACTAGCGTGATACGGCACATGTTTCATTAGACGCCCAGGAGAGCGGAAGAGGTGTCTTCCTTGGGATGATAAAGGCGAGCACGCCAGTTGACTAAAGCCCCGATGAAATGGACCTTGCTAAAATTCCCAACGGGAAGTGAAATGGTCTCTAACAAGAAGCGGCTTTACGTTGCTCTCTACCCAAGCGGGGTTGTTGATAACAACGAGCGCAAGTAAGAACATTCCTCATGACGCCCTTGGACGATCTTTGGCTGACCGGACCTTACAGATACCATTGGGGGTTTCTCATAGGGCCCAAGAACGAGGCCACGGGACAAACTCCCGGTTTGCGATGCCATGTCAAGAACCATCCCGTTGCCGGTTGGGTATACGAGGAAGTCGAACTTCCAAATTTGAAAAGCACCAACAATCTCCTCGCGCGGCTTGTCGTTGCAAAAGTTGAAGACGAAAAACATCTCTTGAAGACCTTGAGGGAAACAGCCGTCATCCAAGATGACTTCAACTTTCGCTGCCGAACTTGGATGGCAGACGCGTTGTACAGGATATCGAAAGCCGAACCAAGGGTCGTCGGAACGTCAGAGTTGGACTGGAGCAGGATAGAGCAAAATGCCAGGCGCTATGTGGAAAACAAAGTGGCAGCAGGGAGATATCTAGAGGCAGAGCGCATGTTAGAGCCAAAGCCAACGTGGGACATGATGGAGCAGAGAGAGATCATACCCTAGGCCGCGGCAGCCACTCTTGAATAGCAGCAGTCTTGTTAGTCTGTGCAAGGCGCTCACTATCAAAAGTCTCCCCACCATCTCTGTCTAATCTTCTCCATTTGGAGCTCGTCTTGACACGGCTCCAGGAATTTTGGCACCACCTTTTGCCAGGCTCCCCTCGTCTTATTTCCGAGCCAAGCGGAGGTATATTCCCAGTAGTAAGGGTACCATCCTGAAAACTCCCAGTCGATAATGGCCACAATCTTGGCATCCCGAACAATAATATTAAATGGATTAAGATCGCCATGGGTGAAGACTGGCGATGGCCATTCCCGATCATCTTGCATGGCCACCATGCGCTTAATGTCGACCCAATCCTCACCATTGTCACGTTCACGATTTGGGAACTGCCCTGGTTCAAGTCCTTGGCGCAACCAGCGATGGAATGCCAGTGTCGACGGGAAAGGCCCGAACCTTGCCCTCGACCACGGAATACGGGAATCACGCAGCGAACCGCCTACGCAGCTTTCTATCGCCGTCCCCGGGGCCGGTAGAGCCCGCAGCTCTCGGAGCATATCCCGCAACTGCGAAAAGATGTGCTCGAGCTCTGAATCAGACAGGGCAGGCCAGGCATCGGCAAGGGTCTTTCCGGGAATTCTCTCCATGACAACATACGTCGAGTGGTTGCAGGTGAATGAGCAGTGCACGCGAGGGACCGGGATCTTCGTCCGGGCGGCGATGAAGGCCATGGTCGCCGCTTCAGTGAGGCCGACGACGCGCTTGCCCTTCTTGACCATGATGCTGCGGGAGACGGGAACGCAGGGACCGTCCCACTTGTAGAAGCGCGCAGTGGTTTTCAGCGCGAGCATCGTGAGGTATCGCCGTAAAGCGGTGTTTCTGATTGCCAGGCCATCAGGTTCCTGAGGTTTGGTTGACATTTTCACCGGTCCAGCTGAGCTGTCAGCTGAGCTGTTGCGAAAAGGAGGAGGGTTTTGTCTGGATGGGAACTGGGAGCGTTTTGGCATGTGGGCGTAGCGTAACAACTTTAATCCGGCACGCGCTGCGGGGCGCAATACGTAGTCCGTTCAAGATGAATGCACTCGACGTTGTCTCCCGAAGTGATGTGCAGGAAATCACATCACATAACCCCCCTGCCCGCTTCCATTCGTCCATGCATCTGCGTGGGATGTGCTCGGGGTACTCACTCATTTACTCGTCAAGTCGAGAGGTTTATCCCAACTTGCATCACATCAAGGCTTGCCGGAAGCTTATGCAACACCAGCAGCCGCCAACAAGGGAGCCGCATCCTGTTGCGACCACGTTGGACCGTACTGCTGGAAGCAATCGAACCCTCCTCTGGTAATCACGTAGTGAAAGGCGGCTTCTTGCATCCAGGCGGCACGTATGACAAGAAAGTAGTGTACGAAGCCGAAAAGCACGACGATCAAGGCACGAAGATTGGGGTAAAAATTTCCTTCAACGGGGATGACAAGGAGCAGCTGTTTTTAACCGCTGCCAATTCATTACCAAAATACCTCGTCGCACTCCTCATCTGCACCGTGGCCAGCTCGCCAGTCTCACCGGCAAGCCAATGTCGTACGCTGGCTGTTGTCAATTGCTGGACGGCGCAGCACAGCGCAGTTGAGATGATCCAATTAGTACGGAGTAGTGGTGACGTTGTTTCCCCCGAATATCGCCGATAGTCACGGACAAAGACCGGGCCAAGCCGAGGATCGGTTGACGTTGATACTCGGCGGGACGCCAAGACATGCAGACGGAGCGCAAGTTGTCCGACAGAAGGCCCTTGACAGGCTTGGCTGTTCATGGATTATTCTGGGAAGAGACGTTTGACACTGTCGAAAAAGGATGCTTCCTCAATTTCCGCTTCAAGAAACCACGAGACGCTGCTGTCACACCAAGAAACGGGTGTGGCCACACCACACTATTTTGTGTGGCATGCCACCTTGTATCCTATGCGACAGTTGTGCGAGTCATCAAATAGTGCGTCCCAACATAGGGGAGATGCGGCAGAAAAGAAGGAGGAACAACGTCTCTGGTACGTCTTGAGCTGTGTCATTGCCTGACAATGCTTCGAATAGGTCAAAGAGGCGGCCTTTACCGAGTGACGGCTCACAATTGGAGAACAGGCGCCCTGAACTTTGATCTGCACCCTTCTCCCAGATCGTGATTTGGGCAATCTTACTGATCTGATTCGCAAAACTTCCCCCATGCACCCCAGCCCGTGGCGGAATCGACCCGAGTTCCAACAACCAGGGCTCCGAGGCAGCCACGCTCTTGCTAGCGCATTCACAAACCATCACATGTCGGCGAACTATCTGGTCATGAGAACATGTCTCAAATGGATGCGAGCCTTTTTTGCCTGTCTCATTCGTTGTGGTTGTGATGATCCAACGTCCTTGCCAGCACCACTCCGTGGCTCGCCTTGTGAACACCCCTTCCGGATAGAGACGCCACTGACAATCCCGTCAATTTCGGACGACGAGCCAAATTGATTGGGGAAATGATCTCCGAGCGCCCAGCTTTCGAACGCCCCAGCCCGCACAGCGGAGCGGCTATCGAAGCCAATCATGCTGCCACGTCACGTACTGACAATGGCAGTGGCACTTCGGGCCCTCGCCGTCTTTGCAACGGCCACTACTCCGTACATCCCCAAGTCAACGTGTGAAAAGGTGTCGTGTACAGAGTAACATGTGAATGGGTGCTCTGTAGTCAGTCATCACTGATCACAGTTGTGGCAGGCCATTTCATCCTATCAGGATTGCATTATGCCTCCTCCTTGCGCCCCTGTATCTCTCCTGGCCCGATAGTGATTCAATTCTGTCAGCTCAAATCTCACATGAACCATCTGGGGCACCCCTTGGGACAATTTAAGCTGTTCGATGACGTGAGACGTGCCTGCTCTCCCACCCTTCTCTCTTGTGTAGTAGCGGATTGGGGGCGTAGGATGATTCCCGACAACAACTCTGAACCCCCCTCACCCATGTAATTATGTGCGTGAGCCTCAGCTTCAGTAATAAACTGTGCCACGAGTCCACGACGGCCTCAACGCCCCGAAGCTGTTTGCTGTCAAGCTGGCCAACCGACCATGGGCTTTCGTTTCGTCTCCCACCCGGAGGGCTAACACCAGCAACGAGACTGCTCCCAGTTGGGCGGCTTTATGGTCGTCCATCCACAGTGCCACCAGAGCGACGGATGAGACGTACGCTCGACAAGACCTAGCCACAAGGGGGCGTAGAGTACTGTGGATAACTGCAGCCCTTTTCTTTTTATTTATTTTTTTTGGGCATGTCGTGCCGAAATTTGCAAGCGCGTATGTTTGTTGACACATCACGTAGTCCCAAACTATCAATGCGTTCGGTGAACTGGGGTCGATGCAAATATCGATATTGGTCTTGTGCCACCATCCTCGCCATACGTCATGCTGTTCCCAGGCCGAGGGAGGAGCTACGAATGGCGCCGAGAGTAATTCGGCTTGTTTCAATGACCATCCTAGAGGCGTTGATAATAGTAATAATAAGATAATGCTCTCGCCAGTCTGTCAAGGATACTAGTGGTCCGTGAGGGCTTCCAGACTTTGCTGATAGGCTGCCGTTTGTAGATGAATGAGAGACGCTACCGTTTTTAGATCAAGCTCTTTATTATCCCGGGGCTTTGGCCATTGTGTCCGACCAACCATGTCATGTGGCGCCTGCTCGGGGCTAGGTTTGCTCCTCTTTTTGCCCGTAGGTTGAGAGAGCGGGTTTATAATTATAATGCAGATATCATGGTGCTGGAGCTGCTCATGACTGGCCCTTCATCTTTGTGGTGATATGTAGGCGGGTACAAGTCGACAAAGCGTGAGCTTCCTAGTCAGTGTAAGTCCGTATATCCCAATATCTCATCGGCTCCTGACCGTAGGAGTCACGAGTTTGCATTCAGATGGGACCGCGGATGCAGTCGGGAAAAGGAGATAACAAATCTCCGGCACAGGCCGAAGATTGAAGAAGCTGCGGTGCGCCGTCACCAAGAGCCAAGCGCGTCCATCAGTCGTGGGCGGGAGGGAGTCACTCGAACAGAACTCATGAAAGGCGTATTGCGAAGCCCAAAGGGGCAGGACACTTCGGCACTTGCCAGTGTGAATACACATACAAGAAAGGAACCAAGACATGTAGCGAACAATAGGGACGAGGGACAAGGGCATGTAGTGAGGCGAAGGAGAATTTTTGTGCGGACGTGGGAGCCGGCTCAGGAGTCACGGGCTCGTCATATCGCACTGTGTCTCCGGCGCTGGACAGTGAACGCAATGCAGAGTACAGTCCGCAGTGAACTCACTCCCATTTGGTCCATGCCTGTATCATGACGCGCTGGATTGTGTATGTGCGGCGTACGCATCCCTACACTGTGTAGACATGCGCTGGCCGCCGTCCCACGGCTGCGGAGACCGCCAGAAAATAAACCACAAGCTGTGAATACGGGGCTTGGGGACCTTGCAGAGCAGGGCAGCGACGCGAGATTTTCCACCTCGGCGCATTGCAATGTTCACCTAGCCTGGTGGCACATGTATGAACCACTAGCCACGGCCACGCCCGCAACGCGGAGTCAGTGGTTTGGTGGACAGAGCCCGAGTGGAATTGCCCTTGACGAGCCTCTTCACCCTGGCTATCATGGATCTCCCAAGACATTGGTGTATACCAGTACTTGCGAGAGGCGAGCATCGAGATTCCACCATTCGAAACGGCTCGTCCACTGCAGTTCGGAAAGCATTGGATATGAGTTGTTGTCCGCCAGCAGAAGACAAAACACCGCTGGGCCCTAGCGGCGAGTTGCTTGCCAGCCAACTCTTCTGACAATGGTCGACACCATGCTATAAGTCAACAAGGATTCTGTTTCTGCATATGAATAGGAGCGTGTGACTTGTACTGAAGCCTCGTCCCCCCACAGTTGTATCCAACCGTCCGCATGCCGTGCAGATGACCAGGACCTCAAAGGTCATCTATCAGTTTTTCCCCCCCTCGACCCTTATTGAAGAGAAACCAGTCCCCTCGCCGAAAACAGAGCTGTGCATCATTTGGCGTTGGGCAGTTGTTTCCCCAATCGAAAAGGACGGGACTTGGTCGGGAGGTGGCCTGTGCCGGGCCATATGGAAGGAGATAAGCTTCAAGAGCAACATTGAAGTAGTCGACGTCCGTCTCGAGTCATCCCACGGATTTTTCTGCGACTTGGGAGCTCCATTGCGCCAGGGCCATGGAAAGCCACCGGCACATGCATGCATCTACCTCTCGAGCTAGCCCTCTGGCTGGCCCAGGACAGGACACCAAGGTTCTGGCACTTTGTTGTCCTCGTTTCTTGAGATGCATGTATTGTGGTCCCTGCCATTGTTTTGTTTGGCCTCGTAAAAATAGCATGGCGTATGGCCGAACCGACCAAAGTGAAGTAGTAATAGCCGTGGCAGGGGCCCGTCCAACAACCGGGTTTTTTTTATGACAATCATATTTTTTGCCGCACAGAGTACATGGCAAGGCTTCGTATCTGGCCGATGATGTAGGCCTCTCCAGCATCTGCTTTGTACGTGCTCTCTGTATAGCACGCGATCGCCGTCTTGTTGTACCCTCTTTATCTACTCCGTTGTGACAATCAGAAAGGGTTTGGTTCCTAGCCAGCGTCAAGGCCCAACAGTTCAAGAAAGAAAGAGGCGCAAAGGTGCTTGGCGGTTCCGGTAGTTTTTGTTCTTGTATTGGGTCTGCTTGATGCGGCCAATACTGTGAAAACTTGGCCATTTCCATCTTCCCATCACGAGTGATGTGTGTACCGGCCCAGCTCACGCCTTGGGAACAGTAGTCGGTATGTATCTCGGGCTTGTATTCTGTATGAGGATCCATACGTCGACTGTGTAGTCAGGGCATCACCCCCTGGGTGTCGTAAAGCGAGGTGGGCCAGCCGTCGAACAACAATCGCGATCGGGACATGGCGCAACGTCGTGTCCAAAGTTATGGCAAGGCTGTATGATGTGCTTCAACGAGTCATTACTGCATTGGCAAACATCCCTTGTTGACTTTCAGCTGATCTTGTCCTTCTAGAAGAGCAGCACGAGACATAACGGGCAACGTGGACCACCGTCTCGGGATAAGATGAAACGGTGGAAATCCGCGTCTGGCATCTGCAGGAATCGCTCATTTGCACTCCGTATGGACACACCCGCCCGCACCGCTGCGCCCAACACGCCCCTCGTTGAAGGTGTGGCCGCCGAGACCGCGATTCTGTCGTAAAAAAATATGACCAAAGTTGAGATGACTAGGGGATCTCTTCTTCTTTTCTTTCATGCGCCCACTCTCAGCCGTCAGTGAAATAATAGCCTGTAACCGTTCAAAAGCTCGTCATCCGAAGTACACGTACCGCCAGTCCCGCCAGAGATCCTCCTGTCACTTGGAGCCACCGGGCTAGGGTACTTTGTCATCAAAGACGGTTGCTATCGCAATTGTCTGTTGATCCAACGGGGGCTTTTCCGAAACCGTTCCTATTCTATAAGGATATATATAGGTACCCTCAACCTTCCAACCAGAATCCTACCAGTTCGAGAAGAGTTCTGAATACTCCACATGAGAAACAACCGACTCTTCGTATTTCACGCCTTGAGCATCTTGATGCGACAATTCCGTCAGCCGTTGACTGAGGAGGGAAATAAGTATATATCGTTGTTCCTGCCCTGGTGAGTGGGTAGAAAAGCATCCCGGTGATAACTCGCAGCAATAGAGGGAGCGATCCAGAGACGAAGGAACAACATCATGGCTGCTGAACGGTCTGACCCAGTGGACCAAACGCCACTTCCGCTTCCCGGGGACCGAATACACATGTACAACGTCTCGGGGATAATATCTTTTTCAAACAAGCAGTGTGCTCATGCTCTGACACATCAATGTCCCTTCCTTGCCGACTCAAACTCCGGCCTCTGCGCACCTTGTGCCGTGGCTGTCGCAAACGGCCAGCCCTGCTCATAGAGGCGGCTTGTGGCACTGGTCTTCGAGGCACGCAAAAAGACTTTCTGCTCCCGTGGTCCATTCCCAGCGTTAGGACCGACTTCAGCTCAGCTTGATTGTCTTCTGTGTTCCTACGGTGGCCGCCGCCGCTAGGTCCCACCGCGGCGCTCGAAACGGTGTACCACAGCAACTAGGCGTCGAACGTAGACTGACAAGGAAAATTAATCGAGGAAATCGCAAGATGAACGCAGCACACGAGACCTATGGCGCCAGCACGCCCCAGGAGGTCAAACTGAAGAATGGATAAGGAGGAACGGTTGTGAGGGAAAAAGTTGGTGGTTGTGACGAATGATGGACATGATGTCATGGAGGCCAGAGAAAAGGGCCGTAGGAAAACGCTCAAAACGATGGGGATTGAATTTGATTGTAAAATAGACAAGGCGAAGTTTGAAGAAGATGATTCCACTCGGGAGACCCTCTGCACACCCTGTCGACCTTATTGGATTCAGCCAGTTGGCCAGGATATTGTTCCAAAGAACCACGCCGAAATTTCCCTTTTTGGCAACTCTCATCTGACCTGTAGCGCTGTCACGGGGAACCGGCGACCTGTCCAGGTACTCTGGGAGTACTGAACAGAGGCGGGACCGCTTGAGCTGATCGCAATGCACAGTAGATCATGCAGGAAGGATCAGTAACTCCGTCGGCCAAAGGACCGTGCCGCATCTAAAACCAGGTTAGTGTGTCCGGCATAGCCTCCGGTTGGGGGCGTACCAATTCATACCTTGGTTGAGGGCTGCAAAATGCGCTGATCTGGTCACAAACTGCAAGCAGCGCATGGAAAGCAGATACATGGTACGGTAGTAGCAGAAGACCAGAGATGGGGATGAGGATGAGGATGAGGATGTAACTGTGCGTCTTTCGTTGGAAACTCACCCGAGGTTGCCCACCTACCCACAAAAGAAAACGGAAAGTGTAGCCCACGTGATGCGATCCTCGCAGTCCTGCACAGTAGAGCAGCGGATAGAGACGCTCGATTGGGGGCCGACACACCAGTTCACACACAAGTTCCTGAGCTATGCGCTGAAGATGCCTTTTCTTACCGAGTACATCCCATCACTACTAAAGGGAATGTCAACAGAATGCATTCAACATCAAGACGGTGCGAGAGTACATTTCAGATGTAGATTCATAAAACTAGATACTTCGTCGTGCGTCCTCATTTAAATCGTTTCCGTGTCTTGGTCGTGGCATGGCTTGCCGCTGTCGGCAGGTAGCCTGCCACATAAAACAAAACTCCTTTCCAGTATGGTATCTTTGCGCCATTTCTTAATTGTTGGCAGGCTTCAGCAGGCCGCGGCATACCGCCTACCAGCGGTGAGTGCCATAAAAACAAAGTCCTTCTATTTTGTTCTCAAGGTTCGGCTGATAAGAATTCAAGGTCTCCAAGCACCCTTCCCCTTCAGAAAGAAAATAAAGCAAAGTGAGATGCTCATATCCGACAACAGCAGTAAGTGAAATACTTGTATCAATGAGTGACTTCAAGGAAAAGGGCACCTGAAGCAGGACCCGTCGTGATGACATTCACCCAGCATCGCTGTGAACGGCGCCTAGCAGGCCATAGCAATGACGGCGGCGACGACGGCCGCAACAGCACCGGTCTGAACATGTAAATCGTTGGCGGCGGCGGTAGGGACGACCATAGGTCCAGTAGGATTTCCTGGGCCGTTGGTAGTCCCGGTTGGGCCGACTGGAAGAGTGGTGTTGGAGGCTGGGAAGAAAGTAGAGCTGGAGGGAGCAGGGAGAAACACAGATGTCTCGACAGGCGTCTCAACCGCTGGGGTTGAGGTGGTGCTGGAGGCGGTGCCTGAAGGGATGCCCGAGGTGGGAGCAAAGACAGCAGCGGTCTCGCTCACCGGACAATTTGTGGCAGAAGGGACACATTGGGTGACGGTGAGAATACGCGTCGTGGTGGTGGTCGAAGTGACAAGGCTGGGCTCAGTGGCAGCCACAAGAGAGGCGCAGACAGCGAGAAGAGCGAGAGCGCCGGAATGCATGTTGAAGAAGACGCTGAGGCGTTTGATGTGGGCACAGCGATAATGGGTCTGTATTTAGAGCTCGTGCTTTTTGTAGTGAGGGAGTGGTTTTTGTGTGCGCAGCACTGATGATCGTGATATTGCAAGTGATAGTTTCCAAGAGAGCGGCAACGAGTTTTCGTCCAGACAAGGAGTGATGAGGACGCGAGTAACAGATGTGTGTAGAAGACAGACGTGCGTGCGTAGAAGAGCGGTGGCCAAGCGGCAGACGTGGCACTTATTATTATTATTCGGGTCTGAGGGAATAACGAGGCCCAAGGAAAATTCTGACAGGGCGGGGGGCCTGCAAAAGGCCACACCAACAACCATGTTCACACGGGATGGCGTTCAAGTGGTGTGTGGAGAAATCCTGGACGCGTTATCAGGCACCATCCTTGCTTGATTGGATCTCGTGGCAGAGGCAACCCAACAGCAGACCACGAAATGACTCGTCTGACTGGTGGTACCTGCATCGTGGCCCGCCGCCTCCGTGGCCAAACGGCTGTTGGATTGGTTGGTGCCCGTGGTATTAAACTGCCGTCGTCAATGCAAGCGGTGGCCAAGCTGACAGCAGTGCTTCTCGCTCTGACCACCCGCACGTTGGTCGGCAACTTGGAAGACATTCCGAGATCTGGCTCCACGTTTGGCCGTTTGCATCTGCTCCGAACATGGCCTTTCCGCATCGTAATAAAATTGGGCCTTTTCCTGGCCTGCTGCAGATCGTCGCCCTGACCATGCTGCGTCTGATGTAAGTCAACAAGGTGTTTCCCGGCGTTTTTGTTCTTTGTTTTGGTTTGCGTCTAATTACCTGGCGTTCACGTATCGAACCATTTTCACCACTTGACCCCTGTTGCCTGTTGGATGGTCTTCGTATGATCATGAGGGGTGAGCAGGTGTTGTGTCGCACTTGTGAAACGGGCAAGGCAACTGCTTCATTGACGCCATGGCAAATTTGATGGTGTTTGAGCAGCCGCCGATTCTGCGAAACCGTACTGCGCAGCACATACTTCAGCCACACCATCCTGCTCTTCCGGTAGTATCAGTCGTGTGCAGCACTGGCTGACGTATGTCTTGCTGCTGACGGGCTGATGGGGTGCGCGAAGACGGCTTTTGAACGGTGTTGTGTCGTTTCACTTGACCTCGTGGCATCTTGGAGAAGAAGATCCGACACATTGTGTCACCTAATAAAGTAACCAATATTGGAGTCCCCAATCCATGTCGGGTCAGTCAGATGGGGTTGAAGAGAGACAAGGTGGGCATGCAGATTGCAGCAGAAAGAGGTGCCTTGTCTCTCAGAAGCGACCACGTTGAATCGAGCAACGTTGCTTAGTCACCCCGTCAAACGTGTTTCTGCACGGACTCTCCGAGTTCTTAAGCACCTAAGTACCCAAGAACCTTCTTAGTTGAGTAAGTACGTAGGCACCCAGGCAGGTACATTGTTCTGTGGCCAGTTTCTGAGACAGCAGATTTATCACAAGACAGGTCAAAAGTCTTCGTGAGCTGTTCAGAAGTCTGATTAGCTGTCTTGTAATAGCTGATGATGGTGGGGGGAGATACTTGCGTTGCCAAGGGAGTGTAGTACGTACCTCTGTGGTTCGGAATCTCAAAGTTGGTACAAGACGAAAAGGACACAACACACCCTGTATCGTGCAATTATCCTTCTCCCCGACACACAATCTGCTCTCTGGAGCCACTACCTGACATGAGAGCATGAAGACTTCATGGGTTTGTCTCGAGACGCTCTTCACCTACTCCTGGTGACGCCATTGTCTGGTCTCCGTTTCGCCTGCTGCCCCGCCCCCGCAGTTGAGCTGTGAGTAAACCCTCGAACGTCTCGGACGCCTCGGTTACGTGTTGCTCGTGTCGAGCTCAACCCCTTACTCGTTCTCCACCACCACAACACCGTATGCATCCCCCTGCCGCAAAACGGTCGTGGCCACAGGCGAGATAAACACACACAAATCACCTTATCAAGACTGTCAGTTCATTCGTCCGCTGTTTATAGACTTCATTGCCGTGTCAGACTTGCCCCCCTTCCCGGCCGGCGCAGCTACCATGACGTCCTACTCGGCCGATCCAGCTCTGTACATCTTCACCTCCCTCACCGCCGGCTCCTCACATATAGTGACGGCAACATCGCGGTTAGAGACTATCTTGAGAGCCAATAGAGTTCCTTTCAAGGCAGTCGATATTGCTACGGACGAGAAGGCACGCATGCTCTGGGGCCGGAGGGCTGGCAAGGATGAGGGTGGCCGCCTGAGGAAACTTCCTGGCCTGGTGCAAGAGGGATTGGTACTAGGCGTAAGGGTGCATCCAGTTACTCATTTGGCCTCGCTTCTTTCTCTGCCTTGGCTAATCTACCCTTCCCTACTCAGGATCTTGTCGAGATTGAGGATTGGAACGAATATGGCGAGCTCAAGCAACACGTCAAAATTTACTATGACGAGCACACAATCCCGAACATCAACAACAAACCCCCCGAGCCAGCGAAAACCTCCAAGTCGGTCGCAAAACTCGCTGTCGTCAGCAGCAGCACGGCCGAAGCTCCTAAGACGGCAACGCCCATACTCGAGTCTAAAGCTGCCACGGAAGCTGCCGCGATATCCAAGGCTGGCCCCGCCGAGTCCGGCAAGGAAACCACGACATCAATGCGGTCCGTCGCCGGTGAAGCTGCACAGAAGGCAAAGGAGCTGCATCTGAAAAATCTTCGCGAGAAAGCACACGGCAAAAAGGGAGACGACGGAGGGTCAGATTCGTCGAGCAAGACGACAACATCAGATTCTAAGCCTGATCAGGAAGATGGGGAAAACAAAGCCAACACCGAAGATGGAAAACCACCGGGCTTGCAGTCTCCTATCAGCACCGCTTGGAAGAACCTGTCCGGTGATGACGCTCTTCGCGAAACCGTGCAGAGCCCAACCAGTGGCAGGTGGCGGCCAAACTCGGTAGATTCGAGCGGCTTCCAGGCACGTCTAAGGGCAAATGTCGTGACCGTCAGTCCCGAGGAAATAAAACGCATTGAGGGAGAGCAAGAAATAAAAGAGGAGCCAGAATTAGAGAGGGAGGCAGAAGAGAAGGACAAGGTTGTGAATAAGGGAGACGGAGGAGCGGAACATGTATGCGACAGTAAAGAAAAAGATGAATCTGAGGAAGATAGAGACGAAGATAATGGGGAGGATGAAGATGAGAATAAGAAGGATCAAGCAAACGAGAAGGAACGAGAGAGGAACGAAAACGAGAACGAGAAGTTGGGCAAATAACGACACACATCAATCAGTAAAGCGAGCAGTGTAGTTTCACAAGAACAACTGCCGCCTTTTGCAGGCCATCAAGCCTTCATGTTTGAACAATAATAAAGATCAAGATATACATTTTCTCCAATGGGCGTTTTACAAGAAGGGTATTGTATCAAACACAAGGCTTTCACGCCACTCATCTCTGCCATTTAATACAAGCCGTCGTCATCACTAGCAGTCCCTTCTTGGAACCCTATCACAGCTTTCCCTTTGCCCTTTACCCGGCCGTTTATGGTGCCGCTGGGCGTAGCGTCCGAACCGTCATCATATTCGTCATCGCCGTCAACGTCTAACGCAGGAGCTTTGCCCTTACCCTTACCTGATGCAGGCAGTTTCCCATGGGTCTTGGCACTCACCCTGGCCTTGCCGAACGCTCTTTTATCTGCCGTGGCGACGCTGGCCTTGGACTGTGCATCACGGCTTCCCTCAAAGGCTGCACGGACTTTTTCGTAATGTGCTAGTTCGCCGGCGCTGACACTGGGAATGAGCTCGTTGTTGGCGGCTAGAAAATCCGCCTCAGTGACCATGACAGCAATATCTTCCTTGGTGGCATAGTGGTCGAAGAAGTAGGCCGTTGAGATTTCAGATCTACCCGTCCGTTCGGCATTTATGGCGCGGACTTTGGCGTCCACGGCGGCCGATTGTCGTGTGACTGCTTTGAGCATTGCGTCACTACATAAGGCGTAGAAATCGGCACCTGTATACGTAAATGGCAGTTGCTGAGCCACGTTCCGAAGCGAAACTGAAGGGTGGAGCGTAAATCTGCATCAACATGTCAGCCGTACGCCAGATCCATAGACGTGGTTGGCTTTGGCAGCGGGATACTCACTTTCGTGTCAACGCTTCCAATATGGTACGCTGCTTTTCGTGGGTGTCAGACACCCCCAGGTAAAGCATCTTGTCGAAACGGCCAGGACGAAGGAGAGCTGGATCGAGAAGATCGGGTCTGTTGGTGGCTCCAACTACGAACACACCACCGGCATCGTCTCCACCAGACATGCCATCAAGTTCCGCCAGAAGTTGAGAGACGATACGGTCCATGACTCCGCCACTGTCGCCCTGATTACCTCGTTTTGGAGCAACAGAGTCCAGTTCGTCAAAGAACACAACGCAAGGACGGGCATCCCTGGCACGTTGGAACACTCTCCGTACATTGGCCTCAGACTCACCAATGTACATATTGAGCAGTTCTGGTCCCTTGACACTGAAAAAATTGAGACTATATTCTGTGGCAATGGCCTTTGCCAACAGTGTCTTGCCAGTACCTGGCGGGCCGTAGAAGAGGATGCCTGATCTCTTTTTCATGCCCTTGGCGAAGAGTTCAGGCCGTTCCAGTGGCAACTGAATCGTTTCGGTGACTGCATCCTTGACGTTGCTGAGACCACCAACATCATCCCAGGTAACATTGGGAATTTTGGGTGCACCGATGGAATCAGAGAAATTCTTGCGAGCAGCTTCGACAGCAACGTCAAAGTCCTCAGCGGTCAGAGACCGGGCAGCCGGGCCTCCTGCAACTTGAATGTCTCGGACCGTGACAACAGTATCGCCACGCGTGTTCTTGGCCGAAAGTGCTTCGAGACGCGCAGACTGGGCCAAGGACGCCCGCTCAACTACATCAACCAAGTCGCCAGCGACCAAGGCAGCGGTCTTCAGCGCGATTGAATTCAAGTCAATCGTGGGCTCCAGAGAAACACCTCGGTCATCGACTATGTTTCTAAGAATCGCTTCACGTTCTGACTCATCGGGAGCGCCCATCTCCAACTCATGCGTGAACAAAGCTCGAACACCGTCTGGAACCTGATCCACCTCGTTCGTGGTTGCGATGAGGACTCGGGTATCCTCCAGAATCTCTTTCATTGTGGCTTTGATCCTATCGGCGGTGAGAGCCTCAATGTGTTGAATAAGAAGAGCACAGCAGTCTGGGCCGCAGCTGCTAGCTCTCTCAGCACGCGTTCGGAGAAACCCTTCTGTCTTGACATCACTTCCACTCCCCCCTCCTTCACTCAAGATATCATAGGCGTCAATAGTGTACGTATGAAGTCCTATATCAGCACAAGCTTCTGTGGCCAGTGTAGCTTTGCCGATATTTCGATGGGTGGATGTTAATAAAATGGCAACTGGAGGCATCTTGAGATGAATTGCCCTGGGGCTGGTCCCGGCGGCGAGCAGCTGCCGGAGCTGCCGCCTCAATGGCGAGACAAACGTTTCCAGTTGATTCGATACAGCTAGTGGACTGGCATCAGGTGACGGTCTTGGTGCTTTCTTTAACCCAAGATAATACGGCCAGGAGCTCTGCGCCGTTCCTGGTACACGGCTCGTCTCAAACCCAGATCCGTGCATACCAACAGTCGAGCTGTCGATACACGTTACCGAGCCCCAAAAGGTCTCAGCAGTGCCTTCTTGGTCTTCGTCGGATTTTTGAATTTGAATATGGCCGACTTTGAACCAAGCAACCCTGTCAATCCGCGTGGACGGCTGGCCCGGTCTTGACTCGTCAGTTGTTAATGCCATCACGTCATCGACCTCTGAGCCTCCAGCACCGGTAGTTTCTTGTAGCGCTCTTCCCAGTTGAGCATCTACTGGCACTGCAATCAAATCTCCTGACCGCACGAGGCGAACTTTCTGAGCGAAATACCGTTTCAACCCACCTAACACGGCCGTCTGGTAAGCTCTTTCAGCTGAGACTGGAGTTCGAATATGGTGAATGGCAATGTCTTTCGCGTACGGTGGATGAGATGCGCTAGTAAAGCGAGGCAGAGTCCCTTTACCTTGGTAGGCAGATCGTTTAAGAGCCGAGATGCGCAAATGCGTAGCACCGTCCAAGTTGGCAAGCAGAATAGGTGATGCGTAGGCGGCGGGGCTTGTAGGTCGCTGTATTCGAGATTCGAAGAAAGACATCCTCCTCTCGCCGGCTCGGGAACTGGGAATCCGGGTGACCGGTCGCTGAGAATAACCTTCAGGCAGGCCATACACTCGGACGGGGCGCCAGTCTGACACTTCGGGCTTTGCATTGCCAAAGCTGCCCAGGCCAAAAGCACCAAATCCATTTAACGGTGGTTCTTCTGCGAGCTCAATCCGAGCCCAGTCACCGGAGAAGCAGCCAATTTTAGGCAAGGAGGTCATGTCCACATATATTCTCGCTTCCTCATCGTCTCCAGGGGCCGGCTTTGGGTGAAGCAGATCAGAGGGGATCGGTTTCAGCAGCCCATGCGCTCTAAAGAGCCGGCCTCTAGGGCGATCGGGTCGAGCAGTAGCTGAAGTAAAGTTTGAGAAGACGGATCCTGGTGTTGTGACGCCATTTGCTTTTCTGCCGCGGAGCGTTCCAGCCGTCATCGGAGTGCCTGGCTGCATTGTGCCAAGTCCGCTCGTGTTCGTAGTGGACAACATCGGGGCCTCGAGAGTGATCATTTCATCCATTGAATCATCGGACAGTTCTTCTTCCTGCTCCGTAGCCGACAGTTCCGTCTCCGTTTCGGTTACGCTCTGGTCGGCTCTTGCATCTGTTCGGTAACGCTCTTCTGCGGCTGAGAAAAATTGGTCTGTGTTGCCGTCTTCTTCTTCACCTACACCATTCAGCCGATGACTAGTGGCCATGGACACAGGCCGTTGCCTGCGTCTTGTGTGTCTCCCACGCATGAGAACAATCTTTGTCTGGTCCGTCAAAATACCTTGCGCGACTGGTTCACATAGTATAATTTTGCCCGGATTTGGTGGCACATGAGTGACATGATGTGGTGCTAACGGCAGAGCAAACAAGTCGCCGGCGTGCGCAATTTTGAGACTGCTAAGAGACGCTCGGATGGCAGTGATGAGCCGTTCCTCAGCTGTCATTTTGGCAATAGTCTCCCCTCTGGGATATTTTAGATGCTCTCTCAAGAATGTACCCTCGCCATTTTCCAGCCGTTTTGTTGACTCGCTCTCCAAACTAACAAATACGGTCTCGAGTGGTATCGGAGCCACATCCAAGACTAGTATCTCTATCCCGCTTCGGCTACGACTAGACAGCTTGGACGGCGCAAATTCTTGCAGTGCAACGGCAAAGCTCTGAAGAGCCGAAGACGACGGAGAAAACTGCACCGTGGAATAAGCTAATGTACAAGATCTCACGACGGGAACGATGGACCAAGGGGTCTCGGCCGGTACGGCGTTGGGAGACCACGGAGACAGTGCTATATGGTGTATCTGATCCGGTACGTCTTCATCGGTGCCTGTACGTGACAGATGGCAGTCAGCATTCGCGCAAGACAAGAGGGCAGAGCAGATCAACGCGCATTTTATTTGAAACATACCACCCCGAAGACGTGGAAAGAGGTCAGAGAAGAGATCTTCCGATATGATGCCGACGTCGCTCTTGGTCTGGTCATCGAGAACCAGTCGCGCCGAGATGGCCGGCTTGTCCTGCCGCCGCCTACGGGCCGCACTTCTCCGTGAAGCAACCTTTAGGCTATCAGAGACCGCCATACTGTTTATCTTGTCGAGCGGCTGCAGGTCAGAGAGTCCTCAGGATGTAACAGGAGCTTGGAGCTGAGATGTCGTCGAGCTTGTCCACCCCGCAATCGCCCAACCATCGCGCGCAGGCCCAAGCTTCAGTGCCAGGAGTTCAGCGAGTTGTGTAAGGCTCAGAGCGTGTTTGTGAGCTCTTCCGGAGCCAAATACAAACACTAAAAAGCTTAGTGCGGCAGAGTCCTGCGAGGTAGGGACACCGCCGGATTGATGTCGCAAAGGTCACCAAGCTCGGCGGATACCAGGTTCCGGCAGCTCGTCGGGTCACGGACTCGCGCACTTGAGCGAATGGTGGACCTCGGCTTCGGTGTTGGTGCAATATCGAGCGGGATCCACCAGCGGGCCAACTTCCAACATCTTATTTTGCGTGCTCAGTTTGTCCGCCCCTGAGAATTTGTTGCAGGATTCCACACTCATGTTCCACGCGCCGAGGCCAGCCACTGTCAGCGTGTCTGATCAAGCGCTGAATCCTCCTGGATAAATGAGGCTGACTCCTCTGCGTTTACGATTTTTGGAATTGTTGGGGAAGGTGTAGTCCCATTGATTGCATCCAATTGAGAGCCAGTCAAGGCAGGACCCAACCGCCGTTCCTTCCACAAGCTGAATTCGCTGAATTCGCCCGGTTTTCATCTCAACCTCTCCTTTGCCAAACACGCCGTGACGATCTTTGGCAGCATCAGTCAAGCCTTCAATTCGATTCGGTCTCTCAAAAGGTCCGAGCACAGATAAGATGGACTAGTTTTCACATGTCTGCGTGGCGACCCCACGCATCCAGACATCCCCTACAAGCCCTGGAACATCGCGGGTGAGGACCCTGGTCGGCTATGGCAGTACGTCACGTTTCAACTCCTTTTTGTCTCTCTTCCTCCCCCCCCCTTATATGCATCGCGTCCTTCAGCATACTGAGAGAGTAACTACGATTCGGCGTCAGGCGTAATCTCTTAATGCCAGCTCCACATGGCGAAACCACCAGCGACCAACACGCCTAGCCGCAAAGACGTGTACGGAGCGTCAAGTCATGAATTGACGCAGCTTGGGGTTCAAATCAAAAGAGAAGCTGGCAAAACATCCCGGCCAGGTCTTGGAGAACTTACAGACTCTGCGATCAACGCTACAAAAGCTTCGATAACTCATCCGTCCCCAAGTTCGCTACAGAGTAACGAGGCGTTGCGGACTTCTCCATTGAGAGCCGCGCCCGGAGTAGCGGATGAAGCCAATGGCTTCATGGTAGATGGTGGCAACCATGAAAAATTCAGGGAAGTAGAGAATCACGCCCAGGCGACGTCTTCTCTCTTTGGAAAACAGAATGGATTTCACGAACCCCAAGTGCCCGCAAATCTCCCTTGCAATGCAGGCGAAGAAACCCTTCAAAATGGTTGGGAAGAAAACCATTCATCACGCATCAATCCACTGTTTCCTCCGTTGCCAGTCTATGGCCCTCCTACGTTCCAGAACAGGCTGCAACATCTCTTCTTCAGGCTTTCAGCTGCAATCTTGAGCCTTGCATTCCTCAGTCTCATAGTAGTTGCCTCGGTCATCACAAGTATCCCAAGTCTGGTCAAGCAAATTATTTACAAGTCAACGCTAAGAGACATCAAAGAAACGCGGCTTTTCTACGAAGAGGAACTTCGTAGAGCGCACATTCGTACACAGAAGCAAAAGGCGTGGGATCACCGAGTCTCAGCTGAGAATATTGGTGGCGATCAGGAGGGAACTGCAGACGAATATCCACCCACTGAGGGAGGCAGAGACAAGATTGTGTGTGATGTTGGATACTACGCTCGACGAGTAGGACTCGATGTTGACGCATTTAAAGTTCGCACGGAAGACGGTTTCCTGATTGACCTCTGGCATGTATACGACCCGAGAGAATACATTACGAACAATGTCGATGCCGAGATGTCGGGTACGAAGAACCCAAGGAAGGTTTTAAAGTCCAGCGATATAACGCCAAAATTGCCGGTACTTTTAGTGCATGGGTTGTTGCAAAGCTCAGGGGCATACTGCGGCAACGACGATGAGTCTTTGGCATTTTGGCTCTGCAAATCCGGGTTTGACGTGTGGTTAGGCAACAATCGATGTGGACTCAGCCCTGTCCACGAGTCCTTCACCCCAACCGATCCGCGTATGTGGAGTTGGAATATTCGGCAAATGGGCATTTTCGACTTACCAGCACTGACAGCAAAAGTGCTTGCGGAGACTGGCTTTGGCAAACTCGGCCTTATATGCCATTCGCAAGGGACAGCCGAGACTTTGATCGCTCTCTCAAAAGATCAATGTCCAGAGTTCGGAGAGAAGTTGACTGTGTTTTGCGGTCTGGCTCCGGCTGCCTTCCCCGGGCCACTCATCGACAAATTTTACTTCAAATTTATGCGGAACATCTCTCCGTTCTGGTTCCGAACTATCTTTGGAATTCACTCTTTCATACCATTCATGATGCAAATGCACTCACTTGTGAGCCCTACAATATATGGCTGGCTGGGATACAAAGTCTTTTCCTTTCTATTCAACTGGTCTGATGCAAGATGGGACAGAGGGCTGAGGAACCGTTTCTTCCAATTTGCACCGGTACATGTCAGCGCAGAAACAATGCGGTGGTGGCTCGGCAAAGATGGCTTCGCGAAGCACAAATGTATTTTGTCAACCAAGGAGGGGCTTCAATCTGAAGAGCGACCGGAGAACGGTATTCTGCCAGGTGGCCCATTATGCAGGAGCAGTCAATGGTTCAATGAACAAGTCCCACCTTTCGCACTGTGGGTATGCGGCAATGATCAGTTAGTCGATGGCGAGCGACTTCTTAGACGATTTGCCAATGGCCAGGAGCCATTTGTGAAGATGGTTCACAGCAAAGTCATCCAAAATTACGAGCATCTAGACGTCATTTGGGCTATCGACGCCGTGGACCAGGTTTTCGTCGAGATTCGTGAAGTGCTTTGGAAAACATGCCATGCTCGAGACAGGTGCAGAGTCCCAGAAGGATGTGAAGGAATACCTGCCTGGACTCCAGAATCGATCCAACAGCAGCTGTGATATGAAAGTCATCCGTCTTTGAGTCACCAGTTTGAATTGATGGTACTACAAGTGACGAAAGTCAAAGGGCAATACGAATCAATTCGGTCCTGAAAGGTCAATATCAAATACGGAGGAGCATAGACATCAGATACATTCAACCAGCAAATCAGCAACATGGCGAGTGATGTTTGGTGGAGGGCTTAGAGTAGGCATACAGCCAGGACCGAGAGAGATAAAAGACGTTAAGAGTATGTGCCAAGTTCCAAAGCAGCCAAGCTGCAAACCGTCACTACCGTGAATCCGGTGTCAGATGCCTCGCGAATACGGATAGGCCTTCACCGCGGTATGATGTGGGGTAAACCCTGCATTGCAGACGGAGCCCTTTGTGAAGATCATGGCCAGGCTTATTTCCCCGCATTCAACTTGGTCGACTAACAAATAATTGGAGACGGCCCCAACCTCCGGAGGCCGCAGCCGGCATGCCGAGCGTCCGTGACAAGGAGCTTGATGCGGTTTTTGCCACCCGAGCTAGCCTACAACGACGCCTAAACTCCAAAGTGTGGAGCCTCGAGCATTTCACCTCGGTCCAGGAGTCCAGGACGTGGGCTTGGATGGAATGCCGAAAGCGTGCACTTCCCTAGCCTGTTCGGAGTCTTTTTCGGGTTGGTTCATGACCTGGATTTGGTCGGGATGGTGGGAATCGGGATTGCGCCGTGCCCGTGCTGCCCTAAGCAACCTCTTTAAATCACCCTGGCCCCGATTCTGGGTAATTACAAGTTTTTCGCCCCATCTACACCCAGTTAGTTGGACGTGGTAACGTACGCGATTCGATTCTGTGATTTGTACTTTGCGCGTCATTTATGATAGAGTGGTGTGAGTCGTGAGTCGTGACACTGCGCTGTTCAACTTGCGGTTAGAGAGGCAATCACGGCGGTAGGCGCAAGATTTTTATTTTTATTTTTATTTAGCACCGAGCAGCTTGAAAACAATACGCAGAGATGCCTATTCAGTCAGACTGGACGGTTGACATTCCCGTCATTGACATCTGGTCAATGTACTTTGAGCAGCCAAAGGAGTATCCAGATAACCATGGTTCGTCCTCCTCCCATCTTCACCTCCGAGCTGGCTGACGAAAATGAAAATGATGGGAGGATTTACTAATGGCCTTTCGTTATTAGTTCTTCTAGTCGATGGTGACACGGACCGCTCATACACGTTCAACGACATCAAGACTGGTTCAGTCGAATTCGGAAAGGGACTTAAACAGATGTTCAACTGGAAGAAAGGCGACATCCTCGGCTTTTTCACCCCCAACTGCATAGACACGCCAATTGTGACGTACGGTCTTCACTGGGCTGGGGGCATTGCCAGTCCCGCCAACCCAACTTACACCGCAGACGAACTTGCGCGCCAACTTCTCGACTCCAAAGCCACAGCCCTGATCACCCAAACGCCCTTCCTGGAGACAGCTGTAAAGGCTGCGCGAAAGGTCCATATCCCTCTTGAGAGAGTCATTCTCATGGGCGACGGAAGAGATGGGGCGGGAGGTCACAAGCACTGGACTGAAATTACGGCCAAGGGAGCGTGGTTTCAGCCCAAGAGAACGGTGCTGGATCCCAAGAAAGATCTGGCTTACTTGGTGTATAGTTCCGTGAGTTGAGTGGCCATGTGCAAATTGCGCGTCCGCAAACGCTAATAGTGCCATAGGGAACTACTGGCTTGCCTAAAGGCGTCATGCTCACACACTCCAACGTCGTGTCCAATGCTTATCAGGCTTCACGACTCGATGCCAAGACGTTAAACTGGGACTCAGACAAACACTTGGGCGTACTTCCATTCTTCCACATCTACGTACGCCACCGTCACCACAAGAAAAGCCCAAATCCCACGTACTAAACAGCCATGTAGGGACTCTCTGTAACCCTGAACGTCACAATGCAGACCGGGTCCGCAATGATCGTCCTGCCCAAATTCGACATCGAAAAGGCTTGCAAACTGATTGAAAAGCACTCCATCACATTCATGTACGTTCCGCCACCAATTGTTCTCGCCCTGGGGAAGCACCCAGTCGTGGACAAGTACGACATGAAATCCATCCGGTGGATTAATTCTGGCGCTGCACCTCTGGGCGTGGACCTCGTCGAAGCAGTTTGGAAGCGCCTGAGCATTGGTGTGAAGCAGGGCTATGGGCTGTCTGAGACGAGCCCTGTGACTCATTCGCAGTTGGCAGATGAGTGGTGGAAGTTCCAGGGCTCCGTGGGACGCTTACTGCCGCTTGTTGAGGCCAAGATTGTCGACGAGAATGGCAAGGAGCTGCCTAGAGGGGAGGTGAGTCTAGCCATTTCGCCCTCGGGACTGCAACGTGCAGTGCACTAAACAGTGCTAATGAGGACAGGCTGGTGAAATTCTCCTCAAAGGCCCCAACGTCTTCCACGGGTACTGGAACAGACCCGACATGAACAAGGAGACCTTCACGGAAGACGGGTGGTACAAGACCGGTGATGTGGGATACGCCTGCAAACGCGGTCATTTCTACATCACGGACCGGATGAAGGAACTCATCAAGTACAGTATGTCTGCATCCCATCTCCGACTCCTCATTCCATTGCTCGAAGGTACACGTACGTGCTCACACAAAACAGAGGGTTTCCAAGTGCCTCCCGCCGAACTGGAAGCCAAGCTCCTGGGCCGCGAGGACATCAACGACGTCTGCGTCATTGGCGTCTGGGACAACGACCAGCACACCGAAGTGCCACGTGCCTACGTCGTTGTACGCCCTGATGTTGAGGAAACCGATGAACTGAAGCAGGACATCATCAACTGGCTGGGCGAGAGAGTCGGCCCACCAAAGAGGTTGCGCGGTGGCGTGCGGTTCACAAAGGAGATTCCGAAGTCGCAGTCGGGAAAGATTTTGAGAAGAGTATTGAAGGACCAAGTGAAGAAGGAGGAAGGTCTGGGCACCAGGGCCAAGCTGTAATAAATAGCATGGGAAGACGACCCGTGTATGGAGTGGATATACTGAGTACTATTTGCGTCTTTTGTCCCGGGTGAATATAGTTGCCCATCCCTCAAAGCAAACTCATGTCCTTTATGAAAAGAAAACCCCGTTGCCAGCTTGCAAAATTGGGCTTCCACCGCCTCTACTATTATCCCATCAGGCCTGTTTCTTTGCTTGCCGACTCAAGTGTACGATCGACCAGCATGCTGATCAGGTCCGCCGAAAAGGTAAAAGGTGCTGCCGCTACGCAAAAAGTTCATAAATGCTTGCGTCTCCCAAAGCGTGTCCAAATGAATCGCCGCGTGACGAACAGCAATTCGCCGAATCGGCTCTGATTGTGCCGCAATCCCAATCCGCGCATAGATGCGCTGCAGAAGAATCCAATGTCTGTAGCTCTCTCTTCATGGAAACGTTTACAAATCTCACCTTGACATTCATAAATCTGAACATGGCACCAACTCTGCCTCTACACAAGAACAGGCTTTTACCACGGTGTCGTGTAGTCACATTATTTGAGATATTTGGGTTCGACTTGCTCAATTAGATTACACATGCATGGGTGCCGCCGATCACCCTGATCGCTATTGATTTACACGGAGACGAAGCCGTCTAGTCCACCTGCTGTGCAAGTTTTACAATCGGCGCAGCTTGCTATCCAATCCTCTCAGCCTCCTCAAGCAGCTTTTCAACACTAAACCTGGAGTCGCCGCTTCCAAACCACTCCACCAGCTTCCTTCCTTCGTTGGCCCTCTCTTTCCTCGAGCCGTCGACCTCGGCCTCGCGGCTTTCCCAAGCTCCATAGAATCGTTGAAGGCACAAGACCAGCCATTTGGCCTGTTCAGGACAAACACCCCCGTCTTCCATGGTCTGTCCTTGCATCAACACGAGGCCCTTGTCCTCAGCTAGGTCGAGGTGATGCGTCACCGTTGTGTGGGGCTGGGCAAATTCGCCGCGGCTTTTGAATTCTGCCAGCCGAGTGAAGAGTACGGTGCTCGTCTTGGATGCGGCATCAAAAGTCCACTGCAAGAAGTGAATCTCGGCCCCTTGGGTCTCGTGAGGCACCGGGAGGACGAATTGAGGCGACTTCTGAGCCATTGCCTCCATGGACTTGTATGAGGCTGCGGGCATGACAGCGCAGAGTTTCTGGGGTGAGTTGGCGTGGCGAAGTCTCCAGACGGCTGTCAGCTCCTTTTCGGGGAGCTCACGGATTTTGCCAACGTCCACAATCTCGTCCAATGACTGAATGCCGGCTTTCCCTCTTGCGCTGGGCGGTGCAGATGCTGCATTGGGAGTCTGTTGGGATGGAATCGGCCCTCGGTTCGGTTGCGAAACGGGAGTTGTTGGAGCTTGGGGGATCGTGGGGATCGGGAATTCAACGGCGTCCTTCTTGCGCTGGGCGTCGATTCTATCGGCATACGCAGATTTCAAGTCGTCGATGCTGCCGTGGCCCTCCTGCTTGGCCTTTTGGTTGAGCTTCTCGCGATACTTGTCGAGCACTGCTTGCGGCGGGCGCCTTGTAACGAGAAATCTGACATCATGGACCTGAGCCCATCGACGCTGGGTTTGGAGGCGAGCGACTGATGGCAAAGGGCAGGCCGCAAGATGACGGAGAGAGAGCTTGTACCCTGACGGAAGCCACTGCTTGGAGGGATGCATCAGGCCTATGGTGCTGACGCGCGGGCTGGCGGTGTTGTTGCGGAAACGAAGCAGGCCCTGAGCTCAACTCGAAATCAAGACGGTCGTCTCAACACGGTCAGGCCAGGCCTTGGGCCGTGGCTCAACAACTCCTGGTGGGGCCATGGAGGCCCGAGAATCAAGATGGTTGTTGCTTCCATGTCTCTCCTGCACACAAAGGCTGACCCCACCATCACTCATTAGATTGATGCATCCCGACGTCGGAACGAGCTGCGCGATCTAAAGCCCATTTCCAATACAAGGCCGACTATTGGGCTGCCGGTGCAAGTCCAAGCCTCAATTGAAGATAAGCGAGAGGTCGCCAAGGCCCTGCGGTACGGTGAACCGCGAGGTCCTCCCTCTAAGTCTGGGTGTCTGCATCACCGTCGTCTCCGGCTGCCCCTCCAACTTTGCGACTCTACACGATAACTTGGACAGAACGCAAGTACGTCGATCGGTGTCTGCAACGCGATTCTGGTACACAGCTCGCGTGATCAGGAATATCGGAAACGCGAGCAGAGCAGCATCACCCGGCGAACGAGTCGTGCGTACTTGCTCTGCAAAGACATGGCTGATTTTCGCCAGCTCGCGCTCGACTATGTCCTGGAAGAGAACAAGGTGAAATCAGTTCGCTTTGCCCAGATAGCCGCCAAGGGTTCGTGCCGTTGGTTCAGTAAACCCACCTCTTCTAGTTGAAATGTCTAATTGCTGGACAGAGATTGAAACGGCTGCCCCAAATTCCAACCCGGTAGCACGATGGGTTGAATCTGTTCAACCCTGGATGCCTGGCAGCAATGATGACGATGAGATGCGAGATATTGATGACACACCGGACTGGACGGCAAGATCAAGAGGTTGTGCTGATCCCTTTCCCATTTTTTGTCTCCGTGTCACATTCATTAGTACTGATCTCCCGCAGCATTGGACTTCTTATCGCGGACGTTGAATTACCTGAACTCAGAAGCCCTCAAACCCAGCCAAGGTGAGTTTGCGCAGCCAATCATCTATGCGACGCCCAGTGTCTTACCATAGGCAGTTAGTCTCTTGGTCACATTCTTTGGAGCCATGTTTGATGTTGATCACAAGGCGGGTATTCTACCGTCAGCGACTGCACTCTCTCGCATCATTGCCATGAAGTCGTTTCACCCGAGCAGTGGCAGGGGCATCATTCAAAAGGTGTGCACACTGAAAGAAGACTTCCCTCGGCAAGCATCGAAGACTCGTCTTGCCATATACGAGCTGCTCAGATCGCTACTCAGCAATCCAGAGGTCGCTAGAGACCTTAAGCAGCGAGATGGCCAGGACACCGCATTTATGAAGGAGCTTTTGCACCTTTGCCAGACTGAAAGGGATCCTGATTGCTTGATGGTATGGTTTGATGTACTTCGACTCTTTATTTCAGAGTATTCACCGTCCAAAGATACATTGGAGGAAGTTTATGGAACATTCAAGGCATATTTTCCCATCACTTTACCTCGTACCGCCCAGAGTGGCGTGACGCCTGAGGAACTGAAATTGCGGCTGCGCAAATGCTTCTCATCAACCCATCGTCTTGCCTCCCTGTCTCTACCTTTTCTCATGGGTAAATTAGACCAAGGAGACGGTGTTACCGTCAACGTAAAGGTATGTTCAGGTTGACTTGGTTCGGTATCCTCAAGCTTACACGTGCTGTAGGTTGATGTTTTGCGGACAATAAGGGCTTGCTTGGAAGAGTACCAAGACCCAGCGGAATCAATCACACCATATACGAGCAGAATATGGACCAGTTTGAAATATGAAGTCAGGAACGGAGAAGTGGAAGACACTATTTGGGCAACGCTCGAAGTCCTTAAGGCCCTTACTACAAGACTAGCGGGCGACGACTTGCGCGACTACACACTGGCGGTTACCAGAGACTGCGTGGTTGATTTGGCCACTCCAATGTATACCACGGCTGCTGGTCGATTGCTCGTTAGCGTGCTCAGTGCCAACCCCGGCGCCTTTGTTCTCATGGTTGCGCCAGCAATCACGCACATCAAGGAGAATCTTCGTCACCCCAAATCACCGACTCATAGCCAGGATCTTCTGAAAATCCTGCGCATTATTCTGGAAACCCGTTTACTACTCACGGATGCGGAAATGTCAGAACAGGATAGGAATGACTTCGCAGCGGTGGATGGAATTTTCAAGTCTCTCTATGCTGATGTTTACAGAGGGCCTTTGGGATTGTTCGCAATCTCAGGCGTATCTGACGAGGACTTGAGACTGTCAACAGAGGCAGCACAAGGTCTTGGTGCTCTCATTGGGCAGAGAGAAGTCAAGTCCCTGGCTTCTGAAACAGCCCAGAGGACTTTAGACTTCCCGTTGCTGCTACCCGTGTCGACATGTGATGAAAGCTGTGAGACCCTGTTCAAGATTTCCACAAAACAATGGGACGAAAAGTCAAGGAGAATCGGCGCCGATGACCTGGTCAATGAATCAGTAAAGGCCTTGCACCGCATCATCCAGGTATATCCCAAGGGATATCAGTCATTGATCACTAAAGGATCGTCCATATTTCGACAATCCATTGTCAACCTTACAGATGACTCCATAGCCACCATTCAATCACTGGGACCGCTTCTAGCGTATGTTGGTTGCTCGTCTCTGTCGGCGGATCTGGCGTTATCACTTGGGCGGTTTGTGCAAGTCATGAGGACCATCGAACTGGAGTTGGAGGCAGCTATTGACCAGGCAGCCAGCCCGAAAATATGGTGTTTCCTGGTTGCTGGAATTCACTCAACTGTGAGATACTTCAATGAGGCCTGTTTGGAAAAGGACGCAAAGGCCAGTTTAATGGAGGACGCTCCATCATTGGACCAAATCACTGCCAAGTATCCCATGCTGGCATCAACGAATCCTGCTAGTGAGCCTACATCGGCAACAGCTCATTCAACCCCAGCCTCTGTTGGTGAGGCTCGTGGCGACGCTTTGTTGATTGGTCTACACATAGTGGGCTCTCTATATCGCCGGGCAACACAATCGACCGATGCTGGAGGCCAACTTACGAACAGCAGCGACTTCAACGGGTCAGAACCGCACTACGAACTGCGTTATCTTTGTCTGCTCTCGGAATTGGCTGGTTTCATTGTCCATGAGCTCAATGAGTCTCAGCAAGCTTCTCTAGAAGTGGAGAAATACGCACTTAACCTCTTCCGTGGGACGGAGGTCAACGTATCAGCATCGTCATCGTGGACTTGGTTGACTTCTGGTTACTTGGGTGTTCTGTCCCTTGGAATATTGGAGTCTGTACGGCCTGCTAGAATAGCCAAACTTGTGAGTACGCTACTGTGGACTAGATCTTGATGAATGCTGACATGGCACGTAGTACGAAACTGGCGTAGCACAGCAAATCCTAACCGAAGGGACAGCTACTAAAAGCCCTGTTCATGACTTCCCATTGCCACCTGTGAGCAGATCCGTCCTTGCCATATTGGCAAATAAACACGCCATCGAGGCCCTCGACTCCGTCATAGCGAATGTGACAAGGAGTTTGCAAGATGCTCTGCGAAACACCAGGATAAAAAGTGATAACGACTTATCAACAGCAAATCTGGAAACTTGCTTTTCTGTCTTCTCCTTGATAGCAGGACTCTTCAGACGATATACTGGCATCAAAATGCAACCTCTCATTCAGCTCTTACGTACTGCCCCCAATGATGCTCGGTCCGGCTACCAGCTCAGCCGAGGACTGGAAATTATCGTTGTCCCTCAGAAATCTCTGACAAAGGAGAACTTTGCTGTTGTCAGACCCCTCTGGCTCCAGAAGGTCTACATCGAGCTCATCAGTCCCATGCTAGGAGCAGCCTTGGGCAACGGCTCTGGCATTACCGATCCCCTTGTCAGGACCAACTTTGGCATATCAGTGCTGCTGATGGTCAAGCATTTGAGCTTTTCCATCTATGAACAGGATGCAGACAAGATTCTGCGAGTCGCCATTGCCATCGCTCAAAATCTCAGCATAGGATCCGACAGCATGGCTGCCTTGCAGGTGATCAAGGATATCCTGGTAGAAGCCTCCGAAAAGGCGCAAGAACACATCCGCAGCCTTGTAAAGATCTGTACCGGTATTTTCACAAGCAGGGAGCAGTCATCAGGTCGACCGGATTGGATGCCCGCGGGATACGGCGCCGGGGTTCCTAGTTTGGAAGTGGAAGCCGGCTGTGGTAAGATAGCGTTGGAGATTGTAGGTGGGCTGCCGCAAATGTTTGAGTCCCGCCATTTGTTGGCATTTGCGCCACAGGTTCAGCGGGATTTATCAACTGCATGTGGTCATAAGATGCGTGAACTGAGAAGTACAGCGCGGTTGGCGCGGGGTGCGTGGGCAGATGTGAGATGACTAGACGTTGGTATATCAGGGTGTGTGGAGGATTTCGACAATGATTAAGGGATGAAGGCGGTCATTAATAGATTCATCGAATACTTGGTACGGCGGCTTGTTATAAGAGCTACTCATAACGAAATTATTCTCGGGGAGAATGAACCGCTTTATACAACCATGATAGTCCCAGCACATGGGGCCTCGATTATTTGCAATATCAACGCCATGCCAAGCCAACCCACACCTCCCTTTGGGTGCCATGGGCTCACAGGTGAAACATCACGCCAGCATCCCCAATTAAGCTTTTCTCCGCTTGCCCTTGGCCCCTGTCGCAGCCGCACCCGTGGCAGTCCCAGCAGCCCCAGTCCCAGTCAACATGGCATCCAAAACCTCCGTGTTGGCACCATACACGTCCTGCGAAGCCGACATGATCTTCTTGGGGTCCTGCTTGCCAATAGCTGGGACGGAAGTAGCCAGGAATTCCTGAAAGGGCTTGGGCACGAAGCGGCCAGTCTCGTCGAACCATGACGCGAAGGGTTTCGAAATCTCAAGAGATTTCGGCTGGCCAGTCTTTTGTTCCGAGATGACAGTGACGTAGTACGTCGGGTCGTTTTTCTTTGTCCTGGTGCGGATCGTGATCTATGTACGTCTTGTTAGTTCCCCCGCTCCCAGGTCCGTCGAAGGGGATGAAACGGAACAATGCAAATGCATGACGACTCACCCGCTCTCCTGACGGGGTCGTTCCTTGGTACGCAGTGCCCTTCTCCACGGCCGCCATCCAAAATGTCAGAAAGCCATTGAGCAGGGCGTATACGGCAACAGCCGCGGCAGTGTAGTACTTTGTGTTGTCGAAGCCGAATTTGTAGTCCCATCCGAAGCAAGCGGCTGCAATGACGAACGCGCCGTAGCCCAGGGCCAGCCGGACGTCGGTCAGGAAGTGGGATTGTTTGAATTTCAGGGAGTTGAGGTAGTTGGGGAGAGCGTCATCGGATGTATTTTTGAGGTCTGACCTGGGTTAGACTTGGACCTGCGGGCGACAGCACTTGGATGCGAGGAAATACCTGCTAGATTGTACAGACTGATCTTCTCTGCGGCCATGATTGCGGTTCTTTCTTTTTTTTTTTGCCTATCGGCGGACTGCCCACGTTGCTTGCAGGATGAGGGGAACTGGAACTGGCGAACATGAACTATATTACGGGTTCGGATTGCGGCGAGGCGTTGAGCGGAAAGCTGGCCTTAGCTGGGGGCCCCGCGAAGCCAATGGTGCGCAGCCGTATCGGGAAGGCGGTGACGACAGAAGCCGAAGCTTCAACGGAGTGCTCTGCGTCCGACTGCTGGTCGAGCGACGAGCACGACCGCTTCTGAATCGACAAGTCAACGAGCCCTTGGAATTGCTCGATTTCTCCCCATTCTTTCTCCTGCCAGCGTCGACTTGAATCTTGAATTTATCGAAAATGGCCCAACTCCCTGTGCAGACGCTCCACCGGGACCCCCAGTTATTGTTCGCCAGACACCTCCCATTAACAGTATTCAAGGTCCGGATAAGATGTTAACGGTTTCACAGCTACTGGATCCTGATCCCCATCACCGTCGTCATGGTTCTCACCGGAGTTCTTCGTCATTACGCATCCGTCCTCATGGCCACGGCGCCCAAGAAACTCGACGCCAAGGGCATGCGGGAGCAGCGCGCGTTGGCTCACGGCGTCACCCTCCGGTCAAACTATCATGTCCTCTCGCAAAAGGCCTTTGAGAACCGCCGGGAGACTCTGTGTGCGGGATACGAGTCCGGCGCATACCTCAGGGAGCCGGATCGCAAGGGCCAGCCGCCCGCCAACCCGCTCACGGACCAGGGTGCCATGGACGGCATGATGGGCATGATGAAGAACAACATGGCCATGATCATTCCGAATACGCTTATCATGAGCTGGATTAACGCCTTTTTTAGTGGCTACGTCATCAGTATGTCTGACTGGCAGTGCAGGGGAAGGGGAGCGTTCTTGGGCAAGGGCTGACTCGGGTTTAGTGAAATTGCCTTTCCCGATTACCATCAAGTTCAAGAGCATGTTGCAGGCTGGCGTGCAGACCAAGGACATGGATCCCCGGTGGATGTCGAGTATCAGTTGGTACTTTCTTTGCATCTTTGGCCTCCAGTTTGTTTACGTCTTCCTCCTTGGGAGCGACAATGGTGAGTCTACGCTGGCTTCAATTCTTCAGATGGCGTGTTTGTGCTGACATGTCCCAGCCGCCAGTCAAATGGCCCAGCAAATGGCCGCGCAGCAAATGCCAATGAACCCCATGGGCGGCCCTGGCCAGGACCCCGACAAGCAGTTCAAGGCCGAGGCGGAGAACCTGGCCGTCATTGAGCACTACTCCGTGTTGGACGACGTCGAGGAGCGTCTGCTGCAGGGTATCAAGTCGTAGATTCATGCTAGATAATATGTACAAGTCTCTAGTCTGGCCAACGCGCGCCTCGCAACAGCGCCTCCGGTGAACTTGTTAAGCGCCGTCCCACCACAGACACGCACCAAGGCCCTCACGGGCCATGCTGCCCTTGATCCTGTAAGGCGTCTTGGCTGGAGCGTCTTCGCTCTGCGTCGGCCCAGCGGGCGTCTGGTCATGCCACTCTTCGTCGATGACCTGGAACCGGACCATCTCGTGGTTATCGTAGAACAGCCGGTCATCTTCGAGGTTCCAGATCCAAAGCTGCTCGTTGTGATTGCTGTCCGCTCGTCAGCAAAACCACAACGTACGAACTTGCCAGACCCCAGAGCTCATGCTCCCGCGGAAAGGCGCTTACTATTCCGCACCCTGCGGCAACTCCTCAAAGGGAACAAAAATATCGTCGAAAAAGTCCGTCCTCAAGTTGATGCCTGCAGGCGTAGAGCTCCGTATCCTGCCGAGCATGACTTCGCCCTTGAACGGGCGAAACACCACGATGCGGAACTCGACTGGTTTCGTCAGCAAGCCATTGACGCACACAGACGGGTGGCGAGCCTTCCCGTACCATTCACGTTGACTAGCCCCGTCCCATGACCTATCAAGCCTTCCGACGACCAGAGGATATCGTAGAGGCAAATGCACAGCCCAATCTTCTGTATGACCTACACGGGCTGAGTTGGCACGTTTGCATCCCAGATCAGGCGCGGTGGTGGGCAAGGGTGTACCTTGTTGGCGTACTTGGCATTGATGTTGTCTTCAATGGCGACTATGCTGTGTTTTGAAAAGTCCTCGGGCGCGATCTGCACCAGGTCCGAGATTTTGGTCTTGATACAACGTGGTCCTGTCAGCCGGCGGTTGCTGCGCGAAGTGAAGCGTCGAGGGACTTTGGCTTTACCAGAATGAACATGTTCGGATTTTGTTTTAGCCCTCCCATCAACAGGCAGACATGTGCAGCAGGGAGCGCCTTTGTCTGCCAGCGTTCGTTGAGGTCTGGGAACTATCAACAGGTTTATTATTTGCAGAGGTGATGGAAAGTTCGTGCACATCCAGCCAATCAAGTCATGGACCCAGGATGAGCTGGGCGAGCTGCATTCTGCCATGCACAGCTTGCAGAACCCATCTTCACCGCCTTCCTTGGGAGACCGCCGTGGGACCCACTAGCGCTAGGACCTTTCTCCTGTCGGGACAAGACAAAGAACTCGACTACTCGACTCGACTTGCCTTGACTTGACTTGGCTTTTCTTCTCTTTTGCCTGCCTGCCGCCTGCTTTTTCCAACTCGTCTCATCCATCCTTATCAGCCTGTGCTTGCATTCTGGATTTTTGTCTGATTCGATTCTGAGTCTTTGTGGGAGTCTTCAGGTTTGCGGTTGCATATTTCTTCCTCAAACATCTGACCGTCTACGTGCGCGCGCGCTCTTCATTTGCTCCAAGCGGTGGTTCCAACATCTACGACGCGGATATCCTACTTGATCTCGTATCACAACCCTGCGACGCAATTGCTTGAAACCTGTGTTCAATACTGATATACAGACAAGTGTTCTGTCGGTGGCGCCGCAAGCTGCAGCTACTCCAACCTACCCAAGTCGTCGCCATGTCTGGTTACGGCTATGGCCCTCCTCCTCCTCCACCGTCAAGTTCCGGGTACGCGTCGCATCCGAGCGCTTCATATACTCACAAGGGACCTCATCGAGGAGGCGGGGGTTTTTCAAGTTCTCGTGGTCGCGGCGGGCAGTATCCCCGTCCTCGAGACCATCATGGACCACCTCAGGCTCAGTTCGAATACCCGGGTCAACCCTATCCACCACATCAACCACATCATCAGGCCTCATACGGCGGAGCACATGCTCCTGCAGGCAGTTATCCGCCTCATCCGCCGCAATGGCCTGGCGAACATGGCGCCCATGCACCTCATGGCACACATCCCCATGCCCCTGCACCCTTGTCCGCTTCCAACTATCATCCGGGCTATGGCCCTCAAGCATATCCAGCAGCTGCCCAACATGTACAACCTCCATCATATGGCTCTGCACAACCATATGCTCAACCATACCAGGGGCATCCCGTTCAAACTGCGTCGCATTGGACTCCCCAGGGTCCTCTACAGCCCTCGCAGTATTCCAACAGTCGTGGTCGTGGGGGCTATGGCGACCGTGGGATCTCAAAGCCACACGTAGGAGGACATGTTCGTCACGGGTACGAGCATGAACCTGTACCGCCGGCCGTGGCGCCATATGGCCAGTCGTATCCTCACGACCCGCGTGCTCCTCATTTTCCTCCAGTGTCGTTTGTATATCCCGGTCCGCCTCCTGCATCATCGTCATCACGTCACGATGGCCATACTGGTCATCACTCAAGGAGAGGTCGAGGCGGTGGGCATAAAGATGGCTTGCGCGGCCGTGGCGGTCATCACAATAATCCCCATCACAATAAGAATCGTGCCGGCAAGCAACACAGCAACGATAATAAGCCCAAGCCAGATGCGCCCTCGGTTGGAAAGAAGAAGAAACGTAAGGTGAACACTCTCGGCCTAACACCAGGGGTAGAATCCGAATCCGAAGATGATGAGGGTGAGGAAAAGATCCTCACCGACTTGATTGGTGCTGAAACCCTGCAGTAAGTGAATCCATCAACCTGTTTGAAAAAAAAAAAAAAAAAAACCACTGTGGATCATGCGCTAATGGTGCGACAGAATCAGTGACGTTGCTGCATTTTTGGCTGAACGACGAAAGAATTATCCTACAAAATCACGAGTGGAGGCAAAGAAAGCTGCCGAGATGGCACAAAAGGATCAAGCCAAGACGGCAGAGCTGGAAAAGCAGGCGGACAAGCTAAGGAAGCAACTTCGCAAGGTTGAGTTCTCCATCAAGCGAAAGCGAGAGCAGGGCGACGAAGGGGATGAGATGAGAGACCCATCTGAAGACTCGGACGACGAGAAGCCAGAAGTTGCGTCTTCTCGAGTACAAACCGCACCACCACAACCCCCTGCCAAGAAGGCGGACATATCTCGTCACTGCAAATACTACTCAACTGGGGGTACATGTGGGAAGAAAGGCAAGTGCCGCTTCGTTCACGATCCTGAAGTTAGGGAAGCAGCGATCAAAGAGCGCGAAGCCAATAACGGCCGCTTGACCATTCAGCAACGTTTGATTTTGAATGACAAAGACCAGGAGGACCTGGCCGTTCTTCAATCCATCAAGTATCTGCGGCAAAAGGGTATGATGGCATCTACTTCTAATGAAGCTGATGAGAAAGGAGGGAATGAGGAGAAAGGGACAGGGCCGGACGATGACACGGATAACAACCAAACCACCGACGCGGCGCCAGTGCCTGCGGCGTCTCGGTCCAGTCTCCTTCCTGCTGCTCCAGCCTCTCTGCCAACCCCACCTGTCAAGAGAAAAGCCAGTACACCGCATCAGAATAGTACTCAGCCTTCGAGCCTCCCAAGTGCTGACAGTGCCAGCGATTCGGGTGTGAAACATTACGAGGGTTGGCTTCTACAGCCGTATGGTAGTTCGAATGGCGACAAGTCCAAGGCGGACGACCTGCCTTGATGTAGGCTGTACGGTTTTTGGTAACCAAATGTGTGTTGTCAATGGCTCTTGTTTATTGTGTAGGTTTTCTCATGATAATTCAGTATAGTTGTGCATTGCAGCAACGGCACTATGATCATACGCACACACTCGCACGCATGCACGCACATGTGTACCTCTACCTAGATACTTAGGCAGACCACTCCTGAGTGCTTGCGTGCCTCACTTTTTGAACTTGAATGAAGAGTGCGCCATCAACGTGGAATTTCGCTCCGACAAAGCAGGCACATGCGGACAGTGTAGGTGTTTTTGAGTTTACAAATGTTGTCATTCTATGGTCTGAATCCAACTCACCGCTCCGAAACCAACATCACGAGTGCTAGCTGAAAGTGATGCACAGCAAACTAAGAATACATACAAAACTCCGTCGCTAATGATGACTATGCTACCAACCACGTCACCTAGGCCCGTCTGAAACGCCATCTTGTCCAGCTTCCAATTTGTACGGTTCCCATTCGGTAATAGAAAGAACGCAGTCTGGTATCACATGAAAATATGAGCATGCGTCGTGACGCGAACCTACCGTCTCCTTGCGCGAAGCGCCTCGAGGGCCTTGCGTTTCCGATCTTCCTTGGCTGCCTTGAGAGTCTTCTCTAGACGCTCTTCCTCTAGGTCTTCCTTGCGGCCGATGAACTCTGCGCGGCGTTCTTCCTTGTCGAGCTCATCCAACCCGGCTTCCATATCCGAGGAACCTTCCGAGTCGTAGCCGTATCGAGGGCCCCCTTCTTCCTCGTCGTCGTACTCAATAAAGTCATCCAGGTCCTCGTCGTAATCGTCTTGAAGCCGTGAATTTTTGATTGCAGCATGTCGAGGGGCGTGAAGCAACGCCCCTCCGCGGGGTGTGTCATTCTTCCGGGTCGGATTTCCTGGCTTCGGTCTCGCGGTGCCCGTGTAACCGGTGGTGGCTTGAGCTGCTTTCTTGACCTTCTTGGCCGCCTCTTCCTCGGCTGGTGCTGCTTTGCCACGAGCTGCGGGAGGCTGGGCACCGGTGCCGGAACGGGCGTCTGTGGCATGACCCGATGGCCGCTTGTGGCCGTTGACGCCATTGCGCTGACCGGGCTTCGATGTCCCCGTGTATCCACCAACGGTTCGTGCTTTGGAGGACGCCGCAGGAGGCGGATCGTCTCGAGCCTTCTTGGTGGCACCTTTCTCGACCTTCTTGTGCTGGATCTTGCCGACTTGGCCCATGGTAGCCTGAGCTCTTTGTCCACGAGCCAGAATCTCGGCAAATGATCCCTTCTTCGGAGGAGCTTTGGACGAAGCGACCACAGGCGATGGCGCAGGTCGACTGTGAAGACACGGTTTCGCGGACTTGAGTGTCGGGCTGCGGGCCCTGAGGGCGGATGTGTTGCCGCGCCTTGCACTTCCAGTATACGGCTGTTGTTGAAGGGCCGACCTGTCACCGCCGGAGCTCGGTGTCTGAACAGCACCACCGGGCAAGGCTATCCGGCGTGATGCCTTGGAGCCATCGCCACGCAGATCATCATGATCAGGCTTGCGTTTACTCGGAATGACGTCGATCGTCTTGGGCCCCGGAGCGGACCCGGCAGTCGACTTGCCGCCGCTAATTTGGGCCAACAGGTCTCCGATCTGCATTTTGAGATGTCAGTTGATGAACCACGCCTTGGCGAGGCGAAGATGTCCGAAATGGAGTGGAGCATACCGGCATTGTCGGTGCCTTATCGGAAGCCCTCCCACCAGCCAGTAGGTGATAATCTGGCCTCTCTCGACAGGGGCCAGAACGTGATGGAAATACGTGTCCCTCTGCTGTCTTCCCCGCGCTCCTGCAGCAGGCATGCGTTGGTGTTTATGCAACGCAAGGCATGGAGAAACGGTGGGAGCCAGCTGGTCTAATCTCGTCAGGCAAGGTGTCGTAAATCGACGGTCTCGACGAAGCAGAGGAACGCGGGGCGTGAGCCAGTGTCTAGGCTTTGAAACGACGATGAACTCCTGCGATAGACAAGAGATTCAGGGAAGAAAAGATACCGGTAGAAGTCCCAACAGGCCACAGCACAGAGCAGAACAAGTGAAGCAAACAGTCCGAGGTTGACGCCTGGACAGCGCTGCAGCGGCCGACTCCATGGCTAATGTACGCTTCTGGGGGTGGGCGCCAAATGGGCGAATAAAAAACGCCACAAGCTCTCGGACGCAAGCCGGGCACGTGATGCCCAACCTTTGTAGCTCGAAGTCGACCAGATTGTCTGTGGCGGTGCGACTCTAAGAGGTGAGCACGACTTGTCAGGTGGCTAGTGAGACACGAATACGTACCAACGCAGTCTGTCCGTGGCGCAGAAAGCGTACGCCGTTGGTGCCCCCACATTTCCATTCCCCTTGAACCCGAGGTCCGCCCTAACTGGTTTCGCTAATCACGTTTTGGTCGCCCACAGGGTTGCAAAATTGGCCTGCCACTTTTGTGCGGCTCCGCCAACTTTTTTCTGCTTGTCTCCAACTCCAACCACACCTCACCGAACTCGAAGGCTTCAGTCTCCGCCCAACTTGCGGTTAAATTGATTGATTTCTCGTGTTTCTTGACACTGAACTCGTGAGTACGCGCTCCGGATCTCCCGTGAGGCTCGCAAGGCGTCCCGATTCGTTGTCGATTCTGGTTCATTGCTTGTCGCCCTGGGATAACTCAAACGCTTCCAGCATCGAGCTCAAAAAAGTCTAACCAAAGCTTCAATTACAGTCGCCACGTTAAAATGAAGCACCTGGCCGCATACCTCCTTCTCGGCCTCGCCGGCAACAACTCTCCCTCTGCCAAGGACATCAAGAACGTCCTCTCGGCCGTCGGGATCGAGGCTGACGACGACCGCCTGAAGACTCTCCTCTCCGAGCTTGAGGGCAAGGACATCGCCGAGGTACGGGACCAGTGCTCCATTTTCCGACACGCAGAGTTCTTTGATGCTAATCGCTGCCACAGCTCATCGCCGCCGGTTCCCAGAAGCTCGCTTCCGTTCCCTCTGGCGGTGCTGGCGGTGCCGCCGCTGCTGGTGGCGCTGCCGCGGCCGGTGGTGCCGCCGAGAAGGCTGAGGAGAAGAAGGAGGAGGAGAAGGAGGAGTCCGATGAGGACATGGGCTTCGGTCTGTTCGACTGAGTGGTTTCTTTGGAGAGGCCAGCAGGGTTACGGCGCACGAATTTTTCGGAAAAGTTCAGGTCGGGTTGTGCCACGGTTCGTTAATGTCTTGTCTAAGGGCGCAGGGGGATCGGCCGATGGACTGGGCTGGCGTAACTGCTTTTACAACAACGCGGGCGTGGTAGATGCCGGTTCGTGGAATTTTACGACTTGCAACTTTCTGACTGACGCCGTCCTTTGACTATGCTGTGCATGTGACGGACCTGTGATGATTACACTCTGCCCCCCATATCAAGGTACTGTAACCCAATGAATCCCAACGCCGCGCTAATGCAACCAAATAGATGACCAAAAAAAGTAAAGACAAATGAAAAAAGAAAATAATGAGTAAATCAAACCAAAGCCACCCTCCCTCCGTCTACTATCGCTTCGCCCACGATGACGGCCGATAAGACGCTTCCTCCTCCCCTGACCACGAAAACCTCGCCGGTAAATGAGCATCTGCCATGGTAGCAGGATAGCTTGGCAACGGCGTGTTCCCGGGATCTGGCGTCGTGGGCAGTTCTGCCGGGGGCTGCCACTGCGGAACACCCTGGTGACCCTGCATTGTAGAATACCCCCCGGGAGACATGTACGTGGTTACGGGCGAAGCCTGGCTGTCAGTCAAAGCGCGTCAGTGACCCGGAGGACCGCCGTGTCAAGTTCACGAGAGCCAGCATACCAAGTGTACTGGGCTCCGTCCCACGTCTGGGGATCCGTTGGGGAGACGGCATCGTGCTGGTTATTCGCCACCGTGCTAGTCGACGCCCAAGACTGCTCACGATGCAATACCGGGACTTGCGGCTGTTCAGGCTGCTTGGGCGCATTCAGCAGCCACGGAGGATACGCCTCGTGGACCATTGATGGCCCGGGCCATTTCTGCTCCTCCAGCGCCGACGATCCGCAGTGCTTGCATCGGAAGCCCTTTCTGGCGCAGATGATGGCCGCGGACGCAACCACCAGGACGACGACGGACGCGGCCACTCCCACGGCGATGACCACCAGGCACATTGCGCCGTAGGAGTCTCTGCCTTCACTCCGTCGGGTGAAGGGGCTCTTGGCGGAGGTGCCCGCGGCGCGCATGTCGGCGTGCCTCGGGGCCAGCGAGGACGTAGTGAGAGGCTGGGCGGCGTCTCGAATCTGCTGCATACACGTGAGTTGGTGAGTGGCAGATCGGCGAGGTCATCTTGGTGCACGACTATCTGACCTTTGGCCCCAGTACTTTGCGCGGCACAACGGCGTCCGCCGTTTCCGCAGCCGGCAACGAAGATATTGACGGCAGCATGCTTGCATGTGGTGCGGAATGGTCTCCCGAGGCCGGTCTATTCGCAGGGGCTGCGTCTCCAAGCACAACCACGGAGAGTAACAACTGTACAAGGAGAAGAAGAACCGCCATGTTGCTCCGCGCCCAGCGCCAAGTGTCAGCGACGGAGGAGGGGGCGTTTGTCTTTGGGGCAGGGATGAATCGAGACTTGCTCGAGATGATTATGCCACATAAATGTACAGACGTTGCACTCTCGACCCGAACCGCCGCGGTGATGGCGGCACGCAGACTCGCGACTTATATAACCAGATGTCCTCGCATGCAGGCCATCGCTTGATCCACCGCCTGCCACGCTCCGTCGACGCCGTTCGGGGTGTCCAGAATTCCCAGAGACAGGAGAGGCCGTGTGGCCAAGGCTCAGTTTCACACCTTTGATTGGTTTCATGGTCCCCAGGTGCGTGTGTATGCCTGTGAAGCCTTGCCAACGGTCGCCAGGAACCCGTTTCTGGGGTCAGCATCGTGTCCCATCCGCCACCACCAGCCGGGGAGGGGACGGGGAGGAGGGGAGTCGGATCGGGAGGCATCTCATCAGCCAGCTTCTCTTTGTTACGGGCCCTTCGCCTTGGGGGAAGCTCAGACCACGACCACGAGCCAGCAACAAAGCCGGAAACGGCAACTCGACTAGCCTCGTTTCGCGATTTTAATTCCCGCGTGGGCTCTTGTGGGCTCTTCCTGCTCGACGCAGCCTGCGTGCGGATACGGGGACGGGGATATGCGCACGATGCTGGTGCTAATGCAACGGGCGCAGCGGCACGGGTGCATGGCATGAACCGCGCGGGGGCAGAGGAGGAGGAGGAGGAGGACGGAGACCCGTGCAGGCTTCTGCTAGTCGAATAAATCCCTGAGGACCTGCCGGATGGGGGGACGGGACCATGACTGTGAGTTCGAAATTCGACGAGGCTGGGAAAGCCTGGTACGTCCCTGCGCGGGCGTCTCATCTGCGGACCGGCACGATGCTGCGACCTTGATGGCAACAGCTGCGAATGGGCGACCACGACGAGAGGCCGAACCAGAACAAGCGTATTGGACCAAGCCAGGTGAGTGACTTGCGTCTCTGGGGAAAGGGAGGGAAAGGCCACATGATGCAGTCTCGACAGGTGCTGATGTCGCTGCATGTTCCACGAACAAGCCTGTCTGTCCTGTTCACGAACCATTCGTCACACCTCCCTCGACGGACGAGCTGAACGGAACCAACAACAGTATAACCCTAGGCCCGTCCGTCCGTCCCCTCGAGTGCCGCTCGCTCCGAATCGTCTACCCCCCCCCCCCCATGAGCCCTCGCAGCCTCCGCTGACAGATCGCCAAGCGCAAGCGTTTCATCCTGCAACCAGACAACAAAGACGTGCTGTGCTGTGGAACGGTGCTCACATCTTCAAACTAGGCAGACGCATATACACCCGCCGGGGGTCTGGGCGACCTGACAAACCAGAAACCCAGGGCCTCACGAGACCACGTACGCGTACGGCGGCCATATCGTCCCTCCCAAACGTCGCTGAAGCCGATGCCAAGGTCGGGGTGCAGCATGCCTCATCCGCCGCCACTGTGGACATGAATCCCCAAAATAACAGGGACTTCATCCGTGTCCTGTGTCTTCTGACGGAAACAATACGCGTCCCGCCCGCCCGCCAGTGCTGCGAGTACTTTAGCTTGTGTGAGCCGCACCGCGCCCAGATCACCAGCCGGCCAGAGAGACGACAGCCCGGTCACGGTTACGGGGGAAAAGCCGTGGGGCTCTCACCCGATGGACGAGGACTAGGGCTGGCCATGAAAACGAGAACTCCCCCCCCCCCCTTCGGACTTGGGAATTGCGAATTGGAGCGTGTCGTGTCTGGCGGGACAACTCGCGGCAGGGAGGAAGCGTCGTCTTCATGTGGTCATGGTCGTCGAGGGTTTCTTTGTTTCGCGCCGGCGATTGTAGATTGGTATTTCTTTCGCCAAGATGCTTGAGGGTGCAGACAAAGAAGATTATGTCCGTCGGGGCGTATAGTCGTCGTGCTTGAGCCATCACCTTGACTCGCCGGAAGTCGAAGCGGGATATTAAGCGACGACCCAGATCGCGGACGAGACGCATTTGTCCTGCGAAATCGGCCGCATTGCCATGGTTGCCGAGTCTGCTTTAACGGCATGGGCAACTTTTCATTTGCTACTATCGTATCTCTTGGAATTCACGCGGACGCACTGCTCGCAAAGGTCACGTGTGTGTGCAGCTTCTACCGAAAGAGAAGCCAAACCAACACAACGAGACGAAAAGGTTGGGTCTGATTTGTGCTTGACATCTCCTGAAACAAGCCACTGTGCGGCGTTCTTGCCAGGCATTTACTTTGCTGCATGCTGCGCGCAGTAGCTTACGGTTCGTATTGTATCGAGTCTGTCTAATTTTCCTCTCACCCTATCCTCTATGTAGTATTCATAGTACAACAACATCATTGCGTCTTCGTCTTTGGCGACTTCCACGTCACCAGACCACTATCTACCAGCACTTTCCAGAAACACCAAAAGTAACACAGCATGAAACCGGCGCAACCGACGCCGACATTGGCCACCACCCACAAATCCGGCTTGTCGGCGGGCGGAGGCACCATGGCGTTGACAAAATGCCAAATGCCCATAAATACATAGAAGCACGAATGAATCATAAAACTTGCCCACTGCTTGAGTGCGGGCCCGGCCTCCATGAACGGGGCGGTCCAGCACGTCGGGGGGAGTCCAACAAGGTACGCCCACAACAGGGTCAACACAGCATATGGCACAGCGAGATCTACTCTGCTGAGCAGTGGGAACATGGTCCAGGCTCCGAGAAGGTTAGCGAATCCGACCCACGATCGCGTGTCGCCATTGAGTCCCTGCTTCCCAGCAAGCAACAGGGTCATTGGCATCAATGGGAGGAGGACGCTCTTCTCATGGACCTGGTAGCTGAACAAGAAAAATCCCCAGGCGGTGGCCGCAAGTGCTGACGGCAAGAGTTTTTTATCCGGGCGAAGGAAGAGTACCAGATTTGGGGGTACAATGGACAAGAGCGTGGCGCCAAGGGCCGCCTTTTGCAGCACGTCGGCAGGGAACTTGCGAAGCTTGAGGACCACGTTGACGGCGCACCAGAAGTTGGCCACCTTGTCCTCGAACAGTCCTCTGGAGAAGGGGAAGATGCGGTGCAGCATCTGAAACAGTTGCTCTACCACAGCACAAAGAGCAGAGCGCCTATCGAGATATTGACCAACGGCAGGGAGCAGCGGAAGCGGCGGCGGCGGCCCGTCCGCGTCAGGGCGGGCGTCCACTCCCCTATGCCTGTCGTATAGTGTGCCGATGATCGGGGGTAGGATCAGAGCCGCGAATGAGGCAATCGTGACCGAGGCGATGCCGACAAGCCGCATTGCGTTGACACGAGGCTGCACGCATTTCCCCAGCAGGTAGGCGAACACGGTGAAGGCATAATAGAGCGCCATTTGTTTGAAGCCAAGGGCGGCCACGAAGAAGACAGCCGCCCACTTGTATCTTTCGGCCGACATGCTGTTGATGCTGGCGAGGACAAGGCCGAGCATGACGGTGTTGTACTGAAAGTGAACATGGTCGACTAGGATGGTGGCAGGTTGCATCAAAATGGCCACGAGGGCCACGGAGCTGGTCCAGGCAGCCACGCCATTTAGTTTGCTGTATCGTCGAGCAAAGACCACGGCCGCGGGGATGTAAATGAGGTACTCGGAAATGATGACTGTTGCCCTCATGAAAGTTTTCAACGTCGGGTCGTGGGAGCCTCGGGAGGTAAAAAGCGCGAACCAGGAGGGCTCGATCAAGCCTCCAATCCTGCCCATGAGCCAGCTGTGGTACGCCGTAAGAGGCGGATAATCGAGCCCCCACCATTGCAGGTCATGGAAATACCATTGCGAGATGGGAAGCTGCGTCGTCACCTCCATCCAGTGTCGTTGCGCTTCATAGTCACCGAACATGGGAGGGCGTTGGAAGCCTGCGTAGGGACGTCTTCTGTTAGACATGTTCAACCGCCGTCCAGTCTGCGTTGCGTTGGCTCACCAGAATAACCCCAGAGGCCTGCGGCCCATCGGAACAGGCCAACGACCATCAAGATTGCTGGAAGCACTTCCCATTGTGTAGACGACGTCCGGGCCGGCCACATAAACGCCGCCAAGGGGAAGGACGGCGCTCGAACCAGCAGAGCTTCAGATCTCGCCCACGCAGGCTTGTGGCCGCCATTGCCTTGGTTCAGCTTGCGCCTGGACTTGCGAGGTGAAGGGCCTGACCCTGCCATTCTGAGGGCAACGGCGCGGACGAGGTCAATAAGGGGCCGCGCTCGTGATGCTCATCGAGGGAAGGGCGGTGGTCGAGGCACGGCAAAGTGGCTTCATGCTGCTGCTTGATGTGGGTGGAGCTTTGTCCCTTTTCAACGCAACCCTAACCCTATGTCAGCGCATGACGCGATGCGCATAGTGCGGGCTGCACTCCCGAAAACAGTGCAACACATGATGAATCCCAAAGGCCAAGACTTTTTCCTTCCCTTCGCGACATCATGTTGTCTCGGTTTCCAAATCTCGAGAACCACCAGCCGAGGCTCCCTCCGTAGACTCCACTGCACCAAGATGCCTTTCCCTTTTGTTCTCCCCACGACATCCGCATTCTCCTTCTCCTCGTGTTTCAGCTGTGATTCACACCCATCGCTCCCCTTGACCACCAGCGGCCGGCGAGGGGTGGTAAGAGATGCCCTGAAGAAGCACAAACGGTCGCCGCCGAATGCGCGCATCGGAAGTCTGGCCACCGTCGTCTCCAGCATCGACGGCTACCTGCCTTACCTGCTCGCCGTGGACGCTGGCGTGAGCTCGCAGTGCTTGGACGGCGGTGAGGTCATAAGCGTCGTTTTGAAGACGGCGCCGTCCATCGGCTGGAGGCCAACATTATCCGGCGACATTGTCCCTGGTAGAGAAAGATCTCGGATCAAGATCACCTCGTTGGAATATGAAATATTCTTCGTCTTGTCCTCGCTGGCGTATGCATACACCTTGACTGCCAGATCGACGTTGCACCCGTTGTACACGACCACGACCGATTTCTTGGGCATCAAAGAGAGGACGACTGCCGTCACGACGGCCACAAAGTATCTGCTCGATGCTGCGTCGCTGTACGACTACCTGTCCTTGCGGAGCGAGCAAATCTCCAGCACGGCACCATGCGCAGATGTTGCGCCCACCACGGCGAGGGCACTGTCGTCCCTGGCTCTGGCAGAGGCAACACTGCTGGCCGTGCTCAAGGATGATCCCTATCCGGCAGCGGTCGCCCAGGGCCGCAACGAGACCGACAAAGAATGGATGTTCAAAGCCCCCGATATACCCAAAGTACGAGCCCACCTCTTCGCTCGCCTTTGTCTCGCCGCGTCTGAACACGCAGCTGAGGCCGCGTCACTACTACAGTCCGCCGGTTCGGGTACCAACAAGGTGAACCCAGTGCTTCTGAAGTACCTCGAGCATCTACGTCGCACAAGCAGAGCAAAGGCCTGCCGATTCTTCGGCATCGACGCCGAGCTGGGCGGACAGACTGCTGAAGGTATTGGCTGGCTGCGGGTGGGTCTGCAAGAATTAGGCGTCGAGGTCAAGGCGGCGAAACAGCTGAGCTTCGGGCTGAGCAGGCTGAAGAAAGATATGACCGAGAAGCGGGAGGATCGCCGCGTGGAAAGGGAGACGGACTGGGGCTCGGATGCAGGCAGACTTGAGGAGACGAGGATCATTGAGTTGCTTGACAAGAAGTGGAACAAGATCAATGACACCGTGAGCCTACTGCAAGCGATTTGCACTGCTTACGGGTTCGAGCTGACGTGCCTTGTAGATGAACACGAGGGCTATTCCGCCGCCCAGCACTCTCCTGCCCAAAATGCCATCTGGCCGAGAGATCTATACCGTCAAACCGTACCAGCCGCCCACGCTGGATCGGCATGTGTTGGAAGCCATGCGGTCACCACCCGACAGGGAAGACGATCTCGCCGGTGATCTGAGCTCAGATGATGACGCCAGCGGACCATCGGCACCGTCGGGCGCGTTTCCGGGGACATCAGCAGAGTACGGCGTGAATCGCAGCGGCAGTGGTAGCGGCAACGCATACTATTAGTCGTAATATCAGACTGATTCTCATTCAACTCGAATGCATAACAGTTATCTAGCTACCCTGGCATTGCTCGACCCCTCGCGTCTCCTCACCAGCAGCCACGTCATCCGCACATCATCCTCACACGTCAGTCGTGGTGGCCACCGGGACATGCGGCTTCGGCGCCTTGGTCGGCCCTGGACAGGGAGGCTTGGTGATAGCCAGAGGACGGCAATCGGGAACACAGCTGGACCTATTAGCTGGGCCCAACCGCCGGCAATAGGTCTACTCACCCCCCGTACCGTATGCCACATTCGTTTATGGCATCAATGCAAATAGTGCGAGTACTGCAGTTGTCTTTGACTTTGGTGGTAGTTTTGGGGATGGCCGTGCATGGCGGTTCAACAGGCGTCTCATCCTCGCACGGGTTATAACACCTACGTCTCGTCAGTCGAGCTCAACAGATGGCAAGAGCGGAAAAGGAGGAGGGAAAAGTTCATGGGATAACCCATCAAGGGCGCTCTGAAGTGGCAGGGAGAAATCATACCCTCCCCAGCGTTGTCCACAGTTAGTCTGCGCATCAAAACATATCCTTTCACAGGGGCCCGGACCCTCGGCGTACGGAAACGCAGCAACAAGGCTGCCCAAGGCCAGAAATCCCAGAACAGTCTTCATCTCGTACATCAAAGCAAGTGCCGTAGATGGGAAAAAAAACTCGCACACAGCAGCAGCAAAAGAGTTCCGTGTGGCACGCGGTGCGATGAACCAGGCATATATATACCTTGAAGCAACCATCCGCCCTCACACAGACCATACAGTCCCCCCAAAGCAGAACGTACAAACTCACCAGCATGCCGCGGAGAAAAGTCAACTGCTGCTTACTCTCTAGTCCCTCGCGGTCCGTCAATCAGAGGCGCAATACTCGACAAGGCCAGTTCCCCGAGCCGCGGGGGACTCCGGTTCCCCTGCCCCCTTAGACAATACCGCCTCCAGCACCGGCGAGCATGCGCATGCGCTGACGCCGTCGTAGCTACCTACATGCTGCATGGTGATCATCACACTGTCGACTGTGCTGTGCTTTCGTCGTTGCGCGTGCTTCCCGCCCTCGCCACTCTCACCAGTGAGATTCCGCGGCCCAAGGCGCCCTCGTAAAAAGTCCCCCGGCAACCAGGCAGCCTTGCTTCCGCGCCTCACAGCTTGGCGGTGTCATGGTGACGCGCACTCGCGCACAACTTGAGAGCGGCACCGGGAAGCAGACGGCGCCGGAAGGGCCGGGCCACGACCTCTCATGCAGGCGATGACATCTGGGGTAGCCTTGTCCGTGGGCACGTATCGCCACCCGCTCAAATTACCGAGGTAGTCCTCCGTACTCTGGAGTTGTGCATATTTTCTGGTTTTCCGATATACGCATGGATATGCGTGGCCACTTGCGGCAAACCTCGACTCGACGTCTGCACGTCGCCCAACACAGCACGGTCTAGCCCATGAATGTTTGGCCACGACTTCAAATCGGTGGCAATGCAGAGGCGCCAGGAGCCAATGGCAAATAAAGTCGAGCCAGACCGTAAGAGGGAGAAAGGAGGCACAGGGGCCGTACTTGGATAGGAGGAAGACGTGTTCCCAAGACACGGCGCTACTTGGCTGCGAATACCTGGGTACCCAGCAGATAATAGATTGTTTCCCTGGCGTGATTTGCGTACCAACGATGCGTGGAAGAACCATTCGGGTAATTAGAACAAGTTTGTTTCCTTGAAGCTGCTTCTGCCTATCGACATGGACGTACACTACTTATGCTTGTACACAGGGGTCGTGATTATCCCCTTCCCAGACCTCCGCCTCCTCAGCCGCTCTGATTTCACTGCGGCAGCCCTGGCACGGTGACAACAGAAGAAGCCCCCCCCCCGGGCCATTCGGTAGCCACCCAACTGGATTTACTTCACGCGGCTTACGCGAATGCCATCTGCTTCTTGATCTCGGCGATGGCCTTGCCGGGGTTCAGGCCCTTGGGGCACGCTCGGGTGCAGTTGAGGATGGTGTGGCAGCGGTACAGGCTCATGTTGTTCTCGAGGTTGGCGCGACGCTCGGCTGCGCGCTCGTCTCTCGAGTCGGCCAGCCACCGGTAGGACTGAAGCAGAATCGCAGGTCCGAGGTATTCCTCCGAGTTCCACCAGTACGAGGGGCAGGACGTTGAGCAGCAGGCACAGAGAATGCATTCGTACAGCCCGTCCAGCTTCTTCCGGTCCTCCTTGCTCTGACGGTATTCCTTGCCCTGGGAAAATCGTTAGCCAAGCCGACTCCTGTCTTTTCCCGGCGCAGCTGCCAAGAGTCCAACCTACATCAGGAGCGGGGGTGTCGCGCTGCAGGTACGGCTTAATGGACTTGTACTGCTTATAGAAGTAGGTCAAGTCGGGGACGAGGTCTTTGACGACGTAGGTGTGAGGCAGTGGATACAGCTTGACGTCGCTGGAGCTCTCGGCGGGGATTCGGCCTGCACACTGGTGGTCAGTTCCATGATTTTCCGCACAGGCTCCCGCGTCGAGCTCAGACAGATGTCTGGGAATGACGCAGCACGTACACAGGCAAGCTAGGGTGTTCTGGCCGTTGATGTTCATGGCACAGCTACCACAGATGCCCTCGCGGCAACTTCTTCGGAAGGTCAGGGTAGGGTCGAGCTCGTTCTTGATGCGGACAAGGGCGTCCAAGACCATGGGTCCCGTCTTGTTCAGGTCAACAGTGTAGGACTGCATTCGAGGCTTTTCGGAAGGGGTGTCGGGGTTCCACCGGTAGACCTGGAAGGTCTTCATGTTCGGAGCCTGTTCGTGAGAAGCCTCGCTGACCGAGGCCATTGAGCGCGTGAAGCAGGCGCCATGGCGCATGGCTGTCCTGACGGGCAAGCCGAGGGTTCGTAAAGAGGTCGAGCGGAGCGCTGCCATTTTCGCGACGAGGGAGCGGCAAGGTCGGCAAGCGACGAGAAGAGGGGGCAGACAAAAAGAGGTGAAAGCGACAGCCGCCACTGGAACCGACGACACGGCTGTTCGATGGTCAATGGTCAATGTTTCAATGATGACTTCCGCCGCCTGAATCGCGCTGTTGAGGCTCGGGAGAGACGTAGAATGGTATACTCGAGTATGTGTTTTGTCGTGGACTCCAGAGATGAGCGTAGATTGTAGTAGGCTGTAGCCATCCTCGGTTACTGGAACACTGGGACGAAGAGTATCCGGCAGCCAATCAGAGCTGCGACATTGTCAATTCGGCTAACAAGGAGAAAGCCGGGCAGACGCTTGTGACTGGCGGGTGAAGGCCGGATAACAAGAATTCCTCGGGGAGACGGGGGCTCGGAATTGGCATTAGGTAAGGCAAGTCTGTGATTGGACCCAAGGCAAAACCCCCAAGGTTGCACGGCAAGCACGTGGTCGCCATTGGTCATTGGTTGGGGAGGTCGATGTGGGCGAGGGCAACCAGTTCATGCCTGTGACGCTCCCAGATGTCCGCTATCCCACGGCAGCAGCCGCCTGTGATTTACTCGGCCCCCAGCGCGTGCCGGCCAACTTACGGCTGCTCAGCGCGTCGACCCCCCCCAGGCAGCCCGTGGAGAGGTGACGGGCCTCAGCTCCAGAGTGCACATTTCGACTTCCCATGTCCGACTTCAATGCTGACAAAGACCAGGTGACGTCTCGGGCAGGCAGTCGCAACCCCAGAAGTTTTTGGTTCTTGTTCTCGTGACGTCGACGCAAAAGTCTTGCCAGACCCGTCATGGCTGTCTTTCTCGTCTGAGTGCTGCCAGGTCGCTGGACGATCGCACGAGCATACTTGGCCCTCGTGCGTCGAAAATCTTCTTACCCAACCCAGATGGCTGCATCCAGGGCCAGGGTTGCCAACGCGACACCGTGGCAAGCCGCAATGCGAGGTACTCACGAGTCACGGCAACCACGTCTTCTTTTCTTCAAAACAAATCCCAACTGACCATGTCTTTGCTCACCAGTGTCCCCTCTCACTCACACCAAGCACACCTCCGCGCTCGCCTTGCGGCTGCCAAGACCAGACGCTCCCCGGATATCGCCATATTCAACGTCCTCGACACCATTGCCTACACCTCCCCGGTTCTCATACCACATCGCCGCCTCCTTCATCGCCAAAGACTGCCCTTACGACCCATCCGCCCACGTGTTCCACTTCAACCCGTATAACCGAATCCAACCACCCCGTCACCGGCGCCGCTCCTCCCGCCCCAATTCCGGCCACGATGCCTTCTTCGTCAGCCGCATCAACGACTCTGGAGCAGTGGCCTTTGGAATAACTGATGGCGTAGGCGGCTGGGTAGATTCGGGCGTCGATCCGGCGGACTTCTCGCACGGCCTATGCGACCACATGGCGGCCTCGGCGTACGAGCACGATGCGGCAAAAAGCCCGCCTCTGACAGCGAGGAGACTCATGCAGCAGGGATACGATGCCGTGCACAGAGACCGGTCATTACATGCTGGCAGTAGCACGGCCTGCGTCGGAATAGCATCCCCAGACGGAACGCTGGACGTGGCCAACCTGGGCGACTCGGGGTTCCTGCAACTTCGTCTCAACGCCGTAAACGCCTACTCGGAACCGCAAACCCACGCCTTCAACACGCCGTTTCAGCTGTCCCTCATACCGTCAGGTCTCGCCGCACGAATGGCGGCCTTTGGCGGCCAGCAATTAAGCGATTTGCCTCGCGATGCAGACGTTTCCCAGCACCATGTCCGCCACGGCGACGTGCTCATGTTTGCGACCGACGGCGTCCTCGATAACCTCTTCAACCACGACATTCTTAAAATCGCCAGCCGCGTCATGGTCTCGAGCGGCGCCTGGAAAATGACCCCCTCCGGCGGAGTCCGCGTCGCCGACTCCATCGACTCACTAACGAGGCCATCAAGCTTCTTCGCCGAGGCCGAGGCCGATTCCGCCGGCAAGCCCTCCAGGACCGTTACCCTGCAAAGCCTGCTTGCCACAGAACTGGTCGGCGCTGCCAAGACAGCAAGCGTCAACACCAAGGTTGACGGGCCATTTGCCAAGGAAGTGCAGAAATATTATCCCCATGAACAATGGCACGGCGGCAAAGTCGACGACATTTGTGTCGTGGTGGCTGTCGTCTCGGAGGACAACAGCGGATCTCGTAGCAAACTCTGATTAAGCCGAGCGATTGCGTGTACTTTCAAAATACGTGTGCCTCTTGTTTTTTGTTGTTTCAAGGATTGGATATGGCATAGAACTATTGTAGACGAATGCGCAAAGCAACACATAGCTTGGACTAACGTATGGTTAAGCGGGGACCGGCCAGCTTTGGACGGGTCGCGATGTGGACGTGTACTACTCATATTCCATAGCATGCCTCTGTATATCGATCAATGGTACTCACTGACCATTTGGGACATTGTTGTCGTGTTGTGTGCTTTGAATAGCGGCAAGGTGGCAGGGTGGCGGTTTGTGGTACCGCGAGTTGATTGATGATGTCATCGCGCCGGCCATCCGAGACCACGCAGCTCACCACCTCGCGGAACCTACTTGATCACTCTGAATAGACACACTGCAAAGTCTGAAGTTGACGGCAGGGAAAGCCATGACATGATGGACATATACGCGGTACGTCTCCCCGGCATGCCCGGTTCCCGACGCAGCCGTCTGACCGCCCGCAGGCCGGCGCCGTCGCCGCATTCACCGTCGACGTCCTCATTTACCCCCTCGACACCCTCAAAACGCGCTACCAGAGCCAGGACTACCTCTCGGCATATGGGGCCTCTGGCCGGAAAGCACTTGCTCCCAAGGGGCTGTACCAAGGCATAGGGAGCGTGGTCCTGGCAACACTCCCAGCGGGTACTGCATCGCCCTCGCCCTCGCCCTCGTCCTCGCTTTTTGCACGTGCTGACTTGCTTTGGCAGCCGGGCTGTTCTTCTCCACGTACGAAAGGGCAAAGACGGTCCTCGGCGCCCTCCCGCTGCATCAATCCCTCGTCCACGCGTCCGCCTCGGCTACCGCCGAACTGGCCTCGTGTATGGTCCTCGCCCCGGCAGAGGTCGTCAAGCAAAACGCCCAAATGATCCGGCAAGATGGTAGCAAGCCGCGCGGGTCTTCGTCCCTGCGGGCCTGGAGACAACTTGCCGCTGGGGACGCGCCGAGGAGGCTGTTCACGGGGTATACGGCGCTTGTGGCGCGGAACCTACCGTTCACCGCGCTGCAGTTTCCCATCTTCGAGCACCTGCGCTCCTGGGCTTGGGAGAGGAGAAGACGTGGGCGTGGAAGCGGGGAGAGGGGAGTTGTAGAGACGGGGTTGGTGGCGGGTGTGAGCGCGGGAGGCGCAGGGGCTGTCGCGGCTTGGGTCACCACGCCGAGTGATGTTGTGAAGACGAGGATGATGCTGACGGCGGGGAAGTCGGATTGCCGGAGTAGTGCGGGCGGGGGGTGTGAGGGGAAGGCGATGGCGAAGGGGACCTCGTGGACGGTGACGAGGCAGATTTACAGCGAGCGAGGGCTCGTGGGTTTCTTCCGCGGGGGGCTGTTCCGCTGCGGTTGGACGGCGTTGGGAAGTTCGTTGTATTTGGGGACATATGATGGAGCCAAGCTGTGGTTGCAGAGGAGAAAAGGCGAGGCAGATGGCGACGATTCGGCCGTGTTGTGAGGTCATGGGGGACGCGTTTTCGCCGCGAGTCCGTGTATATCGGGTTGGCGGATTGTTTCCTGGGGTTACCAGCCACGCATGACGCCGCCATGAAAGCTGATCGGTATTGACCTGATTTCGGCGGGGATACGGATTGTGGTGTAAGGGTTCAGGTCAGTCCATATTTGGAGATATTTTCTATCCCGCCGTGACGGGACGAGGAATCGTCGTCACACGACTCTGTTACGTCATGCCGACCTGGCAGTTGCAAGGACGGGTGCCCAACGGAAGCAACTTGGACGTTTTAAAAACAAGTCGAGGAACCGCCCGTGTAGCAGTGCTACCCTAACATTGCCCAGTTGTGATGTGGCCGGAATCACATCGCATAATAGTATCGTCACCGCTTCTTCTGTCAATGAGTTGCATTCAAGGCGCATGAGGATCATATCAGAGGCTATATTGATCGGGTGGAAGGTTCTTTGTAACGCAGTCAAAGGTGTAAGTTAATATGTCGAAGGATCAAGAAGCGGATTGACAGAGTTGACTACGTACTTGGCCATGATGAAACGGATCCATCATGATGCAGTAGTTTCTTAAGTTAGGTCATGAGTTGTCAAGTGGCTGCCCCGCAGAGCAACTTGGTGGCGCTTTTGCGTTGATCTATTTCGTTTCCCTTTGGAACAATGCAGTGGCACTTTACAAAGGTTGCTTTTTGTTTCGGGTTTCCAAAGCGAGTGAGTTTTGTTGTCGTTTGATCCTTCTCGAAATAATATTCCGTGTCTTGCACCTTGACATGTTGTCAGACTGTGGACGCAGAGGGGGATTGCAGCCACTTGAATATCCATTCGTCTTGCTCTTCATAATTATTGCTTCCGTGGGTTGGGACTGAAGCCGGGCTGAACTGAGACATCTGTGCTGATCGTTCAGAGACCATCACCGTGTACTTGGACTTGCCGAAGCCTCTTGACGCCGGATCACAAAGGCGGCTGGGATCATCCAAGTCTGCCGCAACTCAAATCGAGCCGCCTCACCAAATCCTCCATATGCCCGTTCAAGGCTTCCTTATTTCCGAGACCCCGTCATTTGAGCGTCGCTTGCGGCACCCGGCCTGAGCCCATAAACTCTTTCATACTCATGTCATCAATCCACCATAGCCTCGTGAGTGTGGTCCATCAAGACCAGGCAACGATTCAATGTATCCCTTCCGTGCTAGACATTTTGCAGCTATACCCGCGCATTAGTGGCGCTTTGTTTGTAGCTTAGACTGGGAGCAGCAGTACTGTGATATTGGCCGGCACCGTTATGGCCAGTCTTGCTCGATCCATGTCGTCTTCCATCGCTTCCTTGGCGTGGTATAATGTGCGGCTTCGCATTTCAAAATGAACCAAGGCATACTCTGAGACAGCATTGCCGATCTAGCTTGGGCCAGAGATGTAATTGGGAGGCTGTCTAGACAGCCGCCACCCCCTTGATCTCAAATTATAACTGGCGCTTTCCCGAAGCTGTCAAGCGTTCTATATCGTCATCCTTTCGTCGAGTCCCTCTTATTCTGAGAATCGTCGGCTTTCACCTCTCGATATGATGTCAAAGTGCTCTGTTATAAGCTGGGCCTCGTGCCTGGCATTCACCTCCGCCTTGTTGGCTAAAGCAACGCCGGCCACAACCAAGGCACAATATGTCCAGGATGCATCCACTGCCATCACGGCTCTCAACAGAAATTGGTACAGGCAAGATACCGGTCTGTGGGATGGCGCTTGGTGGCAGAGTGCCAATGCCCTCACAACTCTGGCCGACTTTGCCATGTTGCAGCCCGACGCCGCGAAGTCCCTGGGCATCGCAAACACCATCCGCAACACAATAGAAAATGCACCCAAAAAGTTCCCTGGCTTTATAAATGACTTTTACGACGACGAAGGCTGGTGGGCTTTGGGGCTCATTCACGCGTATGACGCAACACGGAATGAGAGATACCTTGAAACGGCGGCCGACATATTTAACGATATGCAAACCGGTGGCGGAACTCCCTGCAACGGCGGGGTTTTTTGGAGCAAGCATCGAAAATACGTCAACGCAGTTGTTAACGAGCTGTATATCACAGTTGCTGCTTCATTAGCCAATCGCATTCCCTCCAACCGGACGTACTTTGAGATTGCGAAAAATGAATGGCACTGGTTTCGAAAAAGTGGCATGATCAATAGCCAGTACCTCATCAATGACGGTCTCGATGCAAGCTGCAAGAACAATGGCTTACAAACTTGGTCCGTGAATCAAGGCGTCCTGTTGGGCGGGTTGACCGAACTTTCGAAAGGTCCCCAGATGAGCCGAGGCGTCCTTGGAGATGCCAGAACTTTAGCCAAGGCGGCCATCAGGGCGCTCTCCGATGAAGACGGCATCCTGGTTGAGACAGATAAATGCGAGACGCAAAACGGCGCCTGCGGATTTGACGGCAAGCAATTCAAGGGCGTATTCGTTCGGAACCTGGCCTACCTGGATCAGGTTCTCAAAGACAGAGATATCAGGGCATTTGTCTTGAGAAACGCCGACTCGGTATGGGACAAAAACCATGATCCTAGTAACAAAATGGGCGTCGCTTGGAAAGGACCTGTAATTGCTGCCAATGGCGCCTCTCATGGGAGTGCTCTGGATGCCTTGGTGGCGGCAGTTCGAGTTGTCTAAATTTTGCATCGATCAAATATGACGTTGACGTTGTAACTTATATGGGCCCCGGCGGTTCGTGTAAGACTTGTCCCCCATATATTGTCGCTGCAGGCTGGAGAGGGCAGCACAAAAGAGAACTATTGGGAATCTGATAATACCCAGGAGACAAAATGCCTGCAGGCTGCCCCACGAGTGTTGATTAGAGTATGAGCACAGTTCTCGAAGAACTTCATGCGGCACGACCAGTTGTGAAAAGTTAGAAGCGCCCGTACAGACAGTTGGCAGTAGTTACATGGTCCGTGACCCATGGCGCAAAATACGTACCTGCTGACCCGTTTCCACTGCCCCATATCCATGGCTTGTTTGACTGCCTATTGTGAAATGGTGTGCGATGGTGTCATCCAGGGCCAAGTGTCGTGCCGGCGGCGGGATCCACATAGACGGAGATCGGACGCCCAACAGGGTCCGAGGCAATAAGCCGGCCACGCCAGCGTGCAGGAACCCGGTCACAGGACTTTGACGTTTTCGCTTGATGGAATGCATGAACCACGTCCAGGACCAGCGAAATAGACAGCACTCGGTCAATTCTCTCCGAGTCACGGAGAATCTTGTGTGCCCATAGTGTCCATCGTCCATCCAACAGCAGGCAGCACTTCCAACCCGTGTTGTCCGGAGGCAAGTTGACACCACTAGGCGAGCGTGACCGAAAGCCACTCAAGCGATTGTTGAGTGGAATGAGGGATCGGCCAAGCCACCCGGCGCGGATCAATTTTCTAATTTTGCTGCTGATAGTACGGGGTACCCCAATTGCGAAATCTCCTGCTCGGACTGCCTCATCGGTGCTAACACGGTAAATCAGCCACTATGAGTGGTCAGCTGATGCAAAGTTGATCCTTGCCCCAGCGCCATGCGGGTTGACTGCGGTAAGGTTTGCTAGCATTCGCGACTCATGGGTTTCGTGTCGTTATCCCTGCTGAGGATTTGCAATGTCACAGCGGTGTGCCTAGCAAGTGTTATTGCCAGTTGCTGCTGCCAGCTTGTTGTTTAAATGGTTGGCAGGAGTAGTTCCCACATGTTCGCGACTGATTCTTTTTTTTTTCACTTTCTTCGTAGACCACTCGTTTTGTAGCCTATACCGGCGTTCGGCGTTACTGGATTATTGTTCATCATTCTCAACTGCTTTCCCAGGGCCACTCCTTTGTGAAAATCGTTACTGAGACGACCCGCTCTCATCAATATGGCTGCTCAAGGAATTGAAGCTGCACTCCCCGCAGAAGTTCCCGGTTTTACCAAGGAGAAGGACGCCATTTCGGCATTTCGCAACCATGCATTGAACGGAGAACGGTTTATCGTCCAGTCTCCCTATGTTGACACTGAACATCTCCTAGACCTGGAGTCACTCGACAATGAAAACGCCCTGATTTCGCTGGCTCTGGCGCGCCTCCGGGCTGTTCGTGAGGACTATGCAATCGCGCCGTACACTGAGTCGTTCAACTGGCCAGAGGTTTTCGACGAGCTCAAGCAGCTCGTTCAAAAGTCCGGCAGACGTTTCCGAGAGACGTCATTCTATATCGTCGCCTTTCGTTCTCAGATCAAACCCAGCACGGATTACGGTCATCTTGGTGAACTGGATAAAGCTGCACATGCCGAAGCTGTTGCCAGTGGAGGCTTCCTCAAGTATGTCTGCGACCGTCTGTATCCGCCCGTTACCCTTTGTCTCCGATGCTGACCTGAGTAGATATTGGTTTGGATCACCAGACGCTGAACTGCGAAACTTGGCTACCTGTGTCTGGAGATCACGAGAGGACGCTTTAGATGGTGGGAGGGGTCCGGCTCATCGCAAGGCCGCTGGCGCCACGCGTTCTTTGTACGCCTATTGGAAAATCGACCAGCACCGTCTGACTGTGCGTGACAATGCTGACAGTTGGGAAATCACCGAATGGGAGTAAAATTGGACGCTGTATCATCGGGTTAGTGGTGCAACGGCAACAAAGAAAAGAACTCAGAATAACCACGGGAGTGGAAACGCTAGAGGTCAGCCAAGCAGATGGCACGACTGGGAGATTGATTTATTACACATAGCGGGGCGTCTGCGATAAATTTTCAGCGCATTCTGAAGTTAGCATGGACGGAGCGCCAATGGCGCTATCATCGATTGCGGTACCGAACAACTTGATTGTTGTAGCATGATTGATGTATATTTGATAGCAAACGAATCCCATTCGTCTAAGAATTAACGAAAATTAATGGCAGCACTTATCTGCAGCTAGCGTCGTGCATCATTTTGATGGCCGCAGCTTGTGAACTGGTTCATGCCATTGCCGAGTGAAGTGAAAAATGTAAGCTTATGCAGCAGCTCCCAGGAATTGTCGAGGCCGACTCTGCCCAGATCTGTCCCCCACCATGTTCTGCCCACTTTCACCGCTCTCAGCCCACAACGCCCACAAATCGGACACGCGAAAAGTTCGATATTCCAATGCAAGCCAGTGATTTCGCCATCATCAACCAGCCGGCATACTCGCGATTGCTCCCACCCGTGCGCTTACGGCATTCTACAAGTGTATCTAGACGAATCGGAAAAGATGAGCGACTCTTTGAAAGATGCGCCTTTTCAAACCGTTCAGGTCGAGGCTTTGGTACGCTGCAGATTCACCAGCAAGCCCCACCGCACTCACAAAGATGATGGACGAGTCGCTAATACTGAGGGAATGATAGGTAATCATGAAGATTGCGAAGCACTGCTCCTCGACCTTTCCCACTGTTGCAACTGGATCTATTGTTGGCATGGATCAGAATGGTGTCCTCGAGGTCACCAACACCTTTCAGTTCCCTACTGTCGAAGGAGCAGTTACCGACGGCCACCAAAATGATACCTCCCAGATTGCCGCCGCCGCTCCCCGGCAGAAATCCAACGTTGCCTACCAAAACGAAATGATACGACACTTGAAAGAGGTGAACGTTGACGCCAACAACGTGGGATGGTATACCAGCGCCACCATGGGCAACTTCGTCAACATGGGCTTCATCGAGAACCAGTACCACTACCAGAAGGACAACGACCGAACTGTTGCTCTCGTCTACGATACTAGCAAGAGCTCTCAGGGGAACCTGACTTTGCGGGCGTTCCGCCTCACTAGCACATTTATGTCTGCATACAAGGAGGGCAAGTTCACAACCGATAGGTATGGATTGTTCCAGATGATCCCGGAGACTCCTGGAGTTTGTGTCCAGTCAAGTATGCTGACCTGGAAAACAGCCTTCAAAGGTCGAGGCTTACTTTCCGCGATATCTTGGCTGAACTGCCCATCAACGTGCATAACTCTCACCTTCTCACGTCATTCTTGCACCAGATCCCCGCTCCTCCCGCCGAACAAGAGGTTGATCAGCCAAACTCGATTTCAGACATCAAGAGAGATGCCGTCAGGCCTCCCCTGTATCCCTCTATTGACAGCCTTGATCTCTCCATCGATCCGTTCCTCGAAAAGACGTGTGACCTGCTCCTCGAAAGCATCGAGTCACACTACACGGACCTCAATAACTTCCAGTTTTACCAGCGTCAAGTCAGTCGTGAGCAGGCCAAAATCTCACAGTGGCAGGCGAAGCGAAAGGCCGAGAATGCGCAACGAGCTGTGGCCAAACAGCCTCCCCTACCTGAGGATGAGTGGCAACGACTGTTCAAGATGCCTCAGGAGCCTAGCCGACTTGAGGGTATGCTGAACGCCAAGCAGGTTGAGCAGTACGGCAAGCAAGTCGACGGCTTCACCTCTAACGTGACGACCAAAATGTTTGCCGTACGGGAAAACTTGATGCCTCAGTGAAGTGACTAGGAAAGCGGAGGGACTCTGTGAAAGGGTAGACAAAGACATTGGGGAGTGAATGGCACCTTTCTGGCGGGTAGCATCTAGCGGCGTTCCGGATTCAGGGAGAATACAATGCAGTTTCAATCGTCTAGACTTGGGCGACAAGATAACCATTTGTATGGTCTAACATTTTAATTTCATTTTTTTTCGAGTTTCTGTCCGTATTAACGAGACGACCCATGATGAAACCTCAGCTCTGGAAGTAGCTACGGAAGTTGGGATAGAACGAGTGTGTGGACGTTCCGGGGGTGAAATGGCCGATGAGGACGTGATGGTCATGACGGCTTCACTCTTTTCTGTGGACGGAGTCTTCTCCTGCTATGGAATTGACAATTCGGACAGAGGGCTATAGCCCGTAGGAACAAGGCACGCCACGCCACTGGGCAAAAGAGATGGAAATGAAGTGCCTCATTAATGGCACTGGAAATTCAAACGAGCCCACTGAGCTGCGGCGAGCTGCGGTGCAATACTGTAGAATGCCGGGGAGCTGCATCCGGGCCGGATTAAAAAGTCTCATCAATCTGGCAGGGTGGTTGGTTGCCCTGGCCTTGTGGAGCTCGGAGTCCGTTTGCACGGCTGCCGGCGGAGGTTGGTTGTCGGACGCAATATGCATTCATCCGTCATCGCATCAGTGTGATGGGCCTTGAGCATCGCCCCGCTTCTTCGCGTTTCGGCGATTGAGAAACTTCTGCCCGTCGCTCATGGCGTCTGGCGGGAGCAGCGGCACACACCGCCCGACGCCGACGATTGAGCGAACCAGCGGGCCGGGCAGCGACTGAAAGATTCTGACTGCCCGACGACCCCTCCAAGCCCCGCTACCTGGCCCTCTCAGCCTGTTTAGCCGACTTGGCCCCTCGTTTCTGTTCGTCGAAGGCTCGGGTCAGCACCACCCCAAAAACCTCATACATATTTTCCTCTCCTCCCTCTCCTCCGCCTCCGCCGCCGTCTTCTTTTTCCTGTCGTCACTCATCTTCCATCCAAGTCTCCTTTCCGCCAACCCATCACAACAATTCTCACCGCTACAATGGCTGCCCCCGCTCAAAAGTTCAAGGTCGCTGACCTTTCGCTCGCTGCTTTTGGCCGCAAAGAAATCGAGCTCGCCGAGAACGAGATGCCCGGTCTCATGGCCACCCGCCAGAAGTACGCCCAAGACCAGCCTCTCAAGGGTGCCCGTATTGCCGGCTGCTTGCACATGACCATCCAGACCGCTGTCCTCATCGAGACCCTGACTGCTCTTGGTGCCGAAGTCACCTGGACCAGCTGCAATATCTTCAGCACCCAGGACCACGCCGCCGCCGCAATTGCCGCCGCCGGTGTCCCTGTCTTCGCCTGGAAGGGTGAGACCGAGGAGGAGTACAATTGGTGTCTCGAGCAGCAGCTCCTCGCCTTCAAGGATGGTGCCAAGCTCAATCTGATCCTCGACGATGGCGGTGACTTAACCAGCCTTGTCCACACCAAGTATCCTGAGATGCTCAAGGACTGCTATGGTGTCTCCGAGGAGACTACCACTGGCGTCCATCACTTGTATCGCATGCTCAAGGACGGCAAGCTGCTTGTTCCCGCCATCAATGTCAACGACAGCGTTACCAAGTCCAAGTTCGACAACCTTTACGGTTGCCGTGAGTCACTTGTAGATGGTATCAAGCGCGCTACCGATGTCATGATTGCTGGCAAGGTCGCCGTTGTAGCCGGTTTCGGTGACGTCGGCAAGGGCTGTGCCATGGCCTTGCACGGCATGGGTGCCCGTGTTCTCGTCACCGAGGTCGATCCCATCAATGCCCTCCAGGCTGCCATCGCGGGCTACCAGGTCACCACCATGGAGAAGGCCGCCAAGATTGGTCAGATCTTTGTCACCACCACTGGTTGCCGTGATATCCTGACGGGCGAGCACTTCGAGGTAATGCCGAACGATGCCATCGTCTGCAGTAAGCTCCATGCACACACCCGAATCACCCCGCGGTTGCCCGAAAGCTACTAACATGCCTCCTAGACATTGGCCATTTCGATATTGAAATTGACGTTGCCTGGTTGAAGGCCAACGCCGCTTCGGTCCAGAACATCAAGCCCCAGGTTGACCGCTTCTTGATGAAGAACGGCCGCCACATCATCCTGTTGGCTGAGGGTCGTCTCGTCAATCTTGGCTGTGCTACTGGCCACTCTTCTTTCGTCATGTCGTGCTCCTTCACCAACCAGGTCCTAGCCCAGATCATGTTGTACAAGGCCAGCGACGAGGCTTTCGGCAAGAAGTACGTCGAGTTTGCCAAGACTAGCAAGCTCGATATTGGCGTTTATGTCCTGCCCAAGATCCTCGATGAGGAAGTCGCTCGTCTCCACCTCGACCATGTCCAGGCCGAGCTTAGCACCCTCACCAAGGTCCAGGCTGAATATCTTGGCCTCACCGTCGAAGGTCCTTTCAAGAGCGACATCTACCGCTACTAATTTAATGTACTCATACCCAAGGGTCCTTCAACTGGATTCCTACGTGTAACGACTTGCGCCGTGGTTTAGCCGGGCAATGGGGCAAAATTGTGTATTCAACAGCATAAACTTGCATGGCATACAGGTTGGTTCGGAGAGCTTTCGTATATTTGCCTTTTTTAAAAAAAAAAAAGCTTGATAAAGTTTTTGTTGCTGCTTATCTGACATCCTCGCACCTTTTTATGAACAAGACGGGGACTCCCCTCGCTGGGCGGACAGCAGGTGGCAAAGAAAAAGATGTGCTTTTTCAACAAAACGGCGTTGGCTCTTTTTGCTAAATATGATATCCCCCCATGGCGAGGTTCTAAGAGAATAGCATCTGATGGAAATGGGTATCGGGAGGGGAGAGTCTCGGATCGAAGAGGAGTTGGCGGAAAAGGCCCGTCAACCGTGGCCAATAGACGTTGGTTGGTCTCGTCAATATCAACGCCGAGCCTCGCAACGACGGCTTGGTATGCTGGACAAGATGCTGCTATTTCTGTCCCATCTGTGAAAAGAACGATATGCGATGCAACTGAACCCTCTTTCGCCTATAGATACACGGTGACCGAGGGGTCCCAACACCTTGTCGCCGAGCCTAGTGATGTTCAGGCCATGTCCTTCTGCTCGGGGACAATACTCTTCAATTTGGCCTGTTCAAGCGCCAGCCTGACATTGTCAATAGCCCACTCCTCCATCTTGATCTGCGTCTCGACAGTCCACGTTCCCATGTGCGGGACGAGAAGCACGTTTGGATTGGCAATCAGACCGGGGTGAACCTTGGGCTCTTCCCCGTACACGTCTAAGCCTACGCTGGCGACTTTGCCCGAGTCCAAAGCCTTGACGAGTGCGTCCTCGTCCATGACCGCCCCGCGGGCCGTGTTGACGATCACGATGCCGGGCTTCATGAGGGCGAATTGGTCGGTGGAGATGATGTGCCGGGTGTGAGGCTGCAAGCACTGTGTCAGGTCCCAAGACGCGAGCCATTGTCGGGGGCGGTCCAGGCCCAGGTGCAGCAACTACTCACGTTCAGGGGAAGATTGAGGCTCAAGACGTCGCTCTCGGCCAGCAACTTCTCAAAGGGGACGAGCTCGGCGCCGTCCTCCAGGTCTGCGGGCAACCTGTTCCTGTTGTGGTAGCGGATTTTCATCCCGAACGCGCGAGCCTTGGCCGCCACGTTCCTCCCGATGCCGCCCATGCCCAGGATGCCGAGGACCTTGCCCTGCGGGTCGTGGCCTAGCTTTGGCGGGGGGTTGCCGCGCCAGTCGCCGGCTCGGAGGGCCGACATGCCGACGGGGAAGTTGCGTAGGGCGCCGATGAGCAGCCAGATTGTTATGTCGGCTGTGGCTTCGTCGACGGCTGTGGGCGTGTTGGAGACGCGGATGGAGCGCGACGTGCATGCTTGGATGTCGACTTGGTCGTAGCCGGCGCCTGAAAGGGGGGGAGCATGTCAGGAGGCGTGGTTTGTGTTGAACTGGTGGCCTTGAAGGGGGGGCAGTACCGTTGTGGCATATAAACTTGAGGGTTTTGGGGAACGCGTCGCAGAGCTCGTCGTCGATTCTGCCGGTTATGGCGAAGGAGTCAAAGGTCCGGTAGGCGACGCTGACGCCATCGAAGGCGCCGGCTTTGCATTCGGCGATGAAGGCTGTTCGGCTGGTGGCTTTGGGGGTGAGGACGGTGGCGACGGATGCGATTTGGGACCAGGCGGTGTGGGCGCTGGGAGGGAGAGTTAGCTTGGCCTGGTCTTGCTCTGGACTCGCGATTTGGACCGTGTTGCTTGCTGAAGTGGATGGGGGCAGATGTCTGGTGCGTACTGTTCGATTTCGCCCAAAAGGAGGACCCTGGGCTTGCTTGCCATGATGGGTGTTTGTGGTGCTGGGTCGATCGCGTTGAATGGCTGTCGCTGGGCTGTGAGGTCGAGGATGGTTGCACATGCAAGTTTGAGATTTGAAATGTTCAAGACGTTGAAGCATCAAGTTGGGAACTCGTCCGCCGTGGTGGTTTGACAGACCCCACGCCCTCCCCGTCATCGGCGGGGCAGCTTGGTCGATGCCACCGTGGGGTTGGTTGGGCGAAGGACCGTCAGGCACATTGCCCGAAGGGTGCTGGCGGCGAGGGCCCCGGGGTGAGTCGTGTGGACCTGTCGGGGACCAACATGACAGACGGATTGCTGGTTCGGCTGTCAATAACAGGCGGCGGCGGCGGGATCAATCGTACCGGTACGTATTTTCATGTTCGTATTGACGAATCGCCAGGTCTGTCGCGCCCCGCCACACCCTGATTACGCACGCCCTGGCCTTGCTGTCTACCGCTACCCTACAGTGCATGTTTATTAGTACTATTACATGGCAGCTTTTCGTAACGTCAAGGCCTCCAAAGAAAAACAATTGTTCAATAGGCCTGCAACTACTGGGGCCTTTTTTACTTTTTTCATCAACACTACAAGTAATATTACAATCACATGAGCTGCGTACGCGACTAATTCTCCTCGTCCAAACGGGCCGTTAACAACCGGTGCGGGACACGAGGACTCGTTGGATGCTGGTTCAAAATCTGCGGGTAATAAATAACCAGGCATCTCACCCGGGCTTACCGCTAGACTTTAGTTTCTATCTGGGAATTCACCTCTACCATCGTGATTAATGCAACAAATGAAAGCCTGCATGCGCGCAGGTCAACCGTGTACGCCAGCCACAGGCGCAGCACCCAACTTGCTTCGCACTCCATCTTCCAACCCTCCGTCACACACCGCATACTCCGCCACCTTGATAAGACTCACTCCCGTCTTCTGCACCAGCAAAGCCCCAGCCCAGGCATGCCATCTACATGAGCAGTCTCCAGGCACCCAACATCAGTGCCGCGAAACCCGTACAGACACCCATCAGCCACTGCAGCGTCTGAAACTTGACCTGCTCCAGCTTCTCCCTCAATGCCGCCACTTCTTGCTCAATCTTGGTCTCCGTCTCCTTGATCTTCAGCTCCTGGCCCACGGCTTCCTCTCGGATACGGCCCTTCTCCAAGTTCAAGTCCAGCCGGACGCTGGCCTGCGTTCGCGAAATCTCGTCGCGCAGCCGACTGCTCAGCTTCGCGATGTCGTTGGTGAGACGCTCATGAGCGCTTCGCGTCGTGTTCGTCTCAGTGCTGTCTGCCGAGAGCAGCTCGGACCGGAGCTTGGCAAAGTCTACTTTCTGCGTGTACGTCACCTTGGCGGCGTCCTCGTGCAGGACCATTGTGCGGGTCAGGTTCTGGATGCTGCCGGCGTTGGTGTCAGTAATTGCCAACGCCGACAGGGGCCGAGGTTGGGTCACCTTTCTTCAATGACATCGTTCAAAATCTTCATCATGGCGACGGCTTGCTGCTCCGTGAAACCCTCTCCGCGCAAGCGCTCCACGAATTTGAGTGTGTCGAAGTAGTGGTCCCGCCGCCTCGAGGCGGTCGCGTGGAACAGACGAGCCAGGGCCGGGCTGTGCTTGACCGGCGATGCGCATCGGGACGACGATTGGCCGTTGAGGCTTGTCTGCGAGCTCTTCCATCGCCGAGTGTTGCCGGCCGCTTGGAGAGCGGCAAAGGGCCGAGTTGCGCGGGAGGCAATGAGCGGCGATTTCCAGCTAAGCCGAGGCAGCAGAAATCGAGGTACCATCTCGGTGGCCATGAAGCTTGACGTGGCCATGGTTCGTGGCACGGAAAGGATGGGTTGTGTGTGGTGGGCGGAGAGCGGAGGGACTTTGCAAGAGGCAATCCAACAAACTTCGGAACGTATCGGCTTAACGAGCGTAATAGTAGGGTCCTTTTGTGATTGGTCGTTGAATGCGTAGCTGTACCGAGTCAGTCGAACTGCAGGGAAAAGTGGAGATTTCCGGCCGTACCAGGGAGGACTAATAATTGCGCAATAACGTTTCGTTTGTTATGTACAGGGTAGTTGAGACCTGTTTGCGCGGGTTGGCCTCGGCCACGAAGGTCTTTGGCACTTACCAGTCGGTACGTGGCCACAGCCTAACAAGACGGCAGAAATTTTTTGGCACTTGGGAAAACGGGTTATTCGGCATTGCCTCGTGAAATCTTGGCGTTGACGAATGCGTTTCTGGGAGGCCATTCTCGATTTGCTTCGGGCAAGTTCAGTTACGAATCTGACCAATGGCCTTTGTCGCAGTATATTAACGCGCAAAATACGTGATCATCTTGGATCCACACAAACTCTAACATGGCCCTCTGGTACGGAGTACGGAGTAGTAACAACGGATTTGCAGCCTCCCCCCTCTCTTATAAGGTCGAAGTTGTGTGGGAGGCGCAAGTTGGTCCTGGAGTTATTGGCCACTTGGGTGCGCCCGCGTCTAAATGTGCTTGGCGCCAAGTCCTGCGGCGCCTGGTCCGGCGCTTATGTCGCACCACCAAAAAAAAAAAAAAAAAAAAAAAAAAAAAAAAGGTAGGCCGCCTCATATCCTGCGCGACAGCTTACGAGCTGACTCGAACCAACGGATCGCGACATGACGGCTCAAGAACGACGGCGGTCTTTGGGCCTAAAAAAACAAAAAACTACGGGAGCCCAAGAAAGTCGTGTGTCTGGCGCTCGGGATTGACTGGGCCCAAACCGCTCGGTAGCTTCTTACGTCCTTGGCTCACTGCTCAAGTTGGCCTCGAAACCCTTCAGCTCGGTCAAAGGAGAGTTGGCGACGACTGCGCCGACTCCCTCACTCCTGCGCCCACTGCAGAACGTGCCGGAACAGCTGTAGAGAGCAAGACCCTCGTTGGGGCCTACATCGTTGTCCCAGTGGTGCGCGAGATTGAAAGTTACATGACTTCGACCTACAATGACTCCATCACCAATATATTCGAATCCAGCTACATTGACAAGGGCTCTATGCGAGCCTCGCAGCGTCAAGACACTGCATGCCGTGATGAGGGGGCGACATGGGACTTTTTGTCTATCCCATTATTGTTCCGGCATCCCTTCAATCCATGTTCGCGCAACCGGCATACGTACATGTATGACTCCTCGCTTATGCCATGCCATTGAGCAGACGCCGAGGCCTGTTCAGCAGTCGAGCAAAAGGAGCACAGTTGCGGTTGAAACGTAACGAGTGACCAGTCGCTGCAATTCTCGGAGCGCTACTTGGGCATGAAGAAAAGACACGGGCAGCACCTGGGCGCCCTGCGAATCTCAATGTCGTCTGTCATTTCTGCCTTTGTCCCTTGATGTCATTCAGCAGCGCCTCTGCCTTGAGTCCATTTCATGGCGTGGTTGACTTGGCTGTGCGCGCCTCTGTCTCCTCTTCAACGGCTCTGTTCCCAATCCAAGACGCTTACGTTTCGATGCCGTCGCGATCGCTACGAGCCGTTGGCCTCGTGTCCCGCGCTGTCCGGTCGTTCATGGATGTCATCGCCCCTGCTCGACGGGTCCCTTTGTGTGACTTACGCGGCTCTCCGTGATTGTTTTCGACACGGCGCATTCGCTGGCGGCCGACGACTGACACTCTCCCACGGTACTCGAATTGAGCATCAAATCTACACCGGTAGTTTTTCACGCCAAGTCGTGAATCTTGCGTATGAACTACCAAGAGTCATTGATACAGACCACCGACAGGAGATTGCAGCCTCATTTCTTCCGACATGGAACCAAAGGGAGCGGTCATGAGGCCAAGGCAGTGATGAGGAGCAATATTCACACTCAGTTCGGACCGTCAGCGGAAACTGAGTGTTACCGAAAGGTCTATATAAATCCAAACAAACCCTCCTACTAGACGGATAGAGAGAAGCATCAACTCAACTCACGTACCACAACCTCGGACAACAAGGATAGAGTTCTGCGACAATATCATCTGATCAAACATGCCCTCACAAACTGGCGGTTCGCACCACGAGGAACCAGGTTTTCAAAGATTGGTTCAACTTTGCGACGATAAAATTAACCTAATTAAAAGATATGAAGATGAAAATTGTGCCGATCAGTGGCCCTACAAGATTTGGGGCATGTCAACCCGAATCGCCACATGGCGGTCAATGCGTGGCAAACCCGAGGACGACGTGACTTTATATCGTCGTCTTTCCCACGACCCCTTGACCGTAGCTTTTGCGGCGGATATCATGCGCATCATGCATGAAATTTTGAAAAAATTACTACCGGAAGGCAAGTACTGTACTGGTTCATAATGGTGGGAACAAAAAAAAAAAAGAACTCTTTCCCCAGCTAACCGTCATTATAACAGGTCTGACCCGCGGCAGTCGAGACGTTTTCCTAGTGTACATTGAACTTCACGGTTGCTTTTCTATGCTCAAAAGATTGTTGAAGAATTCTATTCCTGATGGCCCCGTATAGTGGAGGCATAGGACGATTCGGAGGAGAACACGACCCATTGTGTGAGGATCCCCCCCAAAGTCCTACCCGAAAGATCAGGGCTATTCCGTATCAGCTGGTCTTTTCAACAACGCCGCCGACCGACGAAACTACAGAGGGAAGGGAGGAGAGACGACTATGGAATCAGAGCTGTGTCATCAACTACCAGCGGAGAATGTGAGAGATGGACGCAATTGATATTCGGACATCGGCCGCGACGCGTACTCCGCCGCACGAAGCATCTCGTGCCAGAGGGCGGCCTTCTTCCTAGTACGTACGACGAAGTTGGTGTGCGATGCCGTTGCCAAGCGTCTTTTATCGAGCGGAAAGGAAACATGACCATGGAGGAATAATTGTAATCCCGAAACTAATACACTCATTTCGCCACATTGCAGCCGTGTGACTGACCGCAGTGGTCTCCTTTGCCCTTGTCAAAATATGTGACCCACGCCACAAAGTCGAGTTGGGTCCATGATGCGTACTTGGTCAAGGTGGCTATGCCGATAGAGATGATTCATGCTCATCTCTAAGTTTCCCAGGATATGTATAGGCTGCTGCATCTATCCAGCGGAGGCTTTTCTTCAAGTTGGGGAGTCTTTGAAGAGATTGGGCCCTTATCATGGCTTCGTGATCATGTGGTGTACCCTTTGTCGATGGTCTAGGCGGTCTGACCATGGGCACTGCTGCGATAGGAACAATGCCAAATTACGGTGCAGCTCGTGAACATGGAAAGTCCACGAAAACAACGATACTGCACGCTTTTTTTCGAGCCTGAAGCAACATGTAGGTAAGTAGGACGTTTGCAGCTGTTCTTCTCAAGTGTCAGATTTGTGGTGCATTTCGTTTGATGACAACGGGGACGGGGCCGTTCGGCGTTGGCTGCCCGAATAGGCAGTTTCTTCGGAATTCGGACTTCGCTCAGCTCCGCAAATCTGTGCGCCGCCTGGACCGGCTGACTCGGCAGTTGCGCGGCATTCGAGGCGAAATACGCAAGCAACTTCCAGGCCGCCTAGCCAACAACCGTACGTTTGCCCCTGCGCGCCTTTTCCGAACCTCGTCCACTCTCTTGGCTTGTTCACCGAGCAAGGCATCCCCGGGCCGGTACGCATCGACAGCTTATACTCCCGCTCCAAACACGCGTCCTGCAGAGTGCATGAGGTGCACGCCATCAGAACAGATGGCCGGGATGGCACCCTCTTCACCAAGGGAGCCGAGATTCTGCGAAACTTGCGAAGCTCGTGGGAGCCCATCTTGGCGCCGTATCTCGGGGACGTGGCGCTGCCTGGCGCCCAAGGGCCACCAGCACCAGGGCCAGTTCGTCGAGGCGGCCAACACTGTGGACTCGGCAGCCGCGCATACGGCTTTGGCTGCTTTATCGTTGATCGTTGATCGTTGATCGTTGATCGTTGATCGTTGACGCAGCTGACCCAACTGCCGGGCTGGACTTGGGCGGTTTTACTTGGTCAGACACGTTTGGGCCGTGGGAACAGTAGAGAATTTCTGTGCAAGCGATGCGACAATTGAGAACCAAGGCGTCACCATATAATCCGCTCGCGCTTGTTACTACAAAGGTTACAAGTCGTCATTCTGCCATGTCCGCCGGGCTCCGGAACGTGATGCTTCGCCTCCGGATGCCGACGGATCCCCTCCCCTCGGCGGGATTTCGCCACGGCACCCACTTCGCACTTACGTGCAGCTTTATCGCACGAGATGGTGCACCAAACAGTCACCAAGTCCCCAAGGGGGAAATAGTACACCTTGTTTGGAGCCAGGAGGGATTCCGCCGTGAGCCTCACGACTCCATTCGGCATCTCAATTATACTTCATGCGTGGCTGACATCTGCAACCCCCCGGTTCGATCTGACTCTTTCAACATCAAGACGAGGCTGCTGGTCCCAAAAGGGATATGAAATAACAGCTGAACTAATGGGAACTCATGTCCTGCAGGAGCCTACTCCTGCCTATTTTTCCACTGCCGAATACCTGCATAAGAAATTCCGATTGTCCGCTTCGCCGTCGCTGGAGCTTGACTTTGGGCGCCATGGAAAGTTTGATAGCGGCATTCCACGAGATTCGCCATGCTCAGAGTCGTTGTTCACGGATGATGATGCGAAAGAGAAAGAAGACGCCGAGGTGGAATACGTGCATGGGTGGAGGTTGTTCGGTTTGATGATGGCGATGACGCTGGCGACGTTTTTGGTGTTGCTGGACATGTCCATCATCGTGACGGTTCGTGGTTTCGGACGGCTCGTGAACGGGAACGGACCGTGGCTGACGTTGACAGGCCATCCCGCACATTACTACCTATTTTCATTCCTTGTACGACGTCGGGTGGTACGGTGCTGCGTATAATCTGTCGAGGTATGTGCCGCTGTGACTGGCACCACACGAGTCAACACGGCTGACCTGACTTGCAAGTGCGTCGCTTCAACCACTCTCGGGAAAGTTCTACACCCATTTCAGGACAAAGGTACATGCGAATGCGATTTTCAAGCACAGGCTGCGGCCCAGGCTAACCTGATCCTGCCTCCAAAGTGGACATTTCTTGCCTTTCTGCTCTTGTTCCAGGTCGGCTCGTTGATCTGCGGCGCCGCCAGCTCCTCAACCATGTTCATCCTCGGCAGAGCAGTCGCTGGCCTCGGGAGCGCGGGTCTCCAGAACGGCGCCTTTGCAATCATTGCGGCGGCTGCGCCGCTTGAGAAACGCCCGGCCCTCATGGGCATGGTCATGGGCGGGTGTCAAGTCGGACTGGTGGCCGGACCGCTCGTCGGCGGTGCGTTGACCGAGTACGCGAGTTGGCCATGGTGTAAGTTCCCTCCCAGGACGGGCACATGTCGTACTTGAATGCGACTTACAACCCTCCAAGGCTTCTACATCAACCTCCCCCTCGGCGGGCTTGCCGCCCTCGTCATAACGCTCGTCGCCATTCCCGACCGCCGCGTCCGCATCCCCGGGAGCACGTGGGCCATAGTCGGGCGCAAATTCGACCTACCGGGCTTTGCGCTCTTCGCCCCCTGGGCCGTCATGATCCTGCTCGCGCTCCAGTACGGCGGCACTACGCATCCGTGGACGTCGGCCACCGTCATTGGCCTGCTGGTAGGTGGTGCAGCCACCCTTGGTGTGTTCGTGTTGTGGGAGAAGCGGGCAGGCGACAATGCCATGGTCCCGCCGAGCATTGTTCGCAAGCGGGAGATTTGGACGGCCTGCCTCACCATGGCCTTCTTGTTCACTGCCCTGTTTGGATCGAGTTACTACCTGCCCATCTATTTCCAGAGCGTCAAAGGGGCGACTCCGTTCCAGAGCGGGCTGTCCATCCTGCCGAGCATTCTGACGCAGCTTGTGTTTGCCGTGGCCTCGGGCTTCATGGGTGAGTTTTTCAAACGCCGCCACGCCGCATCGCGCGTGAGCCCCCCCTACGGCGAAGGCTGCTAATCGGTCGCGCGGCCAGTGCAAAGAGTAGGATACTACCTCCCCTTCGCCGTCGCGTCCGCCGTCATCGTCACCATCGGCAGCGGTCTGCTCGCGACGCTTGACCCCTTGACCCCGCCCGCCGTATGGGTAGGATACCAGATCTTTGTGGGCGCCGGGCGCGGGCTGGGCATGCAGATTGCCGTCATAGCCATCCAGGCTAATGCGCCTCCGCCGCTGGTTGCGATTGCCACGTCCACCATGGTGTTTTGCCAAACGTTTAGCGGCGCAATGTTCATCGCCGTCGCGAATACCATCTTTACCGGCAGGCTGAGGACGGAGCTGACGACTCGCATTCCTTCGATGAGCGCGGAGGACATTGTCAAGGCTGGCGCGGCGGGCGTCCGCGATGCTGTCGAGCCCGCGTTCCTTGCCGCTGCGCAGATGTCGTACTCGAAGGCGTTCCAGTCGGTGTTTCACTTTGTCGCTGGACTGACTGTTTGTATGTTTTTCGCGGCGTGGGGCATCGGGTGGAAGGATATAAGAAGGAAGAATGAGCGTCATTTGAATGACGCTCGTCGTGAGACGTGATGACATCCTGGCTTGACGGGTCCGGCTCACCTCGTGAGCGGCTGTTGGTGCACTATTTGTTTGTTTGTCTACAGGCGCGGCTTCACCGCCGCCTCGCATACGTTCTCGACAACATAATCTATACGTCCCTCTTATCGTGCCGAGGCTGGCGAGAAACAGGCTCAGCTCAGGTGCTCACGGTCAATGTGATGAGTGACGGCGGCTTCGTCCCCCGTAAATGAGTCGCAGAACGGGCAGTTGACAGCCACGTAGTTGCCCGCGGCACCGGAGCCATGGCCCGGATCTGGGGCAACATGAGTGCTGGACGGCGAGGGAGGGAGGAAATCCGCCAGACTCCGGGGCGGAGGCTCCGAGGGAAAGCCCACGTCGGCTCGGACGTCTGTGTATCGGCGGGCGAAATGCGACGACGCATGCGGCGGTCTGGGCGAGTCGTCGGGCGGCGAGGGCATCGGCTCGGGCGCGGCAGCACCCATTCGCTGGACTCGTCCGACTTGGCCGCTCCTCAAGCGCACTTTGATGCCGCGGGTGTGGTTGCCGCCGCGAGTGAGGAGTTCGCCGACCACGCCGGCCGTTTCTCTGCCGGTAGGCTGGTCTTGTTTTAGGATGATGAAGACGGAGGCGCCTGGGACAACTTGTTGGGCGGTAGGCAGGGTGCCGGCCGCCTGCTGGGGCGTCGCGGGCGAGGCTCGCGATGAAGGGCCGGAGCGGGTGCTGTTTCGCTTGTCTGGGTGCGGAGGACGCGGTTGGCGGTTTCTCGGCCTGTTCATGGCAGACCACACGAGACGGCTGTGCAGAGCAGGTGTGAAGCTGGGTGAGTTGTGAGATTTGAATGTCCAAGGTACAATCAAGGTTGAAGGTTGAGGGTTGAGGGTTCAAGGGCCACTCATTGTTGTTCGTTGTCCAACCAACCCGAATAGGTTTGGCGTCAGTTTCTTTTGTTAGACAGCAAGCTTGCGAGGCACAGCCATTGGGTCGAATCAATGATGCGACACGAGTTACACGACTCGATGGCTTGGAATACCATCAAAGCTTCACATTACTCGAATTTTCATGCCCTAGTAGGCCGCACCGCCTTTGTCCTGTTCGCACGTCTCATCAGCACATTCGACTCCCCCTGTAATACTTTCTAGTCCAAAAGGGCGGCCAAGAACTCCGCAGATGATGGCTACCGGTCTAACATCTCGTATCCGGATTCTGTTCCCACTTCTCTGAAAACAAAATCAGCGCTCCCGCGACGTAGAGCTCTGAAAGTCTGTCTGCACTCGGATCCCCTGTAGTGGGATGTTGTCACCGTGGCTTCCATTGCCGTTTGCCGTATAGCTCTTCACACAGTGTCCATATCCTTCCGTGTCTGGGCGCAAATTCGGCTCCGATGACACCTCTGGGCATTCACCGCTCGAATCCACGGGGTGTGACTTAACGCTCTCCGATTCCGCGCTGTCCGGCAGACGATAAAAGGGGCTCTTCCGGCCTCCACGGCCGTCATCATCTTCGCCTCGGATGCTGAAGTTGGTCAATGTATTCGGTCCGTGTTTCAGCTTGACCTTTTTGCCGCCGGAGCCACCAAATGTCGGGGGAACGTTGGTTTCCCTGCTTGGCACACTCGCTGTTCGTGTCAAGCCAAGTGCCCGCGCGCAGCAAAGAACTATGGGAAGAAGCGTAGGGAGGCATGCCGACACGATGCCTGCTGACATTTCGATGGCAGTCCATCCTACTGTGGGAGCTAGGGTGTATGTCGGGTCTGTGGCCGTGTACGTGAACAGCACGCTTGTCCGGTAGGCTGACGCGAACACGACACTGCCATGACAGTCGAGTCAGTATGCGTCACCCTCAACCGGAAGGGGATATGGGGGACGTGGGATCACGTTGGAGGCTTACAAGAAACCGAGGCTAAACGCAAGTGTCAGGCCGATTTTCTCCGTTTTTCGCAGCCGAAGTCTCCATATCTGGGGGATGGGCATCAACAGAATGATGAGGTCGGTGAGTATAGTAGATGCGGCATTAGATATCCAGGTGCCGACTTGATGTATGCATCTTCCGGGAAGCTGCGGATACCACAGCTTCTCAACCGGTACGCAAATGAAGACGAATAAGAATGTGATGCAAACGACCCAGGCCCAGACAAAAGATCCGACGATCCATGCCACCTTCTTGAAGTACGGCGTGCGGAAGATGCGATAGTACATCAACAGCAAGCTCATCTTGGTCCAGCCTAGATTCCACGCGTAGAGTATCTCGGCCACAACCAACCACTTGGCCATCGTGACCATGTCCGCCGCATCGACATTGTCTGCATGGAGCCCCAGACCGGATGAATACATGGCAAAAATGAAGCCGACAACTGCCAGGTTCCAGCCCTGAAGGGTTTATGAGTATAAGCCGCACATGACTTGGCAATGGAAACATCTTGGCCCGACACCGTTTGGGGGCTTACCATGGAAAACATGATCATCTTGTCATCTAGCCACAATTGCTGGTGTTTGACACGACGACTGAGAAGACGCAGCCCAACGGCAACCAGCGCCAGGACGGTCACAGTTAAAACCACCTGCACAGTCCAAGGCTGCAAGTTGCGTGCATCATAGCCCGGAAGCCCAGGCAGCTTGGAGTCGGAGTTGTCGAATGCCATCAGGATGCCACCCAGAGTAAGTAACACCAGGCTGTGATGGGTTTCATAAGGACGTCAAGACATGACGAAACAGACGAAATTGTCTCGGTGTAGCCCAAATTTATGCCAAAAACCACACGTCATGGCTCTACCACGTTGCCCTTCCACGTTTACTTGGTAGGGATCCTACTTCTGCCCTGTTAAACGACACATCGTTCGTTCCGACCCTGCCCATATTCATATTCCTCGGTCCGACAGACCATTGTGTCTGGCCACCTTGGGCTTGCTGGCATGGTTGATAGCTTGCTCATGCCATGTCGGGGTGTATGTCCGCTTTGACTAGTATATGCCAGGATTTGGCTCGGCCAACTCAAGTGTGGCTCTGGTTATTGCTTATGTATGTACTATTCTGTTCGCCTGTCCACTCGTCGAGGAGGTGAAATGTAGATTTGTTCGCAAAGGCGCAGCCCACTGCCTGGCAGTTACCACGCAACTTTGAAACAACCAACACGGTCCTTTCTTAGCTGCCACTAGCGGTGCGTGCCGTCCTTTCCCGTTAGTTATATGGGATGAAAACCTTTTGGTGCAAGGAGTGGAGTTGTGGCAATGGCACTAGTCATGCCGTGCCTCGGAGCCTGTCGAGTTACGAGGCAATGGGCTATTGTACAGCATAACGCCCCCTTTGATCTGGTGGCACCGCAGGACAGAAGAACGCACCATGCTGGGGTTGATGATGTGCCGGTCTGTTCTGTTGCGCTACAAAAGAGGAATTTGGCCCGAAGCAAGCCTGGGATCAGAGTCTGTAGCAGCACTTCTGTAATAGCCAAGGGTGCGAAAACTCTTGCACCAGTCGCCACATGCAGATGATTTATCGACAAGTTCGTTGGGTCAAATCAGCAGTACGTATGGCCACGTTATCTTTGAAACAACTATAGCATCAAGGATTAATGCCAAGACAACCGCACTTGGTAAAGATTGAACTTACCGGATTCACAGGTCGGCAATTGGCATCTTGAAGAACAAGGCCCGGCCGCTTGGCTCTGACAAAACCTCTCAGCTCTTTCTTTTTCCTTCATCGCCATGGCAGCGACCACAACCATCAAGGTTCCACATCTCGGTGGCATCGACGCTGGATATCGACTCTCTAACGGAGCCGTCGATGCCGCCAAGCCCACAGTTGTGCTCATCAATTCCATGTGCACCACGTGCGCTCTTTACAATGTTCAGTTCGAAAACAAGAAACTGACGGATGCCGTCAATCTACTTGCCATTGAGCCCCTCGGCCATGGCGCAACACGCTCTGCCTCAGAGCAGTTCACGTACTGGGACACGGCCGTCATGGCCCTCCAGGTCATGGATGCTCTTAATGCTAGGAAAGTATTCGCCGTCGGAACAAGTCAGGGCGGATGGGTGGTCGTTCGGATGGCACTCCTGGCTCCAAGTAGAGTATGTTGTGTGCTCCTTTCCCCTTTTGTCGTCCCTTGCGTCCAAGGTCCTTCGTTTGCCAGCGTTTTATTCTTATCCGCAGAAAGAAAGAAAACACGCAACATGCGGGCAACAGGTGTCCGTTAGGTTAATCTCCTTCTAGATCCTCGGGCTTCTTCCCCTCGGCACCTCGATGGACTCGGAATCAGCTGCATCGCGAGAGAAAGGATGCTGGGACCCCCATGCCCAGCTTCTTCCCTTCTATAACAGCTGGTGCAGCGCCACGCCGACCCCTGACTTTGTTGTGGATGAAACTTGGCGTGGCATGGTTGCGCGGCTGGGCTTCTCGGGAATTGTTGCGTCAGAAACGTTGTCGTTCTGGGATGAGACTTTGAAAAACGTCTACTCAGGAGACGAAGGCCGCAGGAAGTTGCGCATGGCCTTGGCGTGCCTGATGGAAAGAGATGGCTTGCTCCTCAGGCTGAGAGACGTCAAGTGCCCCGTTTACTGGCTTCAAGTACGTCTGGTGATTCGTCCCGGGTCTTTTCTGGTTCTATCTTGTCCGCTGACGACGTGTAACGTGTAGGGTGCCGAGGATCCGGTGTTTGGTAACGTCGTGCCCAAGGAGCATATTAAACTGTTTACGAATGCACCAGAGGCGACCTTGACTTTTATTGAGGGTGGAGGCCACTACTTGAATGCCACCAGTCCCAAGGAATTTGATGAAGCATTATTGAAGATGGTTAAGAAATATTCTTAGATACTGACGCAGATGTCTGATCTATTAACTATCAGCCCGAGAACATTCCCTCGTACACGTATAGCCACTTGAGCTCCAAGACACACTTCCCAGTATTATGCTATGTATTCGTAACTCGAGGCTAACTTAGCACCGGTGAGGGCCAGGAAACATAGCGATCTACTTAAAAGGGAGATGCTGGACGCTTCTTGTATCCAAGGTGTGGTCCTAGATGGATCTGGTCACACGGTTCCAAATGCCTCGGCTGATTTTCGGTGACTGCAACACTCCTCAAGCCACTCTTCATGCGGTCGGTCGGTCGAAACAAGCATGCCAAAGCAACGCGATGCTGTTGCGAGGCACACGTAGTAGCGAGATAGATTCTCCTCAGGAAAGCGACATCGAGACGGCTCTCGGAATGAATCTTTCTCCGGCCCGAGAAGGGCAGCTGTTGGAAACAGACAGCTGTGACAGCGCCCGATGACTCTTTGCATGGATGTGCGAAGCAAGCATAATTTGGGGCACAATCAATGGATGAGGCCGATCACAGCACGACAAAATATCCGTACCTGCCTCGGTTACTACACAGAGACGGCTGTTCACCTCCAAGTTGGAGCTGCCGTTTTCGTGCCATTTGGACCTGCTTGATGACGTTGCACGTGCCAGCTGCGCGTTTAAGGCAGAGTGCATTTGACATTGCCCGAAGCTTTCGGCTTCCAGCTTCCAGTGGACTCCTGGGGCGGATCTTCTTTGTTCCCGCAGCGTCCAATTGGTTCGCCCCCGTCCTGCACCTCCACACCTCTGCTGTGTTGACCTGTTGACCTGTTGACCTGCCAGGTTTGTGAAGAACAGATGGCCCATATGGGAACCTGACTTTCGACTCCTTTACCTTCTCCGAACGACGAAGTCATCACCACCTTATCTCCGTCTGCGAATCCATCTGCTTGCCATCAGCAGTTCACGGACGCGATTCCCACCAACTCTCTCTTGCTTCTACCGATCTTTTACTCATTGACTGTTTTTTTCTTTGGCTTCCTGTTTTTCGTCTTGCAGCTGCGCTCCCACTCCTGCAGTTTGGCGCATGGAAGCCTCCGTCACCTTCCCCTGTCGCTGCTGAGCTCACATTGAATGCAACATCGGGAAATTGGCCGCAAAACAGTGATTTGCAACAGAGATCACTCGTATCCATATCCCGAGGCTTCGAACTTCGCATCCGGCTTGGCTCAACGTGACGAAACAGCCGAACTAAGGCGCAATGGCGCCTCTGCCCATCAAGTTTCAGGAGTTGGTCCAACTCGCCAATGTTGGAGTGGACACGCAATCAATCGGCTTCAACTCCTGCGTAAGTACCACCGACCGTTTTCATCTGTCTACACTGGTCAGAAGCAAAACAGGAAATGCAGACATGGCATCAGAGGCTAATGAACTCTCGGCCTTCGATTTTAGACACTCGAATCCGATTCGTACGTGTGTATCCGTGAGAAGAAGAGCGAAGCTGCTCAGCCCGAGGTGGTTATTGTTGAGCTAAAAAATGGCAACAACGTGACGCGGCGGCCGATCAAGGCTGACAGTGCCATCATGCACTGGAATAAACAGGTCATTGCCTTGAAGGCCCAGTCAAGGACCCTGCAGATTTTCGACCTGGAGCAGAAGAAGAAATTGAAGTCATGCAATATGAATGAAGACGTGCAGTTTTGGAAGTGGATTAGCGAGTCTACCCTGGGTCTCGTCACGACTACTAGTGTATACCACTGGGATGTCTACGACGCCGGACAAGATGCGCCTTCCAAGGTCTTTGAGCGAAATGCCAACCTCAACGTTCGTTGCATGAAGTTGTATCCGGACTAGACAGTACAAGTGAACTAATCGTAACGCAATAGGGCTGCCAAATTATCAATTACCGTGCCAACGAGGATGGCAAGTGGATGGTCGTGGTCGGCATCTCATCCCAGCAGGGCCGCGTTGTCGGCGCCATGCAGCTGTACTCCAAAGATCGTGGCATCAGCCAGGCTATCGAGGGCCATGCCGCTTCGTTTGGGTCTCTACGCCTTGAGGGCGCCCCGCAGGACACGAAGCTTTTCAGTTTCGCCGTTCGAACCGCCACCGGCGCCAAGTTGCACGTTGTCGAGGTCGATCATGCCGAATCTAACCCAGTCTTTCAGAAAAAGGCTGTTGAGATTTTCTTCCCGCCCGAGGCAACCAACGACTTTCCTGTAGCATTGCAGATTTCCCAAAAATATGGTGTGATCTTCATGGTCACCAAATATGGCTTCATACATTTGTATGATCTTGAGACGGGTACTTCGATCTTCATGAACCGAATTTCCAGCGACACCATCTTCACCAGCTGCGCTGACAGCGAATCATCCGGCCTCGTGGGTATCAACCGCAAGGGCCAGGTTCTTTTCGTTACTGTTGATGAAACCACGGTCATCCCTTATCTCCTCGAAAACCCTGCCAACACTGATATCGCCATTAAACTGGCCTCGCGGGCTGGACTGCCTGGTGCGGACAACCTTTATGCTAGGCAGTTCGATCAACTGTTCAACTCTGGAAATTACCAGGGGGCAGCCAAGATAGCGGCCAATTCCCCGCGTGGCTTCCTCCGTACCGCTGAGACGATTGAGAAATTCAAGAGGCTCCCTGCCCAGCCTGGTCAGATGGCCTTCACCCTCCAGTACTTTGGTATGCTCCTCGACAAGGGCGGCCTGAACAGACATGAAACGCTCGAGCTCGCCCAACCAGTACTGCAACAGAACCGGAAGCATTTACTCGAAAAATGGCTCAAGGAGGGCAAACTGGATTGCTCCGAACAACTCGGTGACATGGTTCGACCTTACGATGTCAATATGGCATTGACTATCTACCTGAAGGCGAATGTGCCTCACAAAGTAGTCGCCGGCTTTGCTGAGACCGGTCAGTTCGACAAAATCCTACCTTACACTGCCCAGACTGGCTACCAGCCCGACTACATCCAGCTCCTGCAGCACATCATCCGTAGCAATCCTGAGAAGGGCGCTGAATTTGCCACCGCTCTGGCAAATAATGAGAATGGCTCGTTGGTTGATATTGAGCGCGTCTGTGACATCTTTCAGGGCCAGGGCATGATTCAGCAGGCCACGGCCTTCCTTCTGGATGCGCTGAAGGACAACAAGCCTGAGCATGCTCGCCTCCAGACCAGGCTCTTGGAGATGAACTTGATAAACGCTCCCCAAGTTGCCGAGGCTATTCTGGGCAATGACATGTTCACTCATTTCGACAAGGGCCGCATCGCCAACCTCTGCGAGCAGGCCGGTCTTCCTCAGAAAGCACTGGAGCTCTATGAGGACCCAGAGGCCATCAAGCGAGTCATGGTCAACATTCCTGGCGCCCCTAACTTCGACCCTGAGTGGTTTAGTAACTTCTTCAGCAAGCTTTCTGTCGAGCAATCGCTGGACTGCCTTGATGCCATGATGAAACACAACATTCGTCAGAATCTCCAGTCCGTTGTCAATATTGCAACCAAGTACTCTGAGCTTCTTGGTCCTGTTCGCCTGATTGACTTGTTTGAGAAATACAGGACTGCAGAAGGTCTCTTCTACTACCTTGGCAGCATTGTCAACCTCTCCGAGGACCCTGATGTCCACTTCAAGTACATTGAGGCCGCAACAAAGTCCAACCAGTTGAATGAAGTTGAAAGAATTTGTCGTGACAGCAACCACTATAACCCCGAAAAGGTCAAAAACTTTTTAAAGGAAGCCAGACTGTCAGAACAGCTGCCTCTGATCATTGTCTGCGACCGTTTCAACTTCGTCCACGATCTGATTCTATACCTTTACCAGAATCAGCAGTTCCAGGCTATTGAGTCCTATGTTCAGCGTGTCAACCCCGGCAGAACTCCTGCTGTTGTTGGAGGCCTGCTTGACGTCGACTGTGATGAGAACATTATTAAGCAGCTACTCGGCACCGTCAATGCGCAGCAGATCAACATCGATGAGCTTGTGTCTGAAGTAGAGTCGCGCAATCGCCTGAAATTGCTTTTGCCCTTCCTCGAAGCCACCCTCCAGGCTGGCAACCAGCAGCAGGCTGTCTTTAATGCTCTGGCCAAGATTTATATCGACTCAAACAACAATCCTGAGAAATTCCTCAAGGAGAACGACCAATACGATACACTCACAGTCGGTAAATACTGCGAGAAGCGGGACCCCAACTTGGCATACATTGCCTACTCCAAGGGCCAAAATGACCTAGAATTGGTCAACATCACAAACGAGAACTCCATGTACCGTGCCCAGGCGCGCTACCTCTTGGAGAGATCAGACAGCGAGTTGTGGAATTTTGTCCTGAGCGAGAACAACATCCACCGCCGGTCTGTCGTAGATCAGATCACAGCCACTGCTGTCCCCGAGTCTACAGATCCAGCTAAAGTGTCTGTTGCTGTTGCCTCCTTCCTCGAGAATGACCTTCCGCTTGAACTCATTGAGCTTCTCGAGAAGATTGTGCTCGAGCCTTCTCCCTTCAGCGACAACCAGAACTTGCAGAATCTCTTGTTGTTTACTGCTGCCAAAGCTGACAAGGGTCGTGTCATGGACTACATTCATAAACTCGACAGTTACAATGCGGACGAGATTGCCTCCTCGTGCATCGATGTCGGTCTGTTCGAAGAAGCCTTTGAGATTTACAAAAAGGCTGACAACAAGTCTGCCGCTGTCGATGTTCTTGTTGAACACGTCGTCAGCATCGACCGATCTCAGGCTTACGCTGAGGAAGTTGACATGCCCGAGGTCTGGAGCAAGGTCGCCAAGGCTCAGCTTGATGGACTCCGTGTACCTGATGCCATCGACTCCTATATCAAGGCTGACGATCCTAGAAACCATGCCGAGGTCATTGAAATCGCCACACACGCTGGCAAAAACGAGGAACTAGTCAAGTATCTTCGCATGGCACGCAAGACTCTACGAGAACCTGCCATTGACACTGCTCTTGCTTTCTGCTATGCACGTCTTGATCAACTCTCCGAGCTTGAGGACTTCCTCCGAGCTACCAACGTCGCCAATATAGAGGAATCTGGTGATAAAGCGTATGAGGAAGGCTTATTTGAGGCCTCTAAGATCTTCTACAGCAGCATCTCCAACTGGGCCAAGCTAGCGACCACTCTCGTCCACCTTGAAGACTACCAGGCCGCTGTGGATTGTGCCCGTAAGGCTAACAATATCAAGGTCTGGAAGCAGGTGCATGAGGCATGCGTTCAGAAGAAGGAATTCCGCCTCGCCCAGATTTGCGGGCTCAACTTGATTGTGGATGCTGAGCAACTACAGACGCTTGTAAAGGAATATGAGCGCAATGGCTACTTCGACGAGCTCATCAGCCTCCTTGAGCAGGGTCTTGGTCTTGAGCGTGCTCACATGGGCATGTTCACAGAACTTGGCATTGCCCTATCCAAGTACCATCCGGAACGTCTGATGGAGCATATCAAGATCTTCTGGTCAAGAATGAACATGCCCAAGATGATCCGTGCTTGCGAGGAAGCCAATTTGTGGCCCGAGCTGGTATTTTGCTACTATCATTACGATGAGTTTGACAATGCCGCCCTGGCTGTCATTGAGCGACCTGAGAACTCCTGGGATCACCAACAGTTCAAGGAGATTATCGTCAAGGTTGCCAACCTCGAAATATACTACAGGGCCATTAAATTCTACGTTGAGCAACATCCTTCGTTGCTGACTGACCTGCTGGCTGCCTTGACTGCCCGTATTGACGTCAATCGGGTCGTGAAAATATTTCAAAAGAATGATAGTTTGCCTTTGATCAAGCCATTTTTGCTCAATGTCCAGTCACAGAACAAACGAACCGTCAACGAGGCTGTGAATGACCTACTCATCGAAGAAGAAGACTACAAGACTCTACGAGACTCGGTACAGAATTACGACAACTACGATGCTGTTGAGCTGGCTAGCCGCCTTGAGAAGCATGATCTCATCTTCTTCCGTCAGATCGCCGCCAATATTTACCGCAAAAATAAGCGCTGGGAGAAGTCTATCGCCTTGTCTAAGCAGGACAAGCTTTTCAAGGATGCCATCGAGACTGCCGCAATATCTGGGAAACCGGATATTGTAAACGACCTTTTGCGATACGTAAGTTCCAGATGCACCCGTACCCTTCTGGTCCCGCACAAAACTGTATTCTAATACTATTATAGTTCGTTGACATTGGTCACCGCGAGTGCTACACCGGCATGCTCTATGCTTGCAACGAACTCATCCGACCTGATCTTGTATTGGAGTTGTCATGGCGCCACGGCCTCGACGATTTCACCATGCCATATATGATCAACATGTTGGCTCAACAAACCAACGAAATCGCATTGCTAAAGGCCGACAATGAGGCTCGCAAAGCCAAGGAAAAGGAGCAAGAGAAGACTGAAGATAACACGCCCATTCTTGGCGCTGGCCGCCTCATGATTACCGCTGGACCTGGCGGCAACATGGGCAACGCTTCCCCCTCACCATACCAGCAGCCAAACGGCTTCGCACCGCAGCCCACCGGCTATGGATACTAGATGCAAGTGCCGGTCTGCGACTGGTTTCCTGCGGATATGCTCCCCGGACCACAAGGGATCGCCACCATTGGAAGTGGGTGATCTAGGGACAGCACTGAGTTCACGGAACCGTAATCACCAGTCGTTGACGCGGTGCCTAGAAGTAAAAATGAAAGAGTGACAGCGCCAGATGCATCAGTATGACAGCCTGGTCAATTTTTTTTTCTGTTGGCTTTTAATCCCTTTGAAAGAGACACAAGGCAGTAAGGGGACAAACTTCGAATCTGGCATGATGGTACTAAGTCGTGCTGCTTCTAGACTGGGGCCAGACATTCGGAGTTAGATGAGGGCTTGGGAGTAAATCCGAAGCCATTGATTGCATGTTGTATGATAGTAATCAATTTGCGTTTCCGGTATAAAAGTCGCACTTAAAAGCTTTTGCAGGATTTATTGAGGTCGATGAGTCCTTTGTACCGTTCATGCCCAAGGGACATTTACGTACGTCTACGAGTACATCCACATGGTCCGAGATTGTTATCGTGACTATGTGCACATTCTATTCCAAGTACGCACTGAAAATGCAACGCCGACTAGCAGAAAGTAACGTACACTTTGAACTCGCAGTCGCTCGACTCACAAGGTCTACAAATCAAAATCACAGTCGGGAATTACTACACGTGCCGCCTCTTCCTGGCGTCAACAGGCTTTGGGTGCGCTATCTTGAGCCACTCGCCATTGAATGCATTAATGAGCCAGTCATTTAGTCCTGAGAGGTCAGCATTGCGCAACATCCAGGAGCGTAGCGTGGAGTAGAGAATCGAGACTTACGATCGTACACCATCCTATTGGCGCCGTGGAACGTAATGCTATGATCACTGTCTGGGAACACGTGCACGTCGTAGTTTTCTATCTCTGCTAGATCCAAGTATTCTAACACTTTGAGGGAGTTCTGGAAATGGACATTGTCGTCGGCGGTGCCGTGCATGACGAGGAAGCGCTTGCTCATGCCGAGGGCGGTGGCGTTATGGACGGCTGACGCGTCGTAGCCGGCGACGTTGTCCTGCGGTAGACGCATGTAGCGCTCTGTGTAGATGCTGTCGTAGAAGCGCCAGTCGGTGACGGGGGCCACCGCCATTCCGTAGGAGTATGTCTCGCCGGCGTCCACTTCGAGCGTTTTGAGGGTCTGGAAGCCGCCGTAGGACCAGCCCCATATTGCGAGGCGCGAGGGGTCGACGTAGGGGAGGGACGCGTAGTGTTTTGCCGCGGCGATGTGGTCTTGGGCTTCGAGAAGGCCGAGCTGCGACCGGACGGCGACGCGATGCTGGCGCCCGAGGAAGCCTGTGCCACGCGGATCAACGGTCACGACGAGGTAGCCAAGGGATGAGGCGACGTAAGACTGGAAGTCAACGGCGAATCTCTTGGTGACGGCCTGGGATTTTGGGCCCGAGTATTGCTGGAAGAGAATGGGGTATCTCTTCTTGGGGTTGAAATGTGGTGGCCGGCGCTCGAGGTAGTTGACGGACACGCCGTCGGGCAGCTGGAGGGTGCCGTATTGGAGGATGGGGAGCTTGTGTTTTTTGGCCTTGTCCGCGAGGTCGGCGTTGTCCTCGACGGTGCGGGAGAACTGGACCGGGTTGGAAGGGGTGGAAATGACTTTTTGGTATGGTATTTTGGGACCTTTGTAGGAAAGGAGCGCGAAGCCAGCGCGCGAGGAGAATGATACTCCGTAGTAGCCCTCGGAGGAGGTGTCGGTCAGTGAGGTCAGGTTGGAGCCATCTAGCTTGACTGAGTAGACGTGGCGCTGGATGGAGGATTCTTTGGTGGCGACAAAGTAGACGAGGTTGTTGTCTAGGTCGACTGCTGACGGGGCATCTTCAACTTCCCACGAGCCATCTGTGAGCATGATTGGCTTGGGGTTGTCAATGGGTGTAAAGTAGCCGACGTGCTCGTAGCCCTCGTGGATAACCGTGTCCACGTAGCCGTCTTGCTGGCGGCCTCTGCTGGGGTCGGCCGGGATGTATGTCATTGTGTGTGAGATCTCAAACCATCCGCCGTCAATTTCGGCGATGTTGATGCTGTTGACGATTTTGGCTTGGCGTTCCGAGGGGTCGACAAGAATGACTTTGAGGAAGTCACCAATGCGGTTGGACTGCTTGAGGAGTACCTTGTTGCCGGCCCAGAGGACGTTGGAGATGATGCGGTCGTGGTTGGGGAATTCGCCGGGGGTGGGGATGGAGAAAACATCGCCCTTTGAAATATCGTAGTACTGTACATCGACAACGGGATTGTGCGCTCCTGGTTTAGGGTACTTGATCTTGCGAAGGTCGGGGTATGCCTCCTCGCCCACGGCGGGTTTCTTGCCTGACGGACGTTGAATGTAGTACTGGATGGCGTATTCGGGCACGGCCGTCTCGTTGGTTCGCAGAAATGCGAGATACCTGGCGTCGTCGGACCACCAGGTTGCTGAGCGGCCGGAGAAGACTTCTTCTTCGTAGACCCAGTCGGGGATACCGTAAAAGTACTCGGGTCCTCCGTCCTTGGTAATTTGCACCACGTCATTAGCTTGGCCCAGGCGACGGATGTAGATGTTGTTGTCCATGGTGAAGGAAACGGCGTCACTCTTGGGGCTCCAGTTGGCCAGCTGCACTCTGGCGTTGACATTGTCGGGCACGAGGGGTTGAACTTGGGCGGTGTCGACATCGAGGATGAAATACGTTGCCCGGAAGGAATGGCGCCAGTTCTTTTCGACGTCGACAGCCAACAGAACCTTTTTCAGGTCCGGGCTGGGCTCGTTCCAGTCAGGCCTTTTTATTTCATTATTGTACATGAAGTTAGCATCCTTCATCAGTACTCGAGGCTTGGCGGGCTGGGTGTCGACGGTTTGCCGAGACGCGATATCGTTGCCTCGCTTGTCGGCGCGTACATCCTCTACGACCAGGTAGCCACTTGCAGAATCGACCTCGAGCAAAAGACCATCGCCACCATCAGGATCTTTTATCCAGCTGATGCCACGGGATTTGGCAGACCAGAAACCTCCAAGCACTTGGTCCATGGTGACGTCTTTGCCAGATCCTCTCGACGTGGAATCGGGATCATGCTCTGAGTCGCTCCCGTGTCTGTAGGAGCCGGAGAGGAGAAAAACGCCTGGCCCGGCAAGCCAAGCTCCAACGAAAACAGCAGCGATGATTGTCAAGACTCGCCGGAGGCCCCTGTCCATTGGCTTCTGTTGCAATGGCACGCCTGGCTGTCCGAGGAAAGCGCCCGTCTCAGAGGCGTCCTCGTAGTCGCCCTCATCTTTGGTCGTGAGCGACAAGTCTCGTGCACCAGTACGGCTGGCCGAAGGGTCCCTGTCCATCTCTTGTTGAATTCGATCGAAGACAAGACTTGTTGTTGATACGGAAGAGAGTGAGTCTTGGGAAGGGCGCGAAGTCGACGGCCGCTGACTCTCTGCGTCGTCCGTGGAGGGTGTCGCCATGACTGATTGATTGACAATAGCGCCAGCACTCGACGGAGGAGTGGCATTCACGGCGCTCTGGCCTCGTGCCTGGTGCTCCGGGCCGGGCTGGGGGACTCGCGGAACAAACGGATCGGTGAGGCACAAGTTGGCCGTTGCTCTCGGGAAGTTGCTCACAAGCCAATGGCAACGGCACCACGATGTTCCCCACGCCGCAGCACAATTACGGCAATAGCAATCTGGAGCCTGCTCAATAGGCCGTGTGGCGTTAATGAAGAGACTTGCCGACAGCAGAGTACCGAGTACGGGGCTCCATCAGCGAGACGCCCGCCACGCGTGTGTACCGAGTACGGCGTAGGGAGTATTTGGACAATTTTTGCTGTCTGCCAGCACCGGGTTATAACTTCTGGCGCGGGCGTGGGATGCCGATTCTTTTGCCTGCCTGGGAGCGCATCTACCGCAGTTCTTTTCTCCTGTCTGAAATCCCCAAGGTCTTGTCAGAAATGCATGGATTAGAGCATCCTTCCTGAGGCTGCTGAGATGGCGCGGAGGTGGCACCGCGCCTCAGCCTCGGCTTACCGAGTAACAAAAAGGTCAACCAGACTGTTTGTTATCCGCCTGGCCGTACACAGAAAGCGAGGTTTTGCGTTGTTCGAATGGTGCAAAAGGAGCACCAGACAAGGGCCGGTAACCGGACACACTCCTCCATCACACTCTGCATCGACAGCTGGTGGCTTGGCTTTGTTTGGCCGATTCGGACAACTTCGTTCGTATATACGAAGCGTATGCTCCTTCCCTCCTTTTGGCTCCTGCCCACCCCGCTCCCAGACAGATAATCTCCAGCAGCTACGCGCGAATCTTCGGCATCTCCGCACTGTACGATGCCACATTTCACTCTGCGTGTACAGTGCGTCTCTCACCGTGTTGGCTTGTTCGATTTCCTTGCGCCCTGATTGGTCCGTCGTGTGTGACGAAGCCGGACATGTTCGGCGTGTTTTATCAATCTTGCTGGGTCCTCTGAGCTAATGCTAATCCACCGGGCACAAGCGTCAGCATCTCTCTGCTCCGTCCGCCGCCGTCGCCACCTTCACAACCTCCATTTATCTCTGCTCCTGATATTTTCGACTTCGCCCTCGCAACCACGACAACGCACCTGTTGCGCCATCGCCCGTCGCTGTCGAAACCCATCGCCCACACACATCGCCATCAAAAATGTTTTCATTAAGAGCGCCCTTGCGTGCAGTCCGGGCCATGCCCTCGCCCATCGCCGCCGCCGCGCTAACTCCTCAGCTGCCCGCCCGCCGATTCTACCACGATAAAGATGAGTGGCCGTCCCCGAATGCGGCATCGCCCCAAACCGCCCATGTTTTCATCGCGGACTCCCACGTTCCCACTCTCGCGTACACTCGGCTAACATGCTCGCCTTCACTGCTCGACCACTACAGCCGCCCCCGAAATCCAGGCTCCATGGACAAGAAGGATCCCGCTGTCGGCACTGGACTCGTCGGCGCCCCAGCATGCGGCGACGTCATGAAGCTGCAGATCCGAGTTGACGAGGCCACGGGTACCATCACCGACGCCAAGTTCAAGACGTTTGGATGCGGTTCCGCAATCGCAAGCTCGAGCTATCTGACCGAGTTGGTCAAGGGGATGCGACGTAAGTTGTGCATCCAATTCCGCGACGCCACGCACCCGTCCATGACCTCTTTCCCGTCGCCCAGACTCTCAAAAACAAGTGGTGGAAGTTGCGGAATGCTAACCGGCCAATAATTTAGTGGAGGATGCATCAAAGATTCGCAACGTCGACATATCAAAGGAGCTGTGCCTGCCACCTGTCAAGCGTACGTACCTCCCCCTATCACTGCGCATTTTGCATCAACCCCCCCCCCCTTCTTTTTCCCTTTCTCCGAGTGAGGTTACTCGAATCTGACCCTTTCTCAGTCCACTGCTCCATGCTTGCAGAAGACGCCATCAAGGCTGCCATCGCCGACTATCACGGCAAGAACCCCAAGGCCAAGATTACTGATCTCGCCGGCACCGCCAAGACGATCCGAGAAACCATGCAGCAAGCTGCGTAATTTTGTAACAACACAACGAGGCACACTCGGGGGTGATGAAAAGTGGATGAAAAACCCAAAAAAAAAAAAAAATTTCTCATTACCTACAAAAAATCGCCAGCAATCAACCATGGGCACAACATTTCGTTAAAAGGTCAGGAAAAAAATGCATGAAGGAGTAAGGGAGTCTCAAGGCTATGCAGGCAGAGATGACAATCGTCAAAGGACGTGATGAGGTACAGAAAGATGCAGTCCTCGCAGAGGGTGACCGTCAAGTTCTTGTTTAATGTACGCTAGTGGAAGCAGTGAAATTCAGTGTCCATCAACATGGAAAATGGAGACTCAAAATGTTCTCGATCGATCTGGCATCCGAAAATGGTTTTGTTTCATAACCTTGTGGTCGCTTTCCTTCCTTTTTTCCCCCTGTTGCCCATGGTACTTTATTGGGATGAATTGTCAGTGTACGGATATTGATTGTCGGTTTCTCGGCGCAAGGTATATTCGCCACTGGGAGTCTGGGACGGTGAACACAACCCCTCTCCAAATAAAACGCCAAGTCACGATGCAATGTTCGTTATATCTGCTTTTCTAGGTATTTTTTTTCTGCTTCACATTTCATCACTGTCTCACTAGTTACAAAGCTATCATGTCATTCCAGATTCCCTGGCGTGTGCCGCATTTCAAATTCCCTGTCCCCCCCCCGGCCCGGCTCTGCCAACCGGGAAAAACGGGTTGCGTTATATTCCGAGCCTAATAATGATTGATACCAGAACCAGGCTGTTGGGAGGATGCAAAAGCCTAGATGGCAACACATCTTTTACATCCACCCGGATGACCTCCATGTCTCTTCGCCTTCGGCCATCCAGTTGAGGAAGATATCCCAACTTGGTTCGCGAGACATGTATTCTTTGAGTACTCCAGGGACGAGCCTATCTGAAATCTCATGCTTCGAGGCTTCGCTCATCCTTTTGTAACGGCAGAAAAAGTGGGTATACAGCTGGAAGCAAAAAGCTACCATTTGCCTGATGGCTTGGGGCTCGATATCTGCTTCTGGCCTCCCGAGCCCTAAGCGCTGTACTAGCGCGTCGTTTTGAAACCGAGTCCACATTTGAGTGGCTTTGCAGATGGTAATACGACGACGGAGAGAAATTAATAGAAGGAGTAGGAACCGGACGACTCTGATGATTCTGGTATTTTCATTCTCTGTCCTTGGAACCAGTTCTTGTTCCAACCAGGTATATGCTTCCAGTTCCATGTGATGCCGAATTCGTTCAAAAGAGAGCATCGCGATGAAGTATAAGCTCTCGTCGGCGTCGTCTTGCATATGGAACTGTCCTCCTGATTTGCATATTAAACTGTATGATACTTGGCCTGATATTTTATCCAGCGTCAAAAAGGCCTGCAAAGGGTCATCCCAGTGTTTCTCCTCGGAGGTTGGCACCAGCAACAGGGCGCGACAACTCGTGGTGTCTTGCCATTTGTGTCTATTGGTAACAAAGTCTTCCACTGTGCAATGATCCTGTGGGTCGTTGTAGTCCTCTTTTGCCTTCTGCCAATGTCGTTGACAGGCGACTAGATCGAGATCACACCATGCCTGGTCTGATTGTATGCGAATATTATAGTCTTGGCTAAAATAGGCCAGACAGTCAATGCTTTTGGTCAAGTCTATCCTCCGAGTCAACAAGGGTTTGACAATATCGGGTGCCGATGCCAAATTGATCAGAAAAAGTCCTGCATGAGGAGTGAGTGACTCGTTGATGGGCACTTTCAAAAAATCTCCACCGAGATGACGTACCGAATTGATACTCTGGCAGCGTTTTCAGGTCGCGAGAGAAGAAATGTTTGACACATGGTGTCCCCTTTTTCTTGCACGCGTCGCATGCCTCGGAGTCTTCGCTTCTGGTACACTTCCCAGCCCATAGGCGCTCGGTTAGTTTTGGGCGTTGTGTAGGAGATGGAAGACGGACGTGGTCAGTGACAAACCTGTACTTTGCGCAGTTTGCAGTCCGCACAGACGGACTGCAACATCCTGGTTTCCTGTGCTCTCCTGTTCCTCCTGGGATCCATCGGGCCATTCCGCTTGCCCCTCTTGGATGGTGCTGAGCCATTCGATTCGTGGCTGAAGCTGGTTTGCGCCGAAGTGGAGCGACATAGCGATGGTGCTCGCCCGGGACCCCGCCCTGTCGTTCTGGAATGAATGCTGCGCGACTGCCGAACTGATGATTGAGGCGTCAGGATGGGCGAGGAGTAGCCATGTTGAGCGGTAGAGACTCGGGACGGCTCGGTGGTTGGCTGTGGGCTATTGTGCGTCTCCGTCATGAAAACGAGGTCAATTCCAATGGACTGAGTATAGGGATCATTCAGAGCCAGTTGAGCGCTGGAAACAGTGGCCACATCTTGCCTATGAGGCCGAGGAAAAAATGGCCCAGAGGAATCCCCCGACAGGGCAAATGGATTGTTGTGGGACATGGCGGTTGTAGCCTCATCTATGCTTCCGACATTATTATTTTGCGAGTAAGGGGATGACCATGTCCAAGTATAGTCGCGCGATGGAGGCTGATACCCTACATCTCTCTCTATGTCCTGCTGAGCCCAATCCGTCACTTGGGGTATTTGATTCTGTCCTTCTGAGCTGGCGGGCCTATCTGATGCACAGGGAGGTGGCAAAAAGGGCGCGGCGAGTACGTTCAGATGAGAGTGTGAACTTTCATGTCCAATGTCCGGTAGTACGCCGAAAGTCGGGTTGTGCTGCACTATATTGGCGTCGAATGATGCGCCGACGTTACTGAGCAGGGTCCCCCCAACAACCGGCTCCTCCTGGGCAGTTTGAAGAGCAACATCATGATCGTTTTGACTGAACCATTGTTGAAAGCGCCAAGGTTGATTTCCAGATGGTACCAATTGGGTGCCTTGGTGCTGGTGAGATGTGGTGTGGACGCCGTTGAGAAACACTTGAGTAATGTCATTTGTTAACCGCTGAGTTTGCTCCCACCGCTGCCTGATCCGATTTTGCTGCGGAAGGGTCAGTGTAATGTCTGAGGGGTTCGAGGGAACCTGTGCCTGCGCATCGGACACATTACTAGTACAAGAGTTAGACGATGGATTGGGCGTGGCGTGGCACCCATGGCCACGGGCCGCGGCAGTGACGGGCCACTTACTCGTGTGAACTCAAGTAGTCGAAGTAGTTGGTATTGTCCTCAGTTTGATACGTAGCAGAAGCCGGATTGTTTTCGAGTCCGGCAAGTAAGTCGTCTTGGTTGTTCAAAAGGGTTCCACCGCCTTGGCTGGTCATCGTCACTGTCACTGGATGTGGCCAAAGTGGCAACGAGTGGATGGACCGAGTCGGTAAGTAGGGGGCGTTGGTTCAACTTGCTTGTGACGGCTGGCTAGCAGAGCCGCAATAAAAGTCCATTTCTTGTTAGCGGCTTGAAAACAACGAAGCGCCAGGAACCAGGGCCTGTAGGTTGAAAGCTTTAGAAAGCTGGCGCAAAGGGGAGAGGGTCCCCCGCGGGAGCCACAGAAAATGCAGTGGCTTTATATCAATATGCCAGTTCAAAGCCTCCTTTGCTCAACCATCAACCTTGATCAGGCGCCAGTCGACCACTTTACTGCCGTCCTGTTGGTTATTAAGCACCTTGCTTCGAGTTGCTAATAAAGGGACCTCTCGGTACAAGTGGAGTCGACATGCTGTCGGTGCTGCATGGCCTCCCGTCTACAACGTCGCATTGCTGTGATGAGAGTAGAAGTGTGACGCCACTGCCCTCTGGTTGCTGGAGGAGAGATGGCGTCGAGGGCGTCTACGAGCAGCAGCGGCAGAAGACGAAGCATCGCGGAGTTTGCTTCCTCGTGCATTTTGTCTGTCCAAGACGAAGTGCCTAAAAACCGCTTGATTTCCACGTGCAACCACGGCCGTCGCGGCGGCATAGGTGTTGCAGTCATTCGTCGGTGCAATTGTGAAGAGCAAATCAATTTACGTGAAATCACGAATTGAAGCCAGTGCGAGATTGGGACATGTAAGGACGCAAACCACGGGTACACGTGGGTGCAAAGGAGGCCATCGAGCTGCTTCGGTTGGGGCCAGCCAGGTCAGGGAGTTGGGAGTCAGGACACCAGTGGACTTGTTGGGGTCTCCTTCTGTCTAGAGTCTACGACCGAGTGCCGTGTAACTGCCCTGTTACGGAGCACCCTCGACTACAAGGGAAGGAACGAGCGCCACCATGCGGGGAGGAGGAAAGAGCATCATGCGGCCAGCGTCAAGGGGTGTCACGTACTCCGGCTCGACACAACAAGTGCGTGGATTTTGTTTTAACGCCCTCACTTTGGGCCGGGCGAAAGCGGTTCTTTGGGCATTGGGCATCGACAGAAAACATTTGCAGCCGCATCCCTCGGGACCTCAATTCCGCAGATCCAGCGCTAGCGCCAGCGCCACGGCCCGGGCTCCGCGCCCGTTCCCTGGCCATCGTCACTCCTCCCTCGTTCAATGTTCGATAGACATCACCGGCAATTCTGTCCTGTGCGTAACCCCTTGCAAGTCGGTAGCCACAATCACCGAATACTCTCTTGCCGCTCAAGATCGAAAAGGCAGACAGCCCGCGATGACAAAAAGAGGCAATGTAACGATGGCCAGAATCCGCTAGGCGACTGGCTACAAGGCGAATTTGCTAGAGGTCAACTGGTGCAATTACTGTGCGTCTTCAAACCTCAGTGACAATGGATAAAACGTCTAACTTTGCAAGGTGCCGAACATGTCGGTGCCGGTAGCAAGGCAAACAACGCATATGCGTTTTCTTGTCGCCTTGAAGCATTCGTTCCGAGCAACAGGATGAACGAGGGGGATATTGTATTTGAAATGCAATACAGGCGGTGAGTCTTCAACTAGTACATTTTTTTCAGAGGATGCTGAAAAATTAAGGCTGCTGAAAGCGATTGGGAAACGATTGGTTGCTGCTCAGTGCGGGAGGGAGTGACACTTTTGTAGATGTCAGACAGGCAGGGGTCTGGCGTTGCTAGATTACAGGGTCTTCAGACATCGTCCGACTACCAACTGTTTGCAAATGAAATCCTGCGTCCCGGCAACCAATGGTGGCAAATTCAGGAATTCGGCACGATCAAACGTCTCAGCAAATTGTGAATCAGTCGAATGGCCTAGTTTGAATAGTTCGCTAGGAATCGTTACCGAACTTTCAGCATGGGCTCTTCACAAGCAGTAGACGTCACGGATGTCTTGGATCACCGGCCCCCTGGCGAATGAGAAAGAACCAGAGTTGACAAGCCCGGTGAGAAGCATCCAGCCAACGGGCGCTGCTTCGATCCAATTGATGGCGCCTCACGAAGATACAGGGCATCATAGAAGTTGGCATTGTCGTGACCAGGAATGGATCACGGTTGTAACCGGTGAGCTTCGGGGCAGCCCGCGCTGTTCAGTTCGTCTACAGACCGAATGTTCAGTGACCACGAGCCATACAATGTCCTGCTTCGCCAGCATGTCTCTGGACTCATGTTCAACACGGCACGCCATGGAAGAAAGTCGGGCCACGGTTGGCCTAATCACCGCATGGGTTGCCCGGCGAGCTTGGGAGGTCAAATCATTCTGTTGTTTGGCTGCATTCAGATTTGGTTGGGATATCAGAGGATTTGACCCCACTGGTGTGGCTCGTAGCCTCGTAAGCGTCGTCTAGCTTTAATACGACGAATACGTGAGCTCAAGCCTCCCTCACAGAGAGTGTTTTATCGAGATGGTCTTTGTTGGCCACACATTGACTGAAACGGCCAGATGCCGTGGGGAAGACAGGCCACATGACGATTATATTTGCCGATCATCTTGAAGTATAAATATGCGACACGTTCGCTCTTCGGCCATTTGAAAAGAATGACAATAACAATAATCCATGGCCTTTTGAGTAAGCGATATTTTTCCCAGAGAAAGACTCCCGTCAGGAATGCGTTGACCAACCACTGAGACAAGCTCTGTTCCCGACAAGTCATCCAAGTCCAATAGAGCCAGGCTTAACAACTCTACAATGACCGGACGCAAGGCAAAGCAGGCCGAGGAAGTTGCCAACATTCCGCCCCAGATTTCTGACCTTCACTGCTTCACCGAAACTGAAGGGGTCATTACGACGAGTAGGTCCCGCACTGCGCGCACACAACAGGCGGACGGCAATTTCACTAACGTGTCTGTATAGCTATGATGGATCTCCCCGGATACCGAATTGTTCAAGTCCTCGGCGCCGTCTATGGAATTACTGTCCGCAGTCGGAACATCGCGGCCAGTCTTGGCATGGTGTTCAAGAGCTTTGCCGGTGGCGAACTTCAATGGTTCACGTCGATGCTGAACTCATGCCGAAACGACTCTATAGGCCGCGTGGTGGAAGAGTGCAAGCGCCGGGGTGGGAATGCCATCATTTGCTTGCGATTCGACGCCGGTGACATGGGCGGGTTCGCGCAGACAGCAGCATATGGCACGGCGTGTGTTGTGGAGAAGATTGACGACCAGGTCAGATCGCCACCCCAGCTGGGTGGTCTCGAGGCGACATCGACATAGTTACATGTGCGAGTTGAGCTGGATGCCCTTGTTACTGTTCCATGTCACTGTTGTTTACTTTTCCTTGCCTGGGAAAGCGTGATTGATACCACCACGACTACGGAGTACTACGACCCGCGGCCGCGATGCCTTATTGCCGCAAATCTTACGGAAGTACTCCGTAGTACGGAGTACTCCGTAGTATTCACCAGATAAACAAAGTGGCTGTGATTTGCCGCAGGGCCCGTTTATTGGTTCCCGACAGCTGCGACTCCGCCGTCGTCAGAATGTGCTCATCTTTACTCCGTATTATCGATTCCATCCACGTCATGCTGACGAAGATTCCATCGCGGCACCGAGCAGTTGTTGGGCCTGGCTCTGGCAGGCGCGTGCAAAGAGTCTGCTCTGCTGTGAGCTCTGTTGGTAGAGGGGGCTTGCTTTCATGTCGGCAAATACGATACGAATATGCGGTCCCTCTGGTCCTCGGGCAGTTGGCTCCAAGCCTCCAATGTGGGTGTGGATACATGCATGCGAGGCACGGGGTCCCTTGCGTGGGAGGAGCCGCATGGATGATGGCACGGCCTTGATCTCGCGGGGTCTGCACGGCCCTCGAAGAGTTGAGATGAGAAGAATGAGATGAGGATGAGGAGGAAGAGGCCTCGGGCGGAGGAGCTTCCGAATGCCCAGCCGCAAATCATTAGCACTGTGTGGCCGATGGACTGCGGGGAAGCGACAAGCTGCAATACTGCGTCCATGTGACTTGCAAACAAACGTCAACACCGTGTCGGCCCCGGAAGGCCAAATCAGCATTAAGTTTACCAGTCGTAGGCCAAGCGGTCGGATTTATTTTTTAAATTCCATTTCTGGACTCTGCACAAGTCCAGCATGGTCTAGGTATCGTCGTCGAGGCAGCATCTGTTGGGCTCTTTCTTGTACGTCTACTCAACGTATGCATTCCATGGATACCCTGGCATCCATTGCACCTCATTCTGAATCCCTGACGAGCAAGAATTATCCATCCGTCAGACCACTTTGCCGTAGACGAGCCTCAGTGTATGGACCACTTCAAAGTCAAATCCCCAAACCCTGTCTTGTCTTGGCTGCTGCCTCGATGGACAACTTGCATGTACGCACGTGGTCGGCAAGTTTTGCAGCAAAAGACGGCCCTCAGCCACGGCATGGTCAAGTCATGACAAAAATGGCTTCCCCTGCCTCGCGGAGCATGCACGTGCGAGTTAAAAAGCCAACCTTTTTCCCAGCTGCCGCCCTCATTGTGCTGTGCTTGTGCTGTACGCAGTCCCGGACCTCGGTGCAGTTGCTGAGAATGCGTGTCCTCGAACCGCTCCAAGCGGCCCTCGTGTCTCTGAGCGCCATCCGCGTGGCTGCCCAGAACAACGGCTCGTACACGCTCCGGGAGGTGGGCGCCAGGAACACGATTGTAAGTCGTCCCGCGCAGCGCCTTTGCCGACCGCGCATGGCGTCGGGCCCGTCGAGTTGACGCCGTGGCAAAAGGACTGGCGAGTGTGGCTCGAGAGGGACGGAAGCCCGATTTCCCCATGGCACGACGTGCCCCTGTACCCGGATAACAAGCCGGGCCCCGTCGTCAACTTTGTGGTCGAGATTCCCCGGTGGACCGACGGCAAGGTCGAGACACGGCGCGACGAGCCTCTGAGTGCGTTCACCACGGCGTGTGCATGTGGCCGACTCCTGGGACGACCTGCTGAACCCGTCGACAGACCCCTTCTTCCACGACAGCCGCAAGAACGAGCCCCGGTTCGTGGAGAGTATCTGGCCGCACAAGTCGTACCCCTTCGCGTACGGGTCGATCCCGCAGACGTGGGAGAACAAGAATGTCAGGGACAACTACACCGGCTTCGTCGGCGACAATGACCCCGTGGATCTGCTGGACATCAGCTCCATTTCGTGAGTGGGCGCAAGCAACCGACGACGGTTTTGAAAAAGGGGGACGGGGCGGCCGTGGCGGTTCTCGTGGCTGACGACTCCCAGGCCAGGATACACGGGTCAAGTCAAGCAGGTCAAGGTCCTCGGGGGCCTTGCCATGATCGACGTATGCTTCAGGCGTCCGAGCAGGGCGCCGCCGCGGCCGTGAGGAGCGTCGGCTGACGCGGAAAACAGGACAACACGACGGACTGGAAGGTCATCGGCGTCGGCGTCGAGGATCCCCTCGCCGACCGCGTCAACTGTAAGTCCCAGGTTCCCCCCGTCCGTGTCCCGCGTCGCCCTGGCCGGGGCCACGCAGACAAGCGCGCATCTTGACCCTCGGCAGCCATCAAGGATGTCGAAACGTACCGGCCCGGCCTCATCAAGGCCTTACTTTACTGGATCACTGCAAGTCAAGCCCTCTCCCCCCCTTCGCCCGCCCTCGGCCCTCGCCCTCGGCTCTCCGCCCAAGCTCGGCGTCGCGTACGCTCTCAGCTAACACCGGCCGGCCAGTATTACAAAGTCGTCGGCGGCAAGGGCCCGAACACCATCGCCGGCAACGACTACGTCGAGGCTCGCATCATGATCGCCAAAATCGCCGAGAGCCACGGGCACTGGGGCGATCTGCTGCTCGGAAAGGAGGAGCGTGGCGAGATCAGTATCTGGCAGACGACGGATCCTCGTGCTTGCGGGACCTACGTCAAGCCCGGGGATGCGACGAGGAGGTTTGGGATTCCTAGAAAGTCCAAGATTCTGCCGCCGGCGCCCAGACCCGCGCAGTATGATCGCTGGTACTATCTCAATGAGAGTCTTTCCCTGATCACCGTGCCGGGGGACGTGGTGGGAGTTTGATCAGACGGCTGTGCGGCACCTCGCGGTGGTGACGGCTTGCTGGAGGACCGTTGCTGGCGGTAGTTTGCTTGATGTGCGGAAGTAAGCGTGGTGGCTATTTGTGTCGTTGGCACGGGTGGTGAGCTAGGGTTAGGGTTGTCTGCCGACTCGCGGAGTCTGTACACCTCGATTGGTAGACTTTGATCGGCAGATCGTATGCTTGAGTGGGTCAGCCCGTGCGCCCTGCGGAGTAAGGTGCCAAGGAAGTTGCTATTAACGTGCCGCCCCACAACATCGTCAGCCCCCTATTTTCGTTATACCTGCAATAACGCAATTAAATGCATAAGCCCTTTTTTTAACTATTAATAACTCTATTAAATTAAGTCCTTTTAACTCTAAATTTACATTATAGCACCTACTAATATTGCTTATAAGAATAGAATTAAAGCTGCTATTAAAGATGTTTATTCTAGCCTCTTAGAGGTCTAAGCAGCTTAAGATTATACTATTTCTTAAATAACTCTTTATAAGCAACTTAGTAGTTATTTATTAATTTAAGAGGCTAAGGTAGGCTCTTAATAACTATTAAAAAAATAAGAGGAAGACTTAGTTAATTAAATTATATATAAGAAAGAAGCTAGAAGGCTGTCTAGCTATTGCAATATTTAAGCTATTATATAAGTTATTATAGCTTAAGGCAGTAATAATAACTCTATTAGAAAGCATTAAGTTAACTACTTTCTTAAATATAACCTAGAGGTTAAAATAAAGGTATTATAAGGCATTAAGTCTAAAAGAACTTTTAATATAATAGAGAACTAGCTAAGAGCTTTTTATAACCTTCTTAACTATTTAATTAAGGTCTAGTCTATTAAAGCACTCTAAATTTATAACTTTAATAAGACTAGCATTATAAAAGAAGATTCTAAGGCTAGTAAGGTTATTAAAAGTAGCCTTATTAAATATTTAATAAGAATAATAAAGTTATTTTATAAGTAGGCTTTTATTATTAAATATATAAGTACTATAAGTTACTATATTAAGCCTATAGTTATCTTAAAGAGCTCCTAGCTTTAAGGGCAGTAGTTTCCTAACTATTTTCTATATTAAGTCTATATTTATAGTAATTCTAGCTAGACTAATATATAAATTATAATAAAATAGTTTAAAGAGGTCTTTCTACTAGAAATAATGCTTAAAATCCCCTCCTTATAGTATCTTCTTATTTTAAATAGCGCTAAGCTATATATTTTAATTTAATTAATATATACTACTTATATTAATTATATATAGCTTCTTTTCCTTCTAGCCTATATATTATATATTATATAGCTACTAGATGTTAGCATTTTTAGGCTCTTAAAGACTTACTATTGTTAACAGCAAGCTAGCCTTATTAATTTTACTATATTATTACTATAGCAAAAACAGCAATTTATTTAAGCCTATAAGAAAGCCTCTAGGAGGGCCTTTATAACAGCAAACATCTAAGCTAGATTTTAAGCTGCTAGCATTTATCCTACTAATATAGAGAGAGCTCTCTAGTTTATTATTAAAGATAATAAGCTTATAATACTAAAATAGCTAAGAATTAATAAGCAGCAGCTTTAGTAGACGCTTTATAATAGTAAGGAGGTTTAGGTATAACTAGATTTACTATATTATAACCTTAATAGCATTAATTATAAATATTATACTTTTGCCTTAAAAGCTAGCTGCAGCCTTAATTAAAAGAACTATTTTATTGCAACTTTATCTACTAAAAATAAATATCTTAAAGTTAAGTATAATACTTTAAAGCCTACTAGCTAGAAGCCTATTAGGAAGGACTCTAATTATGCCTTTACTATTATTCTTAATATTATTAAAGCTAAAGCTAAAGCTAACTATATAGCAGCTCTTTATAAGAAATATTATAGCTATATAATTAAAGAAGATGCTCTTAAAATTGCAGGGAAGAATTAGGCTAATATAGAATTTATATTCTAGTTGTAGAAAGCTAATATATACTCTTATTGTTAAAAAAAGCCTTAAATTTAATATATTATGCTAGAGCGGTAGGTATAACGAAAATAGGGGGCTGACGATGTTGTGGGGCGGCACGTTACTAAGCCACTAGGGACGTCAAGTCCGCGTACACGCAATGACCGTCCAGACGCAACAACCAATATGCTGATAGACGGCCATGAGCACAAATGCCGATCGTTACGGTTTCGGCATGCCGAGACTACACGTGCTGCAGAGGTAAACAGCACCCACTGCACGAGCATGAGGCACCATTGACGAGGAGAACGAGGCGGCTAATCTGTTTTTTCTAGAAAGACTTGGTATATAGCGAGAGTTGTGTGTGTACACAGAGCTGGAAGAATGTATCGTTCGATATACAAACAAAGAAGAAGACCCTGCCTATCACGATATCCACCAAGACGGCGCCAAAATCCCCGGCCGCAGCAATCCCCTAACCACAGGTACTGCGAGCCTGAGTCCAGCCGCGCAGGCGGTTAGCAATATCGGAAGCATAGCAGGCGGTGCTCCCGAGGCCCAAGTCGAGGTTGGTATAGTCGGCCTTGCCGCTGTTGTAGAGACGGGCGGCGGTGTAGTAGACGCGGCCGTCGTCGCTGCCGGCGCCGATGTCCCCCCGGGCCTTGGCCAGCAGCTGCTTCAGGCCGTCGCCCGAAGCGGTCCCCCCGACGCCGTCGTCGATCATCTGCTTGATGGTGTCTTCGGGGCAGGAGGGCTCGCCCGCGCAAGTGCCGGCGCCGTTGTGGGACTGCATGAGGCCCGGGTTGACGACGCCGTTGTTGGTGGTGGGGGCGCGGACGCAGCCCTTGCTCTCCTGCATCATGACGGCGAGGACGAAACGGCTGTCAACGTCGTACTGGGCGGCGGCCTGCTGAATGGCATTGCCGACGGCGGCGATCTCGCCTTCGGAGTCGTCCGCGCCCCAGCCGTTCCAGGTGCAGGTCTGGTTCATGAGGGCACTGTTGCGGCCCCAGAGCTCGTCGAGGGGGAGCCAGCTGTCCATGGACGGCCATCCGGCGGCGGTCGAGCCGTCGCCCTGGTAAAAGGTGTACGAGTCTGGGACGGTGTCGCGCTCGGCGACCGGTAGACCTGCTACGAGGGCCGCGAGGCAAGCGGATGCGAGGGCAACGTTTCCAAACATGTTGGCTTCAGGGGAATTTTGCAAACATACACAAGAAAGGAATGAAATGTAGTATATACAATATACAGTACAGTGTTGAAAGGAAGGAAAGTGAAGTCAGATGGTAGAAGGTAAGGAAAGTAGTCCAGCTTGTTTTCCCAAGTCAAAAGAAGCGAGACTGAAATTGTACCCGAGCATGCGCCTTTATATGTAGACCAAGACAGCACCCAAATCGACCCAGACCTCGTCGTGACGAGCACGGCGTCGAGGGCGGATCTCGTGGCAAAACCGTGGCTTCACGCCGGCCAGGCACGAACGCGGCATTTTTCTGAGGACATGACGCAGCACACTCGTCTGGACATGGCCCGAAATGCTTCGGACGCGGGCTGATAGGCTCGTCCAAGACTCGCTCTCAGGAACAGAGCAACCAAGTCTGGGAGAGTGGGCCGGAGACGACGGCGCCTCACCCAGCTTTTGGTGTTGCGAAGTGGCAACGTGGGCGTGGAAAAGGCTCTGAATAACACGCGATACACGTCCACACCGAGGCGCGGCACCCCGTCCTGGCTTGCTAGAGAAGTTGTGGATGGACGTGAAGATTGGTGGCTCAAACAGTCTGGAGAACTTCGCCCGCGGAGGCACCAAGCTCTCCTACACAATGGTTTTGTCTGCACACGAGCCCGCACGCGGTTCACGTAGGTCCATAAGAGGTGTGCCGTCAGATTGCATCGAGCCCGCCGACGACGGGGCCGTAAAGGTGCCTTCTCGCCGGCCGTCTCTCTTCTCCCTCTCCGGGACTCTGCAGCTTCGCTTGAGCTCTTCTCGACCACGGGCAGCAAACAACTCTCCCGCTCTCTCTCCGCCTCTCTGCTACATGATTCCACAGACTGAATCGTGCGTTTGGCCCCGAAAAGAGACATGATTGCCAGTTTCGACGGGAGAAAAAGCCGCTCAGGTCAGGTCGCCTCCCCCGCCTCCACAAAACTCGGCGCCGCGCCGATGCCACAATTCACAGTTTGCCGTCCACCTCGCCCATTGTCCGTCTGTCTGCTCTGCCAATGGTTCACACGTGGCGGCAACGTTCGAAGCCGTCCGGTGATCAGCAGGGGCCCAAACGCGAAGCCGGCTGCGTTCTGCGGAAACGCCCCTGACTCGCGGAGAGACGGCTCGAGGGTGCCGCGGCATTTTCCCCCTCTCCCTTGCTCCTCGCGACGAGGCAACGTGACGACTCTACACTGTCGGGAAAACATGGCAGCAAACCTCCTTGGCTGCGGCGCCTTCGCGGGTTCGGGAGAAATGACTGAGACACCGTGGCGACGAAGACGCTTGCCCACGCCGCAGCCACGGCCAGCGACGAAGCACCCGGGGCCGGAATGCAACAACGGCGCACCGAGAATACCGGCAAGACCGATCGGCAGAGCAGCCGCCGTGTAGAGGTGTTCGTGGCGACGAGACCAGCGGCGCACGCGAGTCGCGAAGCGCCAGACGTCTCGCGCTTGTCCATGATTCTGTGCCCTTCTTCTGCGACGTACCCGCTTCTGGCGTGGAAGCAGTGAGGCGTTGCGTCTGGTGCTACGAGCGCCTGGCTCGTCCTGCCAACTTGTGGCCGTGAGTCGTGAACCGAGGGCGTTTGGTATTCGGGGGCTCAGAGTCGCAGAGGGCCGCTTGGCACTCGGCTGCGACGGCCTCGCCGCTTGTGTCTCTTTGCTTTTTCGGAGAAACTCGTGCGCAGGCGGTCATGGGCGTCTGTAACATGTCGTCCGTCCACGCGTCCTTGTGAACTTGCATGTCGCGACGCGCTCAATGGCCCCAGACGCGTGGAGAGGAATGGGATCACCCTCATTCCCTTGACGCTTTTTTTGTGTTCTTTTTAGATGGTACAGCCTTTTCCCCGGCTTGTACACCCAGTCGAGCGCACGAGGGCGCGGGAAATGCTTGCTTCGTCCGTTATCTGCGTCTGCTCCCGGGAGTACGACCAAGGGATTTGCAGCGCACACGGCGGTTTTGTGGCAAGGCTGCGCGTGAACCCATGACGTTTGATTCGATGTGCCATTTCCCAGCACGGACTGAGCGAGCATGACGTTCCATCGATGCCGCCGAGCACGATCCGACCCGTCGGTCAAGGGCGTGAGCAGGCGAGAAAGGAAGAAGTCCTTGTGACGAAGGCGCCCAGGACAGCATCGCAGCGCCGACCATCATGTCGAGGACGTGCCCGCCACGACGTTGATGAGGGTCGAGGCAGAAGCCGGTGGCGGCCCGGGCAGCCATCGGGTCGGCGGATCGTGCTGCAGATTCCGAACGGCCTCGCGGGCGCTTCTCGGGCTCTTGGCTCACGGCCACACTGTGGGTTTGGCGTTTCGTGTGGCCTCTCATGCGGCCGGGGCTCGCTCTGGCGCGTTTCGCTATTCTAGCCGCTCCTTGTCGTTGCCGTGGTTGTAGTCATCCCTGTCGAGTCCGGGGTGGGAGGACCGACTCTTGGGCTCGCCGCAGCTCGAGTTGGGAACCGGATGCGATGCTATGCTGCCGGCGGCCTCGTTTCTTCTGGAAAGACCAAATCCCCACGAGGTGCTCCGGACTCCGGACTCCGGACGTACATACGACACAGCACATGGACCCAAGACCAAGACCGGCTGAGAGTGGGACGTTGGGACGTTGCATGACGCAGGGTTTTCTGGTCATGGGACCGGAAAAGACAGTTGGTGCCGGGGCACGCCGGGGTTCTGCGCCAGTCGATCGATGGAGAAGCGTCGCAAATTTTGTCGTCGTGCGTTTTGGCGCCTCACCGGCTCACGATGCATCCACTCCCGCCACGCCGAGCCGAGCTTGATCGGCGCCCTCCAAGTCCTGAGCTCTGAGCTCTTGGCTCTGAGCTCTGAGCTCTGAGCCAGCCGGAACACGTAAAGCGGCTCTGCTAGGGCCTGAACTCTGTGTAGACTTGACTCGCACACGGGACAACCCAACGGGGCCGTCCCTACATCCACGCTCGGTCGTCTTTTGCGACGATACGTGGACGTCGAGTCTGGCTGACAGCGGTACGTATTAGCAAGCAAGCTTTTGTTTGTCGAATGTCATCAACGCAAGGACCGACGGGCGGGCTCCGAGATGCCCTCATCCCTGCGTCGCCACCACGGTTCCACGGCTCGTCTACGTTCCGCGCCGTCTCCTCTGCTGTTTGTTTTCTTTCCTTCTCTCCTGCTCTCCTCTCGCTCCCAGTCAACGCCATTGCGCGCCTGGCCGGGCAGCCTGACCTGGCCGCCTGCATGTACTACTCAAGTGCTCCGTGGACTCCGTAAATAGTCCCAATAGAAACTTGTACCCCCCTACACGCTGCGAGCCAAGTACTGTCCGCCGTACATACATGTGTACGCATGTATGTGCTTACATTTACGATATATGAGATGCCTGTCCATGATCCATGATCCATGGCCTTGGCCCAGAACTCCACACTCGAATCGGCCCCATGTCTCTTGGCCTTCGTCACCCCAGGAAAATAGACTTCAACCGGGGACGAAAGAAATGAAGCGGCTGAGGCTGTTTGGCGTCGTGACTGCGCGCTTATCATTGCCTCTGTTCTCACATGGCCGCCTCGTCGTCTCCGGGAGAGGGGGAGAGGGGCAGAACATATAAAAACGGCTTGCCGGTTCGATCCCGACTCGATTCGAAGGCGGCCAGCCGTGGATCTGGAACAGCTTCTTCTACTTACTTACTAGTAGTTACCTTTCCACAGACGCCGGCCATTGCCCCAAGCCTCGAGCCCACTCGGAGGCGTTTCTGGCTCCGGAGTCGAAACACCCGGCAGCATCACGGCCAACATGCGGCGTCTCGCGGCCGTCCTGGCAGCAACTCCCGTCGTCACAGCAATCTACATCAATGGCTCCGTCGTGGCTCCGTGCGACTCGCCCATCTACTGCCACGGCCCTCTCCTCAAGGAGATTGAGCTCGCGCGGCCCTTTGCCGACTCCAAGACCTTTGTGGACATGTAAGCCGAGACCTCCCACCGTTCCCATCACGCAGTACTGTACTCCAAGTGCCAGCCTCCGAGTTGGAGAAGCAGCCAAAACACCAAAAGACTAAACAAGTTCTCCGGGAGGGGGGAGGGTGGTGAAAAAAAAGGCCCGCTCTGAAGCCCCTAGAAGAAGTCCAAAACGCCTTCTCCAAGCTCAACCGACCCATCGCCAACAACTCGGAGCTTCAAGGCTTCCTGACCAGCTACTTTGGCGACGCGGGCCACGAGCTCCAGGAGTTGCCCGAGTCCCAGCTCAGCGCCGACCCGCGGTTCCTCGACTCCATCACGGACACGGTCATCAAGGAGTTCACGCAAAAGGTCATCGACATCTGGAGCAGCCTCACGCGCTCCTACAACGCCTCCGCGGCCAGCCCCTGCGCCGACTGCCCCAGCAGCTTCATCCCCATCAAGCGGCCGTTTGTCATTGCCGGCGGCCGCTTCCGCGAGCCGTACTACTGGGACTCGTACTGGATCCTCGAGGGCCTCCTCCGCACGCGCGGCTCCTTCACCGGCATCGCCGGGAACACGATTGAGAACCTGCTCGACCTTGTGGAGGCGTACGGCATGGTCCCCAACGGCGCCAGGACGTACTACCTGAACCGCTCGCAGCCGCCGATGCTCTCGCAGATGGTGAAACTGTACATGGAGCACACAAACGACACGTCGATCCTCGAGCGCGCACTGCCCCTGCTCATGAGGGAGCACGAGTTCTGGATGACCAACCGCACGGTCGAGGTCGAGTCCGCCGCGGGCGTCAAGTACACGCTGAACCGGTACGCAGTGGACAACACGGAGCCGCGGCCCGAGTCGTACCGCGAGGACTTTAAGACGGCGCGCAGCCCGGAGTCCGAGTCCGAGTCCGAGTCCGAGTCCGAGTCCTCCGAGTCCTCCGCGTCCGAGTTCCGCGATTTCTACGCCAACATAGCCACCGGCGCCGAGACCGGATGGGACTTTAGCTCGCGCTGGCTCGCGGACCTCCGGGTCTCGACGAGCGAGGCCGACTCCCCGCTCCGGGCCATCAGCGCCAGCCGCATCGTGCCCGTGTGCCTCAACTCGATCCTTTACGGCAACGAGCTCGCCATCGCCGGCTTCCTCAACCAGACGGGCAACGCGACGGCCGCGGCGGCGTGGCATGCGAGGGCCCTCCAGCGCAGCGAGGCCATGCACGCCGTCATGTGGAACGACTCCCTCGTCGGCTACTTCGACTTCAACCTCACCTCGGGCCGCCAGGACGTCTACGGGCCCGCCGACGACGAGGCCCTCGAGGCCGACACGCGCGGCGCCCCCCCCGGCCGCCAGGTCCTCTTCCACGTGGGCCAGTTCTACCCCTTCTGGCAGGGCTCCGCCGCCGCGCACCTCAAGGACGACCCCGCGGCCGTCGAGGCCGTCTATTCCCGCGTCGCGGCGTACCTGGACGCCCGCAAGGGCGGCATCCCCGCCACCAACTTCAGGGCCGGGCAGCAGTGGGACCGGCCCAACGTCTGGCCGCCCCTGATGCACATCCTCATCAAGGGCCTGACCAACACGCCCGCCGCGTCTGGCGAGGACGACTCGGCGTACGTGCGCGTCCGCGGGCTGGCCCTCGCCCTCGCCCAGAGATACCTCGACTCGGCGTTTTGCACCTGGTACGCCACGGGCGGCAGCACCTCGGAGACGCCCAAGCTGGACGGGCTCACGGAGCAAGACACGGGCGTCATGTTTGAAAAGTACAGCGACGAGTCGACCAACGTGGCAGGCGGCGGCGGCGAGTACGAGGTCGTCCAAGGCTTCGGCTGGACCAACGGCGTGCTGATATGGGCCGTGGACGTCTTCGGGAATGAGCTGAAGCGGCCGGATTGCGGCCAGATGGAGCCCGCTAGGAAACAGACCGAGCGGAAGAGGGCCCGGAGCGCGGTTGAGCTGCATCCCGAGGACGCGAGGAGGATCAAGAGGTTTGGCAGGAGAGGAAGTGCGTACGTCCCGCGGGCGTAGATGCCGCGGGGGGGCTGCTTTTTCGGAGCTCGGGCCGTTACTCGATAGAATGTATATATAGCACATGTATGCGATTCCCTCTTTTTTCTTTACATGGCCCTGCTGTTGGCGACAACACAGACGGCTGGTGTTGGTTGGGGAGAGCCCCTGAGACGAAACCCGTAATGGCATTGATGCTGATACGACTGACTATATGTACAGTGAACAGTGTGGTGTATGTCGACTTGCGCCAAAAGAAATAGACCAGACTACTTTATTGGTCTTTTCTCAAACCCCCGCCTTCTTCCGGACGCCCAAATTACCGTCTTTGCTTGGCCCTATTGCGCCTTGACGGCCTTGGGCATTCCCATCGGCCGCAGTGGCCCCTTTCTTGGTTCATCTCCCTTGCTGATCCTGTACTTTAGCTTGACACCCATGGCTGCCAGCTCGACGTCCAGGTACCTCAACGCTCCCGGAACAACGACCTGCGTGGTGTGGTCGCCCCCGACCCAGCAATTGCCCTGACCGTCCTCCCAGATCTCGCCCTGAATCTCTGTGAGGTCGACGCCGTTCGTCTCATCCAGCTTGGTGGCGCAATTGCGACAGCGCACCATGGTCGGTGCCTTCTTCCTGCCCGGCGCAAACTGGGAAACGGTGGGCTGGACCGACAAGAAGGAGCCGCAGCGGCGGCAGATCCACGACTTGGTGTAGTCGGAGCAGTTGAGCAGTCTGTCCTGCACCAAAAAGGCCGCGCCGTGCGCAAGCAGGGCGTCGCGTTCCATTTCGCCCACACGGATACCGCCGCCGCGCTTCCTGCCCTTGATGGGCTGGCCAGTCGTAGGGACGACGGGTCCGGTGGTTCGTACCTGGAACTTGTCGTTTACCATGTGACGCAGCCGCTGGTAGTAGACGACGCCGATGTAGATGTCGGCGCCGAGCTCCTCGCCCGTGATGCCCGAGTACATGGGTTCGTTGCCATGGTAGCTGTATCCGGCCTTCATGAGCTGGTGGCCAAAGTAATCGACCGCCGTGTTCTCCTCGTCGAACTTGAACGGCGTCGAGTCCTGGGCCAGGCCGTGCAGCGCACCGGCTTTGCCGGCCAGCGACTCGACAAACATGCCAATGGTCATTCGGGACGGAAAGGCGTGCGGATTGATGATGACATCAGGCTGGATGCCGGATTCAGAAAAGGGCATGTCAATGGCGGGCCATTTTTGAGAGGCAACACCCTTTTGGCCGTGGCGGGAGGAGAACTTGTCTCCGATGATGGGGGATCGTGGGACTCGGAACTTGATGGACACCGTTTGCAGGGGTTCGTTGCCCGTCTCTGCACCGATGAGGCGAACTTCTTCGACGAAGCCCGTTTCGCTGTCCTTGTACTTTTCGTAGTGCGTCACGCCGTCCAGGTTCACAAGATTGCCGTTGTAGTCGGGAGTGACGGTGTGCCATGCACAAATCACGTCGCCTTCCTGGACGAGACGTCCGACGTGGGGGAGGCCGTCGTCGTCCAGCATGCCTTGGTACGAGGCGCTGACGTAGCTGTGAGGTGCGAATCCAAAGGCCTTTGTGACGCTCTTTGCCGCGCGGGTTCTCGAATCGTCCTTGAGCGTGATCTTCTTGGTCTTGTAGATGGTACCGTGTCCGAACCCTCTCTCGTGGGCAGACTTGTTCAGGATCATGGCGTCGTCCATGTCGTAGCCAGTGTATGAGATGACGGCGACAACGGCATTCATACCGTTGGGGAAGTTGTCAAAGCCATATTCGTTGTGCAGGGGCGCCCGCACAATGGGCGTCTGTCCCGTCTGGATTCTGTATGACTTGTTGTCTGTTCGGTATCGGAGTGCGGTGCCCGGGGTGCCCATCGTCTGCTTACCCATCTGACATTGGTACATATTTCGGGGAGACTGGTTGAAATCAGAAAAGGGCGTCATGTTGGCCAAGATGGACAGCATGTTTGTAGGGTCGAACTCGACGTGAGTGGACACGCCTGACTCGATTTCTTGCGGCACCACGGCGATGGACATGTACGGCTGCTCATAGGGCCCGACAAAGTCTTCCTTTTGAAGAGGGAGATACTTCACGGGCCGTATCATTCGTGCCGGGGTTGAGGTGATGTAGACACCGGGATATGAACCCCCGTTGGACGCAGGGACATATCCAATCTCCAATTGCAGGGGCACGCCGTGCGTGCCCTCGACTTTCCAGTACCGCAGGCAGTCCGCTATCCTAAGAGACTCCTTCGGCGTGCACCAGCCGAGAATCTTGCCATCCATCATGACGACCACGTTCTCGCTTGTGAGGGCGGACGATGAATCAACGACACCGAGTTCTTTGGCAAGCGCAGTGATCTTGGACACGTCAACATGGTCCGTCACGATTTTGCACCTGTGAGCCAAATGGTTCAGCAAACCGCAAGGCGAACCATCAGGCGTGTGGACAGGACACATGAAACCCCACGACTCGGGAAGCAGCTTTCGCACGGCAGTTGTCTTCAGCTGGGCAAAGAAGGCACCACGATGAACCATGCGGAAATGACTGATGAATCGGAGAAAGTTGAGCTTTTCCGCCACAACGGTAAAACCGGCTGTTTGCTGCAGGTCCAGCCCCGATGGACTTTGCAAGTTTCCAGTAGACAAGAAGTACTCGAGCGCATTGCCCAGGTTTTCATTTGCCTTTCTGAAAATCGTGGTTGGGAACTCCTTTCTGAAATCCTCGGACGTGAAGGAAACTTCGGGGTGTCGTCGGAGGAAATCGCGCAGAGATGTGCGAACGCCGACGCTCAAGAACTCGTCAAGGCGCTCCTTCAGGATCTGGCTGTACAGAAATCCACCCAGCAGGATCTCCTGGTTTTGAAGCGCATCGGGGTTGTCGACGGCGCACTCGCCAGCCGCCAGGGCATACAGTTTGCGGATCATGAACAACAGCATTCGGAACTTGTCAATGTCCTGCTCCCCTGTCACGTTCACGTTGCCCAGATGGACCAGAACAATCCTTCTCAGAAACTCTGTACCAACTTCATAGTCGGACATTGTTTCTGGTACGCCAAGCACGACCCGAAACTTTCCCCCAAGATACGCTCTTGTCTGCGACATGCTGTAGAGCGCATAGCCCTTGTACGTTCGCAGCAGCAATTCGACTCGGTCTGTCAAGAAAGTGTTCTCGGTTGCTTTCGATCCCATGGGTCCGATCAGCCCCTCGAAAATTTCTCGATCGTTGGTCTCCACCAATGCTTTGAGGATCATGATGACGGGAACCAAGTACTCGTTCTTGCGCCATGAGAAGCGAAACGTAATGTTGCCGTCATTGAGGTAGTGAAGGACATTGGTCTGGGAAGTCTCGTCGGGTCGGACGGATCGGAGAATAATACCGTACGACGTATATCCTGCGCCTCGGTTCTGAAAACTAGGTCGGTTGGTAGCCATTGGAAAGTTTCGCTTGTTCACTTGTAGTAGTCTGATAATCTTTTCGATGCCGTTGACGATGAAATACCCTCCAAGTTCTTCGGATTCCTCCTTTCGCTGAACTAATCGGGCAGGAGGGTTGTTTTCCAGGTGGCATCGATTTGACTGAAACATCAAAACGTTAGGCATCCGAGGCCTTGCGTCGTGACACTTGATCACCATACCTTGATCATGATGGGCACCTGCCCTAGTTCTCGTACAAACTCAACGGCGTCTCCGCCGTTGATCGAATACTCAAATGTGGCCGAGAGCCTTCCCCTATACGAGACATGCCGCTCTCTGCACTCGGCGGGCAGAATCTCTCGGTTTCGCGCCATCTTGTTGGACGGGGGAATCTGGGGCTTTTGTAGGCTCACACCCTTGATTCGGATATGAAGGCGATTCTTTCCCTCCGGGCCGGATCTTTCATCGCCATCGAGGAACGTCTTGGTGCCAATATCCGTCAATCCGCGGTCAAGAAGGCCTTTCTTGCCATCGTCCCCGAAAATGCGATTGAAGGACTCTATGTGTGGATTCACGGCCGACTGAAGAGCGGGATACGCAGAGTGGTCCTTTGGCGGGTTCTGGAAGAGGTCTTGCCGTCGCAGAGTGTTATATTGGTGATCCCATTTCGTATTCGTCGCCGACGGAGCCATTGCGGAGGCTTATGCAACGTGCAGCGCCGTTGCAGCACGGCGGTTGACGAATTTCAAGTTGTTCGTAATGGAACTAGTTGGCCGGCCAAGGATTCTATGATGGAAACTCCAGATGGCTACAATTGAGGCCGACAATTGTATTTCGACCCATAAACGCCGCAGAGGAGCAGACTTTATTCCGCAGGCAAGCTCTGGGGAAAATTGAAGCCATACAAAATTTCCCACAACAGGCCACAGCCAGCCGCAAACGCTGAGCTTATCGCCAGGCACAGGAAAAAAAAAAGCTCGACGATAAAGAGTGCATCACGTGAGTTTATCGATAGAGCACAGTTTGTGGAGAAGTTGGTGGCACAAGACATGCATAGCGCACCACTGACTAGTACTGACTGATGACGTAATGGGGAATAAACAGTACGTACGTAACGTACGGAGAACGTTGTGAGATCAAGGCCTTGCAGTTTCATGGAAGCGACCCGCAGCGATCCCCAGTGACAGTCTGGAAATTTGTAGATCTCAGACTGGTCTGAAGAGATGACAGCCAGCAGGCTTGGGATAAAACCCGGGGACTTGGGACTCGGGTCTCGGGGGAGAAATCTGGCAAAGGCGGCGCGGGATACGCGCGAGCTAGCCAGGTCATCCCGGACGAAAGGGAGCCAACGCGGCACACATGCAGCCCGGTGGCATGCAGAAAGCCACCAGAGTGACGCGTGCCACGCTTGGTCGCTTCGACATGGCAGGAAACCTTTCTGGGCATGCTGCTTGTGCGATTGCCATGCTTGCCTGGCCCCTGGATCTCGTGACGTAAACATCCAATGGTGACGTGTTGGGTGGTGTCTCGTGCCATTGGGCCCGAAGCTGTGTGATACAGCAAGTCAAGTAATCTGGTGCAAGACGGTTTCGGCTTTTGTCTCAGCGTGCTCAGACGGTACTTGACTGGTAAACTTTTCAAGTAAGCAGGAGGTCGCAGCTGTCAGTGGTCACCTCGCCCAAGTTCCAAGTCATCGCGGAGTAAGACAAAGGCCGTGGATCTAAGGTATGGATTACCGGGCAAGAGAGAGCAAGTACTGGAAGCACGACGTCACGTCACGGGTCAAGTTTTTTTTTCTTGTTTCACGTGGCCAATGTCAAGGGCATCCCATTTTTCCGTCAACTACGGCCGCGGGCCTCATGATAAATGAAAAGTCGCCAATGCGCCAGAGACCCCATCTACCCCATCTACCAAGTACTAGTATCTACGAATTAATTAGTAGCATGACAAAGCTCAACTGCGGCAGATGGCCGTGTCCCCATGTTGCCTCCACCTTCACTTTCGCCTAGTATGTTACTCTCACTCCTGGTAGTGCTTCGACGTTCAGGCAGCATTGGCATGCTCAAGAGCTTTCGTCAACAGGTGCCTGAGTCGTCGTCTCCCTTGTCCCGTTCGTCCCGGACACGAGACGCCTGACAGGCAAACGAGGATTGGAAAACGTGCCCCGGTCCTTGTTTGCCCCCCTAGCTACCACGTTCATGATTCAACCGTGACCGTGGAGTCGCGGCCGACTCCCAGAGCGAGCAGAAGAGATGGGCAAACAGCCGGTAGTCGGATGTAATGTTTGCACGGTGGTTTCCCCTCTGGGATTCAAGCGGGGGCTTTGCAAAGACTGGCAACACACAGTGCCGGATTTTGTGGTCCGCGCCGTGTACGGAGTACGAGGCAGCAGCAAGGTCGTGATGGAAGCCCAACAATGGATTAGCAATAATAAAAGCATGGGGCTGCGGCATATAACAAACCTGGACCGCCCACGACAACCACTCATTCCTTCATTCCTCTGGCACAAGCGAGAGGAAGATCAATGCGCCATGTCGGAGCACCGAGGCAAGAAGGGACAATGCGGTCGCTGCCGAGAAAAGAAAGGTCATGCATGTCCTCGCGTTGCCGGTGACTTGGAGGACTCGTGCGTACGGGAGGGAACAAGCTCCGGTTGGTACGGGAGAACCGTAGGTGGCGGCACACGACAAGCATCGACAGCTTTTGGGAGCGGCACAGCACTCTTCCTCTGTTGCATTCCAGGGCCTTGTTGACGAGAAGCAGTCAGTCAGTCAGCGGACGGCGCTCGTTTTCTCGTTTTTCAGAAACCCATCGAGGCGATGCATCATTGATCCCAGATCCCCAGACCAGGACCTGCAGACGCCTCCATCGATCCTTCATCGAGCCGCAGCCCCAGCCGACAGCTGCGGATGCCATGAGGTCTGACGAGGGGGCTGTTGGATTGGACGCCGTGCCGGGACCCAATAGCCACAATGTCAGGTCATGATGGCTGCAGACGCCGCAGGCAGGGGTGCATTCTGGCAGGCAAAAATGGAAGTCGTCGAGGAAACTAGAACACAAAAAGCGGGGGGCCGGAGCCATGGAAAATGCGCCAAACCCTGTCGCCATCTTCAGGCACACCCGACCTAGCCCAGACCCGAGAATCCCGACAATTGACAGCATGGCTCCTCCTGATCCTCGGCTCAGAAGGGCTCATAAGTTTTACGATCCGTCTGTTATTTTACCACGCAGCTACGACGCAACACGCGCCCAGGTGGGAGGCAAAAGGGGCCGGCACATGTTGGGTTGCGTTGTCCCTTCTGGTCGGTCCCCCTGCGGTCTGGAACGAGATGAAGCCGCGTATTACAGTAGTCTGGCCTCCGCACAGTCTGACCCTCGTCATCAAGCCTCAAGTATTGCGAGTTGACGGCATGGCGGCGGCGTGGCAACCTCGATCCGCCGCGCCCGAGTATACGGTGCACACATGTGCGGATCTACTATGCAAGTTCAGACTTGATACCCAGGGTGCCATGCTTTTGCCCTGCTCTGGCGTGCCATGGGGCCTGCTCTAGCCAACGCTGTTACGTGTTGGGCTATCGTGAGGTTCCGGTCCAGGAGGAGGAGGAGGAGGAGGAGACGCGAGGAAGCAATGGACCCAGGCAAGCACAAGCAGGCAAATCAAGCAAGACCCCGAGTGCCATGGGAAGAGCGAGAGGGGCCTTGGACAAGACATTGGTGGGCATGGGGACGCATCACGTTCGGCTCTAACTCTCTCGTTCCAGACACAAGACTGAAAACTGTTCCCACATGCCTCTGATCGTCCATTTGCCGGCCATCCCCAGATTTCCCGCAACTTCTACCCTATCTGTCAAGCCTGCTGTGTATTCACTCGCGCCAAGTTCATGCAAAGCTTTGCCCCATGGGGCGCTTGTGTTTGGCCACGTCCGCTTCGTCACCAGACTGCCGCGAGACAACTCCTCTTATTCTGCCCGCTCGCCATCCTTCCTCCTCGCACCCATTTACAGGAACCCTGGAGATTTGTCTCGGCCTCCACACTTTGTTCCCATCTCCTGCTGCTTCTTCGCCAATTTGAAGAAGCGCCGACTCGGTTCTTGAGGGCCAATGGCCTCGCCGTCGGAGTCTGCTCAGCACGGCCTTGGGTCAGATGCCGGTTACGGGCCCGATCCGGCAACACACTCTTATCAGCAAGTTCGAGTTCCAGCCCAGGATGCCGACAACACCGACGGTATTGTCAAGAACCCATTGGCCGCTTCCGATGGTCCGTCTCCCACTGCCCCCAAAGCAACCACGCCCCCCCCTTATCCTTCTTCTGCCTCCGCAGACATATCCGAAGCTGCTGCTGCTGCTGCCGCCGCCGCGGCAAGGCGAGAGAAGGGCCGCGTTAGATTCAACAGTAATGCAACGACTTCAAGACCGCCCGTCACCAACTTTGAACCTCCTCCACGAGTGCCCGAGCCCGCGGCTACGCCTTCTCCTAAGCTTAGGCCATCAATTCTGCGCGCAAACTCGTCGGGGTCCGTAGCAACAGCCAAGGAGCTGGGGATCGACTTGGACGCTGATTCAGAAAAGGCGATTTCGGCGGCCGTTGCGCAAGCCCGAGCTCAGCATATTGCTGCCAAGGTTTTGCGCGACTCTCCGCCTGGCTCCAGAGCTTCCATGGACTCTCTTGCCACGACTGCGGCCAGCGACGGAGGATTTCTTCCCGGAAAATCTGGTATTCTCTTGCGGAACTTGGTGTCTGATGGTGCAACCGTGGAAAGTCGGCGTCAAACTTCAGAGGACGAGACTAATCAGCTTGCGTTGAACGAAGAGGCATACGACCTTGTCAGATCCCACACTCGCCGGTCTGCGTCGGCCGCATCAAGCAACACTTCTCCTGTAGATAAAGAGGTCAGTGTCAGCTCGGCAAACGTTCAACCCAGCCACATGAACGGCGGACTCTATGACGGCGTGTACAACGTTCCTCCACCGAGGCAGTATCGAGGCAGTGTACTCTCGCAGCTCCTGAAGCTGTACAAGCCCGCCGACCACAGCGTGCACGCCGTCCATCACTCCCGGAGTTTGAGCTCCCCTTCCCCAGGCGCCGTCACGCCCCCGAGCTTGGAATCGGGCACAGCTACACCCCCCAGCACGCGCAAGAAATGGTACGAGGCGGATCGTTCGCAGGACACTTTGGCGAACCTTGTGGAAGCCTCCACGCGCCTCGCCAATCCGAATCAACAGGTCCCGGAACCAAAGAGCCCCGGCAAAAAGCGTCCTGGCGCCAAACGACGAACCAGCAGTAGCCGACTCGGCTGTTTCTGGCAGAAGGAGGAGGCGCGGGTTACTGTACATATTGCGGAAACGCTCTCCCGCCAAGGGTACATCATCAAGTTGTGCCGAGCACTGATGCTGTTCGGTGCTCCCACTCACCGTCTGGAGGAATACCTCACCATGACGGCACGCGTGCTTGAAATCGACGGCCAGTTCTTGTATCTGCCAGGCTGTATGCTTGTCTCGTTTGACGATAGATCAACACACACGACTGAAGTCCGAATCGTTCGGATCACCCAAGGTATCGACTTGGGCAAGTTGAAAGACGTACACCGCATCTACAAAGAGGTGATGCACGACGTCATATGTGTGGACGAGGGCACCCGTCGACTGGATGAGCTGTTGAAAGCCAAGGACAAGTTTAGAGCATGGATAAGGGTCCTCGTGTTCGGACTGACGAGCGCCATGTGTGCCCCGTTTTCATTCTCTGCCCGGCTAATGGACTTGCCGCTGGCCTTTTGCTTCGGCTGTCTGGTTGGGTTGTTGCAGTTGGTTGTGGCACCCAAGTCAAACATGTACAATAACGTATTTGAGGTGACGGCCACGATTTTGGTCAGTTTTCTCGCTCGAGCGTTTGGAAGCCTCAATGAGGGAAACCTGTTCTGCTTCTCGGCATTGGCACAGAGCGGGATTGTCATGCTTCTCCCGGGATACTCAGTGTGTAAGTTGCTCCAAATTCGATCCGCACCACGCTGCTCCCTCACGTCGATCCATCTCCGGTGGCCACGCGCTTGTGGCTTTATTTTATTTTGTTCCCCCCACGCTCGAGGTCCCATGCTAATTTTCGCGGAGTGTGTTCTGCTCTGGAGCTTCAATCTCGCGCCATCGTCCCTGGGTCCATTCGCATAGTATATGCCATCATCTACTCCCTCCTCCTCGGGTTCGGCATAACGGTTGGTGCTGCTCTGTATGGCCTCTTCGACAACAACGCGACGTCGGCAACATCGTGTCAGAACCCCATCCCGTCCCTCTACACCTTCATCTTTGTACCGTTCTTTATTCTGTGTATCAGCATCTTGTACCAGGCCAAATGGCAGCAAATGCCTGTCATGGTCTTCATCGCCTTCGCAGGCTACGTTGTCAACTTCTTCAGCAGCATCAAGTTCGTGGCCAGTCCGCAAATCGCCAACACTCTGGGTGCGTTATCCGTGGGCATTCTCGCCAATCTGTACTCTCGCTTGCGCCACGGCGTAGCTGCTGCCACTCTCATCCCCGCCATCTTCGTGCAAGTGCCGGGTGGGCTAGCATCGACGGGAGGGTTGTTGAGCGGTTTGAGCACGGCTAATCAGCTCATCAACTCGCCAACGGTTATCAATGGTACGAGCACGGTGAGGTTCAGCCAGGGCGAGTCGATGAACACGGTGGTGTTTAATGTTGCCGCGTCGATGATTCAGATTGCGATTGGCATTGCGGTGGGATTGTTCATGAGCGCCGTCGTCATCTACCCGCTGGGGAAGAGACGGAGCGGCCTGTTTAGTTTCTAATGTTGTTGCTCATTTTGGTCCGTCCGTTGTCTTGTACAAAACAGGGTAATTTCTGGATATAGTCATGGCATGGCGATTTGATGCGGCGCGACTCATAGCGAGGGGAGTGAATCTCTTAGTATGTAACATTCGGCGCAGGTCAGGTCCTCTTGTGGCTGTTCAACATCAAAGTCGACGAGTCTTCTCGAAGTTCGCCTGGGCCACGTCTCGCGGCCAACTCGGGCACGTCCTGGTGTGCTTGGGTGCCGGATGACGGAGCACCGTGCCAGTGAGAAGGTGCTACTACAGAATACGTGACGTGCTATTCGCAAGGCATCTGTCTGGCCGCGGAGATTCCGTCGCGTCTGCGCGTTCGGTGATTATATTGCGTTGCGTCATCTCGTTGGGGCTGTCGCGCGAGGCCAGTCCAGGACCGGGGGACGCGCATGGATGATGCTTGACGTCCTGGCGGTACGGAGTACGGCGTGTTACTGATACGGTGCTGATCTCGCTGCGCGTCACGGCCACATTTCCCAGAGTCTCACGGCGTCTGCAAGACTCTGCAAGACTGCGAAAGAGGTAGGGGAGCCGGAGAGTAGGAGTGTAGCAGTCTAGTGTCCAGCAGGCCGCTGGAACAAGCCTTCCGGCCTGGTCTCGGGAGCACAAGTAGTATGCACCTCGTTGATCTTGTATCTTGTTGCGCTCCTTCGGGAAATGGAAATGCACCTCGATACCCGCCGCCATCCGTGTCGCTTTGTCCGGCCACAGCATCATCCATCTGCCGCGTGTACGGGGAAACCCCCCCTTGTCCGCTCTTAAACGCCTTTGCTGGCCCAAGCGACAGAGACCAAAGACTGCAATGCCGGCGAGAGAGCACCTGGCCCGCTCCAACAGGAATATGATGCTGGGCATGGCTGGAAGCGCAGCACGTCTTTCCAGTTGGGGGCAGGTAACCTTGTCGGGCCATGGGATCATCATCACCACCACCCCCGTTCGGCGGACACTGAACGGATGAAACGCTAATGGCAAATGGTGGCAGAGGAACCTAGCAATAACCCCCATTGGCACGACGTCTCGTGACTCCCCCGACACACCACACCGACACCCACACATTTGAACCGCAGACTCGAACCGCACCGCACCGCACCGGCACGGCACACATGCCCATGCCGCACTTGCCCAAGCTTCAAGTCTGCGCCGCCGCCGCCCCGACAACTCGTTGTCCTGGTCGTCGACAAGGTCGCCCTCGCTGTTGTCTTGGTCGTCGTCGTCGTCGTCGTCGTCGTCGTCTCGTTTCGTGTCAGAATGCACAGAGGGGAGGCAGACAGCAGAACGGCAGCCAAAGCCGGCAGCCGGCAACCGTCCGGTCGCAGTAGCGGACGCGGCAACGTTCGCTGCCACACGGCATCATCTGCTCATCCAGGTGAGTACAGAGGACCAAGTGTTTCGTCGCATCTCTGCCACCAAGTGCAGTTCGCTTGTACTCACTGTGCTTCAAACCACGCCGTCTCCAGATGCCCCGTGTTGTCGCTGCCATCCAACACTGGAGCTGCGAGCTGCCAGCACCGCACCACTCGTCCCCGCTCCAGCCCCCAATCCCACAATTCAGGCTCTGCGGCGTACTACACTTTCACTACCCCGGCGGCCTGGCTACCTATAAGTACTTAGGTACTTTGGGTCCTTAGACCTAGTGCCAGGTACCTAGTTACAGAGTACTTAAGTAGTTACTCCGCGCCCGCCATTCTCACAGTGATCCCGGGTGGAGTCTCTACTTGTCTTGTCCACTTGAGCAGCATTGAGCAGCAGTCTGGCTCCATGTCGTCCAGACAGACGTACTCTGTAGCGCGCTCGAATGTCAGTGTCCGCGCGACGCAATTCATTGTCTTGCCGTAGCCCCGCCGGCTGTGATCTCGCGACTTGACTCCTTGCTCTCTCTTGGACTCTTCTCTTTGGGAGGGGTCGTTAACGCCTGTTGTCTTCGGCCCATGCGCTGCTGAACCAGCTGCCGCCTTGCCTCGGGGCCGAACTTGGCCCTGCATCCATTCGAGTCATCAACCTCAGTCATAGACGACGTCGCTCTGCGCCGAGCAGTGAGCACTGGTTCATAGCCCCACCTTCCCACCAACCGACCTCATTTTGCTTCCTGCATCGGCCGTTTGTATTCTGCTTCGTTTGCTCACGTCTTGTCACCCACGACAAGATATACGTTTGATCTTTCCCGACGAAGCGCCTCCTCTTGCTCTGGCAAAAGTCGTCGCCACCAACAAGCTGAGCGGGGCACGCATGAGCTCTCACAGTCCTCCTCAGCGAACATCCATCGACCACATTCACGCCGGCCAAGAAGATAGCCAGAGGTTAAAATGGCCGGAATATTCAAAAAGGTTTACGACTGGCTTCTGCGGACGTTTTGGTAAGTCAAGCCCACCTATAAACCTCGCACAGTCTTCCATAAAGTAAGGCAATATTCGGTCATCTTGACCCATTTGCGACCTGCGAAACCCTTCTGGAAATTGCTGGATGACGCTGGTGCTAATGACGGCGTTCTAGGGCCATGGAAATGGAAGTCACCCTCGTTGGTCTGCAGAATGCCGGCAAAACATCGCTGCTGAGAGTTCTTGCTGTAAGTTGACGGGCTTTCAATCTTCTGAAGCCGTGACTGACAGAGTGCGCGGCAGGGTGGTGAATTTACTCTCGAGCAAGTAAACCCTTTCTTTCTTCATGGTCTGTCGAGAGCCGTAATTTGCTCTGGATCGCACAAAGACGACACCAAACAGCCACTGACCGCATTGCTTTATTCAGTTCAATACCGACCGTCGGCTTTAATATGAAGCGCGTGCAGCAGGGGCATGTGACTCTAAAATGTTGGGATATTGGCGGTCAGCCAAGGTTTCGAACCATGTGGGAGAGATATTGTCGCGGCGTCAATGCTATTGTCTTCATCGTAGACATCGCAGACGTAGATCTCATTCCGCAGGCCAAGGATGAGCTGCATTCCCTCATGAGCTGTCCAACATTGGCTGGAATCCCTCTTCTGGTGCTGGGCAACAAATCTGATTTGCCCCAAAAACTATCCGTCGATGAGCTGATTGACGAGTTGGACTTGAAGCAGGTCCAAGGCCGAGAAGTCTGCTGCTATGGCATTAGTGCTAAAGAAGAAACTAACCTCGATGCTGTGGTTCAGTTTCTTGTGAAATGGGCCAGTCGATGATCTGCCCATATCATGATACGTACGAACATCCGGCGCTGAAATGATCCCCTGACGACAGTTAACGACGATGACAGATCGCAGTACAGTATTGTGGCCTCGGGTTCTTCGAGTAATGCCATATGTTGTGTTGCACCGGTGGAAAGACAAGCAAGGGCGTTTATGCCACCTGCTGCTTCCGAGGATGTCCAGCTTTTGTTTTTCCCAAAACGATTTGGCGATATAAATTTCTTGCTCTCTCACGAATTCACGAACAAAGGCTGCCGGGAATCATTCAATTCTTGACAATCCGGTTGCTGCTTGGTTGACGTTTTCTTGTTCTTTGATTCCTGCTTTTTCATTGAATTGGGGGCATAGCGAAGTGTCATTGCCGAGCGGGAGTAGAATAGGGTCTGGGTCTTGGGCCACGCGGCATACAGATACTTGCCCAACATATGGATTTTTGGTTTTCCACCTTCTCATTGTCCATATGTTTAATTCATCGATTTGGAGTGAATCAAGTGTCGCGTCAGGCATTGTATGTGTAGCACAGATAAGCCGTATGGTAACTTTAGATGAAAGGAAAGAATTGCCGTGCATCCGATGGTAGCTATTGTTGGATGGTGTGCGAATGCTAACGAAACAGTACTAGGCCTTTTCTGCAGGTCGACCCTAAGGCCAGTACGAAAGAGTGGTAAGGCGGAACGATTGTGAGTCGACTGTGAGTTCGATGGCCTTTGGTCATCGATGTTCATGTAAAGGAGAACAGCCGTCTTCATTGCGCGGCAAGGAATTTATGTGGAGAACTTGCGACCTTGGATGACTGGCGGCGAAGGCGACCAAGCGACTTTTGGGGCAAACTCGCCGGCCGGCGAGAAGGAGAAATGAACAGTGTCAAATATTGAACAGATGTAGGACACCCATATATATAGTCCAACGGAAGGGAGCATGACAAGGAACGACTCGTCAATGGCACCTCATTACCGGCTGCATGGTGCTGTGTTGTCGCTGCACACGGGCCACTTTGATGCGTTGGCCAACTCATCATTGCAGATTGCCCGCAAGCACGCTGGCTGGTCCTCGGGGAAGCATCTGCGCGTTCCCTGTCATCCCAGCAGCTCACAGTTTCTTTCCTTTTTCCCTTCTCGGTCGGCAATTGGCATCCGGATCGAAGCTCTTGATCTCTCCTTGCCCTGTCGATTTGCCCTCCAGCTAACTGGCGCCTGACTTGGTGAGAGTCGCAGCACTTGAGACTATTCAAACGAACACTTGGTGATGTTGTGTTCGTCAATGCAGGGCGTCACAGACGGGAAAACTATTCGACGACCAAAGCTGACTCAGGACGCCCCCTTCTGACGCGGTGCAGCCCCTTTCGTACTGCCAATCCAGCTGGAGCTTCGGAGCATGCAATGGTGTCACCTAAGTCTGGCCAGCGTAAGTCTTTCTGTGCAGTTCGTACCTGGGTCAATTCATCAAAAAGGTGGCGATGGATGGCGTGACTGGCTGTAACAATTTGCGAAGAAAGCAAGAGTGCAAGCCATTTTCAAGTTGAGACTACCGACTACCGAACGTAGCAAAGATAGAAGCTGAATGACCCGAATATAACAGGTTTCTACAACGCAGGCCTCGTCATAGTCGAAGAAAATCGGTTGCGCCTCGGCCGAATCCGAGACACTGGCTCGGCCGTCTTCGGTGGTGGTATTCACCGTTTGCTGGGCAAGACATTGACAATAGGCGGTGACAATGATAATGGATAGGCCTCGCCATTCATGTCAGTGAAGACGGAAAGTTGTCGAAGGATGGCTTGAAGTGATTTTGCTAATTTTGCGAAGTCCACAAAGGCAGAGACGTGGGTGCGGGAAAATGCTTCGAGAGGGGATCCCGATGGCTCTTGCCTCATTTGCCTGCCAACCCCATTGGGGGAGCAAGTGATTATACTACCTGAGTATCCATATGGACTCCTCACTTTCTCTTCCTCGGCATTTCAGCCTCAAGTAAATATTGGTCATCCGTAGATCTGATTACAGAGCGCATGTCTTACGTCTTCCTAGGTGTGTTCCTGGGATGCTTTTCTTTCCCATCTTCACCATCCAATGGATCGGCTCCACTATTGGCCCATCCAACGTCGGAAATGCGAACCTCCCAGAGGCAAACAGGCCACCACTCTGTTCTCCCCATTAATCAACCGCCAATGCGATCGTTGAGGCGTGGGCCGGGTTCTCCGCTACGCCTAGATTTGTTCGGAGTCCACAACACCGACGGCGCTGTGTCTTTGCTGGGCCCCAACACCGTGGGGCCGACGAAACGCTTTCTGCTCGTCGTCCTGCTCATCGGGACAGCAAGACAGGAATGAACTCGGCAATGAGGCATCGGTTCCGTCTTCAGCTTCCTCGAGTTATCAGAAACTGGGCATCTACCCGCCTCCAAAATACCATTCTGCAGCCCCCGACTCTGCCGCAGCAAACCAGATCCATATCATCTACAGTGCTCAAAATGAGCAACAGCAACACGGCGCCGGAATCCGAGGGGGAACATAGTTCGTGGATTGGTGCCAAGGGTCCTGCCGCACTTGACCTGAGAAGTAAGACGCGATAGCGCTTGGATAGTCGTCACTGATGTTCCGACAAGGTAGTTGCTAACCTGAGAGTCTTCAGGCGATGTAATGACTACACCCACGCCGTCTATGCTTGCTGCTGTTCATTCATGTACATTACGAGATGACGTCTTTCAAGAAGATAAGACCACAATGGAACTTGAGGCTCATATTTCCGCATTATCAGGCAAGGAAGCCGGCTTGTTTGTGCTGTCGGGAACCATGGGCAATCAACTTGCCCTCAGAAGTCTTCTGAGTCAGCCACCACACTCTGTTCTGTGTGACCATCGTTCGCATATTATTCAATACGAAGCCGGCGGGTTAGTGACCATCTCATGCATGCTCTCCTTCGGTTTCATTGTTGTCCAGGGCTAACCTTGGCCATGGCTTTGCAGTGTGTCCACGCTTACTGGTGCTACCGTGAGAACAGTGGTTCCAAGGAACGGTGTCTACTTGACCCTTGAAGACATCAAGCAGAATGTTGTGCTCAGCGATGACGTTCATGCGTGTCCAACACGAGTAATTAGTCTAGAGAATACACTCAATGGCATGATCATGCCTCTGTCGGAGGTCAAGCGAATCTCCGAATTCGCCAGAAAACATGGCATGAAAATGCACTGCGACGGCGCTCGCTTGTGGGAAGCTGTGGCAGCTGGTTCTGGCACGCTGGTGGAATTCTGTGCTCACTTTGACACGGTTAGCTTGTGTTTCTCCAAGGGCCTTGGAGCACCAGTTGGAAGCATTCTTGTTGGTTCCCAAGGGATTATAACGCATTCCCGGCGCGTTCGCAAGTCCATTGGCGGTGGCATGAGGCAACCCGGATTCATCACGGCTTGTGCTCGAGTTGCCGTGGACGAAACATTTGGCAAAAAGGCTGACGGCAGCGATGGTTGGCTAAGGGCGTCACACGACATGGCGAAGAAGGTTGAAGCCTTGTGGTGTGGCATGGGTGGCAAACTCGTTCATCCGGTGCACACAAACATGTGCTGGATTGATCTTGACTCGGCCAAGTGTAGCGATGGCCGCTTCATCGCGTTGTGCCAAGCTGCTGGTCTCACCGTATCCGGGGGCCGACTGGTAACACACTACCAAATCGCTCAAAACGGAGACGATGTTCTGCAGATGCTAGGTGATGTTTTTCAGAAGGTGTTTGCAGAGCCGGAGGAAGTCAAGTCTGGGGTAGTAGTCAAGAGTATGTACGAGAAGGAGAAGGCATGATGGCCATGACGATTACCCAGAGTGCGTTGCTTTTGGCTTTTGTTTTCACATTGCTTGCCCATTTCTTCGTGCTGTCGAGGGAGGAGCTTGCCTAACTCCTTGGTATTCAACGACGCCGCGACGACATAATAGGCCCCTACTGAAGAAGGTAGCTGGATACAGATTCAACTTATCAGGGATGCACTACACTCACTATGGACATGTCCCGAATCGTGAGAAAGGCATTAAGGCAAAGCGAGGGTGTGATGATGTGATGACGCGTGATTCCTGCCCACCAACGACCTGTTGCTCCTTCCGCCTGTGCAACTGATGGTTCGTTCACCTTCCCAGCTTTCACACCCAGACACGTGCATTTGACCACAGAAATTCAGGCGAATTTCTGGCCCTCTCCCCTCTACTTGTCAATATGGCCATTCTCTCAGGCAAAGCACGTTTCTGCTCCAATTCGACGGTTTTGTGGCACACCCATCACGCTCCAGACGCTTACTGCCGACGACATATCCGAGTTTACTTCGGGTAGGCCTCAACGAAAAATAGTCTGGGCATCTTTATTCGATCAACACGCCCAATCTGCCGTCAATCACAGTTCGACAGCAAGCGCATCAGCAGCTCGTCATTTCGATCTTGTCACCCTGAAAAGTTCAAGATGCCACATCACTATTTCTGGGAAACGTTGCCGTGGATTTTGTTCTGCCTTTGCGCCTCAACTGTCCTTTCGCAACCCTATGATTTTGGAGCAGACACATCTGAATTTACCCGCCGACATGACTCCAAAGGGCCAATTGTCGTTGGTCGTCTACCCACCTTGGCAAATAGCACGACTCCTTTCCGGTTAGAGATACGCCAGTTGAAAGAAAATAAGCATACATGGGACCTTTATATCCTCGCCCTAAGCATGTTTCAGTATGCTGATCAAGACGATCCCCTGTCCTGGTATCAGATTGCTGGCAAGTGTTTGTAAAAAGACCGTTTGCATGGCTCGCTTTTTGCTGATGGATGGATGGATTCCAGGCATTCATGGCGTTCCGTTTACTACCTGGAACGGGGTTGAGCCTCTGTCTGGGACCGATCAGTCTGGCTATTGCACCCATAGCTCTGTATTATTTCCAATGTGGCATCGACCATACCTGGCTCTATTCGAGGTAGGGCTTGAGTCGCGAGTCATCAGCGTTTTGCTACTTACTGACACCTTGAACTAGCAACAAATGTACAAGATGGTTAATGCAATTGCCCTCATGTTTACGAATTCTACAGAAAGGAGACTTTACCAGCGAGCAGCTTCCGCATTCAGAACGCCATACTGGGACTGGTCTCTCCAAGCCCCAGATGGGCAGACTCATCTCCCGGATGTTTTTTGGAGTCCTGTGATACTACAATATGGTCCTAATGGCATGCAAAACATCCGGAACCCTTTGTACTCATACCAGTTTCACCCGCTAGATAAAGATGCTTTGATATGGAACCCAGCAAGTACCGCCTCCACGTCGACTGAGATATTCCAACTTACTCACGAACAGTTGAAGCAGTGGAACGAAACAAAACGTGCCCCAAATATCACGGTCAGTCTCCTATCACCACCTTCAAATAACGAGGAAGTAAACAGGGCATTGCTGTCCAAGCTGCCAGAACTTCAGCAAAGATTGTATATTCTATTTTCCAGTTACCACGACTTCAACTCGTTCAGCAACAAAGCCTGGGCTGTGTCTCGGGGCCTTTCGGCACTAGACTCCATCGAGTCCATTCACGACGTTATTCATATGTACGGAGGGTCCAAGGGCCACCTGACTTACGTCCCTCTGTCTTCATTCGATCCTCTCTTCTTTCTGCATCATACCATGACTGACCGACTGATAACCATATGGCAAATACTCAACCCGTCATCTTGGATCACCCCAATGGCTGCAGGTGAAACTAGCTACACTGCTTTGAAAGGGACGATGCAGTCGTCTGAATCGGCCTTGACCCCTTTCTTCGCCACAAATGATGGTAAATTTTGGGACTCCGACATGGCGAGAGATACGACCGCATTTGGATATGCCTATGCGGACACCATCATGAAAACGGGATATGATGATGACCTACGTGAGGCATTAATCAGAAAGATCAATACATGGTATGGGTCATCTAGCCCGGTCGGATTAATAGACAAGAAAGCTGGCTCCGGGCGGAGGAGTCCAGTCACAAACAGGCCATCCGCTGCTGGGCACAGAGGACCTGGCTTCAGACCCAATATCAAGTATGACGCAGAAGATCCTCCTGCAGAACGCGTTTTCGAGGAAAATCATTACACAGAATGGGTTGCAAATGTTGGGGTCAATGTCGAAGCATTGGATGGCTCCTTCGTCATTCATTTCTTCTTTGGGCCACCACCACAGGATGAAAACGACTGGCACCTGGCGCAAAATCTAGCGGGAACGGTGGCTATTTTCGCCATGAACCGAATGACTGGGTCAGAATCCAAGATATCCGGGACAGTACCCTTGACATCGGCTATTATGAAGATGGTGGCCGCAGGGGAAGTTGACGGCCTGACCCCGCGAGAGGTTCAACCATTCCTTGCAAACGCCCTCTACTTTGCCGTACAGTCCAGCAACGACTCACAGGTCGATCCAAGGCAGGTAGACGGACTCCACATTACAGTGGCCAGTTCAAATGTTCAGATACCCAGGACACAGTCAGAATTACCAAAATGGGGTGCGTCTGTGACCAGACTGAGACTCTGGCCGGTGACCAGCCGATGAATAAGTGTGCTAGTGTAGGCCGTAGGCGGGTTGTCAGTGTTGAGGGGAGGGCGCCGTCTACCTCAACTATTCCAATTTTAGGAGCGGCATGTGTTTTTACTTCCCATGAGACTAGAAGAAGAAGAAACTTTTACAAGACACGCAATTTTCACGTTAGAGCAGGGATCTCCCCCCCTCGGATTTGGCTTCCACAAAACTATGTCTCGGATCAATTGCAAACGGATGCAGAGGCGGGATCAGAAGTTGTCTTGCTTGAAATGGAGGGCTATCCATCCACGACCAACTTTGCCAGGGAGTGGCAAGTCATGTGTACGTATGTGATTTGATGCGGTCTCTGGGCGCGATACAAGAGACGGCTCTGTTTGACGTTTCTTGGAAGACAGCACACGCGGCATGCAGCGGCACGACGGCTTGGTTTTTGAAAGCACAGGCGAGAGGCGAGGGACATACATGCAGGCTGGTTGTTGAGTGAGGGCCCGAAGTGCGTTTGTGGCTTACCGAGCATGGCCTCTCTAGCCGCCCATGATGCAGATGCAGGGATTGCAGACTCGGTTCCTTTTCGTCTCGCGGTTCGTGACAGGTGGGACATGATGCCTCGGCGTATCGTATGGTGACATGACGACGTCGGTCGGTCACGATGGGCCCAGGCCGACATCCGGATGCCGCAAGCTCTCTGCCGACGGGGTTGGAAGGCGAGGAACAGTCCTGCTCAAGAGGCGAGCGGGAAATGTCATGCGTTCACGTTCAGACTGGGCTGGTCTCGAATCCGGCAGTCATGCGCGTATTGATTAGCCGTGTAGTCGGGCGTTGGTGTTGCCACAGTTCTGTGTGCCGCCCGACGTGCTTGGCCAAGCGTCACGCCATTCTTGTGGACCCGGGGTTTTGCTGGTACTTGGGATATAATTGCCTATTCGGCGGGCTTGGCAGCCTTTCTTCTTGATTGCATCTGCAAGATGCGAAGCATGCGGCCCGGGGGGGGGAGGGTAGGTAGGGAAGGGTGCGCAACGACGGGCAGCGCGCGATGGCGGCGGACAGTACGGACCGAGTGTTTGTTGACGAGTCGTCGTTGGTTTTCTCCCTCGCGGCGGTACTTCCGCCCATGGAGTACGGAGTACCGAGTCCCTTGCCAAGTTTGCAGGCAACCACTCGCAAAGCGAGTTGGTGTTTTACCGCATGGACGGACGAGTCTGGAGGCGACGCAACGCAACGCAGCACACAGAGCAAGCAAGCAAGCAAGCAAGCAAGCATCTTCCACGTTTGGCCACCCAAAAGGCAAAGGCGCGGCCTGGGAGTGCCGTCAACCGCCCGTCCGCCGTCACGGCAGCCAGCACGTAAGGAGGTTTCATGTCGTCGTGGCTTGTCGCCCTCGACGAGGGGGAGGAGGCGTGTGCATCCAAGCGACCTGGTCAACCAACCAACCTCTCGACGTTCCGGGCGATACCACTCGTCGAGCCATGTCAAGTTGATCAATCTGCTTGGCAGCGAGGGAGGGGGGTGGGGGTAAGAGGAAGAGGAAGAGTCCAGCGGTCAGTGGCGAGTGGTATTTTCGCAGCATCGCGAGTGGGAAGGGAAAAAGCATTAACCATGTCGCCCCCTTTTCTCCACGCATAACACGCACCTCTTCTTATCTGGGCTTTCCATTCATTATCGACTTCTCTCGGCCGGCAAATACCGCCTCGCAGGACCGTCAAGAAAAGACTCGAAAGGGGCTCGGGGGGGTCAAGGGGTCCTCACGGGATAACAACCGATGCCGTATAAAATATAAAGCCGAAATGACATGCATTCCCTCCCCCTCCAGGCCTTCATCTACTCATCTAAAGCTCACGACACGACCCGAAATCCACAACAACCAAAATCCCCCTTCGCCCCCGCGGCGAGATACGGGAATTCAACCAGGCCACGGGGACTCGCGGCCAAGCCGGCGGGCCTCATGCACATGCCATGCACCAGACTCAGGCTCAGACCCGGGGAAGCAACCGGTCCCAAGATTGATGCGGGCATGTGGTTTGCAACAAACGTCGGCGGCTCCCCCAAGAGTCCCGCTCGGCGGTTGATGCACAAGTCCACAGTGGGTGGGCTGATAAAGGGAAGCGGAAGTTATAGCAGAGCGAGGCGCGAGGAGCGACGACGTTTCCCTCCTCCTCTCTGGGGCTCCATATGCCGCTGCCAATACTTGGACGGGCCGGCTTCCTCGCTTCCTCTGTCGGACCTCCCTCCCCTTTCCCCCCTTTTCTCCTCGAGGAGCAAAATTTGCTTTGCTACTACCCAACGTTGCCGACTTTCCTCTGCGTGTGTGTCCCCCTCCGACTCGTTTTGCTCGCAGTCCTCTGGACAGGTGGCGTGCTGTTACGAGTAGTTGTGAGTCGCCGCTCGACTTGGGGGCGCAAGACGGCGTGATCAGCAAGGAGGAACAGCACAGCTTGTTCCATTGCTTGGTTTGGCAGCGAGGCGGACTACAGGAGACGGCAAAAGACACACGTCGCAAGCAATGGCAACCACGACGGCTGTCGAGAAAGCCGGTCCGCTGAGCGTCCCGAGACACGGCGGCGGCACCGACTCGTCGCCGTCGACGCCGGCCGACTCGATCCCCGCCGTCGCTCCGCCGTGGCAGCTCACGGGCGACGTGTACCTGTTCTCGTGGTGGTCGGCGGCGTCGACGCTGCCGGCGCACGCCTACTCGCCGCTGGAGGCCGGGTCCAAGTTTGCGGCGGCTGCGTCCGGGCAGGCGGTGGGCGGGCTGGGTATGATCCAGATCCTGCGCTATCGCGACTCGCCCGTCGGTCCGTACGACGAGATGCTGCTTGTGCCGGGCTCCTTCGACTGGTCCCGAGAGGCTTCGGCTGGCCGGCCGGCCGAGGTGGGGCGCAACCCGCGCATCTCGCGCATCTACGTGTCGCAGAAGCACTCGTGCTACAACGGACGGAGGAGTACGTCCCTTTTGCTCGCTCGCCTTGCGGCCCGGCTCGGCCCGGCTCGGCTCGGCTCGGCTCAGCCCAGCTCACAGCTTCGCAGACTGGAACATCCCCAAGCACCTCGCGCGCTTCGACTGGCGCTTCGGCCCCAACGGCCGCGTCACCGTCAAGGTCTTCCCGCACGACACCCACGGCGACGCCTCCGAGGCGACGCCCGACGCCGTGCCCTTCTTCCAGGCCACCTACTCGCCGCTCCGCCTCGCTCCCGCCTTCCCCTTCGCCACCGGCTGGCTCAGGTACCTCGGCCTCGACACCAAGGTGGTCATGCCGCCGCTGCCCCGCGGCCCCGGCGCCCACGGCGAGCTCCCGGGCACCAACTCGTGGTGCTCCTTCCTGCCCGACCAGTACAGCCGCCGCGCCCGCCTCGGCTGGTTCGACATTGCCCAGCGCCCCGGCCCCGGCGGCCCCGGCGGCCCCCTCGACAACTTCTGGCCCGGCCTGCGCCGCTGGCAGCTCGGCCTCAAGATGGAGAACGCCGCCCTGCGCTTCGACGAGCCCGTCGACGTGTGGCCCGCGCAGAGGGCCAATCTGTAGGCCGCCGACCCTGCCCTCTGTGACCATGACCATGATGAATCACGACCTGTTGATGCCCCTTGCCTCTTGCCTCTCTGGCCTGTGCGGTGTGCGGTGTGCGGTGTGCGGTGTGCGGTGTCGGCTCGCAGGTCAGCTTGACTATGTTGCTCTGTGCTTGTGCGAATTTGAACTTCCCGACGGTCCTGTATTCCTGCTTAGCTCTCGTTTCTATTTCTCTCTCTCTCTCTCTCTCTGTCTTTGCTTTTTGCATCCTCGCACATTCAGCGCCGACGCTCAAGCCCCTCTTGCTCATTCATGTATGTGTATTGTATTACACCATGGGACCGTGCCTACCACGTTGTTCAAGTCAACTCGCGTCCGCGTCCGCGCGTCTTCAACCTCTGCTCATGCTGCACGCGTACACTTGTGAAAAGACGTCTCCATGGCCCGACGGTCCTTGCTCCCGTCCCGACTCGTCCCATGCCAGACTCGGCCCCTTCTTCGCTGTGCACGTCTTGTCCTCCGTATTGGCACCAACGCGTCTCCCTCGTAAAAACTCGTTGACATCTATTTTTTTTTCTTTTACCCTTTGGCCTGGCCCCATCCCCCCAAACCATGAGATGCCATACAAAAAAAAAAAAAAAAAAAAAAGGTCCTGCTTCCTCCCCAACCACACAGCACCTCCCAGTACCGAAAGACGAAACACCGTACGCCTGTCCTATGTGAATGCATCCATCCTTCCGCCCGTGCCGTCCCTGTCCCTGTTCCCTGTCACGCGCCGTAAGCTCTGCCCGCTCCATATCTAACCAGGCATAAAAGTGTATAATCTACAGCCCCCTTGTCCCCGTGCCATCTTATCTTGGCCGTCACTCCCCCTTCCTTCCATCATCGTCTTGCACATACATGCCTCTTGCGTCAAGCATGTGGGTGCGCTGATACCTTCGACTTCAAGCCTGGCATAGTGGTGTGGCGACGTTCCCAAGGTTCTCGTGCTCTTGTTCCATCCCACCTGTTCACTCCGAGGGGGGGTGCACGGCTGGTTTGCCTTGGTGGTTGCTTCGTCGTCAATTTTACCATCGAAGATGGACCCTGTGTAGGCCTCGCCATGCGGCGCTGCGGCTCGAACACATGCGACGGCCGCTAGCTGCAGGGATCCACGTCCCCCGCGCCTCATGGACACCGAAATTTCCGGGGCTTCTACGCTCGAGGCGCCGACTTGTGCGCCATGACTTCGCGTGCGTAGAACTCGACAAGCATGGTTGCGTAGGCTTCCAGGTCTTCCACAGGAACGGCAAGCCGGAAGTCGTTGAGGACGAGGAACTGGATCTCCAGGTGGTTCAGCTCGGCAAGCGGCAGACCTCCGACCTGAGGGACGTGTCAGTAGGATTTTTCATCTTCTCTCAGAGCGCTCTGCGGGGGCCACGCACCTTGGCATATCGAGAGTTGGTGTAGAAGACGTCCGAAAAGAACTTGCTGGCACACGTCACCCCGGAAATGATCAATCTGTGAATGTTAAAGCTGTCCACTACGAGATATGTTGCCGGGTTGGCTACGAGTCGGTCTTCGGATTCTGTCGAGCTGTGTCCAGATTCGTCGCGCCCACGCGCTGCTGCGGGACGGTCTACCATTTCGTCATCGTTGTCGTCGTCGTCGTCGGCCTGGTCCGAATCGCTTTCATCCAAATCGCGGGCACTGTCGTGCATGGTAGCGTCTTCCGCGGTTACTCCCGACGACACAGGCCTGTGCGAATGTGACGCGGCCCGGCTTCTGGACTGCTCGCTCCGCATGACGATTTCGTTTACTCGCTCCGTCATGCGGTCGAAGTAAACTAGCAGGCTGAGGAACACCTCATAGGTTGTGGGGCAGTACTTATGTATGCGTGTGAGGTAGCTCAAAATAGTAATCGCGGGCACGTTCTTGCCGTGGAATGCCAAAACAGAGTGGCTCAGGGGGCTCATGTGAGACGATGAATCGTTTGACTGATTGGCTTGCTGCTGATGAGCAACATTTCGCTGCATGGCGTCGTGCTGCAAGTCGTTGGTAGTTGTGATCTTGGTGAGCAGGGCAGCCACCATTTCGATAATGTCGGCAATGGGCATTCCGCTGATTTCATACTTGATCTGGGTACTGGGATCCAAGGACGCGGAGCTGCTCCCCCCAAGCATCTGGGCGTCTGCGAGGCTTTGCATGTGCGCCAAGTCCCGGAGGTGGACAACCGTCTGCTGGCCCTCCTGGGACGTCTGCTGGGTTGAGCTCGGCTCGACATGGCTGGACGGCGAGGAGGCCAATGATGAGGAGTCGGGTATGTGGAAGCTTTGGCTGGGTGGTGGCGACGGTTGCTGGTGCCGTCCAACCGAGGTCATCAGGCTGGGGGCATGGCGCAGAGATTGACGTGCTGTAGAGACGACATCTCCGATCTGTGATGCCATCGAGGCCCCCTTTGCATCGTCGACCGGCGAGGTACCACTGGCGACGGGGGGCGACGAGGAGGGCGGCGGGGAGGGAAACGTGGAGGAAGCGCCTCCTGCCGGAGCAGCGCTGTCGGCTGTGGTCGCGGCAGCGGCTGCGGCTGCGGCTGGCTTTCGTGCTCTCTGATGCGTAGGGGACCGCGTCGCGGCGGCAGGCGAAATGTGTCTGTCGGCAGCCGTGATTTCAATGTCGTCACGTCGCTGGGATCGGGGTGTCGAGACGGAAGCGCGTGGGCGGCTCGAGGAGCGGCGGGTAGGCGAGTCTTGGGCCTGCGATCGGGAGTGGGAGCGCTGGCTCTGAGGTGGGGATTGGTGTTGGCGTTGGTTCTGCCGTGAGGATGGATTGACAATCAGGTCGTGGAATCGAGACACATCAGGTACCAAGTCGCCGATTAAAGCGGCCATTGCATCGTAACGACAGCTGAGGCGGTGGTGAGGGGATGCCGGACGACGAGACGGCGCGTGAAGTACGTGTGTTCCCAAGCGTGCGTGCCGCACGAGCAGTTATTACGAGAGAGGAGTTGGGCAGCGGACGGACGGGCTGCAAAGAGGAGACGAATGCATTAGCTTGAGACCGAACCGAGGTCAGAAGATGGAGAAAAAGAGCAAAAAAATATATATAAACAAACAGGTGCAAAGGGAAAGTCATAAACAGTCGTCGTCGAGTAAGGGAAGACGGGAGCAAGAGATGGATCAGGCCTGTAGACTTGTGGTAGGAATCGGATGGCGCCAAAACGAGTTGATGGGCGAGCCGAGGGGCGGAGATCAGACGACAAGCCGCGAGCGCAGGCGACGGGGTTGGGGGGGTTGGGCTGCTGGAGCTGCTGCTGGAGCCGCTGGAGCACGGCGAGCAGCCCGACTTGTTGACCAATTCGAAGTGGTGGTGGTGGACGAGGCGACGAGGGGAATGAGTGACGCGACATAGGAATGGATAGCCAACCCAGCACGCACTGCGCATCTTGATTCTTGACGGACAGACGGCAATGAATGGCGCCATGACCGCCAAGTCGCATCGACCGGGCGTGGATCGGCGTGGCAGCAAGCTGAGTCTGAGTCCGGCGTCCAATTGTCGCACAACAAGCGTGGCCGGCCTCTTCGTCTCGTTGCACGTCGGCGCAGGCCAGCGGAGCGCTCGCCCATGAGCCGAACGAGTGCCTCGTGGCCGCTCGGGCATGGCCATGCAGTGCAGCATCTCGCAGCATGTCACACCTGCAACGGTCGAGGCGAGGATACGAACGGCCTACTCCGTACGTCTCGTCTCCGTTCAAGAGCCGCAATGCTCGCAGAACCAGCAGGAACAGCTCGACTCCAGCTCTGCTCTGTTTGCGCACGATGGCCGCAACTTTGCTGCTACCAAATGCGCCGGTCCGCAACCGAGCAGCGGTGCATACATCAATGCACCATTGCAAAAAAGGAGAGGAAAAAAAAAGGAAGAGAACATGGCATAAAAACCAACAAGCGTAAATACAAGACAGAATATCTCACCTTTGAAACGACGAGACGTCCGTGGCAAATCGTGAATTGCAGTATCCTTCAACCGGGTATATTCGAGATGAACTGAAAATTCTCTCGCCGCGCTGAATTTAGAAAAAAAAAAAAAAAACAGCAAAACACGTCCCAGCGGCCGGCCCAAAGTCAGAGACGCCAATGCTCGTGGACGTCGGTGATGATGAGAATGGAAACCAAAAACGTCGCTAGGCGAAGCAGAAAATGCAAGCGTCTCTATCGGCTGGTGCGTGGTATAACGAAAGAATCAAGACCGAGCGTCGTCGTAGGAGAGGAGAGAGTGAACGGCTCGGAGTGACGCAGTTGGGTGGCGAAAAAGAGGTCCCTGCAAATCGCTGCCGCTGTAGGGAAGGAGCGAGGGACCCTCTTGCTCAAAGCCAACCGCCACTTTGATATGCTATGATGCAGTGCAGTACCGGAGTCCTGCAAGGACAGAGTTGACGAGATGCGATTCCGTATCCTGACTGTGTAGATAAATGATAAAATGCACCGAGGCCAGCGTGGATGATAAATACAGGTACTCGGCAGATGATGGACGGGTGTCTAGGCTTGTTGGCGAGCTGAGGACCAGACCCTCGGAACCCAACAGCAAAAGTCACGACGACACCGGTTTGAGCGCGGCAGCGGGCAGCGAAAATCAAGGCCCGCGAGTATAAGAAAAGATGTGAATCTGGCAGACAATTTGTCGACCCGGCGTGCGCATCGGACAGCCACTGATCCGTCGACGGCGTGCCCGAGGACGACGACGGCCGTCTGGTGGTGTTCGGGTGTCGCAGCACACACGCAGTAGTACTAGCACAGTCGCAGCCAAGCCTTGCCGCACGTGGGGTGACCTAGCCGCCACGGTCGTAGCCGAGGGAAGGAACGCTCGACGCAATTCGGCACCTGGCATGTCGTGTCGTGCCCTGCCCTGCCTCAGCCTCTGCCTGCCCTGCCTGCTCCGCTGTCGCATCAATTCATGGCCGAATTCCCATGCCGGGCTTTTCTGCCTGGGTTTCAAGTTGTTCGAGAAACGCGATGGATTGATTGTCCTGCGGTACCGTCAGCTCTGCCGGTACGGAGTATTACATCGAAACACGTCATCCCATTCATGCAAGTCATGCCAGTGCGTACATACGGTTCTTCTTTTTTTTTTTTTTTCCCCTTCAGCCCACACGTCCCCACAGCTCGTCATCCAGATTGCCCGTCACCTCCACGGCCCAACTTCCTCCCCTCGTCCTCCACCTTCTCCTCGGCTGCCCTGGGGGAACAAGGCCTCCTCAACGCAGGCTGCGACCAGGCCAGCCACGGCGCCGTTCATCTCCAGCCCTGTCGAGCCACCCGCCGTTTCTCAGTTCAGCTCAATTTACGGAGTGATCGGGTATTACGAACTGCAAGGAACCAGAGCAACGGCTCATGGTCAAGGACGACGACGATGCTATCAACCTTCGGCGTGCCACGGGCGTGCCACGGTAGAAGCTTGCCGCTCGGCGCCCCCAACCAGGTGACCATCTCATCGACCATGCCGCTCAAAATCATGTACGGAGTATGCATTTCACCATGTCCGATGCAAGTGAGTGCAACCCAGCCCCGTGGCCGCAGCCAGTACGCCCCTGTCCAACCCTCATGCACCTCGTCCCGACCACGTGTCACCGGGAGCCGAAGAATTTGACAATTGAGCGGTATATCTGTAACAAGCTAGTCTGGACAAATCTCTCGCCTAGTCGGTGTGTGTCGATGTAGTCTGATCTCGGTGGCTGACCGCCTGTCGCATGATCCGTGTGTATAAGCTCGTCGATGTCGCCTGCACAAACTCATGGCATCGCCATGCTCAAACGCGGACGTATTGGACAGCCCCACGAGAAGCACCGTGGATAAGGGACATGGTGTGACATTGCCCTTTGGTTGACCTGTTTCAAAGAAACCAATCCCTTATCACCCTCGGTCTTCGGATATCCCTGACTCTTCTCGACGTTATCAACCACCTCACTCGTTCCATCTTCACCGCTATTCCGCATCCAACTTGCGAAAGAAAGCTGACATGTTGTGTCGCCCGTCCCTGCCGACCCACGGCCCGTTCTCGTACCCGAGTCACAAGCCCTGCCAAGGGTGTATTGGCTCTTTTGTTTCAGGACCATGCACAAGCGGTTTGCGTTTCGATTTCTTGCTCGTGACTCTACTTATTATACAGAAGCGCCGACTCTGTCTGTCTATCGTAGGCTCAAATCACCGTCCAGTGGGCTTGCTTCTTCACATCCCCGATCCCGTATCATGAGCAATGCCGTCCACCGGACATCAACCTGCCCCTTTTGTTTTTATTTGTTTTTTATTTTTCCTCTTCTGCCCCCCCCCCTTCTAATCATGTCGAACCTTGTAGTCAGTGTCGGGCAAATACAAGTGTCGGTCAGCACCCTCCTTGGTCAATACCACCATGCGAATGACACCGCCTGAGCTGCCATCCCACTTAATGGCCTCCCTCAGAGCACCCTTGACGAAATTCACGGCCTCGTCCTTCTCCATGCCCTCTTTCCAGTTGGCATCGCAGTAGCCGTAGATGTATGTGGAGCCAGAGCCACCGATTGCATACGCCTGCTTGTGCAGCGAGCCGCCCAGGGGAATCGAGTACACCTGGCCGCCGAATCGCTCGTCCCAACCGGCGATGATGAGACCGGCGCTGTTCAGATAATCGTCAATAAGCTTCCAGCACCCCAGCAAGCGCCGGCCGTCGGGATGACCTACGATAGACGATCCTTGTTGGCGTAGCAAATCTCCTGGAAGATTGACGCAGCGGTCTGCGTCATGGGAGGCTTGCCGCTGTGCATGGCAAACAGACCCAACTGGTACTGTACAATGTCGGCGACGGCCTGCGTGTCGGCCGCTGAGCCGGATCGGCAGCACCAGATTGTGTCGTGTACTCTGGTCAGTTTATCCGTCACGCGGTTGGCAATGTAGGCTCCGGTCGTGGTTCGGGAGTCGGCGCCTGCAAGGTTCAGTGAGCACATTCACCGACGTCTGTGACGGGGGCCATCTTGAGACGTACCTAAGATGACGCCATCTTTGAACGTGACGGCCATGCTACGACATGTCAGACTGCTGGAACCATCAGGATCGAAGGAGTAGCTCGCACATTGACGTTCCCAAGCTGGAAGCGATGTCAGATCAGACTTGCAAGATAAAGTTGAGCGTTCGGCAAGGGCTACTCACTTCACCTCCCCCTTCTTGAGACGGTCCATGTCGACGTGGATGCCATCTATTCAACCGCATCAGCTTCACATGTCGTCCGCTTGGGTGCGCCTCGCGGTGCAGCTCCGTCGCTCCGTCTCATGGACAAGCTTGCTCACCCTCATTCAATACACCCTTGTGGCCGAACTCCATGATTCGTGATATCTCGACACAAGTTTTCTGTCCGTTCCAGTTCGTGTCGTCTCCGACGACGGGTTGAGGCAGGGAGTGGTTCGGCGAAGCGGCGTTTAATGTGTTGATCATGGAGCTAAGACGTAGGTAGCTCAGGCAGCTCTGGGAACGCGCAGCCGTGACCAGCGATGGACTTGGTCACGTGATGCGACACGTGATTGGGGTGACGGGCTGATGGGCCGGCCTAGTCTGATACTAGTAGAACAAATTGCAGGATCGGCAGCAAAGTCACCGTCTGGATCGTTCGCTGGAAGAATGGTTTTACTTGCTGCGCCTTGGCCCTCGTTTCAACAATGCAAAAGTAAATCTAATGACTGACCACAAAAACAGTACCTCTATTGCTATATCACAAAAAGCAGCGGCGCCAAAAGAGCATATCCCAAAAAGAGCAGGCTTCGAATCCTATAATCCCTCGATAGCCTTGGTCCACTGCTTCCACGGCCACGGCGCGGCGACATGACCACGCTCGGCCCTCGTCACCTTGCTCTTCTTGCCGTCCTCTTCGCCCTCGTCCGTGTCCTTCTTGTCGTCGCCGCAGCCGCAGTCGTAGGCGTCTCCGATTTTGGTGCAATCAAACTGCGGATGCTGCCCGTCAGTATTGAGCCGCTTGTTGACATGGTTGTGCACAGCACACAACCACCCTTGGGCGGCGTTGCGACTGCTCGTCTGCGGCGGGTACTTTTGCAGCAGCCCGCGGAAGTGGCGGGCGCAGTCGCCGCAGGGGTACAGGAGACCGAAGACGTGGAAGAAGCTTTCGAGGGTCTTGCGTTCGCTGTCGGTGGGCTTTTCCGGGAATCGCGCAACCATTGTGTGGAGGAACTTCCAAGTTGCGCGGCCGAGTTCGGCTCTGGACAGCGGTCAGGACAAGGGACAGGTTGTGCGAGGCGTACAGGCAAGGGGCGGCGGGGGAGACGGACTTTTTTGTAGCATTTTCCAACGGCGGCGCTATGGAATCTCCCTTTGAGAGATCCGGAACGGCGCCTAGGTCGAATCCAGTGCCGGACTTTGACCCGGTCGAGGCCGGGGGCTCTTCTTCGCCGCCGGCCGTCGAGGGAACGTCCTCGCTGCGGTCGGGCTTGAATAAGTCTGCAGGCCGGGGCACCAGGCTGGCAGAGTGGATGTAAGTGATGCCGAGGAGGGCGACAATGGCCAGTATTACCACCAGGACGAGATGCTGCCTACGCGCCATGGCTGCGAGGAGTTGCTAGGGATGTTTGCCGAGCATCGGCTTGTGCCTCGTGCGGTTTTGGATTGTCGCGTGAAGACATGTGGTCAGTTCCATGTCGGCGGACGACTGACTAGGAGATCAGCGGAGTCGAACGGAACGGCCAACTGGCGTTTTAGCGCCGGCGCCAACCAACGGCCGCGGATCGACTGCGCCGCGCCCAATTCCCAAGTATGATGAATTGATGACTAACCACCACCTGATGCCGGCTGGCACGCCGCCCACAGCGGGCCTACCCTAGGCTTGGCAACTGTGCTGGTCCAGCACTGCCGGGCCAAGTCGTGGATGTAACTATCTGCCGCGTGTCAGCTTCGATGTGTAAGGGTGCCTACCCGAGAGCCACTGTCTGCCAGGTTGTCTTGACTCTTGTCTCCTGTGGACTCTCCAACTTCAATAAGTTGCTGAACAAGGCCCCACGAAATGCTTGTAAAGACATCTCTCAGAACTCGGCACGAGGCGCAGACGGCACCGCCGTAATCAGCACGGTGACTACATACTAGATGCATCGTCACGTAGTACGGAGTAAAGATGAATGATTTCTTGTCCAGACGGGATTCGTGGCATGCCAGGGTGGAAGCCGCACAGATAAGAGACCAGACGAAGAACAGGGGTTGGCTGGCACTCTGTGATGGCTGATGCCATCGCTGGGTTTTCAAGATTACCTCTCTTTTCTCCCGTCAGGGACTCGGAACCCATTGTCTGGCAACGCCGAGCCCGTGTTGGATAAGAGGGGCCGACGACCAAGACAAGACATGCAATAATGAATAATGCATGGTCCATAGTCGAGGGCCCGGAGATTCATTGACGAGCAGGGACGGTGTTATTTTTGGCAGACGGCCCCAGGCAACTACGTACGCAGTACTACTTGATAAGCACTGGGCGCCGGCGGGCCTGGCGAATGCGAGTTAAAGGGTCAAAGAAGGCTCGCGTACGGAGGGAGCATGTAAGTTAATAATAGTTGCTCGGTCATAACAGGGGCCGAACAAAGGCCACTTTTCTCATCGCAGAACATGCCATACGTACGCATGTATTACTTTTTATGTGCCCAACCAAACGTGATGGGCGGTTTCCCTCGCATCCGCCTTGACGTCTTGGATCGTGGACTTTTTCGTCCGACCAGCGACACCCAGATGCAAGCCAAGAAGAAGGGAGTTGGGAGGAGGAGGAGTAGTAGAACTAGTACTAGTAGTATCGTATCGCAATGCCACATTCCGCCGAGCACGTTTCCATTCATCCCTGCCCATCAAGTGCGGGAGAAACAAACGGTCAGACAGCAGCGGCCACCGGCGGTGTGGCTGATTGGGCTGAAGCGGTGCTGGTGTGCTGGTGCCGTCTTGGGATTCCAACCTGAGGCAGCGGAGCCTCGTTTCTCGTGTCCGGTCAGCGGTGCATCGATCGACCGACGACGGGAATACACAGTCGGAGTCGTTGGTGCTGGTCGCAGATGAGATGCCAACGGTGCGGCGGGTCTTGGCAATTCGTCCCTTACACGCACAGCACAGCACAGCACAGCACAGCACGGCACAGGCACGTACTTTTGCTCGGTGGCGTTGCGGACATGATATCAGGGCTTGTCTGTCTACAATGACGAGCAACAGCACGAGGGCGGCATGCACGTTGGGCCATCACATCAATTACTCGGCTGTCTTGACCTTGTGCGCTCCTCCGCCGCCGCCGCACACAGAAGCCAACCTTGGACGGCCAAGCACGAGGGCACGTTAGCGGAGCGTCGCTCTCTGTACCACCAGCCGCCACTGACCAGTCACCAGTCACCAAGTGGCTTACGGTGTACGGAGGGAGGACGGACTGCTCCGTAACCCGGCCGTTATTTATTGTTTGTTGCACGGGGACGGTACGGAGTGCTCCGTACGCGGCTGCACCCCTCCTTGTGCGGATGAGACAGACGAGCCAACGAAACGTCGGGGACTCTGCGGGGCGGAGCGCTCGAACACGCAGCGCGGAGTACGGAGTTATTGACGTGCTGCCACTGACCGTTTTGGGCGTGCTGTCTGACGAGTCCGCAACTGAGCAACTGAGCTTTGCGTCGGACGGACAGAGAAGGGGACAACTGGACTGGACTGGACGGATGCTGTGCTGCCTATGCAGCAGCTGGCCAGTGGCAAGAACTGCCTTATTGGCGGTGCTCGGTACGTAGTGGTAGCGGGGATGCTGCATGACTGCTCCCCTGGCCCCTGGCCCCTGACCCCTGGCCCCTGGCTCCGTGCCCTCAGCCTGATGCCTGCCATCCCCTGGATCCTGGTCAGATGCCCCTGCCGTGGCGTCCAGGCCTGCCCAGCTTCAGGGACAAGGAGATTGAACTCCTTGTTCTCGACGCACTGATTGGTATGGACGCACCGTGAGCGTGAGCGGGGTTTCAATCTAATGTCACCCACGCCCCCGGCAGGACAGGCTTGTGTCGCACCATGGAGGAGCCTCGCCCCAACTGACCTGCCGAACGACCACTCGGTACGGAGTCCAGAGTACCGCGTGGAAATGGATAATTATACGTGTTGAGGCGGGTGGGAAAAAGTGCATGCCAGCCTGTTGCCAGTCCAAGCCGCCGTGCTTACTCTTTTGTTTTATTTTTGCTCTCTCTCTCTCTCTCTCTGTCTGTGTGTGTGTGTGTGTGTGTTTTAAAGCAAAAAAAAAAACCACACTCGTGCGGTCGGCGTCTCTCGCCTGATGTTTAATGTTTGCTCTTTGTGCAGAGTACGGACTCCCTACTCCTCTGTACTACGCACTAGACCTTGCCCGGCTCACCGTCATGCAACTCCCCTGCATGCTTGCACATGCGGCAGTTTTTTTCCCTCCTTTCTTTGTCGTTTTCCTCCCCCCACGCTAGACTGGACGAGTGGCCAGGCCCAACACTTGAAACGAGCCCTCGACCGGCTCAGGTACCTGCAGCAAAGTGAGATAATCACCGTCACCGTCCTCAACGTTCATACTCATGGCCTATGACTGTATCGGTACGTGAGCACGTACATTCCTCGGCGGCACACGGATTACGGAGCACCCGGTTCCAGACCGCCATGTCGTCGTCGTCGTCGTCGTCGTCGTCGTTGTTTGTTATTTAGCTCCAGTGCTATGCATTCGAAAAAAAGCTTGTCTCGAACATTCCCGCCCCCCTCTAAGGAGCAAACTTGTCGTGGCCGTAAACCCCATCGAAGAGGCTCACGTTTCCTTTGTACGTCCTGCGGCGCCTGGCGTCCTAGAAGTACCACTCCATACGGAGTACTGTGTCCAGAAACCATGTACTAGTACTTATACTTACTCTTTGCTAAGCACATACTCCGTACAGACCACGGAGTAATACGAGGTACTTCAGTACGGAGTGCTCATTCTCGATCAGGCCAAACGGACAGGGCGCTGAGTGTGATGCGACCGACATTTGTGCAAGATGCTCTGCCTGCACATGCTCTATACGTACATAACTTGTCAAGCTGCACTCGTGCGGAGTTGCTCCGCAAATGAGATCGACACGATACTCCGTAATAATGATGAGGAACACCCCACCCGTCAGGACAGCTCGAGACAGAACTTGACTCTAAGTGCCTTTTAGTCGCGGTCACGTCATGCTCGCGGCATGGCATGCTGCTCCCTACAGGCTACAGCCCATCCAGACTCCAGAGTCAATCGACGCAGACTCGCTCAGTACGCACGAGTCTACTCCGTACGCGTCCGCCGTCGAGGGTTTGCTCCCTAGTCTCGGAGACATGGAGCCCTATATGTCGGATTTGCCGTGGTTTCGGGGCCTGAACGTGCTGGCTCCCTCCCTCCCATCGGACGCAATTTGAATGACCGCGCCGTGGTAGCTAATCCTACTACGTGCTCCGTAGCACCTCGCACTTCTAAATCTGGGCATGAGCATGGCGTTGGGGTCCGGGCCCCCCTCACATAAGAGACATGATGATGCCATATGATTGGCCAAGGGGCAAAAGCCTAGGGGCATCTGGTCCTTTCTGGCAGCATCCCCCCAGGACCCCTGCAATGTAATGGCCCTGTCGGGCAGGGGTGGGGTGGAGGCGCAATGTTCCCATCGCCGCGTGCCCCATGCGCCTGCCCTCACCTGGGTTCGCAATTTGCGAGCTCCACAAAAGCTGCTGCTGCGTGTGCGCGACAGGGGTCTGGCGCTGGCCCCACTCAGCCCACAGCGGCTCAGGTACGCGCAACCATTTCTCATTTATTTTCCTCGCCCAAGGTTGCCAAGTTGCCCAGACTTGGCCGCTGAAATTGCACCGGCACCAGACCAAGCGCAGCGCAGCGCCAGGTGCTGAGTGCTGAGTGCTGAGGTCGGACTGATCCGGCGTATTGCTTCTCCGTACGTACGGAGTACTACTGAGCAAGTGCGCCTCCCCAACGCCCAAGCATGTCTGTGTTTCTGTGCTAAAGCCACTCGGTACGTACTCCGCAACGCACCAGAGCCCGGCCAGCCGCCCGGTAATAGTTCGTTGGACCCTCCAGCCGGTTCTCTGTTTGGCCGCCGCCCCTTGCCTACCGGCCTGGTCTTTCTTCGGTCCCGTCCCCCCCCTCTTGGGCGCCTCTACCCGTCACCCGTCACCCGTCACCCGTCACCCTTCACTTCCCTCCTTTTATCACCTCACTCCTCCTCGCCCTCCATCCCAGCCGCGCTCCCAGGCGACGTCGTCTTCGTCTCGCTGCGACTCACGACAACCTCGCGCGCCGCCCCTCGCGCGTTCGATCCTTTGACCGCATCTCCCCTCAAGAGCCGTTCGGATTCTGGTTTCTGGGGCGGCAGAGGGCGACAAATGCATCCTGAGGACTGATCTCTGTCTTCACGCCACCCAATGCCCTTGCCCTCACGACGACGCCACGGACGTGTTGAACATCTCGCTTATTCTGCTGAATGTCTGAACGAATTTAATATCGTCTAGTCGCTCATTTCCGGCCACGGCCTGCCAGCATTGCTTCGTTATCAAATCTTGTATATATCCTACCACGAAAATATCACGTAAGTGGGCCAACACAACGCAGGGACAGCTTCACACCACGATTGTTCTGGCTTGGCCAGTTACACAACCGGTCCATCCTCCATGACATCCGCTGCAAGCCTGGTCGATTAGCCTTGGCGAGCAAGACATTACTGACCGTTGATCAAACGATGGCTGACGTCTTTCCTAGACTACACTCGTTGATAATTCAGTCAATTACATTCGTTCTATCCATTCCTGACAGTACGCATTTACTCTGACCCAGGCCGTCATGTTTTTCCATCGGAATTTGACACTCACAATCAAGCCAGCATCGCCTGCTCTGCGCAGATAGCTCCTGTACGAATACCGTCGACCAAGACAACTATTAATCTGCACCGGCCAAGTACAACTTGCAATCATGTACGCCAAACAACTAGCCTTGGCATCGGCCGTGGCCATGGCAGTAACGGCAGCCGCCGTCCGGCCAGAGCATCCACGCATCTATTTTCCGCGAGAGATCAAGCGAGAATATCAGAATTCTACCATCACCAGGCACCAGCCGATGCCTCATACCACCACCCACACCCCTTCTTCGTCTTCCACTAGAGGGGATTTGCTCACCGACCTCATCTCCGACATATTGGGCTCGGATCAATCGCACGGGTCGACAACGACGGAGAAACCTCACCAAAGCGTTCCAGTAGGCCGGCCGTCCGGATCTGGCTTGCCCCAACAGACCGTTTTGCCCAGTACAAAGACCACCGAGTCGGAACAAAAGCCCATCTCGCACACAAGGTCCTCAACCGACCCTGGTATTATCATTGGTCCTACGGGGGTAGTGTCTACGAGCACGCCTGTGACGATAGCCAAGCCTCCTGTCATGACTTCTAGTGATCCGCCTCGCACAAACAACACCCCCACGACGGATGAGCTCACCGACAAGCATAGTTCGGCTAATCCGACCATTGGGAACGGCCCTATACCAGATGTGACTCCTATTAGCACAAGCGGTGGCATCTTGAATCCAGTTGGCACGTTGCTTAGCAGCCTTTTACCTGGCCCTGAAAGCACGACCACAAAGAAGGACACTCCTGCCCCCGAAAGCACTTCCACAAATAAGGACACGCCTGGCCCCGAAAGAACGCACGAAGGACACGCCTGGCCCCGATAGCGCACGAAGGACACGCCTGGCCCCGATAGCACGAGCACGAAGGACGCTCCTGGGCCAATTGTCACTTCGCAGTCGAGTAAAGGCACTGCCTCCACTGTGCAACCCGTTGCGCAGAACTCTACCACGCAACCTGCCGTGACCAAAGAGTCGTCTACTGGCTTGCTCCCCATTTTGACCTCGCTCCCAATTCCAGATGCAACAGCGACTACGTCGGACTACAGACCGCTGCCTAACGCGACTTCCACCGAAGTGCATGTAACTTCCGCGTCGTCGTCTGGTTCCAGCATGACAAATCTCCCGACTGTCACTTCAACAGATATTCCCATTGTCAACAGCACTTCGACCACGACCGGCACAACCTCTTATGCTCCCACCGCAACTGACGTCCCTGCTACCAATGGGACTACGTCTGCGACTATGACGCCCACGAGCATTGCCACGTCACTACCGACAACGTCGAGTACCGCCACGAACGACGAACCTGTGATCGTGGACACATCTACGTCCACACCAGGTTCAGTCACTGCAACCACAAACTCTGACTCTCCAACAACTGCTGTGCCGACAACGAGCGACATTGGGGTGACTAGCATTCGACCCACTGCCACATTGTCATCCTCGGATGAAAATAACTGGCTTCCAACATCCCTTGTTATCGCGCCCACGACGTTCTCATATTCGATGCCTACAGGAAGACCAGCCGCCACTTCGTCACAGACCCTGCCGAGTACGATACCCAAGGCTATAAACCCTGACGGTGAGGATACCAAAAAAGTGCCGCACGAGAATACTATTCTCTGTCATGCTGGCTTCCGAGACGGGCTCAACTATGAGTTTGTTGCCCAACATTCCAACGCGGCCTCTCAGATCTTCAAATTCCTCCCGGAAATCCTCGCCCTGCCGCAGATCCTTGCCCAGCCGGAAGTCGTTGCCCAGCCGCGACCCCTTGACCTGCCGCGAATCCTTGACCAGTACAAACCTTTTATCGATCAGATTAGCGTTGTCCGGCTAGTGCCCGCCAAGACGGAAGCTGGCTGGCTACAGACCATTGCCGAGGTTTACATCCCCGAAAAATGGGTTCCGCAGCTACAAACTGAATTGTCAATACCCACCAGTGCAATCTACCACACCGAAATACTCTGGCTAGACCAGCTCGCAGCCCAGATAGCTTGGTTAACTCCTTTCACGGGAGACCTGAGTCCTGGCACCTCAAGCGGTGATGGGGGCTCAAATTCGGGTTCCGGGAGCCATGACAACAACAATAACAACAACAACAACCACAACAACGACGCCTTTGGCTCTGGCAACCAAAGCGACCAGACTTCCAGGCAGAAGGCTACCACTGCCGGCATTGCCTTTGCAGCCGTTGGTCTCAGTGCATTGTATGGTGCTGCCATGTTCATCGTCGCTCGACGTTACAAGCGCAAGCGACAGGGTCATCGCCGAGCCAGTTCCATCGACAGCGTCCAAGGTCCGCCTGAGATGAGCCACAATGGTAGCTCCGCCCTCATGGGTGGTGCTCTCCTGAGTCATGATGTTTCGACTTATGGTGGCACTGGAGGCCGGAATTCGCACGCCAGTGGGGGCCACTCCCCACGCACCGCCAACATCTCGGCCCCTGTCGCCGCAGAGAACTCGCTGGGCTGGAACTAATAAGAGGTCATATCCGCCTGGAATTTTGTTGCTATCATCATCGTATCTATGCCATTTGCTGCCATTTGCCTTTCAACTTCGATACCCCCGGGAGAATCATTCTCGAATTGTTATGTGGGCTAGGACCTGGCCATGTTCAATGTTGCATTATTGATGCCGGCCAACTTTTGAGGCCGTGACGAACGCCGGTGTTTATCAAGAATGCTTCCGCGGAGCTAGTGTGGATTCTTTCCTCGTGGACGTTCTTGGTAGACCTGTGGCTCGTTGCTCGGCACCTGACCGTATAGAATGCCGTCTATTAGTTATGCGACGGGCTGGCCTGTGTCGGCCCCGACAACCCAGCGACTTTTTACCCGGCGTGCCTGGAACACTCTTGTGTGGAATCTAGAGCACTGTCTGGCGACTTTCTTCAAGTTCTTATTCTGGTGACACTATTTTTGTGTTTATTTACCATGATACTACGACACCGAGTATCGGGTCTTTTTCTTTTCTCTTGGTTTAATATTTCTATCTCGGGAGCAGTGGAGCAGTGGAAAGGAAAGTGAATCTACGTAGTACAATTGCTGTGTATCGCGTTGTCTAGCGCACACGGCCGTCGTCCTGTGTAGATGTGCAAAAAATAGCTGCGTGTCAACGTGTCTAGAGCCAAGTGTTGGACTAGGTATGCCAGGGGTGTCTTGTGTGCCCGTTGGGGATTTCTTGTAAGAGCTGGCGCGCCTGTACAGACAATAAAGACACACGCTTTCTCTCAACATCGTATGCCGCAGGGTGATTTGACTAGGCACGATGTACATGATGGGCACAGCGGCATGGGCGTGTACCGGCTGTCCATGGCCTACAGGTCGCACCTGGGCCAGGGCCACGTCCGCAATGGGCTCTTGGCCAAGGACAACGTTTCTGGGGCAGGTCATCAGAGTTGAGGTTTGTGTTTGTGATGCACCGGGGCCTCTCCTCCACGATTAGCGTCAGCGCGGCCGGGCGGCTTTCCAAGTCCAAACAGCACAGACGCAAATATTTGAGGGGCTTCTGACTGAAAAATTCGGCGTCCTCGACACGGGGATCCCTGATGGTTCACGGCTGTGGTGATGGTTTGGATGAAATCTCGATTTGATCGACGGGCATGCCGGGCTTGATGAGAAGGAACCACACCTCCAAGCAAGCAAGCAAGCAAGCATGTACGGGGCATGCATCTATACATCCACGGCAAAGGAACACCACTGCATCTCCAGCAGCCAGCATGGCCACGCTGGGTCAACCACGTAGGCAGCATACATACAGACAAACGAAGCGGTGCACCGCCAAACACGGCGTTGCGTCGTCGGTACACAGCTTAATATTGCTACAAAATATACTATAGCTGGCTGTGATCAGCTAGGCCTAGGCATATATCTATCTATCAAACCTACCTACCAGCTTCCGTGATTCTTGCCACTCTGTCCCCCTCCTCCGACGTGATCCGTGGTTCTCCCGCCAGCTGCGGATGGGATTTTTTGGACGGACGCTTCTATGCGACATCTACTTGTCCACGCGGGCTCCTAAATGAAGACAAAGAAAGTAGGATTTAAATGGGATTCAAAGCGGGAAAAGGCAATCAACCATGGCCCGTTTGATCTAACGTCGTATGCGCCAGGTTACTTGACAGGTAATCCATTGTAGAAATCGTTGCGAAGCCAACAACATCAGCTCAAGTCGATGGGCACTGGGAAATGTCGCTGCCCATCTAGAACTCATTATCAAAAGCTTGGTGAGGGGGGTTGAAAAAAGTTTAAGGAATTAAAGCCGATGAGGAGCGCCATCCTATACGTCCCAGCCGCACCTGCTGTATTGTACGGTTTCAGGGATATACAGTAGGTAATCCTCCAACGAAAGGAAGTTACAGCCGGGTTCTGTGCGGGACGTTTCGCAGACTAGACCGGGCTGGCCAAGCGTGCGGCTCAACTGCAATCGTCTTTTGGACAGAATATGCAAGCCCAGATACAGTTGTCGGTGGGCGGTGGCGTTGTGGCGTCCGGCGCCGCCAAACTCAATTCACGGCCGGAGGATGAGGCGGTTGAGCACTGTCTTATATTGGCCGGTCTCGTGAGTACTACTGGCATGCACCTACCCGTTGTTTATCTGCTCGAGGTCGGCCGATGAGGTGGTGGAGCAGCGCATTCCCTCCAACCGTCAGCAAGTTGCTGTGAGACGACCCATGTAGGTTTGCACCTATGGTTGCCACGACTGGAGTTGCTATGGACAGGAGTACGTTTTGGTTTGATGAAGACGCCGTCGGGTGTTTAAAACAATCAGCATGGCTCCGGTTGCAGGCGACCAAGGCGGACACTGCTGTCTAGACATGGGGCGCGGCGCAGCAAACAACGAGGCCAGACACGTCGTGTCTGTGTCTGTCTTGGAATTTGGAGCTCACGGCAGCTCGACAACGACTACTGGCGAGACTTGTGAGTCCGACTCGCGGCGCAAAGTACTCCGTAGCGGCTCCGATGGAGTTCGCTTCGTCGTGGTGTTCGTGTGTGTGTCACTCAACCAGCGGTGCTGCGACTTATTCACCTCGGCGGCGTGCATGCGAGTAAGAGTCGGCATCTAGAGCCAGTGGACGTTTCAGAACTGCCTTGCATCTACAGCAGGCCGAGTGACGTGGGAGGAAGAGCAACGTGGGTTGACTGACCTCGTGTGTCGTGTCAAATGTCGCCAATCGCAACATGGACTGGTGTCTGCTGCTGCCCTAGGCTGTCATGCGAGACACAAGACAATCATTGCGTGCCGCGAGTCTGGGGCTGCCGCCAACCGCCATGTTCCGTCTCATCTGTATCCGGTAAAAACAGACGATGATGGATGGATTCGCGGCCAGTCTGCATGCATGTATGTGCGTCACGTGGCGATCCCAAAGCGGCCCTGGCTCCTGCCCCGATGGAGCGGCGCGATTCTCGAATTTTCGGGACGGTCATGTCACGTGGTTGTTTGTCAATCTTCAGTTCCTATCGCCACAGGCCTTACATGTCCAACGTTATGCCGGCGGCCTTCTCGATCGTGCCCGCCCCTCTCTCTTCGCAGGAACTCTGCGAGTCGAGGTGCCGGCTGGCGGCCCCAGCGGTATCCTTTGGCCGGACACATTCTTCGCCTCATCCATCACCTTCCCCGACAGGGGGGCCTCGTTGTCACGACACGGATAATTTTGCCTGACTGGCACGACGGCTCGGCCGCCGACGCTGGCATGGGAAACTGTTGATCGATTTCCCCAGAGATTGGACTCTTCCTGACCCTTGTCGAAAACGGCGGTGCCGTGCCGTGAGGCGCTACTCAGACTGCCGCTTGTGCCACCGCGCCCTCACGCCAGCAGTGTCGTCTGATTGGATGAGTTAATCTGGTGGCAACTCGGTTTGCACTACGTACTCGAGCTCCCTGATCAGGCAGCAGAATAAAAATTGTGGTGCAGGAACGAGGGCGTCCCGTCCCTTGCAGCTGGATGGATGGCCTTGGCCGGCGGCAGGAGGAAGAAGGGGGTCACTTCGGGGAGTGACCCGAAGCAACAGGTCGCCGGTTCGGGACACCTCGATATCAAGAGGCTGACCTCGTGGCGTCGAATCAGAAGTCCCGATGGTGGTTCGTCTAGTTGCAAAGTCCTGCATTGAGAAGATGCGTTGGGCATCGACTTCTTCGAACTCGAGCTGGCGGAGGCGAGGAGCCGGGCTCGCGGTCGAATTTTCCATGCGCTACGAAACAGAATGCGGGCACGTACTCCGTACTCGGTGCTCCATACGTAGCTGAGCCCGAGCAGCCCCATCTGTCGGTCCATGGTGTCCACGGTTACTAACAAGACAATCCTGTTGCCTGCCTGGCTCCAGGATCCGTTTTTGCTGTGGCGCCCAAATTGAAACCAGCTTCTGGGGAGCCACGTCTCAGCTTGGCATGCATGGCCATGTTACATGGTGGTCACCCTATCGAGTACCATGGAGCAACAGGACTCGCGGGCGAGCATAGTGACCATCAGCAAACAGGTTGCTTTGCTGGAGATTCACGACGTCATTTCCTTGCGGCAGAGAAACTCTCGCTGTACGTGCCAACAACCCACCGAGACTGTGGATTGCCTCGGATATCTCCCGGAACACCACGTGAACCAAGAACAATCAGGTTGACAGACGACCAGGGCCTGGCAAATGCACCCAATGTCTCCCTTGAAAAATACTAGCGGGCGTTGGCTGCTGGCCGACGACAGGCGGCTCTCCATCATGTGCGCCCCCGAATGCGACGTGACTTTCCTTCAGACCCCAACGTTCCTCTATCGGTCATTCCCTTCTCCCAACATTTACCCTGGCTTTGTCCATTGACTCCAGCAGTACTACTAGTAGCTACTCTCCACAGTCACGTTTCTTGGGGTTGGCCTGGGGTGCGGGGATTGTGGGGAGAAAGTCACAGACAGAAACAGGCAAAACGGCGACGGACTCATACCCACTGCCCGTATTGTGTGTGCCCATGTTGCTATCCTAGCCCGGCAAACTAGTAGTTATTAATCTCCTGGGCCTCAGCTCCCCCAGCCTGGACGTCTGTGACTAGCTAGTCACCCGATAGCATGGGCGGGACCAAGTCAAGGATCTGGTTTGCGGTTGGGAACTGCTCAGAATTATGCAAAGTCTGCTTGACCCCGTTCAGTTTCCGGTTTAGAGGGACAGAGAAACGGTGTTACCGGCTCTTGTCCGAGAGGTTCAAATAGCCTTCGTCTCCCGGTTCCAGTTCCATGAGTCACTTCATGCCTTCACCAATCCCCACCCCATTGCCTCTGGTTCCCTCTGGTTCTCAGAAAGGGAGACGAAGGCCTTGGATTGGACCGCCATCACTCTGACTGAACGGGTCGTTTCAACATCTCTCAAGGCTTTGGAGACAAGGCGGCATTCAGACTCAACACGGAGCACCGCTGTCGTCACGATGTCGAACATGTAGTCAGTTCGACCCTCCTCACAGAAGCCAAGCCTGTTCACCTATTGCCTCGGCGGGGACCGCTAACACACCCGTAGTCAGGATCCCAAGGCTGCTCGCAATGAACACGTCGAGGAGAAGGGCACCACCCACGCCGAGCAAGTGGATATGCAGCAGAATCTTGAAGCCAGGTAAGTGGACAACGGTCTGGACAACAACCACGCCGCTGATTGCGTGATGAGCTGACCAGATATAAAATGCCAGAATCCGTAATCCGTTGCAGGGCATTCCTCCATATCAGCTGATGCAGGATGTGGAGAAGTTTGCGCAAGAAAAAGGCCTTCAAGAGTACGTTGCGCTCTTGAAGAAAGGTGCATTGGTTGCCCAGGACCCTACCAGCATTCGCAATATAGACGGCCCTGAGAGGCTCTCCCCCGAAGAGCTCGAGGTCCTCGAGGACGAAGTTACTCACAAGTGGCGTATGCCCCTGAAACTCTTCTTGACCATCTTCACTTGCTCCATTGGTGCCGCTGTTCAGGGATGGGACCAGACGGGCAGCAATGGGGCAACCATCTTCTTTCCCAAGTACTACGGCATCGGGGGTACTACTGATCGAGAGACGATCATTGTGGGCTTGATCAACGCCGGCCCCTACATCGGCTCCGCGTGAGTAACCCTACCAAATCGGCCTCGAATTAACACAGGGGACCCGTTGGCTAAACAATCACTCAGTCTCATTGGCTGCTGGTTATCTGACCCATTGAACAACTGGTTTGGACGAAGAGGCACTATTTTCTTCTCTGCCAACTTCTGCATCTGGCCTGTCATTGGATCTGCCCTTTGCCACACATGGCAGGAACAGCTGGCATGCCGTATTCTTATGGGTATCGGAATGGGCGCAAAGGCATCAACAGTTCCCATCTACGCAGCCGAAAACTCTCCGGCTTCCATCAGAGGTGCTTTAGTCATGTCCTGGCAAATGTGGACCGCTTTTGGCATCATGCTGGGAACTGCCGTCAACTTGGCCGTCTACAAGGTCGCGGGTCCCTTGAACTGGCGTCTCATGCTCGGCGCTCCCTTTATCCCTGCCGTGCCTCTCCTGGCCCTGATCTATCTCTGCCCGGAATCTCCCAGGTGGTACATGAAGAAGGGTCGTTTCCAGGAAGCCTGGAAATCCATGTCTGTGCTACGACGAAATCCTATCCAGGTCGCTCGAGACATGTACTACATCAGCGCGCAGCTCGAGGTTGAGAAGGAGGTCATTGGCAACACCAACTACGTTACCCGTTTCAGTCAGCTGTTTACTGTCCCTCGTATCCGCCGGGCAAATCTGGCCGCGTTTACCGTCATGATTGCTCAACAAATGTGTGGAATCAACATCATCGCCTTTTACTCCACCTCGATATTCGAGCAGGCATTCCGCAACGACCCTAATCCTCAGTTCAAGGCCATGATTGGATCGTTTGGCTTCGGCTTGGTCAACTGGCTGTTTGCCTTCCCCGCCTTCTTCACCATTGATACTTTCGGCCGCCGCAGCTTGCTTCTGTTTACTTTCCCTCAAATGTTCTGGACCCTCCTGGCTGCTGGTCTTTGCACCCTCATCGACTCGGAAGGATCCATGGCGGAAGCTCGCACTGGTCTTGTGTGCTTGTTCGTCTTCCTCTTTGGCGCCTTCTACTCTCCAGGCGAAGGGCCGGTTCCGTTCACATACAGTGCGGAAGTGTACCCTCTGTCTCATCGCGAGACCGGCATGGGCTTTGCCGTCGCTACTTGCCTCTTTTGGGTATGTGAAAGTCTTCTGGCCGACGTGAATCGAGCCATGTACTAACGTGGACTGGTGCAGGCCTCGGTATTGGGCATCACGTTCCCGTTCCTTCTCAACCGCCTCCAGACCATTGGTGCATTCTCGTTGTACGCGGGCTTCAACGTTGCCGCCTTCGTCATGATATTCTTCTGGGTGCCCGAGACGATGCAGCGTACTCTGGAGGAACTAGACTGGGTATTTGCCGTTCCCACGAGGAAATTCGCCAAGTACCAGCTTACCGTGGCGTTACCCTGGTGGTTCAAGAAATACATTTTTTTCCAGCGCAATGCCACCAAGGAGCCGCTGTATCATTTTGAGAAAGTTGCCGGGACTTTTGGGAAGGATTTAGTTGTTGGTTAGACTACATGGTTGGGACCGGCATCATATGTGTCGACGTGATAAAAAAAGAACAGACTAAAATTTTACCCAGTACTGTTCCCTGCGGTCGACGAAATTTCACACATGGCTCGATTCGTTCATTCCGTCTCGTAGCGCTTTTTATTGAAATGATGCACTGCGCGCAGGAGTATCAATTACATAAAGGCCATTAGTTACCCGGCACAGCCAGAGTATGGCGGTGACATTTATTCGCCTTCGCACGAGCCACTCGCAAGTGTGCCACACTAGCCTCTCCCCCAGCACCAGCCACCCCCACTACTAGTCGACAGGGCCGATCCCCCCACCGAGGGTCGGGTGGGGGTCGGTGTGTGTCATCATCCCGCTGCGACGAGCACTTCTGAGCAAATGACACCTTGGTTGTCGTCACCTCTTCTGAAAATAGTCCAGGTTGGACTCCTCACACAGAGTTGCATTTTCACTTGTCCCCATCGAGAAACTCCTTCTAACCACCGTTCTCATCCGGAAAGGCGATCCCTGCTGCCATTTAACCTGGATCGTGCCCTCTGCGAATGTCACAAGCAGTCGGACAAAGGGGCTACGGCAGAAGATTTCATGACGTTCCCACCAGACCGTATCCTTGGTCACCTTACCATGAATCTTGTACGACGCCATCTACACGTGTAGGTCGATATCTTTGATGTTTGCGCCACTTGGGTTCGTTGGGCCCCTTGCATGGAGAAATAAACGACGACATTGTCTGGCTTCTCGAGGTGAGTTTGTTCCATTCTGCCTCAATTCGAGTTTCGAAGCATGCAGGGCCGTTTAAAACTCATAAAATAGTATTCTAGCCGCAGAGCACATCGCAAGAAACATGACATGGCATTACAGGCTTCTTGCCCGTCCTTGCTTGCAAGTATTTACAGGTAATTTTATATTGCCTCATGACTTGCACAATCCCGCCTGACCTGATGCTTACGGCTCATGCTAGATGCCCGAGAGTGCCTGTAGGCGCAAATCTATTACGCTCCTGACACGTTCAAGATGAAGCTCCCCAGCTTTTCCGGGGCCATCAGCTACTAGTATTGAAGCCGGGTCTCCGACAGTGAAGGCTTCTTTGGCTGGAAACGGCGTGAATCCCTTGCCTCGTAGTCGGTACTGATAAGCGTTGACAACGTCACCAAGATGAAGTTTTCTTAAGAACCCAAGGGTTAAACCTATCTGATTGTGAGTACAGGTCAACCTCCCTCATTGTGCCAAAACCAGTGCACAAATTCATGGTCACATCTTTTTCTGACCACACCCAGGCTTGGCCCGCAACTGGGCGACAAGCTTGTTGCCCAAATCCTTGATACTATCCATGAATGCCATGGTGCTGTTGGCCCGCCAGTCCGCCTCGTCCTTGCCCGGAACGGCCTTGGCACCGGGGAATGCGAGGTACAAGACGTCCTGGGCATCATGGCCATTGTTGCCATTGAGACCTTCGTCAGGGAAGCAGAGCTTCCCCAGGGCAATCGAGGTCTCGCCGGTCAAGTTTCCTCCATTGACGTCGCCCCAGACACCGAAAAACTGTCCTCGGTCAGCATCAGGACCTAGCTGCCTTGGAAAAACGCATTCAATTGACAAACACAAAGGGGCAAACGTACCAGCTGTTCACCGCACACAACAGCAACGACACTGAGCGGTTGAATGCCCCGGCTTTGCGGGTCAAAGGCCGGCGGTCCCTCGTTGCCAAGGACTACATAAGAATGGATATTGGCATCCAGATCCGAGATGCCGTATTGCGACACGTTGGCCTTGAAGGCCGTCTGTGACTGACCCGTAGGGTCGTTGGCACAGTCGCCCGCGTAGTTGTTCGCTCCGTCGCAGTCAATGTCCAAGTTGTCATATGAATCCTGACCCTTGAGGAAGATGGCGCCGGGGACGTCACCACAGTATACCATGCCGCTGGACATGGGGCTCGAGAGCGGCTTGGAACAGCTGCCGTTCTGCGAGACGTCATGAGATGAGTTTGCACTGCGTAAAGGGTCCGACACCTGGCATCTGGCAAGGAAAACAAACCTTGTGGGCATCATAGATCCTCTTCAGGTTTGGGGGGATCTCATAGGCCGAGCCCAGGGCGAAGAGGGCAGCAACGGCAAAGACGGCGTAAAGCATGTTTGCGGACAGGCTGGGTGCCGGTGGTGGTGGTGGTCTTGACATAAGCTTAAGCTTTTTATCCTTTCTGTCTCGTCTTGGAAAATGTGCGAAAAACCCTCTCGGGCCTTGCGGTTCTATCTACGTTGAAAATACCCGGGCCATTTTTTCTGGCTCGCTCGCCGGACCAAGCTGAAACAAGGCAATATATTTCAAACTGGCGGGCAACCTCGGCCAGCGCTGCGTCATATGCATGACATCGTCATGGCATGGGCAGCATGAAGTGGTTTGTAGCATGTTGAAAGAGCGATCATCGATCGTGGGCATCATGCGGACGAGTGGGAACTTGCACGTCTCACGTCTCACGCCGCTCGCACGGCTGCCGGGAGGGACTGAACCACGGAATCGGCCGCCGTGCAATGGCGCCTGATTAGATCAAAGTACCAATGCCCCATGCTCTCTGAAGCGGCCGTTTGGGAGCCTGGCGTCGCCGGGCCCAAGTCTGTTCGGCTCGTCATCAGCTAGTCGAGGGCAAAGACGCACGCCGCCGGCCAACGAGTGCGTCATGGAGTCGACTCTTGGGTCAGAACTAGCTGTCAAGCCTCCAGTCCGACAAGCCTCGAGATGCCATGGAAAGGTGTCTTCTCCAATGCTCAGCAATAAAAGGGGGCCTCGACCGCGTACGCGCGGGATGGGCTCGACCACCACAACCCGAAGAACGGACGGCAGGAAACCCGTCCGAACTCCCCATCGATTCGATTCCGCGAGGCTTTGCCAAGAAACCCCATCATTTCGAGACGCGAGACCCCCGCCGGTCAGAAAAGGCCGGTCCTTGCTGCTATCCAGATTGCCGTCAGGGGCTGCTGCCCGACGACGCGTGGCCGACGATGCATCTCGCCCACACCACACTCGCCGCCGGCGTGGCCTTCCTCCTCGCCACCCCAGCGAGCGCTCTCAAGAATCCAGACGCCGTCGGAGCATGCGACCCTACAACCGGCGGCACGAATGCCTGCGGTCCCAACGGCTCACAGCACTGGCTCAACAACGGGCTCAGGGCCAAGGGCTGGGATCCCCCCTTCTTGGCCTGGCACAACATTTCCCGCATCTCCATCAGGCAGTTCTACAGAGCCGCAGGGAGTCCCTGCGAGAAGTTCGACTCACACTTCAAGATCGCAGCCATGAAGTACCAGATCGACCCGGCGCCGCTGGCCTTCATGGCCATGCAGGAATCCGGCTGCGACCCCAACGCGCGCGCGCCAACCCTCGGCCTGATGCAGTGCCTCCCGGTTTACTGCCAGAACGGCAAGTCGAGCTGCCAGTTTCCCATACAGGACAACGTCGAGTGCGCCGCCTATCTCTGGGCGGTGGCCATGAGACACGCCAAGGGCAACGTCGTCCACGCGCTGGGCCTGTACAACGGGTGGTTCACCGCCAACGACGGCAGCGGGCTCGACGGCGGAAGGGGCATGACGGAAAAGTATCCGTGCTCCGAGGAAGGGCGGACTCACCGTATCCCCCACAACCTGAACTACCTCCACGAGATGCTGAACGGCTGGTTTCAGGGCCACGACATGAACAACAAGGACCAGCACCTGCGCGGATCGTACAACTGCTTCTAGATAGAGCCCGTCGAGACCGCACGCCTCTGCCCGTCGTTCTGCTCTGGCGCGGGCCTCTCCCGCGGCACAGACGGATCTCCTGATATAGACTTGATTCCCTTCCCGTCTAGCGTTGACCCTTGTCTTGTCACCTGTGCATGCCGCCACGACTTGACCCTGTTTATTTGCCCTGTTGAACAACCAGGACGTCCCCCGCGCTTGCCGACATCAAGCCGTTGAGCCTTCCCCGCGCTCCGCGAACATGAGATGCTCGCTGCTCCTCGCTGCTCCTCGCTGCTCCGTGACCCAGATCCAGCTCTGCCCGCAAACCAACCCCCTTGGCCAGACGGCGCCGAAGCTCGGCCCCAGCCTGGAGAAACAGCTCACTCCTCCGCATGACGTGCCAGACCCGAGCCAACTGCAGCCCCGTGCCGTCGTCGAAAGCTACCGAGGCCATACGCAGCCCGCTCTCAGCCAAACGAAGGGAGGCGAGGCAGCCTACATGGCACAAACCCTCGGCAACGAGCTCAAGAGATGGGAATCAACGCTCGACGCTCAACGTCACGTACTCTGCAATTCAGCCCACACGCAAACCCGGCGACACGACGTCAAAAACAGCAAGGGTGGTCCCGCCAGATCCCCAAGACAGAAGCAGAACGGGACAAGCGCGCACAGCACATGCCCAGCTCAGCTCGGCCGACAGGAGACAGTACAGTGTTAAGGTCTGTGGTATTCCTACGAATCTAGGAGCGTGGCCGTGACGACGCTGCGGGCGAATGCGGCGGCGAGTGCGTCGTGAGCACTGAGCAGTGAGCACGTCACCGCACACGTCACGGGCACGTCCACGCCGCGGCGCCGCAAGAAACAGAGGCAACGCCGAGGGGCTGGAAACAGACGGTTTGACAAGGTCCGTCGCGGCAAGGGCGTGCAGTCTAGAAAAGCAGACGGTGGAATGGAGTCGTGGAATCCAGCGCCCCTGACCTCACGGGCATAGATGGCCTTGTACATCATACATCTGCTGTCCCCCCCCTTGTCCTGTAATTATACCCCCCGTCTCAAAGCTCCTCATCGAAAAGACCGGGTCGGGGAAAGTTGACGGTTGCCTTGACGCAGGAAATGGCCTCGTCGTCGTCGGTGTACGCGTCCGCCAGGACGTTGTACGTCCCCTGCAGCACGGCACGTCAGCATCGGCATCGGCATCGAGCCAGTCCAAGTCTCGACACGGCAAGGGGGGGGAGAGAGAGAGAGAGAGAGAGAGCACTGCGTACGGGCGGAATCGCCGAGGGCATGTCGATGCTCTTCGTGACGACTAGGGTGCCAGCCTCGACGGGGCAGCCAAGGTCGACCCTTTCGGCGTGCTCGCAGAGGTCGAGCGTCGTGGCGAGGAGTCGGATCAGGCCGTACTTGACAACCAGCTTGGCGTAGGCGCCGCGGGTGATTGTCTTGCTGACGGTGCCTTTGAAGGACACGAGGAGAGGCTTGCCGCTGCGAGACTGGGGTGAGCGGGAGACATGAGATGAGCAGGAGCAGGAGCAGGAGCAAAGGGACACGGGCGTACGGCTGCGGCGGGTTGGGAGAAATGTCGACTCGTTCGATTTGCACGACGTCGTGGTCGCGGTTGGCGTTGCAGAACTCGAGGGGAGAGTCGCCTGGGACTTTGAGACTGTCTGCCGCCGCCGGGAGGCAGGCCGCGAGCCAGACGATTGCAGAGAGAGGCTTCATCTTGGTGTGAGGGGACGGGAGGGGACGAGGGTCGGCCTCGCAGGTCGGGCACGGGGTTGGTTCTGCGTCCCTTGTTTGCCGTGACACAAGAAAAGAGGGTGACGAGTGTAGAGCACCAGAAAGGAGGGCTGGGTGCGTGGACAGGATGGAAGTCTGGGCGCGAGGACTTCCGGGGGAGGGCAAGACTTATATTCACTCGGTACAGACGACAGACAACACGAGTTGGTAACTACGTGGCGGCTCGCCAGGATGCCGGCCTCGCAGCCATGTGTACCGCCCGGCGTGCGAAATACTAGCCGTAGCGATGCCTTGTCAAGTCTAAGACTTGTCTCACCGAGGAGCTCGACGGAGCACGACAGAGCAGGCAGGGCCTTGTGGACTGCTCGACACGGCGTGGCTGCAGCACCGCATTCGGCGTGCGCATGGTCCGGCTTGTGAACCCATAGGGGCTCTGTGCCAGTGACATCTCCCGCTTTGCTCCCTCGGGGAGGGAAGTCTCGGCATAGGGAAAGACGAGGCTCACAGACAGAAGAGGCCTGGGTGCGCCGGGCCATGGACCATGGTTCGTCCTGACTCCTGACTCCTGACTCCTGACTCCTGACTCCCGACTCCTCTCCTGGTGTCCCGCCGCCACGGCCAGGGCTTGCTGAGACATTTGCCCGTACTGCCCCAGGTTGTACGGCGCACGTCGAGTTTTCACTGGCCAGCCCGTGGGAGAGGAATACCAGGCCAAGGAGAGCGCATCGGACGATTTCTACATGTGGCCACCGCCCTCGCTGGCCGTATGGGCACGAGCTCACGCGAGTTCATGGCAGAGCCGGCGAGCTCGGCTTGGACACGTCTGGAGGGACACCAGAACGCAGACCCTCCGTGGCCCTTGTGGTATGCAAGAACAGGGAGCTTGAACGCACAGCAAGCACCATCGCCTCGTCGAGTCCGTACGAGCTTCGTACCGTTGGGCGCATTTGAAACTTACTCGCAGCGCAGTAAAGTCAAGTGATATTATTGCTGTCCACGTGAAACCACTTCACGTCCGCGTCGTCAAAGTTGACCATCTCCAGGAACTCTCCCCAAGCCCTGGGCCAGCAGTACCTCAAGCAAGAACTGATCAACATTGACTCCGGCAATTCCTCCAAATCGAGAGAGAAAAGACGTTGCGTCGTGTACCAAACGCCCATCAGACCGAGCAAGTGATCCCCCAAATCCTCAACCTTAATCCTTGCAGAACCACAAACGTACAACTGGCTTCTCACGTGGATTTCCAGTCCTTGTAGCGTCCCAACCGAGTTCCTTGATGGTCTTCTTGATGAGGTCCTTGTTCGCACCGTTCACTTCCAAGCCCTTGTACCACTTCCCCCCTCCAGCGCTCTGCATTTCAAATACTTTATTCTTCTTCGGCACGGGGTTAGTGCAGCCAAAACCTTTAAGCAATTCCTCAACGGTCGTGTTGCAAGGAATGTGGACGGCTTTAAAGGGAAGCTGAGCTGTGGCGGGCAGCTGCCAGGGGGGAATGTTTGATCGAAAAACATGGGCCTTGGTGTGCTCCGCAGCAAAGAACAGGTTGTAACCGGGCTCACATCCCACGCCTCCCGTTGAGTTGGTCATTTGAGCAGCGGGCATCGTGGGATCGATCGCAGGCCAAGGCTGCGGCTGGCGTGGGAGGATATTGCCTGTCCCGTTGGGCTGGTACGAGAACGTCTGCTGAGTGTAGTATCCGCCTGCCGGGCCGCCGTGCGGCACATATCCAGCAGGGTACACTCCCGGACTTGCTAATGGGTGCATAGTGTAAGAGAATCCTGCCCAGGTATTGTAGTGAGGTACTGTACCGAAATTTTGTCCCGGCCCGCCAGTATGGAAGATATAAGGCTGGCCTTGGCTCGGAGCAGGGGCTCCGTAGGGAGCAAAGTTTGGACGTGTGCCGCTGGGGTCGCGGCCGGTGACGGGATTCCAGCCTCCAGACATTCCGCAAGCACTGATCTTGAGTGAGGTGTGCGAGGACGGGGTACGTATTCGATTGATTCAGAACAGAGGTTGCCAGGTATGAACCCAACGACCTGAACCGACGTCGAAGCTTGCTTGCCAGTGACCGGGAACGGGTCCTTGAGAAACCGGATCCCAAATCGGTGGAGCAATATAAGCGGCAATAGGAGCCGACGGCGTGGGGGCAGGATGTAGATAGGAGTAGGCCGCGAGGGAGATTGGCAAGTCCACGTTTACATGTCCCTCTGCTGCCGAACTGGTCACTATAAATGGTTAACGTAATGGTTCACCGGGCATAGTCCACGCCATGAGAAAGACACAGATACAAGCAACGCAGGTTCGCCTCGACGCGGAGCGAGAAAACCGATGGCATCACGGCATGATCTCGGCGTGACTTACCAGAGACTGATGCTTCCTCCCAGTGGAGGAAAGAATCTGCAGAGTCGCCGGTAGGATCACCAGTAGAATCAAAGCCGTCCGAGTCCGAATCGTCGTTAATTTGGCAAACCAGGACTTCTGTGCTCCACAAAGGTCGACCGTGACGATCGTAAAAGGCACCAACTATGATCCACGCCCAGGCGAAAGCCTCGTCGCAGGCCGCAAGATATTGTGTGACGACAAGTTTGGTTGCAGGAGATGGAAAGAAATGCTCGTCTACTTCAATGGTCCTATGTTGGACACGAGGCGAAGTAGGCATCGGGCAAAAGTGGTTGTATGCAACAGCAAGAGTTGGAGGCAAGTTCGGTCGAATCTGGCAAATACCAGGGGTAGTAGAAGAGAGAGAGTGTGTGCAATTCGATGTGTACAGGTCACACCGCCTCTTTATCGTGCGTCAGAGTCGACGGGATGCTCAGGAGATACTACAGAGGACTGCGGGCATGATCAAGAGAGTCGATCGAGAGCTCACAGCATGATTCTTCAAGTCGTCCGAAACGCTAATCAGTCATGGGAAACGCCGTTTTCAGGAAGGCCGCCAATCAAACTTCGACTCGTGAAGTACATCAGATGGCTCGTCCAACAGGATTCTTGGCCAGATGTGTTTCCATGCGACTTGACAGCGTCGCATGCAAATAAACGCTTGTCACTGCACGAAGCTGTACTGCCAAGTCAAGCAAAGATTCAGACTCGCGAGCCGAAGATGGGTAAGATACACTTGTTGCACCTCGCGGAGACGGAGCAAGTATAGGCCAGCAAAATGACTTGAACGAGCCGGTCGTACCAGTCAGTTTACCGGCCATTCTGCCAGACACGCGTACAAGGACTTGTGGAGCAGTCAGGCATCCAAATGTAAAAATTTTCTAGGCCGCAAGTCCGAGTCAGAAGCGTTCCCTGTGTGGCCTTGATGCTGCGGCCCAGCAGGAGAGAGGAGGAATGCTCACCAGTCATCGTCGCCATCTGCAGTTACCACACGCAATCCCCCAGCTTTCTTGTTCTTGGTGCCTTCGATTCCCTTCTTCAGCTGCTGGCGTCTCTCGACCTCAGTCACCAGTCCTTTGAGATATACCTCGGCTTGCACGGTGGCGCTGTATGCAGCGGGAGTCCAGTTCCAGATGTTTCGTCGTTCCACATCAGCCCCAGCCGCGAGTAAAGTCCGCAGTCCCAGCAGGTTTCCATTGCTGCTCGCAAAATGTAGGGCCGTATTGCCCTCCAAATCGGCCCTCTGGACCGCTTCACGTGGACCGCCCGGCACATAAGTCAGAAGAATCTGAAGCGCAGTATCATGGCCACCCATGCTGGCCTCCATAATGGCGTCGCGGCCTCTGATATCTTGTCGTAGGATGCAGCTTCGGTCGTACTCGCAAAGTAAATGTACGACTTCGGCATGTCCAGCAGAGGCAGCCAGCATCAAGGCTGTCTGATGATTCTCGTTCAGGGCAGGACAGGGATCCTCGTGGCCGACTCTCAACAGGGCCTCACATATTTCCTTGTGGCCGAGAGATGCTGCCAGATGCAAATTGGAGTTGGATAGTCCAGACAATGACGAATCGGGGTTGTGGAGGAGAGGCGGGTGGGACTTGAGGATCCGTAGGGCAAGGAGGCTGTCACCAACGTGAATGGCCCGTCGCAGACGAATGGCCGGGTCGATCCTGGGTTTGGGGACTCAGAGTTAGCCGTGGCGTCATCTCAAAAAGGCCAGAAAAGTAGCTCACATGGCGGATTGTGTCTCATGACGCGAGACCAGCTTGCTGCAGCAGAGGAGACTTGTTGGAGGGTGAAGCGTGATGATTGATGATGATGACGGCTGCAGCTGGGATCCACATGGAAGGAGCGGCGGAGCTTCTTTCACAATGATCAATGTTTCCCCGCGTCGACCGACGAACCCCTGCCACGCATCCGAGCGTTGTCTGTCTCCTTGCACTCTTCGCGAACGTCTCGCATTCATTCACACTAGGCACGCTCTAGGGAGCAGCTGAAGACGCCCAACGCTGGCCTCTCGACTCCCGCGGCCGTGACACAATCCGGAACGGCGCGTGAATCTCTGGGCGTCCTCAGGACATGCTCGCACGCCGGTAACATTGTCCCGTTGTTTCTTAAATCTACCTGCCCAGGTCGCCATTGAAAGGAATAGGTATAACGGCCTCGCAGCTCGCTTTGCGCGAGAACCAAAGACGAAATCATCAGCCCGCTCACGGATGCTGCGTCGTCCAAACTTTGAGAAACAAGGCCGAGTCCATACAAATTTCCCGTCCAATCAATCATGCAGAAACCTGATTGCTGTGCCGCTTGAAATTGCGTTGAACGCCAACCCTCGGTCAAGCACGGGGTCAACCCCGAATTTCAGTATCAAATCATTTTCACTATGCGTGACTTTATTGTAAGGGTATCTATCAATTACAAATCATCCGCCTTCTTCGCCTTTCTCACCAGAGCCTTGTGCGTTTTTTCGTGATATTTCACGTCATCCGGGTACAACGGATTCCAAACAGTATTACACACCTTGCACTCAGCAAACGTCGCCTTGGACGAAATATTCAATGTTGTTTGCACTGTCGGCGAGCACTTCGACCTCGTTTTGACACGAAGCCTGATATCCGATGAAGCTCCATCCCTCTGTCCCTGGTTGAGTAAACCATGGCCCCCTTCATGCAAGGTTTTTCTTTTCCGATCCGGCGACGGGACATTACTGCCTGTCTCGTCTCGGCCCGAGAGACTCGCAGCGTCTTCAGATTCGTCTGATGGCAGTGAAGTCGCCCTGATCCTCAGTAGTCGAGGCTTCCTTCGCCTCCGCACAGCTTGCGGATGCACCGCCTCTCGGCGAATATGCACGTCTTCCTTCTTCGCGCAGTCTGATCTTGCGTCGGTCGGTACAGGCCTAAAATATTGCAAGATGGACGACCGTGGTGCTCCTTCGGTGCTGGGCATTGGCTGTGACTCCTTTTCAAGGTTTGAACTTGAATCTGGCTGCTCTTTCCTGGACGACTGAATCTGTCCCGCCGACGGTGCCTTGTAGTTTTCGACTTGTGCATCGGTATCCAGTCGCGCCCGCTTGACGGGCGGTTCACCTCGCGGTTCTGGGGTTGGCGCGGACTTTCGCCCATACGTCCGGAGCGGCTTGTCACGCTTCCTTGACAAGTACTGTGACATCCCCGGCTTCGTTCTGCCGAAATCATCAGCATTTGTTGAATCCGTAAGTACGAGACGTGACATGCTTACATGGCATATTCTGTTGAAGAATTGATCATCATGGTATTCTCGTGGCCAGTTGTCGCGACCTTTTTTACCTCTACGTTATGTCTGCATGCAAAGACGTAGTCGCGGCAAGATATGCGAGGGCGGGCATATAAAAGTCAGTTAAACCAAGCTGGAAAGGATGACATTACTGTTTGAGGGGGGAAATTTTTTCAAAACATCATGGCGGAGTGTTGAGGGATGGCAGGCCGAGACTGCATGCTGGTTTACGCAGTTCTGAACGACTGGCCCCACGCGCGTTTCCGGAGACGCGACGCGCGACGCGATGGCGGTGCAGAACCACTATAGTTACGCGACGTCACATGCGGCGAGGCTTTGAAGCGCGCCGCCACTTGAATTTCTAGTCTGAATACTCTGTATTTGAGTGCCTGTCCGGGTACTTAGTAGGTTGGCAAAGCTGCAAGCTTGGTAGATGTAGCCGGGCCGTCTTGCGCCGTCCAACAATCTTCCAAGAAACGTCACTCGGCCGATATTCAACAACTGACTGGCGGATTGACGCAGACGCAAAGCTGAAGGCGATCAATTATACTTCTGTAGTCTACTTCTTACGACGTTCAACTTGACAAGGTCGTGATCCTTCTCCTCGCCGTGCCACCCGTCTCGTCCTCTTTCCGCCGTAACAGCACCGTGTCACCATTGTCCTTGTCATCCTCACCCACCACCCACGTATTGACGATTTGCTTGACTTCCTTGACAGCTTTCTGCTTGTGCTTTGCCTGATCCATCCTCCACATGTAGCTCGAGTAGACTGCGACTTCTGCGACAGCCACAACCATGCTTCCACCCATAGTGAGGAATATTCTAGCTGGCAAGCTCCACCAGCGCGAAATCACCCACAGCGTCCCGGCTACTCCTAGGATGCTGACGAGAAAGTTTATGATGAGCATGACTTGGCGGTGGACATCCTTCAGCGTGACGTCGTCGTCACCGAGATCCGAGGCGTCGATGGGGCGATTCACTTGGGAGAAGGCCTGTGCGGATGTCGGAAAGCGATCGTTGAAGGTTTCGATTTTCGGAGGGGGGTTGGTCATGCGCTCGTAGGCGCGTTGCGCTTCTTGGTGCCGTAGCCGGGCCATCAAGGCTTTGTATTCTTCCGTCTATTTCGGTTCAGTACGTTAGCGACGGCCAGACACGCATCCAAACTGACCGGGCGGACCAACCGGTTGGGGTTTTGGCGGTGGCGGCGGAATGTAAACTTGCGAGCCACGCAGCAGCTCCTCCAAGCTGTGATTCGTACTGCGAACGACTCGAAGCTTTCTCCAGAGGTCGACAACTTGACCGCTGGAGATGGGTCTGCCAACTGATGGATGGCTCAATGACGGTTCGCTGTCGGCTTGATGCGGATCGGGGGAGTCATCGTCCGTTGAGCGGCGTTGCCCATGTTCGACATACCATAGTCCGTCCAGTCGCGTCAGTCCATCCACAATGGACGCTGTCATGGTGAGGAGCACCATCTCGACGGCCCCGGTGCAAGAAGTGACACCGAGCTTGTGTTGCAACAATGCCCTGTTGCGAGTGCAAAAATGAAGAGTCTCGGGGTTGCGCAGGCGTCATGATGCTGAGGTTGCCACGCATGCGACGTCGCACGCTTTAGTCGATTTCAGTGCCGAAGAGTCCTGCGGGCGCTCATCAATTAGGCTCGACGTGCAATAAATTACAGAAGGCCACTTCGCTAGACTAGAGCAGTCAGACGGGGGCCTCCGCCGAAGAGCATCCAATGGGCGCTCTCCGAGTCCACGCTCTCGCCGGACTGATCCGTCAGAACCGCTTTCAGACAGCAATTCGCGCAGCAGCAAAAGTTTCGGATCAGCCACCCAGAGCTCGCCTCGTCACACCCTGAATCGACTCGCGCCATACTCATCTACCACAAGACGCTCTTACATCTTGCTATTTTCTATCCCAAAGCTTCCGCCAACCCGCCATGCAGCTCCGGCCGGGAGCCATGGTTTTTCGCCATGCTGTGGTTCCAAGGATGACGGCTCCGAGCTGCGCACAAGGCCTCAATGGTTGCAGAATACACAGATCCAATATACACATGAGCCATAGACGGGATTCCGCCTGGGCCGCGGCCGTCCAGGTCGCCTCCAACGTCGTCGGAAACGTCGTCAAGAAAGCAGCCAAGGACGGCATGGCCATCGACCCATTGCGAACCGTCGCAAAGGAGATGCGGTTTCTCACCGGAAACATTCGTGGACTACTTGGCTCGGGGCACCCTTCCCTCGACCGGGTGGCCAAATACTATACGCAGGCAGAGGGCAAGCATGTGCGCCCGCTCATTGTTCTGCTCATGAGCCGCGCGACGCATCTTTGCCCCAAGAACCCGCAGCCTGAAACGGTGCACAGCGCGAGAGCCATCGACTCGTCAATATCTCCCGTCACGATCCTGGCCGACGTCAATCCATCAGCCATGCCGCTGACCTCGAGCGAACCGGAAATGCAGGATGGAGCCCTAGACATTCTCCCTAGCCAAAGACGTCTGGCCGAAATCACCGAACTCATCCACACCGCATCTCTCCTCCACGACGACGTCATTGACCACTCAGTGTCAAGGCGTGGATCCCCGTCAGCCAACTTGGAGTTTGGCAACAAGATGGCCGTGCTGGCTGGCGACTTTCTTCTCGGACGCGCCTCAGTCGCCCTCGCCAGATTAAGACACGTCGAAGTTGTGGAGCTGCTGGCTACCGTCATTGCCAACCTCGTCGAGGGAGAGTTCATGCAATTGAAGAACACTGCACGAGATGAGCGAAGCCCCAAGTACTCGGACGAGACCTTGGGCTATTATCTGCAAAAGACGTACCTCAAGACGGCTAGCTTGATTTCCAAGTCGTGCCGTGCGGCTGCCTTGCTGGGTAATGCTGACGCTACGACCGTCGACGCTGCCTACTCATACGGCCGGAACTTGGGCCTCGCATTTCAGCTCGTCGACGACATGCTCGACTACACGCAAAGTGGCAAGGATCTGGGCAAGCCTGCGGGCGCAGATCTCGAACTGGGCTTGGCCACGGCGCCGCTGCTCTTCGCATGGAAGCAGAACCCAGAACTGGGCGCTTTGGTTGGTCGCAAGTTCGGGCGGGACGGTGACGTGGAGAAGGTAAAGAACAGCATGAGCACCTGCATGTTGGCTTCTGTTTCCTTGAAAGCACCTTTTGGCTAACAGGTTCTGTTTCAGGCCCGCGACCTAGTGTTGAAGAGCAACGGTATAGAGCAGACCCGAGCGCTGGCGCAGGACTACTCGGAGAAGGCCATGGCAGCAATTGCCGACTTTCCCGAGAGCGAAGCCAAGGATGGCCTTGTTGAGATGGTCCAGAGGACGATCAAGCGACAGAGGTAAATTTGCTGTAACAAACGCGAATGGGAGCATGCAAAGGCGGTTAAGAGGATCGGAGTGCGATCCCTTTTGCTATGTACGATTACTGTACTTGGTATGGGGGATAACAAACTCGGAGAGAAAAATTGAGCTGTGGCGCACTAATCAAGAAAATGAAAACAGCGAGACAAGTCCAATAGGGAAAACATGGACATTAGACTAAACAACGGGGTCTATGTTCATGATCCGGATGCATATAGAACGGCGAGACAAAGGGGGGCGGCATTATTCACTTTATGTCGTCTTGTACATGTTGCTGGGTAGGAGTTAGCGAACGAATACGAATCCTCACAGACTAATCCGCTCTAATATTTCGGGACAGCCTAGAATCTGCAGTACAGGCTCCCTTGGGCTCAAGGCAGTCAACCCAGTTGCCGTGTCGCTGGATTTTGTGTTGACGACGCCGTGGTGAAGAGTCTAGCCGCTGGCGCATCTAGAAATTCGTCCTCGCAGGTGCTCGGGAGGGGGCGCAAGTAAGAACGAACGGAATGAGACACAAGATACCGGCATGACCTAAAGGCATGTTCGTTTTGCGCGATTTTGATCAAGCGGTCCTATCGCGGCTGCGAGATATGCATGATAAACTGTAATCTTGTGCTGTCATTGTAACCCGCTTCCACAGTCACAGTAGACTTTCATCATTGGGAACCATGCACGTCGGGGCCGAAAATGCAAATGGTGGCGTCTACGCATCTTGCAGATAAAGGGAGTTCGATAACAACTGTCACATGTGTGATGACAGCTCCAGAGACCTGCAGTACGCCCTCATTATCGCAAGCGCCGATACCTGAGCCGGATCCATTTCTGCAACTTGAATGGTTGGAAATCTCGGAAGACATCAGCGAGACAGGCGTTGCCAATCTCTGGATTCCCAGACTCGTTTCCCCGAACAGCCCGATCGGGGGCAGGGTGAGGGTTAGGGTTAGGGTCATGTCTGTTCGGAACGTTGCACTGGAAGTGTACCCCTCGGTCCCTCGGTACGTGCTAGGGTCATGGTTCATTCGTCCCGGGGACCCGATATTCCCCATGCGAACTGTACATTTGGACAGGACAAGCACCGTAGCATCGGCTCATCTGGCAGGAAAGATATGGAGGCCGCATGTCGGGGTCGCACAACATGTGCACGTTTGAGGCTCTTCGCGGGGCATTTGGCCCCACTAGGAAATCGCTGAAGTGATCCTGGCGCCTCACAATGGACTGGGAGCTCGACAAGTCGTTATCGTCCTTTGCTGCGTGCGGGTGAAATCGGCTTGCATGTACAGGCTGCCATGTCAGATACTTGGCCCTGTACATTGCGACACTTGCTGTGTGTGGCAGGCCACCTTATATGCTATGCGACAGCACTCAAGTGCCTACCTAAGTACCTTAAGTAAGTACTTAAGTACTTAGTTAGGTAGGTACTTCCTTGTAGGCAGCTACGAAGTAATCTACCTAAGTACCTAGAGGTACCTATTAGGTACGTAATCAAGTGCCTACCAACACAGGAAGGCAGGAAGGAGGCACGCCGCACCTTCCTCGCCTAGCCGGCGCCGGCCGATGAAAAACAGCCGTCGAGGCCATCTAAGCCCAAACCGCTCAAGGCCAAACCAAGCCCAGGTCATTTTCCCTCATCTGACCGCTCGAGTCCTGTCCGTCTCAGCACAACTCTCTTGCTGCATCAACTCACAGTCGTTTTCAGTCTCTCTCCTATCTGGCCGACAGCCCATCATGACGGTAAGCAACCCGCAAGGCCCCTTGACTGTCCTGGCGTCAAGTCGAGCAGTGATTCCCCAAGACGACGGCACTCTGACCGTCTCGCCCGCGACGATTTGCGTTTCACCAGTCACCGGCAAGATCGTGTCCGTAACGCCAGAAATTGTGTCCCAGACGAGCTTCCCCACGGACTCGACATATGTGGATCACTCACCTAAGCTTTTACTGCCCGGCTTGGTGGATGCCCATGTGCATCTTAATGAGCCAGGTCGTACGGAATGGGAAGGCTTTTGGACCGGTACCAGGGCCGCGGCCAGTGGTGGTGTAACAACCGTGATTGACATGCCCTTGAATGCCATCCCTCCCACGACGACTGTCGAGGGATTCAAGGAGAAGCTGGCGGCTGCCGATGGCCAGTTGTGGGTGGACGTGGGCTTCTATGGAGGTGTTATTCCCGGGAATGCAGACGAGTTAAAGCCGCTCGTTGAAATGGGCGTGAGAGGCTTCAAGGGCTTCTTGATTGAATCAGGTGTAAGTCCGTTGTGCTGCCCCTTTTCGACGCGAACCCGAAGCGCTAAATGCGGTGAATCAGGTTGATGAGTTTCCGGCCATTACCCCCGAGGACATAGCTTTGGCAATGGAAACCCTTAAGGAAAGTGCTACGACCCTGATGTTCCATGCAGAAATGGAACCGTGTGCTGGCCACAGCAACGAGTATGCGAATGGTCATTCCAACGGACGCACCAACGGTCATGCACCGGAAAGTGATGTTACGGCCTACCAGACATTTCTCGACTCCAGACCCCCAAGCTTTGAAACCACGGCAGTCCGGGAGATTCTGTCCGCAGCACATATTGCGCCTTCGTTAAACTTACACATTGTCCATCTCTCAGCCACCCAGTGCATCCCTCTACTCAAGGCAGCCCGGGCAAGAGGCGTCAAGATTACCGCAGAGACCTGCTTCCATTATCTGGCTCTTTCATCGGAGGACATTGAGAAGGGAGACACTAGACACAAGTGCTGTCCGCCTATCCGGGACGGCCGAAACCGCGACGGCCTGTGGGAGGAACTTGTTTCCCCAGACTCGTGCATCAGCACTGTCGTCTCGGACCACTCCCCTTGCACACCGGAACTCAAACTTCTCCCAACAGAACTTTGGTCGGCTGCAGAGCCAGACCCCGTACAGAAAAGGGTCAAAGAGGCGGGTGACTTCATGGCCGCATGGGGTGGAATCTCCTCGGTCGGTCTCGGCTTGCCAATCATGCACTCCGCCGCCAAGAAACGCAGCAAGACGTCCAAAACCCCCACAATTACTGACATTGTCCGACTTTGCTGCCAGGCTACCGCAGAACAAGTCGGCCTGTCGCACCGAAAGGGCTCAATCAAGGTGGGCATGGATGCGGACATTTGCGTCTTTGACGATGCTGAAGTGTGGACATTTTCACAAGGTGACATGCCCTGGAAGAACCGGTGTTCGCCGTGGGAGGGGCACGAATTTACGGGCAGGGTGAAGGAGACTTGGCTGCGAGGCCGGAGGATTTATGAAATGGGTGCACAGCGCAGTGGGTTTGTGGGAGTCGAGCCCTCCGGAGAGAGCATCACCGAGCCAAGGACGATGTGATGCACATGTGTCGAGAGTGGCTTAATGCCCACGGAAAATAAAGTAAGAGGTGGAATGCCAAGAAGCGAGCCCACGAGGTTGCGTCAATCTACACATACATCAAGACGAATTGAAATGAAACTTGCATCCAACGCGTCGTCTTGGGCTCAGACGGATACCGATGTAGTGCGACGAAAACCTTTCGCCCGAGCTGACCCGAGACACACTATATAATGTACACTTACTGCCAATTCGTCACCGTGGCCATAGATTAGCTGGGAGATCGTCAGACTGAAGTGGAACTTCAATCCTACGCATGCCTATCTGAAGGTCGTGTGTTCGAGTCACACTGGCCACATTTTTTTGCCTCGTTCCCTTTTTCCTTTCCCCCAACCTCGCGTCGAAATCCTTCTCCTTCCATTATGTAATTTTTGCCCTCCGTTCACGTGTCGACTCGCCTAATGTTTCCCGGGACGCCCTATTAGGTTCCGCTTGTCGTCCCTAATCTTCCTAACTCCTGTATGCTTAAGCGCTAGGCGATAGATAACCCTCGCGGCACATTACACCTGTCTCTGCCACTGTCTTCGGCATGGAACGAAATGCTTTATCTGTCCGGGAGGCGCGAGACCCCCCCTGCCCTTGCTTTTTTGCGCTTGGCTGACTACAGGCATGTTCGTGGACTTGATGTCATGGTGTGGGCTATGCCTAGCTGACAATTAGCGGCGGCGACATTGCATTGCGACCTACGTAGTACCTACCTAGTGCATACCAAGGAGCATCGGCTAAACAAGAAAATGTCCTAATTCAGCTTGTTAGATTTGTATGCTTTTTACCCCTAGTAGTGTAGTTTTTAGAGGGTAAAGCTACAAGTTGCTCTAAGCTAAGCGAGCGTGCTAATACTTACAGGTTATAAAATATAGTATATATTTATATCTTATGTAGTATTTTTATAGTATATTATTATATATATTATTATATTTTATATATATATAGTATTATAGTATATATATAGTATTATAGTATATATATATAGTATTATAGTATATATATATAGTATTATAGTATATATATATAGTATTATAGTATATATATATAGTATTATAGTATATATATATAGTATTATAGTATATATATATAGTATTATAGTATATATATATAGTATTATAGTATATATATATAGTATTATAGTATATATATATAGTATTATAGTATATATATATAGTATTATAGTATATATATATATATATATATAGTATTATAGTATATATATAGTATTATAGTATATATATATATATATTAATAATACAGTATAATATAAAGTATATATATATTTAGAATTATTAATAGTAGTATAACTACTACTAATAGGCTATAGTATTTATATATATATTATATTTAAAAATATCTAAGCTATACTAGTATTAAATGCATAAAACTAGTATAGTGCTAAATTAAGCATATTAGAGGGGATAAACTTATTTACACGTACTAACTATTAGAGGTTAAGAGAGTTAGACGAGAGTATAGTTGCAGCTAGCACCTGCAATAGCCCAGTAGGGCTAGTCGACGACATTCTTCCCTGCAGGATACAGCCTCAACACAGCCTGACATAGCTCCCGTCAGACAATTCGGGCTCGTTTTAGCCGCCGCTCCTGCCGCCGCTGCCGCCGCTCCTGTCGCGTCTCCTGCTCGTCCGCTGAGCTGCTTGCCAGTCTCTTCACCGGCCGCGAGCGCTTCACTGCATGTTGAGGAACCAACTTGGAGCGGTGAAAGTCGATGATCAAGGCCCGCTGCAGCTCCTCGTTCCAAAGGATGTTTTCGCGCCGCAGGTCTTCGTGTTCGACGCCCATGCGGCGGATTTCTCTTATCGATCGCCATACCTCCCTGCAAAGCTCGGTGCCCTCCTCGATCTCTTCATCTGGGTTTTCACCACCCCAGCCCATGATCAACATGTGGCGGATTTCTCCTGCTCCGTGAAGAAAATAGATGTTTGCCAGGTCGATTTTGCCGAGAAAGACGGGTACCGCAGACGCCTGGGCTCGCCTCAAAATGTGGTAGGCGTCTGCCTCGCGGGAGACTTCTGGCCACAACTCTCTGCTTGTTCCTTTCCCGACGACGGTGTATCCATATGTGTCCGAGGTGAGTTTGAATGGCGCGCCGTATCCGCCGCAATGTCCGAACGGAGTGCAGTTTCGGTCGAGATCCTCATCTAGCTGTTCCTTGAGGGAACGCACAAAGTGCTCTGCATTGGTTGGGTGAGTGGTGTCCTCTCCATCTCGTCGGTGCAGCTCCACATTTGGACATTTCTCATCGAGAGCGCCCCCATCCCGAAGCCCAAGCAAACACCTTAGTGTACAAAATTTGGCGTCATGTTGTTTCTGTCGGCTGCCTCGGCCGCCTCGAGCACTTCGTGTGCGGGACTTTGGCCGTGCGGACGGAGAGGATGCGACCTGGCTAATGCTGCGTTTGCGCGTCGTGTCTGTATTCACATCCGATCCTGAAGAACCCGGCGACTCTGAACGCCGCCGCCGGGCGTCCAGTGTCGCACCGCAGGTCTGCGACTGTACCGGCCTGCGTCGACGTGCTTTAGGTGGCGGGGATGGCGATGAGGATGATTCTGGCTCGGGGCGATATTGACTACTCGTGTCCGGACTCACCGGATCCGTGTTCTCGGCGTGAAGGTGGGTCTCCTTCAACTCGTCTTTCGGAATCTCTTGACGTGTGCGGCTGAAGTTCGTTTGCCAAAGGGGTAGCTGACGTCGTGCGTCATTCCGCCATTCCTGACTGCGGACCGGATGCCGACAGCTCAACAAATAGAGACAGAGCCTCCGAGCAATGGCTGTGTTTGGTGCCAGAAAACTGCCGTCATCCTCGCCCACTTCTTTGATTGGATCGTAGAGATAGTACTTCAACGTACTAGGGTCGTCGTGAGGAACCCAAAGTTGGATATCGCAGAAGCCGTTCGTCACATATGCGAACTCTAGTCCCTCCTGTATCATGACATGATATTGCTGGACAATGGCGGAGCAGACGAGTCGCTCTGCATTGTATTTCAGTTTTTCTGCCTTGCCTGTAGGTATTGTGTCGCTCCCGACCATGTCGTCCCATAGTTGCATCGGCCTGAGTCCCAGGCGGATAGTGCTTGTGGGGAGTTTGTGCGGTGGTTTGTATTCGCCCGAGCTAAGATGAACCATGGTGTCGTTGTCGAAGGCGTGGATGCAGACTGCGTCAGCTTTCGGTCGGCGGATTTTGGATGGCTGGTTTTCTGCAGCTTCATCAAATTCAGGATCCTGCAAGAAATTGGTGTGGTCGTGGAACTGGATCCCACTCCCGAGACCGAACTCGTGCTTGGCAGCGGGTATGTTGCACAGCTCCGAGATGATGCCGCCCACCAGCTGATCCACAGCGAATCGCTCGTAAAATCCAAGATCGTGCTCACTGCTGAGAGGCCGGCCTGTAGTTGGCGCGGAAAATCCCTCGAGTACGATTTTGGGCGGGAATAAGCGAGGCGCGTCGGCGTTTGCTGGCTGTAGGTAGCGGCGAACAGAATTGTAGATTTCTCGATGCCGAGCTGGACTGTCTTTCCATAGCCGTAGCTTTGTCGGGCAGTATTTCTCTTTGGGGATCGGTATGCTTCCTGTGGTCGACTTATTTGGTGGTGCAACTCTCAACGGAACCGATAGGAACTCGTGGCAACAGTGTATGAGTTCGAGGAAAGTTGTCTTTCGGGTCCGCTCCTCCGCCTGCCTCTGCCGTTCCTCCGCCTGCCTCCGCTGTTCCTCCGACCGCTCGAGGAGCTTTTTGTAATATTCAACGCTGTTGGTAGACATGAGGGGCAAGTGAAGATGACTTTTGGGAAGTTGGGCGGCCACAGTTCTGCGAGTGAAGATGACTTGTGGGAAGTTGAAAAGGTGGTCGGGCTATTTCTGCGGCGGTACAGAGTACGGAGTTACGGAGTACATCGTCCATTCCATTCGTGCGGCACTAAGCCTAATTTGGTGACACCACTAAACCTGCCACACCCTGCCCTATAAATTTACGTATATAGTATTAAAGAGTACTTAGCTATAGTATCGTCTTGTCACAGAAATACCTTGTAGTATGTACTTTATATTGTATATTATTATATATTATATCTAGCAAAAAGTTGGCACAGCTTGCCCGCCCCTTGCGACTATATCCTACTTCTCCAACCGATACACAAGCTGGAACGATGCTCATCTCCGGCAGGCCTCCGTGATCTGACCAAGACTTGCCTAACAAGGCAAAAGGTTGGTCTCGGGAATGACCTCTGCTTGCTTGTGGTCAAGGGAAGCCGCTCTGCCGAGAATCTGAGGGACTTTTGTTGCCAAGTCAACGTTACATGAGCGGGAGTCCTGATCCATCGGCAAGACCGTGAAAGCGATGAGCAGAACATCTCCTTCCTGGTCACGTCCGACACAGTTGGGCTCCAGTCAGCCCCTTGACGCTACATTTCATCCGTTTCGCCGTCGAAGGAACATTACTCCTCTGCCAGAAACATGTTTCCAGCCGACGCGGGAGAGGGACACGGCCAAATTCACGAGCGCAGCCGTGCTTGACGACAAGCAGGATGACAATAGCGCTGTGCCAGGATCCCAGGAGTCAGCTCTGATGGGTTGGCCGTCGTGCAAAAAGCATGGCGATGGCAGTAGTACTCCGTACAGACCGTGACAACGAGGCACCCCTGGGCCTGCGCACACGGTTCGTGCTAATCCGTCATCTCGTAGCGGCAGCATCTACAAGAGATGCTTACGAATGAGGACCGAGCTGACACGGCACAAGTGGAGAATCATCCCGACGTCACATCACCTCGTGAGACAAACATGTCCAGGGGAATGTCTGTTGATGCAAAGCCACACTGAAAGAGAATGACCATCTTCTGGCGCTGACCATACAGGATTTTCTTGCCAACCGTCTTCAGACCCTGTTCAATGGGCCAAGGGCCCGATTGCTGTCCCTTTTTGACCGTGGAGCCGAGCGCCCCTTGAAAAAGAAAAAGGACGCACACGATTCCCTCTTGTAGCTTGATTCAAGGCTTTTACGATATCCGAGTCCGCCTCGGTGCCTCCCCTGGCGTGCCAAAACTCCGCGCCTACCCTAGACCGCAAGCCGCCCCGTTGCTGGTGGCCACTAAGGCGCATTATCTTCGATTTGCGTGGCGGAGATGCGGTTTGTGCCTGCATGGCGAATATCACTAACCCTTCTACACTGGAGCGCCGTGATGGAAACGAGGGATAGCCACGAAGTCGAATTCGTTTACGGAGTAAGCTACCCCAGAATGACGAGCTGGGCCGTGGGATCGGATCGGATCGGACCGGTCCTAGCGTATCTGACCAGGTGGAATCAGCCACACGGCATTCCGTACTTCGGTGGCACATGGTGTCAAAACAGAACTTCAATCATTGTCGATTCCTCAACCCACAACACCCAACACCTGGGTCGCGATACGGATACGCTCAGTACAAGTACACTTTCAGTCCGCACACCTCTCCACAGCTAACTACCCACTCGTAAGTCCTCGCCTGTTCCGACACCAGACACCCAGACCCTTCTCCATTTCGTGTCTGACGGCCCCCAGAACATCACCAACCCGCGCCGCCTCGTAAAACGCCTCGTTGTAGCACGCACTGAGCACCATCTGTCCCCGCCAAGTCCACAGGTAGACCTGGAAATCAGCCGTCAACATGGTCGAGCTGACCCAGTACTCGGCAATCTCCCAACCGCCGTAGCGAGGGCTCACAAAGTCGTCGACAACACCCATGCTGGACAGGTACGGCGTGCTGCTCGGGGGCACATGCCCGCCCGCCAGCATGCGCCTGTACATGGCCATGCCGGGGACGAGACAGCCGAGGTCGTCGTGCGCAAAGGCAAACGGCTTCTTGTAGTCCCTTTGAAGGCGCTCGGCGATGCTGTCGAAGCTGCTGTCCTCGCCGAGGTCCACGACAAACGGAAGCGCCGTTTGGAGACTGCCGACGGAGTGCTGCTCGGCGTCGAAAGGCGCCGGAAACCAACGTCGTAGATCGATGGTGGTAAACTGGGCGTATGTCGTGCCCGCCTCGCCCTCCTCGCTTTGAATCTTCTGGCGCGCCGTGGCGGTGATGAGCGTGGATGCTTCCTCTGCCGGGTTCGACTCGCATCTCGCAGGGGGGGGGAGGGGGCACGGGCACGTACGTACCTGGATTGCCGTGGCCACGGCGGCGTGCCAAGCCGTGGTGACCGTTATGCCCTTGCTCTTGCATGCGTCGACGATTCTCTGCGTGTCTTTCTCGGACAGACACAGCTCTTTGTGAGCCGGCCGGGCGGGTGTGAGGCCAAGGTCTACCCCGGCCAGCCCAACCGGCTTGTCCTGCACCAGACGCCGAAACAAGACTTGCGCGTCCTCGACGTTCTGCCGCGACGGGCTTTGCGAGAGCCCCAGCCACTCGTCCAGCGGTCTGGTGAGATTCGGACGGTTGCGAGCGCCGCCGGCGGCATGTGCGTCGCCTGGCCGAGACAGCCTCTTGAACAGGGCGTCGAAGAGATACAGCATGCCGCGGCCGTCCAAGAGGGCGTGCATTGCCTGCATCACGAGTTCGTTTGTGCCGCGCAGGAAGTGTAGCGTGATGGAGAACCGGCTCTTGAAGCCGGAGAAGAGCTGGTCGGCCGTGATGCCGTCGTGGACTCGAAACGAGCTCTGCAGCCACGCCTCCACGGATACGTCGTCGTCGGGCCCAACCACCAAGCGTTGGTTGACCAGGTCGACGGTGGCGCCGACGCTGGGCAAGTCGTGGCGGACACGCCTCCATGCTTGTTTCAGTGCCTCTGCCACGTCGACATCATCGTCCCCGCGGTACGCGATCGAGACGCCCGATCCGATCATCCAGTGGACGGGCTGGCCCTCGGGAGCAGCCAGGCTGAGGTAAAACGTCTCCATGGAGCCCATGTTCCTCTGCCAGGAGCCATTCTCCTCCTTCCAGCTGTAGAATTGGTCCATGGCGAGAGCGTGAGCGCGGAGCAAATAAAGAGCGATCCCGGGCAGGTAAAGGTTGGGATTCTTTTCTCGGGAGGCATCCCCCAGACATAATCGTACCTCACCAGAAGCCGGAGTGCTAGCCAACCAGGTGAGGTCCGATTGGTCACATTCCGGTGGGACGTCCGAATGGCGGCCGAAAAAAGGCTCCGAAAAGCCCGACACCTCCGGCCCCGGCTCCGGCTCCGGCCCAGCTCTGTTGCAAGCTGCAAGACGAAGCAGCGAGGCCGTTTTGCACCGATCCGAGCAGAGCTGGCGTCTTGAAACGCAGAGCCATCCCAAACTCTTACCTGCGGCGGCAACCTTCACCGAGCGCAGCCAGTCAACCAACGTCCGAGGTCTCGACCGAAATTCCCAGGCAAATCTTCGTACATGGCATGTGCCGTGCGGATTTGCGCATCAACACCCCCCGCAAGCCGCTGCAAATCTCGAATCTCGACCGCGCAAAAAGAGCAAAATGATTCGCGAACTGCTGTACGGAGTCGCAGCCGCCGCACTGCTGGCCTACACGGCAGACTTCCTGTTCAGCCTCCGCGACGACCCCCGCGAGCCGCCCCGAGTACGGCCAGCGATCCCCCTCGTCGGCCACGTCCTAGGCATCATGAGGCGAGGTCCAACATACTACACCGAAACGAGGTTCGTCTGCTCTGCTCACGTCAAGACCCTCCAGGCGGGACGCCCGCTCACAGCCGAGTCCAAAAAGCAACGCCGCGTCTGCGGAGATGCACACCCTCGGAATATTCCAGTACAAGATCTACGTGTGCACGTCGAGCCGCCTGCTCCCCGTGATTCAGAAACACGCCAAGACGCTGTCTTTCCGGCCGTTCCTGCAAATAACCGCCCGCAAGCACGGCGATGCCTCGGACAAGACGTACGAGATATACGGGGGCGACTTGACGGACCGTCTGAGTCACGCGGTGCGAAGCAGCCTCGCGCCCGGGTCACACCTGGACGAGCAGAATCTGCGGATGGGCAAGCGCGTCTTGCTCGAGGTGGACGACTTGCTGGGTCGTGGAGCAGCCTCTGGAGCGCAGAGCATTCGCCTGCTCGAGTGGACGCGGCATCTTGTGGTTCAGGCATCGAGCTGCGGTGTCTACGGCGACCAACACCCCCTTCTTGATCCCGAGGTAGAAGGCGCTTTCTGGTATGAGCTCCCGGGAACCTCTGGCCTTCTGCTCCGCACCGGCGAAAGGCTAACCTTTGCAAACATCGGCAGGGAGTGGCAGAAATACCTCACGGCTCATCTGGCGGGCCTGGATGTGTTCGGCAAGGGATACAAGCAGCGGAAAGTCGTCTACGACGCCTACGTCAAGTACTGTCGGGAACTTCCGAATGACGGATCCGAACTGGCCCGACAGCACAAGAGGGTCATTCGGGAAGCCGGCGTAGACGAGCTCGACTACGCGAAGCAAGCGTCGCTATTCACCATTGCCGTCTTCGGCAACACGGCACCGACGCTCTACTGGACCGTCTGGGAGGTGTTTTCTAGGCCCGGGATCCTCGCCGAGATCAGGGACGAGGTGGAATCGCGTGTCGTTTCGACGTCAAGCGACGGCGAGTTCACGCTGCACGTCGCGGCTCTCAAGTCCAAATGTCCCGTCCTGTTGTCTGTGTTCCAAGAGACCCAGCGCACGCGTCACGTCAACGCTAGCTTTCGAAAGGTCATGGCGGACACTGTGCTGGGCGGTCGCTATCTTCTCAAGGCCGGCAACTTTGTCCAGATGCCCGGGCAACCTATTCACGGCAACACCAGCCTCTGGGGGGACGGGGCCATGGAGTTTGATCCCTACCGATTTGTGCCAGACAAGAAGAAAGACGCTGCGGCCTTGCCGCCCAGCGGGTTCGTGGCATGGGGAGCACCGCCGCATCTGTGTCCTGCGAGGCAGTTTGCCGCCGTCGAGGTCTTGATTGCGACGGCGCTGTTGGCCGTGAGGGCTGATTTGCAACCCCATGGCGGCGCGTGGGACAAGTCCCCTGCGCTGAATTACAATGACTTATCTACGTTGCTGAATCCCAACAAGGATGTTCGCGTTTCTGTTGCTGCCCGCCAAAGGTGGGTGGGCAAGTGGTCTTTGGAGATGGGAGAAAGCAGGAGTCGCGTTCCGCTCGCCTCGGGATAAGTTAATACAATACGTGCTAGTCAGCGTGCAAGAGTCAGTCAACTCAACCTCGGACTGCCGCGTCTCGCCCAAGAAACTCATGCGCATAAAGTATCAAGTACACGTATCATGTGGCCAGGATCGGGAGCAGGTGAGCTCGTAGCTCTCTCATCGGTCTCTGCACATCATTCTACCGCCGTACAACCCGTAGCAACCATCGTTAGCGCCTCGTCTTTGCGAAGCCGTTGGCACTGCCGTCTGAATGGCCACACGCCATCTCCGCCTCTGACTCCTCCGCCTCCGATCTGTCATCTTGAGCAATGCTGTGAACAATGTAGCGGTACCCGATCCGCAAGAGGCAAACCAGCCAGAACAAGTTGAGTGCCTGGAGGAAAGCCAGCAGGGCAAACGCAATAACGTTGGAGATCCAGCACTTGTACTGCTGCGTTTCCCAGTTGAGAACATACGGGCCAACGGTCCGAAATTCGCCCAGCAGCGAGTACAGGATTCTGAGGTTCTGGTAATGACGTAGATATGCCCAGATGCCTATCGACATGCAAAAGAACGGCCCAACAATGGGACTATCAATGTAATGGAGAGATTTGGAAACCTGTCCAACGGAACCGACATGTTAGTATGCATCTGCAGCTAACCAAGGGCCCATCATACGGGCGAGGGGAGCCGCCACTTGCCGCGAAGAAAAAGTCGCTGATGTCATGAGTCAGGTACACCGCGATGCCCATGTACGTAAAATGAAAGCGGTAGCTGAGAGCAATCAAGCCAATGGTGACAATGTGATGTGCAATGAGCTCCTTGAAATCTTTCCGTGGCTTCTCTAGTCCCAGCAACATGACAATCGCTTGCTGTGCCCAATACGCCGCCTGAAACAGGTAGTAAAACTTGAAGCAGGCTTTGTGAGTTTTGTGAGGAAAGTCTTGGTACATGCCTCGCGTGTTGAAATACCACACTGGCGTCTGTCGCATGACGTGGACACCGAATGGAGCCATGAAGGCAAAGTACAACGCTGTGTACATTTGCTCCATGAAACGGAGCTGCTTGCCACGAGATCGAATGCCCAAGAGGCGGCCCAACGGGCGGAACAGTTCTTGCATGAAGAACTCGCGCGTGAACGACAGGACGATCATGTAGAAGCAAACAAGTGTGATGTCGTGCTTGCCCTTGCCGTATTGCGTGGGCTGGGTTACGTCGGACCCAACAGGCTGTTGCTTGTACGACAGAAAGATGAAGGGGCGGACAATGTTGGACTCGGCGGGATCGACGGCATATATTGCGAGAAAGACGGCGAGGAGGGCGAGAGGCATCAGCCAGGTGCGGGTTGTCGCGGTGTGAATGCAGCGGCGGAGAAGTGAGGGCACGTTCCTGCGACTTGTGCCCCTTGTTGGCGTCCTTTTGTCATGTTTGCCGTTGGCGCCATTGAACAATGCTGCTGTCAAGCTCGTATCTTCCGTCGAGGTGTCGTTGAGACTCTTTCTTCGTCGCGACGCAACCGTGTTTCGCGCGGAGAGACTGGCCGTGCTGTCGGCGACTCCATTTGCAGAGGCCATTATGACGGCGTAAGTTGCGGCATAGAGAAACTGAACGAGATTTCCAAGTCTGGCCTGCTCCCTGCTCGAACTCCCGAGACCCCTGCAACCAACTGCTCAGGCACAGGTGCTCTTCATGCGGCTGATCTCAGCTCGTGTGGTCTGGCGGCAAAGTCCCACAACATTCAAGATTGAAAGGCCGGCAGCAAGTGGAGACACACTCTCACACATCCTGGTGCTGCCTCGTTTTCCGTACGGCCTCATTGCGTAGCCACCGTTCCTTCTTGGCCACATGGAATGCATTTGTGATGGGCAACATCGCCGAGGCAGTCATCATCCGTGGAGCCCCGGTAAGCGTTTATCAAAATCTCAGCTAGATTGCGTGTTCCATACACCATGACCATCCAGCACTGTTTTGCCCACCATCTTGAGACCATCTTTCCCCGTCGCCCACAACTCGCCGAGGTCGCATATGTTCAGGTGGCGCGGATTGACTCTGAACGGGTTGCAACCGCTTATTCGATCTGTTTCTCGCACCCAATACGGTTCAGCAGCTCCTTGCGGTCACGGTGGCCGGGGAAGCTGACGCTGCTGCTGCTGCTGCCGCCGCCGCCGCCGCCGCCGCCGCCAGTTCCCTTTGTGACGCCACCGCGACGCTCCCGCGCCGTCCAGTCAATGGCTTCTCCAACACACTCTTTTTCCAAGTACCGTGGCTGCTCAGGTTCGTCCTCCCCAACTTCGTCCTCTTCGTCGCTTTCTTCTGCCTCGCTGTTGCTTCGAAGGTCCTCGGCCCTCTTGCCCTGGAGCACGCGCATAGTGATTTGTACGATGACCGTGAACCACATGATCATCATAACCTGTAGAAACAGGAGGAATAAGAGAAAGGCATACATGACATTCTTGTTGAGGCACACGACTCCGGAGGGGTTGCGAAAGGGTTCCAGCAGATGACTCCAACCCGCCGTGGGAATGGGTAACGGGCCTTCAAGGTCATCGGCACTGCCTCGATAACAAGCGGGTGGCGTCATTCTGGGGAAGTCGAAGTAGATGCTCCAGCACGTCACCATGTACAAAACGTGTCGAGCGAGCACCCACGAGATGATGAATCCGCCGAATATTACGTCGCAGATGGTGGTGAAGCCGAGGTACTTGAGACATTTTGCGAGCTATCTTCTTGTCAGCGACGTCACTTTCTTCTGCAGGGCAAAAGGGTCCAATGCCAGTATACCGGTAAAAATAGATCAATCACATCCATCAAGATCAGAATGAGGTTGGCGACTCGAGTCTGGTGATAGGCATACGAGCCCGCCAGCAAGGCAATTGTGACAAAGTGATGTGTCAACATTTGCCAGTGGTCCTTTCGGCGCTCTTCAATGTTGATGACCAGGACCATTTGGATCCAAAAGCCCCATTGTCCCAGAATGTACGCCTTCATTAAGCCATCTATCTCGCGCTGTGGCCAGTCGGTCCAGAGCTCCTCCATGTTCAAGAAGTACTTGGAGTTGTAGTAAAGGTACTGATGGTTTCAAAGCGTCAACGGGCCATCATTCACGCGGCGCCCAAGGAGAAGTGGCCAGCGACGTACCATGCCCGTCGGCCAGAATGCGTTGTAGTACATCAACATCCAGCCTTGCTCAGCGAACCGGGTTGCATTCTTCTTGCCCAGCACGCCCCATCGGGAAGCTAATGGTGCGAGAATATAACCCATGCAGAAAGCGCGAAGTCCCGTTAGGATGACGATGACAAATGTCATAAAGTAAAAGTCGTCATATCCCGCGGCGTATTTGCCCGTCTTGCCATTGCGGTAAGAAAGAGTGAAGAACTTGGACGTGTACTGCCGTGCAGCGGGTATACAAGCATGTGTGAGAAACAAGAGCGCGACAAGATTGAACGAGAAGCCTGTTTATGAAGCGAATGTTGCAACAGGTTAGCCGAGTGTGATGATGGTCGACGGAGAGAAGTGGGTTTCTGGTCGCTGGCATTAGGGACGAGCGTACCGACTTGATTGTCCAGCAACCAACGGCTAAAGCTTCTCGGTACGTCATCCTTCCGCCGTCTAGTCTTGCCCGTATGTGGTTTTCTTTGGCTCATCTTCACCGAGCTCAACTGTTGCCGGTCGTCAGTCGGCGTAGAAGTGCCTGACTTGGGAAACGCCCACACGGCGGCCTTATCTGCCCTAGAGTCCGTTGTCGAGCTAGTGGCTCTGCTGTGCAGAGTTGTTTCCGGGTCTCCAACGGCGGGATGCTTGCCGGCAGATGGAACTGGTAGTTCGGGCGAGGTCTCTTGATAAGCTGTCAGCCACTCTCGGGAACGGAGAAGCTAATCTTCTGTCCGTCCTGAAGGGGGTATCGAGATGGCCTATGGAGAATGTCGGGCGGTGAATGCAACTAGAGAGTAAAAGCTGCCCACCCACAAACTGCCCACCAGGCCCCCCTCCCTCCTTCCTCGTCCCTCCTCCCCTCCCTCCCTCGTCCCTTCCCTCCCCTGAAAGGCTGCTGCTGACCAGCACCGCACCCTTGCTGTTGCTGCTTTGATGCATATATGAATTCACAAATTTAGTTTGGCTTGCGTCTGTTCAATTCATTGCGTTTGAAATGTAGACCAAGTTACCCCAAGTCTACTGAGTACCCCCGCTACTATGTAGTAGGCCTATATTTTTGATTCAACTGCAACTTACAAGCCAACCTTATTTTTAGGCAACCAAGCTAAAAAATACAAGCGGCTCCTGTAGGCGGAGTTCAAAATGGTACTTTTGCGTGCGCGCAACCTAGAAGGCTTATTCACACGGTACACATAATTTCGATACACACTCGGGCCAACTTCGTGCAATCAATGGATGCAGCCGCGTGCAAGTTTTGACATTGAGCGGCAGCCAATGTACTCTGCAGTCATAACGCAGATCCTACACGGACTACAAGTTTTTGCCCTCGAACCTGCCCTGCCTTGAGCAGTTCCAGACCCTGTACGATCCCCTTCCACCTCCCGGGAATCTCACGGACAGGGTGGCACTTGAGTTGACCGGCATCTAGAAGTGATTGGATCTCTTGTCGCCAGCGCATCGCCAGTGCCAACTTGGTTGGATCGGCTTCTCTGTGGTAGGGGTCCCGAATCTTGACCTCGTTGCCCCAGAGAGCATAAGTAACCGGCATGTCGACCTTGACCGACTTGCGAGTTCGCCATTCCGGCAGAGCATAATCCAGGCTTGCATATCTTGCTCCGGCTCTACCCAGGGCTGTGAAGCAGCAACGGACAGAGTCGGGATTGGTCACGCAGTCAATGGCATGTCTTAGTGTGCCCTTGGTCGCTTCCCGAACCGTCTCGCCGCACGTCGGAGAGGTATAGGGGTACGTCGTCATGGCACCAAACGCTTTGACTAGGGCGGAGGAGGCGGTCGAAGAGGTGGCAATGACGCTGTATCCCGATCTGCATACAGGCGGCGTCAACGTAATGAGACGAGCGGTCGCCGTTTTGCACTCGCTCGCAGGCACGAAGGCTCTCGCGGGCACACACGACGCTGCGAGAAAGGCTTACCTGGCGAGAATCTGGCATGCCATGGTGCCCGTGGCCGTAGCACCGCCATATACCAGCACCGGCACGCGGCTACCATCAGCTCGAGGCGGCTCCGGTGCTGACGGACGACCCGTGAGCTTCAGGCAATCTTCCATGGCCAGCGCAACCGTAGCCCATCCGACGCCGCCCAACGCTGCCCCTTCGAGATCGCTCCAGGCATCAGGCACCTGCAAGAGTACTCGGGCGTCCGCGACGAGGAACTCTGCAAACGCGCCGTTGTTGGGATTCGCAGCATTGCAACCGTGCATGGGACCGCACAGTCGCGTACCTGGAGGGCAGCTGGTTGCCTGTGAGCCTGTCTCGACGACGGTGCCCATGAAGTCGCAGCCCAGTACCGCACCTGGAACTGGGTTGTACGCAGGCATTCGGTAGTCGGATGGATTGAGGGCAACCGCGGAAACCCGTATCAGGACATGGTACGGTTCCGTCACTGCGGGTATAGGGTTCGTGGTTGAGACCATGGGCTCTGTTTGCCCACCCGGAGGGTGGACTAGACACGTCTGCACTTGAGCCATTGGCTTTTCGAATATCTGCCATGGGCACCATGAGATGAGAGAGATTCATCCTCATATCGTAGGTTTGTTCTAGGCCGCCTGGCCGTCCCTCGGGGCGTTGGGCGTGGGAGGGTCATTCTTCCAAAAAACCCCCGACTCGGGATCGGACGTTGGACCGACTCGGAGGCTCCAAGACGAAATGTACAGCAAACTTGGATACCAAGTCCCCGATTGGTTCCCGATTGCTAAATCAATGGGGCAATTGGTTTGTCAAATCTACGGTGAGTGTCCATGGCGAAATACCTCTTCTATTGCCTTGTCGGCGGATATTCTGTCATTATCTATTCGATTTGTTGAAAGTTCCAGTTTCTGAAAGAGTAACTTGGCAAGAACCATTCGAATCAAGCCACACTGAGCTGCACGGCAGGGCATCTTTGCCTAATCACACCAAACTCCTACTACAGCTGGTCACGTATATCGATCCAGGTGTGTGTGAAGCTAACACGGCGCCGTCGAAAAAGAAAGAAACGAAAGAAAAGAAAAGAAAAGAAAAGAACAAGACAGAACAGAATTTTTTACTTTCTTCATGAATTCCTCTGAACCTCTGCAGTTGGCGATCAATATGACGAGCTTCGTGGTGGACTTTCTTGGCTCCTACGGTAGTACGCCTCAATTGTCATGGGCAACCGTGGCTGTTGTGACCATATTTGGGACGTACATATTCGACATTGGCTCGAAATTATACCGTGACCATAGGCTTCGAAAAATCGGCTCACCTGCAAAACTCGTTCCCTTTATCGCTCCTCTCGGTAAGTCTATTCTTACATTCCTTTCGACGGTACGATGACGGTCCCGGGCTTTCTTACTTCTGCTGTGTGTGTATTAGGTCTCGATGTCGCAATCTACTCCTTGTACCGATTCTTCACCAATACCTACTTCGAACTCGTTTCAAAATGGTTAGATGCATCGCCCGGCCGCACTGTTGAGATGCGCATGTTTGCGCAGGGCCTTATTTTTACGGACGAGCCCGAAAATATCAAGGCCATCATGTCCACGCAAGTATGCGATGAAATGGCTTGCCTAGCATGGTAAAGTAAAATAAGAACTGTTTGACTGACGCCGTGATATCAGTGGTCTAGCTTCGGCAAGGGGGAGGTCACCAGGCGCATTTGGGCCAACATGATCGGCCAAAGACAGATTTTTGCCAGTGAGAAAGAAACCACAACTTCATGTCCAAAAGCAAGAATTAACAACACCCTTGACGTCTAGTTGACGGCGAACATTGGCACAAAGCGAAAGCGCTCCTCCGTCCCCATGTAAGTTGACTTGTTGTTATCAAGATCAAAGTGCCGCGCGACCCGCATTCGCATTATATTATATCTGACCCGTTGATTTCAGATCGGCCACGCTCGTCCTGATGACCTTATCAAGACGGAACGCCATGTGCAGAGATTGTTTGAGCGTTTCTCCCGTGGGGAGGTCCTCGAAGTGTATGATTGGATTGACCGATTTCAACTTGATGTGACGACCGACATTTTCTTTGGCGAGTCAGCCGATTCCATTGTTTCCGAACCTCCTTTCCGTGCGGCAATGGATGTGCTGCTTCCCATAAACACGGCTCGCATGTTATTCGGGTACGCATTACCGCCCAGCCTACATTTTGCGGCTTGGCTCACACTTGGCGTATTAGGACGAAGGCCTTTTACGCACCAGATACCCTGCTTGCGCCCCAGGCTCTGAAGGTGCTCAAGGCTTACACCGACTCGCTTACCGACCGAGCCTATGCAAGAGATTTATCCCAGAAAAGGCCCTCAGAGTATAATCTACTCGATGACTTGGTCAGTCAGAAGAAAAGCTATCATGTATGGTGCTGCCCACTCGGCCAATTCGGTCTTGTCTTGTCTTGTATGCCCGTAATTCTCACAACACTAGGATATCAAAGAAGCACTCATGTCGGTCATGCTGGGCGGCAAGGTACGGCCAGACGATGCCAAGCCTTCGAACCCATACTAAATAACAATGGGCTAGGATCCCTCCTCGATTCTAATCACTTGGGCAATCTTCTTACTGGGGAAACACCCGGATGTTATGACAAAGACGCAAGCCCAAGTCCACAAGGTGTAAGCCAGTGCCCGGCCCCATTGTTGCCGTTGAAAAAAGAAAAGGTGACGGTGCTTATGCGCAAAGACTTTAGGTGTGGAACACGGCCACCTACGGCTTCTGAACTCAAAGAAATGACATACTTGAGACACGTCATCAACGAAACCTTCCGATTGCATCATCCGTGTCAGTAGCTACCCCGAGCGAAATCTCAGCCAGGATCGAAGATTGATAAGGGTCCGATGCTAACCGGCCGGAGCAGTGGGCATGAACATGCGAATGGCTCTAGATGACGTTTCGTTACCCACCGGAGGTGGTAAAAGCGGCAAAGAGTCTCTGGCCGTTGTCAAAGGCTCGAGCATCAGTAGGTCATACTGTTTTTGACTACAGCGTTGATCCAGTCTGTAACGTTGCCGCTGACGTCTGACAGTCTATTCGCTGATGGGTATGCAGCGGCGCAAGGATATATTTGGCGACGACGCAGAGGGTTTCCGTCCCGAGCGTTGGGAAGAAACAGATATTCAACGCTGGCACTTTGTCCCCTACAACCAGTGAGTGGAAAGTGTTCCCAACGCCAACGCCAACACCAACACCAACACCGTCCGTATCATTCGCATGTGCTGCCATCAACTTGACCTTCCTGGAGCGGACCGCGGCTGAGACTTGATTCTTGCGTCCCTGTCCCTGATTTGCAGCGGACCGCGCATGTGCATGGGCCGCAACTTTGGTCAGCAACAAATGGAGTACGTCTTGGCCCGAATTTGCCAAGAGTTCATGGAGATTCGCGTTCCGGACGGCCAGCGCGAGCAACAGGTCAAGATTGAATTAAACTGCAAGATGGCACACCCCTGTATGTGCGAGTTTGTGAGAAAGGGAAACGCAACTCTCGTTGCCGCCCAAGAATAGTAATTGCTAACAGGCCAAACTCGCTGTTCACGATGGGCATTTTGGTGCGCAATGGTCGGACCATGTCGGCATGGGATAGGCAGGATTCGTGACTCAGGGATACATGTGCTTTTTTTTGCATCAGGGCGAGGCGACTCTTGATAAAAAAACTGAACGATTGGTTGTCAGCTTGTCTCACTAGCTGACGTACCAGTAGAGATTAGGTCTTGTTATTGGAGGGCCAGCATAGCCTTGTTCAAAGCGTGCCAGGGCTTACACATCATCCGAGGCGGCGTGGCAATTTTCATCCTTGGTATTCGGTGCGGTGACCGGAGTTGACCGCGGATGGGCATTGCCGAGATGCCGGTCGGTCCGCTCTTAGGCCCGCTATTTGGCATAAAGCCGAGCACACGAGCACCTGTAGCAAGACACGAACCGTGCCCGCCCTACTATTAATTAGTAGGAATGGTGGTTGACACTTGGGCAGGCCAATTCTCAACGTTAAATACATTAGAATATGTGACGGACTAGATTAACGAGCTGTCACAGGTGCCAGCTGCAGCCGCCTCAGTGGTAGGCCAAAAAGATACTTGTTGAACAAAAGACAGCCTGCAACATGGTGTCTGTTGGGCCGCATAACGCTCCATACACAACGGCGAGACTCGCTTCGGTTAGATTTCGTACCGACAGTGTGGCCGGTTGTTTCTGCTTGGGGCCGCCTCGCCTCGTTCCTTCCCATGGCTGTCCGGTACCTGCCCTTTCTGCCCAGGCCAGGGCTGCTTGCCAAGCAGCAGGCTGCGGCGCTTCTCCTCAGCTCGCATAAACGAGCGACCTGTCAGTCGCTTCTCGATACAAATGCAAGCAGACTGTCGTGATGCTTTCCCGAAGCCATACGAGAATCAAATCAAGCAGGGGAGTTCGGGAATCCGACAGTTGCTATGGCGAACCCTCAGCCTGCGGCTTGCAAGAGATATGCCTGTGATCGATGCCGGGAGCACAAGCTTCGATGCTCCCGTAGCTCGGACGGTGACAGTCCCTGCGACCGATGCTTCAAATTCAATGCCCTCTGTGTAACAAGTTCTGCCCGTCCCGTGGGCCGACCATCTGTTCAGACGAGCGCTGGCAACACCAGCACCAGCCATCAACACCGTCGCCAGCTGCACGGCAAGTACAACAGAGGCAACGGCAGCAATAACAAGGTCATGCCGCCTCGTAGCCAAAACGAGGCCAAGCGACAGTCCAATACTTGCTTGCACAATGCCTGGCGTCAAGACGCTCACCTCTTGTCCCCACGCAGCTTCCCGCCGTCCGCGGCTGCTTGCTCCGAGACATCAAGTGGTCCTGCCGGTGGCGCTCCCACCTTGGAAGATTTTGAAGTCATGACCGATGCGCCGTTGGATGAGTCCGACTTCTCCAATGATGTTTCCGAACTGGGGGGCAACGGCTTCGCTCTGGACGCGTCCTCGTTTCAGTTCCAGATTTCGAATTCCGCTAATATGGCAGAATTGGCCTTTGGGGGCATGGAAGTGATACCAGAGACTGAAAATAATCGTCAAGGAAAGAATATCATGTACGCCACCCCCGACGGCACGCAAGATGAAGGCCCTGCGCCAGTAGTCACGCAACCGGCGGCGAGCTCCGGTGGTGACGGTGACAATACCGTTGCATTCATGGTCGTCACAATCGGCAACATTATTCAGGAATTGGCCAACTTGAAGAACCAGCCTTGGAAATCGTGGGAGCCTTGCCATCAGTCTCTGATGGACAATGTTTTGTTTAATATTTGTGCTCCGGAAGCCCTCTACGGAGGCCAGCCAGATATTGCATCGTCCTTGGCCCACGTTTTGGGCATTGCCACGAGGTTTACATGGGCCTTGCAGATCATGTCGCCCGTCTCGAACGGGATGGGAACGACTCAACGTACGCCGCCGACTCTGTCCATGAAACTCATGCTCCTGTCCACACACATTCAATTGGCCCAACTATTTGACACAATCCTCACCCAAACAAGCGGATTCTCGTCTGCAGGACTGTCGGAGGGTCGTGGTCATGGTGCCGAGACAGACCAGTCAAGCTCCCGTGGCCAACGGCGGCCCTCCCAGCACGTCATGATGTTGACTCGGGTTTTTGAACACCACCTGCATTCCGTGGAACGTTTGATGGGCCTACCGGACGAGTCGAGACTGTGGAGCCGGAAGGACTCGTACAGGGGAATATTAGACCAAGATGAGCCGTCAGCAGTCACACAAGCGGTCATGAGCCAAGCGCAAGATGCGTTTCGGTCGCTGAAACAAACCATGGATAAGATGACGGGTGTCATTAGCCGAATCCCTGATGTGCCGTCAACGAAGTGAAGACAGTGGCATGTACACAAAAAGTCAACGGACGTGAGGAGCGGCGTGTCGGCTACAAAACGACAGGATGGAATCAATGAATCGCGAGAAAGTAAAATGCGTCACACTTTGTATGGTGTCCCGGCATCGTAGCCTCCGACGCCCGTGTCTCCGGAGCTACAGCAGGACAGCTGTGTATCGGCATGCAGATTTGGGGAGAGTTCCCCGTAGCCGGTTGCTAATTGCCTCTTATTGAGCCTGTCCCGCAAACGAAGCAAGTCGAACTCGCACAGGAGGCTTTTGCCATACCATGTAAACTCGCAAGTCTCTGTCCCAGTCGACGTCGTTCCTGTTCACCAGCTCCCAGTCAAATTTCCAACAGAGTTTGGCAACCATGATCCGAAGCACCACATACGCCATGGCCTGCCCAATACAGTTGCGAGATCCGATGCTAAATGGCCTAAATGCGCTGCGAGCATCGGTATCACAGCTGTGATGGTAGTCTGGATGCGTGGTCGGCAGCCATCTCTGGGGCTTGAACTTGTAAGGGTCCTTGAAATACCTGACTGAGTGGGTTGTCGCATAGGCGCATGTTGAAACCACACACTGGCCAAGGAATCAGAATAAAATTTGACGACTGAGGGGTCTTTTTGTAAAGCCTTGCTCTGCAGGAACACTTACCCCTTCCGGCACGTAGTTTCCATCGATCGTGTGCCCTGGGCTGATGCGAGGCAGCCCATACGGCACATTGGTGTGGATTCGAAGCGACTCCTCGAGAATAGCGTGAAGCCAAGGAAGCTCACGCAAGGCTTCATCTGTCATTTCATCTACAGAGGCGAAAGTGCCTCGCAGTTCCGATTGCAATCTGGCCATTGCCTCATTATTTGTGGTCAGAAAGTAAAAGATGGCCGACAACACGCTAGAGGACTCGAAATGATCAAAGATCAAATGACCAGCTTGAGATACGAGGAACTCCTTTGGAGGCAACGGGTCGATTTCGCTCATAAACTGTGTCAAATAGTCCAGTTGTTTCTGATCATGTCGATTCTTCACCCGGTCTTGGATGAGATTACTGCTCAGACTGTGGGCTCTGGCGTAACTGAGAGCGACCTTGGGAGACAGCAGGAGGTAAGACATCCAAGAAATCAGTGGAAACCGCCGAAAGACGACGCGGATCGTTGTCCACTGGCCGACACCCAGAATGGATTCCAGAATGGGGTGATTTTTCCCTTCCGCTCACAGTGTTAGTCTTGCGTGTTTCTTCTTTAACCATGCAGAACCTTGGGCAAAGCCTGCAGGGAAAGGCTCTCTTTGGGTGAATCGGTGACCTCTTACCGTCCCGAACGTTGTTAAAATCGTGGTTTACTGCTATGGCGCCACCAAGGTCTGTCGTGACTCGTTCAAACCACTGGGCATCATCGATTAGCTTACATGCCGCCGAGGTTTCTTCCAGTTGAGACGTGGGGATGCATGCCGGCACAATGTTAAACCCGTCGTCTTTTGCTGGGATTTCTTCCAGTTTCAGAAGCAGTTGATTGACGTGATGGTGTATTCTGGGCTGATACTCCCTCAAAGCGCGAGGGCTAAACGCAGGAGCTAATTGCTTCCGAGCAGCACGGTGCTTTTCAACATCCCGTTCTGATGCAAGGCCCTCGTACTTTTCGCCCATGTCCAACATGTCGGACTTGACAAATGCCGGGCGGCCGTGAATCGAGCTGGTGTAGATGTCTATTTGATGATCAACATTAGAAGCAAAGCATATTATCGCCAAAACGCAAGGTAGACTGGCCTGTGTACGCTTCCGGGGTAACAAAGACGAGTTCATTTGGCGCGATACGCACCACGTCTCCTGTTCATTTTTGGTGAGCGGCCGTATACGGACAACGGAATGAAGCTTACCATATTCCGCAAGCACGCGCTGCATGGCCCATGGGAACCGGCCAGAGAGCCTGAGGGCAAGTCAATGTTAGGGACCGCCTTCCGGGAAAAGGGGTTGACTGATGACGTCGCATCTTACCATTGATACCCATACCACACATTCGAAATTGCTGCAAATTTTGGGCCAGGGTAGCTTGCAAGAGGGTGAAAGCATAGCAGGTAAATACATCGTGCCAATGAGTACGCCAATACCTTTGAAGAATCAGAAACATGTACAGACACACACACCTTTGCGTTCCAACTCGAACAGGCCAATCAATGCTTACACTGCCCACAATGGCTAGAAGAGAACCCTGGGTAGACCATTTCTCACTCATCATCGCCTTGGTGTCTGGCACCAGGCGATGTAGAAGATGTTCCATTGTTCAATGTCGACTCGTCGATTCTCGATTCTACCGAACACGGACTGCAAGGCAGTTTGAATTGAAGAACGTCTTTGGGAGGGAAGTTTCCCCGTAAACACTCGCACACACAGTCACAATCTGTCTGTATTCAACTGGCGGCTAGGTTTTACTGCAGCGCAACACTCCGGTCCTCTCGGAGGGTTCCGAGGTCCCGAACATGCCGGACCCCGAGCGAACCAACCGGGCCGGAGACCCTGCGCAGCGCTTGGCTTTCTCGGAATATTCTTTCTGACACTCGGACGCCCCGGGGTGTCGTGGATCGAAATGTTGGCAGGTGCAGACAAACAGCGTCTTTAACCCACATCAGACACACGGTATCTGCTGTACGGGAACAGAACTTTGACTATTATTCTGTGTTATTGGATTTCTTCACGCTTCGCCGCTTCGCCCATCTCGTCCCGCCATGGTTGCAGCAGAAACCTCGCCGTCTCGTCACGGCCCCGAGCCCATTGCCATCATCGGCAGTGGGTGCAGATTCCCCGGTGGTTCCAATTCACCCTCAGCGCTCTGGGAGCTGCTGAAGAAGCCCAGAGACATCCTGAGTGAGATTCCGCCAAGCCGATTCGATGTTCGAGGCCATCATCACCAAGACCCCCAGTTTCCGGGCCACGCCAACGTCAGGCATTCCTACCTCTTGGAAGAAAACATTGCTCACTTCGACGCCCCCTTCTTCAGCATCACCCCGGCAGAGGCTGCTGCCATGGATCCCCAGCAGCGTCTGCTCCTGGAGACGGTGTACGAGGCAATGGAAGTCTCGGGCTTGACTATCGAGGGCCTGAAAGGATCCAACACAGGAGTGTACGTGGGATTAATGTACGGAGATTACGAAGCACTCCAATACCGTGACCTGCAGAGCATTCCCACATACCACGGACTTGGTAATGGACCGCGTTCCCCTGTGCCGATTGCTTTCTCGACATGTGCTAACGCGGCCGGCCGTGGCAGGTACTGCCCGAAGCATCGTTTCCAACCGCGTCTCGTACTTTTTCGACTGGCACGGACCGTCGATGACTGTGGACACGGCCTGCTCGTCCAGTCTGGTCGCTGTCCATCAGGCCGTGCAGGCGTTGCGGTCCGGAGATGTTCGCGTTGCCCTGGCGGCGGGGACGAACCTGCTCCTCGGGCCGGAGCCGTACATCTACGAGAGCAAGCTGAAAATGCTCTCCCCCGGGGGCCGATCACGCATGTGGGACAGGGACGCCGATGGTTATGCCCGCGGCGAGGGCGTGGCAGCCGTCATGCTCAAGACGCTGAGTGCCGCTCTGGCAGATGGAGACCGGGTCGAGTGCATTATTCGCGAAACTGGTGTGAATCAGGACGGGCGCAGCCGGGGAATCACGATGCCGAGCGCATCAGCCCAGGCGGCGTTGATCAAGGCCACGTACAGACGAGCGGGCCTTGATCCGGCCTCCGAGACCGATCGGTGCCAATACTTTGAGGCACACGGCACTGGTACCCCTGCCGGTGACCCTGTGGAGGCTGAGGCCGTCCACACTGCATTCTTCGGTCACAAGACGGAAGACGAACGTTCCGAGCCCAGACTAATTGTTGGTTCCATCAAGACCGTCATCGGACACACAGAAAGCACCGCCGGCCTGGCCGGCATCTTGAAGGTCTCCCAGGCTTTGCAGCATGGACATGTCCCGCCAAACCTACTGTTCAGTCAGCTCAACCCCAACGTACAACCGTTCTATAAGCATCTGCACATCCCGCAGCATCTCACGCCGTGGCCGCAAGTGCCACACGGCCAATGTCGCCGCGCGAGCGTCAACAGTTTCGGATTCGGAGGCACCAACGCCCACGTGATTCTGGAAAGCTTCCGAGGCGGAGCCGCGGAAGACCGCCCGGATAAACTACGACCGAAACCGAGACCGAGACCGAGACCCGTGACGCCCTTTCTCTTTTCGGCGCAATCAAAGCAGTCGCTCTTGGCCAACCTCGGCGCATATTCTCGCTTCCTCGAGCAGCACCCAAACACGGATCCCCAAGATCTCGCCTGGTCCTTGCAGGCGCGCCGATCCCGCCTACAGCTTCGTGTCCATTTTCCTCCATCACCCGTTGACGAGCTTCAGTCCAGTCTGAAAAAGTTGATCGGAAACTTTCAACCGGATCCGCGGTCAGCGAGCACGGGGGATGGGCCGAGAGAAGCTCGAATCCTGGGATTGTTTACTGGACAAGGAGCGCAATGGGCCCGCATGGGTGCAGAGCTGATCGAGACTTCTGCCCATGCCTCTCGAGTTTTGTCAGATCTGGACAGGTCCTTGCAACGCTTGCCTGAGGGTGACCGACCGCCCTGGACGCTGAGACGAGAGCTTCTCGCCGATGCCTCATCCAGCAACGTTGGTAACGCTGTCATATCACAGCCGCTGTGTACTGCGGTTCAGCTGATCCTCGTTGAACTTCTCAAGACAGCTGGCATCCGATTCTCCGCCGTCGTTGGCCATTCCTCGGGAGAGATCGCGGCTGCCTTTGCCGCAGGCTACTTGTCGTCATGGGATGCCATCCGCGTAGCATATTACCGAGGCTTTCACTCACACCTTGCTACTGGTCCTGCGGGATCTTCTGGTGCCATGTTGGCTGTTGGGACTTCCTTACAGGATGCCCGAGAACTCTGCAATGATGAGGCGTTTGTGGGTAGGATCACCGTAGCGGCTTGTAACTCTCCGCTCAGCGTGACGTTGTCGGGAGATGAGGATGCGGTTGCTGAAATGAGAGATATATTCGAAGATGAGCGCAAACTTGTTCGCCCACTGCGGGTCGACAAAGCGTACCACTCTCATCACATGCTGGCCTGCTCACGGCCCTATCTGAATTCCATCGAGAATATCTCCACCGCCACGCCCGGCCCTGGATCGCCAGCTTGGTTCTCGAGCGTATACCCGGACCGAAAGCCCCATGACATGGCGTTGATTACTCCCTCATACTGGGTCGATAATCTTCTGTCCCCGGTGTTGTTCATGCAAGCTGTTGAACGTGCGGTTTTCTCATCTCCTTCATTTGATGCCGCTGTAGAGGTTGGGCCTCACCCTGCTCTCAAGGGCCCCGTCCGAGATACGTTGCAGCAGCTTCAAGTTCAAATCCCTTACACAGGAATGCTTGAGCGGAAAGTAGACTCGGTTCAAAGTGTTTCAGGTGCCCTGGGGTACCTCTGGTCACACGTAGACCATGTTTCGGTCGATTTTGACGCGTTTGCGGACAGTTTTGGGGGTCGTAACACACCTCGATTTCTGCCAGGCCTGCCCACGTATAAGTGGAATCACGGACACGAGTATTGGAGTGAATCAAACCTCTCCCGCAACTTGAGGCAGCGCAGCCACGCTGTTCACCTCCTGTTGGGTGACTTGAGCCCACACAGTTCCTCGCATCAGCTTTCGTGGAAACACATGCTGCGGCCGAAAGATATACCTTGGGTCCACGGCCACCGCATACAGGGGCAGACTGTCTTTCCAGCAGCCGGGTATGTTGCTACTGCCCTTGGAACTGTGCCGTTCTTGGCAAACGACCAGCAGGTGCGGCTGGTGGAGGTGGTCGGTCTCGTCATCCATCAGGCCATGGTATTCGACAATGACGACCAAGAGTCGGGGATTGAGGTGCGGTCTACTGTGAGCAGCATTGGCCGCGACGACCCGAAATGCATTACCGCAAGTTTTACCTATGAATCATGCACGGCGAGTGCTTCGTCGTTTCAAATGGTCGCAACCGGCAAGCTATTGATTCACCTTGGCGAGCCATCACGGGAGGTGCTGGAGGCGGCTAGATGTGATGACCGTAATCTCATACAGGTTCCCGCAGAAAGGTTCTACTCTTCCCTGAAGGACACTGGGTACGAATACGCCGACTCGTTCAGAGCAGCGACACATTTGAGGCGAAAGCTTGGTAAGGTCTCTGGCTCGCTAGCCACCACGCCGCTGGAGTCCAACGGGGAGATTCTCGCCGTTCACCCTGCCGTGTTGGATGCTGCCTTTCATTCTGTACTCTTGGCCTTCAGCTACCCGGGTGACGGTCAGCTCTGGTCACTACACCTGCCTACCCAAATCCGTCGCATTCGAGTCAACCCGACCTTGTGCGGAGCTTCATTAGTTGCCGCTGGCCAAGTGCCCTTTGAAGCTTCGATTCCCCTCGGCACCAAGCAACAGGGCATGTCTGGGTTTGAAGGAGACGTCGAAATTCACAGTCACGATGGGAATCACTGCGCAATTCAAGTTGAAGGACTCCACGTCGTACCGTTTACACCGGCAACCGCTGCTGATGACGAGCAACGGTTCTACGCCATGCGGTGGATCAAAGCAGAGCCAGACGCCGCCGCTTCTGGCCCGTGCCGGGCGACTGCGGAGGAACAGGAATTGGCGGATGTTCTAGAGCGCGGCAGCTTCTTTTATCTGCGCCAGCTGGAGAGTCAAATTGCCCCGGATTGCCCTGGCCGGTTGGACAAATATCACGCGGCCTACCTCGACTTTGCGGCCCACACTATACGAGAATGCGAACAAGGCAGGCACCAGTACGCGAAACCAGAATGGCTGAAGGATAACAAGGAGACCATCCTAGGCATGGCAGAGCGATTTTCGGACCGTCCCGAGGTCAAGGCTATGCACGCCGTTGGAGAGCACATGCACAGCGCGATTCGGGGCGAGACGACCATGTTGGAGCATTTGATCATGAACGGCATCCTGGACGAATATTACGCCAGAGCACTCAGTATGGCTCAAATGACACCAGTACTTGCCGACAGCGTATTGCAGGTCGTTCGCCGGTATCCATTTCTCAAGGTTTTGGAGGTTGGGGCCGGTACGGGAGGTGCAACGAGGCAGATCTTGCGACGCATCGGTAATGACTTTGCTTCGTATACATTTACGGATGTATCGCCCGGGTTTTTCGAGAATGCCCAATCGGAGTTCGCCCCCTACGAAGAGAGAATGACGTACAGCACTCTAGATCTCGAGGCCGACGTGGAAGACCAGGGCTTCAAACAGGGTGCCTACGACATTGTAGTAGCATCACTGGTCATTCACGCGACGAAGAATCTGGAAGAGACGCTCCGCCGGATCCGGCATCTCGTGAAGCCCGGAGGGTACCTGGTGGCGTGTGAAGTGACAAATGCGAATGTTATTCGCGTAAACTCCCTCTTTGGCTGCCTACCAGGTTGGTGGCAGGGCATGGAGGAGGGCCGGACTCTTGGTGCTGCCGTGAGCGGCGCAAAGTGGGATTCGCTTTTGCGAAACTCCGGCTTTTCTGGAATAGACAGTATTTCGTCGGTTCAAGACTCGATGGTGTTTCCGACTTCAGTGTTTGTCTCGCAGGCGGTCGATAGCTGGGTGGAATTCCTACGAGAGCCGCTTCTCCCGAGCCCGGTACTCCCTGCCGGGCAATCTTTCATTAAGAAGCTTTTCATCGTTGGGGGCATCACGTTCCAGGTTGCGCGCTTGATCGGAAATGTCCTCAAGCTTGTCCGACCATTCTGCGACGACGTCGTTCGTGTCCAAACCTTGGAAGGGCTGGATCAAGCTGGCTTCGGCACGGACTCTACTGTGCTTGTTCTTGAAGACGTGGAACATGCCGTGTTCAAGGACATTACAGCAGGTAGATTCGAGTCGCTGAAGAACTTGTTTGGTTCAGAAAAGACCGTCGTTTGGGTCACCCAAAACCGACGAACCGACAATCCTTTTGCCAGCATGCCAGTTGGCTTTGCGCGCTCAGCGCTGTGGGAGGTTCCTGAACTCCGCTGCCAGTTTCTCGACTTTGAGGGCAGCCCCGAGATAGATGCAAGAGTGCTGGCAGAGTCACTTCTGAGATTCCAAGCCACCTCATCTCCGCGGGCGCAAAACCAAGACGATGCATTATGGTCTGTCGAGTCCGAGGTGGTCGTCACCCGTGATGGGAGTCAACAGGTGCAGCGCATGGGACCAGTCCAAGACGCAAATGATCGATACAACTCAGCACGTCGACTGGTAACAAAGAATGTCAATCCCGAAAGCTGTCCGCTGGGAGTGTCCAAGACAGATGCCGGCTACATCGTGAACGAAGTGCGGGCTCCGGGAAGCAACGTGAAGGCCAGCCACACTGTTCACCTTCAAGTCAACTACTCTACCCTGCGAGCAGTTCGTACAATTGCTGGAGATGCGTTCCTGATCATCGGGAAATGCAGACGGACAGGCGTGCAATACATCGGTGTTACAGACTCTGTGGTTTCGCTCATGGATGTCCAGAAAGACAGGCTGCACACCGTTTCGATTTCGTCGCAATCTGAAGCACATCTTTTGAGATTTCTGGCGGCAAAATTGGTCATGGACAAGTCTCCAAAAGCTTTGAGAAAGGCCAAGTCTGTTGTGATAAACGACGCACCTCTAGAACTGGCCACGCTTCTCCGAAGCTTCGCAGCTGACGCGGGTATCAAATTGACTTTCACGACGACATCTGAACAGGACGCGGAACGGCAAGGTGGGATATACGTCCATCCTTATTCCCGACAGTCTCTATTGAAATCGCTGATGACCCCCGACACATCTACCTTTGTTGACTTGTCTCCTGCGGGAAGGCAATCGGCGCAGTCGAGATTGCTGTCATCTTGTCTACCACCCACTGCAGACACGATTGATGTGGAAAAAATGTTCCCGACATCAACTCGGGACCCTTACTGTGCCGCAGCCGACTCCGTTCTGTCGAAAGACTGGCTGCAAAGCGCAATGGATATGGTATCGGCAGGTGCCGATACCGTCACCGATCCGAAACTTGTCAAGATTGGGGACATCACTGAGAAGGGAGAATTCATCGATGCTCTTACAATCGTCGACTGGAATTCCGACAGCGTTCCAGTTACCGTCCAGCCCGTGCAGGCGTGTTTGAAGCCAGACAAAACCTACTGGTTGGTCGGCTTATCTGGAAGCCTGGGACTGTCAATAGCAGACTGGATGATGCAGCATGGCGCCACTACTTTGGTTATTAGCAGCAGAAATCCTAAAGTGGACGAGGCATGGCTAGATGCCGCAAGTCGTCGAGGCGCCACCGTGCGAACCATGAGCAGGTAAGTCGACTAGATGTCTAAATAAGTGGCATTAACTGACAGAGCAACCCAGCGACGTGGCCGATTTCGAATCATTGCGAACTACGTACGAGGAAGTGAAAAATACCCTGCCTCCGCTTGCTGGCGTTGCCCAAGGAGCAATGGTACTGAAAGACGTGGCAACTCGCGACATGACTCTGGAAGACTTGGTTCAGGTCCTCCGACCGAAAGTCGAGGGGAGTCTCAATCTGGACCGTCTCTTACGAAGCGAGCCGCTCGACTTTTGCGTCTTCTTTTCGTCCCTCGCCTCTGTTGCTGGTAACCTTGGCCAGGCAAATTACACCGCCGCGAATGCCTTTATGAGCGGTTTGGCTCAGCAACGACGCCAACGCGGACTCGCAGCTTCTGTAATGGACCTTGGACCTGTCCTAGGAAACGGCGTCATTACTCGGGAGTTGGGAGACGACCTGGGAGCTGCATTGGCTGCCAGAGGGCTCTTGGCGATTTCCGAATCCGACGTACATCAACTGTTTGCAGAGGCCATCAACTCAAGCCATCCGACTTGGGACGGCGATTGGCAAATCGCAACCGCGTTCAAGAAGCTTCCAGAGAGCGCGCCAAACAGGCCCCCATGGTACACCTATTCCCAATTCGCGTGCTTCGCGCTGCGTGAGGCTGTGCACGACGTCAACCCAAGCGGCGGACAGCGGGAAGGCGTTTCGATCAGTGACCAGCTCGCCAATGCAACATCACGAGACAATGTGGAGGAGATCATCACAGGTGAGTGCAGAATCTACTATTCAACTCGAGTCTTTTGTCATCTCGAGTTCCGCACCGGCCAAGACGACAAGCGAGCAGGGGTCTCACACTCATCACAGACGCGTTTACCAGAGAACTTCGCAAGATGCTCCGCCTCGGCGAGGACTACGCGATTACAACATCAATCCGCACCGATGAGCTTGGTCTCGACTCCCTCGTCGCCGTTCGAATCAGGTCTTGGTTTTTGAACAACTTCCAGGTCAACATCCCCGCTCTGAGGATTCTGATGGGTGCATCACTCAAAGATCTCATTCTGCAAGCCCTGGAAGGCGTACCTGAGGAGTTGACGCCAAACTTATCGTCAGCTCAGACCTCGGAGCCAGAGGCCGCTGGTCCTGTATCATTGTCGTCTCGGGAATCTGCCGATGGCGCCCCAGAACAAGAAGACAGCCCGCCGTCTACAAACTCGCAAACAGAGGTTTCGTCAGTACAGGATGAGCCGACTTCGTCGTCAGAGGACAGCGACCCGCAAATTGAAGCCAAAATGCAGCGAATCGGTCGCATTTCTTACACACAGTCAGTGTTCCTGTTTGTTCATGAGCTATTGGATGACAAGGCGACTCTGAACAATACAGGCATGCTTCATCTCGAGGGGGAAATCCGCGTCGGCGATCTGTCGCAAGCCGTCCGAGACATGGGGATCCGGCACGAAGCATTGCGAACTCGAATATACACCGTGGACGGTCAGATCGTACAAGGAGTTATGGACTCGCCAACACTAATGCTGGAGCGCAAACGGGTGTACGCCGTGGAGGATGTATTCAAGGAATATGGGATCCTCAAAACTCACGTCTTTGACCTGACCCGCGGCCAAACCAGCAGGGTACTCTTACTGTCGCGTTCCTCCCGAGATCACTACCTCTTAATCGCGTCTCATCACATAATCTTTGACAGAGTTAGCACTGGCATCTTCCTCAGCGACCTCGATCGCATGTATAGTGGACAGTCGGCTCTCGCAGACCCTCTCCAATATTTGGATTACTCGAGTTCGCAATACGAGGAGTACCAGTCGGGAAACTGGAAACCAAGCATCGACTTCTGGCGCAGCGAGTTTTGCACAATTCCTGAGCTTTTGCCTCTGCACCGTAGTCGTATCGATGAACGTCGCCCGCTGGACCGCTATGCGTCCCATGTCGTGGACTTCCGGATCGATCACCAGATGTCCGATGAGATCCGAGGATTGGCAAGGACCCAACGAGCAACTACATTCCACCTCTATCTCGCGGCGTTCAAGGTGCTGCTGTATCGTTTCCTTGGGACCACAGACGTCTGCATAGGCATCGCCGACAGCTGCCGCAGAGACGAGCACATGTTGACTGGCATCGGCCCCTTCCTGAACATGCTCCCACTGAGAATGAGTGCGGCCGCGGGACAGCGCATCAGCGACAGCATAGCAGAGGCTCGCCAAAAGAGTTTGCTGACACTCGCCAATGCCTTGCCGTTGGAGGTCATCCTGAACGAACTGCAGGTGGTTCGGGAGTCGACTCATACCCCCCTGGCTCAAGTGTTTCTGAACTATGCCGAAGCCAGCGTGGAAGAAGGCCAGTCTTTACTAGGCTGCCAGATGGAAGTTGTGAGCGAAGACCAAGCAGAGTTGCCGTACGACATGGCCTTCACCGTCATTAATTACACCAGCGGCCACGTGCGCATCATTCTGAACGTCCAGGCGTCGCTGTACACGGAGCAGGATGCAAATCTGATAGCCCACGGATATGAGGATATTCTGAGGGAATTCGTGGCAGATCCTCATCTTTCCGTTGGTGATGAGTGGAATTTTCGAGAGGGCGACCTTCACAAGGCATTGGCCGTTGGCCAGGGTAAGCACCTCCTTAATCATTGCATCATCTCAAGCCTGCTTAGCTAAAATCTTCAAAGGGCCACTGTTCAACCCAACGTGGCCCCGGACCACGGTGCATCGATTTGAGGAGATTGTCTCTTCGAGTGCGGACCGGGTTGCCGTTGCAGACAGCGACGGCAACTCGCTGACTTACGGAGAAGTCTCGAGACGTGCCGACCAGCTCGCTTCTGAATTGCTACAAAGAGGCGTGAGACCGGGCGACAGGGTGGCCGTCTTGCAGAGCCCGACGGTTGGCTGGGTCGTGTCGGTCGTTGCAATACTGAAAATTGGCGCCGTGTATGTTCCCCTGGACGTGGCAACGCCGGTGTCGCGCCTTGAAACCATGTGTGCCGACTGCCATCCCGCGGCTATTCTGGTTCACGGAAACACCATGGACCGGGGAAAAGCTTTGGCGTGTTCCAACGGCATTGTCATCATCGACGCGAACGAGTTGCCGGACAAGGAGCCTCAAGAGGCCGTCCCCATCCTCGCCGAACCAGAAGCGGCCGCCATGGTTCTTTACACAAGCGGGTCAACTGGGAAGCCGAAAGGAGTCGTTCTCCAACACGCCAGTTTGGCCCATGAGTTTGAACACTGTTCCGTCGTGTATGGACTGGAACAGCACGACGTTGTATTACAGCAGAGCGCATGGTGCTTCGACCTGTCGGTAACTCAAATTTTCTTGGCCTTGGGTGTGGGTGCCAAGTTGCAAATAACGAGCGACACCATGCGGCCAGATCCAGAGGTCATGGCACGAACCATTGTACAATGCGGCGTCACTGCGACGTATGCCACGCCTACTGAATACAAGAGCTGGTTGTCCCAGGACAACCAGAGACTTCTCGGCAGCTCGTCTTGGAAACTTGCCTTGGTCGCCGGCGAGCCCGTCACCAAGGACTTGCTTCAGCTCTTCCGCGGCGTAAATCGTCCTGCTCTGCGCCTGTTTAACGTCTACGGGCCAACAGAGACAACGTGTGGCTCGACCAAGAAGGAGCTGCAGTACCAAGATGCCGAATCGTACCAGTCGGCCGCCATTCCTGTTGGGCGGGCTTCCGTGAACGAAGCCTTTTACGTGTTGGACTCGAGGCAAAATCTGCAACCGATCGGGCAAGTTGGGGAAGTTGCCATTGGCGGAGTGGGTGTTGCGATGGGATACTTCAACGATGCAGGGTTGACTCGGGGGTCCTTCGTACCGAATCCTTTCGCTACCGAGGAGCACATCAGGCGAGGCTGGACTACCATGTACCGAACTGGCGACGTGGGATATCTGACTTCTGACGGCACGCTGGTCCTCAAAGGACGCGTTGCAGGCGACACCGAGATCAAACTGAACGGAGTTCGCGTGAACCTGGCTGATATTGAGCAGGCCGTCATCCAGACTTCAGGGGGCGTGCTTTCTGATGCGGTGGCCAGCGCGAGGTCAACGTCCACGTCAGAAACCACGGCTCAGTTTGTGGTGGTGCACGTGGTGTTTTCGTCGACAGGCTCAACCACCGACAACAAGACAAGCCACATCCAGAGCCTGCTGAGGAATCTGCCGCTGCCCCGCGCAGTGCGGCCATCGGCAATAATCCCAGTCGACAGGATCCCTCGCACATTGTCCGGCAAGGTCGACAGGCTGACGGTTTCCGCCCTGCCTCTTCCGTCGCTGAGCCACGCCGTCCGTGAGACTGGCAAGCCGCCAGCATTGTCGGAAAACGAGATGCTCCTTGGAGAGCTCTGGAGACAGGTGCTTCCCGAGGAGCTGGTGCTCTTGAACAAGATGGAATCCGATGCGGATTTCTTCGCGGTGGGAGGCAGCTCCCTGCTCCTCATTGAGCTGCGGCATAAGATGAAACAGCAACTTGATATATCTGTCCCGCTTCTGCAGCTCTTCCAACAGAGCACACTGCGGTCCATGGCGCGGCTGCTCGGCAGTGAAGAAGAAGATGGTGCACAGAGATCCGAACACATCGACTGGGACGCGGAGACGAGCATGCCTCACGATCCGGTCGACGCCCGCCAAGGCCAGGGATCACCACGCGGTTTGCAGCCGGTGCCTCCTAGGGTCGTCGTACTCACTGGCGCCACCGGTTTCCTCGGTCGACATCTCCTGCACCGCTTATCCGCCCAGGAGCACGTCGACAAGATCATTTGCATAGCAACAAGAAACCTGCAAGCCCGAGAGGACAAGGCGCCCGCGGCCCAGTCAAAGGTGGAACATCACCAAGGCGACCTGAGGCTTCCCAGGCTAGGACTGGACGAGCACACGGCACGCCGGATATTCCGAGAGGCCGGCGTGGTCATCCACAACGCGGCAGACGTGTCCCACCTCAAGACGTACGCGTCTCTGCGCCGGGCCAACGTGTGGTCGACGCAGGAGCTCGTCAGGATGTGTCTTCCAAGAAGGCTGCCGCTGCACTACATATCGACCGCCGGGGTGGCAATGTACACGGCGTCGGAGGCGATGCCGCAGGTCTCGGCACGCCCTTGCCCGCCGCCGACCGACGGCCGCTACGGCTACGTGGCGTCCAAATGGGCCAGCGAGGTGGTGCTCGAAAACGCCCACGCTCAGCACGGCCTGCCCGTGCACATCCACCGGCCGTCAAGCATCATCCGGCCGGAGCAGGACGTTGCGGGCGGCGGCGCCGCGGCGGACGTGGTGCAGAACATGCTCGACTACTCCCGGCGCATACGTGCCGTGCCGGCCGCGCTGTCGCGGCTACCCGGATCCGTGGACCTCGTCTACCCGGAGACCGTGAGCGCAAGGGTCGTCCAGGCGGCGCTGCGGCGCGGGCCCGGAGCCGAAGACGGCCCCGTCACGTACATCCACGAGTCGGGGGACGTGGAGGTGCGCCTCGCCGACATCCGCGGCCATGTGGCGAGCGCCGGGGGGGAGCACGTGGACGTGGAGGAGCTACCGTTGGAGGACTGGATCCTGCGCGCACAACAAGCCGGCATGTCGGAGTGCATGGCGGCTGTCCTGCGCGGGATAGGAACAGGGGCCGGCGAGACGCTCAAGTTCCCAAGGCTTCTACGAGACTGACTGGAGAATGACGTGTAAGGCGAGCGCGAGACAAGGACGGGGCACAGCTTGAAGACAAGCACCGGGCGAGGAAGACCGAGACATGGACAAGACACGCCGCACCCGGGACGACTCCGTACTTGCCCATCCTCGACATGTCTGTCAGGTCTGGCCGGGTGCGAGACGGCCAGCCACGGGGCCAGAGACAGCTTCACTGTAAAGCTGGCGAGTTTGTTGGCTGTCTGGAGCATGCAGTAGTTAGTTATGATACAGTAACACGATCGCGTCTGGCGTCACGTGACGCGATGCCGTATGGCTGTCTCGGCAAAGCACGCACGCCCCAATCAGACAAGACAATCTGAGCCTGAGGGTGTTGCGGTGTTGCCGTGACTGTCGTTTACTTGGTCGTCGTTTTCGCGTCGTCGTTTTCGTCGTCGTCGTCGTCGTCGTTTTCGTCGTCGTCGTCGTCGTCGTTTTCGTCGTCGTCGTCGTCGTCGTGACGGCAGTTGAAGTCGACGACGACGGCTCTCCTTGGCCTGTACGGAGTAGTATTTCAAGGTCAACCGGTGGAATCACGACGCTGGGCGTGATTGCCACGGCGGAAACCGGCACCGTGGACCGGTTGGATGGCGACTCGACTTACAGGTCCCGCCGGTGTCGGACACGACTCGTCACGTCAGGTGTCAGGTGGCGTCGCATCGTTGCCTCGCGCGGTCCACGTACACGCACTCCGTACACTCGCTGCTCGTCGAGCCGAGTCCGTATCACGTCCTGTGCCTGTGCCGCCGCCCACCCTGCAGCCGAGCGAGCTTTCGTACCTGTGCGCTGTTTCTTGTCTGTCGTGCAAGTCCAGACAGTCAGTCACTCGTCAGTGCGTCCGTCACCTCGGATTCCTTCTCCCTTTCGTGGCTGCACCAAAAGAATCCGCTTGTGCCGGTTTGCAGAAAACTGGCTTCAGTCGCATGCGCAATGACACCCACCGCACACGCGCCCAAGGTGCAGACTTCAAGAGGCCTGCCATTCGGCCATACTCAATTCTTTAGCTAATGAGCGTCTTGGTCAACACGGACCCAGTTGCAAACCCTGCCAACGCCGATAATTCAGGACTGCACAACTAAGCAGATATACTTGGTCTCGGTAAATCTCAACACACGTCCCTTCCTCCCGCCTTTGGGCCCGTTACGATAACAAGCCATCTCGTCGACGCGCCTGCCAGTCCCAAAATGTACAACTGGCGAGCAAACTTTGCTACGCTTCACAGACAGCAATTGGTGCTCGAGTGCATGGATAAAGGAATATTGACAGTGCTTGACTTGCGGGAAAGCCCAAACTCCAAGTGCCATGCTTTCTTCATCAAAAAGCACACCCAACGCGTCTTCTCGGCAACACTTTCGTAAAAACATCCCGAACCGTCGGGTTCGGATAACTTGTTGACAACACAGTCCATTTCATGGACCGAGAAAAGACGACCACACAAGTCAGAGCAAAGGCATGCAAAGTTAAACAGCCGCACAGCCAAAACCACATCAAATATAAAAGCATACCTCGTCGAGTTTCTCTCAAATCGCAAACTGGCAAGAAAAAAAAAGTGAAAAAATTAAAAAGGACCAAACGCCATTTCACGTATATACGTAGTCGCGGGAGGGCCTGCCGTAGGTGCTGTAGGAGACGTCCTCATACCCGTACGACTTGGCCGTCTTGACTTTGGGAAAGTTGGCGCCGCCCGAGTTGCTGTAACTGGTTTCACGACCCGGCATTGAAGGTCGGCTATCCTGGGAGCGATAATAGCTGGCGTACGGCTCCACAATGTCGTGGTCTAGGCGGCGAGTGTACGCACCCTCCAGCGTGCTGCGACCTCCGTCAACCCGGTAACGAGATACATTTTCAGTTCTCATCTGTTCTGGGGAGTGATGTTGTCTTCTGCTTCGATGTTTTCTATCTCGCCGCCTGAGGTAATCCTCGTCGTCTGTATCTAAATCGACCTGAGGCTGCATGCGTGATCGATCGCGACCACGTGGGTGATCGGGCGTTTCAAATACGTTGAATGTCTTGGACCTTGACAGCTCGGGTGGCGATCGAGAGTACGACACGGATTCGTGCGGCATCGTCTTTGTTCGGGGAAGATCGCTCCTCGGTGGCGTGCTAGACGAGAAGAATGAAGCGGCATGGCGGGCCGACGGAGAAGAGCCAATGATGGGAGGGTCGTCCATCGCATCTCGATGCGACCGTTCCCTGGAGAGCATGGGTTCATCCACGGAACCTCGGCGAGGCTTCGCAGACGACCGGCGCACATCTTCTTCGACGGGAGCAGCAAAAGGGCTAGATTGGCCGTGGATAGGGGGCGGTGTCGGCGCCGGCGGCTGGACTGACCGGATATGATAGGTGGTAGCTGACCGTTGCAGACCCGGGGAGCTTTTAGCCTTGGACGCTTGAATATATGAAGTCGCATATTCTTCCTTTGCGGTCCAGGATCGCTGGGGTTTCGGGGGCCGGACGTCTTCTCTACCCGATGAGCGATCTCGCTTCTCCTCGTATTTCCTGGAACTGCTAGACTTCTTCCGCTCAGACCTAACGGGCGGTTCCTCGTCGAATGGCTCAATGTAGGGTTTTGCGTGTCGCTTCTTTTCCTCGGATTGTCGTTTCATGTCCTTGGCCATTTGCTTCTCCCTTGCTCGCTTCTCGGCCCGTCGTTGTTCCTTGGCATCCTTCTCGGCTCTCTTGATAGCGTCTTCTTGCTGTCGCCGACGCTCTCGCTCCCGTTCTCCCCGTTCACGATCCTTATAGGATTTTCGTTCTGTCGACTTCTCGAAGCTTGCTTCACGACGGGATGAGTACCGAGGCGCCGCATCGAAAACACGAGAGCCACGACCCAAGTCTTCATCCGAAAAAGCATGGTATGAGTACTTGACACCTGGTGAGCTCGCACTGGCCTTGAAGGGCGAAGCCCGCGATTCGGTACCGCGAGCTTCATCTGGACCGGCATATCTTGTGGCTCGGGGAGTCGAAATGTTGGCCCTGTTCTGGAACTGCTTACGCAACTCTTCGAGCTTAACCTTGTCGTCGTATTTTTGCCGCTCACGATCGTCAGTGAGCAACTCGTATGCCTGCTGTACTTGTTGAAACTCGGCCTGCTTTTCAAGCTTCAGGGCAGGGTCTTGGACCTTGTCTGGATGGCATTTCAGGACTAGCTTCCGATGTGCGGCTCGGATCTCCGCAGTCTGCGCATCTCTAGAAACACCAAGGATCTTGTACGGATCAGGTGGCAGAGGACTCATGGCGATGGGTCAATACGATGTGTGATTCTGTAGGAGCGGGCCTTGCAAAATCGCCAAGTTGCGCTTTATCGGGAGGTTCGCCGTGATGACATCGAAGGTCCAGCTCTTTTGGGTACGAGCCGTGGGTATATATAGGCCGCTTTGGTTTGCGCTGGCAGACAGTCTCACGATAGGCGTGAATTCCGTTCAGTTGAAAGATTGGCCCGTACAGACAGACGGTGACATCTGTTCAGTAGGACAGGCCAGCGGTCTTTGCGATGCGAATGTAGGAAGCACGAATGATGCGAGGAAGTGCTTTGCCGACTCTCAAACGTGAGAATCCGACAATGACCAGTGCCACGGCCTTGTGTTTGTTGCACGACAGTGCCACAACCGGAGAAGTCTGGAGTGGTTGGTGTTCGAGTCGACACCACAGATGAAGGTGATGAGGTCACGGGCAGCCAAGGGGGGTTCGGCCGTTGTGATTCGCCAGAGCGCCAGTGGACGGTATGGGGGGGAGGAGTGACAGGGCCTGTTCAGTGGATGGCCAGCAGGTGGTCGGTCCACTTTGTAAAGTGGGATAGTTGACAGGGCCGATCTCAGTGCTCAGCTGATGCAGGTGGATGAGACCGTAGAAGGAGGAGGCCGTCGACTCTTTGCTTTGATGGAAATATGTGTATTTCAAGTTCAAATCGTACGGCTATTCCAAAGGGCGCAATCGTATTGCGGCCAGTGACGTGTTGGGGCGAAAATGGAAGCCAGGCTCGTCTGCAATTGAGTCTGAAATCCTGTCTCTATATGTTGCGGCGTCGGACTCTGTCGGAGAAGGCGACAGAAGGAATGACAAAGGCAGTCAGAAGCGAAGTGAGTCCTGGACATCGACTGCATCAATGATTGGCCCGCAAAGAGAGGGATAAACAGAAATGGGACAGACGCCAGTCCGTTGATTCCCGCATTGTCTTTCTGACACAAATAGCCTCACACCACATGTTTGGGACCGGAGCACTCACCTAAAGAAATTCACTCACACATCAGCCAACAGACAGGGAGTGAGACTGCTGACAGAACTGAATAGTCGTGGTACGTACTCCGTGCTCCGTAGCACACTTGGCTTCCCGTCGTCGTTCTAGGTGCCGGAAGTGGCGCGGGCGGTCCGAGAAAGCGGAGAGGGGTACGAGGGTATTGGTGGCAAGACGCGTGGCTGCAGATGTACCAGGCCTGTACCCCTGAAGGCTGTCCGTGGTGGTGGTGCGGGCTAGAGTTACTGGGCAGAACCGAGGGGCGCCTTGCTGTGGAAGGCTAGGTGAGTTGGGACAAGAATTGAGGAACGTAATTGACAATATGGCGCGATTCCCGTCCTGATAGTGCGGTCTCTGGGGGCAGTGACGTGAGTTGCCGCTCAATGGAACGGAAAGACGAGATGATTACCAGATTGGGTCTTCCGAGCCAAGTGGAATAATCTGGGAATGAACGGCCTGCCTGGCAATGTCGTGGGGTCTGTTGTCTAAGCCACACACAAAGTGACAGAGGGGTAGTTCAGCGAAGCGAGGAGACCGAAGCAGGGTGAAGGACAATCAGGGCAAATGTTGGGACTCGATTGCCGCCGAGGCTTGGAAAGAAGGTACAGGCAGTGAGGCCTGGAGGGCACAACGTGCGTGGGTGGCTGGTGGAAGGATGGCGACAATTGGCAGTCCAAGCCAGGGACAGTGCCACACGCGATGGTGGTGTGTTATGTTGGTCAACTGGTGTGTTGGCGTTGGCGTCCTAGCGTGTCGGCTTGGCGGAGATGGTGGTGTCGAGTCGAACGCAAGTGGCCGATACGACCCAAAAACAAGAATCCAATCGAAAGCGAGCCTTGCGTGTTAGAGCGGATCAGCGAAGCATCCCAGGCTTGTCCAACAAGCTACGCAGTTGATGGCGCCAGACGAGGCGAGTATGGCAGAGAAGATGCTGAAGAAATGCGAGCACGATGCTGATGCCAGTTGTTTATTTTGCCAGATATTGCGTCTTAAAAAGGCCGCCTGTGATTGTCCTGGCGACGGAGCGAGCTGCACGCAGGGACAAGCGGTGAGAGTATGGGGAAACGGAGTCGACAACGAAGCGGCCGAGGACGACTGTCTCTCCACAGATGGTGTGGTTATTCTTCTGGTGGGGCCAGAGCAAGATCGCGGTGAACTGGTCCAAGCGCGCGGGCAAAGCGAGAGAATCGAGAGTATCGAGAGGGGAATTTCAAGGTGATGGCAAAGGGGACATGGACATGTCAAGTGGTCGGGTGTTGAAAAGAGTGTATTCGGGGGAGGCAAGGAGGAGAAACAAGAGGTCAAGGGCGGATGAGCAGGGACTGGCAGAAAGAGGCCTTCACACAATTAGGCTGAGAAGCTTCAATGAGATGGGAAGGCACGAACGACCTCGCCTCGCGGTCGTACGAGACAAGAAACGGAAGGAACCCCGAGCCCCTCGATTTGATCTGTAGCCCTCGAGTGGTCGAATGGGTACGGAGTTCACGCACAAAACCAGACGCCGTTTGACTGACTGACATGTCAACGCCAGACACATCATGCTCCGCCAACAAACGCACCGCACTCATGCCATCACTCCCACTCTTCCCAAGTCAGCCTCGCAAAAGATAGGGCAAGCCAAGTAGACCAGGTCAGGCCAAACACCTGTTGTTTTGCCGGCCGCTACCCGCGCAGTTCGCCGTTGAACCTGAACCAGTCAGTTTGCTAAGAGTGGGCATCGACGTGGACGGATAGATCACTTGATGTACCGAGCAGTGCGTATGTGTATTGCGGCGTCGACTCCCTACTCGATACGGAGTAGAGGAACAGAATACCACGCAAGCACGTCCCGACCCGCCCCTGGCAGCAACGAGACTCGCTATAAGACATCACCTGGTATGCCCACAAGTCGTCACGGGAGGCGCTTCCTGCAATGCCCTCCCGCTCGGGTTGGCGCCTCTCAAGCAGCATCTGCGCGATGCACAATGACGGCTAGGTTGATGAGCCTATCATCGGATGGGGTGCCTGGGCCGACGCCGCTTTTACAAGAGAGTCCCTCTCCAAAACGTTTGGTCGCACACCATTGCTGACCACCCGCACAGCCTACAGGAGTACCAACCTTATCTGACAGACCCCAAACTGCTGTGACGCAAGACTCAAGAGTCAAGACAACCTAGCAATATGGGTCCGTAGAAAGTTTCAGCATGTCTACTCCGTACTAGGATGATCAAATTTACGAAACCAAATGGCTGTTGCTTCTTGTCTTTCTGCAACAAGCCAAAATCACGTGTGCCATCGTTGTGAGCAGTTCATGAATGGCCGACCTTTGTATAATAAGCCGAACTAGTACCTCGGTGCTACTCACCACATCGGACAATTGGCACGAGTCCAACACCTACACTTCCAGAACTGAGCTTGTTCCCGAGAGTCCTGGACATGTATGTTGAGATACGCCAGCAGTGACCCTGTTTCTCGACTATAAATGCACAATAGACCTGGACGTAGCTCAGACTCTTCTTCAGTCACCAAGAACGAGCCACAATTGCACTTCAGAACCTGATGGTGCCAAACAAGGGCTCTCGCTCGGCGCGGCCGGCTACACTTACGTCGGAGGACAACACAGTCCGTCAGCTGTAGAGCGTGGCCAAATGGCTTAGAAAAATACAGCAATGATGAAACTTTTCAGCGGGATCCCCCATCACAGCTATCAAATAGTTAGACTGGACAGATCACTCGCCACTAAGAGCTGGGCGTACTACCGCAGTCGTTGATAAGACGACAAGGTAGATTCATGCCAACCAGCTCCGGGTCAGGGCGGAATCTCATCGGCTACAAAGGAGGACCGCAGTCGCAGACCAAGACACATAAATGCATGCACGAAACATACGGAGTTCTCATCCTTCCATGTTCTGCATGTAAAATGTAAAAGAAAAAAAAAAAAAAAAAAAAAGGTATAAATGCTTCATTAATAACCCCAGCGAGTTTAGGTTCAAGATGGTACGGCGCAATGTGAGCATAGACTCGCTGCAGGGCTCAAGATGATACATACAACGACAGCTCTTTTGTACCAGTCAGCCAGGCCAGTCTACCACTGCGCCTGCGCAACTTCTAAACATGAATGACCAGCCGGATACATACCGAGACTGTACGGATACCGTAGTTGTAACTAACACCGGTAGTTATTCATTACGCAGAGGCTTTGGTCCATGCCGGCCTTCACTCCCATTGACGTATTGGTCATTTCTTCCGGGCCACGGTTTTGGCCGAAGAAATCCTTTGAGGAGGAAGAACAGGAGGAAAGCCGGGGAACACTTTGAAAAACAAGCCCTGGGGAGGCTTTTCGCAGAATATCCAAAGCGCCGTAAAAAGAAGCCTTGATACCGAACGACTATGGTTTTTACAGAACAATGCAGCCGCTCTTCTCGCGTAAACCCTTCGGAAGCTGGATGTCATAACAATGACGACCGTCTCAAATGCATTTTCGCGACGAGCTTGAATTTGCAGAGGCTTTGGATACGGCCACGACAAACCACTGCGCAATGTCAAGTTTCAGGCGCGAGGTCCAATATGAGGCTCACGAGATGTGTAAACAGGAGCCAGCGGCTACAAGACAGGCCTTATCCGCATGACGACCCGCAGGTACTGACTCGAATACACGAGACTTCTAGTCGGACGTATCACCAGTCGCTTACTACGGCCTACGAGCTCCTAGCAAGATGGATGTCGGCACGAGACGGAAGTAGGGCAGGCCGCAGGCTCGGATCAGCCTCCTGCCACGGATTTCATCCAATGTCCAATCGCTCGCCCTGTGGGAACTAGCTGTACAAAGACTGCCGAGCACAGACAAGGAATGACGGCCGATGGCAGTTACAGCTTACCAGGCAGGTCGACCTTCTCTCCGGCGTTGAACCTGTCACGTAGCACCGGGCGCCTCGGCTCAGATGCAGTCCAGCTCGGAGAGACCACTGCAAAACATCTCAAGCACAATTGCGTTGCCTTGGCTGACTATAACAGTCCTGGATGATGCCAGGACCGCTGGGTGCAACACGGGCGGATCGGCTTGTAAGACAAGTTTTGGCCAAGACCCACGGTATACACGTACCTGAGGGTATGCATGAGCAACCAGTGGAGCCGCAAACAACGGGTTCTAGCGTCTTGATGCTAGGACGGGATGACGATACAGCGGCCTTGTTGTCGAACATTGTCAGGACGGAGAAAGACGGAGAAAGACGGATTGGCGATACGTGGAACCAGCCCACTGCCCAGATCCATCGGTCAGTTTATGAGAAATGAAACAAAAAAAAAAGGACTCGTGATATCATGGGGTCCTTCTCGTCATTCAGCTTCAGCAAGATGGCTCTTTGGGATGAAACACGGCCCATCAAGGGCTCGGAGTGCGCCTGTTTTTTGCCGGCTCCGCAGGGTGCAGGCATGACCCCAGGACGACGACATGAGGAGATGGCAGAGGGTCGGCAAATGCAAAAGCGCCTAGTTACTTCGTACTCTGTACTTGCTGCTTGAATACCAAGGTAGGTAGTTTACACTCCGTAAATACTTGAGTAGCTTGTTGGCCTGCACACAACTGCTTCAGGTCCTATATTGCGTCAAAGTTGCGAGGCGGGCGCGGTACTCAGTACTCAGTAGTTACTCGGTACGGAGTATGCAGTCCGTTGCCAGACCGTTGCACGCCTTGCCCTTTTCCAGGATGTCGCCCCTTGAACCTTGAGCCATCGGCGAAGCTGCCCAACCTTGTCGACACATCACACTGCGCGTGCCAGGGAGCGCAGAGAGCTCTGCTCTGCTCTGCTTTGCTTTGCTTTGCTTTCCCCGCCATCGCATGGTCTGGGCAATCCATTCGTCCGATATTGGGTGCGCCGAAGACCTCGTTGTGGGCGGGCGGCGACGGCGATGGGTCCGGGAGAGAGGCGCTTGGCTGGCGATGAGGCGTGCCATCGGCGCGGCCAAGATGCAAGAACCAAGAAAGCAGGAAGCCTCGCGATGAGAGCCAACGTGTCGCGCCATGGCTGGGCCTGTCGCCCCAACACACGTCATGGCATGGCATGGATACTTTGGCTGGGCGCGTTGGCTGGGCGCATGTGGCCCAAGTACGTACGGACGAGTCCTGTTGGAAGTCGATGCGTGCGTACAGAGTAGATGCACGGAGAACTCGGTACTCGGTAGACAAGTGTCTCGCCATGGCCCATGGCGATGCGGGGTGGGCGTGGCCGCCACGCCGCATCCGCGACCACACGGAGACGCAGGATGAAGGATGAAGGGCCTGTTGCCCTCGAGTCTCGGGCAGAAAAGGCGCGATGAAAGCCCAGGCACCGTCTGCTGCAACTCGTCCATGTTGTTGGCTCGCTCGCTCCCGGCCAAGTCTCCCACCGTCCATGGATGCCAAGTCGGTCAAGTAAAAGTTGTCCAGACGGTCTTGCCAACAGGCAGGCCGGTCGTTGGAAGAGTCGGCGGGACTGATTGGGTCTTGGCCTTGGTCTGGTCTGGTGATGGTGGATGAGGTCGAACAGAGACCGTGCGGCGCCTCGGGGAACTGACACTGTATGTACTGTGCTCTGTACCTTGTGCGACATGGCACAGGGACCATGGACACGTATTCAAGGGAGTCACCGGATGCGACGGGCTACAGTGTATCACGTCTTGTAGGTTGGCCGTGATGGACCATTTATTCAATGCGCCGAGCATTCTACGTCGAGGGCATTCATGGCCTCTTGCGACTCGAGCTCACGGATCTTGACCGAGCCTGTGTAGACGATTACCCGATTCTGAGCAACAATAAATGTCGTGGAAGGAACCTCATCATGTGTGCTTCAATCCTGCTGCACAGCGGCCGTGGCCAGACACCGACAGACAAACAAGCAAAGAGCCGAGCACTTGTTTAAAATTCCTGCCCTGTTTCCACGGTACCAGAGTGTACGAACAACACAATGAGACTTGAAACTTGGTTCCTCATTACCCTCCTAAGGGCTGCTAGTACAGTTTGGTCGCACCCAACTTCCGAATCCGGTGGACAGCCCGGGAAGGATGGTAAGTTACATATGTCTTGTTCCTTGCATTTATAATACAATAGCCAAGCGCTAATGGCCGTCGTTCAGAAGAGATCAGTGATGCTCGGCGAGAGGCACTAGGTATCAATCCGCGGCGCTATGGGCTTGCAGAACCCCTGCCCCTGGTGACGAACAGAGCGTGGGGCAGAGACGCGGCGAGCTCGGAGTTTGCACCTGCTGTCAAGCTTGGTGCTGGAGGGCAGGCCAGCATCGGAAGCTCCATTACCCCAGCAACTCGGTGGCCGTCCACATGACGCTCGGCTTCGGCGAGACGTTCGTCTACCTCAATCTCCTGTACTACGTGAGGTAAGAATCCCCTTCCCACAGCGGTAGCGGTCGACGGGGCTCCCAACTTGCCGCCGCCGCCCCTGCTTACGCCTTGTCAGCACCCTCATGCTTCACCGCGAGTACTTCCCCTTCCTGCCGACCCCGGAGTCGGAGCCACGGGGTCCAGTCGACCAGCCCATGCTGGGGGCGCCCGCCCCCGAGGGCTGGTGGGACGACAGCTCCCGACTCCTCTTCGGCGCGGCAGAGCACATCGCCGCCATTCTACACGAGGCCTCCGAGTGTGGCGTGCATCTCATGACGCCCTTTGCCGGGTTCTGCGCATTCTCAGCCGGCTACCTCAACCTCTACGTGGCGAAATACCCCCGAATGAACCTGGGCCGCAGCCCGCGAGCAAGCGACTGTCTCAAAATGTGTCTCGACTACCTGGAAAAGTTTCGACTTGTCTGGAAAATCGCCGACGGATGGGTAAGCCGCCCGCAAGCATGACACGACCGTGGCCACCGTTGCGCTAACATTGAGAGGGCGGCACGCGCAAGATCAAAACGATACACCATGCATCCGTGCTCTACGAGCGAGCAACCGAGGACCGGACACGATACCAGGGGCGCACACGAGCAGACTTTGATACTCTACACCAGTCTGTCCACGAGTTCCGTGTCGTGGATAGATCCGACGCGCATACTCGGGAGATTCGGGGCGCGGAGCGGCCCTCGGCGCAGGCGACTTGGCCGGTTCAAGGGCACGAGCACGAGCACGAGCACGAGCACGAGCTCGACACTAATACCTTGTTGAACCAGCTTTTCGCGGAAGTCAGCAATAACCTCGACGAGCAGGGGGCCTGGTCTCAATGGTGGCCGGCGATTGATCAGGTGGATCTTTAATGAGCTGCGTAATTACATCCGGGGTTTTTTTTTTCGTTGAAGCTTCCAATGAATGAGTGACGACCTTTGATTTTTTTGATTTTTTTTTTAAAAAGGGCTGTAATATCTGGTTTTCTATACATGTCCTATTTTTATTTCCCGGTCTAGAAAAACAGTCAACAGATAATGCACCTCTTCATATGGCTCCCCTCCCGTCACCGCCAACAAATGCATACCTGTCGCGTCAACCATTCGCCGTTTCTCCTTCCAATCACGCCTTTGCAAAGACCTTTCTCGAGTTCATCAGGCGAACAGCAAGCATAAAGAGCATGCCGACAAAAGGCGCCACAACCACGCCAAGAGGACGTTTTTTGAAGCAGCTAAAAAGGCACGTAAATGGCGTCTGGATTCTGTACTAGATCTACTAGAAATTTGGGACGAGAAGGGTGTACATTATAGGCGAAGAGGTTAATAGCGTTATTAGGTTGAAAATTGGCCCGCCTTGGTGTCCGGCCCGCCTTGCTGTCGAGCACCACCTTTGGTGGTGAGGGCTTTTGCTAGCCGAACCACATAAAGTGGGGCGGGCACGATTATATGCAGCTGAGGACAACTGGCGGGAAGTCTACCCCGCCAACACTGGCGACTTTATTCGCCTTCAGATGCAACCAACGGGTATTATCGCTCTTTATTCAGATGAAGAGAAGGCTGACTTCACGGCCTTTGAAGAGAAGGGATTGAAGCCATCCGAAATTCCACTCGCGGTGATGCGCGTTGAGGGAAACTCGCCGACGCCGGATCAGCACTCAGTTTTTAACGCATTCTTTGCGGACAATGCCCACGGCCTGATTATGGCCAGTCCCCATCCCGACACATTGTCCACAATTGCGGTTCTTTATCTCGGACTGATGATCGAAAACGGCGTGGTTAAAGAGGTGACAGGTAATGTCACATACAACGTCTTGGAAAGCATTTTGCCCGCCGTTCAACGCTCGGACCAGGAGCTCAGAAAGGCGATTCGTGCCGTGCTTGAGGAAGCAGGTCCCGGTCTGCTGCAAAAACCTGGAAATGCAACATCTCCAAGTCCACACGGGCAAGCAGCGGAAACGAAAGCGCCACTCGCGCAAGGACCCGGAGAGGCGGCAGCAACAGACGCGCCAGGACCTGGAGACAAAAAGGTGGCAGCAGCACGCAGGCAAGCGCCTGGAGAGTGGCAAGCATCCGGACAGCCAAAGGCTGAAGACGACCGGCAAGGAGCTATGCGGCCGTAAGCTGAAGACTGGCAAGACCTGAAGAGTGGGCAGGAAGCTGAAAATTGAAATTGAAGCACTTTCCGGCCAGCCCTGAAATTGGTTCCAATGGGGCAAGGACTCGTCTGATGGCTTTGCTTCCAGTCATGGTAAAAGTCACAACCGAGGGCTTACACAACGTGGCAGAAGGTGAGCAACTTCGCCTACCACTCGTTCTACTCTTGTCACGCCACCAATGTCAACGTGGACCTTGAGACAAAACCAGCTATCAACTAGCTGGGCAACCGAGTTTGTATCCATTCACTACTTGTTGTTTGTTTGCCAAGTTTGGCGGGCGAAGAAACCACAGTTTAAGCCGATAGTCATACGTACTATCCTACGTCAGGCCAGCTGTGTTAGAAGCTTAAAGCTACCAGCTAAATATAGATTAAAAAAAAAAAAAAAACTAGCTATCCAACTAGCTAGGCAACAGAGTTGACGTTGACATACCACATGTTGATCATTCGCCGAGTTCAGGTGCTGCATAAATTACCGTGTCATGGTAGTCACAGCCTCACAGGGCTTCGAGAAGTAAACGGTCCTCTATTCGGAGATGATTGTAATGGACCCGAGCCCACAGTAGTTGTGCACGCCCCGAACAAATGGCCCCGATTGTGTATCGTATAACGTTATAACGTGACCATGGACACGTCACGAGTGAGGCCTCGGGGTTGGAAATTGAATAACCGAGTGGTCACGTGTGGACAGGTCGTGGATAAGATGGATGCTGGGGCCGAACGTGTACGTATTTAGTTACGAGTACCCTCATTCACATACGAACCAGCGTCTGACACACATTGCCAGCCAAGACATGCATACACTGAGCAGTGAGCGCCACACCTTGAGAGGAGCCTTGGAAGCCCACGCCAATGCAGTCCAGTCTCGAAGTCACGAATCCCTTGTGCGCCGTGCCGCCGTGCCGCCTGCTCAGATTCTTCCCGCATCAAAAGACGCATTCGCTTGCCCATGATGGCTCTTCTTCAAGCATAACCTAGGGCCATTCGAGGAGCTGTGGTCGTCCATTGCGGCCTCAACTCGACCAAGAAAAGATGAGGGGGGCGCGGCCCCGTTGATGCCGGAATTCGCGGCCCTGCTGCCCACGTGAACAAGGCAAAGCAAAGAGGAGAAAAGGCCGCGCTGCTCGCTAGCATTGAACGCGCTCGGCACTCACCAGGCGTTGGGCGTCGTTGTCCCAAGAATGGGCACAAGGCCGTCGTGCATGACCATGGAAAATGGAAACCATGTGTAGGAGCAGCGGCCGGGGCCTACGCAACGGCACCGGTGGCTACGTGGCCGGCGTTGAAGAGCTGCAGAGCAACTCAGGGGCGACTGTAAGCTACTAGAGACTTCTGCTAGTGAGTTGGTGCTTTGATGCCATGTGAAGCTCGTATCGTCGCGTACCGGAATGCCCTCGGACAGAGTGCGCTTATGGCCTGAAGTGGACCCGACGGTCACATATGATATTGGCTGCCTTCTGGCGTCAGCCATCCATGTTCGCCGAATGAGCAAGGCATGTCGCACGGATGGCATGGCGGGTGAGACTGGTCCCATCAACAGTGTAGAATCTCCTGGAGTGCTCGACATGTCGTGGCTGACGGGAGAATCGTCACTCTGTCCGGCTAAGAGACAGACGAAAGCTGTCATGTTCTGGGACGAGCAAGCACTTCGCTTCACAGTACTGAGTTCAACTTGGGCATGTACACTCAACGACAATAACGACCGACGTGGTAGCGCTGTATTGCGTCAAAGGCCACGGCACGAACCAGGCTACAAGCTTCAAGTCAGGGGATCGCGGATCCAAATATACATCCGAGAGCACGGTGGTGACCGTAAATCATGCAGGGCACAATGTAATTCGGCATCTCTACCCTTTCAACTCCCCTCTACCCCCACCGGCAGGTTCACATCCACCACGATAGGTTTGTGGAATTGCTTCCCACCCTCGTGCGGGTAACTACTCTTCATGATTGCCGCGTTCACCACACACGTTTCCCCGGCCTCCAACAGAGACTCCTTTCTCCCCGAAAGATCTACCAGACTCATTTTATCATTATTCCCCGCCCCGGGATCCCGCCAGGCCCTCACTCTTGAGGAAGAGAACCCGTCCCCCGGGTCCCAGAGAACCCGTTGCGCGCCCCGTCCGCCATGAATATGCCCGCAAACAGCGAGCCGTGGCCTCACCCTCCGCAGCGCTCTTCTCAGAGCCTCGCACCCTGTCCTTTGCACGTTATCCGTCTCGTCCCGGCATCCCTTGGCCGGGGTGTGCGTTACCACAATATCAGTCTCGGGCGGGATGTCATCCCACAGGCTAGTCGGTTCCGAGTCCTCGCCGGGGGAAGCAGCTGGGGCGTCGTAGGCAAAGGCCCAGAGACCGCAGCGGAGCGAATACGGCGATCCAAAGACTGTGAAGTGAGTGCGCGGCCCCTCGGCCGAGCGCAGACGGATTGTCACCGCTTCGTGATGGAGATATGTTATGGATGGTGAAGATGCGAGCAGCTCAAGACACTGCGAGTGAGACTGGGGGCGTTGGTTGTGAAACCTTGGACCGTGTTGTGCGTAAAAGTCCTTGTCGAGTGTTATGTCGTGGTTCCCTACGTCTGATCAGCCACTCGGTCGACCCGTTCGCTGGAGGACCGATGAGGCTGTGTGCGAACGAACCGGCTATGACGATTTTGGCTTCGAAGTCTGCTTCTTCTAGCCATGCTACCGTCTTTGAGAGCTGCGTTTGTGATTTTTAGCAACTTGCGTGTCGAGCAGGCTCTTCTGGCGGTGGGAATACCTCGGAGTAGCTGCCTTGGTTTGTCATGTCTCCGGCGTGGATGAGGACATGGCCTTTGGGGAGCTTGACGGTGCAATTGTGCGTGTCTGAGATGCAGACGACTCTCGTCCGGCGCAGCTTTGGTTCCGCCATAGCCTCGGAGGCGGCTCGTCGGTGACGGAGTACACTGGTAGAGACGCGAGATGGCTTTGGGCTGGAAGTCGAGGTTTGTGAATCCGACCATGTAAGTTACACTACACCGGCTCCCAACGAATTGAACAATAAATTACTCGATGCTTAGTAAGGCTTTTAGTAGTGCTCATGTACCCAAACTCAAAGAGCCTCGAGCTTTCGAGATGATAGTTATCTAGGTTGGTCAGATTTTTTTATCTCTTTAATAACAGTACTTATCAAAGACTTGTTCAATAACAAATATCTACTAGGTACTCGTACTTGCTACGCACCATCCGGGAGGGCCATCGTGAGTATCAATCAGCACGGTCGCAATGTAGCCTGACGCTTGGACCGAATTGACCGAGTCTCTCATTGGCCCGAGCGGCGTTGGCCTCAAGTTTCAACAACACTATCGGGGACTTCAGATAGGATTCGACCACCTGGCCTGCAATCTATTGACAATGACAATGACGGAATAAATAGGAGATGCTAATAAAGGTAACGCTCCAGAAGAGACAAGACCGTAGGGACTACCTTTCAGGCTAGGTCCGTGTCCGGTCCGTCTCGGCAATCCGCTACACTACTCTTGCTCAGTCGTGCACCGTCGAAGGAATTCTTGCCCAGGCCGCTCCCGGGACTTCGAATGGCCTCGTCCGCTGCAGGCCTCGTTTGGCCCTCATCTTTTCATGAGTCTTGTCTTTACATGAGGACCGCGGACGACGGGCTAGCTTAGCTGAGGTCACCATGCACCTCCGCAAAAGCAGGCACCATGACACAAGTCTGACGTGATCAACGGCAGAAAATAATTTGCGCGTCAATAGAGATACGTGCTCGGCAGATTATATGGCCTATTTTGCAGCTGCTGGACCGGTCCCTGCACACTGTAGCATCCGCTTCCACATCAGCTCATACTAGTTAGTAGTATAAGCTCCAAGTTTGACGAGATGACAGTGCCATTGCTCCGTAGACTAGTTGACTAATTGACTAGTAGCTCAACGTTGGATGAAGAGTAACTGACTTACCAAGTGGTCACGGACGGCGCCAGGACCGGTAGGGGCCATCCTGGCATGGATTGGCAACATCATCATGACTAGAAGCGCGATCCGAGTGATGTGTTGCACCATACGGAGTACATGGCGATGATGAAGTTGCATGACTCTGACTGATGGTACGGACACTGACATACAGCTTGGCCCTGCTGAACAGACGCGTCTACGAGTATTGCCGCAGATGGAAACGACGACGCCCCTATACTTGAACGCGTACCCGGTCCAGGCTCGGGTGAAGTTCGTCGCGTTTCTCGCCAGACAAGCCCAATGGCCTGGATGCCATGAGATGTTGGAGGCCATCCATTGTTGGACGCAAACGCGCCGGGATTGCATGAGATCTTTGTTATGACTCCCGACATCATCCGCACCCTGGTGAACCCTTGCCATCACGTCCTGGTGGAGGGCTGACAAGGAAAATCAGCGACAAGGTGCTGACACAGAAACCCTGCCGGTCGCGTCTCGATTACATCGACTCGGTACTCCGTATCGACGCCATCAACAGAAAAGCAACGCTCGAGTACGGAGGAGTACGGCATGGACGAACAGTCGGGAGGACTCAGGAGGGACCGCGACAGGTCGGCGGCTTTTCGCTGGCCGGCGCCAGATGATGAATCAGAATCGATGCCGAGTCTGTGTAACTTGGGACGGAGTCGAGGACAGAATCTAGTGGCTCCATCCATCCCGACAGATGAGCGGCAGCTGCAACAGAGGACGACGATGCAATAATGCCACAATCTGGGCCGTCGGCCGGAGACGTGGCGGTTCGTTCGCTGGCTGCGTGAGGCGAAATGAAAAATATTACAGCGTTCAGGCGGAGACGAGCGACGGGGGTTCATTAATGTTAACGTCACACGGGGAGACGATGATAATTTTGAGGCGGAGCGAATGGAGCTGGTGCCGTGGCCTGAGTCCCATCGCCTAGACCAGACTTTTGTCTCCACCAGACCGCGCCGTGTCTGGGCCCCCCAGGTGTCACTCCAGCCACACGTTGCAGCGACTGAGCTCAGCGAAGAGTCCTGTAGCACCCGCTCCGTACTTTAAGTAAGTACTAAGTATAAGTTAAGTAAGTAGGTATGTAGTACTTGCTACGGAGTACTTCCAAGGCCCAGCCTCCCCCAAGTGCTCGCCGTCTCCGAGACTGCAAGCAGACTCAGACTGCACTCGGTTCCGTCGCCGAGTTCGTCAAAGTTACTCCGTATCGAGTACGCAAATTTTCCAAGACAACATCCATTGACACGGTCCTCATCAGCATAAGCAAACATCCGTCATCAAATGTTGACAAACACGACCGCTGCCGCTACTACCACGCATCTACCATCTGTTAGATTGGGCTCCTCATATCCTGTGGCGCGCCAATGGACCCTGCCGACCCGCACAAGCTCCAACCAACACGACCTTCGCATGCATCGGTGCAAAGTTGACTCTGGACCAATTGGCCGCGGCGCATCGGCCTCCGGCCTGTGCCTTTCATCTCTCATTCCTGGTTGCTGGATGTCGACTGCTCTCACCAAGCCTCAAGTGCTCGCCCAGCGTCCGGCCGCCTCGAGATATTCAAGTCGAATCCTCGGGCACAATTGACATCTGCCATCAGCCGCCACCCCCTGGGGCGCTCGGGCTCTTCGTGACCGTGACCTTGACCGGGTGCTGGCGAGTATCAGCCGCGCCCGTTCTACCAGACAAGTTCATATCCACCCGCGCTCCGCCGTCATCAAAACACGAGAGCAGGGCCAAGGCTAGACTAGACGGCCATCCACGCCGAGCACGGGAAAACGCGCTGCTTGCCGTCTTGCTGCCCGTGCAAGCTTCCCCGGCTCTTCGGTGCGAGCCCGAGCTGCTTCGATTCGTCTCTCCCGTTGTGGCTGCGCCCCCTCCCCCATCGTCAAACCTTCGTCCTTAAACCCACTGATTTTCCCGTCCTCCGTGGCCATTGTGCCGTGGCACGAATTGCTTCATATTGCCGTCACCGCCGACCACCGCTGGCTAGTGAGAACCTGCCGCGCACCGTATTCGTCCGCGCAGAGCTCCCTCTGGCCCTGGTGTCCTCGACGTCGTCTACCCGTCACTCGGAGTCCACAGGAGGGTTTCGAGAACCAACGACGCCACATCCCTGAGCCTCTTCTGCCATCAGCGCGACTAAATATTGTCCGTGGGTGGCGGTAGTACACCAAACCTTCGACTTGGATAAATAGTTGTCACGACAATTGTCCCGACGCAAGCTGTGCTGCTGGCACCTGCTTAACCCTTCAGGGGCCGTCTTCCAGCCACGAAAAGGGGCTTTCGGCTTCTCCCGCTACTCAACTTTCCATGGCCGCTGTCTCACCAGCTCCTACGGGAGCTGCGGCTTTGACACCGCCGGGCAGCAGCCACGGAGATGGCAAGTGGGATTTCCCCGGTACGCAGTCAGAGGTACGAGAATACAACACCCATCACCTGGCGCGTTTAGATACCGGATACACAAACTACCCGTTTGCCTTGCCTAGGCGGAATCCGCCCCTTGCACAACGAGTTTAGCTAACAGCATTCTCCATTCACAGAAGACAACGCTAGACAATGACGGATCTCGCCTCGATGAATTCTCCCGAAACTCCTCCGCCGCTTCACGTAACGGCAACGCTTTGTCCGCTCCCTCTCCTCAAACGGGCAGCCATTTCGAAACGCCTGCTCGCAAGATACATCCCCCCGATAATCTCACCATGTCTAAATGGGATAAAGCTGGAGAGGGATACGCCGGACTACCATCCCACGCGATGGTCACTGAGTCTAGACAAGGCCCATCGAACACGTCGGGAAATGAAGTTGCCGGAACGCAGAGTGCGTCGGAAGAGCGCAGACGGCACGATCAACCAACCTCAGGCCTTGAGTACAGCGAGGCAGATTCTAAGTGGATTCATCGAGATAAACTAGCTAAAATCGAAAATGAAGAGTTGCAAGCCGCGGGCTTCTTCGTACCCCGAGTCCGAACCTCAAGCAAACAAAGACGGCCCCGTGGTCAGAACTCGGTCGATATCGATAATCAGCATCAAAACCGACAGCGCCATGATTCTGCCGTCATGGACCAGGTGGGCGAGGAAGAATCAGCTACACCTCACTGGGATTTGCGAACGCCAGCAGAGATTGCTGAAGAGGAGGCAAATGCCTACTTTTCCTCGCAGGGGCAGAAGGGAGGCACCAAAATTCCGGTGGCCAAGGCCAGCCCAGCTCCCATCCCGCAAGATTATCTGGACCGCGGTTCTCCCTCGGTTCGACGCATCGAGCCGATGGATGGCGACACCATCGCCTACACGAAAACGCGATCGCGAAGTGCCAGTGCCACTACCAAGGACTTTGAAATGGCCCACAACGGCAATCGGCCTGCGGCCGCTGCAAAGCGGTCCGTCACGGAAGGCTCCCCAAAGAAGACCACGGTACGAAAGGCTTCGACAGGATCCAAGACCAGCACAACCCCCAGCAGACCGAAGACCAGATCTGGTCCGATCAGGGACGCCAGTGGAACTCGGCCCTCGACACGATCCGGGGAAGTGTCTGCTAGCAAACAGCCTGAAGGCGACCCGCCCTGGGTGTTCGACTCGTACAAGCCAGACCCGCGACTACCTCCGGACCAGCAACTGATACCTACAGTAGCCAAGCGCCTGCAGCAAGAAAGGTGGGAAAAGGAGGGGAAATTTGGCGACGCCTACGACAAAGAATTCCGCCCTCTAAACGATCATGAATTCCCGAGACCACAAGAGAAGGAGTTTGTCCTTGCCGAACAGGAGGATCCGACACAAGCAGTCGACTGGCCATTGAAACCGAGCATTACCAAGAGTCCAAAGCAGGGCTCGTACTCAACAATGCCCAAGATATCGGACAAGCCGCTGGTCAGCATGACAGCGAATTCCAAACCACCCGGATCGCAGCCCATCTCTCAGCCACAACATACCGAGCCGACATTACAAGCAAAGGAAGAAGCCGAGAAGAAGAAGGCTCGCTGCGGATGCTGCGTGATCATGTAGTCAAAACTTGCCTTGCGCATCTGTACGTTGTGTATATATACCGTTCGGCAACTTAACTTCAACCAACATTTACGACGTTACGATGAGTGATGCATAGAAACCCATCCTTAGCCCATTTCATTTATTGTCGCGTCACCATTTTTTACTTTTCTCTTGTACATCCTTCACTCCACTGTCTAGCTTAGCGACTTTCATGGTTTCCTTTGTTCTTTCATTTTGCGTTACTGAACCGGGCGTCACACGACGTTTGATTCTCTCCATTCATTCATTCGACGAATTTTCGGATATCTGATACGGTAGGTTCGGGTGTCACGGGACGGATCGTCTGATCGTTGATCGTTTTTGTCCGACTTGGGCACCTTTCCAACGCTTCGGCACTAACGCGTCCGATTCCACATTGACTGCCTTTGACTACTCCGGCTCTCGATCTTCGCTTGTTACGAAAGATAACATTTCAATCCACATCTCATGGGAGCAAATTTGTGATGGCAGGGCCGTTGTGTAGGGCCATTGGAGGACTTGTTGATTCTTGTCCAGAATTTTCTGCAAGGGGCAAATGTATGGCGGTGGCTCGAACCAATTTGAAAGAGGAACTTTTCGGATTCCAGTGTGTACAGATACCCGTCCCAAGAGTGATGGACCTTTCAGCCAATGGTGGAGCAGGTGGAAAGAAATCCATGAAGAAATTCATAAATCACGCTCTCGTGCGAAGTGAGTGCTGTACTGTGATGAGCCTCGCCGTGAAGACCTGGAATTATCAAATCAGCAAGCCGAGTGTTGGCGTTGGCGTTGGCGCGACTTGGATTAATTGCATCATCGATGACGGCGCGGCGCGTGGAGCCGTGCCGGACTCCCGTGTCGTCACCATCGGCACCATCGGCATCGTCGGCCGAGGCCAGGGAGACGGACTTATATCTAGGGCTTGCGTGCGGTCACAGAAGCGCTGTCAGGCGATTTGCAATGCATCAGTTTCACCTCGCGCCACACTCGTCAAAGGTAACCGACTGCGAGTCTCAGCATTCACCATGGTTCATCAGCACGGCGACCACCATGACATCCCCTCGGAGCACCGCATCCACAAGTAACCACCCCCTCCCCTTTCTTCCCCGCGAGCAACCGTCTCAACGTTCAGCATCCGGCTCCCTTGGCTAACGCGTCCGCTCAGGCCAGGGGCATGGCTCCCCGCGGACCACCGCGTCCATCGCCAATACCTCTCCGACGTGACACGCCACGTTGACTCCCACCCCGGGCGGGAGCTAACGCCGGCCCTCGCCGAATTCAAGCAGCTCATCGAGGGCAACTCCCGTGTCTACATGTACTTTGTGCAAATGTTCGACGAGATCCCTCGCAGGCACCCCTACGTTCGCGATCCCACGGGCAGCAAGCAGATCCGCGACTACCGGCACATGCTGCAGGTGCTGAACCACGTTGTGACACGAGCGCCCGAGTGGACTGAGGCGGCGGAGAGCGTGGGCGTGGTAGGAGTGCCAATGTGCTCGCTGCTGGACTATCCAATGGGGACACCGAGGTATGATGTTTTCCTCCGTCCCCAAGACCCGTCCCCCGGCCGTCCGCCGCGGGTGACGACGATGCACGGCAGCTGACGGGGCGAGCAAGTGGACACGCGGCCTTTCTAGATCCAGACGTGAACAAGGCGCTGAAGAAGGTGCTCAACGAGTGGGGGAAGTACTTGCAGGTTCGTGTCGGCGTGGACTTTCGCGTCCCGTCATGTTGATCTGGGCGTGGGAAAGCTGACGGACGTGGTAGACTCCTGAATCGGCCGAGGTCCTCGGGGACCACAAGCTGGGCTGGTTCGGAACAACTGCGATAAGCGATCTCGTTCAGGTCGCCAACGCGCCGTACCAGTCCGACATGAGGTTCGAGGACATGTTTGTGTGCGATCCTAGCGCGAAGCATATGGGCTTCAAGTCCTGGGATGGTATGGGCCGGATCTGGAATCCCCCCCCCAATTTTTACTGTCTCTCGTCAAAAGAATCCCGCTTGTCCGCTGTCCTCTTCACAAAGCACCCCGGCAGTCCTTGGTGTCAGCTAGGCATGGTGGTTGCTGACTTGTAGAAATGGTAGACTTCTTCACCCGGCAAGTGCGTGACTCGGCGCGGCCCGTGGCCGATGCCGACGACGACTCCGTGATTGCCAATGCCTGCGAATCCAAGGTGTACAACGTCTCGCGCGACGTCAAGCTGCGCGACAAGTTCTTTGCCAAGGGCCAGCCGTACTCGCTCCTGGACATGTTTGCCCACGACGCGCTCGCGCACGAGTTCGTCGGCGGCACAATCTACCAGGCGTTTCTGTCGGCGCTGTCCTACCACCGCTGGCACTCGCCCGTCTCGGGCACGGTGAGGCGAGCGTTCGTCGAGGACGGCACCTACTTCAGCGAGCCGCTCTTGGAGAGAGACGGCGGCCCCAGTGTCCAGATTGACACGAGGGGCATCTCCGTCGCGCAGGGGTATCTGTCCGCGCTGGCGGCGAGGGCGATTATCGTGCTGGAGGCGGATAACCCCAAGATTGGGCTGCTGGGGTTCATCGGCATCGGCATGGACGAGGTGAGCACGTGTGACATCACGGTCAAGGAGGGCCAGCACCTCACAAAGGGCGACCAGTTGGGCATGTTTCATTTTGGCGGGTCAAGCCATTGTCTGGTGTTTCAGAAGGGCGTCAAGGTGGATGGGTTTCCGGCCCTGGGCAGGCAGGAGAATGTGCCCGTGAGGGGGAAGCTGGCTGTTGTTCATTAGACGGTTCGATCCTGACGCGCGATGTTGCGGTGGCTGTTTAAGTACGTAATTTATTATAGACGTTACGGCGTGGTTCGTCATCCTTCGTAAAACGGCTTCATTTCTGCGCATCAGCCTTCATGCCGCCCTGCACCCAATTCCTCGCCCCCGCGGCCTTTGCGTTGAGCTCCTCCTCGGTCAGGCTGTCATTGTCAAAGGCGGTGTGCGGCTGGGGGACATGGCGGCCCTTTTCGAAGCCCGGCCGCTTCAGCAGCGTCTTGAGCCACTTGTCGAGATGGGGAAACTCGTCGAGCGAGACGCCCGCCCACGCTGCAAACACGGTCGAGTTGCATTAGCATCACATGCGGTTGAGGCAAACGGCCGCGCCTGTGGGTGAGGAAACGTACTGTGCGCAGCAACCCATCCCCAGCACGAAATGTCGGCAATGGTAACGCGGTCGCCGACCAGGAACCCGTGCGGCGACTTGGCGAGGTGGTCGTCCATGGTGCGGTACAGGCGGCGCGTTTCGTTGCCGTAGCGGTTGATTCCGTATTCGATTTTCTCGGGGGCGTATCCTGCACGGGAAAAAAAGGGGGGGAGGTTCAGCTCTGGGCCTTGGTGCCTGGTGGTTGTTCCAAGACTCTTGATACCTCGACGGGCGAGGAGAGAAAGGGGGACGACGTACTCTTGAAGTGGTTTGCCTGGCCTTGCATCGGCTCAAGGCCGCCCATCTGCCACATGAGCTGTCAAGAAAGAGGGGTCAGCGAAGACGGTCCCCGTTGTGCAATTGGGTGTGATGAGGTGAGGCGACCAACCCAGCTCGTGACCTCCCAATGCTCGGGCGTGTCCCGAGGATACGAGATCTTGTGGTCCTTGTCGTACCGGTCCGCGAGGTACTCGAGGATGGCGCCGCTCTCAAAGACGCGCACCTTTTTGCCGTCCAGAGCGTCGGTGAGGGCGGGGATGCGTCCATTGGGGTTGATTTCGAGGAACCACGGCTGTTTCTGTTCGTTTTCCATCATTTTAATCTCGTGCACCTGCCCGCGTGCTGGTCAGTTGCCGTTGCCCTGCCCTGCCCTGCCCTGCCCCGTCTTGTCCTGCGCTTTCATGATGGACGTCACGCACCTTGTATTGGAGACCGAGCTCCTCGAGGGCGATTGACGCCTTGATGCCATTGGGCGTCGAGGCCGTGTAGAGTACGATGTCGGTTTTGGTAGCCATGTTGCTGCTGGTTGGCGATGCTTTACTTGGTGAAGCCGAGCTGTGATGAGGGGCGGGGCGGACTGGGTTAGGCGGTGCATTTTATATACATGTGAGGTTCCCCGACCGAGGTATTTTCTTTTTTGAAAAACTTAAAAAGAGGTATTTTTTCCTTACTTTGTCAACAATGCATGGGCAATCAGAGCCTGTTGCTTGGTAATCCCCTTTTGGAGGGCGGATGAGCATTTGCCCCGGCTTAGAAATTGAGCTGAATTGATCATCACGTCACGTCCCCGCATTCAGCGCCCTCCAATTGTGTCGGCGTTGCGGGGGCACGACAAGCTGGTGTCTCTGTACTGTAGTTACAACTGCAACTGCAGCGATGAGGCAATGCTCGACCCGGGAAGAAACACCAATGCTTTACCTCAGCTCACATTGGACACCCTGCATCGCCAGTCAGTCTCTGCCGCGGACGCACCGTCAATAGCCGTGCTGTTTCGGACCATTCTTTGCGGCAGGGATCGGCGATGAGGCCGAGACTATAGACTATTCACTATTCACGGCATCATCAATCCATCGTTCGAGAGCAGGCACGACAGGTCCCAGGGGGGCTCATCGACGGACCCACACCGACTGAGCGCTACCAGCCAGAGCCGTCGAGCCCGGGGCAGATCTCGCCAACATGAACATGGTGATGTGCTTTTGATCACACGCCGACAAAGATCCTGATGGGACATCGGTGCCGGATCATGAACGCCAGACTCCACACTGCACAGCAGGACCAAGCTTGGCATAATCTACCATCATGGACGAAACGCCAAAGCCGAAGCAAGCAGCGTGTCTGGTTTGTCGTCGCAGCAAGGTCAAATGCGACTGGGCGCCCCCAAGTGGCCGCTGCAAGAGGTGTGTCCAGCTGGGAGCAGAATGCATCCGTCCTGATTTCCATGCTGGTCGTCAAAAGGGCATCAAAAAGTATAGGGCTTAGTAGCTTGCCTCGTTCTCGCATGTCCCAACCCCCCACTGCTTTAAGCTCGCATGCTCATGTTTTGTACCTTCGAACAACAGCAAGAGAGTTGGTCTCGACAAGGCGTTATTTCAGGTCCAAGAGGCTGTCAAACGAGCAAGAATAGGCCAGCAGCAGAGCGCCGCGGATGACAAAGTCCTGACGCAGATAAGGGCCCTCGTGGGCAGTCTCGACGGCAACGAGTGGCCGTCCAGACAAACGTCCAATCGTCAAGTGAGCGGAGAGGCCGAGGATTCGTCCGGCGAATATGAAGAAGACGTGGCCGACCGCACGTCCACGTCAGATTTTGCTCGGCGGACAGAGGAGAGCCTCGCTGTGGACGATGCCGAGAATCCGCTGCAACTGTTGGCTCGCGCATCCTATTTTCAACCATGTCGAGACGTTCAGAGCCGTACTTGGACACAGAATATGCGGAGGAAAGGCGCACTTCCAGGCGGAAGTCCCGAGGCCGCGAGCCTCGAGGGCTTCTTTTCGGGGGCCAAGGTGAACCTCGATGTCGGTGACGACATCGATCCGATTGAGCTGGGGTTGATCACCGAGGAAGAGGCCGATTCTCTATTTGCATAGTACGTGGTTTTACGCTGCCCGTGGCTGCAATGGAGTATACTAAACCGGGTAGCTTTCACGCAAACCTCTCCCATACGAGATGGGGGTTTGATCCCAGGCTGTACACGGTGGCTTACACCCGGTCAAGATCCGCCTTTCTCTGCACGTCCATCCTTGCAGCGTCAGCGTTGTTCATTCCCACAGCCTCTGCATTGTCAAAACGCCTGTCGAATCATGTCACTACTTTGGCACACAGAGTCATGATGCGGAGACACAAATCGCTCGAAATTGTTTTGGCATTCATGGTCAATATCCCGTGGATGTTTCCAGGACAGCACAGCACCGACGACGAGGCCTGTGTCTACATATCCATGGCTACTAGCATTGCCATAGACCTGTCTCTACACAAAGTTATAGTCCCGACGGAAGACCTGCAGGATTCAAAATTAGCTCTCGCAAGAGGCGAATGCTTAGATACTCGTACAGCACTAGCAATGGATGGATATCCAGACCTTGATGCAGGGACAGACAAGGCAAAACTTTTGCTGCGAAACAGGGAGCGCTGTTGGATATCTCTATTTGTCCTAGAACGGGGGTGCGTATTGTGTGGCACAAAACGGCGGTTTCCCGTGCTAATGGGCAGTGTAGAATGTCACTGGCTCGTGGGCGTCCATCCGTGCTGCCTGTCACTAGACTGATCGAAGATTGCGATAGTTGGCATCGATCAGCGGTTGGAGACCCTCAAGACGGCCATTTGGTGTCAATGGCTGTGCTACGGCGAGACTTGGTATGTCCTAGCTGCCCCAAGAGTTGTTCATCAGGTATCCGTCGTGCTCACTGAATCAGGACGGTCTCTTCGCCACAGTGCGGTCTCTCTGTGACGGGTCGCAGAACCCAGTCAGCGACGGATCCTTGATTGCTCAATCGTATGCGTTTCTGTCACCATCACCATGCAGTACTTGTTAACATTCCACAGAATCCAAAGCTCCATAGAACGGTTCTTTGATCAGTGGTACACAGAATGGGGTGTGTCGATTGGCATTGGACCTCGTGGGTAACGTGTGCCGTGGCAGTGACAAGTCGTTTTCTTGAAGCTACTAATTACTTGTTAGAGCGCCGGCTACCTCCATACGTCGATATCCTTGTCACACATACTCGACTGTCTACCTATGGCGGCGTTATCAACCACCCTACAGCTCCTGTCGAAGTCAGGCAATTCTTCCGCACGGCCGGTCTCTCCTCAGCCTTGAACGTGATGAGAGCAGCCATTCAAGGCGAAGGCCAGCTACACTCCATGCCCAACAACACAGCCATCATGATCTCTTTTGCTGCTTGTTTTGCACTAACCCTCAGCGCTTATACTTCTGGGGACTCCACCCTGGCACCGAGCATTCGGAAACTCATTGACGAGGCCGCCGGTGTTCTGGAAAGGATTGGGACCATTACGCAACATCGAAACGGGCTGTCGGCATTATACGCAAGATATCTGAGGCAGATTGTGCGCAAAGCAGCGAAACAAACAGTTGCTAATTCATCTGCGCCACCGCCACCGAATGCGAGTACCCCGACAGCCCCTGAACTACAGCCCTTGGACGCATCAGTCGCCATATCAAACAGCAACAGGTTCTTGAGCGAGCGATTGACATGGCCCGAGCCTCTGCAGTTCTCCGCAATGTCGGACGATCAAATTGCACACGTACTCAACCAACCGGGCAACGAGTTTGAGGCTTCATTTGGTGGGCTTTCCCGGGAAGACATGAGCAATTTCGACTGGCTCTACTGGCCAGAATTCGTGGGCTAGGCAGCTCCAAGATGTACCATTCTACCATGCCTCTATGACGAATCCTATTGTGATGACGCATGACGCATCCAAGTTGCATGCCGGCAGTTTTGCGCCGCCCCAGCTGTTCCGTGAAGACGAAAGTCGGGACGGCCTGCGCCCTGCATGCCATGTTAGTTATTGACGACGGCATATGGCTCGGCCAGGCCTGCTAGCGACAAACACCTAACCGGGTACGGAGTAGTGGCCAGACCAACTTACTCGAGTATAAGACCAAACTGCGCGCTTTCTGCCACGAACCCCACCAGCGGATCGGCGCCGGGCCGCGTTTCGGCGCGCAAAAGTAGTCTCCGACCGAGAAACCCTGCTCGAGCCTTCACAAACGTCATCATGAGTAGCCTTTCCCGGCCGGCAAACTCGCGACAGGCACGCCCCCGAAACATGGCCAAGCTGTCGAATTCGCTCAAGGCCCTCATCAACGCGCCGTTTGCGCGGCCGGGCCCAACTCCCGCGCCAGCAGTCATGAGAGACGTGTTCGGGAGCATCGCCAGAGACGCGGCGCAAAACAAGATTGGGACTCGGCCCTGGCTGGCCATCTCCGTACGTCGTCCCCCCCTCGACTCGACACCCAGCCGCGTCGGCCACGGCTAATGCGCAAGAAACAACAGACAGCAGCCACCTTTACGCTCAACTCGCCCGACTGCCTCCCCATCCTGCACGCCATCGCCTCCTCGCAGCGAGATCAGAACCAGGTCCAAACGGCAGACTTCATGCGCGAGGTTGGCCTCAAGTGCATCAGCTTCAACGGCATCCCCCGCACCATCAACTGCCTCAACGCATTCTACGCGGCCCTTCCCGAGGCCGTCTCCTCGCAGCTCTCCGCCTCGCCGTCACGGGCGCCGACTCCCTCCAGCTTGGGGGACATTGCTGCACGCGGCCGCCGGCTGTGGGATTCGATATACGCCCCGTTTGAGAATAAGCTCGTCGACAGGCTGGCGCTGTCGCACCCGGATCTGCCGGTACACATATTGAACAGTCACTACGGGCCGCTCCTGTCAGACCCCGTGGAGAAGAATGGCCCGGCGAGCACGGGGCGGGTCCTGACGAGCATGGTGGCTGTCGCGTGCTTGAGGGCCCAGACAGGCGTCGGCCCGCAGGTCCTGTCGCATGTGTTTGGGCTGAGGAAGGCATGGGAAGATGGGAGCTGGCAGGAGAAGGATGGCGAGAGCGAAGAGGTGGTGGAGTGGCTGGCAGGCGACGAAGGCTTGGAGTGGGTTTTGCGCTCCGTGGATCGGATCGCCGAGGGACTGGGGTCGAGTTTTGCGCCTACGAGGGCGGCCAAGTTGTAGCCAAGTGGGGGTGTTTTTTTTTTTTTTTTTTTTTTTTTTTTTTGCCCGTGGCATGGCGGTTTTGGTTTTGGTTTCATGTATATGTATTTGCTGCATTGATAGACGCATGGAGCCTTTCGTGAGGATTGATCATGCTCATTGCCTCTGGTGATGCATGTGTACTTGTTGTGGACGAGCTGACATGGCCGAGACCATGTCAAGCTCTACTACTTGGTCACGGGATGAGGTGTTGCGGGTTTATATAATGCAAACGGTACACGGATAAGCAATGTAGCCGGGAAAAGGAACGCGAAAGCAAGTGGTTCACGTCGCCCCATGTCTACTGGCACGTGTAGACATATTCTTTCGTCTACGCCATCATCGTCTTCACACTCTTGGCCACGGCAAACTTGGCATCCGTCTTGCTTCGCACCTGTGCAACGTCGACGCCCGGCGCCAGCTCCGTCAAGGTCAAGCCGCCGTTTTTGCGATCAACCTGGAACACACACTGGTACACAGTTAGAAGCGGCACTCACAGACCCGCTGCCGAGGACGGTCGACCTACAAGATCAGTAATGATGGTGCTCACGACCCTGGCGCCAGTCAGCGGCAAGTCGCAGCGCTGGACAATCTTGGAGGTGCCGTTCTTGGCCACATGTTCGGTCGCAACGACGACCTTGGTCTGGTCGGGATTGGCGACGAGGTCCATGGCGCCGCCCATGCCCTTGAAGACCTTGCCGGGTATCATGAAGTTGGCGAGGTCGCCGTCGGCGCTGACTTGAAGGGCCTGTCGCCGCGTCAGTCATGGACCAGAACAGAACGATCTTGACGGGCCGCCGGGGACACGACATACTCCCAGGATAGACACATCCACGTGGCCACCGCGAATCATGCCAAACGACTCGGACGAATCAAAGCACGCCGCGCCGGGAACTAGCGTGACCGTCTCCTTGCCAGCGTTGACAATGTCCGGGTCGACCTGATCCCTGGTCGGGTATGGGCCCATGCCGAGAATTCCGTTCTCAGATTGGATCCAGACCGTACGACCTTCCAGGATGAAGGTGGCCGCCAGGGTAGGGATGCCTGCCACGCACGGAGTACTCCGTACGTAGTTATTAGTTTGAGAATATTCTGCCAAGAAGTAAGTGGATGAACGAGGTGGAATCGTACCGACGCCCAGGTTCACGTAGTAGCCCTGCTTCAGTTCCTCGGACGCTCGCCTCCCAATGCGATTCCTTCGCTCGTGGGCTTCATTCTTGGGCGACGAGTCCTTTGCCGCTGCCTCGGCCTCGGGGTCGCGCAGCTTGAGGATCTCGATTCGTTTCTCCGCCGTGGCGGGCACAACACGGTCGACAAAGATGCCGGGCAGGTCGACGTCGTTGGGGTCGATGCCGCCGATTTCGACGATGTTGTCAGCTTCGACGATGGTGAGCTTGGCGGCTTTGGCCATGAGCGGCCCAAACGCCTTGGTGGTATATCTGCGCGGGTGAGCAGACGCAGCAAGGGGTGAAATGACGAGGAGGAAGTTTGCGGCGGGCACACGCACCGGAAAACACAATTGCCGGCCTTGTCGACTTTCCAGGCTCGCAGAATGGCAACGTCACCCGTGAGCGCCGTCTCTAGCAAGAATGACCGGCCGTTGAACTCTCGGGTCTCGCGGCGTTTGCCGCGTTCAATCGCCTTGCCAGATGCGTCCACTCTGATCGGGATCTCGCCTTCTTGTAGCAGCGTGTCTGTGATTCGAAACCCAAAGCAAAACGCGGGCAACGAAAAAGTCAGCCTGCGACCTAGCGGCTCAAGGTTGCTCAATTTGACGTACGAGCTCCAGTTGGGGTATAAAAAGCCGGGATGCCCGCGCCTCCGGCTCGCAGCCTTTCCGCCAGGGTTCCCTGGGGACAGAGTTCGATTGCCAGCTCGCCGGTGAGGTATTTCCTCTCCAGCGCCTTGTTGTTCCCGAGATAGGACAGGATGAGGTTGTCCACCTGCCCGGCCTCGGAGAGGGTAGACAGGCCACCTTTGCCTTCTATGCCGGCATTGTTTGACACGGCGGTAAGGGAATGCAATGACCCGACACCACGGCGGTTGAGGGCTTCAATGATGGTGTCTTGGGAAGCAGGGCGGCGTGTCAGCTACGTAGGCCGTCTCATCGGGCGCGTGACGCGGAACAAGACATCAGACATACCGGCGACGCCGCACAGTCCGAAGCCTGAGCTGAGAATCGTAGAGCCACTCTTGACATCTGCGACAGCTTCATCCGCACTCCTGTAGACCTTGGAGTAGCTCTGCCGCGACCGTGAGAGCCGCACTGGTGTCGTGATAAAGGTGCGTCTTCCGAGATTTGTCTTGGCTCGCTGCATCCGCGCGGTGACGGTCCATGCTGTTCTGGCAGCCATGCCGGGCTTCAAGGTAGTCGTAGCGAGCATTGCGAGATCATGTCGGCAAGAGGCACAAGAGTAAAATACAGGGAAGAGACTCCATGTCCTTTTCTTCTTCGGTGTTATGGAAGAAGGATAACCGGACCTCCGAGCCAAGGGCCGCCGCAGCTCTCAGCTGACAAAGTCACCACGATGGGAGAGATCCATGTAGTTATAAGGGCCGGACTGGATTTGTGACGGCCACGGATCCGCCGGCTTGCATGATCAAATCCCTTGGCCAAGCCTATTGCGGCTCCTCCTGGGGCTCCTCTCAGGGTCCTCTACAGGTCCTCTCCGAGTCCATCTGTCGACAGCATGGTCCCGACATCAATGCCAGCCTCGGAGACAAGAAGTAGCCCCGGGAGCGGCATCCAAATTTGACCGCCGACCTGATTGGTCCGTTCCCGTGGTAAACCCGTTTCTGGACATGTCGGACTTCACCTCAGGCCTCGCCCAAAACAATGAGAGAATCAAGGTCGTTTTGTATCTTCGTTCATGGCGTGGTCCCGACACGCGGCTAATTCTGCTCCCGAGCTCCCCTTGCCCAGGATTCAGTCAAGGATGGCTGAATCACGATTACCTAGACTGGGTTCATGTTTTTCACCTTGGGTTCCGATGGATTTGACTCCGATGCAATTGTGATTGCATTCACGTCGAGTTTGTGCACGGGTCGGCACCAGAAACCTGCCTTTGTCTTGTCAATTCGCACATGAACACCAAGGATCCTTACATGGAAAGCAAAACCAAGCACCGAGGCTGTGGCAGTCCGCCATCGCAGCCCAATGGAAAGGATGTGTTGACGAAACGCTTGTTGCTGAAACTGGACTGTCGGTAGGTCAACTTCCAGGACGCCGTCCAAGAGAAGGCAGATCATCTTACTCACGGAACCGTTGCGTCTAGATGCTGCCCATCCTAGTCCTGTTATTCCTGCTCGTTTCTCGACCGGACAAACGCCGGAAACGCTAGGATTCTCGGATTACAAGACAGCCTTCATCTGTCCGACTCGCAATACACAACCGGATTGACCGTCCTCTACGCGACCTGTGTAGCCAGGTGAGCTATGGCCGATCCGCGCTGTGCCGTGCCGTGCCGTGCTGTGCTGTCTAGGCAATGTTGCCTGGCTATGCAAGACTACAGTGAGCTGCCAAGCAACCTGCTCCTCAAGAAAATTTCCCCCAAGATTCTCCCACCTTGCTTGGCAGCTCTGTGGGGTATCATTGTCATGTGTCTTGGATTTGTGCGCGGCTTCACTGGCTTCTGGGTTGTACGCGCCCTGCTTGGCGTCGCCGAGGGTGGCCTACTTCCGGGCATGGTGCTGTACCTCTCCGGTCTGTACACGCGCGGAGGGCTCGCATTGGCATCTTGTATTCCGCGGCGTCCCCGTCTGGCGCTTTTGGAGGTTCGTGTCTGGTTGCGGACTCGGCAAGAATGGGATTTGGCCTTGCTGATACATGGGTCTCCAGGCCTCTTTGCGCGTGGATCATCAGCAATTGGACCACGGGGTGGCCTTGAGGGTTGGCGATGGATTCTCGTCATCGAGGGACTTGTCGTACGTGCCCGAGAGATTTCACTCTGCCGATGAATGACGAATATTCTCACTAATGCATACGGTCTGTAGACGGTTCTCGCGGGACTTGTTGCCCATCTTATCCTTCCAGACAGTGTGGCTACCGCGAGCCATTTTTCTAAAGAGGAGCGAGCGTGGGCCGTGTCGAGATCAGCTGAGGACTCGAATTCGAATGGTAGGCTCAAGTATGTACACGCCGGCGCGCTCCCTTGGTGGTTGGCCTGAAGTAGGATTCTGAGAAATGACAGCTGATCATGTTTGAGCAGGACTTTTGCCAATGTTCCATGGCGCACAAAAATTATCCGCGACAAACGACTAGGTGAATACGACCAGTACGTAGGGTACGGTGACGACCGAAATCCCGGATTCAAAACGGTCTGTTAGATGTACACCGATTCGAGTGTCGAGAGACTATTCATGCGAGTGCTTTGATATCCGAATGACGACAAAGTTGATGAGCAGAGCACCATGTTGCGTTGCTTCTCGATACTCGGGGGAAGATGTGCGGGCTCGGGCAACAGGATGTTCGCTTCGGGACTAGCCGCACCGCCTAACCGCTCGCCCTAGACCTAATCAGCCCTTAGCGCCGGCGTCGGTGGTCAGAGCCAGCCGCGCCGCGGGAGATGGCGAGCACCTGCAACCGACGCCGACGCCCCGTGGAATGAGTCGTGACTGGGGCGAATTGTACTCTGGATGTGGAGTCAAATGAAAGCAAGAAGACGAAACTCTCCACGAAGGCGACGTCTCCATTGCAGAGAGCTCGGTGCTCTCGGCGCCCATTCGGGACCCGAATGTGGCGCTGGCGCCGGAAACTTACCCGGCTATCCGAACCGCCTGATCTATCCGGACTCGCGATGAGGACATTGGGGACAGACCTGTCGGCAGTGGCCTTTACAACGAGGAGAAAGGGGCAAGTCTTCCCGTGGCTTGTCACATTCGTGAGTCCGGCTTCGGCGGTCGCATGGCCTTGGAAGCGTCACATTTCGCGGGCAGATGCCGCGACAAGTTGCATATCAGCGTAGCATCCACGGCGGAAGTCCGTTCCGTTCGAGCGTTTGCATGCGGCTGCCTCCGGACGGCCGAACCCCTGGATCGGCAGCGGAATATATAAGGGAGAGGGGTCCTGCAAATATCTGTACGACTCCTTTGCACTCGGGATAATCTACATCACAACCAACCAACTGAAACCACAATCCTAGCATGACGCTCCCAAGGAACTAGGTACCATCACTCCACATAAAGACGTTCACACCATTGCATTGCGACCACTACGTCCTCATGGCTGCAACCAACGGCCTCGGTGCAGAGTCGGACAAGAGTGTCCCTCGTCTGTTGACCACGGTAGTGGATGAAATCGCTGCTTCTGAGCCCTCTCGCCCGTTCCAGTTCCAGCCCAAGTCGCGCAAAGCCGAAGACGGCTGGATCCCAGTAACCTTTGCCGAACTCGCCAATGCTGTCAACCACGTGGCTCACATCGTCGCCGAGACGGTCAAGAAGGACAGCACCGACGACTTCCCGACGCTTGCCTACGTTGGGCCCAACGACGTTGGCTACGGCGTCGTGGTCCTGGCCACCATCAAGGCCGGCTGCAAGGCACTGTTGGTCTCTCCACGAAACAGCATCGAGGGGCAGCTGTCTTTACTCGAGAGGACCAACTGCAACAACGTGTGGTACGCCGAGTCGTTTCACCTCACCGTCCGGACCTGGCTCTGCGAGCGCAGGATGAAGTCGTGGGCCGTTCCGCCCCTGAAAGAGTGGCTGCAGGCACCGCCGGCATCGCCGTTTCCGTATGCCAAGACCTTTGAAGAAGCCCGCTGGGACCCATTGGTTGTCCTGCACACGAGCGGCTCTACCGGGCTTCCCAAGCCCGTTGTTTTGAAGCAGGGCGGCTTTGCCGTCGTGGACATGTTCAGAGCCCTGCCGGAGTACATGGGTTCCGACTTTGTCTGGAAATTCTGGAAATCTCACGCAACTCGCATCTTCGTACCCATGCCAGCGTTTCATGCGGCCGGGCTACTCGCCGGCATGTTGAGCTTGGGGATTTACTACGGGTTGCCTGCCGCTCTGCCGCTGCCAGACCAGCCTCTCACGCCGGACTTGACTGTCCGGTGTTTGCGGTGTTCTGGGTCCGACGCGGCGTTTTTGCCGCCTTCTATTGTCGAGGAGCTGAGTTTGGTGCCCGAGGGCGTGGAGGAACTCAAGAAACTGAGATTTGTAGCTTTCGGTGGAGGTGAGGACGCCCGAGCGATGCGCCAGTGCCACAGAGAAGGAGAAGGAGAAACCACAACTGACCACTGCGTAAAGGAAACCTGTCCAAGTCAGCCGGCGATTCGCTCTCGAGGCAAGGCGTTGTTCCCCATTCAAGTCTGTTCCCTGCACACCGTGACTGACTGGCCGCAGGCTCACGCCGTATGCTCTGTACCACCAGCCCAATCTGAAACTATGGCAGTACTTTATCCTCAACAGCGAGGTCATGGGCGCCGACTGGCGAGTCCACGACTCCGAGAATGGCATCTATGAGCTCTTCATCCGCCGCAAGGATCCCAAGGAGCCGCTTGATCAGCCCCTGTTTTACACGTTCCCCGAACTCACAGAATGGTCTACGGGTGACCTGTTCAAGGCTCACCCCACCCTCAAGGACCACTGGATGTATCACGGACGAGCGGACAACATCATTGTCTTTTCAAACGGCGAGAAGCTCAACCCCGTCACCGTCGAAGACGGCATAGTCGGGCATCCCTCCATCAAAGGTGCCCTGGTCGTCGGGCAGGACAGGTTCCAGCCGGCGCTGATACTGGAACCCACGACGCCGCCCAAGACTGACGACGAGGCGCACGCCTTGATTGAGTCCGTCTGGCCGCTCATAGAGGAACTGAACAAGGAGACCGTCGCCCACGGACGCATATCCAGACAACTCGTTGCGCTGTCCGACCCGGACGTCCCCTTTCCCCGGGCCTCCAAGGGGACAGTCCAGAGAACACTGGCAGTTCGCACATACAGGCACAAAATCGAAGAGATTTACAAGCAGGCTGACGAGGCCTACGCGGCAGCCGCTCAGCCCCTTGACCTGACCAGCGTCGACAGCACGTTGCGCTCCGTGCTGGACCTTCTCACCGTCCGAATGGGCGTCAGCAAGGTAGAGCCCGCTACCGACTTCTTCAGTGCGGGCATCGACTCGCTGCAAGTCCTCAGCATGTCAAAGTTCCTGAGGGCCGGCCTCGCAGCCGCGGGCGCGCAAGTTGACCATGCCGTCGTCGCGCCGCGTGCGATCTACGCCAACCCTACGCCGGAGCAGCTGGCAAAGTATCTCTATACTGCTAGGAGCGCAGATGGCGCCGCAGAAAACACACGAGACGCCGATGAAATCTCCATCCTGGAAGACCTGGTGTCCAAATACACGGCAGATCTACCTGCCCGCCGAGGCGACAAGCCGAGACCCCTGGAGGACGGACAGACGGTCATCTTGACGGGCTCAACGGGATCGCTCGGGGCGTATTTGCTAGACATGCTCTGCAAGTCGCCGCACGTCAAAACCGTCGTCGCCCTGAACCGCGGCGGAGACGGCGGCAGGTCCCGCCAACCCGACGTCAGCGCGGGTCGAGGTCTCGCCACCGACTTCTCCAAGGTGGACTTCCTCGGCGCGGACTTGTCCCAGCCTGACCTCGGGCTCGGGGCGGCCAAGTACAGCGACCTCGCCGCCGGCGCCGACCGCATCATCCACAACGCCTGGCCGGTCAACTTCAACATGAGCGTGTCCTCCTTCGAGCCCTACATCCGCGGCGTCAGAAACCTCGTCGACTTCTCGGCCGCGTCGTCGAGACAGGTCCCCGTCGTCTTCCTCTCCAGCATCGGCACGATTGCCAACTGGAGATCCCGACAACTAGTGCCCGAACGGCGCCTCGGCGATCTCTCCCTGCCCCAGATGGGCTACGGCCTGTCCAAGCTCGCCGGCAGCCTCATCCTGGACGCCGCGTCCGAGACGTCCGGCGTCCCCGGCGCCACCATCCGCGTGGGCCAAATCGCCGGCCCCCGCGGCGAAAAGGGCAAGTGGAATCCGCAGGAGTTCCTCCCCAGCCTGATCGCGAGTTCGGTCCACCTGGGCCTGCTCCCGAGGGAGCTCGGCCCCCAGAGCGTGGTGGACTGGGTGCCCATCGAGGACGTGGCAGGACTCATCCTCGACGTCAGCGGCGTCACGCAAACCAAGGACGTGTCGGAAATCAGCGGCTACTTCCACTGCGTGAACCCCGAGACGGCAGACTGGGCCGACTTGGCCGCCGCCGTCAAGGACCTGTCTGGCGGGCGCATCCGGGAGCTCGTCGACCTGGAGGACTGGGTGTCGGCGCTGGAGAAGAGCGCGTCCGACAAGGCAGACGTGGACAGGAACCCGGGCATCAAGCTGCTGGACACGTACCAGGGATTCGTGGCGGCCAAAAAGGCCGGGCGTGCGGACCACGTATTTCTCGACATGCGGCGGACGGTGAGGCACAGCAAGACCGCGGCCAGCCTGGGTCCCGTCACGACCGACCTGATGCGGCACTGGTGTGCGCAGTGGAACTTTTAGAAGGGAGGGAAGGAGTAAGGAGTACAGGGCATGCCGAGACGCAAGTCATTGTTTTCGAAGCAGCAAACGACAAGACGGTTGCGGTTTGTCGTGTCCTCGTTGCCGTCTGTACATTTATGTTGGCACTGATGCTCATTGATAGTTGTGAAGCCTGTGGATTAAACAAGTGCTGCCGAATCAGCAGTACGGAGACGGGGGGGAGTAAGGAATAGCACCATGTACAGTATGTATGTGCATGTATGCATCACGACTGCTCCGAATGAACACGCCAAGCAAAACCCTTTCCAAGTCACCGCAAGCAGGTCCAGATAAACAGGCCAAGCAAGACACCTTCCAAGTCACCGCAAGCAGGGCCAGATAAACACGCCAAGCAAGACACCTTCCAAGTCGCCGAAAGCAGGTCCAGCCGCAGCAACGCCTGGGGAAGCACCAGCATCCCACCGCAGCCTTTTTTGCAGAATGCAAAAGGCCCCCCTCCCTCAAAGCCCAAGAAAGTACTCCAGCATAGCCGGGTAGACGGGCGTGCCCAGCCCAGTCACAGGGTCCCAGCCCGGCACGGCGGAGAATCCCTTGTTGCCGCAGGCACTGGGCTGGCCGTCGCCGTCGGGCCCGCCCTTGGCCTGGTCACCCTTGACGACGTCGGTGAACATGGCCGGGTTCTTGTACAGGGCGGGGTTGGCGAAGCCGATGGGCGCCTTGCCGGCCTGGATGCGCTCGTCGTTGATGCGGGTGAAGATGGCGGCGACGAGGGGCGCGCTCATCGACGTGCCCCCCGAGGTGCCCGGCCGGCCGCCGACCACGACGACGCCGTTGTCGCCGAGGGCCGCGACGTCGGGGTAGCCGCGGCCGGCGCGGTTGTAGATGCCTCCGCCGATGGTTGGGATGGTGCCGTCCTGCGTCGTGTACGACCTGTAGCCCGGGTCGTGCTTGGACAGGTAGCTTTCACACGCTCCTTGTCAGGCCTTGCACACGCGGCGCGTACGTTGGGAATTTCGGGGGGAGAAAAGGGGGGAGGGTTGCAAAACTTACGCAGCTACGGCATCCTTCTGGTAGTCGGGCGTGGGCCAGATGTTGCTGAATCCGCCGCCCGAGGAGAAGGACTCGGTAGCAATCTCCTCCCCGCCGGCGAGGAGGACGGTAGACCCGACCGCAGTCACGTACGGGCAGCTGGCTTGCTGGCTGGGAGTGAAGATGTCGTCGTCGGGGCCGAGGCAGGGACCCGACCGTCGGGCAACGCCGTCGTCGCCGCTTGAGAAGACGACCGAGGTGCCCTGGAGACCGAGCTTCATGAACTCGTCACATTGCCGCTGTGGCTTTCACGTCAGTCAGGCGTTCCGGAGAGGAGATGGAGCCGGCCTGCGTTACCTGGAGGTACTTGACGGGGTAGTCGGCCTCGGCGGTGCCGTAGGAGAAGGAGATGACGTTGGCGGCTTTGAAGGTGCCGCACATTTCGTCGGGCGTCTTTCTATCGACGGCCGGGTCGTCGCCAGGGTTGTTGCAGTAGCTGCCGTCCACGGCGTCGAGGAAGGTGTTGAAGATGTCACCCTTGCGGGTGGCAGCTTCGTACAGCTCGGCCCCCTGGGGGTAGATGATGGGGATGGCGATTTCAAGGTCAAGATCCGACTCGCCGCCAGCGCTGTCCTGGTCCACGGGGGCCGTGGCGCCGTCAATCAGATCCTTCTTGGGTCCGGTGCCTTGGGGAATTCGCGGTGCGTATTTGGAGTAGAAGGAGTCCAAGTCCTCCTGGGAGTAGACGTCGTCGGACGTCTCGAAGATACCCATGCGGTTGGAGTCATGGTGCAGGGCGCCATCTGAGATATTGTACCGAGACTTGATACACGCGGGCGTGATGTACTCGGCGCAGCTATCGGTGGCATCTGTCGGGGGAGCGTCAGTCATGGTTGCACGGGGCAGGCTTCTCGTCCTTTTCCCTTGGCTACGTACTCGGGTGAGCTGCCAGGAACTCGGCCGCTTCAGCCGACAAGGGCTTGTGAGGCCTCAATATGCGGCCGTCACTTCGCTTGGCCTCCGGGGAAGGCCTGGTGGTCTGCGACATGACGACGCCGGGGGTGATGAAGTCGACGAGGTCCGAGATGTCACTGGGGAGCGAGTACTCGTCCGCGCCCATGTGGGCGTTCCGAGCCTGGATGTGGTCATACATGTGGTATTTGGTCTTGAGGATAGATTCCAGCTGTCCCACGGTGGACTGGAAGTCGACCCAGCCCTTGCTCTTGGGGGAGGTCATGCTGTCGGCAGAGACGCCAGACTTGGTCAGCCAGCTCTTGACCGAGTTGATGGCGCCCTCATCGGGCGCGAAGAGCTCGACGACCTGATCCTTGGAGTAGTGCCGGCCGTACTTGGCAGAGGACGGATCAGAGCTGTGAGCTGGTCAGCCGGTGAAACTCCCGCGGGGACGTGTTTTGTGCCCAGAATGCACCACCTACACTTCGAGGAGGTAGTCCATGCCCTTGTCCAGGTTCTTCTGCTTGAGAGCGATCCTGACGGGAACCTTGGTGTTGGCATCTACAGCCTCGCGCTTCGTCCATCGGCTGCTGGACACATCGCGCTTCTCGTGGACAGTGTCTGAGCCCATGGAAGCGGCAATGGCTCCGGCAAAAAGGCCCTTCAAGAAAACAAGGTTCGTCTTCATGCTGACTAGATCTTTTTCAAGAAACACCACAACAGTATGGACCCGATGTAGCGCCGGGGATGAGGATTTGCGAACAGAAACATCATCAAAACCCGGAACTTGGACCCCTTTTATGCTTCTATTCTCGCCCACGGGACTATCAGAGAAGAATCGTCATGCTCCTGACACGGCTTGTGATGACGAAGCCCACTATGCCCCATAACACAGTCATCGTTGCGAGTACGTCGTCCTCCCAGCATCACAGGACCGGAGGATCACGTTGCGTGGAGATTGCATCATATGTTGTGACCTTGCCAGATGGCTGGGGATCGATGGTGTCATTGTCAACTTCCATCCTCGCCTCGGTCAGCGGATCGCGAGTACAACGCTAGTATCTACATCCTGTTTGCCCAAGAAAGCCAGTGAAATCATTCAAAATACCTTGACTGGCGAGCACCTCCCTTGGCGATGGTGAGAGCTGATCAAGTATTGATGCCAAAGGACCTTCCGTGTTGAGCAACGATAACCATTCATGCCTGGCTATTCGCCAGCAGACAGGCTCAACAAGTCTCTCAGACGGCAGCAAAATGGATGTGAGATTCTGATATCTTGATGTGACGGACGCTTCAGAAGCGAGGTAGACGATGGGATTTCGGAATAACTAGAGAAGGTGCTGCGAGGGTGACATCGCTCGAGTCCCTGAGCGCCAATGGCGTGTAAAGAGCAATCTACTGACGGTAAGGTTGCCGAGAGGGCGGGTAGGCCTGGAAAAGCTAACGACAAGAGATGTGTTTGGAATCTGGCGCTATCTGGGCGCCGCTGTGTGTCCTGGTCCTGTCATGTTAGCCGAGGTGAGCGGCCGCGGAAGATTAGTGAACCATCCAGGACGAGCCAGACCACGAGGCACTTGATTGACTGGAGCCATGAAGGCATGGGCGCCTCGTGCTCTAATGCAACATGGTCCGTTGGCACGCCATTCGGAGGCCTTAACACCAACAAAAGATAATGTTGTGTAATCGTGTGAATTGGATGCTGGACCTCACGCCTGCCCATCGAGGCCAGCCACCCTCGGCGAGTCGCATCGTACGCACCGCCGCCCGGTTTCGGCAAGAGGCGAATCTTTTCAGCAGCAGGAAACAATTCGCTGGAAAAAAAAAAAAGCTGTTGCCGTTGCGCTTCCCATGGACAGACAGTCGTGTTGATCGCCGCGTGTCTCGTAGTGCCCCATGGCCGCCCACACGTCCATGCTAAACGCCAGCCATGAACCCAGCCTCTCTCACCTATGGCAGATGTCACATCATACCAGTGAGTGTGCGGGTGAGCCTTTTCTCCAACCTCGAAATGGATCATCAGGGGACCTGGGCCGAGTCTTGGAGAGTCTGGCCTTTGTAGCAGCGCCCATCTCGCAAACACACAGCCGGCCCCCTCCTCCCGGTCTGTCTCGGAAAGGGGAGATTCAGGCATACTATCTGAGCGAATTGACATCAAGTGTGCAGTCGTGATAAGGAAGGCACATGGTATATCGGAGGTGCTCGTTCCAGCGACATCTCGAACGCCTCCCGGATGCAACGCTTTCCGAATTCGCGATGCCGCATAGCCGACGCAACGCGCCGAGGCCGCCCCAGCAGGTCGAATACTCCCCGCTCATGGAGTCATGAAAGATCAGATATGCTCTTTCTTCGTCCCTCGCGGCGTGTCCCTGATCCGCCTTCTTGATCCAGTTCTCCGAGCGGGTGGATGACTGTCGATGATTGGGGTTTTTTTTTCGGGGGGGAACCATGCCCGTCGGCAGATATCAGCTTGACCTTGAGAGCCTGCGCTTGGTCATAATCTGCGTCGTTTGAGGTGAGGGATAGTCTGGAGGGTGTTGTTCGGACAAGGATGGCGTGCTTTGCTGGGCTCAAACGCGCGTGCCGCGCACATAATTCGAGTTGATTCGCATGGGAGTCCACGGCGTAACGTATAAGTTTTGAACCTGTCTAGAAGATCCAAGGGCCTCTTTTTCATCTCTTTCGCTGTACATCTCTCGTGCTGCCAAGCGCGCACGTGCGGCGTTGTAAACACATATTACGTGTTCCTCCGTTCCTCTGTGCAAATTAGTCGCCCTGTGAACTTTAAAGTGAGTCTGCGACAGTTCATAAATGATGAATCTGCGCTCCCCGAGGCTGAGACTAGCCTTCGCGGTGTATCGATGGCCAGGGCTGCAAGTCGAGCTATGTGTTGTCAGATATTTCCGATTGGCATAGCACGGAGCGGACTCCTACAAGACTGCAGGGAATCTTTGGCCTCGGCAAATAAGATGTGTATTGGTACAAAAGCCTAGAAGTAGGAAAGAAATTCCATGTTGCGAAGGGGAACGCGGTCCACTCGCGCAGCAGTGAGTATCCCTTGTATTCTGCGGGCATCGCGTCATCCAAGTTGTCATGGTGCTGTGCGACTCCAGACCGTCGTCGCCCGGCGATGGGCACGTTGTGCTCCAAAAGACTGGACTTGCTCAGAATGCCAGGTTTTTTGTGTGACCTGTGGTTGAGTCGCCTACGGCTTCGTTTGTTCTACAGAGGTAGGGCCGGTGCCTCTCACAATAATGCGGCGGTGCAAAGTAATCCACATGAGCATGCACCATGCTCTCGTGAGATGCAGGTCAATGACAGATGAAATCTCCTAGAGCAGTCCGGTACGCGTTGCGACCAGCGAGCCCCAGTGCCATTTTGGCAAGCAGGCTGACGAGCTGCTACCATGTACATCAGCAAAGAGTCAAGAGTGAACCTACATGTACGTCTCGTGATATCAGACAACCTGCAAAGGCCACCTGCAACCAGACAGATGCACGTATGAACCCAACCAATTCTGCTTCGACCTCGCCTCCAAACGTCTCACCGTCTTGACGCCCTCTGTGCGTCAACACCCGCATCGCCGACAGGCACGATGACCGAATAGCTCATCGCGCTGCCCTTTGGCTGCACCCCCGTCCCCAAGAACAGCGGTGTCATGGTCCCATCCTCTGAGAAATACAGCTGCGGCCGCTCCCTTCTGTGAAAGTCTATGACGGTCCCGTCATCATACTTGATCTCGGTACTAAACGCCAAAGTCCGGTTGCCGAGAGTCCACGGCCCCTGGTAATCGCGCGCCCAAGCATGCCGTCCGACCCTTGGCCCGTCTCCGAACCCGCCTCCTGGTTCGAGGGAATGCAGCAGCATATGGTAAGTGCCTCGGCTGTCGCGCCAGATAAACGGGTCCTCGTTGCCACTGGCAAAGACTGGATCCTGCTGAAGCTTCTCGTAGGGACCAGCGTATCCGGCTTCTGACACGGCAACGTTGATGAGCTCTTCGCCGGCGCAATTGTACGGGCAGCCGCGGTAAGCCAGCAGCACTGCCCGAGTGTCGGCAATCAAGTCGCCCTGGTCACCGCGGCTGGTCCTGGAGAAGAGCGGGAACGCAGAGGGGTTTGTCACGTCTGCGTCCCAGCCGCTGCCGTTGTTCCCTCTCAGCACCTGACCCTGGGACTTCCAGTTCCTCAGATCGCGGCTGGTCATGACGGTGATGCCACTTTCGCCGTTGTTTGTGTTTCCAGCTCCGCACGTGAAGCGCTTCACTTGGCAGGTATCGGCAACCTCTGTCGGACAACCAATGCGGTACATCAACCACTCTCCATCGGCAGGGCTGTAGACCACAGTCGGATTGTGGGCAAAAGTGCCCTGGACCGGAGCGGCAGACTCGTATGGTCCTGCTGGCCCGGAACGGGATTCTGCTCGGATGATGCGGCTGTACGGTGCCCAGTAGTCGAGGCCGCAGCCGTGGCTGAACTCGGACACGAAGAGGTGATATAAGTTGTCTTCCTGGGGGTCTTTGACGATGCTGTTGCACCAGCTTGATGTCCCTCGGGCTGTCTGGTTGTACCCATTGTCTCTCTTGGCTGGGCGGACGTCGAGAATACCACAATCGTCTCCGATCCAGCCGGCATCGCAACGGCAGGCGTGATTGCGGCTGCAGACGCCGTTTATTAGACTGCAATCTTGGTCCTGGGTGCACTTCTGGCGTGAGGGATGGAAAAGGGCGCAGGCAGCAGCCAAAATTTTGGAGGTGTGATGCAGACCTCTCATGTTGGACTTGGCTTTGGCGTATCGCGTAGCGTACAAGGGCTTTTTACCACTGCGCGGGCAGGGGGTTCAACGATGCGTTTGATGTGCCTCCGGATAGTTATTTGATGACGATCAAAGCCGTCCCATCTTGCCAAATCCTCAGGCAGGCCATCGTGGTTATAACCTCTAATCCTGGCTCTTGATGCGGGGAAGCTCCAGCAAGCTTGATTGTGCCCAAGACGTTTTGCGATGCGGGGTAGAAGTCGACGATGCCCGATTGAAATGGCTGCTTGCTTGATGGTTTGCGGGTAATCTAGATCTTCGGTCATTCGTTTGAAGTTGTGAGCAAGTCGAGACTCGGAATTTCCAGAGGAGTCGGATGTGACGGGCTAAGCGGCTAAAACCACTTGACAAAAAAATGACGGGGAGATTTCACATTTCATAATATGATGTTAATTTATAAAAAAAGAATCAGCCAGAAAGCATCGTGGAACGATTTCTGCTCCCGGCAGGGCTTGAACCTGCGGCCTCCGCATCACTAATGTTTATTAGTACGAAGCTCTAACCAACTGAGCTACGGAAGCTTTCCTGCTGATCTGTGACTGCGGACATCCTTGTTCTTAACTAATAAGGTGTACCGAAAGTAATCGCCGCAACGGCAACTCCCTTGCTGCAACGCGTCATTTTTCTATTCATTGATAGACGTTCCTTTTAAATATCCCCAGAAAGAATCAAGGGACTTTGATGAAATGTCACTGTACTCCGTACATGCAGCAGAATCCAACGGATTCCTGAGCCGTTTGGAGCCAAGCACATAATTGGCATCGACGTCTTTTCGCATTACTCAGCATGGGGAGAAGCACGACTACGTTGAATCCTCATTCGACAGGTCGACCTCCGTACCTGAAATAAAAGCAGGTCGAACGAGAATGAAGCTATTCCCGCACTGATTCCACCCGTTCTGTTGTTTCATCTTCTCGCCTCTGAGTGCCAAACGCCGTTCAACTTCCCCGGACTCGTCATTTGCTTCTGAAGCGCGGTGACTTTGTTCAATTTTGTAAGAAACATCGTGTGCCTCTGCTCCGTGAGATCTAATTCCTACCTAGCGAGCGTGCCTCGAAGACGTACATGTCTCCAAATTCCATCGTACCGACCAACACAGGCTGATACGCAGTCCAACAGCGATGTTGTACCTTCAACAAAATATCCAATCCAACAAATTTCATGCAGTCACTACTCTTCCCACAGCACACAAACTCGCCATGTCGAAAATCACATCCACCGCATTCATTCAGTTCCGCAACCTATCCCCCTCCTCACAGCCAAGGGAACCTCGTCCCTGGCTCCAGACCTGCCTGGCTTCGGCTTCACCACTGTCCTGAACACCTGCGTCCACAGCTTCGACAGGCCATCCAAGGAACCGAAAAGATGGTCGCAATCGCCGGCTAAGACGAGAACACCGACTTCTGGGCTCCCTCTCGCAAGTACTGGGCCTCGGGTTGCCAAGAGAGGCGCTCAGGGGTTTTCTACAGCCGGATGCGACCCAAGTGGCCGTACACGCATGGCTCTCCCGACGCTGACAAGGTGCAGCCCGAAGCGTATGCCCTCCATCAGGCGCCGGTGGACAGCGTGGGAAGCAAAGATGTTCAGCTGGGTCTGTTTTACGGCTACCGCGCCAAATTGGCGCGGTGTCCCAAGCTCCAGGTGGATTGACGCACCTCCAGGGTTCCGCCTTTGGCGGTTTCGGCCAAGAAGGATGTCACTATTGCTCCTGCTGATGCGGAGGCGTTTAGCAGGGACGTTGAAACGCCAGAGGTGAAGTTGCTGGATGCTGATGATTCTTCTGTTGAGACGAAGGAGCAGTTTGCAGATGGTACTGCCTCTTTTCTGGACAAGTTTGGCGTGCTTTGGGCCGTGAAAAGAACACTCACGCCATTTGACGAATTGATCGAACCGACATGCATTATTTGTCGAATATTATCGTCGATTCATAACATTGATACGCTTTTCAGCCAAGAACCAAGGTGTCATCTGCGTAGCTTGTCCAAAGTAACAACTGTGCTGACGGGGAGCAGGAAATACTTGTACGTCGAGGCAACGTGCAAGGCAACTGTCCCGTTTCTCAGAACGCTCCAGAGGTGCATCACAAGCCGCTCACATCCATCAGCCAGTGGGGAATAATGCCCACAGTGACTCGGTATGCTCGGCCAGATACAGCACGGTCGACGCTTGTCGATAGATGGCTTGGTGTGGAAAGAGGCCGCACAGATATCAACAGGACAAGGTGCGTCCCCTCGACGCCTTCAACTAGATTTCTCCGAATCATTACGTCACGGTCATCTTGCTTCGTCGCGTACTCTCACCCCGAAACGGTTGTCGAGTTCGACCCTCGACCTTTCGCATTTCACGGCGTCACGCCCAGCTCAGTGACTCCCATTCACACCTGGCTCATGACATGTTCACTGCACGCTCAGACAAGAACCAAGGCCAAACTGCCAGCTGGCCACGTCAAGCCCTCATCCACGCCAGACTCATCGCCACCTACCTACACAGCGGTCATCATCGCGCATCCGTCCGTCCACCGTCGGCTCCCTGGTAGTCTCGCAAACTTCCCCCGTGGACAGCCTCACCGCGGCGTCAGCAGCAGCCGCCACGGACATGGATCAGTGCGAAAGGTGCAAAAAACGGTTCCCCGGCCCCAGACTCGTCCGGTGCGACACGTGCTTCACCAAAACTTGCCTCTGGTGCCAATGCGAAGTCGTCGGCGGCCTGCACTCGCACATCAACGACTGCTTCACCTTCCCCAACAACCCGGCCGCAGCCTTCGATCCGCTCTTCAAGCCCTCTCTCGCCGTCTTCTCGCCTCGCCGGGGCCTGGCACAGCCCATCCAGAGGCCATTCACGGCCATCCTGGACAAGACGTGGATCCTCAAACGTCCCAAGGAAGACGCGTACCGCCTCCTCATCGACTCGTACCGCCTCCGCGTCCACGATTCGTTCCTGTTCGAGGGGGTGACGAGGCCAGACACCATATACAGCGGCTGCCCTGACTCGGAAAGCGACTTTGTTCGGTACCTCCAAGCCGCGCGCGCAAAGGGCCTCCTCCCGCCGTGGTGGACGCAGGAGACGCTCCAGGCATGCCGGGACATGGGCATGGCCGACTTCCAGTTCCACTCGCTGAAGCAGCAGCTCAGCCAGGCCATGGTGGTGGACTATTATCAGGATGCGACGTTTCCCACGCAGCTGCGGCTCTTTGCGGAGGACGTCCTGGGGAGGGGGACGTGCCTCAGGAGCTGTCGACAGTCTCTCGATGCGCTGGTGGACATGGAGGGCCAAGAGGCTGGGGGGACGCGTATTTTCGACTGGAATGCCTACAACTCGGCCTACGCTCACCAGGACTGGGAGAGAATCTAGAACGAACCGTTTCGACAGGGTAGGAGTGACGACGACTGTATAATACTATTGTCGTCGGGCATCAGCTCAGAGCCAGCGCCCCGGATCACATTCGAGCAGTTGTAGCACACCGTCCCTCGCTCAACAACAACACTTAGGTCTGGACCAAGGGCACGTTTTTACTGCCTAATCATCAACAATGCTTTAGTACCCCCATTCGACGCTGGTCTCCAAGCACCATCAAGTCCACGTTCGCAGGTGCCTTTTTCTTTTTCCCTCTGTTTCGAAGCCGCCACGGGCCTTGCACGCAATGCGTAAAGGCCTACACCCGCTCTTCTTGGCCATACCCTCTTTCAGCTTCAAACGTTGCGTCTACACCAGCCTCGTCCTTGCGCATGATGGCCCGGAGTGGTCGACCCGCCGGTCTACAACGTTCTCGCTGCGTCCAGACCTCATCCACAGCCTCAATGCCAACTCCGTGACAATGGGCCACCACCCAGTAAACGCTAGCCTCTGGAGCAACAGCCTCCCAGCACACTTTCGCATCCATTCATATAGAAACATGAAACACGTACGCACGCCCACCACCGCTGCTATGAAACAAAAGCATCGGGACCTCAGCAAGTGCGTCGAGGCCCCAAGCCTCCCTATTCACATCAGAGGTCCGCGATAATCTTTCCACACTGACCACCATCGGCCCGCGGTCTGGCCCTTTGCAGCAAGTATGTTACGCTCATGTAATGCTCGCAAGGCCACCGTGCCCTGTCACGTGTGGCTGCGCTTACACACCATGTACGAATGCCAGGCAGCCATTTATTGAGTGGCTGCGCCCTGCATATGACTGAGAAGAGCAAATCACGGGGGCCCTTTTCTCCTCTTCTTTCTTTTTTAAATTTTCCACGGCACCCAAAGTTGCAGGCTGCATTGCTTACCCCGCGTGTTTTAGGTGTTGAGTTTCAGCAGCCATCCTCCCAGCTCTGGAACTTCCCGCGCACGGTCTTACCGTCGCAATGGCCTCAGCAAGCAACATGTAAGACAGTACAAAGCACAGTCTGACGGAAAGCGACTGGGTCTTGTTTTCGAATACATACCAGCCGCGAGGGCGAAAAAGATTTCCGACTGCGTCGTGGAGAAAATGGGGGTTTCTCCCCAGGTGGCGAGTTGGGCGTCGCAAGCCGTGGCACCGCCTCTTTGGATAGCATTATTCCCTTCAGCACTCCGCACGGCATGATGCACACTGCCGCCTGGTTGGGGGGTGACAGCCGTCGCCAGTCAGGCGATGCCGTAACGCCGAGATAAAACACAGAGACGTCTTGGCATTCAAGGCGCTAGCAATGTGTGTTGATACATCCTGTCCACAGCCCCGTGCAATGCAATGCTCAATCCCCCGGGCCCTCCGGAGACCGCGCCGATGGTCCTGCAAGTATTTCGACAGCGGAGGTGCAAGCACGGGGTTTCTGGACCGCCCTGGGGAGGCGGAGGAGGGGCGTGGGCGTGTGAATGGCAGAAGGCCACCGAAGTGCACCGGTTACTGCTCCGTGGATTCTCGTAGATGGGATAAAGCGATTATTGCTACACCAATTGTACTTCTCGGGCTGTAAGCCGAGGAGCGAACATGGCGGAGCCGGAGCCGGTGGTGTCGTGGTCCTTGGTCGTCTCACTGGGCTCGCCATTTGTTGCGACTCGCGACGTCAGCGCACGACCCCTTGACCTTGGTTTGTTAGCTCTGGGTCGAGGCTAAGTCCAGAACAGAGGGAGAAAGAAGACTCACACGATACCACAAACCCAAAAGGCAGAGCGTCGCAGCCCGCCGTCAAAGCTGTCAAGCGGTAGCAACAGGCGCGATTCCACGAGCCACAGGACGGGGTCTGGACACGGTCAACCAGAACGGCCGTTACTTCCGACTCAAATCTTGTCCGTTGTGCTCTGCTGCGGCTGCGTCGTACTACTCCGTACACGGGGTCACATTGTGATCTGCCGCCCGGTTGTCACGGTTTGGCTGACGTGAGGGAGAGGAACGCTTGGGCCGTCTCCAGCCGTCTGCTCTGCTGCGATGGCGAGCCACGGAGTATTGGCATTGACGGGTACTGACTAACTACTCTTTTGGCCAAAAGACGCATACCAACTGGGAGCCAAGCTGGAAAACCGAGCTTTCCGGACGAGCTCCCGAACCCGTCCGTGCCGCCCAACACCCACAGCAAACCTTGCTGGCGTTGCTACCGAGTCACTACCTAGTTAGCGGACCAGTTGGCCTTTATGGAATGTTCATCGCAGAATCAGAGAGTGTCGCGGCGGGTTTCTCACCATGACATCTCGACTCACCACGACAAGGTTCTACCCACTGTCGCCATGGCCGAACAAGACGAGCCAAATTGGCCTGGGCATTATGGATTGCAAGTTGGAGGCCTGCGGGACCTTTCTGGGAGTTCCGTCGTCCAACTGGACCTGTGCCGCCAGAGCACCCAACTTGTTGTTGCCAGTTTGGCTACGTGCCGGCTCCAGCGATAAACTTCGAACCAGTCGAGGGGTTCCTGGCTCTAGACTCTCGTGCAACCGATCCATTGCGGACAAAGGCTAGTTATGTGTCGTGCCAAAATCCGCTTGTTCCTCAAGGTGGAGGATGCCGTCCAATCTTGCTGAGCCAGGCAGTTCACCTGTCGATCTAGGCGGAAGAAGGGATAGAGAAACTCTTGCCGGTACATGCCACTGCCACTAGCTCAAAGCCTACTGGATGGGTGAGTCGCTTTGGGGCGTTGACTGGAAACTAGGAGCTAGAACAAGTTAGAAAGCCTTCGAAAGTCTGCGAGGCGGGCTAGGAGCTTTGCCGGCGAGTCTGAAGCCACAATTGGATCAGTCTATGCCTAGTATTTTGGTTTGTGTTCTGCACCACCAATGACATCCTCTTGGCCAAAGTCTGCTGCCATTGGGCTGTTGCTAGAAATACAATAGAAGCCTCGACGACTAATGCATCGCGCCATGTTACTTGCGTCTCTCTCGGTCTAGTAGAACCATCTACGCTAGATGGCGATTGATAAGCGCCTGTTGTCAGGCTGCTTCTATCGGTTTCGCTGGCAGTCGTGTGAAAATTTGTTCAATGTTTCTATCTTGACATTCCATAGTTGTAGTACTGTGTGCGTCGTCTTGAGCCACGAGGCAAGTTTGAAGTTTAACATGCTGGTTGGTCGCCGTTCTAACAATGAATGGCACTACAAACCCATCAGTGGTAGTCAATCAAAACTCCTCATGCCGGGGCTCCGAGCCGGACAGTCTCCGCATCTGGTAATAGTTGGTGCTGAAATATTAGTGTCGCTAACGTTGGCGGAGTTGTTTGACAAGGGAACTCGCTGAACTACATGTAGCCGCGAATGGACCAATGCCGAACAATGAACCAGGGCTGGGCTGGGTGTTGTGAGCCGTGTCAGCCCAATCACATCGGAAACCCGCGGCGAAAGCGTCTTTATGAGTGTCTCTTTGAGCGCTTCAAATCGTCGTCCGCTGCGTTCCGGCGACGACTTGTGCCGACGCAGCAGAGAGAACCCTGCATGGCCATCGCCCCGGTCTACTGTTGCTAGTAGGGTGTGCTTGCTAAAAATTCGCCGATTCTTTCGCACGTCGACGCATCTGCCGCGGAGGTCAAGTCCCTACTGGCGTGCACCCGGGGCCATTGAACTCTTGCCCAAGTGTGAGTACAAGTTTGATGTCGCAGCATCTCGTACAACTCGCCCATTGCATTTTGCACGACCAGCGTCCTTTCCCGTGCTTCTCCGACAGAAAGTATCGGTTGGTCGAGCAAAGATTCGAGGAATTCGGTGCTGAAGCATGATGGCTTGATCCTGCCACGAAAAACAACCATAACCGGCCGTGCGAGACATGCAACGGCGCCTCAAGGAAAAGTACTCTTGCCCCCACAAATTGTATGCTTGCTGGGAGCTAGACTCCAAGGTCGAGTTGGCTGGAGCCTGGGACTACAAGAGACACTACGGAGTAGTAGTTTTGCAAAAGCATAGGTCAAAGTGTCACTCTGAAACGGTTTCAACCGAGAGTGAGGCATTTGCCTGTGAAACGATTGCGATCGATCCGGATCAGGTCCAAGAGTCCAAGAGTCCAAGAGGCAATCTTCTTCTCCCTGCACCTCCTCCTCGCGTTGAATGGGCGTCACAAACAGGCTCCGCGTTGCATTGGCGATACTCCGTAGAGGGCGCGGCTCAGTGAAGACGCCGGTCGGTCCTGGATATCTTTGACATGTGAGGACGGGCCCGTCCAAGTTTCCAGCTGGTAAAAAACTTACCAAGAGCGGGACATGTCATGCCATTTTCTGACTAAACCCTCAACTGGGCTTGGCCGCTGTTTGAAGTCGGAGAATGTTTTGGGCATAAGTCGCGACAAAAGGCTGAATCTGCCACGATCCGCGGAGACGACGCCGAGAAAACTAGTCCAATTAAACACATCAGCATTCCTGAGCACAAACAAAGCTTGCACAATAGAGCGGCGCTGGCCCTGGTCATTACATTGTGCCCAATCCCCATGACTCTGGCTGGTCTTTCATCGACGAGACGCTCATCACCAGCGGAAATAATTGATCATTCATTCAATATCCGAGGTGTGGCATCGTCATGTCCCTTCTCAGTCTATTCAACTGAATTTTCTGCACACGTGCATCAAAACTGCCTCGAAAGACGTAGAATTAGGATCGGAAATTTGCAGGCCCATCAGGAGTCGCCGATGAAGCTAGCCCGCCTTCAGGCCCCAAGACTCAAATCGCCACGTCTCACAAGAACTGGATTTGCTAAACCCGGCACAGTACATGCATATACTGAAGGACCTGAGCTCTCAGAGGCCCGGCCTGTGCGGCTATGCCAAAGGGCGGCCGAGGTACCACGCAAGTACCGAGGGCAACTGGAGTCCTCCTCCGCGTCCTCGTCTGGGGTGTGTGTGCATGGGGCATGGGGCGTACTCCGTACCTTCGCTGGAAGGCTCAGACATGGTGCAGCCTGGTACAGTAGTTTGACAGCATCGTAGCAGGGGTCGCAAAAAGAGGTACGGAGGACACTCATATTAACGCGCCCGCAGACTTCAGTGGTGAATTGAATGTGCTGCGTTCCTGTAGCCCGTGGATCCTTGATAGCCGGACCATGATCCCTGGGTCGTTTCCCCCGTATGCCTACGCGACGTTCTCACGCATGATGACTCAATCAGTCCGGCTCGGTCAGCCTGTTCCACGGGTTTAAGGCTGAGCACCCGGCACCGACATTGTGTCCAGACATCACCCACATGACCCATGGGCAAAGCCCGAGACATCAGAGCTGCAGGCAGTCATCATCTCATGCTCGTCACCGAGCCGCATGACCTTTGCTCGACGTTGCTTGACTTTGGAATGCAATGGTGCAGTAATCTATGCCCCAAGACATAGTGAGTGGCTGACTGCTTGCCGCATATCTCCGTGGTGAAAACTCTCACTGTTGCTACCTGTCTCAAAGTGGACAAGTTCACTGCAATTGTCTGGGGGCTTGCGTATCGCATCATTGTGCTCATCCTCCGTTTCAGTTCGTGAATTGTGACAGTATTCCGGTCACGCTTTCCCGGTATGTCTTCCTGTGACGGTCTCTGCTCTTCCCATCTGACGTGGGGGACAAGATGATACCAGCTTATGCTTGGTACAGGGGCTCGCATGTGGCAATCGGCTGCAAATTATGGAGTAAGCACGCACATCAACACACTGAGGGAGACATGGCTTTTCCCTGCATGTCTCAAACGCCAGGCTGCTGGTCGTTGTCGACAAGTGCAACGGATTGTGCATGTCTCTCATGAGTCGACGGTTTGCAGCTTGCGAATCGGTCCCAATGCAGTTCGTGTGACCGCAAGAGAGCGTTGCTACAGCCGAAGAGTTCTCAGTCGATACCCATTCGCAAGTCGCGGTTCCAATGCCATTCCACAAGCTTCGCCCCCCAAGTAAGTTGAGCAGGTTCCAGATCCCAGGCGGCTGCAAGGGCAGACACCGTGGCTTTCTGGTGGACTTGAAGTGTCGCGGAGGGTAGGGCATTGAGGCTAATAAGCCTGGACCCAGCTCCAGCGACATTGGACGGACACAAGCCGTTCCTATATCCACCCCCTTCTCCCCGAGGTCTCCGATTCGGTAATCTCCTGTTCGGATAGGTTACCACGGAGCGCTTCGTTGCTTTATGCTCTTCGTGACTTGGAATTGGTCGCACCGGGTTTTGTCTTTGCGCGTCACCAAAAACCACTCACAAAACGCCTGGACGAAGGATGCCGGTCCTCAACAGAGTAACTAGTAGCAGACTGGCTGGTCCATGCGAATGGGGGGCCGTTCCATGAGAGGGCTGTGTATACTCAAAACGGAGCAGCCGGAGCAGTGCGTGTGCAGAATAAGCCGAAGGAAGGGCGACAGACGTCTGACGCGGACAGACATATCTGATGATTGCGAATGCTACTCAGTCCTCAATATTTACGCTCACGACTCAATGGCCATGCCGGGACAGCTGTGTCTGCCTGTCGTTCGCCGCCGCCATGTGCCAACCAAAACCCGTCTTGGCTCTTCTCGAGACAGGTGGACTAGTGAATCCAAGACCAGATCAATGCTGTCTCGTTTCGTAGGCCCAACGGAGGACGCCGTAAGAAGGGGCAAAGAGCTTTGTGCTCCGTATTCTGCATCCTTGTCTGGCTGCCTAGTGCTCCGCAATGAGGCGCATTCTCGTACCTGAGTATTTGGTCTTCATCACGGCTCGCTTTCATCGGCCAGGCCATGGCAGAACACAGCTGTCTGGAGTCTTCAGTCTCGAAGCCATCCCTCCAAGTGGCCGCGAACATGGCTCTAGTGGACCGCCTGGCAAGGCGATTCTAGGCTTAGAGGGTTGTAGTCCATTGAGCATGAAGAAAATTACGGAAGCGTACGGAGGACTCGGCACAAGAAATTGCGACAAGCTTGGCGGGCTGGGCAAGGTGTGGGTGAGTTGACCAGTGCCAGAGTTGAAGGCCTCGTTTTGGGGTGCAACAAGTTTCTCCATTATGTCTGCTTGGCTCTCTTGCTGCCTGGTGCCCCCGTGTCACAGAGTGCCGTGCCCGCATATCTGCATAAATGCGGCATACGTTCTCCGTAGATGCATGGGCCAGCGAACTTTCTTCCCTGCCTTGACTCCCCGGCGCCGCGCGCCCCTCTGCTTTGGTGGACCCACTACCCCCACCCCCCACTACATGCATCCACCCCGTCAAACTGCAACTTCGCCCTGCAAACCCGCAAGCCACGCTACGCTGCGGTACCCGTACATTACACGGCCACAGCCGATCCTGGTTTTGCAGTGTCCTCACATCCCGGTCAAGGTGAGAAGCTCGTGGAAGGCCCGGCCAGCATCGACGATCAAGCCATGCAGCAATCTTAAGAAACGGCCGTGGATTTGCTGGCCATCCCGGACCCTATTTTAACTTCTGTCCCCGGACGCACTTTACTTCAACAAGACTGTCCCTCGCAATCGCCTTTTCTCTTCCCAACGCCGCACACCCAAGGCTAGAATTCCTTTTTTTTCTGCCTTGAAGCTGCCCGACGTCCTTTCATCCCCCCGAACAAGTCTCCTAGCCCTGGTCATTGATTGTCCTGCTTCAACAATCACCCTTGGCCTGACTTCACCCACGCACGACACGCGGACCCTTATGACTCCTTCGTCTTGGCCGCAATATCAACGAGACGCCGCTTGAATTTCAGCTTTACGTCTCTCCCCAACACCAAAAACAAGAGAACACGTCACCTTTTTTTTTCCTTTTCCCCCTGCCAGCGTCGAGCCAGAATCGATCAGGGGTTGCTGAAACAGGGTTGTATGTCTGACATCCGGCCGACTCGTACACCATCTTCACACCTTGTCCTGCATCTGGAAAGCATATGTACAGCACGCACCACAACCTGTCGACTATATATACCGCCATGTCCTCCGCCAGCACAAACTCATCCAAGCGCTTTGGCTCGTCGTCTTCCGCCTCATCAGAATCAGGACTATCTACTGAATCTTACCCTCCCACCAGCTACAGAAACAGCATGGACTCTTCAGCCCCTCGACCACCAGTCGCCTCCGTCGAGGTCTTGCGCTGCATGCGTTGTGCTCGCTCGGTCGAAGCTACTTCGACTGACGATGTGAGCTCAACCGGTATGGTGCGCATCGCTCACAACCTCTACTACTGCGAACGTTGCGCAAAGGCGGTCGGCTACAAGTAAACCATGCGCAAGGACGACGCCTAGGGATGGCATAAAACTGCCCCCTTTTGATAAATCGAGCGAGTGCGACATGTTTCCACAATGAGCGAATCACGACAATCGTCCCCTCTTCGTGTGTTGTCAGGCAACACTATCTTTTGCGCGCACATGGGCGGCGCAAAAGCATATGTTGTTCGTTCTACACATCGCACAAGGCCCGTTTTTTGTTTTACCAGCGAAGATACAGAAAGGATACCCCCTCAACATGTGCTACTATTCCCATCTGGCAGCTCGCTAGCATACGACGCCACGTCCAACCTCATTCGGCCTCTTGATCTCAAATACGAGGTAGTTGTGAGATGCGGACGAGTAGCGGAACCCCTCCCCCTCTGAGGGAATCGTCCGCGCGGACAGTCGTGATGTATTCCCGGAACGTGTCAACTGAGAGGAGGTTCTCAGTCATCAGCTCGGCGCCGCATAAATCGTCAACTCTCGGACCAGAAGACATGCCCCTCCGAGTATCGTTCACAAGGTTTGCACAGTCTCGACAAGTTTAAACCGTGTGAACTGGGCCATTCTCCACACCTTGACTGTCCCGAACATATCAACGACGCCGACAGGACCGCCTATGTACGGCACGGTTCGCTCGCCGGCTCTCAGGTAGTGTCATTGAAACCACTGCACTTTCATCCGATGACATCGCAAATGGGCGGTCGTTTTTTTTTTCATTTTCATTTCTTTCCTCTTCTTTTCTTGATTGCGGGACCAAATGCACCGTCACAGGTCATCGACAGTGATGGATTGGCGAGTATTTGGATTTCAATCTCAGTGCCTACGTACTCGAAAGAGGTTATCACGGCATCAAAATTAGCCAGCCAGCCTTGATTGGCGCGCATGGGCTCTGGACTTCTTTTTATTTTTTTTCTTTTGCCACAGATTGAAACGGACGCGGGCGCTGGAACTCCGACCCTGTGGACAAGGAGCGCTGCTGTGCGGCATAACTGGTATGAACGTTTATGGATCAAGGCAGATAGACTCAAAAATACGATACCACATAGGCGACATTGCCCATCAAAAGCTGTCAACTCTTGACGATAAGGTCTGTCTTCTGTGCACGTCTCATTTGTACAAGTCAGACGCTAAAATTTCAGCCGTGAGTGACTTGGCAAGGGGCTTTAAAGCCGATACGAGTTACAGAACACGTGTAGGGGCAGTAAAGTACTTGGTTTTCTGAGGAAATCTGTCATTAAGACAAGTCACCACGTACTACAGGGGTCACTGCATCCGTCCTCTGTACTCGAACTGTATTCTAACGCTCCGCCTGGCCGCCTGCCTGCGAGTCCCCAGCGGCTCGGCCTCGTTCTCCCTCACCAGTGATTGACCCGGCGCTCTGGTTCCTGCAATTCCCTCTCGACCCAGCCCAACCCAACCAACAACCCCTCGAAGAATGTGTTCCTGACCGAAGATTGCTTGGCGGAAAAGGTGGGACCCCCCCCCCTTCCTCTCCTTTTTGACCCTGAAACGAACGACATGTTTTGCCAGCAACATGGGAAAATGTGGGGGCAGGGCAAGGCAGTCGCCGGCCAAAGGTCTCGCCGACAAAACGTTGCGGCGCAGAAGTTCGGAGGATTCATCAGGCAAACGGCCATTTGCTCCAAAGTTGCCGACCGGTACTGTCGGACATGTATTCTATGAGGCACCGGTCTCATGGCACCAGACTGACACACAGGCACGGACACACGGACACAGAGAGCGAGCGAGACCCTCTCTTGTCGAGCATAGCCTCTGTTTGATTAACCGCCTGAGTTTGCAGGGTACGCAGCCAATAGGGTGTGGGTGCGCACTCCGTGCTCGATGTTGGGAGCAGGGGCTCTCAGCCGAGCCAGGCAGGCAGGTGTACAGGTAGTAAGTTAAGTCGGTGCAGTGCAGTGGGGGTCCTGTCCTGTCGTGCTGAGCGGATGAGTCAGACGCCCTCGCGCATTCGAGGGCACGACACGACGGGTTGCTGCGCAAGACGGGTCTCATCATGCATCATGCACCAATGTCCGCGACAAGCAAGGACGACGGCATCAATGCTGATGTGAACATGGACACGTGGACTTTTACGTGTGTGTTTTTTTCGAGGGGCAACGGCGCAGGGTCGCGTTTGACTGTGCCTGTTGAGCAGGTCGGTCTCGGCTGTCGCTGGGCCTCGATAACGGGGGCCTGGCCAGCCAGCTTTTTAGAGAGGGATTGCTGCCCAGCGATGAGGGCGTTGGTTTTACAGTGACGGGGCTGTCGTGTGTGATTTTCTGTCGTTGTTGTCACCATCTGGCTATTGTTGTCAGGTTGATCACCTAAGGATCGCAGCCGGGTTTGCGTTTCCCAATACTGCGGCGTGCCCACTTCAGAGCGGGAAGGGATGTGTGCCCGATAGATACTTAGATAACACCTGCTCAAAGACCCCTTGTACGCGAGTGAAAAAGATGAAAGAAGGATGAAAATGATGAAAATAATGAAAATAAAAAGGAAAAGGCGCGAATTTGCTGCCCGCGCTTGACAGCCTTGAAATCCATAACAGGGTCAGCATCCACGGTGAAAAGTCTTGGCGATGTGAATCCGGTCTCGCGTACGGAGAACCGGACGCAGGGGCCCGAAAATGTCAAATCTTCAATGCTGCTTGCTCCTCGCGGACCCCGTTCGTCCGTCCGTGCTGCCTCGGAGCTCCAAATGCCGACCCGACCCTGATGGATCACGATGAACCTGCGAGGGCTGTCGGTCCAACGACCCCGTCATCTCCGGGCTGGCTGATTGGGCGGTGTGCACCATCAGCAACCGAGGCTCAACAGGGCAAAAGTCGGAAGCATCGAGACATGCGCAGGCAGCGACCGGCGATGGTTGCAGACACAACAAGGCCCTGCCTCATCGCGTGCCCGTCCTGTGTCTGATGTCGTCTGAGCGTCAGGGAGCTGCCTCACTTGCGGCCCAAAGCGCAAGGCGGGAAAAAGTGTTAAAATAAAAGTGAAACAGAAATAATTTCCAAGCCATCTCTGTTGTATTGCAGCCAGCCCTGCCCGCTCCGTACTGTGAACTACAAGATCCGGCGTGTGCGTAGTGTATTGTCGGCCGCACCTTCCCCATTTGGTTCGGTTCTGCGCTGTGATTGCACCACCTGTACTTCGTACGCAGGTAAGGACGCTACGACCAGACGCTGCGCGCGTTGGCCACCGGCCGATGCAGTGTTGACCGGGCATTCGGCTCTGTGATAAATAAGTTCTTTTCTGTTGTGAAAAAAAGGCGGGAAAAAAGTAAGGGTAGGATTTTTATCATGACCCCTACTCCGTAGATGGGTGTGAAACTGCCTCCCCCCCCCCGGCGCGCGGACATGCGCTGTCTATATTGGTAACTACCAGGACATGTGTGTTTGTTTGTCCCATTGCGTGTGCGCGCATGGCTACTTTTACGATACGTGCGGACGGCGCCCCGTATCAGTCGCACCGGCGGCGGCCTCCAGAGTGAGAAACAGAAGACAGCATGATGTAGGTGGTATGGTGAGGTGAAATGTCGGGTTGGATATCTGGTGCTTCTCATAAACAGGACCAGAGGTGTAAGCCGAATTGCAAATATCCGCTTGAGTCTCTACTGGGACCGTGTACTCCGTATGTACAGTACTTCCGCGTATAACCCAACATCTTCATTCAAGCCCTCGAGCCAAGTCTTGGACGCCGACACTCTCGGATCTTGGCAGCTTTTCCCAATTGCCCGAGATGTCGCGGCAACCTTGTGCCCACGCCCACTACGCTTTCTTTTTTTAAACACAACAAAGAATAAACAAAGGGAAAAGAAGGGAAAAGAAAAGAGGAGGAGGGAAAAAAGGAAAAAAAGAAAAGCCACACGCCACAGACGGCAAGACACCTTCTGCCGGGGTCTTGAAGCTATTGTTCCTGGTCCTCTTCGTCCTTCCCTTACTCCCTGTTATGGATTAATAGCCTATGACGAGCGGCACGCCCCAGGACCAAGCTCGAGCTCGACAAAGGCGGTCTGGAGCACCAGCACCCGGGCGACAAGATGACTATGGCGCCTTTTGCATTGGCAGACAGCTTACGGAGTAGATACATGGGTATCGTCGCGTGTTCCCTTCCCTGGGCGTATCTGTGGAATCCTTGGCACGGCTCGGGGTCCCGGCGATTCTGCGCGTCCGGCGTCAATTTCATTTCATTTTCACCTCTACAGGCGCCGAATGCATGCCCAGATGACGGGGAGTGATCCTGTTGGGCGCGCGCACAATGAGCACGGATTCTTTCCTGTTCTTTTCTTCGTACGTACCTCCTACTACTAGTCGAGCTTGTCAATGACGACGACGGAAGAGAGACGCCGTCGGGAGAGTGTAGATGACCCGACCATTGCTCGCCTACCTGAGGTGACCTGACCATTGCTAGTGGAGAATTTAGTGGGGCCTTAATTTTAAAAGCACTGGTTAGGGTTAGGGTTAAGGTTAGGTGTTCGGGTTAACTCCGGGATATATACTGCCTAATTAGGAAAGGTCAGGTCAGGTCAACTACAATGGTCAGGTCAGGTCAGGAAGGCGAGCAATGGTCGGGTCATCTGCATTCTCGTCAGGTCAGCTGAGGTAGGCGAGCAATGGTCGGGTCATCTACACTCTCTCAGCAATGCAGCTTCTCGCGTGTGGCCGACGTGCGTGCGTGTGTCTTCATGTGTGTTGCATCTGCAAGAACACCACATGTACGCGGTTGACAGTGCGAGGCAACACGCCACTTGTTCAACCTGTACCTGTACATGTCGGACGATATTTCATTGCGCCGTACGAGTGTACGGAGTAGTGTCGCGGTGCTTTGCTGTGCCTGTCCGTGATTGGGCCAGGACAACACCGTCTCACGACGCAGCTCGAAGCCTCTCGCGCCGACAGCAAACAACTATGTTCTACACACCAGGCCAGTGAGGACTGCTCGTGTATGCCAAACGGCTCGCCGTGGCTGCACAAGAATCAACACGCCATATTACGAAACATCGAGCTGTCCGTCTTGACAAGCGCATTCTGGGACAGCACACGCTCGGCATACTCTGAAGATGTTGTTGCACGCGGTGCATCCATGTTTTCCACGCAGCACAGCACGCAGCACCGTCGACAACCACAATAAGGCGCACGCAAAGAGCCTTGAGCCAAATCACCGTCTTGCAACATGACCAAATCCAAGCTCCAAAACTCCCAACCATGCCGTAGCTCATTCCGACTCTCGCAACTGGAAAAATGTTAAACCCCCCACAAGCAACCTAGTCCTCCATCTTCGCGTCTCCCTCTTTGCCCATATTCTTCAACAAATAACTTCTCTTGAAATACTCGTTCGGGTGCACAATAGTCTCCAGCTGATTCGACGTCATGACGCCCTCGTCTTTGGCCTTTTTGATCTCGGCCTTGTGGAGGTGCTCAAATACCCTGTAAATGGAAAACAAGGGAAAGCAAAGGAAAAGAAATCGTTAGCAGCCATGTCATTTGATTACCCGCCTCGGGGAGCCAGGCATACCTATTACAAGCCATGTGATACTTTTGATTATCCTTGTCCTCCTTGATGCCCTGCAACACGGACCTGTCCGAAACACCCATTGCCTGCACCAGCGCCGTCAGATTGTCCAGGTTAAAGTGTCGATACGGACAGCCGTGCGCCTCTCCGGGACCAGGAGGATGTTCTGTCAGGATCTTCTGGCAACTGTAGGGGCTGTAACCGCCGCCCCGGCGGTTCGAATCGCCGCCCACCTCGCCGTATGCGTGGCGGACGTTATACCTGTACTCCTTGTTGAACTGGTCGTCGGTGATTTTGTGGAACGAGCTGCGCCAGAACATGAGGCACTCCTCGAGATTCAAGCCGATGCCTTTGAGAAACAGCGTGTACTGCAGACGTCCGTAATGCTTGAGGTGCGCGTCTCGCCGGAGGGAGCGGTGCAGGTGTGACATGCACGCCGGGAAATGCTGGGAGAGATTGTCAATATTGGAGGCGGTGATTTGGGCGCCGGCCGGGGCGGACGAGTTGGATGCGTATGCAGAGTCGGGCGTGACAAAGTTCTTGGAGAGGTGGTTCAGGATGGGCGTCAAACGGTCGTCTTCATCGAGACGTGGCAAAGCTCGAGCAGTCAACTATAGACGTGTTAGCGCTCTTCAAAATATGCCAAGGGGCCTGTGCACCCATCACACATACCTCGAGCTGCTTCTCCAGGCGTGATGAGAACTCTGCCACAACCATGCTGGACTGCTCCCTCGACGGCACAAACGCCTTGCCTTGCTTCAGAAACACTCTCCGCCCCTCAATCAAGTCCGGCACTCTCTCCCAGTCCACCTTGAACCAAATGTCGTCTTCTGCGCCGGATTTCTTGGGACCCGTCGCCATGGCGGCCAAATCCGCCGCGTACTCCCTCTTCTCGTCCTCCGTTACGGGCTCCCACCAATCCAGGTCGAGACTTGACACAAACGCCGACCGCTCCGACAAGTCATCGCTGTTGAATCGCAAGCGGAAGAGCATCGTTTCCACGCGTGTGAATCGGCGTCGCAAGTCCTCGGTCGAGGAGAATGCCAACCTGAGAATGAAATGACTATAGTGGTCCTTTTGCCTTTGACTAAAGATTCGCGCATTGGAGGAGCTGTGCGTGTCGAGAGGCAGATACTTTTCGAGAATGGACTTCATGTGTGCGGCTGTTTCGGTTGGCGTACGGTTTCTGAAGGAGCAGGCCTCCAATTCAGCAAGGACTATTCCCCGTGTCAGCAGTTCATGTTTGTTTGCAGGTCAGAAAATGTAAGATTCAGACCTCGTAGGCGGTCAATAGCCCATTGCTCAAACTGCTCGAGGGTGATATCAGCCGTCGGCGCGTCGGTGTAGAAGTTCAGCCTGTGAGGATACTCGGCGTCCTTGTACTGAGGAAGCGCGAACGGCTTCTTTCTGTGGTCCACAGTAGCTCGACGCTTCGGGTCAATGCGATTATAGTCCTGGCGCAGCATATTGACGGTTTCAAAGGCTGCAACGACGGATAACTTGATTTGCCTTGTCACCAGAATTCAGGACTGTGCCATGGAGGAGAAGAGGTGTCAGTGGGAGACGCGTTCCGGCGCGTCGTATGGGGCGTCCAATTAAGGCCGCGAGCCAATCATGTGCGTGGTGATCTGGACGTGGGGCGCGTCAACGGTCGTCCAAGCTAACTACTAACTTACCTACTGCACATATTTCTCCGATTCAAACAGAATGCAAGACGTCCTTCGGCCAGACAATGAAACGTACAAGAGCTGTTATGAGCCAGGCTGAACAAGGAGAAACAGCATGATGAAAATCTATCTGAAACCCAGGACGTTGGCCTCCATCCTTAGCAGCACTCACTGTCAACACTTTAAACATCACCACTAGGCTCTGAATTCTGCAGAACTCGCAGCTCAGCCGATATCAACCGCAAAAAGAAGGAAGAAAAGAGCAGCAGAAGCAGAAGCAGCAGAAGCAACAACAAAAGCAAAAAGCAGAAAGCAACAGCAGCATGAGAGATCATGTCCCGCCAGCTCCGCAGTCGCACTGCCCAAGACGACCAACCTTGCACCGCCAGCATCGATCTCCGCATTACTGACGAGGCGAGTATTCATCCTCTCGAACGTTCCTGTTGTATTTCTGTCATTGTGCTTCAGCTCACTTGCATTCATCAGCTCCTCCCCTCAACAACCAACATGACATCGTGTGGCCTCCTCAAACTGCCCCCCGAAATCCTCATACATATCTTCACACACGCCTGTGCCCCGGACGCCATCATCCTCGCCCTGACCTGCAAGGCTCTCCTGTCAATCGCCCACCTCTGCCACCTCCAAGTGCCTCGTCCGCGAAGCCACCGTCAACCCTGGGCTCTCGCCATGACACCACTTGCGTCCTCGAATCTGAATTCCCCGTCGCCGAAACTCTGCCACTGCAGACAACTGGGCTCTATCCTCCCACGCGTCCGGCCAAGACATGTTCAATCCCGGCGCGCACGAGCATGGAATCTCTGCGTGGACTGCGCCAGCTACCGCCCGACCAGGAAATCATACTGGTCGCGAAAGCTGGTCCGGTTCAATCCACATGATTGGGATAAGGATCAGGGTGAAGTTTGGCAGTCCGCGGTACGGTGGTTCTCGGCTGGGGTCAGAGTCCAATGTCCCACTTGTCGGATTGCCGAGCATGGTTTGGACAAGGCGACCGAGGACATGCAAGATACAATTACTGCTACCATCTCCTAGCTTCTGACTTAGGGGAGGAGTGGTGCGTGGGCTTCTGTGCGAGCCGAGATGGATGATACGGATCAAGTTCAGTTATGCACGAGCTCTCGCACATGTACCAATCATCGGAAGACCAGACAGCTATACGAGACGGCTGGATTGTCACAACCTTTCGACTTTCGATGCACGACTAAACGAGAGCTGCTCCGATACTCGTTATGGATATATCGGACAAGTGGCCAGCCAGGCTCGCACAAAAGCCAAAATTATCATACTGCCTTTTTGGCCCTTGTTTTTCCGGGCATTTTCTTAGTGGGGGATGCAGATCATCATCAACTCGCCCCAAAATCTCTCCTCCCTTTTCTCGACCTGTCTCCTTCCGCCATTCTGTTCTTCTCCCAGTGAAGCTCTGGCCGCTTAGGCTGGCTCAGCGGAAGCTCAATCAGCCACGCATCGAGCGCAACGTCGAGAGAGGCGTGCATCCACGCAAACAACTTGATATAGATGCAGTGGCCAGGCGCGTTGCCTTCAACGTGCTCCGTTCAGAACCAACTCACAGGTGTGCACTGAAAAATACCCGTCGCGGCGAATGTAAAGCCCAAGGCAAAGCTGCAACATTAACAAGGCGAGAAGAAAGTACTCAGAAAACCGTTTCAGTCTCATCATAGCGATGATGATATGCCGACCCCGTGGATTCTTCTTTTCCACGGCCAAGCCATTCGCTCTCTGAGTTAATGCCCGCCGTTCGAGCTTTGTAGAGATATGGAAGCGGCACACCACCCGTAGAGAATGGCCATACTGTTGAACCAGCTTGCTATTTTGCCATTCCTATCCTCAGCCCTCTAAAGCCAAACCCCCCTTGGCGGGGATTGCACCGACGTGGCTCGTAGAAGAGGGTTGGAACGTAATGGCAGAGGCGATCGTCACGACTGTCTGTGTCAGGCGCGGCGTGAGGCAGGGCCGCCACCTTTCTATACATACCCCAAGCCCAGCCCTCTTCGGAGGTGATTGAAGTTGAAGAAAAGATCGAGGGCAGCGGAGTGGACCGTGAAATTACCATCACGACGCAAAGTTTACAATGCTACTGAAGTGACGGGGGGAGTAGGTGACACCACCGCGACCATCAAGCATGTAACGATATTATATACCAAATCGGGCGAGTCTATAATGTCTGCTGCAAACCTAGTCCAGAGCTCGCAATGCTTGTCTCTTCTCAACCCCTCTCTTTGGCAGCGGGCTCGAGCGACGGTTTACTGGTGGCGGTCGCATGTGCGTTTGGACATCTTCAAGACCCGCAGGTCCTAGCCACTGGCGTCCATACACAAGTGCCAGGATATGTAGTTAGTAGTAGTAGTCTTGTCTTGAATTCTTGGTAGCCTTGCCGTCTTCACCGGCCGGCTCCAATTTGCTGAAATACCTGCTGGGTACTGCCCTTCTGGTTCTCACACAGACCTATGCGCGGCCCTGCATACACACAAGCATATGTCCATAGTGATATGTCCGCATAGTGCTGGAATGTAGGTATAGAGTAGTTATTGGTTTCCTATGTGATGCATGCAGTATATGAAAGCATAGCGCGGGTACACAGGTATCTATGTAGGCAGGTATGTGTGTGTTCTGGTCACATATGCGAAACACTTTCGGTATCTTACTCCAGCACAGGCTGGACTATGTCCAGGCACACAGGCTCGTGCCCATCTTGGTGTAAACTGAACAAGTTCAGTATCGCAGCCTACCTGGCGCAGATATGACTTCGCAGTAGTATGTATTGGCAGCCGTTGGATGCGATTTTTTCGCATCGGAGCGGCAGGATCCTGCGTGTCCCGGTAACTCTTGGTGGCGACGTCTGCTATCCGCATCTTGTGACTCGTCTCTGAAACCACCCGTATAACACAGTATGTTTGCTTATCTGCAAGCTGAACCTAACAATGCTAAAGCACGCGAGATGATTGTAGATCTGTAGTGATGGCATTTGTCACCCCTGTCGGATCACCCAACGCTGAACTTGGCGTCCAAGCTCTGAAACGGTTGCCCGTCCAGTCAAAGTCTTGAGGATGGGCGTGTGTCCGGGATCCCCTGGGCTGGTGGGAGAGATACAAGCAATTGGCGGAGCTTCGTCACATTTGACAGCTGCCATCCAAGCAAGCCACTGCTGGAGCCTGTGCTGGAGCCTGCGATCATCACGTTTCGGGTTGCACGACGCAAAACGTGTGTTCAAATGCCGCCGCTGCAAGGGGCATAGTATTGCACTGTTCAACACGTGCGCCGATGCCGTTATATTGCGCTTTGGCCAGAGAACCCATCATCTTGTCAAGATGTATTGGAATGTTTGCAGCCGGCTCTGCCAACCAGTAATAAGCAGCATAGGCGAATACCAGTGTGTTGAACGGGAGTTTTGGGTGCCTGGGAACTCATTCCCTGACCACTTGCCACCCCGATCTTGGCGGCAGGAGGCCCGCATATTCATTTCAGAGCGTTTATACTCCGTACTAGCTTCTCCTACCGACGCAACTTTCGGACAAGGTTGACGATTGGCGTAGGGTAGGGTCAGAGAAGAGTAACGCCGCTCGTCCAGTCCCAACTACTACCTCTGCGGTTAGGTAGGTAGTCTGGGGACACACACGGGTATCGACGCGTCATGTTTTTGTTTTGTGAAGCTTTGTGACGAGTATTCACTCGTGCGGCATGCGGTGCTCGGTAGAACAGGACTTGGCCTGGCCTGGCTTTGGACGTGAACTGGGCCCTGCTGCAGATGTGTAGCACTCATCGTGACGTGTAATAATGCAGGCAGGCGTCCTCGCACCTGCATTGGTCTCCGGGAAACTGGTGATGCACAAGAGGAGCCGGGTGGTCGACGGCCTGAGTGCGACGATGTCGAAGTGGTTGTTTTTTTGTGGACCCCGTCATTGTTGTTGTCTATTGTGCCATCTTGCCGGTTCTCGACTGGAATCTTGGGAGATGGTCGGGATTCGGGGGTGAGATTGATACATACGTGCTAGGTACGGGGCTCGGTGGGGCTCGACGGGTCAAATGGGGGAGTCCGAGCATTGAGCACGAGCAGTTCGAGTAGTAGCAGCACTTGCACATCCCCTTTATCCACATGTAACGACATGGAGATGCGATATGCACCTTGATGTTTAAACTTAAGTGCGGCAGGGACCTAAGTACCTAGGTACTTGGGAGTTTTACTCGGTACGTGTACTCCGTACTCGATAGAGTTGCGTGAGTCTGGTGCCTCTCGCCTAGCAAGCACTCCACCCATTGAGACTGGTTGACCCCACACGTGTATCCTCTGGCTCGCTCCTGCCGCCTGAATACTGTACGTACAGACTCTAGCTTCGACGCCCCACTCTGACAGCTCGAGTCTGGTGGCCCCTGGGTGTTCCTGCTTGCCAAACAAGCAACCTTGGACCACCACCAGCCGCCCCGTGCCTTCCTGCCTACAGCCACCCCATCGACAGCCTCAAATCCTTTCTCACCCGCATCTCCTCCCTCCAGTCTCGCCAGGCAACGCTTGACGGGTCGCCTCCCGCGCCCTACGTATCCTCACCAACACCAGTCGCCGACACCAGCACGGCGCATAACCGCTCCCATGTTGTTGTTATAGAAGATCCATATACTTGTTCCTGCCGAGCCTGCGCCGCCCTGCGACGTGCACCCCTGCCATCTCGCCTCGTCGAATTCCTCCACCGGCCACCGCTTGCACATTGAACCACCAGGCCCCTGCTGCCACGCATCGTCGTTTGCTTTTAGAAGTCTCATCGGCTTTGGAGCAAAGCCATTTTCGAGGTATTGCTTGCCCCTCGTCTTGTGGACTTCATCAAACATGCATCGTTGACACACCCATCCCGTCACGCTGGTACAGGCCCGACGCCAAGACGATTGACATAACAATTTGGACCAATAGCCATGAGTGGCTCCGGGGCGTCTCAAGTCATTGAATCTTTACCATGCAATGAATCCAGCGGCCGCATCTACAATGGCTCCGGAACTCAAGACACTGGATTATCGACTGACCCGTCTGCCACTGCCACGGGACGTCTGGTCGAGTTCCATTCTAAAACCATTGCCCCATCACCACCTACCTCACATTTAGCATTCCAACAGCACGTGGACGACGGCAAACAAGAAACAAGCTCGCCTCTTCGTATATCCACCGGCGCATCTGCCCCGATTCCAATACAAGTCTCTGCTGGACATTGCGAATCCCACATTGCCAATATGGGCCTCTCGCCACCCCAAGCTTTCGACCAGAAAGCTTCTCCAAGCAACCTCTGCCCCATCTCACGAACACCCAGCATAAAGGCTGCGTTTGCCACTTATTCTAGCTCTTTGGCAGGGTCCGGCGGAAGCATTTCCAGCCCTGTCATCGCCGCAATGGGAGACCTAACGCCTCTGCCCAGCCCATTACTCTCCAGTGATTCGCCCGGACCCTGGAAGAAGCTCGACGCCAGCTCCCCGCCGCCTCAACTTCCAAGTATATTTTCTAATTATGAAGTTGTTTCCAAAGGCAGTGTTGATGATATCACAAGCAGCCAGACTGTCCGGACCGAGGCTTCTCGGGCCGCTCCACCCAGGCGAAAGCAGTACGGCAGCTTGATTGAGCCAGACAAGTCCCTGGCTGCGATGCCACCGAGTGAAGATGGACAAACACAACGTGTACACCATACGAGGAACCGCAGCGTCAGTGAATATATCCCGGAACCCTCACCATCACACCGACGTCAGGTCGCCGTGTCCGGACCTCATATCAGTCGCAACATTACACCCGATAGTCACGAGTCACACATGAGAAGGGAAATCAACTTTGCCGAATCGCGTGGGATCACTTCTCTAGCTGGTCAGCCACCAACTCCGCCGCCAAGCGAGTCATCGAAAGAGCCTGTCGATGGTGGGAGATCCAAGGATAGGTATCACGAATGGTTCGAAGCCTGGAACAGGCATGACCAAAAGCGTCGTCGTTGGAGATCAATAGGGTTTCTCGGTCAAGGGACCTTTAGCCGAGTTATGCTCGCAAGCAGTCAGATCCTGTCGACGGATTATTCACAGGATCAGCCCATCGAAGCCTCTTCTCTTGTGACAGACAAAGGGCAGCGGAAGAAGCTTGTGGCTATCAAAGTCTGCGAGCATGGCCCTCGAGGTGGCGCAAGTGAAGAGCGTATTGAGATGAGTCTGAAAAGAGAGCTGGAAATAATGCAATGCATACACCATCCGTCTCTGGTCAACCTCAAAGCATGGAGCATCGAGCCAACCAGGGCCATTCTCGTTCTGAGCTACTGCCCCGGCGGAGATCTGTTTGACATGGCAACCATTCACAGAAGGCTGTTTACCCCGGCTCTTTTGCGCAGAGTGTTTTCCGAGTTGGTAGGCGCCGTCACGTACCTTCATGAGAAAAAGATTGTCCATAGAGACATCAAACTGGAAAGTAAGACATCCTACAGGTCGGCCCTTTGGCGTGTCTGAGCTAATTTAGTCGTCCTCGTAGATGTCTTGGTCAACTTGACTCCCATGGAGTTGGCGGACCCTTCTGTCGACTGGTCCAAGTTCCCCACGTCTGTAATTACCCTTGCGGATCTGGGCTTATCTCGTCGGATTGCAGATGATGAGAAACTAGAAACTCGGTGCGGCTCAGACGACTATGCCGCACCTGAAGTGATCATGGGCCAGCCTTACGATGGCCGTGCCACTGATGCGTGGTCCCTTGGAGTTCTCCTTTATGCCCTCTTGGAATCTCGCCTCCCCTTTGATCCACATCCTGGCATGAGCGATGCCCATCGGATGCGTAGTAGGACAAGCCATCGCATCGCCAGAGTAGAATGGCGCTGGGTTGAATACGCAGGGGACGACGGTGAGCATGAGGCCAATATAGCCATGTTCGAAGAGAGGGGCCTCATCGGCGCCATGGAAATCACCCAAGGGTTGCTGAAGCGTGCTCGTAGTCGGTGGACTATGGATCATGTGGCAAGCCAACTGTGGGTGAAAGACGCCATTCGAGTCCAGGGCGGCATCAAATTCAGGGACGAAGATGAGGGACAGGAAGTCTAGTCGACACGAGACAAAATGGCCTCTACCTCGCTTCACGGGCAGTCTTGATGCTGGCCCGTCTTTTGCCTGGCCTCCTCCCCGCATCGCCGGGTGGATGGCATTACCATTTAATTGTCTTGGGCAAAGACGACTTGTATTGCGATATTTCCTGATCACACACTCACAAACAAGACGCCCTGCGCCGCTTTCTATGCTTTTTAATAATTTTCTTTCGTTATACACGAGATGGTTTCTTGTGCTATTTAGTCCCGTCAATAGCATCTGGACTAGCACAAGACTCCCCTTGCTGCAATCGCGAAAATCGCGACGCCAAACTTTGCTTTCAATTTTCAATTCTGGACATTGTCCAAGCCTTCTTTACTCACCTAGGAGAGGAACGAGAGAGAGCCAGCACGAAGACTTTTTGTCTTGACACTCAGCATACCTTATACACTACACCTTGACTGTTTTTTCATCATTCGTTTTGTGTTTTAGTTTTGTTTTATGGGCAAGGCGCTGATGCATTTACCACTTGGAACTTGATACAATCATGGGACCTCGAAGATGACATTTTCACACGCCAACACATTTGGCAAATCACAAGTTGACAATATTACGGTGGATGAGTCTGGGGTAGGGATACTACGGAAAATCGGAGATAACGACAGGCTCGGGCGTGAGGAGAACCTTTTTTTTTTTTTTTTTTTTTTTTTTTGGGATCGATTCCGTTGTAATAGTATTGGGACTTGAAGATGTCTCGCCTACAGGGCTAGAGTCAAGAGAATATAAATTTAAATGTGTGACGATTAGCATAGCTCGGGTCCAGTCGCTTTTCTCGTGGCGGCTGCCCCAGTGGATAAAACCTGCATCTTCGTGAAATGAGGCTGAACTTGGCTGCATATTGCAACCCGAAGTCCGCAGCAGAGTCATCTCCCCTCACTGCATACCCGTTGGACAGTCCGGAGCATTTGCTGTTGAGTGTGGAAACCAGGATTCCTGAAGGGACGGACGCACCACTCCGTTCAGAAGCAAGAAGACGTGGCGTGTAGAGTAGTTCAAAACAGCCCATATGATGTTTGTTTCTATACGTGCGTGTGGAGAAGTGTCCGTGAGGCTCCGAGGCTGCAGTCGCCATCGTGTCCTTGGCAGCTAGAACAAGACTCGAAGTCTCCAGACAACAAGATTGGTCGGGGCACCTCAACGTGAATAATCGGCGGTTTTACCTGGCTCGCGGAACTGGCAGTCTGAGAATGACGCTGGCTGACATCATGCGGCGTCCGACCTCGAAAGCAAGCATTACACGGAACGTACATACTCCGTACACTTGTGCGAACCGCCCAGAGGTCTGGTTCAAGGCCCTTTAGATGAAAGCCGACCATGCGACGGACTGCACTGTTCAAGCATGTACGTCTCCCTTGACATTGTAGCAGGCCCATCTGGTCAGTACGTATTAGTCTGGGACTAGTTGGAAACAAGGAACCGTGCGGCGTTGGATACTGACACATTCCGAGCGCACCGATCCCGTAGTTTATTGGCGCTTAGGCCTTTATGCCATGCTGATCGAATGTGTTCAAGAACAACGTGTTGTACACAGCGTCTAGGCTGGCACCCCTCGGCGGATGAAGCCACCACTCGATGTCGGCCTTCGCAGATGGAAAGATACCTTGGAAATATTGCTATAGAGCTGTCATATTATTGCAGAAAGATGCATTAGTGTATCACAAACGACAACCATTGATCATTATGACTTCGGCCCCCTATAGATCAGATGTCTGACCTGTGAGACGATGAGGGTGAAATGAGAAAGGATGACGACGGCAACAGGGGCCGCATTCTTCTCATCCTGTCTCCGACCGCGCACAGATGGATATCTGTCTGAAACAATGAACAAGGCACAGGCGGAAGAGCCCGGATACTTGGTTTGACCAGAGCCCATGTCGGAAAGAATGAATGAGTCACATCCATCCTTGAGCCCAGGTGCTGCCCCGTTGAATAACAGAGGAGAAGGGCGGCCCAAGAAATGGCGAACCTCGTCGGATGTCGACTACGGATTAAGCTTAAATGGAGGGTGCCGTATGGCTATGTGATCCGAGCACGATGGCACTCTGGCAAATGCAAGAATTCTGTCTCGGACCTGATCGGTTTCATGTCGATCTTTCTGGACGGCAGCAACGCACTTCCTCGTGGGATTGATCAGCATCTTTGCAGGACAGGAGCAAAGTCGAAATAGTACCGTCTACCGAGACTCGTTGGATTATGCAATTCACATGCCACCGTACTCCGTACTGGACACCGCGTCCGTACGGTGGCTGCTGCTTTGTCCCAGAAGGGTAGGTCAATGTTGGACTAGTTACAAGCCTTTACCCTGGCTACATGAACTGATGATCTCCTGGCGGCGCGATGCGGTGGCGACTGGCGATGTCGACGTATCCACAGCCCCAGACGCACGTCAGATCGAGGGGCCAGAGCTGGGGTTGCGTATGATTCCTATGCTTCCAAACCAGATGATTCCTGTCCTGCACATATGACAGCCGGACTTTGAAACTGATGCGAAATAGTCGGGAGGTTCTGGCGGTATCAATGACAAACTTCCTCCGCGGAGGCCTGCAGAGCGCAGTACTGGAGACAAGTTTGAATCGACCTTGGTCCTCCCTAGTTGTGCTTGGCGAAGCTCGTCGCTGATGCCGCAGTCAGCGAAGCGGCCCAGAATAAAGCCGAATGAGGGAGGCAATGCCCAGGCCTTGCCTGTTGTCAGCTCGGCGTCGCTCCGCGAGCCACTGGCCTAAAAAAAGAAGGCTGCTGAACAAAGTCTCGCCGGGTCTTTGATTGATACCCTGTCCCGGTCCGAGGGCCTGGGCAAAGACTGCGTCCTTCTAACTAACTTATTAGTCCCCGCAATAGAGACATGTAGCCGACAAGGAGTCGGTTGATTTGATTACTTGAGCTTTGTTGGAAAGGCGGACCGAATAGGGGTTGAGGGACCGGCCGAGCGATGGAATTTGAGAGCCGTCATCCCTCGCGAGCAGTTTCCGCTACTCCGTACCACGTGTGATATCGCGGAATCTGCGAGTCTGGCCAGAGAAGACCCCATATCCACCCCTTGCTATCTCTGTCGAAGGGTTTCGACTAGTAGTTGAAGTTCGCGTTCTGTCCCCAGAAGTCATACATATCCCGCGTGGCAAATGCCTCCTGGTGTCCGCCCATCCCATCCCATCTATCCTGTCGTCGGCTCTGTTGGTGGAACACGCTGGGGTAATCAACATAGGAAACCCTGGCTTGCCAGACCCCTCGCCGCCGCCGGGCCATCCCCAGAGACCCCAGACCCTGACAAAGCAGACAGCTAATGGGGCTGATGCAGTCAGTCAGCCCCGCAGCGCCTCGGCTTGGCTCGTAGCTCGGCTGCCACCAAGACTACAGAGTGAATCTGTCTGCTCGGTCCCGGCTCAGCAATCGGGGGTCAGGACTCTGATGAGGGCAACATTGGCAACGGTTCGCAACGTTCATGTCGACTCCCCTGCGCTGGCTGTCCGTCGCCGTCGCCGTCTTCGTCGTCTGGCTCGCCGAGACTGCGACGAGACACCGAGTCGCGCCGGCCCCACCAAGCTTGGGCCGCGTGAGCTGGCCAGGTGCGGTGTACGTACGGAGTACGGAGTATAATGGCTAGATGCTTCGAATGGCCCCAGGTCCGTCCGGCTTGAATCAAGGGTGCAAATACAATAGTCGCCCTTGCAAGTCCGAAGTGCCGCCCGTGAAGCCAAGCCCCCTACCAGCGCAAATCGGAGCTCCATTGGCGCCTCCAAATGCGCTAGTACCATTTCAAGTATATTACCACGTGTCGAGGTAATTGCCTTTGGGCTACTCCGTACTCCGTACTCCCGCACCGAGCACCGCGTACTGCCGCCGCCACAACGGGCTGCCCCCCCCATGTTGTGCGCTTGGTTGGTCTCGAGGGTCTCTAGGTCACTGGGTGTGCCGGCCTCCGCAGACGCCCGGCCATGCTTGATGAACTGTGGCGCCGCTGCCCATACTAGCAGCTAGATCTGACAGCTGATCGGGACAGGAATGTCATGGAGCAAGGGCAAAGCTGGTTTGCGGAAAGGCTCTCTCGGGCTGTATGTAATGTGTCCCCGAGCGCTGCGCGGTGGCCAATGTCCATTTCGTTTGCACAAGTTCAGAGGCGAAGCCAGTGCCTGTCCCAGAACCGAACGTCAGCGGAGCAACATCTATCTGCTCGTCACGCGCGGTGGCGCCGGCCACGCCGGCCCAAGTCTTGCTTTTTTGTGACGCCAAGTCCTGGTGGACGAATCATGGGCAGATGCTGACAGTGGAATCCTTCTGGAACCGGCTGGGGGAGATGGCGCCCATCGCAGACGGTTTCTCAGTCCGTGGACAAGTCGACCTCTCTGCTCTCTGCTCGTCTGTCCCTTGCCAGGCCCACAGAGAGGCCGGCGGTTGGCTTCTGGCAATTTGGTCCTGACTCCTCGTCTTCCAGCTCAGTCGAGAAGTGTGGCAGGGGCTTGTATCACGGCTTCGTGATTGGCGATTGCTCGTCTGCAGTGGCCCCGGGGTCATATCATAATATCACCTTCTTTTTCTGGCCGATAGTCGCATTCCCACGCATGGCCACCCGCCCCTCTCGTCATGGCCATCCAGCTCCAATGTCGGGAGCCCTATGCCTGCTCCGCGGCCTTGATTCTTTGCTTCGTCAGTCGCCAGTCGTCAGTCGTCGTCAGTCTTCTGTCGTCAGTCGTCGGAGCTGAGGTTACTCCGTACATCCCCCTCTTTCCGTTCACCTGCTTCCTCACCCCAGCTCACGACGCGCTCCTCCCCACTTCGTTCTGGTTTCTTGCCATCTCTTTGTCGCTTGCGCATCTAGAGTTCCTGGTGAATGTGGCTCTCAGTTCGTCTCGGTGGCCTGTCTTATCAAGCAGCGGAGCCCACCCTGGCAAAGTCACTCCCCAGACAACGTCTCTCGAGCCTTTCATTGTGCTTTCCCTTCCAGAAAAAATTTGGTGACGGAACTTTTGCTCTTGGTTTCTTTCACGCGCGTTGCTTTTGTCAAGTTTTGTACCTTCACAAAACAGCGACCCTGACCGTTCATGCCAACAGTGCACAATACAGAGACACTATTCGGCCCGGAGACGCATTGCCCCCATCAACCAACCTATTCGGGGGAAGTGTACCGACTGTCCAAGCGTTTCTTTCCCTTGACCCTCCTCTTGTGTCTTTCTGATTGCCGCACCAGCTTGGCTGGCCAACTGCAAGTTCTTACCCCCAATCTGCCGATTATGAGGCGCCAGTGGCCGCCAGTGTTTCCGTCTTCGTGATAACATCACCGCACCCAGCCCTTCGCTACTCGAGACGAGTGATGAATCCTTGTGTTGGCGACTGAGCATCAAGACGTGGTTCTCGACTCGGTCGAGTCCCCGTCACTGACTGACCTTCAGCCAATAGACGGGGCACTGAAGCTCGGTCTGCTTGACTGCTCGTCGCCATGTTTAATCTCCCTCCCGACAAGTCGACGGCTTCTGGATTCAATGCAGACTCTTATGGTTTCAACAACCAGGGATGGTCGACTTTCCATTTCGGCCAGGGAGGACCCTCATCGTTGGGCCTTGCGCCAGAACAAAACCATGATACTCGCCAGTCATTCAGCGATGTTGAAGGGATGGAATGGGCCGCTACGCCTTGCGATGCGCACGCAACTTATGACCATCGCCCCCACGAACCCCAAGATCATCAAGGTGAGACAGCGATTGATCTCGAGGCTTTGAGTCCGCCTCCGGTCGGCGGAGGGGTTGGCCGTTTAGTCGCCCATTTCGAAAATAAGGGATTTAGTCCATTCGATAACAAGTCGTTCGTACCGGCGCCTTCTCTCCCACCGCGGCCCATCAACACCACTGCGAACAACGATCAAGGTCATCACCAGGCTCACCACCAGTCGGTGCAAAGTCCGTCAGTCAGCATGACCAGCTTCCAGCAAAGCCTCAGCTTCGATCCTTTGTCTTATTGCGGAAATGGAGTCGGCAGCGACACCAACACCTCAGTCTTCAACCCAAATGCAATTACGAGTCCAGTCAATAGCCCCGGCGCAAGCTGGGGAGAATTTAGCTCACTACGACGAGTGACAAGCCCCATAACTGCCAGCCCGGCTGCCATGTCGTATAACAGTCTCCAGGATAACAAAGTAACAAGTCCTGGCCTAGGTTCATCGTCAGCACATTTCGGAAACCTGGATAATTTCATCTCAGATAACCGCATACATAGTCCGATAGCGCAGTCTCCCTTACTGAATTCGCACCTGGCATCGCCCCCAATGCTTTCGTCGCCAATTACGGATTCTCTCCCTAACTCGAACGCAGCCTCGGTTGGCGGTACTCCAGGCTTTGAGATTTGGCGCCCTCCTGGCACCACCACCGGAATCAATCAATCTCCATCGAACAACTTCACGGCGTCTCTTTCAGCTGCAAATAGTTTCATGAGCCCGCGAAACTTTCCTAGGACAGTGACTGGCACGACCAGTCAGCACGGTTTTGGCAACAGAAACTTGACCAACAGCGCCGGCTTTCCAAAGCCTCCCGTGCCGACAACCCCTAAACCTAATATTAGCGTAGGCAATCAGTTTATCTTGGAATTAATGCCAACTGAAAAGGCCAAGGGAAAGGCACCAGCAAAACCACCACGGCCACGCCTGCCCCTTGCAGTGTCAACTTCCTTTGCAGGAGAGATCAAGCGAGAACCAGAGACGTCTAAACCGCATGAGATGCACTTAGTATCTCCAACGCCAGCTTCGCTTAGTACATCGACAACTTTATTGGTAAGTGATGGGCTTACAGATTGAACAGCCATCAGGAGGTAGCACTAATCCTAATGCAAGCCCCAGGATCCAAAGCCCGGATCAATTTCTCTGCGAAGCCAAGCAGGAGCTCGACCGTCGAGGGAACAGGTTCCTGCCGAGGCCTGGGAGCAATTTCAAGGGACAATCCGGTCATTGTACCTGGAGGAGAGAAAACCGCTGAAGGAGGTGATGGCCATTATGGCAGAGAAATATAATTTTCAAGCAACGTATGTTGTGACTCCAATGACTTAAGTAATGGGATATTGCAGTTCTTCCGCTAACATCATTTAGGCCCAAAATGTATAAAACCAGGTTCTCCCAATGGGGGTTTGTGAAGAACAACACAGAAGAAGAAGTGAAGAAACTCCTGTCGATGAAATTTCAGCGCGATGCAGAGGGTAAAGTTTCTGAATTCGTTCGCAATGGCCGAGTTGTGAATCTGGGGACGTATCTGAAGAGAAAGGGCGTGACTGAGTACGACTTGGTTGATTTCGAGTTGTCTGCCGACCTACCAGCTCATGTACGGTGCCGAACACCGACGCCACCTCCAGCCCCTGGGTATCTTCGATCTCCCGACCTACTTCGTGCGCAGGAACTCGTTGTTGGCAGTATGCGGAAGGCATTTTTGCACTGTCGCCAATTCGAAGTTGAGACCGATGCTCGCATCGGTTGGCCAATCACCATGGTTTGGGGTGCGGGATCTAGCGACTTTTTGTTGGAAGCCAACTTTTTTTTCGAAGCACGGGATGCCGACCAGGGCGGCGAATTTTTGATGAAAGCATTCAAACAACTTGAAGTTGATCTGAAGAAACTCTCACCGTTAGGTATCAACGAGCTGTTGCTCGGCATGGTGCATCGTGATCCTGGCATGATGACTGCTCTTTGCAAATATTTGGCTGCGTATTCCTCAACTAACTTTGAGCGATCACATCCCCTTCGTCAGATATTCTCTTGTTTATATGACGTTCAGCAGAAACACGGGTCAGCAACAGTGTCGGAACTTTTATGGGGGAGCATACCGACGATTGCGGAGGAATTAGAAGCGATATACAGCCGTCGTCACCCGTACGTCGCCAGGACGTGGATAGATCTCGCTCTATTCCATAACCATGTAAATGCCGATCGCCTCAGTAAGCTGGCTTCCGAGCTTCGGCTTCAACAGCGGCAAGTGGAACAACGGCATGGCACGGACAGCCTCGACGCGTTAACCTTGCGGTACTCCATTTTGCAACTACTGTATGTGGTCAACTCCCAGTCCGACATGACCAGACACGCTGCACACGATATGTGGAATCATCTTAAAAGAATGGGTGTGGTATATGGGCTTCGGGATGCCAAACCCAACGTCTTCTGTTACCACAGCCCTATCAAGGTTGACCCGTGGACTAAGAGATGCCGACGACGATATGACTCCGGCGTTGCCATTTTGGAAGAACATGTCGGTGTTAGGCTTCAGCTATATTTTGAAGAAGACTTCCATCACGCTGTCCATGTTCCTGACGCTCAGGAGGCATGGTCTTCCGCTCTGGGCCACATGAACTCGGCGAAGTACTCGTTCATCTAATTGATCTGATCACCGCATCGAGCGTTTTGATGACTAGGATGGAATTTCGAGCGACTGTTTGAAACTACTTGTTATTTATTGACATGTATGCGGCAGCCACGAGGAGCAAGATACCAGTTGGAAGGGCGAGGTGGGAAAATAGCGGGAGAAGGTACGCGGGCCGAAAGGCAATATACCCATGGAACTCGATATTATTTGTATACCCTGAACGAAATGCGGTGCGGGAGCGAAGCGACAATGCGAGGCCACCATTCCGGTAACGCTGTCGTTTTTTCTGATTTTCTTGGTGCCTGTTTCTGTTTTCAACTAATACTCAGTCTCGGCGTCATTGCAGCGTGCTGGCCACCGACATGATGGCTCAGCAAGTGGTTTTCTTTGAATCTTTTTCTTGGGTTCTTGTCCCGTAATGTCAGCGGGGTATGATTTTCGATGGTCTCATGCAGGCGGCGTTGGAAAATGAAAGTTTATCGAGGGCAGGCAACGGGAGATGCCCTTTTGTACCATTAGAAGCGATTTCAGTCTTGTTCACCAATGCCATACCAGACGCACGTGTTTGGATGGACGGCCATAACGAGCGAGTAGCTCGAGAGCGCCATAATTTGGGAGCAACGGGCGTGCATTGTTGAGTCTGTTCTGTTTCATTTCCATCATAGCGAGGTCAACGGGACAAGGGACGATGTCAAAAGGCGCAGACAAGGACTGGGAGGAACCATCTCGGGACCGCCACCAAACCATTGCCGAGGAAGGAAGGGGCTGCCGCAGTGGCCGGCCTTGCTCCTGCCTACGTTTCCATGGAGGACACGAGGCAGTCGTCTCCTTCACCTTTATCTGCAACCACAAAACCCAAGCTTTCCCACGGGCAGACATACCCACACATCTATAATAAAAACCAAACGCTTTATTCTAATGGGTAGCCTTGACTTTCTGTGCTGTCGCGTTCGTATGTCTGGCTCAATCGCCGCACACAGTGCAGTCGAAAATGCATGTTCACTGGCCTCGGAGCACCTAGGCGGGTGGGTAGCCGGTCGCTCTCTCTGCTGCCGCGTCGCAGCCGAGGACCCGCCTGACCCTCAAAGTTTTTGGGACAGCAACCGTCATCATCGTCTTTTCCACAACGCTTTGCAACGATGCGTTGCACCCATTGCCGACGATTGTGCTGGCGCTCTGCTGTTACGCGCGCACACAGAGGGTTCTCGTCGGACCGCAGGATACGAGGTAAGCTGCTTTGACCATTTGTTTGTGTTCAGGCTCCTTCAGCGAAGCTAACCCGCCTCTTTGCAGAGCACGATGTCCTTTTCCTTCGACAACAGGGCCCCAAGTACCCCAAATGGCATTTGACCGCCCCCCTCCAAGCCGGTAACAATATAAAGCTCTCATACGGGGCGTTGGTACCTGCGACGGAGCTAATCGGGAAGAATCTTCTCGACGTTGTGCAAGACAGCAAAGGCAACCGCGTGGTCCTACAGGAACCCACCCTCTCGAGCTATATTGTCAATAACGAGCGACATGCGACGCCAATCTACCCCCACGACGCCAATACCATCGTTGCCTTGCTAGATTTGAACCTGTCGCGCCCCGGAGAAGAAGAAGGCGAAGAAAACGCACTGCCGTTCGAGATATTCGAGGCTGGTACTGGAATGGGTAGCCTAACCCTGCATATTGCTCGTGCTATCCACGCAGCCAACCCGCCTTTTCCCCCAGCATTGCGTCGCGCCATTTGCGAGGCCAAATTCAGACCAAAGACTAACCCGTCCTTGACACGTGTTGATCTCGAACAAGAAGCCGAAAGAGCCTTGGACGAGTATCGAGCATGCCGGCGAGCCATCCTTCATACCTTGGACCAAAAGCCAAAACATACCCACGCTGCCTACAAACTTGTGCGCAACTTTCGTCGAGCGCAGTATCTCCCTTCGATAGATTTCCATGTCGGCAGCGTTGATGAGTATCTATCTAAAAGACTTGCCGAATCAGATGGCCAGCCATTCTTGCATCGTGCGATTCTGGACCTCCCATCAGCGCATGAAAATGCAGAGCGTGTAGTCGAGTCTTTGCTACCAAACGGAATCCTCATTCTCTTTAAGCCGTCCATCAGCCAGATTGCCGATTTCCAAAAATGGTCCACTGAAACACGTCAGCCCGTCCGTCTGGAAAAAGTTCTCGAGCTGCCCGTCTCGACTACATCTGACGGTGTCCATGATGCCGGAGGTGGTAGGCATTGGGATGTCAAGCTCGTTGTACCCAAGGCATCTCTAGGCGGAGATGGGAAACCCGTTCAGGTTATGCGGCCCAAGGTTGGGGATCGTATTGCTGGGGGAGGATTTGTGGCTGTTTTGCGAAGGTGGCCTGCGGATGCACAATCAATCGAACAAGAACAGGAACAGGAACAGGAAGATGAAAATAATGGGGAGCGGAACAATAACCAGGAGGAGAACCACGACAGATGCATATGATACCCACGCAGATGCTATGATGAGGGACATTGCATCTAAAAACTGCCGTATACACTGTATATTAGATACCTACCTGCCGGTAGGTACCTAGTTGGTTAGGCAACTACGCACAAATATTTGTCGTATGTCGTCCAAATCATGTACATTTATCTCCACAGGGACTGTTTCTGCGATATTCATTGACGGCAGCCAGGACGTCGTGTCAGTTGCAGTTCACGAGTCCAGTTCGTGAAACCAAATGGCTTGCATATCATTTGTTGTCGCCAACCAAACAAAGTCAACGGGTATCTTTCATGCACATGTCATCAAAACATTCCCCGATCCCTGAAGCCGTCGTCAACCATCAGCTCAGCTCATCCAAGCACGCCATTTTCCACCAAATTAATGATCCCCGGTGGTCTGAAGCCCAGTTCTCCGAGATCACTGCACGCCGCCGTCCCCTCAACACCAAAAAGGAGGGAGTGTGATGATGAGCATTGCCCACGTCCATCCTTCCAGTGCAAGTATTACTCCTTTATATAATCATCCCTCAATCCAACCAGCAGCAACCGTAGGGAAAACAAATTCTGAGAAGAAAAAAAAGTAGCAACCAGAGCCAAGAAATACTTGAACAACTCCAGACCCTTCAGTCCCGCTGAAGGTCATTAATAGGAGATGGGGATTCTTGAGAAGCAGACGAGGCGAGACCTCAACCTCACAGACATGTATAAAACACAATGTGCGTTGGCGGTGAGCCGAAACTTTTCCTATACCGTACATTGACCAAGGCATGAGAAAAGGGAAGAGTCTCACAGTTGCGAGTCCCTACAAGTTCACTGCCGACGGCGATTTCGAGGGAAATGCTGGCGAAGGAGGCTTGCGCCTTTGTCACGCCTTCTTGAATACGCAATTCATTTGACAGACGAGATTTTGTCTCAAAGTAGAAAAAAACAAGCGACGAGAGTAAAAGCGAAAGCAACTAGTCGACTGCTGAAGGGCAACAAAGGGTGCGAAGCCAAGTGTGAGTGGCATTCAGAAGTTGACCCTCCGCTCTGGTGCCCTCGCGCAGCATACCATCAGCTTCAGGCTAGTACCTAGTTTCTCACATTCGGAAAGAAGCATCTTGTCGTCCCAAATGCTGCCCTCAGAACCGAGGCTGAAGGCGTTTTCATAGCAGCGGGTATACCACCAACGACCGACCCGCGTGACAATCTTCGTTATGTTTGCATCCGCTAATGGGCTACTGTCACGCATCGTTTCTGCCAAACTGAGATGGCCTTTCTTCCTCTGATCAGGGTCACGTTTACTCTCTGACTTGTGGCTGCCAGGTCGCGTGATTGAACTGGCTACAGGTATTCCCACTCGAGCAGCCTTGATGTGGGAGAATCCGGCCTTGCCTAGCAAGCGCACGGTCAAATCGGCAGCAGACGCAAAGGTTGTGTCAGGGGCGCTCTGATGGATTCTTTCCTTCAGCTGTCGAATCGCTCGTCGGCCGCGATTGCCCATGTTATTGAGGTCAGAATCCAGAATCGAAAGTTCGATATATCCGTCGGGGCGAAGAACCCGCAGTGCTTCGTTCAAAACATTTCGATAATGGACTTCAGAGGCAGCTATTGGAAACCGATACACGACGGCGTGAAAGCTTTGCGATGCAAATGGGAACTTTTCCAGATGAGACGTATACTGGACCTGGTGGTGGTTTGCGGGACTCAGAGGGTATCCAGCAGACGAGGCCTCGAGTTCGACTGGAAGCGGTGCACGAGGAGAAAGGTTGAAGAACGAAGCGCCTGGGTACGTCTCGGCAGCATAGAATGACCAGTCATCATTTCCAAGTCCATCAATGACTAGGATAGAATGCTGCTTGGATGAAGTCTTGACATGGACTAGCTCGTGTCGGACGTCGCTAAATAGTACGTGGCCAAATGTAAGCCATTTGCTGACTGTCATCGACCCGACTCGAAGATTGACTTGAGCCAAAGGCGACCCATCATTTGACGAGCAGGAACTAAAGTCGGAGAACGTTGTTTGGCAGGAAGAACAACTATTCCTTTTGAGGGCAGCAGTCCCTTCAGCGTCCGCTGGCTTGTCAAGTTGCGCTTCGCTGATACCGTGGCCTTGTGTGCCTACAGATTGAGGAATGGTTTTTGGTTGGAAAGCGCAGCGAATCCGTGCCGTCATGCCTGCTCTATAACAAGGAGACTGCGTTGGTGCTTCTGAATAAGTCGATGTCTTTCGGCTGTCAACAGCAACAGTGGGAGAATCAAGCTCTATCCCGTTTGCTAATTTCCGTTGATAGGTTTCCAAGTGAAATGGTGCACCTTTGGATGACGTAGCAGACCGCGACCTCTTTATGCCATCATCACTAAGCAGATCGTCGTATTCATCCCATATTTCATCTTCGGCTGGTGGATCCTCCGGCTTGGGGATAACTGCCGTGGCCGTCGTGAAAAAGGGGCTTGCCGCCCCGGAACTACTTGAGCTGGTATTAATGGTACCGCTTGAATTCTTGCGCGGAGACAAAGACAGAAACTCCCTATCAGCTTCACCGAGCTCTGCTGATATATCAGAGCCCGAGATGCTGTGTGGAGAGAATCTTGTCCCGCTCTCCGAGGCCTCCCATTTCCCAGATGGTTCTGGGAGAGGTTTTGGGGGATTTGGTGGAGTAGAGCCAACGGCAATGAGCTCGGAATCATGGATTTCTGCTCTACTCCATGTGGGATGATGTGAACTGGCTCGAAAGGGACGCGAAAAGCTTTGTGGAGACGCATTCTCCGTTCCCAGTTTGATGACTTGTGGAATCCGACCGACTCGTTGAAGGCGACTGGGTCGGAGGTTGTTCTTCATTTGATGCGTGCCCGTTTGGGAGGAAGTTTTTTCTCCACCAGATGAAGCAATTGTCGTGATAGAATGACTGTCTGAGGAGGTTTGCCAGTATTTTTGTATCGGAAAATCCGCCACTAGCCGCCTCGAGGATTGGGCAACTGATTCTTGGTAGTCATGACTTTCCATGATGGGTGTTCGTTTATGCACTTCGGCTTGTCTTAATTCTTCCTGACTGTCCAGATGTCCACTTTCATCTGGTTCAACATTGTCCAACATGGTGTAAAATGCGATAGGTCGTTCGCCCACAGTTCTGACAGTGGCTTCAATATTCTCGTTGCTTTGGGTCTTCTTCGTACTCGACTGGCTCTGTGTTCTACTAAATAACTTCCAGATCCTTGGTGCTCTTGTCTCTCTCTTGAGCTTTTTGGGTACGGGATTTACTCTTGCTGACTCTTGCGAAAGGCCCTGTGTCAATTCCAACTGTGAGTCATCTGATAACAGAGTAGTATCGAGGCTCGTCAGTGGCGATGGAGATACATGGGCACAAGTTTGAAGGAGTTGAGGTAGTCGTAAGGGATCATCTGGAGACAATTGGAGTCTCTGCATAGATCGTCTAAATGCTAGGGTCGATTCCATGCCGAGCTCATCAGACCAAGTGCCACCATTTGGCTGATGAGGGCTAGAAGTTCGAAGCCGGGGCAGAGCGGACGGGCGGAGCTCCGTCCTAGATTCGTTGTAGGAGGTAAATGACCCTTCAGAAGACATCTTCGAATCTATGCTACGACGACCTGGCAGGCTGTGATTGGTCTCCGAGCGAGACAGCTCTGCGCTGGCATTACTGTTTTGGACGACTTCGCCACCAGAAATGATGACGGGATTCATTCGATCAGTCAAGAATGAATCTGAACTCGCCAGGCTATCGTACGACGACACGGGGTCGGTAACGCCATGTGGCAAAACAGAGCCACTCCCACTGCGTCGTCGGATAGCACCAACACGACCATAACCCTCGTGCCCTGTTCCTGCTGCCGGGCCTTTTCGACTGCCTTCTTTCTTGTTGGGCCTGTCTTCTTTTTTCGGGATGTCGAAAGTAGCCTTTTTCCTTCCGAAAAATGGGAATCTGCTTCTGGAGGTCGACCTAAACCTGGACTGCGTAGTTTGAGGGGACAGACCGGGCTCCGTGACTTGCCCCTTCAATTTGTCAAAGCTCGGTCGAGATTTTAACGATTTTGAAAGGCCTTCATGCCCTGGGGAGACAGTTGATGACGATATATGTCGGCCGTTTTGTGCAATAGGCATCGTAGTTCCTGGAAGAGAAGTAGTTCCCGAGGCACCACTGCCGCGGCCCTCCGGAGTCCGCATGGTCGACACTAAATTACTTTGTATCACAGGGATGGGTCTGCACAGCTGTGATTTCATGTCGGGAGTATTATGGCGACTTGGTCGTGCCGGAGGACCCATCTCTATCGGGGATGAAGCATCGGAGTATGTGGGACTATGCGGCTTCTTTTTGATTGCAATGTCTCCCGATTCTGGGATCTTGTGTTTGGTTAACCTGAGAATTTCATTCCGTTCCTTCGACTTGGCAAACTTCTGCGAAGATTTCCTAGGTGGTGGGCTAGGTGGTGGCGGCGATAAATGCCTGGCCTTTGCCTTCTCCTTTCTCGTAGCTCTATCTCCTTCTTTCACAGTAGAGTTAGAGGAAGATGAGGTGAGGGATTCTCTGACAGATGCTAGCCCATGAGGGTCGATGGACGCTTCGTCGGGAAAGCTTCCGGCACGCCTTCTGCTTACAGGAGGTCTAGTCGCTAATACACTGTGCTGTCGGCCATTTCTATGCGTGATTCCTACTCGGCTCGGGGCAACGAAGACTGGTGACTGAGAGGAAATTGAAGTTGGCGTGGTATCTCGACTATAAGGACCAGGACCTGGCGAATCCGACAACTTGGTCGAGGGGCTTCCGCTAACGGCGCTAATCTGACTACTACCACCGGAGAATAACTGCGACAAGGGCGTCGGCGGTGGCTCATGCGTTGTCAATTGATAATGAACATCGATTTCAGGTCTTTTGAAAGAATATTCTGGCTGCTGCTGAAAGTCGCGATATCGATCGAGCTCCGGATATAACCCAGGCGGTTGTGCCAGTGATCTTCCGGTGTCGTCAATTCCGGGAACTTGCGTCTTAGCGGACCGTTCAGCCATTTCTCGATCGCATGGCATTAATTGTCGGCTGTTCAAAGCACCCTGTGGTAGCTTGTCAGAGATTGATGAGCCATTACTGCCGGATTCTTTATGAGAGGTGCCTAAACCACGAGGCGCCGAGGCCTTATTCTGCCTGAACGAGCCTTGCCTAGTCGTTGATGTGGCATCCACGGATCGGCCAGATGACGATGAGCCTGATGCAGTTTGATTGTGTGATGTGGAGGTTTCCGACGATGTTCTGTTGCCTACGCCAGATGTCGTGACTTGTATATCCGATCTAGACGACGGCCGGGGAAGAACCGACCCTCGGATAGAGCAAGATGGCTGTATTCTAGTTGATATCTTCTGTAGAGGGTTTGCCTGCCTCGCAATGCTAGGTGGCCCCCCACCAGTTTGCCCTGTTGGGTTCATTGGTCTAGGAATAGGGCCATGAAATATATCGTCCTCGCTCCTTTGTGGACGATATGCGTCCGAAGGCCTTGGCGGGAGGCCGTACCCTTTCATGATCGATGCCATACTCTTCCAGCCTTTCTGGACTTTTCTGGCGACCCATACATCCCTCTAAATGGTTGAACACCGCATACTGCCAAGCAGAGAGCCCGGGCTTTGATGAGACAAACTCGGAAAGGCCGTGGACGAGCGAGTTCGCCAAGTGTTAAATCTTGCTGCGGGGAGCCTCAAATTCACCAAAGCTTTTTCAACATTTGATAGGAAGATGAACAATGGTGCCGTCTAGGTGGCTCGATAGGAATTTAAGGCTTCAAGTCGTGCTTTGTAATCCGGAAATGCTTGCCTCGTTTCTCCCAAGCGGTGTGGTATTAATATGAACCTGAGTAGGCGCTGTTGGATACTCGTGAAATTCGTGGTACAGAAGTATGAACTCTTTTTAATATCAAAGGGAAGGATCAAACTATCCAGCCAGGAGGATATAGAGGGCAAAACGATACTCGCAAAGTCGAAGATAAAAGACAGGTCGAAAGAACGAGGTCGTTACACGAGACTGTTAAACGAGGACAGGGGGACCCAGTGGATATGTGTACCCAGGTGCGGTGTATGTATGTTGAGTGGGGTTTGATAGACATTTATTTTCAGGTATGTTGTAGTTCAAGTTACTTGACGTATGGACGGCGGTGGGGTGGCCAAGATGGCAGATTTCTCTGGCAAGAAGGATCAGGTCGGACTGAAGCCAGCCAAGGTGACTTGTTCAAGAAGAGGGAGGAACAGTCGGCGTCTAATAAGTGACAAAAGTATACCGCCTGCTTAAAATTTTATGAGGCTTGCATGTAGCTTGTTGGATTTATGCGTGTGACGACAATGGGAACAAGATCCGGCCCGCGGTGGCAACCCTGTAAACGAGAAGGGAGATCAGCAGCCGAGGAGCAATGAGAAGTGGTGTGCGAAAAACAGTACTTTTGGCCGCTCACCCAACAGACTGGGCCGTTCGAGGAAAAAATTTCATTTTTAAAAAAGGGGAAGAGAAGAGAAACCCGAGCGTCTTGGAGCCTTAGTGAAGTGAGCCAACAAGTACAAGGACGGGCATTAAGGAAAATTTAGACAAGTTCGACTGTATGAACTGGGAACAGTTGAACAGATACCTGAGCAACCAGTGGCGGCGGGTTACCCCTGGTTCCCATCCATGAGCGGCCACGATAGACATTGATTGATTGTATTCATGTCAAAGACTCCGTACCAGCTACTCCGTGCTCCATGGGAAGCATGCTGTCCAACAAAGAGTGAGTGGCCATTCCAGGACATTGAGAGGCGTCGAATCGATTTGGGCCATTCAAGAGCATCAAAACGACCGTACGTCCCGACTGGGCAGGCCGTGGTGTGGAACCGAAAAAATGCGAAGCGTGTAATGTCGCGGTGTTACTGTACAATCTGCAAATGCAACTGCGCCGCCATGTACGCCGTACGGAGTATGCTGTTGAAAAAGACCCCAACACGCTGCATACAGCCCGCCGAGGCTATCATTGGGTGCCAAGCCCCTGCTCAGCGCGTGGAGGAGAGTGGCGATATGTCTTCATCAAGGCGCCCGGGTTTGTGGGCCTGCCGAAGCCTCAAACCTCCCAGCTAGGTACCTTGTTTGGACCGCCAGCCGCCGACCAGATGTTATTAGTTTTTGGTGTAAGCCATGGACATGTGTTGGACGTAGGTTGGTTGACTTTACTTTGGTGCGGACTAGCCCAAGCCCGTTACGATGCACCGCAGTAGTAGCAACTGGGAGGAATGGCCCGCCCGCCATAGTAGTAGCTCGAGAAATTGGCTAGCGAGTAGGTACCTACTTCATAGGTACAGAGTATTTGTTGGTGGACAAAGGAGAGAGCAAATCCATCGAGTTTAGCTTTTGAGCGTGTTGTGGGGGAAATACAGGCCATCCCAACGCTAATGAGCGAGGAGGCCAGGACAGACGGAGAAAGCCCAAAGAAGAGCAAGGACGCTATTAAGAACAATGTCGTCCACTTCCTTTAGGAGGGCTGATGGCTGCAGGCAAAGGAGTCACAGACAGGCGCCAGGACAAGGCAATCGACACGACCCAGGGCTGGTGGGAGATGTGGAAAAGAGACGACTATCTTCTGGTGGACAAGGGGTCGTCGTGGCTGCACTAGCAGTAGAACCCATGTTGGTATATTTGACCGATCTTGGCTCTCTTCATCGGTCCTGTGATTCACAACCAGCACACGTACCAAGTATCGTATGGCATCTGCAATTGGGTTGGGATTCGGAACGGGGCCCCTGGTTGCTGTATTGTAGCTGAGTGTGTTTCCGGCGTAGTCTTGTGCTCGTCCACATGAAGACGGTTTCTTTTCGTCAACTACGTGCCCCAATTTTGAGTCGCTCCGAAAGAGCGGTATGTCGTGTACGTCTCTCTCGCCTTGGAGACTGGACACCAATCCTTTTCGTGCCGCGGACCTCAGCGCCAGAAGTCTCTAGAATTTGGCATCTGCATCTGACAAGGCACGGTCTCGTCGGAAGTCTCATGTGTAATGTAAACGCCGAGTGAGCAACTAGTGATGTGTGTCAAGCAACGTCCTTGGTGACTCGGAGCCGAAGCAACATGAATCAATCATGGTGAATTCCGAAAGCGAGGCCGCGACACCCTGGCTCCATGGAGGTGACAGAAGGAGTGGCGGACGGCATGAAGAGTGACTATAACGATTCTATGCCCGTAACTCGTTGGTGGTTCATTTATTTGGCCTGTTGCATCGAGCTGGATGGATGGAATTGCGAATCGACTCGCATCCGGGGCCAATTGATCGTCTCAAGAGGACGCGAGGCACTCCGATCTGCGGCGTCGACTTTCGGACCATGGAAAGCGTGCTTGCATTGCATAATGCAGCTTCGGGAAGACGACGCCGCTTTGTTGAATGCAAAGCAAACGAGTTGTACAAACCATCCATCTTTGGGCGCTCACTCTCTCATCGTCTGTCGTATTTGTTGGCTGCAGCAGCTCCTACTCGGATATGACATTCTGGAAGGTCTCACATACGCCAAAGGCCGTCTGCTCCTTCCTCAGGACACGGCAATGGAAATACGTAGTATTCCCGCACTCGCTACACTTCGGCAAACCCATGAATGGCCCGTTTTCTTCTGTCAGGCCCGCCAATTTTCATTTGCTGATTATTTTCTCCCATCAGCCAACCCAAGACGCGGCCATGCTTCGAGCTTGTTGATTGGCGGTCAAGGCCATCTTTTTCTTCCAATAAGAGCATCGTCCTCGACATTTGTCCACTCGCTTGTTCAGCTTGCTTCTTCCTTTGTTCCTCGGAATCCGGGAATTTGCGTGGTGGCGATATTGCCATCCCGCCCCTGGCTTGCTTCACCTGCTCGAATGGAATCTTCAGTTCAACTGCCTCGGTCCCCGTCCGGAAAGGGAGCCTAGGGGTCAGTCACCGCCATAGGCCATGGCTATCGTCTGCCGATTTGTCTTGGCCATCCGCTGAAATGGGGGCGTTCGACGGGAACAGTGTCACACAGTATTTGTCATGGATATATTCGCCAGCAAGAAGAGATGAAATGGAGTGATCAAAGCTGAAAGCTGCAGCCCGCAAATTGGCGATTGATTCATGCGCATGCGCGTGCGCGTCTAGCACGATGGTAAGGCTCTTGTTCCGTGGACCCTGCTGCGAGACCTGCATGTCCTGGGTCGTCAAATCGCAGTGGCAATGAGGCCCAAGAGGCCGCCTGCAGAAGCGAGCCAGGCGATTTGGGACACTCTTCATGGCAGCATCGCCACCGACAAGATCGAGTTGACGCATTGACGTGGCACACATCGTGTGGCTGGAGCAAATCCGTCGGTCCCTCCGCCATGTCTACCCTGCAGGCAGAGCAAGAAAGCATGACACTTCGGTCTCGTCTTCGCCCGTCGGAAGGACGACGACGACGCATCTACATTTCGCCTCACTCATTGGGACAAGTTGTTGTGAGAACTGAGGCCGTGAGGTACGACTCGGCATGACAACGGCTGGTCGAGTCGACGAGTGCGCTGTGTGCTTGACACCATCATAGTCTGAGAGTTGAGTGATTTGGTGACGAGAGCCGTTCAGCCGTTCAGCGATGCCTTCTGTTGCGGTTGCTCACATCGTCGGCCCTTCACGTGCTTGCCTGCAACGCCAATTGAGCAGTAATTGGCTGGACTTTTGTTACGAGACACCTATGCTTGAATAAGGTTGTACTCTCGGCTAGCAATCTGTAGCGTGTGGGCTCCTATCACTATTAAACAGAGCTGCAAGCGCCTGTGCTGACAATAGTCCCTTCTATGAGATGGCCGAGCAAGTGACATTCCTTTTTAATGTAGAGCGAGGCAAGTGACTCAAGGGGCAGCAACAAGGCGACGGACCTTCGTGACCTTTTCTGATAAGCCCAACTAACTCCCCAGAGCGCAAAGCAACAGTGTTGAGGCCAGGGGTATCTTGGGACGGCACGCTATACTCGTGGCCCGTTCCGCTTCGTAGGAGACAAGACTTTCGATCTGCAAAAAGTTAAATGAGAGTCAACATGTCCCGTCACGTCTGTGGCTCCGTACCGGCCAAATCTCATGCTTGTACGCTGTGTGGTTGTGTGCCTTGTCGATGCCTTGGGCAGTAACGCTAATGCAACATGGAGAGTTGCATCAAAAACAATGACACGGAGTACTACATCTTATATTATATGTGCGGGGGGTTCCCATGCGGTTGCGACCCTTAGCAACAGTCTGTCTCATCAACTTGTGACAATGCCATGCCCTGCAGCATATATTCGCACGGCAGGATATTCCCAGTTGGTGAGGAAGACGGGCGCGATGTTGGTTCATACTTGATTGCCGCCTCGTCCACAGCTGACGAGGCAAGGCGATCGACCCCTTTCAGCTCGAGCCCGTGTCCCTCGAATAAATTCGTCGCTCGTGGAGAAGAACAAGGATGACAGCCCGTACTTTTTCCAGACTCAAGTACGGAGTAGCTGCACATGCTGTGTGCGTGGGCGGGCAATAAGTGCAGTCCCGCATCACTTGCATATCCTGACCACGATAGGAGCAACGTCCCATGTCTACTTGGACTTGACCGGGTACCAAATGACACCCTGTACAAACGGGACAAGAAAAAAGCCGAAATAATACCTGTCATTTTATATCAACCCGATCCGAGCGCTGGCCTTTATTCGTTGTCAAGTCTTCCCACCCCTCAACGCCATGCTCTTGTCCCGTGTCGTTTTCTCGGTCGCTGGTCGTACAAAGTGTGAAAAAAAAAATCCCGTTCCACGTAGTGACCTGTCTGGCATTCCTAGGTACTGCAGCAAAGTTCATCGACGTCAGCGTTGGACCAGCGAAGCCTACACGGCCGCAAACCTGGCGGCTCTCTTCTCAGCCTTGGCTCTCTCCACGGCATCGCTCAGGATGCCTCGGCCACGTTCCTTGCTGTCTCCTTGCCGGGGCCCTCTCCCCTGCCGCCCTCTCCTATCAAGGCTCTGACGCTTGCCCGGGCGGCCATCGCCACCGTCGCGACCACGGCCGCGCTTCAAAGGCCGCTCCGGCAGCGCCGAGTCCAGACCCGAAGCGAGTTCCGTCTGATCGAGGCCGAAGCGCTTCGCACGGTCTGCGCGCTTCTTCGCATCCTCGTCTTCCTCGATACCAAACCGCTTGGCTCGATCCGCGCGCTTCTTGGCCTCCTCATCGGCAGCCGTTGAAGCTAGCCCGATGGCGAAGGACTGGGCGGGCTCCGCGTCATCCGTCTTTGCATTTGCAGCGTCAGCGTCAGTGGGAGCCAGAGCCTCCTCCTTCTTGGCTGGCTCTCGGGAGTTGGACTCTGTCGCGGCGGCGACAGGCACCTCTGCAGCCGGCTTGGACACGGCTGCCTCCTCGTCGCTGTAGGTGATTTCGTCCTCCTTGGCGGCTTCTGCCGGGTTGTTTCGTTAGCCACGGCTGTGCCTCCGACGACAACGGGGGGCGATTCCCCGTCAAATTGGACGCGTGCGAAAACTCACCTGGCTTGGCCCCCTCGCCAGCAGCGGCGGCTTTGTCGTCATCCTCTTGCAGCCGCGTGATTAGCGCTTGCTTGTTCCCCGTCTGCGGGAGCTTTCGCTGGCCCAGCACGGCCTTGAGCTCCGGGACCTTGAGCGTATTGTAGTCTGTCATGGTGGCGGGCAAGTCTGGCTTTCTTTTTTTCTTTCTTTCTTTTTCTTTTTTGCCGGCGGCGTAGTGGGCAATGCGTAACCCGATCGTCCGTCAAGCCCGAGGAGTGGGAGAGCTATTCGCAAAGGCAAGGAGGCCGGCGGACGGAGGAGACAGCGCCGGGTTATATTTGGCGCAACAGGCTGCGAGCGCAAAGGAAAAGGGACGCCTTGTGGGACGGAGCCGAGTCCAAGCTTTACCGTTGCGGAGCAGCGAGTGACGATGCGGCAGATGAGCCTGGACAAAAAACAGCACCGTGATTCAGACTGGATAGGGTGGCGACTCGTGAAAGGATAACGAGTGAAGTTGGCAGCTGGTTTGGTGCGGGCGCGTTCCTGGCGCGTTGTGGCGCAGGTGGCTGGGCAACCGGCGGCTGGACGACTGGGCCGCTGAGTCACCCGCGCCTATTTTACGTCCGAGTGGCTGTGCAGTGGACCCCTGTGAGTTTTGTCCCATTTCATCCTTGTACGCACTCTTTGTCGCGGCCTGTGTTCCCTTGTTGTGCAATTACGCTTTTGTCGCTGGCAAAGGAAGCCGTGCGAGATGACGACGCACGAAACAACACCCCGAGATGCAATGCAACGCCTTTGCTTGGGTTGAAATGCAATCGATGGTGATAAATACGTGCCCGGGGGCCCCGCGCAGAAAGCCACAGAAACTTGTTGCTCTCAAGTCCACGCACGGCACGCCCGTCAGATTCTCCCAAATTCACAACCAACCAAGTCGTCTGCAGCCACCAACTTCCGACATGACCGTATGACTGGACAAACCGCCCATGTGACTGATTCCCGTCGTCTTCAGCAAAAGGATACAGCATAAAAGCCACCATCATCGCCGCTCGTCAGAAGACTCGTCTCAGCTTACAGGGGGCCGCAGCTGCATACCCTGTATAGCAGCCGGGACTGTACAAGGTGTTTGCCACATAAAATCAAGACCTGGCAGCGACTCGTAATTGGACTCTTTGTCATCTTCGTACTACTAGCGACGCAGCGTGTATTGAGTGGCCTGCGGCTCCGCTGCCCATAGAGATACATACACGTCCCGAGTTTCTCGCCCGTGGAATGCTCCAAACGCCTTGGCGTACCCTCGGTGTGCCGCAGATGCCGTGTCCACACTTCTTTGTTCTTGTGCTCTGGAAATAGAACTGCCCAACGAAGTGGGAAGTAGCGCCTATTGCAGATACTACACACCCCTTTGTCCCCTTTCCCTTCGTCCCCGGCGAGCTTTGTGCCACGAGACAAGCTAAAAGGCGCACTTCCAAACTATGGGGAACGCCGGCGACACTGGTGTTTCAGCGTCGAGACCTGAGCGGAGCAAATATAGCTTCTTGGCTGGGACGGGCCCTTGTATGTGCTAAACTATCGCAATTTAAAATCGCATAGCTGGAGGACACTTTCTACGTGTGTTGATGCCCTCAGAGTCTCCATCTTGTGATATGACACAATTGAGGAGCCCCCTGCAGTTAGATAAAGTGCTGAGGCACAGATTGCTCGTCGGATGCCTTTCCGAGGGTCTTTGATGTATCTGCTGATCTATGCGTCTCCTGCTTGACTGTTCGTTCAAAGACCTCGAACATGATGGCGCGGATATACGGAGTACTTGTTTGAAAGAGAGGGGCGTGGAGAGGGCGACGCCGAAGCTGCTTCCGGTTCGACCCCACTTCTTCCCGTGTTTGTGCGGTGGACCCCCGGGGCCGCCCGGCGTCGGCGCAATATGCATAGGAAAGACAAACATGCGGCCCATGGCAGCGGGCGGTATGCAGCGCGGATTGTACGGCCGCTCTACCCGACCTGCGATGTCGTGGTGCCCCATACGTTCGGAGGAAGGGCGTATGGGGATGGGGATTTGCTGCGGTATGCGTATGCGTTCGAGCAGGCGACGAGGAGAAGGGTCGCGCCGAAGACGACGCCGCCTTTGTCGTCCGATCTGATCCAGACGGGGCTGCTGTCGACAGAGAAGCCGGCGAAAGAGAATAGACAAAGGGTTAAAGTCCACGTTGAAGGCGAGAGGATAAAGATATCCCCTGGAACATATGACGTGCAGGTCAGGGTTGATGTTGATGCAGACACCGAAGAGGCGGCGGATCTACGGGTATTTGTAGATGGCAAACAAATCGACGCCGGGCTTGTGCAAAGACGGGGCACGGGAAATGGAAAATGGGTTGCAAGGATGATGCAGACGCCCATCATTGCAGGGCGGCCGCAGGGCGAAGACGCAGAAATTCTCGCAGATCAGACATTGGTCATGGTTCTTGCGCGGTGCAACGGGACGGTGTCGGGCTCCTATGTGTTGCTACGATAGGCGAGGCGGGATATGAAGATGTTTCCGTTGCAAGGCGGAAACGCGAAACCGAACGATGGCAAGCATTGGCGAAAGGAACCCGGAAGGCGGATGAGGTGCAGGGTCGAGGTCCGAATGTTTCCAGATCTCGACGGACATGGCGGAGCATGAATTGTGGAGGCGAGGCCTGTGCATAAGTACCTAGGTACCCACCCAAGTACACATACACATATACACACGTGTCCGGTTACTTGTTCTACCCCAGGCTTACTTACCAAGTACGACCTAGGTACTTACTTAAGGTGAAGTACATCAGTGGGTGGCTCCAAGAGCACACACCATCGCAGCCATCTCACCAAGCCACAGCTTCGTCCACACGTCGTCCTGCCTCAACCTCGTCCCCCCCCTTTGTTGTCATCGCTGCCGCATCGCCGTCTCGCCACCCATCGGGTTTCTCCTGCCGACGAATCGCATCAGTCGCACGCGACATGTTCATGTTCTAGGCTGAGCCTGGAAAATTCAGATGCAGTCGACGCAACCACAGCTTTCAATCTCCAGGTTGCCCTCCATCTGCCCTTGAACGCTGCCATCGCTGGCGTCCTCGCCAGCCTCGACGTCGCAGAATCCCTGGGGACTCGCCGGTCCGCCCGCTCGCCATGATGACGCGAAGAATAGTATGCTACGTCCCTCGGGCGCTCCTTGCAGCAGTCCGTGCCTGTCCTTGTCGCCAACAATACTGACTGGCTCCTCTCCAGGTCCGCACGCTCTCACAGCTCGCCGCCGCCGTGACGTTCACCTTGATCGTCATCTTTTTCCTCGACAGAAACTACCGGGTACTCCCCAATGCCATCCATGGCTACATGCCTTCCCATCACCCGGGTCTCGTCATTACCGACGTCACCGTTGTACAGTGCTCCAGCTTGAACCTCTTTTCATCATGCGACCTCGACCCGACAATCTGGCACCGCATCGACAAGGAACTCTACCTCGGACGGGCCTGGACGTCAAAGGCCTACCTCTACATCAGTCGCAAGCACGAACGAGACCTAACGTCAGAGGACAAAGTAGTCATGGATATCTCCGTCGGACGCTTGAACCCTGCAGAAGCCAAAAGCGCCAAGGCCCCAAAGACCAAGGAAGAATGGGAATCCCGCCCAGCCGGTCTGTGGATCAAGCGATCCGACGGCAAAAAGTCCAGCGACTCCGACGATGTCGTCACCAACGTCGACGTCCTCTTCGGCGACGACGCCGTCGAAGCGCGTGATGGCTGGGCAATAACAGGAACCCAGTTGCTGCTCGACACCGGCGGCCCCCTTCTCAGCATCCACCTCAGCATCCGCCGCGGCGCGCCCAAGGAGCGTAAGAAGCCCGAGCCCAGAATCGGAAACAATGGCAAATTCAAAATCATGCAAATCAGCGACCTCCATCTCAGCAACGGCGTAGGCGAATGCCGCGAACCAGTGCCCGACGGCTACGCAGGCGGGAAATGCGAAGCCGATCCCCGGACTCTCAACTTTGTCAACAAGATGCTCGAAGAGGAGAAGCCCGACTTTGTCGTCCTCAGCGGCGACCAGGTCAATGGCGACTCGGCGCCCGACGCACCGACCGTAGGCTCCCTCCTGCTTGCTCTTCACAGTCCACAACGTTGGACCCGGCAAAAGCTAACTCTTTATCGCAGGCCATGTTCAAGATTGCATCCATCCTCATCAAGCGCAAAATCCCGTACGCCGGCATCTTCGGCAACCACGACGACGAAAAGACCATGTCGCGCGCCCGCCAAATGGCCCTCATGGAATCCCTGCCCTACTCCCTCTCCCGCCCGGGGCCGGCCGACATCGACGGCATCGGAAACTACTACGTCGAGATCCTGGCGCGCAGCGGCCAACACTCCGCCATAACAATGTACCTCATGGACACGCACGCCTACTCTCCAGATGAGCGCAAATACCCCGGGTATAACTGGCTCAAACCAAACCAGATCGAGTGGTTCCGCAAAACCGCCGCGAGTCTCAAGAAGGCTCACTCGGAATACAGCCACACCCACATGGACATCGCCTTCATCCACATCCCGCTCACGGAATACGCGAGCCCCGAGCTGCCCCGCGTAGGCGAATGGAAGGAGGGCGTCACAGCGCCAGTGTACAACTCCGGGTTCCGAGACGCCCTCGTCGAGCAGGGCGTCCTCATGGTCAGCGCAGGACAGTACGTCACCAGTCCCTCCCTCCCCCCCCGCCTCCCCAAGCTGACACGGCCACCAGCGACCACTGCAACGACTACTGCCTCCTTTCCCTGCAGAACGTCACCCGGCCCGACGCAAGGTCCCACCCCGACCAACAGCCACCGCCCCAGATCCAGAAACCCGCCCTGTGGATGTGCTACGCCGGCGGCGCCGGGTTCGGCGGCTACGCCGGCTACGGGGGGTACATACGGCGGCTGCGCGTCTTCGAAGTCGACACCAACGTGGCGAGCATCACCACCTGGAAGCGCGTCGAGCACGGCAGGACCGCCGACAAGATCGACTGGCAGGTCATTGTGGACGGGGGCAGACCCGTGCCTCCGCCCCCTCCGCCCCCCTCTCCCTCTGACAAGCCGCCTGCTCCTGCTCCGCCGCCGCCTGTGCAGGATATACACGAGTAGCTCTGGGGCCAAGAAGGGTCCTATGGCGTGGAGAGCACAATCACTGACCATTAAAAACGTTGGATGACCAGGGACGAGAGACGGCAAGGCCACGTCACTAGCCCTTGACACGTGTAATAAGCGACTTTTGATTTCTTGCATATATGGCGTTGTCACGGAAAACAAGCAGGAGTCGGGGTGTACGATGGCAAGCACGGGAAAATGGGTCCAGGCGGCATGGGCATAATCGGGGTAGGAACTCCACTCGGCTGAAGAATTTCCATTGGCTTTGCAAAAAAAAAGCGACACGGGGAACGCGGGAAGAACAACAGGCTGAGGGTGTATTTCTACAGAGTCATAAGTCATCAGAACAAGAAAAAGGCACGCTCCACAAAACGCCGCGATCCCACGTCCCCCCGTGCCCCGCGCCCGAAAGTTTTATATGGTTCCCCTTCTACGACACTCTCTCAACATGACTCTGAGCTTTTCCATCAGCTCGTTTCTGTTGTCATCGAAGAATTGCTCATTCTCGTACATTTCTGCCAGCTTGGACCCCGTGGAAACAATCTTCTCTTCCGAGTAAAATTGTCTTGCCGACTTTTTGATGGTCAAAACGTCAAGGTACAGCTGTTCGGCTTCTTCAAAGGCTCTTCGACAGCTGACTTCTCTCTCCAAGGCATCTTCCTTGATTTTGATCGATTTTGATTTTTCCCGTCCATGTGTGGACAATGTGCGGGATGCAGCAGGCCGCGGAGGTGGACTGTGAGCGAGAGCGTGCCCGTGGCGGCGATGTGAGAAGGCCATGTTTTCCAGAACTGTGGTGTACAAGGGATGCCCCTTGCCGAGAGAGGGGGCGATGATGTCCAGTGCCTGTTGGTACTTCAGTTTGGCTTCGGCGTAGCGACCCCGAAGATCCTCAATCACTGCGAGATTCTGTATCGCGTACGCCGTCTCGGGATGATGCGGCCCGAGAGCCCGCGTCCGGATGTCGATGGACTGTTGGTATAGCGTTTCGGCCTCGTCAATGGCATAGCTTTCCTTATAGCTGTTGGCCAGGTCATCAAGTGCATCCAGAGTCATGCGGTCGTTTGGGCCGTAGATGTTTTGGTATGAAAGGTATACTCGACGGTACAGTGCCTGCGCCTCGTCGTGTTTGCCTCGTTTGTCCAAGGTCGCGGCGAGTTTTTGAACAGTGCCCACGGTGGTGACGTCGAGCGGACCGAGCGCCTCTTCTTGTTGCAGTTCAAGCATTTCATACTGGTTCTTTGCACGTTCATGCTGACCCAAGGCAGCCGTGGCAGATGCACGTGCCAACGCAACTTTGAAACCGAGTGCTTGGTCAACAGAGGCGATGTCAATGTCTGCGAGTACCTCGCTGCTCTCCTTGTGCTGCTTCGTCTGCTGCAACAGAGATGACAGGCACAAGGCGATTTGTATACGCTCTCTGGCATCCATCTGGTTTGGCTCTTGTCGTAGAGACAACTTGAAGCATCCGATGGCTTGGTCAATGGCGCCCTGTGTCATGCACACCTGACCGAGAACATGCCAAGCGACGTCGACATCATCTGCTGATACCTGTAGCACGTCGGACCAGTCATCAAAGCACGTCTTTGCATGAGGTCCCATGATCCTCCCAAAGTCGTGAATTTCTTGGACTGTGCTTGATTTTTCTTCTTGTTCCTTGATTCCGTCAACACAAACGTTACATGCCATCCAGGCGTGGTTTACTTTTTCTTCGTCTGAGAGCATTCCCCTGACGTATTCTCGCGCCTTTGAATCAACGACAAACGCATCAAAATATGTCGATGTTTGTGAAGAAGGCAGGGAAGAGGGTGATGAGGGGACCAACGATGACGCCGTGTCGGAAGGAGAACTCGGAGTTTGAATAAAATTCTGGTCCAGGAGATATTGTAGTACGTCATCCAAGTGTTCAGGGTCTTGAAAAGCTAGAAAGTCAGGTCAGTTTGTACAACAGTCTCTTGGATACGCAGATCATACCTCTAATTTCTCCAAGGATTGGTCTAAGTCGCTCTGGGGCCTCTTTTACATGCGACGTCGCGCCGAACAATGCCACGGGTATTATGGATGTCGACAGCATGGCGCTGATCTGCAAGACTGTCTTGGTCAAAGGAGACTGATGAAGGGTCGACCCAAGCAGGGTCATGGGCATCGATGTCTGAATGACGCCGCAGTACTCCAAGACGCTTAACCCTTTATTCCGGATCGTAGCTGCTGCCATGGCTATATCTTGAGGGTGGTAGGCAAGTTGCTGAACGACCTGGGACGCTGCCTCGGCTGGTCTACGTTAGTTTCGGCCCATTCGTAGGAGCAATTTCATCTTGTTCTCACCTTGGGCCGGGTTTTGCACAGGATTATTCCCAACGATGGTATCTAATAAACTGACGGCTTCGTCTTCCTCCATGGCGTCAACCTGCAGCTCAATGGCCCAGGCGCAACAATTCCTGTCTTGAGACGTCAATATAATTTTGCCGGACAAGCTGACAGGAATAAAGTCGAAAAGATCGTACGACTGCTCCACGTTGTCGAAAATGAGCAACCACCCGGTATTTTCTGGGCGAAGCAGCCAATCTTTGACAGAAGACACGACTGATCTAACGCGAGACTCGTCCAGTTGCATAATGCTTTTCACCTTGAGCATATCCTCGACACCGGCAAATCCCAAATCATTTTCGACTTTACTTCGGGGCGTCTCCCTAGCATAGTGCTCAACGATGGTGTTTGCAAACTCAAGATAGCTGGCTGCAACGGTTTCCCAGCTTTCTGCCCTGAGCCAAAAGACGAAGGACAGCTTCTCGCGGTTGACGTCCGCATAATACCTAGCTAGGGTGGATTTGCCGGTACCTGGCGAGCCCCAAAGGCTAACTATTCCGAGCTTCACAATCATTGGATCTACATCGGAGCTGAGCATATGCTCTAACCGTCCAAGAAGACCCCGGCGGGGGACCACAGCATGTTGCTCGCCAGGAAGTCGGTATGGGATCGAGTAGCCTTGAGCCAGGTACTCAAGACGGGGCACTAAACAACAGATCAGCAACCTAGTGACTTGACATGAAACATGAGCAGTGCACACACCTGCAGCAAAATCAAAAGCCTTTTGCTTCGATTCAAGCAAGCCGGACGCTGCGCTCGTCTCTACCATGTGGCGGAAGTTTTTGATAAAAATCTGATAGTTGGCATCCCGGCCATGAAACTTGATCAGGTCGGAATGGGTAGCCGTGAGCCCAATCTGCTCCCCATCCGAACCGGCCATGGAAAACCGTTGCTCCACAACGTAGTCATCCTCTGTCTTCTTTGTCTCGTAAAAGGACAGCCTCGGAAGACTGGCAGCGATGGCTTTGAAGGCCTCCAGCTGGTGCTCCAGCCACTCAATATCGCCGGCCGGGGGTTCATGAGGCGCAGACTCCCTGCTGGCTCGTGGTTTTGGTTTGTCCAGCTCGGCCAGATTCGAAGTGGTTCTCCTAATAACATGTGCCAGTGGCGAGGGCGATGCCGGCCGCCCGGGAGACAAGGTACCAAAAAAGACGACGCCGCAGGTAGACAGCTCAATGTCCCTGAGCCTCATGTCTGCAGCCTCGCTTGAGATGATCAGCGCCCGCTTCACTATCCAGCCGCCCAGACTGTGTGCGATGACGAATAGGGGCCGGCGGCTTGTTCCATCCTGCTTGCGCTTGGCGGCAAGCACCTTGGCCAGGTGAAGCGCACGGCCATAGACGATGTTGCGAACGATGTAGCTGTAGCTCACGCCATCAGAGAGATAGCTATACGTCATGATACGGGCACCGGGGATATCTGCGCCGAGTAGCTCCTGGAGCCAAGGCTTGGACTTGCCGGCTCTCGAGTCCGAGGTGACCCATGTGCCGAAGCCTTGGCCACCAAGGCCGTGAACTGCAACGATGCTTGTGTCTCCATGTCAGCTGACGATGATCAACGGGTGTGCCTCTACAAACGTGGCCGCCTTGGGGGGGGATCTTACTCTATCTGGGCGTCTTGGGGATCGCAGAGTACCCGTAAGCCACTGCTCTCGCCGGTCCTGTGTCTAGAGAAAGCTCGTCGAAGGTTATGGAGTATATCCTTGAGCGGTTCCATCGCAGACTGATGTGAATTGATGCGTGCCCAGTGATGCCCTCGATGCAATGCAAAGAAATAAGAAGAGAGGGAAAAGATGAAATGTCTCTTTCACTAAAAAAAAAAAAAAGAAAAAAGAGGGAGAAGGTTGCACACAGCAGCCTCCCAAGGTGACATCAACGGCAAGGCATTGACGAAGGACCGGATGCGGATTAAAAGATGCAGCAAGTTGGGTGAGATGGAAGACGCATGGCTTGAGAAACACACAGACGCGGCGGCAGCCACAGGGTTATTATGATGACATTGAAGGAACAGGGACGGGCGGGGGGGAGGGACATCGGTAGGACAGCCATCAATCGGCTCTAGCGCGTTTTTGGAGCACTGGGCGCAGCTCGGAAGACTGAAGACTGAAAGCATCAACAAGTCAGCACCTGAAGTCTGCTCTGCAGCATGGCTGGGCGTGCTAGGCTGGCTCCCGCGCACACAGACACCGCGGCGACCACGCTAGAGGAGGTACAAGCAAGCCCTGGAGCTCGAGCGCCCCGAGTCTAGACCCCTACAGCGCTTGAAGATGCGCGGCCGCCACTCCGCGGCCGCGCACCAGACCTGACCAGACCAGATCAGACCTGGGCCTTCAAGTGTTTTAATGCTGACGAATGTGCCGCACTGCCAGGCGGGTCGGGCGCGGGTCAGGCGCCGGCGCCCAGATGGCTCGGGCGTCAGCAGTGGAAGGCATCTGGCAAGTTGGTGTTTTGCATGTCGGATTCACCGCCCACGGAAATTCGCAACTGCATCATATGATCTGGCATGGCCGACATGCCATGGCTGTCCGGGACATGGCTTGTTGACATGACCCAACCCGACAACAGTAGTTTGCGTCCAGGGCCTAGTCGCCCACCTCTGACCCCCATGCGGCCGCGCAGGGCACAGCGACGTCAACTGGCTCCTCGCCGCTCGGGTGCTACACGTTGGCCTTGGAGGCGTCTTCTCTGGCCAGTTTGTTGGCCAGTGACTGTCAAGTCTGGTACGGAGCACAGTACTTGCTGAAGCCGGCTGACTTGCCGCAGACGCTCAGGTACGGACGGTCCTGCACGCAGGCGGTTCGGAATTCAATATTTGTCCGTCATGCAGCCCGAGCCAGCGCCGGTCGAACACCAAAAGTTGCCAAAGGCGCCATGTCATAAACAACGTAGCTGTATTACTTACGTCCACCATGCGGACTACTTTGTGTCTACTCCGTATAGTTACTCTTCCTTCGCCTAAAGTAGGCACCTCTGCAGGTACTCGGGGCACACTGCCGTACAAACAAACAAACGCTTGACCAACCGACTGTGTCGAGGTACACTCTTGTTTCGCTCAAGCAACACAACAAGCCTATTGTAACACAGAAAAGCACGCCATGTGGTATCGTAATGCAAAGCAAAGCAGCCAGTGTTATCGTGCAGCGTCCCTCCATCATCCCTCATCGCTCGGCCGTTGCTCACCTCTCGTGGTCACGGCCAACGACAGGATCGATCCCCAACTCCTCCGCTATGGCATCGAACATCTGGCACATCTCATTCTCCTCCAGTGCACGTCTCTCCTCTTCCTCGCGTGTTGCTCGCATCTCGTCCGTCTCCTCGCCCGGCGTTTCCTTATCCTTCTTGCCCAGGAACGGATCGACAGACCCCTCCACGGGCCCTTCCACCAACTCTGGCCAGTAGTCGTGTCTGTCCTTGATGGCCACGCCGTGCTTGGGACCCTGGAAGAAGCGCCGCAACTTTGCACGCGCGCCGTCCACCTTTTCGAGCTCGATCTTGCGGTATCCCATAAACACAATGGACTCGCCTTCGTAGCTCGCCGAGTGTCCCTTCTCACGGACGACGCCAAACTTGGCCCCGGCGCCCACCTTGATGCCGGTGCCAGGGTCAACAGGAACCCGGACCGACGCACCGGCAGCGCTGCTGGTGCCATGAGTCCTGGTCTCCTCGAGATTCACCAAAGTGACAATGTCCGTAACGAAATATCCAACACCGTGGTTGCTCTGGAGCAGCTCCAGCAGCTCATCAAAGTAGGCCTTGTTGCGGAGCAGGTCCTTGAACTTTTCGCCCGGCGAGTCCATGTGCCAGACTCGAGCAATGGTGGCCAAGTTGTCGTTGCTCATTTCCTTGGCGCGGGCGACAAACGCGTTGATGATGTCCTGGACCGTCGTTTTCAAAGACGCATCGTGAATGTTCTTCTCCCAGAACCGCACGTTATATACCTGTACTGGCTTGGGGTCCAAATCCGCGACGATTTCTTTTGGCAACTTTGGAGATCGATAGGGGATGCGACGTTCGGTGGGGAGGTCGGGGTATTTGACGACACTGCCCATCAGCTTTTCCCTGTATTCTGCCGCACCGAGGCGGGGAGAGACAAGCCAGAGAGGCTTTTTATCCGTGCGCATGATGTCTTGGCTCCTTCTTTTCCCCTTCGTTGTCCTTTTTCTTCTTCGGTCTTTTTTTTCTGCGTTACGATTGCGGCTGCAGTGATAAGTAGATTGCTGTGCTCGGAAGTGAAAGTCAAAGGATGTTTAGTGTGGAGATGCTGCTGGTGCAGCTTATATATTTCAAGTTATATTATTGATGTGCTGAGGGCTGTTCGAACTTGGGGCAACGTTCTGACGTTTCGCCCCTGGCGCCCCAGACCCTGGGTGGGGCAGGAACGGGACGAGGGAGGCAACCCACCTCCCGGGCAGCAAGCAAATATCCTAGGCAACCAGGGTATCTCATCCTGCCGCGGGTTGTGGCTGTGCTCCGCTTCCTGCCACCATGTGGCAGGCAGCTCGACAGCTCCCGTGTCATCATCTGACACCAGCTCCGTCGGAACAACGGCCTGGTGACTCTAGTCCGGAGCAAACGTATGGCGCAGCACGTGGAGAATTGGCCGCTCAACGGACCAAGGCGCTAGTCCCATTCGGGCCCGTGAGTCAATCATCCATCAGGACAGAATCACACAAGGTCGTCACGGGCCTTCTGGTGTTAAAATAGCTGAATTCATCTCCACGTCAACTTCACTACCGGCCGCGAGCAGGTCTAATGCTGGGGCTTGGGTAGTCTGTGCAGGCGGTGTCACTACTGGACGGATAGGTTGTCGACGATGCGATGGCTCTACGGTCCGTCTGAGGCACCTTGCGTGATTGTGTACTCCGTACAGACGCACAGAGTGCGCCGTAACATGGTCACAAAACAAGGGCTTGACTAATATTCCGTTACGCAGATCTTTGTGTGTTGTGTATTTCTAGAGTTCAATACTGCGTTGCGAACAAAAAAACACCACATTTGTGGTCTGGGCTCGGGAAAAGTTCACAAATTAGACTCGTCAAACAATGTCATTCGGCCAAACCACGCTTTCGCCATCCTTCAGTCGGTATTGCCACCAGCGTCTGTCTGGCCGCTCAAATCACCGACTGGTCTTTTGTGCAACTCTTCTCTTACCCCTCTGCTGCTCGATGCTACCACGGCACATGGCAGACGGCCCAACCCTCAGTCGACATGTCGCCCGGGAGGGATTTGCTTTTGCTACCCTTCTTCCCTCACACGCAGCGCTTTTTTCTCTGTTCTGCTAGCTCTCTCGAACATCATATCAGTCTCGAGGTCGAAAAGGACGTACCATGTCGAGTTTACTTTTGGGACTGTGAGTAGCTTGCTTCGTTGCCCTGCCGGCTCTGGACCTCTGGTACGGCCTGTAACTGATACAACACAGCAACGCCCGCATGAGAGCTACATCGAGAACAGACCATGCGAGCCCCATCATCCCCAGCGGCGAACCAATCCTCAGCGGACTCAGGCCATCGAACTCGGCGCCGAGAATCCCGCAGTCGCCCTCGCTGACGGCGTCGGTGGGCACGGCGTCGCCCACAATCGACTGGACTCGACCCTTGCCGTTGTGGCTGAGTCCCGAGCATGCCAAGCACATCGTCAAAGGGAATCTCATGACGCTGAGTGCCCGGCCAAAGACCGTCGAACAGAGCGAGTGGATAGCACATCAAGGTACGGCGCACCGCGTGCTCCCACGAGGCTCTCGAATACGGACGAACAGACGAGCTGACGAGGCCAAGTGGTTGAGCACTACCGCATTGTATGGAATTTCGTCCGAGTGGTCCACCAGAAAGAAGACAACGGCAAGGCCATTTGCAACAATTCAAGCTGTCCCAAGATGTCGGCAGGAGAGTAAGAATCCGTTCCTCCCGGAATCATCCCGTCCCGTGGCCTACGCCCGACTAAGAAACAGCCCAGGAACCGGTCATACACCTGGCTCAACAGGAACCACGAGCCCGTGGACCTCCCCGCCAACGAATACATGAGCCTCATGCAGCGCTGGATCTCGGGCAAGATCGACGACAACGCCACGTTTCCCACCGACCCGGACGGCGTTTCTTTCGCCGTTCACCCCGAGTACTCTGCCCCGACGGCAGCGCACCTCTTCCACCAAGACCCCGTCGAGGAGTGGCCAGGCAGTAGAGGTGGGTTCCCGAGACGCTTTGCCGGCACCTCACAGCTCATCTTTCGCCAAATCTTTCGCGTGTACGCCCACTTGTACTGGAACCACTTCGTCGATCCGTTCTACCACTTCAGCCTGGAGAAGCAGTTGAACAGCTGTTTTAGTCACTTTATTCTTACGGCGACTACGCTTGACATGCTGCGGCCCGAGGAGTTGGAGCCGATGCAGTACCTGATTGATCTTTGGGCAGCCGACGGGACCTTTCCGGAGGGTTCGAGGGCGTACTTGTGTGCAAATGTCGAGAGGGGCAGACATATATCGACCTTGGGCGGTAGGGCGTAAATCCCGTCCCCTTGTAGCTTGGCATGGTTGGAAGCAAGCACATATATCAGGCACATGGTCGAGAATCTTCCTCGGATATACTGGCCTTGCGTACCAAGTTGACGTATCGAATTCGAAGAGGGAGAAAGGGAGGTGGCAACTGCAACTTGGGAGGTTGGCCTCCGCTCTTGGAAGTTGGCACACAGTTGGCAGAAGTAATAGGCTTTTGTAGGGGTCCCTGTCCACGTCGTACTAGCGGCATCCGATGGGCAAAACCAAACTCTGAGGACGAGGGCGACTTGTACAGTCGGATCTTTTGCATCTCTGTTGGCCTCGAGGCCTTGGGCTTCCATCCTGGCCTCCTGACTCCTCACCAATTCATGTTGCGTGACCGTCTACCAAGCTACCATTAAGCCCTTGGCAATACTCGTCCTCGAACAGAACACCCTCTTTGCTCAACCCGATCTCAACGTTAACCGGCGAGGAAGGTCTTGCTTTCACGGGCCTTTTCTCCGCCGAACAACGATTCTCGTGGTAGCCAAGATGGAATCAAAGGATCGCGGGCGTTCGCAGTGTCAGAGTTGCCGCCCCGCCGCTCACTGCAGGCGGCGGCGGTCTATAATAAATTCTCAAAAGCAGCAACAGAAACACGGGACTCATCGCAACCCTTCCCAAAATGGCTCGCAGATGACCTCTGCGGTGTCGATGCACCGGTTGTCCACCCATGAGGAAGCAGTTTGGCCATAGGGCAGCGAGACGATCCAGTGAGATGGGGGAGGGGGGGAATGTTTTGCAGGCATGACAAATCTTTCTTTGTTCACGTATGGTGTTTTCCATCCAGACGCCGCCAGTAGCTGCGGTTGTTATCTCGAGGAATAACGCCTGTTACGAGACCACCTCGCACTCGCGGCGACCATGTTGTTCCCGAGATTCACATGAAATGGTGGAATTGACAGATCAAAGTGGAAAAAAAAGGGGGGGTGTTTTCTCGGTACTCTGTACAGTCCGAGATGGGATCAAAAAAAGCTGTCCTCAGCGAGACTCGAACTCGCGACCTTTGGATGGCCAGATCATTCATCTGATCATTAACAAGACGTTATGAGACCAACGCGCTAAACCAACTGCGCCATGAAGACTGACTCGGATCGGCGGACAGGGGCCTTATTTCGTTCTATGCAGAAAACATTCATCCAGCAAAGTTGCACTCCAGCTTCAAACATCACCACCTTCACTCAACATGTTTTGGCGGGCATGGTAGATGAGCTTTATTCCATTCAAACATACTGTTCAAATCAAGTATATTATTGATGTGCATCAACACAACGCTGCGCCTCATTATCCCGCCCCCCCTTTCTCTAGTTCGCACCAACTCCGTGTCAACGAGCTCTCTTGTCTATGCCTGCGTCCCTGGCGACATGATGAACAATAGAACAGCCAAAATGATCAAACAAGACCGCTTCGCTTCCAACAGCAGGAAAAAAAAAAAGTCACACAAACACTGCAGAGTACATGAGCATCCTCCCGCCACCCTATTTCCAGCTTCTAATTCCTCAACCAGCCGCACGGCGGATATCAAAAACAAATGCAACTGTAGTCCTACAACAAGACAAGTTGTAAACCGTGAACAAGGGAAAATCACAAACGCCGCGTTACGCCCGCAAGACTTCCTGGTGTACAAGGGTGAGCACACCGTTGGCCTCGGCGGCATTCGAGAACTGGAAACACCACTTTTTAATGTTTCCGCCTGTCGCGCCGGTCTCCGGTACCATTCCTACAACACCGTCTCCATTTTTCACCTCCTCCCATACACCACATACGATACCTCGGCTCCCCATGGATGAGAAGCAACCGCTGCCCAAGACGGCATCGAGCACAATCTTGGCTTCTTCACTGTCCTTCCTCGGCAAGGTCGTTACTGTGATGCGCTTTTCGAGGCCGTGATCCGCCCTCAGCGCTTGACGCCAGCCGGGCGGTGGCCGTCTTATCTGCAGACTGCAGTTCCCATAGTCTTCCCATTTCGTCGAGGTGACGAGCAGATGAAGTCGGATTCGGATGTTGTCCGTACCTACCCCATTCATCGCACATTGGCCGTCATTCGCAATGCTAACAGAGGGAGAGCGGGGAGGAGTACCGCCGGCTGATGATGACGACCCTGATGCATATAGGCTATGTACTCCGCTTCCAGCCCAGCTTCGTCTGTCAATCGATGATTTAGCGATATTAAACGACATGTTGCCATTCATTGTCAGGCGTTTGAGGAAACTGGACGCCGATGGCGTGGACGAGGGCGTAGTGCTGGCTCCGTCATGAGACTGCGAGGGCGCGCGGATCGAGCTCCGGTAACTGTTCTGCCTACCAAACCAGCTCCGTCGTTGGCTGCTCGTTTCGCCGTCATTTTCCGGTAACCCACGTTCCCCAAAGCCCTTGAATCTGGCTTCGTTCTCAAGCTGAATGAATTTTTGATTCTGGAGTCGAGCTTGATGTACCGACATGTATAGACCGTAGCAATCCGACGCCGCGAAACAGCGGAATCGGAAGTTCCCACCACTGTGTGACCGATAGAGCCTGGAGTGAGATTGAACGGACGAGCGAATCTCCAAGTCAACCGCGGTGCTCTGTCTTATGAGAACCAAAGGTGTCAGGTCCAAGGCGACAAGTGGAGGGCCACTGTTGCCTGTGTCAGATGCCGTACGGAAAGAATATGCTTCAATCAGACCGTTCGTGACGACAACAGAGCATGGGTCGGCCATGATGTCTTTCCACACCCCCTTCTCGGACCATCGGGAAATGCGAGCCATGTACCGTGCACCAGGCTCGTTCGAAATAACGCTGTGGCCGTACGGGCCGGCCTGAGAAGCCGAATGAGACGGCGTCAGACTACACTCAGACTCGGGCATGAGAATGACGCCTGGCTGCGGTCGGCCAACGTTCTCTTCCTTGATACTAACGCCTACTTCAGTTTCTGGAATGTCAGGACTCTCCATCTCGTCGTCAGACGACTCGACTTCAGACTCTTCTGTCGAGTATGCCTCCGAGGTTGACGACTGGTCCGACGGCAAATACTCGTGCTTCAATGGCGATGACCCGCGACGCTTAAGGCGATCGCTGCCATGTTGATCTGCTGCTGGGGGCGGCATGGCTGGTGCTGACTTGCGAACGTCTCCCCCTTCTGTCTTCGGGCTCGTGCTAAGGCTCCTGTGGATGGGTGGCGGAGGGGCTCCGTCTTCTCTACACGGCGAGGTGTTGGGCGTATGAACTTGTTTCTTGGGTTGAAGAGACCGTGGGTCCGGCCGCATGCTTTCCTTCAAAGGTCGACCTCTACCTTCAGCATATTCCGTTGCATGAGGATCATCCTTTGTTGGTGTCTTGTCCGGATCTCTCAAGGGCGGTCGCGACGATTTGCTATCCGACGAAGGAGAAGTCTGTCTTGGTGTTGAAGTGACAGGATGGTGGTTGGACACATCAGTCTCCTTGCTTATGCTTGTGGGCGTGGAAATTGAGACGTCTTTAGCAATTGGCGACCGAGGGGTCTCTTCGGGTGATGACTTGGGAGCGGCCCCAGCCGAGGGCTCTCGCCATCGGGTTGGTGTTCTTGGCTGGTTTTGAGGCCTTTCTTCGGCCTCGCGAGCTGCTAGCGGACCAAATTCTGTAGGTGGTATGGGTTGTGAGGGAAGGATATCAAGCCAATCAAGAATTTGGTTCTCATTGTCAGCTGTGAGGGTAAAGACCTCACGCCACGCCACTTCCTTGCTTGTGCCTCGGACCATGACAATGATATCAAAACTGCTACCCCCTGTTCTTGCAGAAATCATAGACATGCTAATGGGAGGGAAAAGAAGATAGGATTTACGGCCCTCTCCCTTCTCTCGTATCAGGACGTCGCCTTCATCGGTGGTATCAGCTTGGTTGTCTCTGTATATGAGCTCCACCTGACAATCCAGTCTTTGGCTGTTGGAGTGACACAAGCTGAGAGAAAACATGTCCTTGGCGTTGACCTGCCGGCTGGGTTCAACCAAGACTGCGTGGCAGACATCCAATGTTCCCAGATCTCGACATCTAGATGTTGATGTGCTGGCCGCCTCTTCATCCACAAGCCTCGCGGTCTCTTCTCTGTATCGTCGACGAGCCTTGTCTTGCAGATCCTCAAAGTCTCGGAGAAGCTCACGAGTGTCGTTGGTTCCGATAATGGAGTCAACGCATCGCATGAGCTTGACAATTTGTTTGACTCGCATCAAGGGCCGTTTCAAGAGGTGAGCGACTGCCACGCGCTCTCCATCGCTATTGACAATATCTCCCTTTTCGTTTCTTGGCAAAGCATTTAGCAACGAATCTCCATCATCCATACCATCCGCTGCCGGAGCCAAGTTGACGACTACATCATCGAAGCCGAGTCGCCAGGCCTTGATATAACTGTTGTACATGGGCACAACACCATGTGCCCAGTTAGCCATTTTGCGAATATCCGTCGTGGGAGCTTTCTTATGTGCACTTTTGAGCTTCTCCAACGCCACGCCCATGTTGACAACAGATTTGGAAATGCAGTCTGGTACCTGTCCCGAGGCCGAAGGGCCAAAGAGCTCCGTGACATTGGTGCCACTGACCACATGCGAGAGTAGTACGGGCACTACCCCGTCAACAAGTGTCTTGAGCTCGCGGAGGTACAAGTTTTCATCGTCGATGAATTCGCGCAGCAACTCCTGTGAAGCGACTTCGCACGAGGCACTTCTTCTCTTACGCAGGCTTGGTCTACAGCGGTAGCGGCTGACGGCTTTTGGGATGCTGGAGTCATCCGGTAGTGACAGCACAGACACCAAGTCGGAATGTTTTGTCAGCCTTCTCTTTAATCCCCCTGCCGGATTCACAGCAGACTTTGATGCACCACTGTCCTTTGTCAGAGTGGTTGACTGTGTCAGGGTCGACTGACTGACATCGGACGTCAAATCAGAGTCGACGGCGCTGGAACTTTCCTCTGATAGAATTGTTGATAGCTCGTGATCTCCACTAGTGGGAGGGGGAAGCCTTGGTGCAGCCAGCGTCTGCGGCGAAATGTCGGTGCCATCCAGGGATTTGGATGACGGCGGTGGCGGCATGGACTTTCGTATTTGCAGAGGTTGGGGAACGTCTTCCGTGTGCAGGAATTTCCGTTCAGTGCTTTGATAGCTCTTTGGTCGGACTGGATGAGGGCCTGATTCTCCCTGGAATGCTTCCTTGAGAGCACCAAACAGTTGGCGCCTGGCACCTTCCGCCTTCAGGGGAGAAGAGCTGCTCCTAACCGCCCGGCTTCTCTTCAGCCCCGACGATGGAGGCGTTGTAGAACCCTTCGTCGCTTCAGACACCGGAGTCTGATGCTCTTCTTCAACCATCTCCTTCCGGATATCACCATCGGCTTCGGCGCGATGGCCCGAAGCGGAGTGTTGGGAGGTCCCGGCCCCATGCGGTCCACGACCACGCGGCTTCACGGCTTTCGCTCGGTCTTCTTCCACACGTCCTCCCACACGTCCTTCTTTTGCCCCAGGTGACGGAGGTTTTGATTCGGCTCCTGATTTTGAATCTACAAACGGATCAACCGTCGTATTGAGCCATTTTTCGATGCTTGGCGGCTTATTTGAAACGATCTGTTTTGGAGGTTCGTTCATCTCATGTATGATCTTCTTGCCCTCTTGAACAACTTTCTTGAAAACCTTTGGCACGGATTTGAGGCTGGTAGTCCGGTCGACTTTGGTGCGCTTGGGACGACTTCTGGGCTGGCCGTCAATTGTCAAGTCGAGCTCACTAAAAGCAGAATGTCCAAAAGGAATGTCTCCCGGGAGATCTGCAATAGATTTGTTAGCAACACTCGAAGCCAGGTCTGAGGCTGCCTTGTACATGCTGCTGATATTGGATTGCTCTTCGCTCAAATATGAAACATCATCAATGGTCTTGGACAGCTCAGGGGAATGCGCTTTTTGCCGCCGAGATCCCCTGCCCTTGGGAGGTGTATCAAGCACAGAATCCGGGTCTTCATTGGCGTCAGATTTACTTAGTTCATCAGAGGTTCGACTCCCAGTTTGCTGCGAGAGATCGGATGAATCTTGTTTGACGTCGGGTAGACCTGATGGCGAACTTGGGCGACCGGAATCAGAAGTTGTTTTTCTCCTTGACCGCGATATAGGCTTTTCTTCTCTGCGCGTGGCCATGGCTTGGAAAGGCTCACTTATTGGTCGTATTCTGATGCCATCATCATGAACGGCAGTGGTCGCATTTGGAGACGAGATACGGATTCCATCATCATCCAACTTCCTTGGTTTCAGAGGCTTTATACGAATCCCGTCAACGTTTCGTGATTCTCGATTCTGAGCCCATTTGGCCGTAATGTCACTGACAGAATCGCCCGCCTCGCTTTTGGCTCCATCGGATCGCGCGCTCCTATGCTTTGCTTTGGGCGATCCGTGGCTTCTCGGCGATTCAGGAATTTCTATCCTGGCAGCCCATTCTTTTATTTTGTTTGATACCAATGGGTTTCCTCCAGATCGTCGAACAAAATCTTTTGGAAGCCCGGTAGGGCTTGGCGACAGCTTCTTGTTCGAGGGAGAAACCCTTCGCCTGGGAGGGCTTTTGCGGGCTCTTGGCTTCCTCCAGTGTTCGTCACTGACGACTCGCTTCTTTGGGGGAGAAGTAGATTGTATATTGTCCGTCTCGATCTTGTCGGTACTCGAACGAGCTGTTGGGCTGTTTAAAAATGCTGGCGGAGCCTTTGGTCTCGAGTCGCTTCTCCTTTTTTGCCTGAATTTGATTCGTATCCGATCGGATTCTGTGACGCTTACTTCGTCCTCCCCCTTGAATGCAACTTCTGTAGGTTCTGTTGCTGCATCACTTGGATCCCCCTCGGCCATGGATGAAGCATTGGCCTTTTGCCATTTTTGAACCCTCTCTCTTACGCCGCCTGGTTGTTGAAGTTTCCGTACGGGGCTTTGTCTCATCTCCTGACGTAACTCAGCCTTGACGGCTTCGATGCTTTGTCGACGTTTGCGATCTGCAGCTAGGCGAGCTGCAGATTGTTTCCCGCGGAGGAAATCCGTCAACAATGTGGGTTCTTTTTTGGAGTCCGACCTGGGCCGGGCTTTTGTTGCGACGGCGGGAGGCGTTGGATTAGGTTCTGCACGCGGACTTGGGTTACCATTTGTCGGCGTTTCTGCACTCGTATTGGTGTTTGCCCTGCTAGCCTTGGAAGGAGTGGAAGGAGTGGTGGGAATTTGGGACACATCGTCGTCGGGCGCTATTGATGATGGCATGGTTTAATCTGGCCGGGCGTCGTCAGCGTCAGTTTGCAGTCAATCAGAAGGCGAATGCCTTGGTCCAGGTCTGCGTGCGCAAATGGCTTCATCCCATGTCGCAAGACCGTTCAGGTCGCGACTTGATGCGTCGGTGAAGCCCAAACCGGAGCAAAGCTGCAACAACAAAACAGGAGACGCATCGAGTCGAGAAACGGACTCACCTGTACCGAGGACCATGCCTGCGGCGACAGACCGGTAGCAAAATTGGAAAAAGACAAGAAAAGGATGAAAAGAAAAATGACAACTGTACTACCGCATGTCAGCCGTGCGATTGTCCACGAGGCTCGCGATTGAAAATCGTCGTTCGTCGTCGATGCCGGTGGCTCCCTTGTTTATCGCGAGCGGAAAGTGCCCGAGCGACGTCACAACTGGGGCAGGGCAGGAGCAAGTGGCAGGCGCGACTGGCAGGTCCTGCAGCACAAAACACCACGTCGACCAGCTTGGAGATGCTTGGGCAAAAACGCCGACTTCGAGCAAGTTCCCTTTCTCGCTGCCGACCAGCTTGTGTGACACGTCTTCTCGACCGACTGTCAAACAAAGAATGATACCAGCACAAAGAACGACAGAGCTGCGACTTCCGCCCGCCTCCGCCTTGGTTTGCGATGGAGCTGGATGCCGCAGTAACCACTGGGTCCAGCTGGCTAGCGCCGCTGCCTTTCATCAACCAGACTGGTTAACTCGGACGAGCTGTACCAGACCCATCCATGTCTCTTGCACCGGCACCAATGTTTATCCACGGGCGCTACCGCATGTAAACAACATGACCCTCAGCCGATTGCATACCGACGAGGCTGACCAGAGTGCCAGACGTTCTGAATAGGATCCACCCGTCATCGTGGCCAGACCAACAAGCCAGGCAAGCTACGGATGAGATGACCTCCAAATCACTTGCAGCAACAGTGGGGCCGAGGGACCAGCTCATGTACGTGCGAACATAATAAGAAGCATTGGCTCCTGGTTTCGTATCAGGGCTTCGTAACCAGGGAAGCATTTGGCGGCCGGAAACATCACCAGCCTATCATCTCTGTGGCGTTGGCCAGCATCAACGGCTTTAATATTGGGTTGGCCCATGGCTGAGGGCGGGGACTTGCAACATACACTACTAATACAATGCATATTGCATGCCCGCCCGCATGTACGCAACTGCTTTTGAACCCGTCACGGGAGTGACCACGGCAGCATCGCCCTCGCTTGGAGTTTTTCTCCTCTGCATCTCTGAAACTCCTGGTTGAAGTGTCAAAGTCATGCGATGTCCTGCATTTGAGATTTGCACATAACGACAAGTACCACGCTGCCGGCGGCATACAAAGCCAGCAGCAGTCTTGGACCCAATGTTGGGCGTTGGAAAAGGCAATCCACGAGCAGCCGAGCTGTTGTTGGCAGCGAAGCTTTGAAATTCGTCCAAAAGCCACGTCTCAACATCGCAAACTTTGGCAATCGCGGGACTTTACGGAGGGCTTCAGCTGACTCTACAAAGACATCACGCTTGACATCCTCCATAGTCAGGCATCCCCTGCGACCAAGGTTGAAGGAGACGAGACAGCACGGATGCTTGCCACAACCGGCGTTGAACTCCCGGCACTACACCCACATATTTTGGTAATCCAGCGAAATAAACCGAATCGCAGTGTTTGATTGGCTCGTCAGTATTCTCCAAGACCACCACGTCGCGGACGAGTCTGGGATTCAACTCCAAAAACCAGCAGAGAGAATGCTCCGAGGCCGAAAATACCAGCTGCTCGAGACATGACCAACCATTCAGAAAGTTCGAAAAGCGCACGCTGTCTCACATTTTTCTGAGCGTTCCCCTATACGTACCACGAAGGAAGGCGATGAGGAAAATGCTTGCGTGCGCCGCCGCCCTCGAAAGCAGGCGGCCCCCCTCCCGACACGGCTGACGTGCGGACGCGCACATTAACCTGTGTAATAACGTTACTCCGTACGGAGTACCGAGTGGATGGAACTTGGACAAGACTTGCGCCGGCCGCGGGCGAGCGAGCTACATTTCCAGCCCTTTTGGGTCGGGGTCATGGCTGTTTTGCTGATGCAGCTGGAATGCATTCACGAGAGAGGTTGAGCTGAAGTTGCGACATGGGCGAATGGAACGCCTCGTTTGGCCATGAGAGTTGGCTCCAATATTTCTCAGCACTCGTGGCTAGACCTCCCGCAGCGCGCGGCGCCGCTCCCATGAACTTTGGCGATTGTTGTTGAGCGACCCGGACCGTCCGTCCGCTACGAGAGATTCCCATGCGCATTGTTGTATGCCACCCTCACATTTTCTCATGTCCGCCCCCGATGGCTCCCATGGCTCCCACGAACCCGCCCACACGGCCACCCACCACCTTGTGACGGGCGGAGGACGGGACCACACACACCAGAAATAGTTCGCCCCACAGCCGATATTGTGCATACCGTTTCTCTTGGCGGCGTCCGACAGAAGGCAGTTCGTTATCTGATGTGCGGCTAATAAGTGGAACAGACACTGGTCACACACTTGCGTTATCGGAAAGCTGTTCCAAGAATACCGGCGTTGGGATATTTTGCACACTACGGAGCACGCAAGTCAGTTGGCTCACACTTCCACACATGCGGGGGCGAGATGCTGGGAATAGCGTGTTTGATACGAATGTTGTTGCCTAGCTATTGGGAAACAAGGACAAGCTGAGATATAGAGCAGGATACCAGACCATGCGAGAAGGCACAGAGAGCCTCGAGGAAACGCCGACAACACCACCGATCAGAGCTGCTACATCAGGCCAGAATTACCTGCCATGCCCCCTCTATGCTCTCCGGCAAATGCAAGCATCATCACCAACAGTCAGCCCAACCAGCGCCGCCAATGCAATAATAGTCTGAAACAAGAAGGACTGAAGAACAGCCAACAGCGCCGTCATCCGTGTAATCACTCACAAACAAAAAGAGAAGCAGTGTGTGTGTTGAATGTATCGAGCAATTCACTCCCGTGCAGGGAGCAGGAAGCGAACCTTTTTCTTGGGCTTTGCGTGATTACTCTGGGCCGAAGTGGGAGTCGCAGTCGACATGTCCATGATCAAGTCCTCCTCGGTTTCCTCTTCAATAGACCACACATCCGGGCTAGGTTCACGCCAGAGCCTTCGTGCCCGAGGAGGCAGTCTGCTTCCGGCCGAGAAGCTCCGGGTGAGAGCCTGGCGAGGTCTGCCGCGCGTTGGTGAAGATGGAGCTGGGAAAGATGCCGTAGGGGACAAAAAGCCGCTGGGGCGCCCAAGTGGCGGGCTCTTGGAGCGGAGCTTGAAGCTGTCCACGGATATGCTCCTGAATGGGGTCAGGAATGAAGAGCTAGGAGGCGAGAAGCGGATATAATCCTCGTCGTCGCCCTCGTCGTCTGTAGTCACGACATCGGAGTCAAGGTCAGGCGAGACGCTTTTTGCCCGGAGCTTGGAGAGCCCATCGAGCGTCGAGGGGCTCACGGAGCGGACAATTTCTGGTGGATTGTTGGAGTCCTCGATGCCGGCGTCAAAGAGCATATCGTCGGCGCCAAAGTCGTCCATGTCTTCGTTGTCATCCGCAGAAGGGGTGAGGAAGTAGGTCAGTGGGTTCTCGTCAATATCTTCGAGGAGAGGACGAGGCTCGCTCTTCTTGGGTGGCGAGAGAGCGAGGCGCACCTGGGTAGGTGGCCAAGAGTCTCGGCGAGACCAAATATCTGAAGAGGCCATGGCGATATATGTAATGTTTTTTTCTTCCCTTTGAAACCTCTGTGGAATACTCGAGGGCAAGTCCGGCAGAGATACTGTGTGTCTTTCAGAGACGAGGAGGGGAAAAGAGGGGAAAAGAAGCGACTGCAAGAATTGAAATCAGCTTCAAATTTTGAGAGTCCAGCCGGCCAAGCCGGCGACGATGATTCTCAGCAAGTCGGAATGAGTCCAAACTGAGAAAGCTACCTTGTGTAGAGAAGCCTGACGAGGAAAAAGAAAAAGGAGCATCCGGAAAAGACGTGGACGGGGAGAGCCGAACATATATAGACATTCCGAGATGCCTTGCAGGCCTCACAGGCCTCACCTTGAGTGTATGCACACTAGGCAAACGAGAGGGCAGGAAAAGAGGCCAAAGGAAAGACACAAGCCCCCCCTTCTCGGAGGTCTCTTTCAGCTAGAATTGGCGCATTGTGTAGGACTCCCACGCACACCATTTGGTGGCTAGGCGATGGTAGTTCCGACTAGTCCAGTCACATCTCGACGAGAGTGTGGACACAGATATGGCCTTGTGAGGCGAAGCCGGGGTGGTCAGGACTCAGGACTCGGCAGCAGACAGACAAGTGTGGGTGAATCACTTGGCGCACGTGAAGCGGGCGAATGGGAGAGCAGCACCGTCGTCTTCCCGCTGCACGGGACGGGGACGACTTGGGCGGAGGCTACTGATGGACATGACTGCGTTCCAGCTCGGTCGGGTGGGCGAGCAGAGCACATCATGAGCGTTGATTCTGAGGCCGGCGGGGTCGCAACGGGGCCACGGCCCACGGGTAGGTCGCATTTCTGGTGGAGGAGAGCCCGCGTCTGGTGGCTGCGATGACGAGGCCGTGATGAAGAGCAGACGGAGGAGGCTCTGTCTGTCTGTCTGTCTGTCTGTCTGTCTGTCTGTCTGTCTGCCTGCCTGGCGGATGCTGGATGCGGGAAGCGGGATGCTGGCATGTTGGAGCAGGATGCAATGACGATGCAGGATGCACTGGTGCAGGGTGCAGGATGCAGGTCCGGCCGATGCATGTGCGCGCGGGCTGATTGATGATGGATGAGCAGGCGAATGACAGACGCCTGCCGGCCAGGCAGCCAGCCATGCACGGCTTTCAGTTGCCTCGTATCGACATCGACATGGACATGTGGTCATTTCCAACACCAAGCGTGGTGTCTGTCGAGATCGAGTCAAGACTCCAGACTCGGCCCGCCCCCCTCCCGACCAGCCACGCCGCGCATCGCGTCGTCGACGCTTCTTTTTTCCGATTAATACGGAGTACACCGCCACCAGCCAGCCTGCGCCAGACACCCACGCGCCACACTCACTCACACCACTAGCCGCAAAGCGCCCCATTGGCCCCGGCCATCTGACTGCCCCCGGTGGCCACATGTGCGCACAAGCGGCTTTTTCTCCCAGCCTGCATGACCAAGTGCCGGGCCGGCCGCCCTTGCAGGATGCGAAATCCGCCGCGCCAGCAAAAAATCACAAGCCAAAGAGGTCGAAAAAAAAGAAAAACCATGATCGGGATGCCGGGCACGGAAACAACCAGTCGGCTTTTGTTGCGGCCGTTGACATTGATCTCATCTGCACGTCGCACCGTCGCACATGGCAGGTCGGTATGTAAGTCGACCTGGATCCTGCGAGTTTGCCCGCAACTACATAGTACTACTAGTAGTCCGGTCTAATAATAGTTGCAACGTGTGGCAGAGGCCTATCGGGACCACATCACGCAGCCGCAGCCGTCAGTTGGAGACGACGGCTCTCTTGTCGATGCGCTTCTGTCGCGAGCCCACCTGGTCGTCTAGACACTTAACGATTGTATCCGTCGCCTGTCGCTGTCGCCTTTTGCACACAATGACTCGCCCGGGCACCGCACGACTTCTCCAGGGTATCGCCCTCGGACGGTGCAATGCCCGCTGCGACGGGTCCATCCCGGCGTCGGAGCATCTTCCGTGCTCATCGGACAGGAAAGCAGGCCGGCAGGAGCAAAAGACCATGTTGAGGTTTGAGAATGACAAAAGCCCCATGTTCTCCCCCGCCACCATCCCGACGTCGAATACAACACTGCGCCTTGGCCGTCGTCACAGCCCGTTTGCGTCAAGGATCACGCCGCGACAATGGGCGCAACGCTGCTCAAGAGAGTCCATGAGGAAGGAGAGTGCATGAACCTGTCTCGGGGGACGCGTGAGCCCCTGCTGTCGTATAGTCGTATTCCTTCTTCGCGAGGTGCCTCGAGAGTGCTCCCATGACGAGGGAGGACCTCGCGTGCTAAATGCGCTTGGGGGGCGGACATGTTGTCACGCTTTTCCCAGGGGCTGTGCAATGACGACGCTGAGTTTGCGCCGGTGAGCTTCTGTTTACTTCTTTTTATTTTTCGCTTTTTTTTTAAAAAAAGAAAAGCAAAAAAAAAAAAAAAAGCTCGCTCATGTCCGCGCATGTTTCGTCGAAATCCCCGTCAGTATATATTCACTCATACGAGACCACTCACAAACACTTACTTGACTTATACGCGGGGCTGAATAACCATCCACGCAACGACAAGCATATCGCAGGGTCTTGTTCGCCAACCGCTCCGATGGCCTTGATTTCTCGCTTTCCATCACCCGCCTGCGATAGTTACCCATGCTCTCGACTCTGATTGAAATGGACCATCCGCGCGCGTCGGTGGATAATCCAAGCCAGTCGATGCGAATGCCGCCGGCAACCATGGCTTGATGGACGTGCTGCCAACATTTGGCGAGCTATGTCTGCTCTCCCTCTGGCGGCCTTTTATCGCCCGCTATTGGTGCTCAGGCCAACTGCCAGCAGTTCTCGGCCGACTTCACGCCCGCACCGTCAGGGCAAAGCTGCCCGAGGACTTGTACTTGGAGTCCGTGATGGATAATTCATCCAACCTGGGCCCATTTTTGGGTCTCTGCACAGCCGCTCTTGGCCCGTCCCAATAGGCGTCAACATGTTGCCGGGGAGAACCTCTGTGGAGTCTGGACTGGCATGTGGTGTCTGGTGTGGTGTCGGATTAAGACGGATCAAGGACCGAACCATCCCGTGCGTCATAAATATAGTCCGGTGCCCGGCCGCCGTTTCCCACACGTTTCCCAATGTTCCCTGTGCCCCACGTGATCAAGCGACCCGAGCCGAATCCGCCTACCCGACACCTGATTGATACTCGAAACCGGCGACCGCTCCTCGCTCAGGTCCATGTGGACAACCGGCACTTTTGGCTGCACGACGACGTGAAGCTCGCTCATCCAGCCAATTCCAGTTCGGCATCGTGTCGTGTCTCCTCGTCTGTCTGTTGGTATCCTGGCGCAGTATCCACCTTCTCTCTGGCGAAGAGGCATTACCTCGTCGCCCATCATCTGCGTCGTCGCGACACGAGGCCTGGGACATGATTGAGCCTCAACAACACCCGCCACGCATGCGGCCGCAAAACCAACAGGCCATCTTCCCCGGCTCGTCTCTCAACATGAACATCCATACCAAGCATGCGACCATGCCCGTCAGGCTCGTCAGCTTCAATATTCGGTATGCCGCCAAGCGGGATGAGCGTTCGCTGGGTGAGCAGCCATGGGACGTGCGGTGTCCCAAAGTGTGCGCTCAGATACGCTTCGTCACTGCAGGCCACGAGGGCCCATTCATCTGTCTGCAAGAGAGCTTGTATTCCCAGCTGAAAGACATCCAGACTGAACTCGGTGAGCCCTGGGCGCACATTGGTCGTGGGCGGGGAGCGGGAGAAACCGATGGGGAGTTCTCACCCATCTTCTACCGCTCCGATGCTTGGGCCTGCGAGCATAGTGAGACGCGATGGCTCAGCGAGACTCCCGAGAAGCCCTCCCGGGGCTGGGACGCGGCGCTCAACAGAATCGTCACGGTTGGACTCTTCTCCCATAGGGCAAACGGCACAAAGGTTGTCGTCATGAGCACTCACTTTGACCATGTCGGTGCTGAGGCTCGTAAGAATAGCGCCAAGCTTCTCATCAAGTTTGCCAACGAATGGGGTCGCGGAAAAGGCGAACCGCCATCCGTCCTTCTCATCGGTGGCGATTTCAACAGCCAGCCCGATGATGAAGCATACAAGACGATAACAGCGCCAGGGTCCGGCATGTCAGACATCTCCGATCTCGTTCCCGAGCGCAAGCATTACGGAAACCACCTCACGTATACGGGCTTTGGGGAACCAAACGAATCCCCCCAGCGTATTGACTTCCTGTTTGTTCAAGAGCCTCGCACTGCTGAAGTAGAGACGTTTGGCGTGCTGGCAAACAGCTTTGACGATCAGATCCGGTTCTCGGATCATCGGCCTGTTGTTAGTGACTTGCAGATTCGAGTCTAGGGCCGCCTATGCAAAGACCGTTAGCCGTGCATAAGAACTCCCGGACACGGCGGCCTTTGTTGCGATCTGTTCCATCTATTGCCAAGGCGGCTGTTGGCATTGATTCTCAGCACGACGCACATTCTACGACGCCGGATTTGGATGGCAGAAAAAGGATTCCCTCGTCGAGGTGCTAGCCAGTCCTGTTTTTCTGTCCGACATGGACAACACGGACCAAGAGTAGGGTTTGGAGCGATGCGAACCTGCACAGCAACCTGCCCGTTAAAGTCAGTCTGTCCGCCGACGTCATCCTGGCCATAACTCCAAGATGCCTTGGACACGCACACGCATCTGGGCAGCCCAGACCAGTGAACGCCCCCGTTTCTTGTGGTCGCAGCCTACTGTGTTTGCATAAGCACCAGGGTGTAGTCCGTGATCCTGCACAGTGCACACCATCCCTCAACTCCACTCCTTTGTGCCCGTGCATGTTCATTCGAGATGCAGACGTGCAGAAACAAAAATGTCAAAGAAGCGGTGTACGTGCGCCGGACGACAGCTTTGGATGTTCATGGCCTGGCGAGCAGGATATCTATTCTTCAGTCCGGGTGGCAAGGTGCTGCTAGCACAGGCCCACGCAAAACTACTTAAGTAGACAACTGTGAGATAGCTACTCGCCGAGACTTGCGTAAATAGACTCGTTTCAGTCTTACTTTGGTTTATAATGATACAGCAGGACATTACATGCTGCTGAGCAACCGCTCGTGGGTACCCGGATCCCTAGCGTATCGTGTCGCCACCCACGCCTGCGTGGCCATCAGCTTGCTGCTACTGGATGGGCCTCGGCAACTCTGAACAGAGAACGATGTGATTGAAATCGTACCAAGATTCGGTTTCGAATTTGTGGGTGCCAACGGACCCACGGGACATGTTGCTTGCGCTTGAAAGACATACGCGTGTGTGTAGTATACGCGTCAAAGCCCTAGGGGAAAGTCCAGATGTAAAAGACTTGGACAACTGCCATGTCCTAGTTTCCCTGACGCGGGCAGTCATTCGTCCTCGCAAACACGACCTTGGCCGTCTCGCGCAATCCTACCTCGACATATTCCCTTGCCCACATGGCCCAGGACGTCGTCCTGGTAGCGGGTGGAATGAAACCGTCAGGAGCTGCCACGTCCGTCCTTGTGCCGGGCAGCACAAATGGTCAACGCAAAATTCTGCGTATACAAGCCGGGCTGGCAAAACGAACGAATATGTTTCATCCAATGAAGGACCCTCAACTGACCGAATTTGACAATGCTGCAGGAGTTGGGACGACAGACAGCACGACGTGTTGTTGGCGCGCTGTCCTCATGTGCAACGCAGCCACATGCAATGATTGCTTTGCCATCAGTCTATGGAGGCGACCGAGTACCAGAAGAGACTGTTGACGAGGGCTCGTAAATGCGCCTTTGCAGGTGAGGCAAGACATGGCAAAAACTTACTGTTGAGCCATGCAAAGTCATTAAGCTAGAATCAAGTGCTTCGCCAAATAGATGGCCATGACTGGAATAATCCTGGGATAAATCGTCTCACTCTCCCAGAGTAAAACGCTTTGTCCTTACATAATTCATGTCGACAAACTGGGGTTATGCCAAATTTGAGCTTCGGGCTGCACCTGGGTACATGTAGCACCAGTGCATACGGAGTATGTAGCGCTCAGCGAGCAGTGTATCGGGGGCTAAATGCTCATAGAATTGTCGGCGGTGACTCTCTTTTCGACTATGCCAGAGAGTCACCCTCCGTGATGTTGCCACAGGTGGAGTGACGTTCATGATGTCTCTTCGGCTGGCAGCAGCGGCCAACGTTGTAAATGCCTTGGCAATATTTCTTCCGTACACTTTTGGGCTCGGTGAGACCACAAAGGGGGTTTTACTCCTTTCCATTTGTTCAAGGTTTGCCATGACGTACCTACGATACTTTCTAAAACAGCACTCGGGTGACTCATCCTGCATTTGGCCAGGGACGGTAAGAGACGACGATTCTAGGTCATCAACTGGGTCGGCCGCCCAACTGCCGCTCCGAGTGGAAGCCGCAGTCCTGGATAAAGTGGTAACGGGAGTACTGTAGCATGCGCAATGAAAATGAAAACGTGACGCCGGTGCCGCAATGTGAGCAGGCAAGACTGTTGACTCTAAGACTGGCCGCCAAGTTGTTTCCAGGATAATAGTCAAGGAGCTCTGACTCAGAGAAGCACGGACAGTATTGGGAGGGAGAGAAGCTTGCATGACCACGTAGTCAACGACTGGGCGTCGACCGATGACGATAGTAACGTATTGTTGGCTTTCTCTCCCTCCCTCTCTTTCTTTCTTTCTTTCTTTTTTTTTTACCCGGGAAAAAAAGAAAAAGGAGGGTTCGGCTGCGTACCCGTTCCCAATCAAAGGTTAGGAAGTGATGACCCTTCCTTTCTGACGCGGCTGCTTGCAGATATAGAGTGTCAGTAGTATAATCTTCCAGAGATCTCATAGCTTGACCTCGCAAGACTTGCGTTCTAACACAGCAAAGCGAATGCTCCAAGAGGTTGCAGTTGAAGTAATAGTTACCCAATTCGCCACCCGGGCAGCGGTGGGGATACATACAGTTGGGCAGCAAAATAGACCAAGAGCAAGCAAGCTACCCCAAAAGAAAGCACAGTCAAGGCAGAGGCAGAAACTCAATGTCAATGTAGGGAATGGTGAGGGAAATGGTCAATGTGGCAACACGGTTGCAGACGACCGATGTGCCGTGTCTCTAACGGGCTGCTCGTACGTCGGAAGAGCTTACTTGGTACTCGGTACTCCTTAAAATGAGAGATGAGAGGCATTGCAGAACGACGCAGCAACCGGCAATGTCAGAAGGTTGTTATAGAAGCAAAGCAGAGAAAACCCCGGAAACGGGTTGCTGACGCTTTACTCTTGTGTAATGCAACCCCCGGTTCTAACCTCATAGCCAGGCATGAGCCTTGCAGCATCTGTACCCATATGGCTGCCATGCATGACCTGCACGTTTGATGCCTGCTGGTAAGTTAGTTGGCAACTTCATCCGGCAGCCTCTTCGTGGATTGAATCTCGCATGGCAGCCGCAGATACTAGTTGACTACCCCGACCGCAGCGAACAAAGAGTCGAAATTTGATTGAAAAACGGGCTCCGAGAAGCAGAGAGGAGCCGCAACGAAGGAAGCAGAAGCATTGCATCAACAGATCCACAGTTGGGCCGTCTTGCTTGGGTGCTGGAACGAATCAGGTGAAGGACTGCGTGTCTGGAAATCAGTCTCAATGGCATGAAAAGACATGGAGCGGGCATCCTACTAATAATAAGAACTGACCAAGGTTAGAGGCTCTGCTGATCCAAGTCGCAACATGGCCATCAACTTGGCTCTGCTGAACTTGGAAGCAGTCCTGGTAGCTGATACTAACCAACAGGGTTCGCTGCTATCGTCTGAGAGGGATGAAACCGTTGGAGCTCATCGTTAGTGGCCCCATTCCGTCTGTCTGCCTGCCTGGCGAGACTCGGATCGATCGTAAGCTGTAGTCGAGACTTGGGGATCTTGCTTTGGAATTGGGAGGCTTTTTTCACCAGGGAGCTTGGCAACTCTCAATTGGGGCTTTAGACCAACGACTCGACCGACACCTCTGCAGTCTGCAGCTCACGCTTCAGATCCATCCGATGTGGAAGGACCGATGCCGCGACACGGAAAGCACCTGGGTCCGTTGGGACAGGACATGTCTGGCAGCTGGCTGACCGTGGCAGAAGAATCTTCATAGGACATGGTAAGTAGGTAGCCAGTACATCCCCAGGTAGTACATGGTACGTAGAGCTTGGTGCACACTTCTGCTCTGCACTCCGTGCTCCGTAGTAATGCATAATGTTCCCGGTACTCCGTACTAATCCGCGCAACGTCTTTCTGAGCCAAGGCATCCAATGCTTCATCTAAAGTTGTTAAGAAAAGCATCTCATCCCAGCAGCCGGCACCATCCTTGGCTGCTGTTGGTTGACGAGCAAGCCTCGCGGGATGCTCGTCTGCGTTGGCAATTCACTTTGACCACACCCCTGATTTGCATACGCCCTCGCCATCCTCCAACCAGACAATTTTGCTGGCTTGGACACTTTTGAAGTTCACATGGGCCGGATAATCCTGGGATATGGACCTTCTTGAGAAACGGAGGAAAGAAATATGCTTCCAGAGAAGTCGAAAAGCGCCGGTGCCGCGTGTACTTTGCATGGACAGGCCACAGCACGCTTCCCGTACCGAGCTGGCAGTCCTCCGTGAGTCATCCATCAAAGGGGAGTCCACGGATGGGCACACGCCCTCTGGGCCGGACTTTTTGCCTGTCCAGCCTATCTTGGGGATAGTCTGTCTCGACTCGATTGCGCGCCAGGCCGCGCAGCAGCTTTCTGATCCAGTCAACGCCCTGGCCGTTCACCCTCTTGCCCCATGTTGGCCTCGAGAATACGTGTTGTTGTGCTGGGACAGCCGGGCACCTTCATTGGACTACCCAAGGACAGGAACCAAGTACCAAGTGAACGCCTAATAAAGACCAGCCTCACAGCTGCCACCAACGTCCGTCCTCGCTCACTCTGCGTCATGGGCCGTGGCGTGGCTGGCCATATCGCCCCGACTTGCTGACATAGAAACGGCAACCACTCCAGCTCTTCTGCTCCCGTTTCCATCCTTTCATATTCACACTCACAACCTTCATTTCTCACAACAAATCCCCGTCATTTTCTTTGCCCCGACCATCCGGCAAGCCTCTCGGTGCTGCTGATAGCTGACGACTGGGGTCTCAACTCGATATTTGACGCTGTTGTGACTAGGTGGCTCTTCCCTATTTATGATTCATTTTTTTTTCCCCGTCTTCTCTCCCGCACTGGCACTGCCGCTTGCGAGGTAAAGGCTCAAGTTCCTTGGTTGCTCATTCATCCCCCTTCCCCACACACGGGACCTCCCTCGCTCCCGACTCAAGAGGGCCATAAAGAGCCTAGAGCCTGTGGAAAAAAAAAAATCGCTGCCCAGTCCCACCATTCCAACACCCACCTCAAAAAAAAAAAAATCAAAAAAAATCGACCACAATATTCTGAGCTGCGTGCAGTCCAACTTTCCCCTTTCCCGCCCTGTGCGGTACTCTCTCCCTTACATGTCGACAGGCTGTCTTGACATCGGCACGCCTCGTCTGGGAGACATCTAGACGCCTCCCTACTCTGAGCCCATCATGTCTTCAAGCCTGAGGAGTCACTCCCGTGTAGCGCATGTTGAAGACGCTGAAGAAGACTCGGGAGGCTCCGTCAATGGCATTGAAGGCACTCGTAAATATGCCACGTCAAGAGCGTGCATGAGCCCGCTCAAGATACAACCCAATTCAGGCAAATCACGCTCCGACAAACGGCTGGTCCATTCGAAATCATCATCTGCTAGCCCCGGCCTCGACGAAGCTGGCCCGTCCGACAAAAAAGGAAAGCCTCTGACCAGACGAACACTCGACAGAGAGCACGGTGAGCTGGAACCAAAGATTCGTGACCGAGACCGCAGGAGAAGAGAGCAGCGATTCAGGGACGAGGATAATGACGAGGATGACGACGAGGAGGGGAACAGACGCGCCGCCGCCGCCGCCGCCGCCCAGGCAAAGCCAGCAAAAGCAAAGACAAACGAGCAGGACTCTCGGCCACTTAGGAATCAACGCCCACCTTCACTCAAGTCCTCTGCCACACAGCCGGTGATTCAGCAGATGTATAAGAGAGGTCACGTTGATAACCCCACAAACTATGGCATACAGCAACCTGCCATCACGGGCAATCGACCGAGAGCACAGACACGTCCTGCGAGCTATTATGCCGGTCAGCCTATCCAACCGCCTCCGATGCATATGCCTTGGCTTCACCCTCCAACCTCAGCACAATTTCCTGCAGGGACGTTTCCTCCCCCACAGTGGCAGGGACCCGGAGCGTCACCAGGCAGCTTCGCTGGGCCGCCGCCACCGCCGTCCCCCGTTGGACCTCCTGCTGGATTCTTTGATGGACCGGGCGTAGCTGCGAATTCTCAAAGTCACCTTCGCTATAGGTTTGATAGTCGCCCTTCCTCTGCCATGGGATATCACAGGCCAGGTCCACCTCCGCCCTCACGCCCACCACCAAGCCTCGACTACTACGACCCGGAGGCACTTACAGACGAGCCAGCTCGTGTGTCTCGACTAGCCCGTCGGACTTCCAGGACACGGCGGGCAGAGGACGATCGGAACAGGATGCCACCACCCGAGCATATCCCCATTCGTCCACAGTCTGCGTTGCCACCATCGACACCGTACCGACCACCACCTTTGCCACAGCCCCCTACTTCGCGCAAGAGCCAGTCCAGACCTCCGCCAGTTCAACGAAGATCCGTAGGATTTGCTGATCAACCGGTCTACGACGACGATGACTCCCCGAGCGATGATGACCTCTTTCATGATATCTCACCCAATGCCTCGTTTGACCAACGACAGCCAGAAGCACATCGCCCGCGGCGTGCCTCTGTTGCCTACAATATTCATGACTACGACGTCATGCCAGAAGCAAGTAGAGGACAGCGATCGTCTGTGTATGGCGCCGCCCTGCCTTCTGGTGGAGCAAGTCTTGACGAGAAAAAATATTCTGCTGCCTTGAGATATCAGGAGGTCGTTGGTGGTGCTCCGCAGATGCCGCTAACGGCTGAAACGTTGCGCAAAGCCGGAAAGCGAGGTGCAGCGGCCAGCAGCCGCTCTACTCGCAGTAGCGGTAGCCGTGACGACAGCGACTATAGGCGTAGCAACGCAACGGGAATCACCCGGACTTCGTTCAATAGCGACGACTTTACCATCAAGGTCTCTGGAGGCGCGCGCGTTCGTGTACCAGGCGCCGAGATCGAGTGCGACGACGGCGGAGAGATCACATTTTCGACCCGTCCAAATGGCTCCCGCTCAGGCAGCGAGAAGGCTAGCTTGATGTGCGCCCAGCTCGAAGATTCTCGCAGTCGCTCAGAACAAAGATCTCTGCCTTATCGCGGTAGAGCTCCAAGCCAGTCTGATTCTCAAAGTAGAAGAAGCTATGCACCAAGCCCCGTTGGATACGACTTTTCTGGAGGATACTACATTTGATGAACGACTCCACTACGATGATTTACGATTTCATGATGACGCTGATGACCCAAACAATGCAAAGACGACTTGCTTTCAGCTCCACTTTTGTTTCGACTGATTCTCGATATTACGCGCTGAGTAGTTTCTCTCTCCCCTTTTCCGTATTTTACTCTCAGTCAAAGCGAGCGTTGCTATTTTCCCCGATTCTGCTCATTTTCCATGCGGCAAAACTTGTTGGCACTCATCGCTTGCGATTTCGATAGCTGGTCTTCGAGCAATTTGGCTTTCATCATAGAAACCCGTTCGCATGCGCTTTGCTTTCTCCCCCGTGCCCCTGGCCTTTGGCTGCCATCTACATGCCATCGTTAATGGCAGACAACAGAAGCTTGATACCCCAAATCTTGGCGATGGATGAGGATTTGTTCATTTTGATTATTATTTCATGTCATTTTTCTTTCTCCCTGGTTTCCGTCGCAAGGCAGACGTCGCCAATGCGGGGACGACTTTTGCTCCTGGCCACGGCCCGGTTCCCCTCAAATTCAGTCAATCCTGGAGCCGCACGAGACACGCTTTTCAACGCTCGAGTGTCAGATTGTGTGGGGGCCAGGGACTAGACGTTGAGCATCACCAGTCATCCTAATGGATGCAAAGAGTGGTGGACAAAATCGGGGCTTCCCTAGTCATGCCTGGTTTCTCATCTCTTCTGTCTACCTGCTGCTATATTTGCCTTTATGACTCGCATATCGCCATTTTGCCTTGGTTGTAGTATTGCTTGTTTGGCATGCGGCAGCGGGAGTGCTGCGGCGCGATGCAAAACATGAGACTGCCTCGAGAAAACACTGTCATGCATTTTCCTAGCCACTCAATACCACCACCATAGCGATATAGACTGTATGGGCAATGGGGGTTCGCACCCTCTCATTCTCTAGGGCCCGTTGCGCGTTTTGTTTTTGTTACAACTGGCGAGCCATCTACGATATTCGAAGCTTGTTTCGTTTAGTCTGTGTCACTTTGGCTCAGTTGCCAAGCTGTGGCTTTTTGGATAGAGAGGGTCAGATTGAATATTTGTTGGCAGCCACGAAAATGAAGAGGTGCTCTGCGAGTCGCCGACGTTGCGAGTCATGGCCAGGATTAATGCAGATGAAAAAAAGAAATGAGAAAAAGAGAGGGAGAATGCCGTGATGCGCTGTGCGACGGGATCACAAGGAAAATGACGTATTGGGTAGATGGCATACCATTTGTGCGAGAACTTGGTTTGCGGAGTGGTGGTTGCGAGTAGACGACGGCTGGAGCCGCCGCCGCCCCTGCTTACGCCTTGTCAGCACCCTCATGCTTCACCGCGAGTACTTCCCCTTCCTGCCGACCCCGGAGTCGGAGCCACGGGGTCCAGTCGACCAGCCCATGCTGGGGGCGCCCGCCCCCGAGGGCTGGTGGGACGACAGCTCCCGACTCCTCTTCGGCGCGGCAGAGCACATCGCCGCCATTCTACACGAGGCCTCCGAGTGTGGCGTGCATCTCATGACGCCCTTTGCCGGGTTCTGCGCATTCTCAGCCGGCTACCTCAACCTCTACGTGGCGAAATACCCCCGAATGAACCTGGGCCGCAGCCCGCGAGCAAGCGACTGTCTCAAAATGTGTCTCGACTACCTGGAAAAGTTTCGACTTGTCTGGAAAATCGCCGACGGATGGGTAAGCCGCCCGCAAGCATGACACGACCGTGGCCACCGTTGCGCTAACATTGAGAGGGCGGCACGCGCAAGATCAAAACGATACACCATGCATCCGTGCTCTACGAGCGAGCAACCGAGGACCGGACACGATACCAGGGGCGCACACGAGCAGACTTTGATACTCTACACCAGTCTGTCCACGAGTTCCGTGTCGTGGATAGATCCGACGCGCATACTCGGGAGATTCGGGGCGCGGAGCGGCCCTCGGCGCAGGCGACTTGGCCGGTTCAAGGGCACGAGCACGAGCACGAGCACGAGCACGAGCTCGACACTAATACCTTGTTGAACCAGCTTTTCGCGGAAGTCAGCAATAACCTCGACGAGCAGGGGGCCTGGTCTCAATGGTGGCCGGCGATTGATCAGGTGGATCTTTAATGAGCTGCGTAATTACATCCGGGGTTTTTTTTTTCGTTGAAGCTTCCAATGAATGAGTGACGACCTTTGATTTTTTTGATTTTTTTTTTAAAAAGGGCTGTAATATCTGGTTTTCTATACATGTCCTATTTTTATTTCCCGGTCTAGAAAAACAGTCAACAGATAATGCACCTCTTCATATGGCTCCCCTCCCGTCACCGCCAACAAATGCATACCTGTCGCGTCAACCATTCGCCGTTTCTCCTTCCAATCACGCCTTTGCAAAGACCTTTCTCGAGTTCATCAGGCGAACAGCAAGCATAAAGAGCATGCCGACAAAAGGCGCCACAACCACGCCAAGAGGACGTTTTTTGAAGCAGCTAAAAAGGCACGTAAATGGCGTCTGGATTCTGTACTAGATCTACTAGAAATTTGGGACGAGAAGGGTGTACATTATAGGCGAAGAGGTTAATAGCGTTATTAGGTTGAAAATTGGCCCGCCTTGGTGTCCGGCCCGCCTTGCTGTCGAGCACCACCTTTGGTGGTGAGGGCTTTTGCTAGCCGAACCACATAAAGTGGGGCGGGCACCTTTGGTGGTGAGGGCTTTTGCTAGCCGAACCACATAAAGTGGGGCGGGCACCTTTGGTGGTGAGGGCTTTTGCTAGCCGAACCACATAAAGTGGGGCGGGCACCTTTGGTGGTGAGGGCTTTTGCTAGCCGAACCACATAAAGTGGGGCGGGCACCTTTGGTGGTGAGGGCTTTTGCTAGCCGAACCACATAAAGTGGGGCGGGCACGATTAGTAAAGTACGGAGTACCTTGTGCGATAAATAGTACGTACTTAGAAGTTGTGCGAAAGTAAAAGGTAACTACTAGTTAATACGGGGCACAACGTGGCCGTGGACAATGCCCCGATGTGAGTCATGACAGGTGTGCACCGTGGTCCATTTTTTTTAAACTCATTTGTGGTTGCCGGGTCAGCCTGGGTTTATTTACTTTTGCGTCATTGGCGGCTCCGTACGGAGTAGACGCTCCGGAACCGCCGGCTATCTGTATATTTATGCATGTAGGAGTGGATTCGAAGACGAAGTACGGAGTATCTCTTCAAAGAGGAAGAAAAAGTACCCTTTGCACCAGTAATACATCAATGCCAATAGTGGCATGTGGAAGTGAAAAAGGTTCACCATTTTGCATTGTTGACTGGCGGTGCAGGCGAGAGGAGCGCGGAGACCCACCTGCCAGCTGCCAGCTGCCATCTGCCCCTGCCACCTTCCCAACCGCGCCTCGAGCCCCAGCCTCGGAACTTCTCAAGCCGCCGGACCGGTTTCTGTAGGAACAAAGCACACCGGGCTATGGTCCCGGATCTGACCAGACAGATGTTCCTGCCCTCTCACCCTTCTTCCCACTGCTCTGTGACCTGGGCACTCGAGAATCCGCCAACCAATTTATTGCTTGCCTTGGATCCCATTTACGCGCGCGAGGCCGACAGACTTGACCATACATACTACTTGGGGGTCTAAATTCGTGACAAGATTCGAATCACGACTGGGTTATTTTAGTCAACATTCCAGAAGCTCGCATCCGGGGGCGCTCTTTGTGCCGCCATCGACGGGGACCACAGACCTCACGTCCACAGAGAGACAGCTGCATTCCTCGTCGATCCGGACGGAGGGCCCCATCATGGCTCCGGTGTTGTCTCTAGTGAAGCACTCTCTCCGGAGCTTCATGACGGCGACGACGGATGCCCAGGCCACTCGACATGATGGCGACTTGGGGCCTCTGGATGGCCCTCTCGGCGAGGCCAGCCGCATCTTTGCCCGGGAAGATAAGCAGACGCCTGACCCTTCGCACGGAGTGCTGGACCCGCACGACATCAACAATGTCGGATTCTTCGTCCTCTTCGCCATGATTGGGGTGGGGTTCGTGGTGACGGGCATCTGGTTCTTCTTCTGGGCCAAGAACGGCGGGATCCATTTCAAGGAAAACGACTGGGAGGAGTACAAGTCGACGGTGCTGAGGCGCAAAGGGCCCAACGGCACGGTGCTGTCGGGGGCCACGAAGACGACCAAGCTGGGGGGCGGCAGCGTGTACAAGGACGTGGCAGACGACGACGGCACGACGGTGGTGACGGAGAGCACGGGGCTGAGCGGCGTGACGGCCGGGGCCAGCGACATCGCGGCCCGGGAGAAGCGCAGGGCCAAGCAGGAGGCGAGAGAGCGGGAGAGGCGCAAGAGGCGGGGCTCGAAGCGCGGCAGCAAGCGGCACGTGGGCGAGGGCGGCGTCACGGACGAGATGGCCGAGAAGGCGGCGCTCGAGGAGCTGCGCAGCTACCGCCACGAGAAGTCTGCCCGCGTCGGCGGGCTGAACAAGGAGTCGGACGGGTCGCAGTGGGACGGGTCGACGAACCCTTCGGGCTCGGCCGTCTCGTCGGAGCCGGTCTCCAGTTCGGATGGGCAGAGCAGGCCTACGCAGAAGCCGGCGCCGATTCGCAAGGTGTACTCGACGGCGGACCGCAACGCGGCGCGGGAATCAGAGCGGATTCGGTCCGAGGCCCGGCGTCTGCGGGAGGAGAGCCGGGTTTCGCGGCGCGACTTTAGCTATAACCGGCCTGGGGCTGCCGAGAGCAACGCCAGCGAGAGTCTCTTGGAGGGCAGCGACCTGGGCACCAAGACGCATCACCATCCTACGCCGGAGCCGAGGGCGCTGAGGGAGCAGCAGCGCGAGGAGAGGAGGACTCGACGGGGCGGATACAGACGCGGACGGACAGAGGACCATGATTTGTAAAAGCGGCGGCGAGGCTGAGGGGAGTTTGGCAAACAGATTGGCGTGCGTAGCTTGGCAGAAATCAAGGGACTTTTACTTGGTCTGTCCTTTCTGTAGTCGTCCTAGGGGAGTCTTCTGGACGGGGCACGACGGGACTGGTGGTAGGAATTCGGCTCTGTTGGTGTGCACGGTCTGGAAGCCGCGCGGCCCCGGTACGGAGTAGTGGTAACATAGTTTATTATTCGGCGTGCCATGTCATTTCTGGAGAGTCTGATGGAGCGTGAGCATGGCGAGTCGTGAGGCGAGGCGGATGACAGGATGGCACGCCACGTTTGCGACAAGGTTTCATGCGTCGGGCACTGGGGCTGCTAGTCTGGGCAATGGGGGCATTCACGGCTAGATTTTGGACCCGTGCTGCTGCTGCTGCTGCGTTTTGTGTTTTGTGTCTTTGTCTTTGTTGGCTCGGCTCGCCTTGCCCTCGTGGTTTCCGTCAGGCACATCAACGTTGGCAGCCTTTGTAGCCCCGCAGCCTGGGTTTTTACCGACTCTGGGGCACTTGCGGCAGTCACCTGAGCAGCAGCGCCGGCCGACGCAGCGAGCGAGCGGGCGGGCGCCAGGCCTGACTATGCGCTGTCGGCTGTCCGCCGTCCGCCGTCCGCCTCAGCTGCCGCTGCGCAACGCAGGCCTGACACACGCGCACGGCGGGGCTGGTCAGTGGCAGCGGCGTGCTAGAAGGGGGCCGCCACCCGCCCAGCTCAGGCGAGCAGGCGAGCAGGCGAGCAGGCGAGCGAGCCGGCTCTTCAGCACCAGCACCAGCACCAGCACCAGCGACGATTGAGCGAGCGTTGGCCTTGGCGAAGCGATTGATTGATTGATTATTGATTATTGATTAATGCGCAGAGGCCCTCCGGCCAATCCGACGCCCGTCGCCAGTCCTCGCTCGAGCTCGACTCTTTCGTCACCGCAATCCACGTCGCCCTGCTCGCTCGCCTCGCCCAGTCTCACCATCTCCAATCTGCAGCATTCGATCTTTGCATCCGCATCGCTTCATCTTCGGCCCTTGGCCCTCGGCCCTCGACCCTCGACCCTCGACCCTCTCTCGCCCTTCGTCACGGCCGCCCTCTCCATCGAGCCCCCGATACGTGACTGACTGACTCCCTACGCCCTCCCTGCTCCCTGCTCCCTGCTCCTTGACTTGACTTGACCTTGGCCGTCTTTGCTTGCCTCGCCTCGCCCCCCTCCGTCTGCAGGCCAACACTGTCGAGTCAGCCACCCGCCGTCGTCCGTCATTTGCCCGTCTCCGCCTCCCCCGCGACCTCGCCGTCGGGCTTCTCTCGTGCTGTGACCTGTCAATACCGCAATTTATTTACCCGTGCGCCTCGCAACTGATACGCACCAGAAGAGCGCTTCGTGTCTCTCCTCCTTTGCGCGGCGGCCGCCGCCATTGTCGTCTTGCAGCCGCCGACTTGAACTTGGTAGGCGACAAGCCCGAAACAACGCAACGCAGCATCACCACGCCACGCCACATCGCTCTACGTACGCCATGGCCCTCAGCAGCAACCCGCCCACGTCTGCCTTTACCGGCGTCATCATCGGCCTCGTCTCCTCCTTTGGCTCCATCGTTCTCATCGCCCTCGTCGTCTTTGTCTTTTGGGCCTCTGGCTGTGCCAGCTCCGGACGCATCATCCTCGACCGCCTCGGTCGGCCCGGCGAGTACGATGACGAGCAGGCGTTTCTGCGGGAAGAGGCCGAGGCCCTGGACACCATGGACGACATGGCCCGGACCGAATATCTCAGGGCAAAGGGTAAGTCTTCACTCTCGTCACCTGCACATGCGCAGGTCCCACGGCCAACCTGCTCATCTGCTTGTAGCATTCGTCACCGCCAACCCCCCCGAGTCGCTGCCCACCGACATTTCGCTTTCGCAATATCTGGCCATTCAAGAAAAGGGTGTCTCGGCCTGGGAGTTTGAGCCAGAGCTCGAGGTCGCCAACTGTTTTGTCGAGGCCCGCACGGAGATCGAGTTCTTCGACTCCGAGTGCACCGTCATGTGCAACCTGCCCGTTCCCAAGCAAAATGACGTCTATTACTGGGAAGCCAAGATTTACGAAAAGCCCGAGAACACCCTGCTAAGCATTGGAATGGCCACAAAGCCCTACCCGCTGTTCCGGCTGCCCGGTATGTTGCCGAGGCGCCCGCCTCCCCCTCTCCCCCGGGTCCTACGCTCGGGTCTAGACGTGTGTTTCTAACTCCCCTACGCAGGCTATCACAAGTATTCCGTTGCATACCACTCAGACGGCTCCCGCCACTACAACCAGCCCTTCAGCTCCACCCCGTACGCTCCGAGACTGGTCCAAGGCGATGTTGTTGGTGTCGGATATCGACCCAGAACTGGGGCCATCTTCTTCACCCGCAACGGCAAGCGATACGACGAGGTCGTCCACGGGCTCAAGTCACAAAACTTCTTTCCCGCCATCGGTGCCAACGGTCCTGCCATTGTGCATGTTAATCTGGGCCAGTCTGGGTTCGTCTTCATCGAGGCCAATGTCAAGAAATGGGGCTTGGCTCCTGTCACAGGCAGCCTGGCGCCGCCGCCGCCTTATGGGTCTGAGCAGGGAAGCATCTTGTTGGAGACGGGCACCAAGGACGGCGCCATGTCCGGCCAGGGACTGCCGCATCGCCAATCCGCCAACGGCTCACCATATACAGTCACTGGCACAGGGAGCAACTTGAACCCGGGCCAAGGCCGTACACGAAGCGGAAACTTCCGAGTCCTTCCGCCGACGAGCCCGGGCCCTGTTCGCAGCCCAACCGACATCTCGCTTGCACAACTCGTCCCAAATGACGAAGGCGGTGAAGCTAGCGGCAGCACCGGACATCAGGAGGAATATCACGACGACAACCCGCTGCATCTTCATCTGGAAGACGCCACCAATCCTCCCCCAGACTATACCAGCCCAACCCACTCGTATTCAGAGGAGAATCGGCGACGCCGGTGCACCACCGAGGACGACGAGAACACGACTCTGATACGAATCATGAACCGAAGTCGCGGAGACTCGGCTGCCGGCGCGCCCCCAAGGAGACAAAACATTCCAAACGGGCCCGTCCCAAGCTACAGTTACGCTGTCCGGGATGGTGCCGGCATCAACCGCGGCGACAGCCCGGAAGCTGAATCATCACACGAATCATCGTCGTCGTCGTCGTCGTCATAGACGGTGCATTTCCCCCCAGAGCAAGCGGAGAATTAAGCAAAGCAAGGAACGGGTTATGTGCGTGCGAGGTTCGACTGTCGGGTTGACCAAAATCGTGTGGGGAAGTAAGAGTAGGAGTTGTGACGACGTCAGGCACGTGGGCAATGCGCATTTCCCTTTGTCATCGCACCACAGCAGAAGTTGGTGCTGCTGGTTATGGCGCCCCGGCGTTTTTTTTTGTATAAGCATTGGGATCAGCACGTTTGCATTTTTTTTTGTTGAACCACATGACACACAGCCTTTCCAAGGTGGCTGGCGTCTTTATTTTTCTTGTCCAGCACCTGCTACGCTGACGAAGGGTCTTTGCCGGTTTGGTCTTGTTTTCTTGTCTTTGTCGTTGGGCCTGACATTCCTAGTTTGGTGAGCAAACGGCTGGTGTGGTCGGTCGGCGGGCTTTGATATCCCTTGCCTGGACCTTGATTCTGGGAGTTTCTCTGGAGAGGCCGAGGCCGAGGCCGTGAGTAGTTGGTATGAGTAACATGACTATTTACTACGTCTTGGCTGATTAAACTCGCCACCGTGACGGGGACGACACTGGTGAGTGATGACGGACCCCGTCGCGGTCGCCCCCAACCGTCTTCCTCCTGCCCCGATCAGAAGCCGCCGGCTGATCTGTCAAGGGCGCGACGGGAGGAGAAAAGGCCACGACCGCACCGCGCCCCCGGCTCTTCGAGCCTCGCCCGACGAGATGTGCTCTGTGGTCTGTCCCCTGCCTCGTGCCATGTCCTGCCCAGCCCGGCCTCGGTGCCGATCCACAGCACAAGCCGAGCCCGGACCGGGCCAGATGGCTGTGCCGGCCTCGACACCACCCCGACGTCCCTGTGTCGAGGGAAACCTCGGACTGCGCCGCCACGACAACCAAGCCAGGGCAAATCGCTGTCGAGACCCGGGCAGCGGCCCAACAGGGACTCCGCAGCCTCGGGGCACCGTCAAGTCGAGCCCCGTCACCGCCGGCCGAGTACAAGACGTAGCTGCACACGGCACGCGTCACCTTTGCGAATCGTCCGCCCCAGTCTGCCTGGGCGTCGCGTGGCTGACGAGCACGACCGCACTGCGCCCGGTGACCCGGCGTCTCGAAACGTGTTTCCCCCCCGGCCCAGCACCGCTGCTGCGTGACCCCGGGGATCCTGACGTGTCCTTTGCCGGCATGCCTTGTTCCCGTTGCCGGCGGCGGGTGTCACGGCAAGAGGCAGAGGTCGCGTCGCGTCGCGCGACGTGCCGGACACGCTGGCCCCAGTCGGGGCCCCTCGACGCCGGCCGCATGTCCCGACGCGGCCGTGGCCCAGCCCGACTCCCCGACTCCCCGACTCCCCGACTCGACTGGTTCCGACACCGCGCCGCCGGCCCGCCGGGATCGATCCGTCGACGCCGGAACCATGCGGCGGTCGTCGACGGGCAAGCACGCCACGGGCACGACGGTGCTATGTCGGACAGTCAGGCCGGGCGCGCAGGCAAGAAGAAAGAAGATGCACGGAGTCACGGCACTCTGGCGACGCCGCCGGCACCGCGGCCCAGATGGCAAGGACAGGGACAGGGACAAGGACAGGTGTAGTGAAGCGCGTGACATTCACATACTTGCCCAGGCAATAAAGTATACCCGCCCACCCAGCCGTGCGACGGCTCGACGTCCCACCCCGGGGGTGCGTGCTGGTGCCGGGGCGTGACCATCAGTACGTTTCTTCAACGCTCCCCATGTCAAGTGATTCCCGGAATGAGCCAAACCACGCGCGACTGAGCCGCGGAATCGGCGCCACGGGCACGATCCAGAACCTACGGGGTGCGCCGTGCCGCGATTCGCACCTCTGCCCGCGGGCTGCGTCGACCCCGATTCTGGCAATCACCACGCAACCAGATTCCGGCAGCAAACGGCCCCCAGAAGGGAAGGGACTGAAAAAGGGGAGGCGAGATCCAGCGGGAGAGGGCAGCGCGCACCCGGCGGACGGCTCCCGACCAATGATGAATGCCTTGCAGGGCGCCGCCAAAGTCGGCACGCGCACCGCACAGCCTCGCGGATGAAAAGGGCCAAATCAGGCGAGCGGTGGAGATTCGTCGTCCGCTGCTCCTGCCGAGTGCTATAGTTACTCCCTACTCCAACTAGTCCGTACGTAGTCGCCGGCACGCCCAGCGACTGCCGGCGACATGCGCCGCCGTCCCAATCAGATTTAGCCCCGCCTGCCTCCGTCCCGTCAGCAACGTGGCTTTGACTTCCTTCCCACGGGCCACGCACGGGCCAGGCTGGCTCCACAGTCCAAATCTTGCAAGCAAAGCAGCACAGGCCACGTAACCGGACAAACACGCTCAAGGCCACTCACTTCGCGGCGCACTACTATTATTCAATCCTCGGCAGACGTGCCTCCCTCCCAGCTGCTAAAGTACGTAGTTGTTCCATTCCATCTAAAAAAAAAAAAAAAAAAAAACCAGCTACTTTCTTGCAAACTCCATATTCCACATGTCCCATGATGCAAACTCACGTTCCCAATTCGAAAACAACATTGTATTAAAAACTCCACAAAAACTCCGTGCTTCGTTCATACCTCCCCTGCCAAAGAAGTGGTCCCGTGTCAGCAGCAAGTGACGACACACACCTTGTCACGTGGGTTTCGCTCGTGCAGTGGGCTGTGACCCGTCGCCATCTTGTCCGCTAAATCTTGCCATGATCCGTAAGGAGTGAACATCTATACATGAGGTTTGGTCGTCGTGATTTTTTCATCGTCGTAAGGACTGTCTATATTATCGCTGGGTATCTTGTTTCATGCAAAGGAGTGTCGATTTTGGGGTATCATTGTCGTAAGGGAATGTCGAGTATTACATAATACATTAAATGGCCATGGTTGCCGTCCAGGATTGTCGTCGAGATCAACTCGGCATAAAGGAATGTAGCTGCGTAGCTGCCCATGTCCAAGGACAAAACCATCCGGGCCAGTTTATAGTTGTCTGCCGTCTTCGCCAGTCACGAAGCAGCTCTCGTCTGCTTCACCGTCCGGGCTTCCGTCCTTGGCGAGCAAGTCCTTTGCCCTTGGCATCTGCACAAGGCGTATTGGGGAGCACAAGAGGCGCTTGGCCGAGTGGCGCGGGCGGACGACGCGTCGTCGAGGACATCGAAGCAGCATGACGATGTCGAAGGTGCGTTGTGCTTTGCGAAAGGACAGGAGACTCTGGCATGGGCAGCATCCCGAATTGCTCAGCATTGAGAAAAGGGGGTGGGGCTGCCGAGCGGCCGGCAGCGAAAACGGTAGGGCCTTCGGGGGGCGCGTACGTCGGTGTGGTGGTGACAGAGTGCCTGAGTGGTAAGAAAAACAAAAACGAGTCAATTCGACCATGTCCCCTTGGAGAAAGCGGCAGAGAAGTTCGCCGATGTGTAGGATTATGCCATGCAAAGGAGCCTAGATCCACACGGGCTGGTGGGGAGTGACGAACCCTAGGCCGTAGCTGCTGTTATGAGCTTCGCTGTACATGGACGGCTGGCCAGAAGCGAGATAGGCAGGGGCGCTCGCTCGCATGTCGTAGGACCCGTGCTCTTCCGTGTCACTATAAGTGACGGACCCCTCAAAGGTTGACGAGGCAGGGCTGTACGCTCCGGTGGCGTATGATGGAGACGGCACGTTGAGATACTGCTGACTTGAGAAGGGAGACGACAGTACGTGAGGGCTAGCCGAGTGGCCGTGGTTGCCTGGGATGGCGGCGCTGTTCAGCATGGGCATCTCCTCGGCGCTGTAGCTGAAGGCGACGTTGCTATACATGTAGTGAGGCGAGGGGGCGGCTCCCGAAGGCATCGAGTACTCCTCAGGCACTGGGAAGTTGGGAGGGTGGAATTGAGGGAACGACGGGGTCCTTTGAGGCTGAACCCAGCCCATTCGAGAGCGGAAGTCACCCACGGTGTTGATGGGGAACTCCATCAACGTGAGAGGGGTCTGCCGTTGAACGCCGGCCTCGGAGCCGCCGGCGACGCTGATGGACATGAGGCGGCGGGCAATCTCCTCAATGGGCGAAATGCACAAGCTGCCAAAGTACGCGGCACCAATCTCCGGGAAGAGACGCTCCATGAGAAGCGCGACGGTGTACAGGTGGGCAATGACGACGAGCGAGCTGGCCGACCCGTGGTAGTTTTGAAGGTATCCAACGGGCATCCAGAACAGCCACGTTCTCAGGGGCTGAAGGCGTTCGTACTGCTGGGCAATGGTGAGCGTCGGGCTGATTTTGCGAGAGCCCTTGAGGAATCCAATGAGGTGCTGAACTTGGGTGGTCTCTTCCTTGTGGTGCTTGAGGTGCAACTCAACCCTTTGGACCTGCTCGAGAGTGCGTTGGAAGGCCTCGATATCCTCGTCCCGGGGCTGCGTCGGTCTGTGGTCGGGTCCAGGAGACGGTGGAGCGGTGGGAAAGGTGCTGCTTTCAGCAATGAAATCACCAAACTGGGACTCGTGCTTCCATGCGTCCATGGCATCAATCACCTGTGTGGAACGAGTCGTTTTAGCCAATGTCCAATGACAGAGCAGGAAGGGCCCAACTCGGTAGCTGATGATGCCACGAGCATGGCACAGACAAGTGAGTACTGCCAAGGTCAACATGTCTTGCACTTTCTGGCGTACGTACCGTCGAGGTTCCCTGCATGAGCTGGGTCCAACTGCGCCTATCAAATCTTGTTAGCCGCTTCACTCTGGCGCGCACAAGTCGGAACCCTGCAGGAAACTATTTGCTTACCAATCCGTAGCCTGCCATGACAAGACGAGAGAGGCCGCCAAGATGGCGTCCGACGTCTCTCGGGAGAAGGTGCCGATAGCCTCGTGAAGGCCGATGAGGGCGATGCCGCGGTGCTCAAAGGCCATGCTGCCGACAAGAGGGCAATCGGTGAGGAAGGCGATGTGCATGGCCGAAAATGCGAGCAGGGCGTGCATGACGTAGGGAGTGGTGGCACCGATTTTCAGGAGTCTGGCGAGCCAAGTCAGCACTGCCGCCGGTCTGAG